CCCTGGAAACGGATGTTCCCGATGGATTTTGGCTCATACGCAATCCAATATATTTGATTTCTTTCTATTTTTTTATGAGCCCTACTTCTAAAAATGGAGAAGCAGATTTATAGAGGAAAAAAATTGTCGATATCAGTTTGTGGTTAAGATCGTTATTCAAGTGGTTCGGACAGTTATTCGATTTTAATTCTGTAATACTGGTATTTGTTATTATGCTAGCTAAGTCGGCCGTGAAATTCTATATTCTCTCTAAGATCCGGATTTGTACATAATTACCATAAGAAGATAGAAACATCTTAAGGAGAAAAATGAAAAGTGGATGAAATAGTTAAGAGTTGACAAAAAATTTTTAATTGATCCTTTGGAACTTGTCGAAATGTTCCAACATTAATTAACAGCTGCGTTGGTAATTACGTTCTGTACGATGCCATACGCCAGGTTCGCATTTAACTCTGTGGGGCGTTACTTCTCAGACAAATGTCTATTGTTTGTGCTGATGAATTTGTTTGAATAGAGTTGCAGGGAAAAAAAGTAATAAAGAAAACGTATTTCCCCCCTCAAAGTAAGGTTGAAGGACGTAAAACGTCGTCTCTCGTTTCCAACAGATGTCTTAATTAGGCAATCGCGCCGAGAATATCGGCTATTAAGGGGGCGTTTCAATAAGGGTAGCGCTGAGAAATGAAGCGTTCAAGTCAGATTATTTGAGTAGAGGTCAAGGAACGGGTCACCGAAGACGAAGAGGTCGTCAAGTGCCTCCAACAATAAAATGCATGCAGCGTGCCGGCTTTCAACAGCATTCCCTATAAAAGAATTATTTGAAAATATTACATAATCCGCGTAACGTCGTTTCAACGGGCGGCCACCCCTTTAGTTATAAAACTACTGTTCGATTTAGCTGATTAACATTCATTTGAATTTTATCGACCGAAACGGAACGTTTTGAATAGACTGTATATAGAAAGGCTACCTTCTCTTCTCACTTCTAGACAAAGACTTTATTGTTATTATTCTATCAAACGTGTCAGAGTTTTGACGGACGTACTAGTGGGGTAGATTGGAGCAGAATTATTTATAACCCTCCCTTTTGGGGTAGTGAGGGGAGAAAAGCGTCTGGACGGGCCGACATCTTATGGACGTAAATCTCTATTTGCGCCCTCGTCGAAAGACAATAACAGTGCCTAGTAGCACGCCATCGTCTAATCATCTTTTCCTCCATCCGTGACCGGGCAAAGCCTATAGAATTTATCTGCGGTTTGAAGAATGGGAATATATTATACGGTTTCAATTCATTTACGATTGTAGGCGGATGAATGATGATAAAGAATAGAAAGAATCGTTTTGTTCGTATCGCCCTTAAAGTCGTGTGATTTACCAACGTCACATCACGTTCTTGGGCTTTTAAGGGTTTCCTATTTATTGCTCTTCTTACGCAATTTAGACAAGGCGTAAACGAAGAGGAACGATAAGATCATCTTCTTGCACCCACTTCTAAAACGTCCTAGCGATAAGGCGAAAAGAAATAATGTACCATTCTCCTACTTAACAAAGGTGGGTGGGGCATCTCAGAATCATACCCCCTCGTAATGACGTAATCCGTTCTGCATATCCATTACCATCATTCTCTTTTCTTTCAATTCTATACCTCAAATAAGCAGTAATTGTTCCAGCTCTAACGCATATATCGTATACGCCTTAATTATTAACGAAGTCAATGAACGTAGGGCGTTACGTATATGTTTTTTGTGCTGTTTATGGGAGAATAAATGTGTGAACAAGCTTTTACTAGTTTTGACTAGTGGTGCGTCGAAGCGTTGAATCTGACAAATCCGCAAGGATATCACTTTGACCGTTCGTTTTGCTGTCCACAAGCAATCTTGTAAGGAATCTTGGGAGTCTTAGTGAAACGGATCTATTGCCTTAATTGCCTAGTTTTTTGTCCTCTCTTTTTGTAGACGCATGCGGAAATTGTAAGCGAAAGTCTGTTGGACGTTAATTGTCTAGAGGATGTCCAAAAGCCTTTTTCTTCCCTTCCTATTGACTCTCGCCAACTGCATTGCTCTCTCTCTTTTTCCTTCCGTCAATTTGTTCGAGGTTAATTTCCCTGCTTCCTCGTTTTCTTTAGTTGCCACGCTAATTTCTTCGTCATTCTCCCAACCTTTTAAATCAATTTGCTATAGCTTTTTCTAGCAGTTTCCTTCCCTTTCCTTCCTCTATTACTTGTTTTCATCTCGAGCTGAAATTTTAATTAGACAATGGAACAAAGATTTCATGAACTTTGAACTTATATATATATTTGTTGTCTGTCAATTTTGTTCAACACCGTCAACCAACTGTTAAAATAAACTTGATTATTGGAGCAAATAACTTCAAAGCTCTTTTAAATCAACTTTATTCAAAAACTAAATCCAAAACGATAACAGCTAGAAAAGTCTCTATCTTTTTCAGACTCAATAGCTTTTTCACAACTTTTATATAAATATAATTATAATAGGCCTTTAAATTTTTATTCTATATTGGTTAATAGCGTGTCTAAATAGGTTATAGAATCTTCAAACGGGCAATATGTCATTTGGTAAATAAAGAGATCGTATACTCTTTCTATGTCTAGCTGACCTTTAGAAATACTAATAGTTTAATAAAAAGGGAATGAAGCTTAGTAAGAGTGTTGCGTGATGTCTAAGGTATAGAACTTAAATTAGGCTTAATTAATGCTATTCGTACTTTTGAAATTAAGTTATTTATTCGCCTTACACAACGCCAAGGGTGAAAACTTTCATTTCATTAGCTTTTTTTCACCAGAGTCTATTCTATTTACAGCTTCTAGCGCAGAGTTTTTTTATTCAAATCTCGAGTGTATATTAGTCAGAGCACTTGATTAATCTTCTCAAAAATAATTATTGTAATTTTCTGATGATGCGACTCATCTTAATCTATACAATTAAGCTGTGCATTGAAAAAGAAAGAAATATATAATAAAATAGTGCTCTATACATAAGAGAAAGAGAAGAAAGTACTTTTTGTTTATTATTTCCTGCAACAATTGAGCGAGAGAGTGTCTTTAGCGGTTTGTTAATATATTCGTTTTGTACAAATATAAGAAAAGATTCTTAATATATTGAATTATTAGTTTTACTCTCATAAGTAAACTTGACAAAAAACTGCTAAGTATTATAAAAAAAAGATGAATATACCGTTTTCTACTGTGTATGTTCTACTCTTTTTTTTGCTTCCATTTTCATCCGACTACTATAAAACTGTGTAAATTGTTGAGTGTACACAATCTAACCTAAAGCGGATATAGGGGCATTCGTCTATGAAGAAAAGAGCGGTTTATAGAAATCGATTATATTGGCAAATTATTACGGATTTTGCCGATCCAGTTTCTAGCCACTAAAACCCAGATGGAGCAATCAAGTCGGCAAATATTGCTGCGCCATTGATATTCGAAGTATTTACAGTAGGGTGTAGAATGTCTTTGTTCTATTGTCGATGCTGATTAGTTCTAGCTTGTTCTCCATTTTCCGGAACGAAAAGTGACATAAAAGGTAAAAAGTGTTTGTAGGACAGAGACGGTTTAGGGAAAGTGGGTGAGAATAAAGAATTACAAATCTTAGATAGAGTCACGCCATCCCACTCCTGACTCGGGACGGGGAGTAATTGGCGTGAGAAATTAGACAAGTTTTAACGGCGAATATCTATTGAAGTATCGACAAATAGTCGTGGCGGCTAATCGAAGTTATTGTGTCTACAAAAAGCCTCCTTAACGGGAAGCGTTAGAAATCGACGTCGGCAAAGTGTCAAAACCTGTCAATCAGACGTCAAACGTAGACGCGCTTCGTCGCTTACAAACAAAAAGAACGTTTTCCCCATTCGATTTTGTCACGGCTATAATGTATACGGGGGTGCATTAGAAATTCAATGCTTTGTATATAACGAGACGTTTTTTTTTCTGTTTACCCCCGCCATCATACATTGACGTCACGCCCGTAGACGCTCGAGTAAGAGTGGAATGGACAGGTGCGCTCCTACCTTACTCCATAATAACTGAGGGTAACAACGGCTGCTTTTTAAAAAAAAATTACTTACAGAAAAGAGTTTGCTACCCCACAACTTGTATAAAAAGCGTAGATACATGGAATTATTATACGCAACGCCTCGTTCCCCAAAGATCAGCATCGCTATTATTGACAATGTCTATACGGCGTCGCAAAAAAACGTCGATGCGTAATGAAACACTATACATGTATGGGAAAAACTGAAAGTGAATTCGAGAATCGTGCGAAATAATGCAGATGTACCTTTATTTTCTGGTTCGATTTCCTTTTCTTATTTCCCCCGAAATCATTTTTAACTTCATTTTCATATTATTCGAAACTGTGAAACGCCAGAGGAAAGCCACGACTTGAATAATAATTAGAATCTATAGCCCTATAGCCCTCCCCTAACGACTAAGTGAGGGAAACCCCCCTCCTCCCTTCTCCACATCATCATTCTGGTTCATTAGCAAACACCCAATATATTATGAAGATAATGATACAATGTTACTGTGTAAAGAATATGTATATCTTTTTTCTCTTTCTTTCTTTCTATCCTTTATTTTCTTTTCTCCCACCTATTCTCCTTTCTCTTTTTATGTTAGCATTAATCAGATTTCCTCGCTTCATGTTTTTCTTTCCGTATGTGTTTCCTAATTAAAAAGTCGGCGGGGCCTGTTAGCGAATGATAGTGACGTCGCCAACAATCTTTAATCTAGGGCCCAGGAGCCTATTAGCATTGTGAATGTAATCCTAAGCCCACGGCTCTTGTCACCTCCATCACAGCCGGCTATGCATTTTGATTACTTTTGTCAACATATTGTCTCCGTGCGCGTTGCCTTACTGCATATTTTATAGCGTATATCATCGTTAACTTTTTGTTTTTGTTTTTATTGTATCTGATGGAAGATATTTTTTTATCCTCTCAGGTATGAAATGACCTGACAACTTTAGATACAAAATAAAGATGGACAGGAATGGTAGTAGGCCCAAGCCCTACTCTAGGCCTAAAGTGGCAGCTCGAAATATTGAATATCATCCATCGGATGCTGAAGACGAGGAATCTCCACTTCACAGACCCACTCCACCGATTCGTAGTGCTCAGAAAAGACTTATCGATATTGGCACCATCGGTAAGTAATGTTTTTTGTGGTATAAGGTCGATTGATCCCGTAGGCCTGGGCAACGTCCGTTTCTTTCGGGCTGATTGATTCTATTGTTAAAGAGAAACTTGCCGGCTTTTTCCTTATATTTTATTTTACTTTAATTTTCTTTCCTTTTTGCCGACCTCAATGCGATGTTTCACGGTTAATTAAGCCCAATTAAGACCTTATCGCCAGTTTGGGTGGAAGCTTAACGAAAAAACCAATTTGCACTTCGGAGAATAAAACGGCCGTTAAAAAAAATCGATGTACCCCTTCAAATTGATTTAAGTGGAATTTGCGCTAGACGTAAAGTCGCTGTTCTAGTACGCTTAAGTTGAAAATCTTGTTAAGTTTGTAAAGCGTTTCGGACTCCCGACGGCGTTTTAAAAGCGGCGTCTCTCAAAGAGATAATTCGGTTGAAGCGTTTTCATTATAAACTCAGTTACGAGTCCTACTCCACTCAATTTTCAAAAATACCCGATTGTTTTCTTTATGCAACTTTATCCGCGCCAAGAGTTTTAGCTGATTTTTTTATTGGAAAACCCAAGTATAAAGCTATTACGCAATGACGTCGTCAAGGGAATATGCCGGGCTTTGGCTTGTCACGTTGACCGAATGATAAAAAAGCGTTGAAAATGCGCTAGACGTTAAATTCCCATACGACAGCAACTGTCGGCAGCAATCCGGTAGCAGAAAAAAGAGGTTTTATTAGAAATTCCCCTTCGTCCACAAAAGTCTTTCTTTCTATCATTCTGTCTTTCTTTTCATCGCTTACGTTCCAGATATCCTTCTAGAGTACTGGAAATCCTTCGGGAATGCTTTGGCCTATCTCTTATCCCCCAACAATAATTCGTCTCCTTGCGCTCGTCTTATACCAAAAGAGCAATGTACGGGCTATCTCTTTGAACGTCTAATCGTTTCGGCCTACGGCGCTGTGTAGAAGGGACTGGCGGATGATTTGCAGTCGTCGCCTGAAGCGGAGTACGCTTTGTTAAATGTTTGTACGACGTTTCCGGGGACCGACGTCCACTGTTTGACTCTTACGCCGATCGATTCGTAAATCATGCATAAGTTTTTTTTGCAACGTTTTTTCCTAGCTTTTGCATCCTCTAATTGTATAAAAAAAAGCACTAGCTACTATAATTATTTACGGACGAAATTTTAGCCTATTAAGGAAACAAAGGTGTGTATGTACGAGTCGGAATCAAACGAAACTATCCGAACCGGCCAACGCTGCCACTGAGAAAATTGGCTTGGTTATACAGTTTACCGCGTTCGTTCTTTTGATATTTTAGAAACGCGTCTGTATCCGCTTTTTCCGTTGTGGAACATTGATCGGGGGAGTCTGCTTTAGACTTCTATCGATTACACCGTAATATCGTTTCTATAACAAACGTTCCGATTTTTTTCCCGACAATAGACCCCCGTAAAGGGGGAGAAAAAACAAGGGCGTTAAACCCAGCATACATATTCTTGGGAGAAAGTAGTTAAAGCAATCCGTCAAGCTCTCTTACCGGATGTCTAATGTCAGTAGGGGGGCGTCGAAATTTTGCGGTGGTTTCGTTAAATATGTAGCAACCGTAAATCACTTTCTAAGCTTTTAGAAAAGTAATATATTCTGTGCTAGGCAGTAAGAGTGAAAGAATAGACGGCGGGTGGTAACATTCAATATTTAAGAGCAAAAAGCTGATTGCGTCAGCAGGGTGCCAACTTGTAGTTTACGAGATGCATAGAATCTTCTCATCGACCGCTCCCCAATTTTTTTAATATCGGTAATTAGCCAGAGAGAATCGATAAAAAATTACCAGCGCCATCTATCGTCTGTCTATCTATCTCGCTATCTATCTTAAGTAACCAACCCTCTCCCTCCCAATCCAACCCTTCAACGTCTTTGTTTTGCTTTCATAACTATAATATTACTATTAAGAGTGGAATGCGGGGGAGCGGAAGGGGCGCTTGATGAGACGGAGCAGATGGATTTTATCAGTAATCTATTTTCCTTCAGTCGAAATACTCACTGTTAGGGTATTGTCTTTCAACAGTTATTTACACGCCACTAATGAAATTCTTGATTACATAACAATACGTAACTGACGCCTTGTTTAAGTTTGGGACACGATATCTTATCACCAATCCCTAATCCCCCCTCCATTGCTTTTACGTAATCCGGAAAGAAAACTTTTGGCAATGTGGGAAAGAGGTAGCAAAAAACAGGATACATAACGAATTAGAGTAAAGAGAAAATTCCGTTCCGCAAAACTGCAGCTGTTTGGAAAAGGAGAGCCTTTGATCAAAATATTGTCGATAGTCGCTCGCCGAAATAGAGAGAATCGTGAAAATATTTATCTCATCTGGGCCTATAGAGCTCTTGGAAGGTGTAAACAGTTTTTTTTTATATATTCCTTAGCACTTTGTAGAATCCTAATCTATCTTTTTATCCTTTTAAAACGTTTTATTCCAACTGCAAAAGGCGTAAATTCACCCCCTCCCACCTCCTTAACGTCCCCTTACTACTCTTTGCACTTTTCTGAGGCCTTTGTTATTTGCAAATAGTTCCCCTCCCCCCTTTTCGCGTTTAAAATCATTCGAAAGGCGTTTTACTATTTGAGAGAAAAAGGCCCAAAATCGTCTTTTTTTTAATGGAAGCAAGTAGGATGAGATGAAAGAAATAAAAAAAAAACTAAGAAGTTAAAGGTGGGTAATGGAAAAGCCGTTATGCATTAGCTCGCCTGCATGTATTGGGTAGAATGCCAGTCAAAAGATGGGGTTTGGTTGAAAGAAGCGATTGGATACGGGTCGATGGGCAAAGAATTGTACAAGATTACGTAGATCCAACGAGGTCGTGTTTATACTTTAACAACTTGTTTATTATGCAAATGCTCTGGTGCTGACGGTTAGGAATCTTTGACGGCTAGTCATCACCTACCGCCCCTACTTTTGATGGGGGCATCTCTTAGTTTGATTATAGTTTGCTATGGTAACATAATTCGTATATTACCCAAACGTTTAGAGGCAGTACATTTTGAACTTTGACCTGTTAGCGAGCCCCGCTCTTTGTTTATCTGGCCGTCTCAATCCACTATTCGTCCATTACCGGCTACGCCTACATGTATACTCAAAAATAGCGGAATATGCAAATATTCTGTGTACCTGGAGCGCGTATCTGCGCCACAGCCCCAGTGCAAATAGCCCTGATAACTCGCATCTGCATTCTGCTCGTATTATTACCATTTCTCCCCTCTTTTTATTAGCCTTTATAAAGGCGCATGCTTCTCGCTTGCTAGCCGGTCTTTTCTTTCTTCACTCGTTTATTGTTGCCACATCCGATAAAAGGTTGGTATGAAATGTGCTAAAGAAAAATTTGCCCCTTCCCCTACCACCTATTTGTATTGATAACGGCCGTATTTAGTAGCGTCGACCCGATTTGCCTTATCTAAATTCCTTTTGACTTTTGAAAACAAACGAACGACAGATGCTTTCGTACAACCGTTTTCCGGTCGTATTTTATTACGGAGCTTCGTGATGCGGCCTATTTATATAGCGTCTGTATCGATTTAACAAACGTCTACGCATGAGAAGCGTTTCCTCTTCCTGGTACTGAACGCACTTTAATTACTCATCCACGGGGAGTTGAGAGCTTATAGACAGGATATAGAGACGTTCATTAGGACTGAGGGTGGACGAAACGAAGGCGGTCCAAAAGTCATTTTGTCCAAGCGCAATTTTACTATCCTACCACCCCCCTCTTTGCCCCTTTTAAATTTCCCAACGCCGTTCCGGATTCGTCGACGATAACGGTTGTTAACAACAACCTGGGCGATCGAGGCGGTTATCTGATACGGGTGCTGCCGCCACTGCCTTGGTCTTAAACTCCAGCCAGCCGGTTCCCACTTATTTGCCGATAGCCGCTACGAAAACACTGGCAGTTAGGCCGGAGGATATTTTCTATTTACTAGAATATGAGTACGGAATACGATTGTAATTATGGATAGCGAAGCGTTTAGGATGAGTAGGCTTAACAGGCCTATATCCGGTTATATCACCAATGTTCCGTGCGATTGCCCAATTCAGGGGAGTAAGTATCAGAGTGCGCGCTTATAAATTGGTACAGATTACTACTAAAAGCCGTTCGTTAATAACACCCGATTTTGCGTAAACTACAAAGTTACAAGAGAAAGAAACTATATTAATAGGAAATATTATTTTTACAATATCTTGATCTATTCTAACCTTCTATGCCATCCTATATCCATAGCTATCTGTATAGCTCTAGTCTGATCACGTATTTTCAAGCGATGCGTAGTTTGCGGTCGACAACGGTTCTTGTTGGGCGAGTGGTTTTTATTGATTTTCTCCTTGTCCATCCCTAGGTTTAACGAGGGACGAGCATCATATATCTCCAATAGAAGCTGACCAACTACCGTCTAAGAGGGACTTCACTGATAGGGCTTTTAGTTACAATAGTGGTTCAGATGGAGAGACTGATGATCATTTAACTTCACCGTCCGACGAACCTCCACCACCAGCTCCCGGTACCTTATATACTCCGGTTTCTGAATCGGAAACAGAAAACGATCCCTCAGAAAGATCGACTTTACCAGTTAAAAATAGACGTTCGGATACATTGAGGAGTACCACAACAGAAAATCATTATTCAAGGATAAGCGAAGCCGGTTAGTATATGCAATCAATGTCATAGTATTTTTTTTATAGTAATTGTTACCATGCTACGTGTAATGTTCTAGTTTTAAGAAATCACGTACGGTGAAGGGTTGCAGTAGGTTCATTAACTCAAATTGCACGGTCGTTTGCTTATTTATAGAAAAAGTGCCACGCCCTGCTCACACGTTTCTTCTTTTCGACTTCCTCATTTCTTCTTTTCCTATTTCTATAATTAACATTCGCGACAGCATTTAACCGTCAGCGAATCGATAAAAAACATTCGTTTCTGTTGGGCTCCTTCTCCCTACCCATATTTGCCGCCATTTTCTACTTAAGATTCTAATAATTCTTCCTCTGTTCTTTTATTCTTTTCTTCTCTAGCTGTACACCCCCTTCCTCTCCCCCACCACCTTTTTCGTGCCGAATTTCTTTATAGCAAAGGATTATAAAACTAGCTTTCTTTAAGGCACAGTTCCCACTCGAGAAAGCGTTAGTGCTGTTTGAGGTAAAGCAAAGTAAGGGCACTGTGTTGGTAAGGCACTTGCCGTAAATAAATATTTCAAGAGAGCAAGAGTCGCGCAAGTCTTGCTCGAATTACTAAATATTTACATTACCTAAAACTAAATAAACGTAGACGCCTTTTTGCACTCATCTGCCCTCCTTCTTTCTCCATATTCGACCTGTCTTTTATGTCTTTCAACGCCTAGGCGTTTGGCTCGATTTCTTTCTTCAAACGTATCCTATTCATTCATGTTTACTAACTTTTTGAAAGAATGTAAAGTAATGGTAATAAACGTTGGTATGTTATGCCAACAGAGACTATGCCCCGAGGAAGAATTAACATTGGCGAAGAGACGATCGGACCGGATGTGCCTCCTCGCTTTCCCACGCTTCATACAAATCATATAGCCGGTGGTGATCATCACTACATAAGGCAGGACGCTTCAGGAACTGTCTTCATTCCTCAGCCGGGAATGATGACAATGAATATTCCAAGGACTAACATCCGACAAAGAAATGGAGCATCGCCCGCAACAAATTTTAATGATATAAACTCTCCAGCATTATTTAATGATTGCAGTCCTGACAGGTTTGTAACAATTACTTTGTTATTTTATCATATATGCAGTATTTTTTTGGCAAGGAAAGAATTGAATTAATTCAGCTTTACTACTTTATTTTATCTTGTTTTTTTGAGCATGTCTGCTTTTCATTTATTTTTTCCTCAAAAAAAAAGAGAAAAAGTTTGCAGTGTTAATTTTATATAGGTTAAAAGTACAAGGTAAAGACGCGGATGTGAGCAGTGATTCGTATTGGGCGAGGTTTGCATTTCCTATCTTGTTTTTCTTTTGATTCGTAATCCCGTTTAGCCCGTTAGAAATAGTTTAGTCTTTCTGTTTTTCTTCTACAATATTTTTCACTGAACTTTGATTCTTCATTGTTATAAAATAATTCTTTGTTCTTCACTGTTTTTGTTAAAAATCCTTGTTATTGTCAAAAATTACTAGCCAAAAAAAGAATGAAGAAAATATCCATGTAATTAATGTATAGAAAATTTTTTTATATCCTCTTTTTTATGTAGTTTTCTAGCATTATCGCTTTAGTTACCAATCTCTCTCATCGGTTGTCTTGTGTATATGTATTATGTTTACATAATTGTTTCATTCTCTTTCTCTTTTGCTTTGTTTCATTTTCTTATTCGTTTCTCTTTCCCCATTGTTTATTCTAACCGAAGAAAGTATCCCTAATCTTTCACACTCTCTTCTCACTATCTTTCTTTTTATTTGTTTTTTACTATGAAAACTATTTGTTTCTTTTTCTTTATACTTTCATTATATTTATTATACATTCAGGCAAAATGCTGCTCACTTAAACATTCCACCGTTACCGGTCGGAAGTTATCCACCTTCTAATTCCGGAGTCGCACCTGCTCACGCGGCCGCTGATATATATTCGCGATTCTCGTCTGATTATTCTAGGTGATTTATCAAACGTTTGTTCTATATATAGCTTTTTTTTATTTGCAATTAGACTAACATTTCTTCTGAGCTTCTTGCTAACTTAATAGATAGTATTTTTTTTCTCTAACTTTTAATTATAGCTTAAATCTTATCTATTGCTTCTTACAAATTCTATACAAAATGATAACGTTAGCTATCCGTAAAAAAAGATACTGTATATAGTTTATTTATTTATCCTATGTATCTAATCTCACTTTGGGAGGGTGCTATAGGATTTATTTTACAGTGGTACAAAACTTTTAAAAAATAAGTCGAAGAGAAACATTATATCAATATCCGACGTCTGTAATAAAAACAAGAAAGGGAATAGTACGGAAAGGCTTCCTTCAAGCAAAATTAGTCATACGACTTATATTACATATATAATGATAAAAGATACCTTATTTTCATCTGAATTTTTAGATCGTAAAAAATATATTATAGCAGAGCTAAAGAACGCCTTTCTATGCGACTTCCGTTTACCATAAAACTACCATTACTACCCACTTGAAAAATAGTTATATTTTCTTTTCTATTAATAGAATGAAACGGGAATCAGTTCTACGATGCTGCCTGGAAAAATGTTCCTGGAAAATAACAACAATTCTCTTTGTCCTTCTCTTCATATTTACATTAGGGACGGCAGTATACTTTATAGGTTTGTATAAAATTAATTACATTTTACTTGTATTTCGCTATATTCGCTAGATCCTTTATAAGTTCATTTCTATAGATAAAATCAAATTAAAAAATAATGCAACGTATATAAATTTCTCCATTTATATTTTATTATTTTCTTTAATTAATATCTTTATTTTACTGTTTTATTAAGGTTGATTTTTTTTGTTCTTTTGTGAATGATTGTTGTTTGTAGCGAAGTTCCTAGTTGATGCAACGAAAATTGAGACAATCGCCTTGGAGAATAATATTCCAAAAGGTGACACAATATGCCGAGATAGATGATTAATTTACTTAATAAATTAATCTTTAATACTTTACTTAATTAACTTAACATAGTCTTTTTATTATTATTACTAGAATAACTACTATACTACTTATTTTTTATACCCGTTTCTGAAAAAAAGTTTGCATTTCACGCTAAAAAATAAAAGGAGAGACGCTAATTAAAAAAATTACCCTTAATTCTTTTTGTACTTAAATATTAATACTTCAAATGTGACGTTTGTGATACCATATTACCTTTTTCCCGTTATAAGATATTGCTTGTTAAAACGTAATTAATAACAAACTAATGTTAGACAACATAAAAATTAAAATTTATGTGTCGCTGTGAACTTTAGACCCCTTTTTCTATTTTGCTAAAAACTACTCAAAATATCCTGTTTGTCAGAATATATCGTATATACAGTATATATCTATATATATACGCCTTATTAAAAAAAAAATATCCGTTTTTTCCCCTATAATTTCAACCCCGTTTGTACACATATCTTATGTAAATAGTTAGCGGTATATATATATTATATACTATATATAGACAGACATATATATATATAGATGAATGTATATGCCATGAATACTCTTGGAAAGAGAGAAAACAATTTCTGCCCTCAGGAAACTTCATTCTTGCTTCTTCTATTTAATTAAAGGGAAAATGTAGAAAGAAACGTAACACTTATTATACTAGACGTTTCCTCGTTGTTTTCTTTCTCTATTGTTGCATATATTCATAGTTTGTTTGCAACAACAATAGGGAAAAAAAAAGAAAACAGAGAGAATTAGTGAGTAAGGGAAGCATAAGAGTGAAGATTTTTATTTCTCGTCTGTTGATTCTCTAGCATTAGAAAGAGAGATATCTTTATTTAGATTCTTTTTCTTTCAGCTCAACCAACCGAACCAATCGAGAGAAGGGAGCCTGAAAAAATTAGCCTGATGAATGGAAAGCGTATGTCGGTTACACTCAAACCGCATAGTTTTATAGTTAACGAATTTAGAATACATGCCGATCGCCATTACATGGTAAGTAATATTATACTTGTTTAAGTACAAAATATGATTAATCGTTTGCTTGTCTTTTCGTTTTAATTTAATTTTGCTTATTCTCTTTCTAAACAGTTCAATTTCTCTTTGCCACGCTACTCCGTTTTGGGTATATTTTTGAGGAGAGGAGATACTCCGTCTTTTGTACAGTACGATGAAATCTTTCGTGTTTACGGGATATTTACTGATAGAGCTAAGAGATCTATTAGTGTGAGTAGAGGCAGTACACCCATTTAGAGCGATTATCTTAACAGCCATCCCCCCTTGAATAATTAATAAAATTGCATTTAATTTTTTAATAGAATAAAGAAGTAATGAAAGATACTGGAGACGATCGATTCTACACATTTTTACATAGCGGTCTTTGGTACATGATGATTTATAATGATGGGAAAGCGGACGTTGATTTTTCATTCGAAGGGAAAGTTTATAGTACGTATTAGTCAGATTACCCCCCGTTAATCATACTAGGTTGTATATATTATCTTTGCGGATATAGGATTCTCTTATACAATATATTATATATTTATGTTATGCTATTTTTTCTATTGTTTAACCGTCTGTAGGGATGAAAGGTGGGAGGAACTGTCCGGGAAATTGTAACGGAAGGGGAAAGTGCTACGAGAATGGAGATTGCGCTTGTTATAATGGTAGGTAAACCGTTTATGCCATATCATTTATACACAAAACTCTTAACTTAATATAAATAAATATGTTATTAGGTTGGAGAGGTGTCGATTGTTCGGTAGAGCCCTGTCCAATACTATGTAGCAATCGGGGAGTTTACATAAGAGGAAGATGCGAATGCAAAGAAGGCTACAAAGGAAACGAGTGTGAATATTCCATAAATCAATGCGAAGTACCTAACTGCAATGGCTATGGGAAGTGTCAGGGTGGCAAATGCGTTTGTCATCCGGGCAGGACCGGAAAACATTGCGAGCTCGGTAGGTATTATTTGATAAATATTGGGAATTAGATATGTCACAAATCTTAATTTTTCTTTTCTTGGCTAAAATCCCATCTTTATTGCTTTTAAATCAACTTAGATTCTCTATTACTTTTTTCCTTAATAATGGGATAACAGGGACTTGCAGCGATCCGAATTGTTCAGGGAACGGCGTTTGCGTCAATTCAACTTGTTACTGCAACGCCGGATTTTCAGGCGATAAATGCGAGTACGAGGGTAACGTTTGCCCGCAAGCTTACTGCAAATATCGAGGATATGTAGGCAGTAATCGGCCGCTCTGTACTTGCAATAGCGGTTATTACGGAACGCAATGTGAATTTGGTGAGGAGCTAGCAAGAATAAATCAATAAATAAAAAGACTAATAAATACATCTGATTGCTCTATGCATGATGTTAACAAGGAGTTAATAGTGCCTGGTTTTTTTTTTATATATACAAATGCAGCCTAGGAGTAATATATATATATTTTTTATTAACCAAAACGACCATTTCCAATAACCGCATGGGATCAGTAAAAAAGTGCTTCAACTACTATATTAATAAGCTTTAATGATGTGTATATGCGTGTACGAAATTTCCTATAGAAAAATTCTATACGCATCCGTGAAATATAACCCATCAAGGTGTATAAATATATACATATACATATATGTTTATATATATAAATGTGTATGTGTGTGTGTCTGTATACTGTATATATCAAGCATACACAAACACATATACTGTATATAATCTATAAATAAACCATAGGGTTAATATGCGTATACAGTATATACAGTATATAAATTTATATATATATATATATTTATACAAATAAAATATATGCTCGATATTAATCAATTTTGTAGAAGAATCATTATTAAGTTAATACCCTATAATTTTACTGCAGAACAATGCAGCATAACGTGCGGACCGCACGCTGAATGCCATGGGAAAGTATGCAAATGCCACGAAGGTTGGTCAGGGACGTTCTGTAATCATAGAACATGCGATGCCAGGTGTGAAAGAGATAATCATGGTATTTGCATGAACGGAACATGCGTATGCAATGTAGGCTTTCACGGAACTTTGTGTACATTTGGTAAGTTTTGGTCGGTTGGCAAAGTATTTTAAAATATTTATTTTACTACTTAGATTGTTACTCTTATTTGCTTTTTATTTGTAATACATTTTACAGATGATTGCCGGCTGAATTGTAACGGACATGGAAAGTGTGAAAAGAATTCGAATGGTGAAGGATACACTTGCCTCTGCCAAAGGGGCTTTGGTGGTAAATACTGCCATATTGAAGAAGAAACGTCTCATGATAAATGCCATGATGGTAAGGATAATGATGGAGATGGATTGACAGATTGCCAAGATCCGGATTGTAGTAGGAGAGAATTAACAGCACCATGCAAGACTTTCAATCCTAGCCAATATCGACCATTTGATTTGTACTTGTTAAGGCCACAATTCGTTCCGACCTCGTTTTATGAGAGGTTCAAATTTCTTCTTGCTGATGGGAAACTTCAAAATATTGCCACATGGACGATGCCCCAGAAGAGGATGAGCCTTCTCAAAGGAAGGGTTCTTATGCACAACGATGTACCCGTTTTCGGTATTAATGTCAGCATTTCCGGCCAGCCTTTCTGGGGATGGACTTTAACAGACAGTGGCAAAAGCAATTACAATGAAGGCGGTGTCTTTCACATGTTAGTAAGCGGAGGAGGATCGCTAGAAATAAAATTCGAGCATTTCCCTCCGTCTGGTGAAAAACCAGTATTTAAAACAAAAACCGTTCGAGTAATGGTCCCTTGGAATGATGTAGTTAACATTGGAAACGTTTATATTGAATTAGTCAAAAAGGAGCCAAAGAAAAAGAAAAGTGATTGTACAGTTAGACATGATAGACGCCTGCTGCACCCAGTCATTGTCTATTCCTGGATAAATTCGTATAATGGAGGTTGCAAAGAGGGTTGTCTGTTTCCTCTATCAAATACTCATAAACAAGTGATACCTATTCTCGATACTCCGTTATCGTTAGTATATGTATCCTCAAACGCTAACAATTTTGAATCAAAGTTAACCGTAAAGGTTACAGATTCTTACGTTCCGGAAGACTTACAGGAAATCCGTCTTATTTTAGATGTTGAAGATTGGAGAGAGCATGGTGTTATTGAAGCACTTCCTCATCAAACTTTTACATTCTATTTGAAGCGCCAGCAAACTGCTTTAATGATTCAATATAGTTATGGAAATGTTTTAGCAAAGATTTCAATAGGATATATCTATCGATCTTGTACTCAACCACAATGGCATCATTTAACATCAAAAATAACTACTGCTTCTGCTCTGACATCAAAAATTTACAAGTGGAACTTGAACATCCATCACTTTTATAGCATTGCAAACAATATACTATTTAAAGGCGATGGTACACTTATCGATTTCACTGAGAGACCTCGTATTTTAGTTGATATATTTAAGGGACGAAAATGCAAAAGAAAGAAGAAAGCTTGCCGTTTGCGTTCTCCTAGATCGTTAGCCAGTGACGGAAACGGAAATGTTTACGTATCGGACGAACGTTTTATATGGAAATTTGATGACAAGGACGGATATGAATTACATATGGATTTTATTAGATTTAATCCATCCTATCTCCACTATATCGCCGTTGATCCAACGACGAACTACTTAATCGTATCAGATCCTAGATCCAGAGCCGTTGTTAAGCAAGAAACTCCCGACCCGAAAGAGAATGGTTTCAATATGAATAAGATAGCTGGGGGCGGTGGAAAATGCATACCCGGTCAACCGGACGAATGCGGTGAAGGGGGATACTCGGGTCGTTCCAGTTTGCAACATCCGAAAGGCGTGGCTGTGAATAAGCACGGTGAAGTCTATATTGCTGACGGAGCCGTTGTAAGAAAGATCGATAAGAATCGTAATATTCATACGGTTGTCGGTACAATTGGATTACCAACAAAATTAAAGAAATTTCCATGCAATGGTACCATACCAGCGAGAGAAGTTACCCTTTGGGATCCATCGTCGATAGTTATATCGCCTGTTGACGACTCATTACACATCTTAGATGGTAATGTTGTTTATAGATTATCTGAAGATGGATATCTATCGATAATAGCTGGTAGACCACATCACTGTCCGCCCATAACTAAACGAGAACAGTATATTGATATTGAATACACTGAACCGTATCCAGCTTTCGACGCTATTCTATATGAACCGCGTGATATTGCTTTTGATTATAATGGTCAATTATACATATTGGAATCAGATGGCAAAAAAATAAATCGTGTACGAATAGTAACGTCGGATGGTTTCATCAAGTTATTTGCTGGTAGAGTTTCAGAATGCGACTGCTCAAAAGAACGTTGCAATTGCAATGAGCACTTGGGAGTTTCCGCTCTAGATGCCTTACTCAATTCGCCGTCTAGTATTACTGTAACGCCGGATAATACCTTATATATTTCCGATACGGGAAATGGAAAGATACTTAAAGTCGTCAGCCAAGTGCCTAAATTAGAAGAGAATAAATTCAATTTCAAATCGGTTGATTTCTATAAGGCTAAGAAAATCTACCGTATAATGGATAGTGAAACTAAAGAAATGTACGTCTTCAAGGATAATGGTCATCACTTATTAACAATTGATTTGCTGACTGGAGAAGTGAAGTACAAATTTAAAATCGATTATCGAGGAGATCTTAGACAGGTCATTTCTAATGGAACAGATGATTCAAAGTTCAATGTAACTGTAGATCGTAAATTGTATCAAAATAGGGGAGACGAATGCCTACTCGTTAATAATCAATGTTATAAATTGGGTAAAGATGGTTCTAAGCAACTGAAAAAGTTCACCTATCCTAACGGTCAAGCCTATCAATTTGAATTTAACCTAGAATATCAGCTATTATCAAAGGTCGAACCACATGGTGAGCTGACATTTTTCGAATATGATCAAAATAATCACTTGAAAAGTGTGGTTGGACCTACTGGCGACGTTATTGAACTTAAACAAGATGATTTGAGTGATCTTTCAACGTATGACCTATACGTAACTGGTATGAATAGTATTAAATGGAGAATAAACGACGGCTCAATTACATATTCGCTCCAAGACTCCACGGCTAAGAATATTATTCGCAGAGTTAATGATGAAACCTATGTGGTAATTCACGCTAATAGACTCGTATCAGTAGTAGAAATGACGCCTCGTTATCTCTCAACCACAGAACAAACCATTCAAGTAAGCTGATTATCCATTATTATTCATTTTGATGTGTCTTATATTGACTATCATTTTCAGGAAAGACGTAAGCTGATCATTCCGAAAGAAGTAGGGAAATTAGAGTTGGATTTTACAAAAGTTCTACTCAGATATATCGATCTAGATAATAGAGAAAGATCGAGTAGTGGAAATACAAATAATTTTGGATCTTATTGGAATTTCAATTTGAACTCTACGACCGGATCGGATGCTCCAATTCCGCCGTATAGATATTTTGGTACTTCTTTGAAATTAAATAATATGGAATTTCTTCGTATTCTGTTTAAAACGGATAAGAATAGACCTCAAGAAATTTATTATAAATCATTAGGAACTAAAAGGCCTTCCGAAAAGCTATTTACGATAGAAAAGCTCCCAGGAGGTTTACCAGTCAAATTTATACCTAGATTTAGTCCAAAGAGCTTAAATCATATAGTAATTCATTACACTGCGAGCGGAAAACTCTCATCTTGGGCTGAGAAAAAGAACACGTTTGAAGTACGAAACATATCATTCGTCTATGATGACCAAGATCGCCTTACGAAAACATTAATAAATCGTAGGGCTGAGTATGATTATCGTTACCATAAAGGGCACAAAGTTCCAAGAACTATTGAACGTTCATCCGGTAGACAATTTCACGTTAAAATGGATGATAAAGGATTCATTAAGGAGATAATATCTCAATCATTAGCTCATAATAGATTTCATAAAGTTTTATCACCAAATCTACACCGTCTTGTCTATCAAAGACATCGTAACGAACGTGTTTTGTTTGATTTTGACGCCTTCGGCCGTTGCAAGTATATTCGACTGCCTTCGAACGAAAGGAGGATATCCTACAATTTCCTAACAGATGGCCGCCTTCTCGAGGAAAAGTTTGACATGACATCAGTCAAGTACATGTATCAAAGTCATTCGAACGAATTAGCTTCAATCCATTTAGAAAATGGTATAGAAGATCAAGGGAAAGTATCTTTGAATTATTTTGGGGATATTGTAATTAACTTGCACAGAATTGAATTTCAAAACGAGGAAGTTAAATCAATTGAGTTTAACTATAAGAGGGATGATTTACTTCGTGTAACAGAGATAAGTGGCCATATTGGAGAAAGAATCTTTACTACACTTACGTATAAATACAATGACTATGGAGACGTTGAATATATAAATAGTAACTATTTTAGAAAGACTTCTGATTCAGTAGACGTTGTAGGTGTCAGCCGTATACTCATTGAAAAGAAACACGATCTCTTTAATAAAATGGAAGAAGTAACTGTTATGTTCGGAAAGCGTAAAGTGAGTAACATCATTGTTAAGAGAGATGCGAGAGGACGTCCAATAAGACAGGAAAAATATAGACACTCGTCTGGCGGTGGCATGCAATTCGTACAAGAATATGCCTACAAGGATGAAGCGATCAAGGTTTATAAGGAGCAGTCGAGAGACATTTTATCTTATAACTTCAATTTTGAGGAGAACGGCGGTTTTGTCATGAAAAATGACTTGAAAGGTAATCAACAAGAGTTTCGCATGAATGTCACTGGAGAAGTTCTGTCTATGAAAGTTAAAGGAACCGAAACGACATTCCACTACGACATTGACGGATACTGCATCTATTCTAAATCGAAAAAACAGAAAATTGTATTTGAATGGTCAGCTAAAGCCCAAATCCTAAGGATTACTGATCATAGCTTTGACATTCGATACGTTTACGACGGTCTCGGCCGACTAACCGCTAGAATAAAGGAAAGTAGAGTAATTCAATTCTTTTACTCCGACCTCACTAACCCGGGACGAGTAACGCATATTTATGATAACAAGGTTGGAAAATCCGTTTTCATCTACGATCGGAATGGGCGATTAACCGTCATAATACAACGTAATAGAACGTACGCTGTCATCCTGGACGGGTTCGATAACGTTGCAGCAATCTACGACGCCGAAACAGGCGAGGAAGTAGTCAGAGCAAATTACGACCCTCTAGGCAGGATAAAAATTGATGGTCAATTTGAGTTCTACTTGGGTTACCGTGGAGGAATACATGAAATAGAGAATAACTATGTCGTGTTATTAAACGGTCGTATATTGCATACTATCCACGGAATGTACTTGGCTCCCGATTACCAAGCCTTTATTAAACAGTCTCACAAAGTATTGACTCACCCGGAAATGCTATACCTCTATCTTCCGATATTCCCAGACTTGATAGACCTACAACCGCCTACAGATCCGAAATGGTGGCTAAATACCTTCGCTTTTAACGTTGATAATTTTATCCATAAAGTCGGCGCCGACGGCTCGTTAAACTCTATATTGGATTATCGTACATCGCTAATACCTACGGTGAAGCATACTTTGTCGGCATCCACAACTGTGGAAGCTTCGTATCGGGAACGTGAAAGGATTATTTTAAACGAGTTATCTCCTTTCCTAAAACCGAATTTGTATTATAAAGATCTGCTATTTACTCCCCTTACTTCCAAACACGGCTATCCATTAGGGGAAGGAATGCTATTGGCGGTTCGACCTAATTTGGACGTTCGTCTAAAGTCTTGTAAGCCCTTGATTTCAAAAGAAAATAAAAAGCTGATGGAGAAAATGACAAGAGTATTCAATCATACGAAAAAGATTGACGGTGTCTATACAAAATTCGGAAAGGACTATCATTATTTTGCCTATCAAGCATCCGACAAAGTCGGATCAATGATAAGCCAAGGTTTAAAACGAACTGAGGATTTAGGTAATGTCTCTTTGAAGATAGAGGATGTTGTGGAGGCCAATTACAACGTTAGAAAATCCCATACGGATCTAACTGTAATAAGATTGGATAACCATCAAACTACCTTCAAAGTCAGAGATGGCATGAGCTATTTAGAAATAAAGGACAAGATTAAAATGGAATACGAGGAATACGCGATCAGAAGAGCTTGGAAAATGGAAAAAGAAAGGGCAGAATTAGGTATGCGAACCCGCGCTAAATGGACTAATAAACAGATGAAAGAGTTACGGGAAGGCGAGAATGTGCAATCAGCTAAGATAGCTTGGAGGTGGGCTGTTGATCCTCAGGCCTATGATGACCCCAACAATATTATATTTGATTTTGTCGAAGAAAGTTGATCTTTAACCGAGCCGATTCTCTCTCTCTCTTTCATACTCTCTCCTTCTCTCCTCTCTCTCTCTCTCTCTCTCTCTTCTTTCTCTTTCTCACTCTGCATTGGTGCTGAAACCGACTGCTTTAACTGCATTTTTTTTTCATATGAAAAGACAAAAAAATTTTTACGTTCGTTTAATTTGTATATTTAAATATCGTCAGAAAAAAACAAGAAAACTATAATTGTTCTCTTTTTTCTTCGTTGTTCGTGCCTTATAGCGGAGCGTACGAAGCGTATTTTTCTAATAATCGTTGTTGTATTATCTAGTCAAATCATGCGAAATTTGTAGATAATATAAATAAAGTTCGTATATTATATATAAGCTATTTATATATAAATGTATATACATATATCATATACACACTAAGTTTATAATGTACATATATATATATATATATATATATATACTTCAAATATAAATATCGAAGAACAAAATATTGCTCATAATTATTTATTTTCGTCATTATTCATTCTTTTATTATAACATTAATTGACAGAAATAAACTATGCTTAAGTTTTACGACCAATTTAGTAATTCTTTCAATTTTTTTATTTATAAACGATCTAAATGTCAAACTGCATCAACATACAGTACATTGTTTCTTTTCTGCTAACATGCATATCTGCTAACCTCGCCCATCTCGACTTTCTCCTAAAAATCGATAGATGGCGCCAACGAGTGATCTTTTCAAAGCGTACAAAGAAAATTTCATTTCTGTTAATGTTTTAGACAGCTGATACTATAAATACTAAAAAGAAATCTATAAAAACATTCAATTTATCGATTTAAAACGATTTTTACATAAAATTGACATCTTTTATCGAATATTGAATAATTCTCTTTTAAAAAAGCCATATTATTATTTAAATTGCTGCTTTGGTAGCTGCCTTACTGTGCGGGACAGTGGTCTAGTGGTATGATTCTCGCTTCGGGTGCGAGAGGTCCCGGGTTCGATTCCCGGCTGTCCCCATAAGTTTTTTTTCTGTTCTTTTTAGAAAAATTAAGGATTAGGAAATAGTGTTTTTTTCGCTTGACCTCTCTGTTTGTTTGTTGATAATGAAAGGGCGAAAGAGGAGGGAGAGAAATGAATAGAAATGAGACAATAGTGTAGAATTAAGAGTGTCCACACTTTTCCTCTCCTCTATCTCTCTGTCATTCTCTCGTTTTTTATTTTTATTTATTATAAATATAAAACTTTTGGTTTTTACATTAAGATTTCTTTTTATTTTAATGGTTAAATATTTATTGTCTTCCAACAACAAACCTTGTCATCTATTTACCAATAGGCCTAAATTTATTGTATAATAAAATTCCCAAGGGAAAGACTATAACAAAGTATAGAGCAATAATAAATTGTTTGTCTGTTTGTTTATTGTCTAGTTCAAACTATCATAAAATAAAGGAAAGAATTAATCAAAGAATAAAAGAAATATCATTAAAATAATTTCCGTCTATAGATGGCGTTAATAGTAATTTAAAAAAAAACGTTCGAATATTCGAAAATGGGATATTTGTCCTAAAATGGTACAGTGTATTTAAATGATAAGATATGAGTATAATTCTTCTTTTATTTTAAAGGTATTTTATAGAGTAACATTTATTAAGCGTAATTCTCTTAAATCGATATGTTTCTTGTTCATTAAAACAAAATTATTTAATGTTAAAGACGATATTTAGACTGCAGACAACTTGTCCTCTGCTTTCTAGAATACCGAGGCACAGATTGAAGAAAATCACCTCATTCCCAATGTTTAACCGGACCCATAGATTTTCAAAAACTAAGGAATCGATAAACCAATATAAAAAGATTATACAAGTATATACGAAAATACATGTATAATATAATGTAACCTATATTATACATATAATATGCATGTAATTACATAAATTTTATGGGACAAATATGTGGAAACAAAACAAAGAAAACAACGTCATTCGTACAAGTTTGCCAAGGCGGGAAAATTATAGAAATCCCTTGATTTTTTATAAGGTACATAATGGCTTGTACCCTGGGGTCTATGATAAGGGCTCTGATGCGTTGTACTTGACCAGTTTTGTGGATTAAAATCATTGTGGGGGAACAACGGTGAAGGCGTAGATGCCGTTGAAGTTTGGCAAGGAATTTGAAGGTCGTGATGTAAACCGTTAACCGGTTGTTCTTCTTTTGGTGAAAAAACTCCAGCAGCCGATAGGACGGAACTCCTCTGAGCTACTACACTTCTTTCGTTCCTTCTAAATTTAGCTCTTCTATTTTGAAACCATACCTGAACTCTTGCCTCACTCAGGTCGACTCTCTTTGCTAACTCTTCCCTGACGAAAGCGTCCGGGTAGTGGGTCCTCTCAAAGACTCTCTCTAGAGCGGCCAATTGAGTACTATTAAACGTCGTACGATTCCTTCGGGATTTCTTTTTCGCCGCATCATCGTTAGCTCGTCGACAATCTGTTTGAAATAAAATAGTAGTTGAGGGAGAGGAGATTAAGAAGACAAAATAATTAAATGCAAGAGGAGGAGAGTAACCTACAACCACAATTACAATAGCAACCACAAAAATGAATTAAGAAAAGAAGGCATATCGAACTGCTTTATAAACCGGGTGATAAATGCTCACTATCGTTTCTCTTCTAACGTGAAGCATATGTTATGAGATGCGGTGAAAGGGAAGTATTACGCAGCTTCTATACTCCCATACTGTTCTAGGCTTACCAACATAAAATTTTATATTTTTAAGACAGGTAAAAATCTTAACGAAACTTGACAGTTGGTAAAGCGACTTTTTAAGTTGCCGAACCATGTCGGGGCGCGAGCCTGCTATTCGCAGCTGTTTTATGGTCTCGACGTTTGCCTTTTTCTTTTTTATCAGTTTGTCGAGGCTTTATCGCGATGGCGAGATGCGAGAATTTCGCCTTTTTAATGTTAGTATCCGATTTCGGATCGACCGGAACAGATGCGTCAGAGAAAATGAGGGCGACGCACATAAGGCTATAAAAAATGTAAGAGAATCCTTCGTTCAGATGTTCATTAGTTCACTACTTCTGTCTATCTCTTTTACGTATCTTTAAAAAATCTCTTTGGTTCTCTTTCTCTCATCGCTCTAGGTCTCCTTTCTTATCTCCTACGACTTTTTTTCTATCGGTTTCTTTTGAAGAACTCCACCAGACGTTGGACTCTGTTGTACTGGTAATCTAGCCACATGCTCTCCATTTATTATAGCTGTTGACTGAAATGACTGTCCAAAGCACACCTTTTGGCCCTTATAATTTAGATTAGGAGAATATTTTCACACTTTTTAATAGGTTATTCAATTAACGATAGTATATTAAATATGAATAATAAAATGCTTGAATATTTTCAAACAGAGAAAAAAGTGACGACTGCACCAACACATTATCGAAATAATATTGTAAACTGTTGTCAAAAATCCAAACGAATACATGAATATGTATGATAAATTTCATCACCTTGGGAATTAAAGTACGAGATACATAGATACTTTACGAGCTATTAAGAAAGTCTAATGTGTAGAACGGAGGGAACAGGGGAGGAAAAGGAAGAAAAAAATAAAACACATGCAAAACACATTTTGCTAGGTACTCAGTCAAGCTTATAGTAAATGAGCCAGTTCTAATAAGAAACAGGTTTGCGAATGACGCATAGCGTTGATAAGTACCCGGCGTGTGCGCCACGGTTTTTCCCGATGTTTGTACAGAATATATGATAATCACATACCTCTCTTATAAATGTTTACTTTTCTCACCTGTTTCATTTTAATTTCATTTTAATATTACTCTATTCAGTTGCCTCTATCTCTCTCTCTCTCTCTCTCTCTCTCTCTCTCTTTTCTCCCTTTCTCTCTTCTGCCCCTCTTTACTTATATGTGAATATTAAATGTGAATATTTAATTTTCTTTGTAAATTGAAAAATTCTTACAAAAAATGAAATTTAACCAGTAAACAAAATCTTTATTATTTATTTCCATAAATTTTCCATCCTCCTCCTCCTCCTCCCATCCTATCACTTTTGACTCCTCCCCATGCTTTTTCTACCTTTTAACATTTAAAGGTGTCGTTGATAAAAAGAAAGCTAATTATTTGTTTCATTATAATTATTATCCATTGAAATTAAGATTCATGATTGAAAATATGTTCGCTTTCTCGGAATTCTGATAGTAGTTTTTTTTTAAGTTTCTCATTGAAAAGTCTTATCACTTTTATTGGAGGAGAAGAATTTGGAAGAAAATGCTAAGAGAAGGAGATTGATAGGATAACTCTATTATTTTCGTAGTGGTTCTCACACTCGATACTATAGTCTTATGCCTTTGGAACATAAATTTATTGCCTTTGGAAGACTATACACAATAAGATAAAAAATAAGCCCGTTTACTAAAGAGGGAGCGTGTTTTCTTTTGTCCTTAAAAATCTATTAGAATCGCGATTATTCAACTCAAAATGGCTATGTGTTTGACTTTTGACGTTTGAAAATCAATCATTATCAGTTTATACCGTTGAAAAGTCGACTTACATAAATATAAATTACGTTGGAAATACGATAGAAATAATAAAATCCTTCTATTTGTCTAACTTTTTCATGTATTTTCATCTTTAATTACTAAAAATAAATGAACTTAATCTAATAGTGTTCTATTTTCGTCTGTACTGACAGATATTTATTATCTATATCTCTTTCGATCTATCTATCTATCTCTCTCTTTCTCTCTCTCTCTCTTTCTTTCTATCCTACCATTTTTCAAGACTTTCCTTTTTTGTTCTATAAATAGGAAATCTGCGTTTTTTATTTACTTTTTTTGTTTAATTTCTTTTTATGCAAATTAAAATTTTTTTAATTGCCCTAATATTTTTCATTTTCTCTTCTCTTCTCTTCTCTCTCTCTCTATGGCCAGCCGCCAGACTGTCCGCCTAGTTTTGATAATAATGTATCCAATTTTCGCACCATAAGATGTTTTAAAGGTCATTCGCAGCCAACAAATGGTCGGTATAACCGCTACAGTATTGCCTTTACAATTTCTTTAAAGCACTTAAATCAAGCAAAAATGTTTCCCCGCGTAAATTTATGCCTATGTATATACACATTTACACACATGTGTATATATATAATTACATATATATTTAGATATGTAATTACTTTAAATAAACTTACAAAATATTCCTTTGCTTTTTCTTGACATGTTTTATATAGATAAATATTCAAAATAGAGAAACTTTTAAAGTATATATAAATTTATATATAAATCTATATACTGTACAGTAATATACTGTATATAACTTTTGCAACCTTACGGAATATTACACTGTTAAATATATATTAACCCGCAACTTATTCTACCCGTATTCCAACTGCAATTTTCAATGGTATTTTTCTTTCTAATAATAATTATAAATATTCTATTTTCCTGTAATTTTTCTCAACTTCCTCCATCGCTTCTCCTCCATCTTTTAACACAATTATTATTATTATTATTATTATTATATATTTTAATATCTAAAGCTTTCTATAAAACTTTCATAAATCCATTTTATTTTGTATAGGACAAAGGAAAGTAAAAAATTATGGAAGACTAAATGTTTTTTAAGCGCGAAAACAAAAAAGAACAACAACAATATAAAAACAAATATACATAAATATGTAAATTTAATATTTCATCTTCATTTGAATAATTGAAATGTTACTGATTACTTATAATTAGCATTTATAAAATATTTATAATTTACCTTTTGGACTATTAGAATCCATCAATGTAGTTTGTTGACTATGCTCCGCATTAAAATGTTCGGTCATGTTTATTTGAGGAGTAGAATTTGCCATATTCGATAATCGACTAAGTGCGAGTTTGTTTACGCAAAGGCGCTAAACGATTCTTATTGGCTGAATGGTTAGCCCCGCCTACCGTTTTTTTTATCTTTGCCTTTTAAAATTGTATGGGAGAGAAAAGGTGGCAAAACGAGGGGGAGGAGGGCGGAAGGCGGGGGGGTTAGTTAGGTTAGAATCTATTATAAAATTTTTAATCGTTTGGCATCTAATATGGTTATTTCTTGATTAGGATAATAAAGAGATAATCTATTTATTATTGCCATTTTTTTATTATTACTGTTAATAAACGCAAATCAACGAATTATTTGACTTATTTAAATTCATAAAAAGGCAAAAGAAAGCATAAAAACAAAATTATTATCATTCTTATCTTAGTCTAATCTTTCTTAAATTTATGATACTTAATTTTCTAAATTTACTCATCCACCTTATCTTTTTACTCTTCATTTAATAACGTTTTTCATTCATAAAAAGTTTCCCTTTTCTTTTTACTTATATGTCATTAAAAATTAATTAAAATACGTTAAAAAGAACAAAAAACACCATAAAAACTTATAGATAGAAAAATAGATAAAGAAGAAAGAGAGAGAGAGGGAGGGAGGGAAGGAAGGCGGAGAGATGGTAAGGAGAAAAGATGCAAATTCCAAATACGTAAATATTAAGATAAGAATCTTTTTAACTTAATTTAAATAGTTGTATATAAAGTATTTCCTGCAGAGAGAAGAGTTTTTTCCAAGTTGTTATAACTATAAAATAATTAACAGCTAACAAGGATATCATCAATAAAAAAGGAGAACTTAGATAAATTTATTTCATCTTTTACTTTTTAAAAAGATAAGCCAATGTTTTTGTTTGTTTGTTTTCACAGTTACATTTTTCCCGCCATTTTTATATTAGTTTTTGAGAAATTATCTATGTTACAGAAGAAATAAAAAAAGAAAAAAAAATAAGAAAAAGAGAAATCGGGGCATTTCAAAATTTCTGTTGATTGGATCTGATTTATTTGCCTCTCCTGAGAGCGGATATTAACAGAAGTCTTGATATAAGTGGAATGTGTATGCGTGTAGTGTCTATAAAGTATATTCTATAAAATTCATTATTCTATACCAGTTTTTTTACTATTTCCTTCTTAAGTGCAATATTTTACAGTAATTTATTATTGATATTTATACTAATAATTTATGAATTTATAACAAATTAGTAGTTTAAATTGTCAAAAATACATTTTTTTCTTTTAATATAAACAATCTTTATCTATATATCTATACAGTATTTCTATATATATATATATATATATATATATATATATAATAGTTTTAATTAAACAATTATAAATAGATTGTCTATTATAGTTACACTATTCAAATTTAGTTGCATAATGCACAATTATATATATATGAATCTGCATATAGCATTGTTATAGCGAAGTAAGCTAGAACGGCATAAAAGAGTTTATATACTTTTGGCCTACATCCATTGCCTATAACCAGTTATACTACGTGTTTTTTATTTCTTTTCTTCAACAATTCAATATATTTAAAGCATTGTCCTGTTCTCTAATCAATATTATACTATCGCTTTTATCGCTTTCTTATTTTCTATATTGAAAATTTTTTATTGTTAACAAGTCTAAGGAATTTACATTTTCATCTCTTCTTTCAAAATTTTCATTAATCAGATCATTACATATTATCTATTTTAACCTTCCCCTATATGATTTAGAATATAATCTTCTTAGAGTTCCCTGGGATGACCTAGTAGGCTTATAAGAAACAGATATTTTTTTCTTCTTTCTCCCACATATACATTTATATATATATATATATATATATATATATATATATGTTTATAAATTTATATGTATATACAGTATATATATATACTTTGTATTAAATTTGTCACTCTATTAAGTTGTTTTTTCCAATTTCTTCATGTCCCATCTCCTCCTGTTATCAAGAGATTTCAGAGATAAAATTTCGGGAGTTTAAGACCTATTATGTTTGCTTGTTTGCTTAGAAGAAAATTGTAAAAATATTATCTTTTCCTCCTTCTCCTCCTCATCCTCCGTCTTCTTCTTCATAGTGTAAACTTGTAGACAGGAGAGATAAATAGCTAGATAGATAGATAACTAGAAAAGAGGGTCGAGTGAGATTAGAGAAAGAAAGGAGAGAATAAAAGAAAAAGTGAGAATGAATGATACATTCTTTTTTCTCTTAAGTCGTAATTATAGCAAATATAAACAGATGTTAACAGGGAAAAAAAATAGTTCAGATGAAGGTGAAGATCAAAGTGAAGGAGAGAGGGAGAGAGAGAGAGGGAGAATAATAAGAATAGAAATGAAAAATACACTATTGTTTGATATTCTGTAAAGAAATTTCCATACTATCAACATTCAAACGGCCGTACTTTTCTTTGAACACCATTAAAAATGGTAGACATATCACTATACTTGCAAGTTGAGTCCAACTCATCCATTTCGTACCAACTCCATTAATACTTAGAACTAGCAGGAATAACAATTGGCTGATGTAGTAACATTGAGTTAAAAGAACTGTAGTAATGCCTTCTGCTATTGGATGCGTTATTTCGCAGAGCGCCTCAAAGAATAGAGGAACTGCTCCATTAATAAAACTTGTTGTAAGCATCACTGAAACGTATAAGGATGCTGTTTGAAAGTAAAAGAATGTTGTTCAGTATATACAGTAGATACAGAGAGTAAAACTTACGCATATTCATCGGTATCAACTCCTCTACAATAAGAGTAAACCATAGTGACATTGCCGTCGCCAAAACATAAAGAATGACCAAAAACATTTTTAAGCGTTTTGTAAAACGATCCGCAAATCTGGAATGTACAAATTCAGCAAACTGTATATAATGGAAATTGCGTAATTAATTAAGATATTTATGCTTACTTTCCAATAATAATACCAAAAATACTAGAGACAACTGTTCCCAAGAAGGCTATCCAACCAGCTTGGATTTGCGTTATACCCAAAGGTTTTAAATTAATTTCAAGAACAGAGCTCCATATATTAAATACACCTGATGAGATTGCGTAAGGTATCGCTAATATCCAGAAATAAGGTAATCTAAATAATTGAAATACGCCCTCTCTGAATGATTTTCGTTCAACAACGGCTGCTAAGCTCGGAGCCGATTTTGGTTTGGCCGGAAAGTAGACGAGGACAAGTATAAATATAACTCCAACCCAGATTGAACCTATTTTTTCAGTTGATAAATTCCATACTATGAACAGCGTTGAAATTTACATATAAATAATGTATGACTTACTTATATAATTGAGTAACATGATACGATCTTTAATTGTTTTGATAAAGTCTGTTGAATTATTCGTTTGATTTAACGGAATTTCTGGTACTATAGACGGTCCAGTGATAAATGATATATCGAATACCGAGAAGTGAGAAGCTATTGCTGTTGCTATTCAGTTTTATATATGTATAGAAGGAACAGTAATAGTAATGGTAGTAGCAGTATATATGAAAAAGGGGGAGAAAACATTCAAATACGTTATTTACGAGTATATACGCCTGATTTTGATTTACCTAAGATACGCTCCTCAACTGGAAACCACGTAATTGATAGCAAAGGGGGTGCCGCGAAGACGACAGGTAGAGCTAGGGAGATGAAAACTTGCCCTACGTGATTTAACCAAGTAACATGTGGTTGTTCGCAAGTAATACATCTAAGAAGAGAACCAATTACACAAAAGAGAGAGGTCAATAGCACAGCCCATCTCAATCCTTTGTTATCCATTATCCAGGAGAAGAAGAACGAGGTAGCGACAAAAACTATAGGCCCATAGTTACTTAACGTAGCTATTGTAGCATTAGACCAATTAAATGCTCTTTCAGCCGAATTGGCTATAGGACCCCAAATATTCCATAGTGAACCAACGGCTAATGTCAAATTACAAAATATAAATAGTATATACCATCTTCTTTTGTAAATAACAGGCTTGTTCATCTGAATTAACGACTGTTCTTCTTTATTTTTGGTAAAACCCATATTTCTTATTGGAAAGAATCTGTTCTGTTTCTCTCTGAATTTTTTAGATATATTTTAGTAATATTTCATCACTTTTATCCTTAATTTGTAAACACTCTAAATCCGTTACATATAATAGAAATTTAAGTAAAAGAACCGAAAAGATATACTATACATTTGTTTAAAGTAAGGCCAGAATCAATATTGATAACTTTGTAGTTTTTGAAAAAAATATAATATTCAAAACTAACCTTCCGACAATACAGTTGACAATTAACTATAACTATATTACTCTTTAATTAATTAATGTCTTATTTCTTATGTTCTCTATTACATAACTAATCAATTACTTCTTTAGTATACGGCAAATATTCTCAAAAATTTACTTTCTCCTTAGATATCTCTTTCTTCCTCTATCTAGGTGCTCAGTCTACAGAAATTGGCCTTTCAAATGCTACCCAATTGAGAAGAACCCTTTTTCCCCTTCTTTATTTTCTCTTTTGTTAAATCTATTTAAATAGCATTACTCTCATTTTGTTTGGATTACTTAGGTTTATATGCTAATATTTCTAATAAACAAGTTTACAAACATGTATATAAGTGTACTTAAAGAAAATAAAGTATTTTTGTGGTCACTGGATCATTGACCAATTTTCAAGATAACATCCTACTAAGATTACATAATCTGCACCCTTCTGATAAGGAAGTTATCAATCTTCTTATCTTCTTTTTGTGGCAGTTTCTCCCCTCTACCACATCCCTGTTCATCTCAGCATTTTCTTCGTGTTTGTCAAATTTTTAGGTGAAGAAATAAATAAATAATAAAAGAACATTTTATTTGTTTTTGTTATGTTTATTTTTTGGCTTTTATTAATAAAGTCTTCTATGTTTTTCTGTCTAGGATATTTAAAGGAAGTAAACAATTTTTAATTGTAGCCTTGAACTTTTCCTCCTCCAATTTTCTTAGTCCGAATAAACAAGGTTGACTTGTTAAAAAGTTATCAATTAAATTACAAATATGATATTTATTATCTAAAATCATCTTTGCCGAACCCTAAAATAGATTTAAATGGAATTATGTTATATAATTTTTAATAAATCCAAGTTCCAGAGGTGAAAGGAAATGAATGTACCTTTATTGTCTGCGCAGCAATATCTAGCGAGACATCTCTCGGTAGATCAACTAAAACTCCACCATCAGTTAGAGCTTGTAAAGCCGTAGCCGCCTAATTAATAAAATATGTGTATATAGACTGTAGACTGTATACTGCTTAAATCATTAATTTTCCCCTTACAATAACTAAACCATTCTGAGTTATAGAATATACTGCTTCCAGCTCTTCTTCCTTTATAATTTCTACTAGACCAATAGTTTTGAATAGTCTAGAAACAAAATCCAAATCTTCCAGAAGCACATCTCTACCAGCAACGCAAATAGCTATACCAGTTTTAACCAGTATTGTTAAATTAATAAGAATTTTAAGGATAATCCCTTGATTATCTAATATCTAGTAGGAAAAACAAATTAGATTATAATAAAGATTTGTCATGGGAGAATACATAATTATTTTTACATTTTCTATCTCATCTATACAAATATTGCATTGAATTGAATTCAGGATGATAAGTAACATCTTTCCTCTCAATTTTCTACTTAATCTCTTAAGCACGCTTAAAACATCTTTTGAACTTTTAACAGATTGATATGTTATTAAAATGACGTCACTATTCTCGACTATATCATCGTAATTATCCGAGAAGGTATCATTACTCGAGTTGACGAAAGAATTCGTAACGTCAAAAGAATCTTTGATATATAGCACACAAAAAAATACGATTAAAGACTCTTCCTTCCAATCAGATTAATTAGATTATTACCTTCGTTAAATATCGATATCAATATATTATTGATTGATTCATTTCCAATAAATCCAAGCTTGACTTTATCCCAATTATTTTTATTCCTCCATGATTTATCATTGACTTTCGGTACGTTTTCATCTTGAATACTCTCAATTGTATTTGAACATTCCCAATCTTTTACTAGGTCAATTTGTCCAGGAGAAGGCGAGTTCAATATTCCAAAGGGTATTGATCGTCTCGAATCGTACTTTTCGACCTCCTCCTTCTTTATTGGAATTCCTGGTCCAATATGTGTTGACGACGCTAATATATCTATTTCTCTTCTACTTGCATTACCGTTTGTTACCATACTATCACTATAGCTAAGTGTGTGTGGTTCTGTTGAGGGGAGGAAGGATGTTAAAGTTGGTGTAGAGGTAGGATATTCGACTTTTCCCTTGTACGTACAAGTTCTCTTTCTCTTTTTCCTTAAGATATTTGTTTGACATTTAAATAAATCGGCAGAGGAAATTGATGAAAACTTATTTGGTCTTCCTTTCAGCTTAACTTCTTGCAAATCGAAGGAGATTGTTCTATAGGAAGATGCGGATGATTTATCAATGTGTGTACTCTTAGGTGCTCTTTTTCCTTGACCTATTTGAGTGGACTTTGGAGATTGTTTCTCAAAAGTTGTTTCCATTTTCATCTTCGGCTTTGTCTTCTTTGTCATGGATTTTACTTTTTCACCACTAAATTTATTAAACGTCTGGTTCTTTTCTCCACTTTGTTTTATTGTTCTATTATTTAAAGTAGATTCATCTCTAGATCCTGTACCTAATTCGCAAACAACAGACCCAGATACTCTTTTCGATTCACTAGAACTGATACAATCAATCTCGGAATGTTGAACTTTTCCGGTAATTTTTATCTCTTTCTTCTTCTTCTTCATGGAAATCTTCGTCTTCGAAGTGCTCGAGGAGTTGTTTATTTTCCTTGGTTTATTGCGATTTAAAATAGATGTTATAGACTCTAGGCCTGAGCAGCTTGATACGTTACTCAATTTTTCTTTATTTAAATGATCAATTTTGAATTTAGGATACTTCGAACAAACAGGCCACCATTTTGAATCCTTTTTTAACCTATTAATATGTCTCTTACAGACGTTTTTATCATTGTTTTTGTCTTCTAGTTTTTTATCTATTAATTTAATAGATTTGTATTTTTTCAGTTCTTTATTACACCAATTTATTAGTTCTTGATTAAGTTGAGATCTATCACTTAAAGTTTTAACTAAGTGTTTATCTACTGTCGATTTATTACCAGAATTGAGTAGTTTAATTTCTGACTTAACGTTCAACTTTTGCGGTTTTAACTCCCTGAAAAGAATACGTTGTTGGTAATTTATCATTGAAAAACAAATAGTACGTTTACCTGTTTCCATTGATCTTATACTGTTGAACGATATCATCGGTCAGAATACAATTATATTCTCTTTTTAATGGCGTATTTGTATTCGTAGCATCTGGAATTGAGTACGATTTATTTACTATAGTATTATCCCTCTCTCTCTTTTCAGAGTTCTTTCCATTTAAAGAAGGATTTTCGAGCGATGGAGAAGCCTCTATTGAAAATCTTTCACTTTGTTCGCTATTCATACATAAAAGTAAAAAATCGACGTATTTTGCGTTCTTTTCCGTAAAGATATTATTTAATTCATTTTTCTCTGAATATTTTGCCAATTTATCATCTTTTTCGAATTCGTCTAACTTAAGTAATGAATCTATTGAATCGTTACGTTCTTGTTTAAGAGTATTGGTAAACAGTTCCCTATTCTCCTCCTTTATCAACTTTTGATGTAACAATTCTAAGGATGGATTTTCTTTATCACTTAAAATGGCACCCGAATTTATTTTGCAATATAGAAGATCACCTTGAGTTTTATCCCAATTTCCGTTATTATTCAATTTTAATGAATCTTTTAATAAATATTCATTTTCATATATTTCTCTTTCTTCTTTCGTAAGTGCACTTTGTCTTAGGAATTTTTCGAATTCTTTATTTCCAATGTAATACTCATTTGCGTAATAATCTTTTAGCATTGTCTCCATGGATGATTTTCTAGTTTGTCTATTTTTATAAGATAACGGCTCATCCTCTATTTCTAGTTCAGAAGAGCATCTATGCTGTTCATAAATTCTGTGATTCTTAATAATATTTAAAACAGAAATTTCTCTTTTTATATTTTTTGCCTTTTCTATTTCTTCCCTTTGGGCTTCTTCTTTTTCTTCTTCTTCTTCCTCTTCCTCCTCCTCTTCTCCTTGTCTTTTCCCTACTTTCGCTTTAGTTTCTTCGTTTTCCTGTCTTTGTTGTCCTCCAACTTCATCCTCTTCTTTTTTTCCATCTATTTCTTGCTGTTCTTCTTCTGCTTCTATTTTATTATCATCTCTTCCTTGTTCTTCTTCCTTAACCTCATCCTCTTCTTCGTTATTTTCATCTCTTTCTTGTCCCTCATCTTCATCACCTTTTACTTTAGCTTCGTCTCTTTCTTGTTTCTCTTCTTTTTCCCCTTCTTCTGAGGAGAGAATTGATGCAGGAAGCATTGTTGTTTTAAAGGACTCTGATGAAAAAGTCAAACTTTGTATTGTACTTTCATCATCTGAATTTTTTCAGTAAAGCAAATTGAGAAAAAAAGAGAAAAGTATGAAAAATATCTCTTTCATGAATAATTGTTCCCGTACCATCATAAAACTTATCATTTAATGATTCTTGAAGAGTATTTGAAGGGGATTTTGTCAAATTTTCTATTTTTTTTTCTTTTGATAAAGTAAAACTTAATTATGATAAAATTAATAATAAAACTTCAATCAATTATTTACTGAAGAAATCATAGGGACAAACTTCTTTATTCAATGAACTGGAATATGATAATTTTGTCATCAAAACGTCTCTTTTCGTTGGTTGGGTGTTTAAATCAAATTCTGGATAAGATTTTAAATAGAATTAAAAATTAATTAATAAAATAATTATAAATATGGAACCAATTTCAGATTTTCTCCAGATTTCTACTGATTGATTGATAGGGTTATCTTCAATTGATTGCTGAGATTCTGCTGAACTAAGAGCCATAGTAGATTGACAAATATCTAAATGACAAGAAAATGAAACGCTTTCTGACACTTTCTAACTTTGAATACGTAAAAAAAAAGAAACTTACGTAAAGAATGTAAATCGGTTGTAGAAGAGAAAGTTAACGATAAATTTTTGCTACTTTGAATTAAAGAAAATAACGTTTTTCTCAGCCAATTTGAGTTGCTATCATTCAATTTTCGATTAATTAACGTATTTATAGAGTCAATGTTAAAATTTACATTGAATTTGTAGAATTAAAATCATAAAGGGTATTATAAGGGAAAAGTAGATTTATTAAGATTATCTATACAATTGATTTTTAAATGATTATTCATTTAAGTCTTGTTTTAAAATAGGAATTTATTAAATTTTTTACGATAGAGAATGATGTTTTGAATTTTTCAAATTTTAATATTTATTAATATTAAAATTTAACGGTCATTCTCTTTTAATGATTATACATCATTTCATTTATATTTAATTGATTCATATATTTAATTAATATATGATTATGTTTAATATCTGTATTTATTTATTCGTTTTCTAAATTCTCCATAAGAAAATAAGAGAAAAACTGCAGACTTTACACGATTTCTATCTCATTGATTAATTTCATTTAGAATTCTATAATTGAATGATTAAGCTAAAGCTAATTCGTGCGCTGCAGCATATCTTCCATATGCACAATGGAATAATTGCCTTTCGATATCTCCAAGCAAACTAGAGGCACCCAATCTAAACATTTCATTATTCACCCATTCATCACCCAACTCTTCTTTCATTAATGATAGCCAAGTAAGAGAATCCTTAGCTGTTCTTATACCGCCAGCCGGTTTAAAGCCAACTTTTATTCCAGTTTTTTGGTAGTAATGTCTTATCGCTCTTACCATAACCAAGGCAACTGGTAAAATAGCATTTACTGATTCTTTTCCAGTAGACGTTTTAATAAAATCAGCGCCAGCCATCATACAAGTCATTGACGCTTTATAAATGTTTGTCATACTTCCTAATTCACCAGTCGCCAGAATTGTTTTCATGTGAGCATTTCCGCATGCTATTTTCATTTCTTTAACCTCTTCGAAAACCTATCGATTTTGTTTAAAGTTTTAATATAAGTGATAGATTTCAGAATGAGTAAATGTGTTTATGCTTACCTTTTCCCATTCGCCATTCAATGCATAAGTTCTATTGATTACAATATCAATTTCTGTTGCACCATCAGCAACTGCTCTTCTAATTTCTTCTAATCTACAACTCAATGGTGTTTGACCAGCTGGAAAGCCAGTAGCTACAGATGCAATTTTAATACTAGTGTCGGCACTGCAAAGTAATACAAATTATTTGTCATGTTAGACTTTATTCATTTGCAAATAATAAAGAATAAGGAGAAGAAATGTACTTTAAGCTTTTCAAGATTTCCTTACATTCGGCAACTCTGTTTGGATAGACACAAACTGCGCCTACTTTAATCCCTTTAGTTTGCATACCAAAATAACGAACAATATCATCCCTTACAGGTCTGACGGCCTTATGACACAGTCTTTGAACATTAGAGCGAGTGTCATCTCCTGAGAGAGTAGTTAAATCGATACAAGTAACAGCTCTAAAAAGCCAGGCGGCTTGATAGCTCTTTTTAACCGATCGTCTCTTTCCAAGTTCTCCTGCTCGTTTTTTAATGGCAGGCAAATTAAAATTTTCCTCTGTCAACCACGATTCATTGAAATTAACGCCGTTGTTCATGCTTTTCGTAATTGATAGTTCAAATGAACTTTGTCCTTCTGATGAGCGAAAATAAGGAATTGATCATATGCGGCGGAAGTATTGGTGGACGATGTTTCGCTCAAGTTTCAAAACTAGTTAAACCAGTTTATAGATAAAGTTGTAAAAAATAAATAAACTATTTTATATAAAAAATAAAAATTATTAAATTGTATAAAAGATATAATTATTTCATATATTCCTTAAAAAAAAGCAATACAATTTCTTATATTTAGTACCATCCTGAAGTTAGTGTGTCCGTAAGATGGCTACTGGAGAAGGCTGTACGACCAATTTTCAGCGATTATTAGCTGAATTGGAACAGAACGAACTTGAACATCCAAATGAAAATAACGAACAGAACTATAGCTTACTTATAGCTTTATATATGCTCGAAAATGACTTGAACAATGCTCGTTATACGTGGAAACGAGCGGCAGTTTGTTCTCCAGCTTCGTCCAGTGAACTTCAACAAGTTTGGAATTGTGGTAAGAGACTATGGGAAAAAGATTACCAAGGTTTTTATAAGGCTTTAAACTTTAATTGGAGTGAACGCCTAAAGCCAGTAATGTTTGAATTGGAAGGTAAAAATCTTTTCACTATGATCAATTGTATATCTCAGTAAAATAGAACTTTGAAATCGATAACTGACATTTTTTCTAACAGGACGAATAAGGCAAAAAATGTTAGATCTTGTGGCGTTTGCCTACACTTCAGTTTCTCTCACTGACTTGTCAGCATTTTTTGGTCTACCTGAGAATGAGGCGGTCGATATGGTACAGAAACTAGGCTGGGCTTACAATCAAGAGACTAGAATGCTTTCTCCAGTATGCAGGGATAAATCATCTGTTGCTGGGCCCTCAACAAATGATCATCTAGAAAGGTTGACTAAATTTGTAAACTTTTTGGAAACTATGAATTAGCGTAATAGACAATACATAGCATTGTTGCAAGTAATGTAAATATTGGATGGAAATAATTTTTGTTTCTACAAATTGAATAAAGGTTATCTGTTTTATAATTAAAATAGAAACAACTTTTTGTAATAAGAAGTTTGTTGTATTTTATATGATGTTGAAGACAAGATATTGTAGTACACATATTATATTTTGCTTTAAACAAACTTCTTAAAAATAAGATTATTAAGAATTTAAACTCCTATTAATTTCCCCCTTTATTTCATCGTAATGCTTTCAAGTGTAACAACGCGACTATGGAAGCCAAATTGAGACGATTCTCTCATACTGATATACATTGTCATAATAAATTGCGACAATATTTGTACCATTATATTATAATATATATTGTATATATTCCATAACGAAAGTCAATATTTTAATTGTCACACCACTCCAACGTATTCTCAAATCAATTTAACTTTTGAAGAATTTTCCCAAGTTATTTAATTTGATAGTTTGATAGCCATTTAAGCCACCAATACGACGAAAATGATGAAGAAAAAAATTAAAATTCCGAATACTTTTATCATAAGCCACCTATTAGATGTTACTGATTGAAAATACTTCAGAATTTCACTATGTGCAGCTTCAACATTTAACTGAGTATTCTCAACATTCGAATCAATCCTATAAAAAAGCAATTTTTTGGTTAATAAAACATTAAAATAAGATTGTCTTTTATTTTAATACAAACCTTTGAACCATTTCTTCCTGCTCGTGAATCATAACAGCTAATTTCTCAAAAATACTTCCTAATTCAACAATCGTTTCTTCAACCTTTTTCATATCATCTGCTCTATCTTGTATATAAGCATCTTGTTGTTCGATGAGCTGCAATTGTTGTTGGTATTGTGGAGATCCGTGAGATGACGAAGTATCCATGTTTATGCTAACAAGACCATTTTGCGAGTTAGCTGCCGCAGCTTGAGCAGCAGCTTCATCCTTCATAATCAATGAATGCTCTGAAAACACAAATTATATAATATATTGTACATTACATATAAATACATATAAATTTTAATTATTAGACTATTGCTTACTGGCTTCTGCTGCTGCCGGCGGTGCAGACGATAATCTTTGAGGTTGGGTAAATTGTTCTCTTCTTGCCTTTTGTTCCTTCATACTCTATTGTTTTTTGCACAACAAATATATTAGTATGTATATATATATATATATTTTTGTATATATAATATAAAAATATAGAAAAAAACCTCTGTTCGAGTTTCCAAAACATTTTTTAAGTCGCATGATACATTAGCCAAACGGGACTAGAAAAATAATAAAAGAATATAAATTATTTACTAATTAACCAAGTAGAAAAAGAAATTAAATATACCTGTAAAGAGATAACTACAGTACTAGAATGAAGTTGTTTATGTCTACTATTTGACTGTTTTTCTCTCGAAAACTGTTAAAAATTTTAATTTTAGTGAGTATATTTTTCTAATCGATCGAAATGTACAGAAATATATTACATACTTTCTGCAGATTATCGATATCAGAATTCAATTGATTAATGTCTTGTTTAATTATATATGTTAATTCTTGAATTTCCATAGGTTGATCATCGAAAAGAGACTTTCTTTTTACAACTAATAATGATAATAATAATAATTATTATTATAAATATAAGAAAAACACTCCTATTAATAGTTTAATAGTAAATTTTCTTACGTAGAGAGAGTTTTTCTAGTTTTTCGCAAGTATGTGCTAAATCTCGCCCAATTTTTCTGTTTTATTCGAATTATATAAATTTAAAAATATTTTTAGTTTCCTCATCATTTATTTCGTAATCCTGTTAAAGATTTAATTATAATTTATCTCACCTTGCTACTTGCATGAACTGACTTCTTTGTTGTAATTTATTTACAGGTTTAACAACTGATCCATTATTGAGTTGCTACAATAAGGTGTCGGAGTTAACGAGGAAGAGTTGTTAAATATGGTTTTTAACTTAAAAATATATCCTTACCTGTTTCGATGATATAGATTTAATAACCGATTGAAATTCTCCGGTTCTGTCTCTGAAGTTATTCATATTTACTCCACCTTCTATTGATAAACTTTCTTCGTAGCTTTTATTCGTTGAATTTATCCACAAAAGGTTCTTTGAAAAGCTTTCTGAGTTTATTCTTATTTAGAGTTTTTCGTCGACTTCTTCACTTTGAGATTAGAGGATAAGTTAGTAGGATAATGTTATGGTTGCAGTGTGGTAATCACGACAAAAATATTTTCCTCAGAAATAGGAAGATGATAAAAATTCTTGGTATAATTAACAGAGTCGATTTGCGATTTCGATTGTCATCAATAAATCTAAAGCTTTAGCTATTAGCTCTTAATTACCTGCAGTTAGCAAGACCTGACTCACAAGTTAAACGCAAACTTCGCCAATCGTCCACGAAACCACCGTGACGTCATAACAGTAACGCACTAAAAACCTATCTATATAGAGTGGTACCCGGGAGTCCACAGATGATTTTTCATTCTCAAAGTCAAAAAGTAGATGGTACAGTGATAACATCATTTTTATTGGTAAAAAAAATAGTAAAATGAAAAAAGTAATTTCAAAGCGCAAAAAATTTCAACTAGAAGTATATAAAAACTTGAGCAATCATTCCATTGTCGATAAAGAGTTTTTTAAGTCGAGAAAAACTCATGTAAAATTATTTCCTAATGGAGATTTTAGTTTAGCAGCGATTTTCTCCTTGTTTAGAACCATTCTTCCCTAATAAAAATACAGAAGTTTATAAAATTATCAAAACATAAAAAATACTGTTAAATATTGTATTTTACAAAAGATAAAAAGTAAAATAAACAATTTTCTCCATATTTAACATTTAGGAGATAATGTTTAATAATGGAATTGTTCTAATGTTCTAATTAGAATCATTTTTACAACGAACCATTCTGTTTATACTGCCATGGTCTTCTGCACATCGGACATAACTCTTGAGATTGTTGCGAACTTATCCATGCTTCGATACAATGCAGATGAAAACAATGTTTGCAAATTCCCCAAGCTTTAAAAATATTATTTTAACAATTATTCAGAGTTGTTTTCAATATAATAACATTTTAAAAAATTTCATACCTAATGGACAATCATCTCCTGGAATTTTGCAATTTGGACAACAAGATTCAAAAGACATGCGGCAAATACCGCAATCATCATCCACAGATTTCCATTTCCAAACAGCTACTCCAGTTATATCTGTTTTTAATAATTATTTAGAAATATGTTAAAAGAATTTAATAAAATACTTATCAAACCTCCATACGTTATCTTCAGGCGACAATCAGTCATAATAATAACATAAGATTGTTTTTTACCAGATTTGTAACAGGAAGTCGACAGTATATAAGGAGCTAGACAAACGTTGATTGGTTAATATCAAGTTAAAATCTATACATTCGACAGTCTTCAGGCAGTGAGCGGTATAGCTATAAACAGGAGGCAGTTTATCCATAGTATCAATATGGCGTCTGTTATGCAAAGATTTGTGTTTCGAAAATATTTTTCGAAAGCCTTTTTAAAACATCAAGTGGTTTCTTCAGTAAATCAAATTAAAATTATTAAATATTATTAAGTTTCCATACTTTTTTTATTGTTTATATAAGTGTAAGTTAACTTTGCAGGCTTCAGCTTTTTCAACGTGCACAGCTAATCGAGCAAAGTTATACAAATGTACAAACGAAGCAGTTGCCGATATTCCCGACGGTTCAACTATTCTTGTAGGAGGTAAATAAAGTTTTGAATAGTAAAACTTTTACTTAATTTGCATTTGGTGTATATAGCTATTTAATTGATAGATTTGTATCTATAGTGTTGTACTGTTGATACGGGTATAACCCGCTTTTTATTGTTTACCTTTTAATTGCCTTTCTACTTTTATAATTTCCGGAGTATCTACTATATTATATCTAAAATAGATATTTGTGAGCTATACCAACCCTGTTGTATTTATTTAATGGATAGTTTAAATAGACAAAACCTTTGACTGTAGTGTTCAAGGTCGTCAATAACCATGAAGATAATTCACAATTTTTATCAATTTTCGATGAATTATCCGATCATAAGTCGTGAACAGAGTTTACAGTTCAGTTGATAAATTGATAAAAAAATGTATCAACAACCTAATAACTTGTTTATTTTTATGAAACTACTAACCTTTTACCTTTGAAAGGTTTCGGACTTTGTGGAATTCCTGAAAATCTTATTCTTGGATTGTTAAAGTCTGGTAGTAAACAACTAACAGCAGTCAGCAATAATGCCGGAGTTGATGATTTTGGACTTGGACTACTCCTCCAAACGAAGCAAATTAAACGAATGATTTCGTCTTATGTTGGCGAGAATGCAGAATTTGAAAGGCAATACTTAGCTGGAGAATTAGAAGTTGAATTAACTCCACAAGGAACTCTTGCTGAAAGAGTAATTATATCCCACATTTATTTATTCTATGATAATAATGTTTTTGTTTCAATTTTTAAGGTCAGGGCTGGAGGAGCAGGAGTTGCCGCATTTTTCACACCTACCGCCTTTGGAACTTTAATACACGAAGGTGGATCACCCATTAAATATAATCCAGACGGAAGTGGTATTGAAATTGCCAGCGAAGCTAGAGAACACAGGGTTTTCAATGGTAGAGATTTCATCATGGAAACGGCCATAACTGGAGACTTTGCATTAGTTAAAGGTAGAGCTAAAATTTAGAATTAGTGTTGTTTCCTTTTTTTTAACTTTCGCTAATTTCATTTTATAAAATAGGCTATAAAGCTGATGAAGCTGGAAATGTTATATTTAGAAAAGCAGCTAGAAATTTTAATCCAGCTATGGCAAGAGCAGCAAAGACAACTATTGTCGAGGTGGAAGAGATTGTGCCTGCGGGAAGTCTATCTCCTGAAGAAGTGCATTTGCCTGGTGTCTACGTTGATAGAATTGTTAAAGGCCCAAAATATGAAAAACGTATTGAAAGAAGAACATTAACTCAACCAGCATCAAAGAAAAATGATAATAAATCAAATCCTGCTATGGAGATGCGTCAAAGAATAATAAAACGTGCAGCCTGCGAATTTAAAGATGGCATGTACGCCAATTTGGGTATTGGAATGCCAATGTTGGCTAGTAACTACATACCAAAAGGTATGTCCGTCAATTTGCAAAGTGAAAATGGCATTTTAGGATTGGTTAGTATTCTATTATCAATGAGAGTCTTACTATAACTGAAAAATAATTATCTTTTCTTTATTATTAAAGGGTCCTTTCCCAGTTCCGGGCGAAGAAGATGCCGATTTGATTAACGCTGGAAAAGAAACTGTAACAGTTTTACCTGGTGCATCATTCTTTGGTAGTGATGAAAGCTTTGCAATGATTAGAGGGTAGGACAACAAAAATCAAATTTATAGACAACATCTATTTATATATGATGATAAAAAATATTTCAACAGTGGTCACATTGACTTGACTATTCTTGGAGCCATGCAAGTTTCGCAATATGGAGATATTGCCAACTGGATGATACCGGTATTTTTTTTCTTTTAATAAAATCGAGTATGAAAGTTAAACTGAGCAATCTCTTTACTTTTTCAGGGTAAAATGGTTAAAGGAATGGGAGGAGCAATGGACTTGGTTTCGAGTCATGGCACAAAAGTTGTTGTCACAATGGAACATACAGCCAAAGGCGGAAAACATAAGATATTAAACGAATGCAATTTACCTCTTACAGGAAAACAATGCGTTGATATGATTATTACAGAAAAGGTATAAACAATATATTCATATACTGTTCTTAATACTATTATACTTGAAATGTTTTCAGGCTGTATTCGAAGTGAATAGAGAAAAGGGTTTGAAGTTAATCGAAATTGCTGATAATGTTGATGTACAGAACGTCATCGAATCAACGGAATGTGAATTCGAAGTAGCCGAGGATTTAAAACCAATGCAAATGATCTAAATCAGTAGATGAACAATCATAAAATTAAAACATAGTATAAATTGTTTTGAAAAAAGAGAACTTTATTGATATCGAAAAAAATGAATGGTACTACTTAAAAAACCAATAATAACGGTATTCAAATAATAAATATGTTTGCTTAAAACAAAATGAAAACTTTAATAAATTTTAATTAAGTAGAAAAAAGAAAGTTTCCTTTTTGTTTACCTTCCATTTTTTCGCATTTTCAAAAAGGTCCAAATTTGTTAATCTGTGCTTTTTTTCTTTTGAAATAAATAATAAATACATTTTGAAATATGTTAAAAATGAAGCTTATGCATTCCGGACTGAGTGTGCTATTGATTTATATACTCCATATTTCATGTAGATTAATTTATATTCATCATTTTGATGGGTATATAGACATTATTACGATACATGTATATATATATACAGTGTATATAGATATACTTTATACTTTATTTATTTCAATATAAATTCGATATTTTTCAACATAAATGCTTAAGACATTAGATCTGCAAAAAAAAAGAAAACAAATTAATTTATCTACGCCCCTTAAATCAATAAAAATAGAAGAAAAGTTTAAGGGAAAAGTTAAAGCAAAAATATTATTTTCTTATTTTTTTTTTTTCATTTTTAAAAGATTAGATTTGAACTTTTTACAAACATGTTTAGAATAAACGTTTTGTTAACTTGAACAGCGTTTTTAATACTGAGCAACATTTGTGAAGGAAATTCGTTTAAATAGCTTAGATCGATTTATATTAGTCATTTAGATTATTAATTGTGAATAATTTAATTTCTTTTCATTTCCATTTTAAAATCACAGACTAATTATAAAACATCACATTTTTTCTATAAATTTTAATAAAATTTTAGTTGTCTGAATCGCAAGAGCGATCTCTTTCAGCATTCGATGCATTTCTTGCATGTTTTTTAGCTGATTGTCGAAAGCATTTAGGGCACTTTGTTGAATCATAGCAGGCTTTGTGGAATGACGCTCTACATGCTGTAAAAGATTTGTTTTTTAAAAAAAAAATTTTTAACTTAGATTGAATCATTTATTTTTAACTTACCTTCGCAAACTATGACTTTTTTTGTTTGAAATGGAAAAAGAACTTCACTTGACCGACAAAATTCGCAAATAAAACCTTTCGCTTGGCATAATTTGCAATTTTCAATGTGTTTTATGCAGGTTTGAACAGTATTGTTAAGTGTATATTGTATTTCTCTTGAATGAATCTATAATAATTACATTGCTTATGAATAAATATAATAGTGATTGATTATTTTAACATACCTTAATAAGATCTAACAAAGTATAGTCATCTATTACATGATACCAATAGCGTTTCCATTGTTCTAGTTGAACTTTTACCCTGTTAATAAAAACATAAAGTTATATATATTAATATATATACTTGTTATCAGAGATATTTTTTTAAAGCAAACAAAAAACAATTTACCCTTCTTTTTCGGCAAATCGACAGGTAAGAATAAATGCATGTATATTCATAAGTTGTTTCCTTAGCCTCCAGACGTCTCTCAGTCGTTTCACCTTCTTATACAGTGATGCATTCCACACTTTAATGCTGAATGACCAAATTTCAATATTATCCATATTTCTCTTGATTAGGTCATGTGCAAAATTCGACACTGGGTACTGGTTAAAATCCCATCCCCTTACTACTTTTGCCGGAACATAAAATGTAGAATTACTATGGCAACAAGGACAGAAGTATTTTCCAAAATAATAGCAGAATCTCATTCTTGGAAAATAGGCTTCATTTACTTTTGATCCACACCCAATACAACGCCAATTTTGCATAATCATTCTTTCATTTTTTTTTTTTGGTAAAGTATAACTATTATAAATTAATTGCTGTCTAGGCGGTGCCCAATCAGGAGTCCCTCGTATTCGAGTCTAGATACAAAATATCAAGTTCTGACCGTAAATACAATATATATATACAGTCCCAACAAAAAATCTTAGGAAGGGTTGTCCTTAAAGTGGAAAAAGTGAAATATTTACCTAACAGGACTTGCTTAATTATTTTTTTTGTTTAGATTGAAGGATAAATGTCTAATTATACAACTGAATTTAAAGAAAAATTCATTTAAAAATTTTTTTTACTTTCCAGAAATTTTTGCAAAAATGGAGGAGGTAAAATTTCTGGCAGGATGCCTGTTCCTGGTAAAAAGTTAAATGTTAATTAGATAGAAGCCCACTTTTTTAATTTTTTATGACATTCCTGAGTACTGTCAGACTATTCTTCGGAACAAATTATTGCAAAACTTTTAAAATGGGTAAAATAAGCCTAGAAATGCGAGAGAAAATTGTGGAACTGAACAGAAGAGGGTTAAGGCAAGTAAAGATCTCCAAAGAGCTAAAAATTGCTCGCAGTACTATTCAGTACAATCTAAAAAAGAAAGCAGAACATTTTACTCTGGAGGACAGACCCAGGTCTGGTCACCCCAAAAAAATTTCAGAAATAGACAAGAGAAATCTTATTGTGATTCAAAAAAGAATCCCTTTTATACAGCTAGACAAGCTTAAAGCCAATGGGTTATAGCAGATAAGGTGAGTTTATCTTCTCCTAAAAAGAAGATATTATTAAATAATGGATTAAAAAGCTTCGTGGCAAAAGTAAAACCTTTGACAAGATTTTCTTTTGGGACTGTATATAAAAAATATAGTAAATCTTACCCTCCGAGAAAGCGCATCGTCAGCGCTTACTGAAACAGAATTTGGAAGTGGTAAAAGTTGTTGTGGAGCATCCTGTTCTGAGACTAGCCATTCCAGATCAGATGCTCTTGGCAGATCACATTCCCTATATTTTTTTAACAGACTTATTGCAACACTTTCCGCACATAGTTGATCGGAAGTAACTCGATTTTTTTCTATTGTTCTAGCTGCTTCTCCTCTGTGAAGATCTTCATCTATAATAAAAAAAAGACAAAATTGTGTAAAAGAATTGTTTATGACAAGATAAACAATAAAATAAACTAAACCGGAAAATAGAGATCCCATAGAAGAACTAAGTCCACTTTCTCGTAATGATTGATTTGATGCCTCATCTTCAATTATAATGCTATTATCATCGTAACTGCCTGAGGTTGAGCTTGTAGCTGTAATCATAGAAAAGAAGTTGTGTAAATCTTTCTACGCTATTCTTTTTTAATTACTTACCATTAAAACTATTGTCAGATAAAGTTAAGTTATTTTTAGGTTTCCATAAATTCCTCTCTTTCTTTATCCGTATTCTCTGCTTAAAATGAGGTACTTCAGCATCGTTATCTGTTGACGTTCTTTTCCATTTCATCAATTCAATGGCTTCGATGACCGCTTCACAGATCCAGAAATGAGCATTTTCCTATTAAGTTCAAATATAAAATTCTGTATGCTGCATAAACATAATTTAAAATAAGAAGAATAAAAGCTTACTCTATCTAAATCAGTCCCTGCATAAGTATCCTGAATTTTTAGGAAGTCCTTTAAAGATGGAGAAGAGCCGTTACTTAGATCGGTTTCTCGATAAGCATTGAGTCCTTGAAACAATAAAGTAATAAAAGACAAATTTTAGAAATTGTTAGAATATTTTAATTAAAAAAAATTGCACATAAATACGAAAATACCATCAAACAAAAGGACAAATTAAGCCTATAATTTGATAAGCAAGAACACATCGATATTAGAGTAAAAATAAAATATGATATGAGTAAGATGTAAAAATAGAGATAAAAAACAAAAAAAGACAGCTTTATAGATTTTCTTTAGAGAAAAAGTAGACCAAAAGCATAAAATAATTAAATAAATGAAATTTCCTCACGGAAATGAGAAAAAAATTAAAAGTTTTTACTAGGCGGATTTTCAGGACACGGAACACCAGTAACAATCTGGCTCCAGAATAATGAAAAATCTTTCTTCCCTTGAATCATTTCATCATATGCTCTTTCTAATAGATTTGCCAAGAAAGGTGATCGACCAATTTGTAGCAACGATACAGATACGAAAAAAAAATTAAGGCCTATTTGACATAAAAACTACTTTGGCCTCTAAACTGTCAATAACGATTAAGAATGATTGCATACGTTGCATTGTAATACACTAAGATTCTATAAACGTTTATCATACTGAAATACATAAATTTTTACTCTTTAAGAGATGACTAAGACCCTAATATGTTTATTAATAATCAAGTACAAACCAGTTTCTAAGCTATTAGTAAGCACCGAAGATCTTCTCAAAGCTATGGCTTTAGTTCTATTCCAATCGGAATTTACTTGTCTTCCCTGAGAATGGCTAACGTCACTTTTAGACCTTTTATGTCCAAACTTTAACTTAATCTCGGAAGGAGGTGGCGGAGGGGAGAGTTTTCTTCGAAGTTGATAATCCCTTTCTTTATATTTTTCAAATATTTTTTGGACGGTTTCAAAACGTGCGATGGGAAATTCTTTCTCATCAACTAAGGTACCTCGTGATTCCCTCCTCTCACTGGTAACAATTTGATGAGCCGGTGATGGGGTTGAAGTGAAATGTAATTGATGATAAGCTTCTGGTAAGTGTAACTATTTAAAGAAAATCAAATTACAAATCAATAGAATATCATGTAAAGCAAAAGTAAAAATAAGAAATTAAAGATAATTACCAAGAGTGGATCGATATCTGCGAGAATGGCACAATTATTGTGTTCAATTGCTTTTAGACAAATCAGCAAAGCATTAACGTAATCCTCATTTCGAAGGAGAGCGTAATCTAAGAATAAAATTAATATAATTAATTAGATATAACTGTTAACAAACGATATTGCACATAAAATAGAATGATAGGGCAGACAAACAACTTTAATTATCTTGATATAAGTAGGTTTTCCTTAAAACATACTGTAGTCGCTCAATTATGTTATTTTATTAACTAAATATAGAACGATGTCTCTACTGAGTATATCTACGTAAATGCATATTAAAATACCACCATATCCATCTGTGCGTGTTAGAATTAGGCATAGAGAACGAATGATTATAAAGACATAAACCATACATATTAAATATTAAGTAAAAAACATCATAGATTTTACCAATCAATCCAATAGTGTATATTAAATATGTATTTGTATATATATACTGTATAAGAATACCATCATATTTCTATAAATAAGATATGATTTGAGCATTCCTGCGGGGTTTACTAGAAAAGCTTAGCTTCTTTTTATCCAAAATTAGTATAGATATTCTACATTATAAATATTCATTAAATAACAGCTAATATTAATAACAATTACTTAATTAATCAATTAATTTAAAATGATAAAATGATAAAAAAGATCATTATTCATAGTATAAAAGGATATTTATAACTTTCTAAAGAATGTAATATATTTCTAAAATCAATGCCAAGTTAGAGTCTTTGAGCCTATGTTTAACAACTAAAAATTCTGCAATTTGATATATTAAACACAATAGGAAATAAGCTAAACAAGTTTTGCTCCTTTGGAATAAAAGCTATTCTCTTTCCTTATAATCTTTTCTCATTTTCGCGGAAAAATAATAAAACTAGTTATTGTTACTATTGTTAAAGATAAAGAGTAAGATAAAATAAAGGATATTACTTAAATGACATGTTAAAACGGTCCACATGTCATTGGTTAATCCATTATCATCAGATATGTTACAAGACTGTAATTTAGATAGCACCTTTTCCTGTTTGTTACGAAGTTTTTACAATTAAAAGACAACATTAATGTAAATAGTCAATATTTGATTATTGTTCAATATAAATAGCAATACAAACCGGACATTATGACTATATAATATTTATAAAAGGATCTTATAACTTAATTACTAAACAAAAAAAAACCTATATAGATTCTATATTAATTGTAGTAAGCAGTAGTAGTAGATTAAAAGTTATCTATTTACCTTCGTAAAACTTTTCAGTATATTCTGAAGGAATAAGAGCTTTTAATTGTGCAGATAGTTTATGTTGCAGTAGGCTTTGGCGTAACCAATCAAAACTTAAAGGAATCTGAAAAAATACAAGTTATGTTTTAGGTTAATGTTATATATTTTTTATACGGAATTACTAACCGTATGATTATGATAATTAACTCCTACAGCCAAGTCTGGACGAAGGCATTGGATGGATTTTGCGTAATGCCAAAAATCCTTCGATCCACCCTGTAGTTTTATAGTTATTTTTTGTCTCATACATTTTCAGAATTGTTAACTTACTGAATCGATTTTTAAGCCATGATATAAAACTGTTTCTAAACAAGAAGAGACCTTCTCTAATCCACCGTATGTATTCCAAACGTTGGTTGTTTCTGTTGTTAACAGGTATTCGACGATTTTCTTTAAATTGTGAAGAATAGAGCACAGTTCTTTGCGATTTTTCCAATCATTTTTTGTGCTATATAAAATTTAATAAAAAATTGTGAATGAGATTAGATAGGAGGAGAAAAAGTTCTGAATCCCGCGTTTACGAATTTAAAGAGTTGGTCAGAATTTGAGAGATGGAAACAGAATGTACTTTGTAAGTCGTATATGTTAGATATTTCGCTTATATCTTCGTGCCTAATAATTTCACAGAATTTTCGCCAACAACATTATTAATACAAATCATTACAAAATGACAAGTAAACATCACAAACCTTAACAATGCAAACGTTCGATTCCCAACCTCCTCCATCGCTTAATCACGTGACCTCTGATCATGTGACTCATCAGATTTGTAAACTGAATTGAGTTGTGCTAAGTCTTACCTGAGAAAGAAATACGGCGACGTCCTTAACTTGAGATTGTAAAATATTAAAGCAAAGCAAAACAAAAACAATTTTCAACTCTTTTTGCCTTTCGGCTGAATTGCTTTATTTGTCTGATGTTATCAACATTAAAGGCGTGGAAGAGTTGTCATAATAGCCTTATACTAGTCATGTGATCCTTTTTAAAAAACCGCCCTCAAATTTTTTATGGAACTAATCAGAGTTCAATAATAATTAAGAACTAAATTATTGTTTCATTTAACATAGTCCTCATATCAATTGTATTAAAGGAGTTAACAATGAAAAAAACCATTAGTCAACAATGACGAAAATTTTTGTGTTCGATAATTCAAAGAAACTTGAAATATTCCTATTTTTTACCCCATCCCCATAAACTTTTAATCATACCACCAATACCACCTCCAGCAGCAGCCGATTTCTTCTCTCCAATCTGGTCGTCCAAATTTGGAAACTTCAGTAGGGATAAGGCCAAATCGAAAAACAATGGTTTGCATGCAACTGGCTCAAAATCGGGAGGTAAAGATGTCAAGTTGACTTGATCTCCAGTTAAGCTTCTATCTTCACCAAAGAGGTCGAGCCGTTCGTCCAAAGGTATTTTTAAGTCTTTTACTGATAATTTTTTCGTTCTCTTATTTAAATCATGTATATCTGATACTTTTGAAACCCTGCACACACTTTTTCCTGCATCCGCTTCATTTATTAAATTTAATATGTCAGACTTGAAAGCATTATCTGAGTTCGTATTCTCTAATTGCTCAAGAGCTTTAGTTCCTCTTACTTCAACCAAATCGTATAATGCCATAGTTTCGCCCCATTTACTGACATTCTGGTAAGCTCTAGCGGCATAGTAGCATCTATAAGTTTTAAATACGGCAATCTTTACTTTACATTCTCTCTTCAATTCCAGGTCTTCTTCTAAACCTGGAAGAGTCGTTATATCGTTTGCATTTTGAACAATTGTATCATATAATCTTGCTAGTTCGTGTGGTTTCGTCTTCTTTTGATCTGAATTACTTGGTACTTCTAAGTTTTGTTTTGCCTGATTGATCATTAATAGATAACGATCTATATTATGATTCAATCTCTTGTACATTATATAAGAATATAAATGTACGCTTTGAGGTACACGTCCCTCAATTTGTTGTCCTCTGATGATACTACGGAAAGTTGGATCATCTTTAGATTCTTCTTTCAAAGCAGCAGCAGAGTCAATTAGGTCCTTCAGTAGTGATTCATAAATAGAAAGCTTTGCTTCTGCATTTTCCGATTCAGACAAAGAACGCTCGAGTTCTTGGACATTCAGTAAATGAACTCGTATAGTTTCAGACTTGATAGGTATAATTTTACCTAAAAGTAATATTTAAAGTTAAAATTGATTCGAAACATTTTATTATTTTAAAAGTACCTCTCCAAGAAACTTCCGATAGAGTTGCAACTTGCTTTGCTTTAGTTTTTTCTATGAGCTCATCTAGTTGACTGGATAAAGCCCCACCTTGGGTCATTCTTAGCTTCCTTAGTTCTTCCATGGCACTCTTGTCGCCGATATTGTATTCGCAATATCTTAGAATTGGTGTTATTTCATCGCACCTTATTTTATATAATTCTTTAGAGTCATCAGTTATAGCATCAAATAATCGATTATAAATTGTTTGAGCTTTTTGAAACCCAGTGACAGCTTCTTGCCATTTTTCTAATTCAAATTCATAGCTTGCCCTCATCCATGATTCGTAAGCTTCTGCTTCAAGCTTAGATCTAGCATCGCAGACTTTAGCAGAACATAGTGCATTTAAAAGTGAAGCGTGTTGTACAGCTTTTCTTAAACGGCTTAGTTTATGATACTTTTTACGGGGTTCAGTATTCGATTCGGACTTGAGAGCAACAGCATATGCCCAAGCTCTTTCGGCTTCAAAGAGAGGAATTAACAAAAATCTGAAACGAAGATGTAAATTATATTTTTTTGTTTAGGAATAATAAATTTTAAAAAGATTTGATTGGTAACTTTTTTTAGTGAGTACTGTTGATTCAATACCCTCGCCGATATGATTGTCCCTATTATCGCCTACAGGCAATTTAAAAAAAAATAGACAAAATTAAAAAGGAACTTACTTAACATCTTTGAGGTGATCCTCGGTAACCTTTTTAGGTTGTACCTTCCTCATATTTCCTTGTGGAAAATGCAACGATTTACGAACGCGTCGTAAACGTCTGGCACAATATTGCCTGAGTAAAATATTGAGAGAAATATAAGTATTTAAAACGCAGCAAGATTTTTATAAGATTTCAATTAATTCTTACCTGTATCTATGATAATCATCATGTCGCAAACCATGTTGTTGCTGTGCGTCCTTTACAATTCTTAGAGCTATTTAAAACAGGTACAATTAAGATATATGCCATGTGGCAACTTACTTAAATTAATTTAAAATCTAAGTTATCAGCTGGATACATCTTACAGAAAAAAAAACAAAATTTGCCTGCTAACCTTCTAAAGTTAAAGAATCTTTTAGCTCAGGTTTTGTTTGATCTTGAGTTGTTTTTTGTTCACTTTTCGAATTCTCAATATCTACGTCTGCCATTTTAGCGGAAGTGATGGCAACAATTTTTCTCCTGCAGCTCGAAATCAAAAATTTATATTATCGTATAATGAAAGTTAATCATTTACGATTCGTGTCTTTTCGCTACGAAAATACTAGCTGTGGCAAAACACTCTTTCATGATTTGGTTAACAGAGGAATTAGCCTATATCAGGTAAGGAAAACTGGTAATAAACCAAAGGCTTTGATAGGTTGCTCATAGACTTTTAGAGATATATATAGAAATGAATTCTATAATTACAGCTCCATTTCGTGTTTTCATATGGCTTCGAAACAAGAAAAAGCTTTTCGTGATGATATGACCATTGAATTTTGGGATGGATACTACAAAGATGGAAGTCATCCCTGGCATGAGAAAAACGTAAATAAGGGCTTAAAAGCAAATATAGAAACTTTCATAAATGGAAGAGATCATATAGTAGCATTTTTTCCGCTTTGTGGAAAGGCTGTTGACATGAAATGGATCTATGATCTAGGTCACACAGTTATTGGAGTTGAGGGTTCTATACAAGCAATTGAGGAATTCTTCAAAGAGAGTAACCTGGAATATGATGTAGACGGAAACAAGTATTCAACCCCTGATAAAAGATTGACGATATTTGCTATGAATATCTTTGATTATAATGTTGAACTGATGGGTGAAGTTAGCGCTGTTTGGGATCGTGGTGCTTTTGTTGCAATCAATTTTTCAGAAAGAGCAAAATATTCAGAGTTAATGAAGAGTATATGCACTAAAGATTGTCGCTATATACTTGATGTTTATGAATACGACAGAAGCGTATACGGCGGACCACCCCTTTGCACCACTAAAGAAGATATCGATGAGCATTTCTCCAGTTGGTGTACTTCTGAGAGAATTTTTGAATCTGATGAAATTACAGACCATTGGAGAGAAGTAGGATTTCAATCCTTTATGAGATACGATTATCTCCTGACGCCTAAATAAATAAATACCTTACTGTTGTGTGTTTTGTATTGTATGATTTTTTCTGCATCTTTCAAATTAAATTTTATGAGAATACAGAAAAAACATTTTAAATAGGAATCTATCACTTATTTTGCAAGTTTACTTTCAAGATATCTTTTTAATTTCCCTTAGCTTTAGAAATTTTTTCCAACGACCTAAATGTTAACACAACATATGGTCTACATGTCCTGAAAAGTTCTTGATTGGGGAAAACTTTCTATTCATTAATACACTAACACAGTAATTGTATATTTATATAATATTAATATTATTTTTATTAATTAATTCATAAAAACCAGGATGAATTTTATGATGATGATAAATAACATCCTCAGTAGTTATTTATAAGTTTATAATAAAGATTACTTAGGTATTTTATGGTATAGCTAAATATAGTTATCTTCTTTCATCGGAATACATTGCTTAATCTTCAAGAAAGGAACCAAAATTTCGCAATATCATAAACTTTGTGTCAATAACCTTGAAAATTTTCTGCGTAACGTGAACAGTGCAACCTAGAAGAGTTTTTTTTCTGTTAATATAATATTGTAGATTATACCAGTCGTTGAGCTTATTCTTTTTACTTTTTATCAGTAAATTTTCTTATTTCTAGTTCATCTTATATCAATATACGATTATAGAATATTTCATTTTGAAATTTTACTTAATTTTATCAGGAAGCTTGATAAAAAGGAAGATGATAACAATTTTGAACGCGTCTAATGGAAATTTGTATGCTTATTTTTGAAACATTTATACAAATATATTAAATAAATAACTTTTTACAATGTTATATCTTAGGCTGATTAATGGAAAGTAATTAGACTGAAATTCTTCGCTAGACAAGTTACAAAGTTTAAGCTTCATAAGTCATGGCTATCCTACCCTATCTGTTGAATGTACCAAACAAAAGTTTTGAAGTTTTACTTGAACACTGGCTTACATTCAGTATCTTACTATTTTAAATGGGTAAAATGACCTCAAAAAGATATGATATGTGTTGATTGGGGTAGGGAATTCTTCCACTACTGCTAAAGTCAAGTTAAACAGTTTTTACATTAACTTCAAAAACTTTCAAACTGTTTGATAGACTATAGATATATATATATACAGAATTATGAAAATTTATGAGAATAATTAGTTAAAAGTAGGAATTTGTGTTTGTATAGCAAACTCTGGTATCACAAACTTATACGTAAAGATTGTGTTCAGGACTTAATAATCTAGACAATTGTGATACTTTCTAAATAAAGAGTCAAAGGACCATAGAATTTCGTAATACAGTAATTTATTTCAAATATATGAATCACCTTGGACAAAAATAGCAACCTAGGTTATCTCTTGACGTAGCATATAAAGTACAATCCATAGATATTCTACAATTTTATTGTAAAGTATTGTACATGTTTTTCATTTGTTTGGCAATGGATTTTTAAACTATTCATCAATGTTGTAATGATATTAAGTATTAATTAAAGTTACTATAATATTCAATCGCTACCTGATCAAAAACTTTGAATATGATCAATTACTTGATAGTTTTGGTTCAATAGATCAATTGAAAATTGATAAAGTTTTATTTATTTTTCATTTGATGAATATGATTTGTAACAAATTCTTAATTTTATAGTTCTATAATAGCCTAATATTTAAATAAGTTTAATTTTTTTCATTCCAATAATAACAGTACTTAATTATCTTTTAGTGTGTTAAAACTGCTAACGTTATATCCTCCTTTAAGACAGTTGTCTTCTAAGTAAAAGCTATTAGCGGGTAAGTCATCCTGTAAGTGAAGATTTGATAGAGAAAATCCACAATTGTTATATTTAACATAATATCTTACTTTTCTTTTATCAGACAAAGCAAGCATGTCGGTTCTTAATTTTTCTAAAATTTTTTCATGTGCATTTTTCTTTGGATCAACAGAATCTAGAATATTTAATTGCTTCATCTCCTCACTTCGAATCTAAATGACAAGAAAAAATATTATAGTATTATATATCTTAAACAATAACAACACATACTCGGCTCTCTTCAACGTGTTTCTTACAATTTCCATATAAACGTAAAAGTCCACCATAAAATCGAATTTGAGGATGCATTTGCTATTGAAAAAAAACAACAAAAGAGTTTCTTATTATTTTCAATTGAATCTGAAGAAATAAGATATTTAACCCGTAATATCTCTTGAGCGGCTAGTTGTTGACCAACTTTTTTCTTTTTATAAAAAATCTATAAATAAATGTAAATTAATTATATTGTATAATTTTCCTTCTATAGCGTTATTTTATCATTTTTTACCTTTGCCGAAAATTTTCCAACTGTCATTGTTAAAGAATTTTTCTGTCCGTGAGCGCTATGATATTGTGTATCAATCTTTCCATGACTAAAACCATAACTTGCATCTACCGAGAATGTTAATAATTGAACAGGATCAGGCGTACCAGTCCGTTGACAGATCTCGTGAACTCGAGAATCTGTTATAGATATCTCATCAAACAGCTACATAAATAATTTGCTGTTGTTAAATTGATAATTTTTTGGAAAATTAAACAAAGAATACAAACCTCAACGTCATTTAATTTATCCTTTTTATCTTCATCTGTAACTTTACTTATTTCTGGTGCTAAGGCTTGTAAAGTAACTTTTGCTATATTAAAAAAGTTAACTTTCAGTAAAACACTCTCTCATTGACAAAACGAATTAAAATATTTAACCTGCTTCTAACTTTGCCTGTTTCTTTGTCGCTGCATATCCAGTACCATAGCACGTCCCTTTTATGTAAACATTTGCTGCATAGGGCAAGGCAGAGTTGGCTAAAAAAGGAATTGACGTTTACAATTGCAAGTTGAAACTAAGAAAACTTTTTATTACATCTCTCAGTAAACTGAATTTGAGGAGCCTCTCCCATAGATAATTGAACAAACTCGTGTAAAAGAGCAATATGTGTTTTTCCTGTAGGGTTAATTGTAAACTCTTTTCTTTTTCCGTTTGGCGCAACACACGATATCAATTTAGTACCAGGTGTCATATTAGCATATCTAGAACTTTTAAGATCGATTCGTCTCTTCTTCCAGCTCCTATAATAATTGATTTTCTTTTTATGTCTGATATATTTCTCAAGAATTAATTGCTTACTTGAATCTTCTTGTTTTAATTCTCTCAAATTCAAAAACTTTTTCGCAATACTCCAGGAGTTCATCGTGAGCTGAAAGTTTCCACATGTCCCCTTCATTAAGATTTTTAGTAATAAAATGTACTTACTTAAAGTTTTATTATATTCATCAGCGCTGTGAACCCGAACCGTAACGTCTACGCTGCCAGCTGTTTCAGTAACATCTTCCTGATTTTTATCTTCAGTTTTCACAAGTTCTCCCTGACATTCATCTTGATTTTTTTCTTCCATTTTTGACTTTTTAGCAACTGGACAACTGTCTTCGGCATTAGGTTGATCCCTTTTTTCTAAACCACGTTTATACGCAAAACAAGGAATAGCAGCAAGAGGAACATTATGCCTCTGAATTTAGAAAATTCATTCATTTATGTATATAAATTACTATACCGAACTCACCCTTGCACTTTCTTTTCCTATGTGATATGGCATGCTCATTGTGCAAACTCTTGACTCTCTGTGTAGATAGACATTCATACCAGAGAAATGCCTTATCTCAACCCACCCACTCGGTAAAATAACATGGAAATGTTTGTTCAGTTCTGCAAAAAAATAAAAAAAATTAAAGATTAACTGAAGTATTATCTAAATGAAATACCTTTCAAAACAACTCTTTCAAAAGTCTCTGGTTCCCCTTCTCCTTCACCGTCACCCTCGCCACCCTCTTGTTCTTCTTCTGATGTGAATTCATCATTTTTCTTTTTTTCCTTAATAACAGTATCTTCTGCCTGATTACTGTCTTGATTACTATATGACTGAGTTAATTTTGATTGAGGCGGAGGCGGGGGAGACGGTAGCTTGGGTGGAGCCTCATTTGGTGGGGCTGGTTCGGATGTCATAGAATCTGTTAGAGTTTTATTACTTGATGAAGTAGGTGGTTGGGATGGAGGAGCCGGAGGCGGAGAAGGAGGTCTATCTTCTGGAAGAGGAGGAAAGAAATCCGACATTTTTCAAACTTTTATAATTCTAACTGATGATAAAGATGGATAAGTTGCAAATATGATCAATTTAAGATATTTTCTATAAAATGCTATTGAATAAGATTGTAAATTTTACTCCGACAAAGTGCTTGTGGCTGGGACTTGTGCTTGATTTGTGGGTATGTACTCAACATCTAAAATGTGAGGGAAAAATAGTAGTTTGACGGGGGCCATATTGTAAATGAATTTTTTGCCTGTATTTTCACTATGAAGGTGAAGGACGCTTTTATCGCCTTCTCATTGAAATTTAGTTGTACCAAGGCAGAGGGACACCTAAATTTAGGAAATGTTTTCATTCTACACCGACAGCTATTTTATCGCTCAGTGATCTTTGAACGAATTTTCCCATCGACTTCACTCTTCATGAAGCACTATGGAACAAATTTTTAGTATCAAATCTCAGAAAGTTCACGAATGGATTCCAAAAGGAGATTATAATGTTTTGTGTGCTCTTTGCGATGATACTTTAGCATTTACAAGTGCTCAGGATCTTAAATTGAAAGCTCAAAACCCTGATTCTCCGAAACCAATGTAATTTGATAATCAAAATAAAACTTTCTAACATATAACAAATTTTTTATCACAGAGAAGACGCTACAACGATAAGTTTGTACGTATGTGATATTTTAGAACCATGGCATCTTTTCTTAATTAACCGAAGATGCGAGAACATTATTCATTTAATTTGGTCAAGTAATAGTCCAAACCAAAAACGACTTTTGGTAGCTGATGAATCGGGAAAAATCGAAGTGTGGCAGAGGAAACAAACTATGACAGTAAGAAGTTTTTTTATTTATGAATTTTTCAAATATTTTCCATGTTTCTTTTAAAGCACGTCTTGCTTAATGATTGGACTTGCACGCATTCAGTAAATCTTTCTGGAGAAATTATTGTTTGTGCAAAATGGTTCCAAAATGGTGCTGAGGTTTGTTAAATATTCTCGTAATTGAGATTATAAATAAAAAATATGAAAAGGTAATCTCTTCGTTGCATTTACATAGAGAAATATAAAACTTTGGCGGGAAATCATTGGTCTCTACGATGATAAATACCCGAAAATTGATTGTAAATGCACTGTAGAAGAACTCCAGTCACCCGGCGAGGGAGCTGATGGTTTCTGTGTGATAACTTCTTCTGGATTGGTAAGCTAAAATCAAAAGTTACAGAGAAATAAACTATTGCTTTTCCTTTATCAATCAGTTCGCTTGGGCAGTTATATCAAAAGTAAATAGTGATGTGTATGTTGAAAAGCATAGTCTATTCCAAAATTGTCGATCCTACATAGCTGTTGCTGATATAAATTTTCATATTGATTCATCTTTTGTGGTTGCTGTTTCTGATGGTTGCTCAACTTCTCCAATCAGTACTTATAAAGTACAAATTTCTTCTCAAAATTCAGCATACTCAACGTCTATCAGCTCGGGTTTAGGCATTGTTCTACAGGATAATAGTTCCGAAATTTCAGTTACGCATTTAAAGTTTACTTGTAGGTTTAGTTTGAACGATGAATTGATAGTTGTTACTGAGCAAGATAAGAGAAGTAAAGTTACGTTCTTGAAACTTGATAAAGAAGTCAGCAACTTACACCCAGCGATTTTGAACGCATCTCATGGTAATATGCCATTGAAATTTGAAGAGAGTTGTTGGATATCATTAGCAGAATTTATGTGTAATAGCCTTGTTATGTCAATTGCTGCTCCTCATAGGTAAGTTATGCGATAGTTTTTAATCATTTACAAACTTATTTCAATAGTAACTGTTCACCTAGATATGGCGATAGAAGTGATGTAAATAATAGTTTTGAGCAAGTTGTGATATCAGAAAGTAACGGGGCGGTTCATCTATTTAGCTTAAAAGATTGGCAATTAAGTTGTTCCTCTGACCATTTTGGTGAGTTGGTCATAAGACTGATTTTATTATTCCATTTAAAAAATATTAATTATTACTTTTTAAATAAATAATAGAAAAGTACGATTATGACAAATGTCTTTCTTGCGTTGATCAATCTTACAATGGAACAGTTTTTGTTGGTCTTGATCGATATGGGACAATAACTTGCTACAAGGTACTATATGATTTTTACTAAATACTAAATTTGTATGATAATTTTTTTTAAACATTAATACAGGTAACAAATACTCGAGACTCAAGCTTTCCTCTGTCATCATTCTGTATCAGTAGCATGTTGGAATATTGTTTATTAAGAGAAAAAGATTCATGGGATGTTATGTGTTGTTTAAAATCTCCAAATGCAGAAGCAATTTGGAAACAGATTAACGATAATTTCTACCGACAATTAAAGCCAGTTCAAGATTATTTTGCAGTTTCGTAAGTAATTTATAATACTGTATAAGTCATAAAATAGATTTTAAACGTAATTTAACTTTATATTTATATTTTTAGAATATTGATGCTAAACGTTCGTATACAAAAAGTATTATCCACATCAAACTCTCGCCCAGCCGACTATTATCTAGAAGCATTATTGACACATTACTGGTATTTGTTTAGTAGAAAGTTACATTTACGAAGACCAACTCAAATGATGGAGAGAGTAAAAGTATGTTTAAAATTTAAATGATTTATTTTTAAATATAATGTTCGATATCTTCTTGATTTTCTAGCTTCAAAAAATGATTGAAATTTTGTCATCTACTATTGAAAATAGCCGAGAGTTAGATCCGAATAATCTAGTCTCTCTTAAGGAAATAGAATTACGACAGGATGTATTTACAACCTGCCTCCCGTCTCTAGAATTTGTTTGTCAATTAGCCATACAGGTTAGAAATTTGTAATTATATTAATTCTGATAAAACTACTACTAGATTTTCAAAAACTAACTAACCAGGTTTTCTTTGAAGTGGCAAATATGAGCAACTATCTTGTTTCAATTCATCGTAACCCAGGAGCTCTATGTAAATTAAGATGCCTTATTTTTGTTATAAGAAACTCTATTAAATCCAATTTTGAACCTCCTCTACTTCGTAAAGGAGTTCAAACTCAACGGGACGGTCTTGGTAGAATTTACACTCTTTTGACAAAATTATGGATGGTTCGAATTGAAAAGGATGCCGAATGTGACGAAAACCTTTTAAACGATATGAGCTTAATACACGCTCATTTCTTAACTCATCCACCGCAAGTTCCACAAACTCTTACCTCAAGAGATTTTATCTATCAAGGAAATGCTTCGAATAGTGAGCTCAAATATGTCCTTCTTCGATATCTCTCTATTACAATCTTATTTTTCTCCAATAGATTTCCACTATGGTGAAGAACCTGAAATTAAAAACGCAACAAATCTTTCATCTTTACAAAGACCTAAACAAGAATATGATTGTATCACACAAATGGCTCTTGGTTGCATTTCAACAAAGTCAACAAGACAATGTACAAGATGCGGAGGACTTTCATACTATTCACCAACCGAACAAAAATCATCACAATACACATGTACAAGATGGCGCTGTTTGTGCGGAGGACAGTGGCGTTGTTTTTAAGTCTAGTTATATTCCTTTAAAAGTATATTTATTTTGAACTATCTTCTTAATTTATGCTTCTAATATGATCATTATATGTTTGTTCTGTTAGATCAAGTATTACAGGTTAACAGCATTTTTAAGACTTTGACGACGTCTCTTACTTATAATGAATACTATTAGTCCTATACTTTGGATTGTAAAAATTGTCGGAAGAATGATAATTATAACGTTATTGAAATTAAATTTTTCGTACTTTCTAACAGTTTTCATATCAAAAATTTCATTGAAAAAATTGTTATATTTCCATTCTTGTTTCATTATTAAATCTTTATTAAAGTCTATATATCTAACTTCTATCGGCATATACGATGGCAATCGTAAAATGGCATTACTTTTAGCCCTGTTTGCTAATTGTCTTAGTTCAAGCATTTCTGAACCTGTTAACTTCGGATTAATAGCTGGGCCAATAGGTAATTTAATATTATTGTTAAACACAAATTTTGATTGGCTTATAACCTCTTCTATATGAGAATCAATAACTTTAGGTTTCCATAAGAATTCGTTTATATAAGATGGTTGAATATCAAATGTATTTCGACGAGAGTTTCCCAGTTTATCATTAATCTTTAAAGCTAAAAGTGTTCTGTCACGATTATTATTGACCGGAAAACCAAGGTTAAATAAGTTTTGATTTCGCCTTAAAATTCTTCTATGTTCTAGAATTTTTTGTTGTATTTTAGGGAAAAGACCAATTTTAAAAGTAGATTTAGGCTTTTTTAATTTGTTTTCTTTATTTTTAAAAGGTCTTCTACGCCTATAAAACATTTGATTTTTTCGAGAAATATCCATTATTCTCCTACCAAATGAATTTATCTTTGCTCCTTCAATACTAAAAAAACTTATCAAATTATTTGGTTTTTTCCATTGTTTATCGTTTGAGTTCTCTACAAAGTTAAAATTCGTAGAAAGTAATAAATAAAAATATAAATATAATTCCTTCATTATGGATTTTATTTCTGTTGCTTCATCAAAAATATGCAACTTATTCGAGTCCTATTTTTAAATTTAAAATAATATATTTGATTAAAGTTAGCGTGGAAATTTTATTACGAATTAAAAGATTTTGTACCTGGCTCTTTGCGTAATAAATTTCGAAAATGGGTCAGTTTTTTATTTGGAAATTTGTTCAAGCTTAAAGTAGAGTACAATGTAGCTTTTAATATAAATAAAATATATGTTAGACAATAAGGGAAAATGAAACAAAATGGACACTATTGAGCTGGAATACTATTCGGCATAGTTACAATTCACAATTGCTATGAAGCTAAGGTAGTCTAACGATAAAATCCTCGTTATTTAATTTCAAGTAAAACTGACGAGGAATCCTATACCCATCTTTGCATATAAGTGTTCGATCGCAGCGGCCTCTGACCATTTCGGCACGAGCCGCTCTTAATACAAGACTAAAAAGATACCGTGTGTCGCAATCCAAAGAGAAGCCATGAAGTTAAACGGGTTTAAGAATAATTCAGGTGAATTAAAGCACATAATTAATATATGAACAGTCATGTTCATTGAATCTAATTTAATATATGTAGTTGAAGATGAAATAGTTGAAACTTTAAAAAAGAGAATCATGATTTTCGATGGAGCAATGGGAACTATGATTCAAAGACATCAATTAGAGGAGGAAGATTTCAGAGGAACCCAATTTGCAAACCATTCAAAACCATTGAAGGGTAACAACGATATTCTAAGTATTACAAGACCGGATATTATTGAGGAAATTCATAAAGTAAAATTCATTCTTTTAATATTCAACAATTTACTTTAATTTGCTTCATTGTGTTTGCTTTTTGTCTTTTTTTAAAAGGAATATCTGGAAGCTGGAGCAGACTTTACAGAAACAAATACATTTTCTGGTACTTCTATTGCGCAAGCTGATTATGGCCTGGAGAAGGAGGTTTTTATTTAGCTTTCAATTAAAAAAAATCCATCTTATTTATACTATTTAGACACATTATTTCATATTATTTTATAGGCTTATCAAATATGTTATGCTGGAGCACTTGTTGCTAGAAAAGCAGCTGATGAAATTACTGCAAAGACTGGAAAGAAGAGATATGTCGCTGGAGCACTTGGTCCAACTAATAGAACTTTGTCAATTTCTCCTTCTGTTGAACGTCCAGATTTTAGGAACATAAGTAATTGTTTATTCAACTCATTTGTTTTGTTTTTTTAAGTGTTTTATGATGTTTTATCAGCTTTCGACGAATTGATGATTGCTTATAAAGAACAAGCACAAGCTCTACTAGATGGAGGAGTAGATATTCTATTGGTTGAAACTATCTTTGATACAGCCAATTCAAAGGCGGCTTTATTCGCTATACAATTAATATTTGATGAGGACAGTTCCAAGGAAGTGCCTGTTTTCGTATCCGGTACAATTGTTGATAAAAGTGGTAGAACTTTATCTGGTCAGACAACTGAAGCTTTCTTGACTAGCGTTTCTCATTCAAATCCTCTATGGTTTGTTTTTCAGTATATTATCTATTTTAATAAATTGACTAATCATATTAACTTTTAATACAGTCTTGGTTTGAACTGTGCCTTGGGAGCCTCAGAAATGAGACCTTTTGTAGAAAATGTCGCAATGAACACAGGCGCTTTTGTTCTATGTTATCCAAATGCAGGTAAGGCAGATTTGTAGAAAGAAGTAAAAACTAATCTAATAAAGGGTGTTGTTTTTAATTTTCATTCATTTTCTAATCGTAGGTCTACCAAACACTTTTGGTGGATATGATGAAACTCCGGAGATAACTGCTGGACAATTAGAGTTATTTATTAAGGATAAATTAGTAAATATTGTGGGTGGTTGTTGCGGTACCACTCCAGATCATATAAGGTAGCTAATTTTATTATTAAAATCAAAATAATAATATTTATACTTTATATCAGAGCAATAGCGGAAGTTGCCAAAAAGTATAAACCTAGAATACCACCAGTTGGCCTACATCAAGATACCTTACAATTAAGTGGTATGGAACCAATGTCAATAGGAAAATTAACAAACTTTGTTAATATCGGTGAGAGATGCAATGTTGCTGGATCGAGAAGATTTTGCAATTTAATAAAAAAAGACAACTACGAAGAGGCTTTAAACGTTGCAAAAGATCAAGTTGAAAATGGAGCTCAAATTCTTGATATTAACATGGACGAAGGAATGTTGGACGGTGTAGCAGCTATGACAAGATTTTGCAATCTTATTGCTTCTGAACCAGATGTTGCTAAAGTCCCACTTTGCATTGATTCATCAAACTTTGCAGTAATAGAAGCAGGTTTAAAATGTTGCCAAGGAAAATGTGTAGTAAATAGTATAAGTTTAAAAGAAGGGGAAGAAGATTTTATTAGAAAAGCAAGAACTATAAGGAATTATGGCGCAGCAGTTGTTGTAATGGCTTTTGACGAAGTTGGACAAGCCACAGACGTACAGAATAAGGTTAGATTTTTTCTTTTATATGATTTTTTTTTACATATATTTTTTTACAGTTAAAATGACCCTTATTTTTTCTTTTAAAACTAGGTTGACATTTGCACAAGATCCTATAACATACTAGTCAACAAAGTTGGATTCAACCCAAATGATATTATATTCGATCCTAATATTTTGACTATTGCAACTGGAATTGAGGAGCATAATAAATATGGTATTAATTTTATTGAGGCAACACGTATTATTAAAGTATGTATTAATAACATTAATAACTTGAAGTTATACAGCCTGTTGACTTTATAGGAAACTTTACCAGGCTGTAGAGTTAGTGGAGGAGTTTCAAACTTTTCATTCTCCTTCCGTGGGAAAGAAAGAATAAGAGAGGCTATGCATAGCGTTTTCCTATATCATGGAATAAAGGTATGTACAACTACAACTGAATGTTACTTAATAAAAGGTATGCTCAATTCTAGAATGGTATGGATATGGGCATTGTAAATGCTGGTTGTTTGCCAGTATATGATGATATTGATAAGACACTTCTTGAACTTTGTGAAAGTCTTCTATGGGATACAGATCCTGATGGAACTGAAAAGTTATTACAATACGCTCAATCAATGGGCTCAGCCGGTAAAAAAGAAGTAGATAGTGAAGAGTGGAGAAAAAAAACCGTTGAAGATAGATTATCCTATTCTCTAGTTAAGGGTATTGACAAATATGTTGTAGAGGACACAGAAGAAGCAAGGTCCAATCGAAAGTTGTATCCAAGACCGTTAAATGTAATTGAAGGTCCCCTAATGAGTGGAATGTCAATAGTTGGAGATCTATTCGGTTCTGGGAAAATGTTTCTGCCTCAAGTCATTAAAAGTGCAAGAGTTATGAAAAAAGCAGTAGGATATCTTATACCTTTTATGGAGAAGGAGAAGGAAGAGTCGATGAAAAAATTAGGTATAACTGACGTATCTTCTTCATTCGTTGGAACTGTTGTACTGGCTACAGTTAAGGGTGATGTCCATGATATCGGAAAGAATATTGTTGGTGTTGTATTAGGCTGTAATAATTATAGAGTCATCGATTTAGGCGTTATGACTCCTTGTGAGAAAATCTTGGAAACTGCTATTGCGGAGAATGCCGATTTTATCGGGTTGTCTGGTTTAATTACACCTTCACTTGACGAAATGATTCATGTTGCTAAGGAAATGGAAAGAGTTGGATTAGATAAACCATTGTTAATCGGTGGAGCAACAACATCCAAGTAAAATATGCAAATTTTATGAATATTATACACAAATATTATAATTATTTCTTTTATTATTTAAATTACCAGGCAGCACACAGCTGTTAAAATTTCACCAAAGTACAAGAATCCAGTTGTCCATGTCCTTGACGCTTCAAAAAGTGTCGTTGTTGTAAGTACACCAATATTATAATAGTGTTATCTATAGAGTTTTTAATAAAACTATATTAAAAATAGTGTAGTTCACTATTGGACGATTTCCAAAAAGAAGATTTTATCGAAGATATTAAGGATGAGTACGAGGAAATTCGCGAAGATCATTACGACTCTTTAAAAGTTGGTATTATTTTCGTCATCAGTTTAAGAACGTAGCAAAGATAACATAGTTTCTTTTTTTGTGTGTGTATGTGTTATCAATACGCACTTTTGACTGATACTAAAGACCGATCGGTTTTTAAACTTGATATCTGATCTAGATTACAGTATCCTCAAGTAGAAAGAATTGAAAAAATTTACTTTCCTTCCCAATTTCTTCGAATTTTTTCTCTTTTATAATTGATTGTTTCTCCTTTCTTTTCATAGGATCGCAAATATCTTAGTATTGAAAATGCTAGGAAAAAGAAGTTTATCATTGATTGGGAAAATGAATGTAAACCAACTAAACCAAGTTTCCTTGGTAGAAAGGAAATCGTATCGCAAAGTGTTAGTGAATTAGTTAAATATATTGATTGGAAGCCATTCTTCGATGTTTGGCAATTGAGAGGAAAGTATCCTAATAGAGGGTATCCCAAGATTTTTGATGATGAAACTGTAGGTAAAGAGGCTAGAAAAGTTTTCGATGATGCTCAGGAATTATTACAAAACTGTATAAATAATAATTCACTTAAAGCGAATGGTGTTTATGGATTTTATAGAGCTCGATCTGTTGATGATGATATTGAATTATATGGAGAAGATGGAACAACCATTGAAACACTGCACGGTTTAAGACAACAAGCCGAAAGAGATTCAGTTTATCACTGTCTTAGCGATTTTATTGCTCCAAAGTCGACGGGTATTGAAGACTATATGGGAATGTTTGCTGTCACTTGTCTTGGAGCCGAGGAATTGAGTAAAAAATTTGAAAAGGAGGGTGACGACTACAATTCTATTATGATTAAGGCTTTAGCTGACCGTATTGCTGAGGCTTTTGCTGAACAATTGCACGAAAAAGTGAGAAAAGAGTCATGGGGATATAATAAAGAAGAAGATCTGGATGAAAAATCGCTCCATAAAATTCAATACCAGGTAAGATTATTTTTCCTTTAATTCGTAAATATCTCTTTTCATCAATTTATAATTCTTTAGGGAATCCGACCTGCACCGGGATATCCTAGCCAACCGGATCACACAGAAAAAGAAACTATGTGGAGATTGCTTCAGCCAGGAAACTTGCAAATAACACTTACAGAGTCTTTAGCAATGAAACCTGCAGCATCCGTATCTGGCTTATATTTTGCAAATTCAAAGTCAAGTTATTTTTCAGTTGGAAAAATTCAAAAGGACCAAGTATGCGACTACGCATCAAGGAAGAATATGACAGTAGAAGAAGTTGAAAGGTGGCTAAGTGCTAACCTTGCGTACGATCGTGACTGAAAAAAGCAGAATATTTTATAAATATTCAAAAACATGAATTTATTTCAAATATATACTTTGTAATTATTGTTATCAGTGCCTACTAATCAAATTTAGTTAGTCCATAATATAGAACGAACACTGGCCAACCAACCTAACAGCGGCCAAAACATTATTTAACTCAAGCTAATAAGACTAAAAAGCAAATAATATATTATACTAATATATTCTATTGTTTATTTAAAATAAAAAAGATTAAGAAAGGTCACATTTTTGAATTGAAACTGATGAATTTCTATTTTTATTACGACATATTGACTAAGAATAACGATATTCTATATATTCAGAGATTTGTGTAAGACAAACGTAAACACACTCACACATCACACACATGTAAACAAATGTTAATTATATCATTACTCATCTCTTCTCAATACAATTTTTTTAATTAGGGAATTTATCTTTATTGATTTGTTTTTTAATCCATCTTTATATTTTCCTTATTATCTTCTTTCGATCAAAAATGTAGGGAAGAAATGATAATATAAAGATATGAATAAAGTTCATTATGCTTAATTCTTTTTAACTACCTTTACTAGCATTTGGAATTTTATCGGTATCTTCGTTTTCATGTTTGTAAATCTTATTGGTCATCTGTACTTCTAATTTTGGAAAAGAATTATTAGAAATTACCTTATTCTCCTTCTCCAAAGTGTTATCGTCAGTTTTATTCTTTATTAAACTAGTAGATTTGCTTCTAATAGGCCATTTGGGTTCTTTGGAGCATTTTCCACTATCATTCTTCGCCCTCTGCTGGGTATCTTTTCTCAGGTTCAGATCCTGATTTTCCGATAGCTGATCAAACTTTGAGTGGTCACCCAATCCAGGGTATTTGTTTTTTCTATTTCTGAATGATGAATAATTGGTCAATGGCGGCCTTCTGTAATTAGTTACTCCTGTTCCACGTCCCAGAGACATTCTTCCTATTAATGAAGAGATTGTCTTTAGATTTAACTCTTATGAGTTGATTTATTTACATGGTTTGATTCTTACCATTAATTGATGTCTGTTTGGGAACGCTAGTTCTTTCGTTATTCCCTACTAATTTGGCTACCATAACGGTATCTGATTTTTCCTGCTCCTTAACAGAACTAGACGTATCCTCTTTCTTTTCTGCATTAATTCGATTTTTAGCCGTACAAATCTCATCTGACTTGTTAATTTCTTCCAAATCGTCTTCTGGTGTGTTTTTATTATCCCTTTTGCCGGTAGCCGATCTTTTGTACGGATCTAATGAAACAGTATATAGCCTCTTTTCAGGAGAAAATCCACTTTCCCAAACACCGTTGGAGACTGAAAATCCTTTACGACCGGCTGAAATTCGAAAACGTCCCCTTTGAATGTTAATAACCCAATTTGCATCAATTCTCGTTGTCATGTAATCAGTTTCGATATGAATCGATCCAATCATAGGAGAAGTTCGAATAACCTTTGACCAAGCCGTCACGGAAACGTCACCTCGAGCAGATTGAAAGACTCGCACCTTGTTGAAAACAAATCAGATTTGCTTATCGAGTATTTTATGCACGATATGTTACAAACATTATTCACGCAAACGGATAAAGCGCCGTTTCTATAGAATCTATATTGCGCTTGCTTGACAATCTGTTGAATAGCCTTATTGAAGTTCAAACTGGTTGCATGACCGTTTGGCGGCAATAATAACGCCATGGTTGGATCCCTTCTCAAATCTTTGTTCAATAGTATTTTGAGAAAAATCAAGGAATTAAAGCAATTAAGGAAACGAGTAATAAATAGAAACATTATTGAATTATTGACAATCTTACCACGAAACTGCGGTTCAGCAGTTAGAATTTTATCATCTCGCATCTTATAAGTAGTATTGCCTTGAGCGAAGATTAAATTTCCAGCGCAGAGTTTTGCCCTTCTGTCCCAATAAGCATGCATCTCTATCTCAGATGCATCTTGTATAATTTTACCGGCCGGATGATAAAGACTTACGTAAGATCTTTTCGAGTTGATAAAAGCAACGGTTTTAAATCTATGTCACATATTTTTTAAGTTCATTGTTAAAATGTACAAATAAACAAAAGTGTAGTTTATTACTTTGGATTAACGACCCGGACATCGTTGTTGATTGTCAACTCAACTGTTAAATCTTGATTCAATAGGATAGTCATAACTCCTATTGGACTAACGTAGATCGTTGGATACACGATATTGGGAGACATTTGGAGCATGTTAACAGCACTATCAATCATTAATGGTTCCATACTTTCCGGATTTAGAGCCGATGTTAGAGGTCTTTCTCCCAAATGATCATTCTTAACTGCTTAAAAGCAAAAATAATTAGCTTTTTAAAAAACTACCAGTTAATTTTTTTTCTCTATTGTATTTAAATATTCACGATATTTCATTCTTTCATAATTATTCATTTTTTTCCAACTTTTATCAATATTGAAAGATGACTGATAGCTTAATCTATGCTTCTTTTTGTTTCAAAAGGAAGAGCAACTTTTACGTTATAACATCAATTGAATGTTTGTCTACTAAACAAAATTTGTATTTTAAAATATAAAATATAACGTTACGTTTTCCTAAAAAAACAAAAGATACAAAATACAAACAAATGAACGTTACGAAGTTAATTTTGTGTAATTTACCCACAAGATGGGGTTAGATGTTGTTCTTTAAATAGGGAAAGAGAGGGAGAGGAAATATTAGGAAGGCATTGAGATAAAACGATATACTATACAGTATATATATATATATATATATATTTATCACATTTTAGAGGACAGGAATACGTTGTAGGTTATTCTTTTTATGTAGATACAGTCATGGAAATGATGAAATAGATCTTTGTATAAATAAAGAGATGCTATAATGAATTCTTAAAATCTATACTCTATGCAGGAAAACATCCATTATATTCTCTCTGTATCCTTTCCGATAGAATTTTGAGTTGGCATCTTTAAAAATAGCAAGTTTATATCTTTCATTTGTCGTCTGATTGGATAATATTAAATATGCATGGTATATTAATAAAGCGCCAACTAGTAATGATAAAACTGATAATGTAGCCGTTAGAAACATAAGAAGAGGATTATCCATGAAGAGTACCTGTTGTTATTTTTAGTGTATCTATTATATTCATATAATAGTACGAAAATGGCTTGAAAGTCTACCTGAATTAAGACACTTAATTTCATATCATGGGCTACGTTATTGCTGTCTAGCCATTTTGCATTCCATAATTTCCTAAATTCAATTATGTAACTAAAAGCAGTAGTACATCGAATAGTTGCGTAGCAACTCATAACAATTATAGAGAATAAATATAATATGAAATATCGATGATTGTTTCCTCCAATAGCATTGTGTACCCAAGAGCAATAATGATCATAACGGTAAATGCACAAGTTCAAATAAGCTGCAACACAACAGTTTATATTTTATTAAAAAGACAGGAAATCTACAAGTCTTTATATACTATATGTATAATATATAAACAGAGTATATATTTATATACTAACGGCAATGTTTTGATCTTGCAGGTTTTTGAAAGAAACACGTTGAACATTTATTATTCTTTTTGTAAATTATTCCATCAAACTCGTATTTTCTTAAACACCTGCAATTAATTAATTCAAGAAAATGAGGATGCACTTTGCATAACCGTTTTAATTAAAGAAATGGAGTGTTTTCTCCACTATAAAACATTACTTGTATAGATTTTTCTTGATAATTACACCAGGATCCGAACGAGTACAAATAATCAGCATAATTACATGGAAAATTAGTAATGAAAATGTTGGTGTAGCGATGCTTAAATCCTTTTCCTTTAAGTAAAGAACTGGAATTGCCCTTGTTAGAAAAATGTAATGACAAACGACAACTATAATCAGATTTAGGTATAAGATGCACTTCGACCTGTGAAAAGGAATAGCAGACCCAATTAACGTTAACTTTTTAAAGGGAGAGGAATAAAAGGGGTAATAGTTTCTGAGCTAGGATTTAAACCTGTACGCAACATTTTGTCCTTTATTCTACTCAAACTATAACTCCTCCATTCCTCTGTTATTTTATAAAATCTCTAACCTCGTATTTACAAATATACACAAATAATTTCTTATTCTACAAGGAATAACTTGCCAACTTTTGTCAAGAATCTAGAGCAAAAATCAAATTTAGTCAATTATTATTAGGTTATCTCTCTATTTTCGTGACATTTCTAATAAAGTGTCGATAAATTTCTTTGTATATTTCTCTTTCACTAAACTCATTGCTTTTTTTTTATTTACTAATTCCCTTTAGTATAAAATTTCATCAACATCCCTCTCCAAGGATTAGGTCCCTTTTCCTCCCTCTCCTCCACCCCCTTTCCTTATTTATTTGTTATTTCGTCATTTAATATGTATTTAATTGGTTTTTGCAGTTTTCTTATTCGGACTTAAACATAGTAATCATACTTACGTGCCCAATAGCTGTATAGCATTTATCTAACAGACTTCCTTTCGAGTACAGAGTACCGTTACCGAAATACAAGAAACTAATAGTACCCAATACTAGTAAATATATAAAAAGGAGAGTTAGGAAATCCATCTATAGCTTATTTAATAATCAGATTTTAATTAAATTGCATAGTTCACTTGGATACTATATTGCTTTTTCGTTTAACGATCGGTATATTTAAAATTTTTCATTAAATTCCAATAATTTCAGCAACTAACAAACTATTATCGAATATCGTTCAATACTTATTATGGACGATGTCCATTTCCTAAAAATATTCAGTTAATATTTGCATTGTTCCTTTGAATATAAAAAATATTTATATTTTCTACGATATTCTTTAAAAATTCTATAAATATTTACTCAATATTTCCGGCCATAAAATTAAAGTAACTCTCATTATTTATCTCTCTCTTTTCTTTCTTTTTTTCTTTCTTTCATTCTTTGCTTTTTTTCTTGTTTCTTCCTTCTTTTATTCTATCTTTCGTTATTTTTGCTCTCCGGCTGGGTTACTTTTAATTAATTATCAGGGAAGTTTGACTTACATTTTCTTTAAGTACTTTAGAATTTATCAATATTCCATTGTGTCAAGTATCTAAATTAAAAATCTAACCCTTTATCTTAGCTGTCGTCCTACAATAAAAATTGTAAAGTCGACATATTGATTGATAGGAACCACGCATCGCTTATGCTCATTGCAACAAATTATACATTATCAGTATTTCTTTGACAATGTTTTCTCTGTTTGTGTTTATTTACTATGTTTCCTTTTTAAGAGAAACGACAAAGAGAATGTTTAAGTGTGAGCAAAAAAATTTTTATTATAAGTAATAAATTTTGACAAATAATTGACAATTCTTCATTTTTTTCCCCTTATTTCAAACAAGAACAAACTTTTTTCAAAAATTGAAAAAAATAACACGACTTCTAAACAACAGCCTTTATTTAAATACGTAACTAGTCAAAAACTCTGGAAAATTGGCACCTTAAATTAAATATATCGCAAGTGCAAATTGAGTTAGTTTTTCAAGATGTTACGATACGATTTAAATATTTATTTATAGTCAATATGAATATAAATGGAATAATTCACAATAAATTTCCGATATCCTTATATAGTATATTAAGATGTAAGTATAAATATATAAATATATATATATATATATATATATATATATACATTTATATATATAACTTTAATCTTTCCTACTGACTGGAAACTATAAGATTAATATAAATAAATCATTTGTTGTTTTTTCTTAAGTATACGCAAGCACGGACGAAATAAATAAAAAATATCGATTAAAAAAATACGGCACGTCAGAATTTAAGTAAGCATATAACCTGAAAAAAATCACAGCACTCTTTCATAGAATAAGAGATACGCTTGACATTTAGCTACAGCGTCTTCATTAACTTCACTAACCCTACTATCACTTATGTAAAACCATCTACCAGGATTCCCGTCCACTTCTTGATCGTCATTACAGAACATTTGTTTTAATTCATTGATTTTGCTCAAACGGATGCTATTTTGCTCGATCGAATTAAGGAAATTTTTTATTGATCTTGATGACCTGACCTTTACATAGGCTGTGTAATGGCCTCCCGATATTCTACCAGAATGCTCCACGACCGCGTAAAGGTTGTATAAGACTCGATTGCTATTTATGTTTAACGCCTGTGAACTACAGTATGGTGAAATATCCAAAACAAAAGGGAATTGCACCATTCTGTTCACTTTCCGTGTTACATAATCAATCTAAAGGTAAAAATAAAAGAATTAATATACCGTCGGTTTTAGGAAACAATAAGAATAATAAAATATAAATACTTACTTGTTGAAATCTCTTTAAATGAATCGTTAAAACAGAGGGAGGAATAAATATTAAAACCCTCTTGCTTGCATTTCGCAGTACCACTTGAGAATTCTCTATTAGCAAGGAAATGATAAAGGAAACAAGTAATTTCATTTATAGAAAAAATGTTTAATAAAATAGCTCATACCAGAGGTTTTTGAACAGTATCTACAATTGAATTTATTATTTCCTGTCAATACTTCAGGTGCAGTAAAATTACTAAAGCAGGATTGAACAGAGCATTCGTTCTGTTGGCTATGATAAGGTGCTCCTAACGAGCGCATTGCTTTTTCGACAATGTAATGCTTTCGTTTTAATTCTTTTTCTGCGACCCCATTAAATTCCGCTCCATTCACTTTCAGCTGACCGATTTCCTCTGCGAGTGATTCTACAGAGCCAATATGTGCAGCTGAATTGTCCCCTTTCTCTTTATCAATTGCAACATTATCATCTATAACAGAATTAGCATTCGTAGAAAGATTATCTTCCACGTCAGCGTCCGAGCATTGATCGGAGTCCTCACTAGCAGCAGGAGCAACATTGGCCGGTAATTTGGCAGCTGCTTGTGCTTTAGCTCTCCTTTCGCCTCTCTTCGACTTAAAAGAACCGCTCAACTGTAAAAAGAAATTTGACGTCCAAGTATATATATACTGCATATCTTTTTTTAGATATATCTCATCTATGCTTATATAAATTTATATATATATATATATGTATAGGTATAATGTTATTATAATTCACCAACACCAAAAATATTATCTTACCTTATCCTCAGTGATAGGCAACGAAATATCCAAGAATGGTTCAAATATTTGAGACGGCTTTATAAAGAAATTGAATATTGTGTTTTAATTAAAATACTAAATAGAATATAATAAAAGACTTACAGTTTGACATTCCTCGCACGTTACTGTTGAAATAAACAGTCCACCGAATATATTATCAACAATTGTATGTCGTGCTTGGCGTCCGTAATCTGTAATAAGTTAAAGGATAATTAACAAATATATAAATTATTCAGTAATGCTATTATTATATATACATTTGACAAGCGATTTCATATTTGGTGTTAACTGTCCACTTTTCTTTTTTTCACCAATATTCAATTTTAGGCACACAGCAGACTGTACTCTCTAAAAGATATCATTATATTAAATCATTTTACTACAAGGAAGGTAAATACTTTTATTTCTTCTGCCTTTACTCCATCCCAGAGATATCTTAGCAATTCGTGGCTGTCTTGTTGTTGATAACCCTTAAACTTTGGTGCTCTGTCATTTGAAAAAAGTAGTTTGTATTTATAGGGCCATTAGCCACAAAACGACAAATGGACACAAACTTTTTACAAACATTGCCAAATAATATGTTTGGAGTAAGGACATGGCCTTTTTGATGCTGCATATCTCTTAAAAAGCTGGCTAATGCCTGGGTCAGGTTACCACATTCACCTAATTCTAATTTAATCGACTCTGCACTACGTGCTATATCTTTTTCCTCATCACCAGAGCTACCTTCTGAGTCAGAAACCTGATTGCACCCTGGTAAAGTCATCATAGCCGTTGATTTAGCATGTTCTACTATGAGAGTATCTAAGCCAGGTGTCTGATTCAGACTCTGAAATGAGAGCAATTTTCATAAACAGAACAAATTACTTACTATACCACACTTACCTGCATTACAGCATTGAAAAAGCATGTATTGCCTAAATTACTGAGACCCTGGAAAAGTGAGGCTATTAACCTTGAAGGAAATTTATTTATAGAATACCTTAATTTTGTGATTCAATTGTGATGGTTGAGAAGATCCAGTAGCACATTTACTATTAAAGTTATTATCCTCCGAAGAGTCAGATTTATGAGAATTCATACGTGATGGTGCTAAAAGTATAATAAACAAATAGCAAATAAAATAAAAGTAAATAAAAGAAAAAGAACATCTTACTTGATTGATCAATAAATTTTTTTATGACTTCTAAAAAATCGTCAAATCTATTTCCCGGAGGTGGAATATAATCGTCGCATTCATAACACCTAAAAGAGAAAGTACGATTTTAATTGGAAAGTAATGAAATATTTGTAGAATCTTACCATAATTCCATTGTAGACGAATTGCATACTAGGGAATGAGAATTAGATCTTGGAGTTTCAAAATGTTTTAATGAGTGTCTGTCCTTTGTATTCCTTCCACATCCCTTATCAAAGGAACCGAAATAAAATTGTTTTCGATGAAAAAACACTATCGATGTAATTACCTGGTAACCACATTGCAAGCAAATCCATACAATAACATCGTCTTCAGAATCTGCTCCGCCACTCGCCGCTGATTCTTTCATACAACCCTACATAAATTCTACACTAAGCGAATTAAATTACTAAAATAATCCTGACTTACAGAGCAACGTCCGATGACACGCTGTTGCTTAAGAGCTTTCTTCATGCTGTTTATATTAGTAGCCTTATTAAAATGAAGGCATCTTCCAGATCTTCCATCGTCTGATGACTCATCAACTGCTTCTTTTCGATCTGATCGTTTTCGGTGTTGTTTCTTTTTACTTTTCTTAGGCATTTTTGACTTTATATTTGGCAGATTATTTTTATCACATACACGCATTGCCAATTGCGTTAAAACAATATTCGCAGTTAACACTATCTGAAAATTGCTTACGTCAAAAAACGTGGATGACATGGCTTTACAGTTAAATAAAATAATTATTCAACGATTTTTATATATTTGACAAGTATTTTAATGTGCAAACACCATAATTAAAATATACAAACCAAGTTTCTTCTTTAATATGTTAAAGTTATTTCTCACAAACACGTCTGTTTTCTGGCTGAATGAAAATCGAACGGTGTTAGCACGGATACATGATCCCCTTCGAAACTAGGAGGAAAATTAGAAAATGGAAAACAAACCACATCACTTTTTTCTCTTTACCGGCTTTTATTTCTCTAGCGAAATATACTTGTTCGGCCTAGAAGTCTTTATTACTCGACCAGCAAGACAATGTCTCAAGTACAACAGCCAAAAGCCGCATCAGCTCAAAGTAAAGAAGCTATATTGAAATTCTATCTGAAACGGCTAAAAGACGATATAAAGTCTATAATTGATAATTATGTAGAAATAATAAAATTGGCAAAAGTGGAAGAAGATTCCCAGATCTCAAGACTAACTCAAGCTGAACAAGATCAGTATGAAATGCAAGTCAGAGCATCAAATATAGTAAGATTATAACATCTCATTCTGTTTGTATTACATTAACGAAAAATTTGAAAATAAAAATACAGGTTAGAGCGTGTGAATCTCTCCTAAAGTTGGTATCTGATATAAAACAGTACATTCTTCTAAATGATTTCGTTAGTGTCAATGAAGTAATTCACCATACTCGTATGAGTTACACTCAGAAGCAGCAAATTCATGACCACGCTCTAATTGCAATTAGGAATGAAATCGCGGATGAACTTTATGATTTAGAAGAAGAATATTACTCATCACATTACAGATGAAAACATGAAATTTTTAACTAACTAACTAATCGCATTCAGAAAATTAACAACATTCAAATAAAAGAAACACAACAACAAAATAAAAAGTTCTCATGGTGCAGATGGTTGAGAAGTAGAATTAGACGCATACTGTGTATCTAGATGTAACAGACGAGTCGCCATCACTTCACAGTCAATTTGCATCATAGCAACAGATCCTTGAGGAGGTCGAAGAGTGTCATTCAAATTCGAAGCCGGCATGACTAAGGACATTCGAGGTCGCATTGTCTTGTTATGGGCAGTAGCCGGCAGCAATAAGTTGTCCTTGGCAAATGAAACAACGTAAAAAGTATCATTTCTTCTTGCTATCGCCTCTAGCAGGCGTTTCTGAAAGCGATCAGCATTTGAAAACAGCTGAATCGGATATGGTTGTTTTTTAAAGCGCAATTTCTTTCTATATACTTTACGAGCTTTCTGAGGAGTTTTTTGCGCTTCTTTCTGATTCAACACCCATCCACGTAATTCATTCGCTAACCTTTGCGACTCAGTAGCATTAAATGACTTTGGACACATTATAGATTGATCAATAGGCATTATGGCGGCAGTTATTCTTTTCAATTCATCATTACTTTTGAGAAAAGAGAAGGCATTGTTCTTATATGGTGGTTCATCATTATACGATAGAATGCTTCTTCCACCAGCATGTCTCTCTGATAGTATTTGAGACTGCTGTTGATTAATTGGAATAAAAAAGTATGCCATATTAAATGTAAAAAGTAGTAAAACTCCAAAAACTGCAACTCCCTTCTTCTTATTAGTGATGTCACTAGTTAATAGCATTTTTTTCTTCAGCTCTAAGTTTTCCTGTTGAGTACTATTTAAACGTTCCTTTAAGTCAGCATTTTCCCTGGCTAGTTTCATATTTTCTTCATGTGTCTGTTTTAGCCGTTCTTCTAAACTTGTCATGTATTCTTTTTTGCGTTTTCGGGACAAACAGGCAGACTCTCGGTTTTTTATCATTCGCTGTTGCTTCTTCAAAGCCCTCAGTTGTACATCGTTCACTGAAGGCTGTTGAGCAACCGATTTCTTTTCAATTACTGGTTGTGAAACACTGATAAGTTGACCTGTTTTTGCTAGGTGAGCTAATTCTTCTGGCCTAAGAATTAATTGTTGTTGAGTCCCACCAGCTTCTACTTTGACTACTGTAGTGGCTTTAGGGGTTATTGGGTTAGTTTGTACGACACGAGGGGCAATTGGAACGTTTGGAGCAATTGTAGTTTTCTTGCCAGCGCCCTGAATCGCTGGAGTGATACCTGAATCCAGGGATGATTCTGAACAATTTGAATTGGTGGGGGATAGAGGCTCTTGTTTAATGCATGTCTCTAGACCGCTATCTGACGAATCTGATGCATCTAGACGCCAGGCATCCGACATGTTTACATCGGTACAGAGTTCATCTGCCTTAGGGATTAAATCATCGTCAATTGACAATAAATCTCCAGCAGAAAAATCGGCAGGAATATTTAAGAATTCGGTGAAATAAGGATCTGAAACAATTGCGTTATAAGAATGGTCAAGGCGGCATGGGTGTCTTTTAACTGATAGCTACCGTTAATGTCCCAATCTGGCCGAAAGTCAGGGAAATCCTCAAAATTGTCTTGCTTCGCACAATTATCTGTCATAATCGAAGTAATTATGAAGCATTCACGAAAGAGAAATAGAAAATAGCATGTAAAAGGGGCTTTCAGACTCAGACACGTCTACAAAATATTTGTTCTTAGAAATGGCGTTCCGGAAGTAAATAAATTCGTAAAAGTGGGTCAATAAAATATTTCAGTAGGATATTTTGGCTTCAAAAATTTTTATTTGTTGAATTTAGGGCGGAAAAAATTTTGTATGTTGAAAATATTTGTACGAAAATAATACGACAGTGGCGCGAAGTTCAAAAATCACAGTAGGTGACGCTCGCCAGGCGTCGCCGCGAAGCGCATTGCATTTTGAGAGATCGGAGACGGCCGAGTCGACGGGACGTCTAAAAAGAGCTTTGATCTCCGCATAGGCAGGTGGCCTAAGAGCATAGCAGAAGAAGGAAGAAAACATCTGATCTACCTAAAGTCCTGCTTACGTTCGTTGTTTTAGTAGTTGTTGTATAATATTCATTGCATAACCATTACCGTAAATAATTAGCCAAGCATCTACATTCGTTGTTCGTGCATGACCGAATCACTTCAGTGAAAAATCCTTCCCTCTGTAACCAAACGCGGAGAATGATTGATCAGCCGTCGTTGTAGTAGCTTTCTTCTCCTGGCCATCTCGTTATCATTAATAGAAGTCTGACAATTTTTCGTTACGATAGTGTATCCCTGCGGTTTTCACTGTGTTTGCCTTGATGTGCAAGTTCAGACGATTAAGGCACGCGGTGAAAGCCACAGAGTGACGTCACGCCTTTCTTCAGAAATTGAGAAACGCCCCGAGACGGTTGGCGAAGAGTAAACAGGACAATCTTTTTTGAGGCGCCCTAAATTAACTGTAGTCTCGTTTCGTGCAGCTTTCTGCTATATTGACTGCGTTCTCTTTACTATAAAAGTATAACACAAAATAAAGGATAATGTTTAAGATACACTCATTTACATATTCCTTTTGTCCAAATATTATTTATTGTTTAAGAAAAGTAATTTGCATACAAATACACTGTTAAGACATTATGAACTGAGAGTTGGAGTGTTTAATATATATATATAAATTTATATACTGGGTGCGCATACGGTATGTGAGGAGCTAATCCGTTCGCCATCACGCAATGCGTTTCCCCCCGCCGGTCGAATATGTCATAATTTTTTAAAAGCGATCGATCGCTTCCGTCCGAAAGCGATCGATTAATACCCGTTAATGAAAAACAAAAAAACTTTCGCAGCATCGAAAAAATATATCAACGGTCCTGAAAAAAAATCAATAAATCGCGTGCGTCGACTAAATCAATCGTAGGCCAACCTCCATCCATCTCAGAGACGTCGCTCGCTTGTCAAGAGAAGGCGACCATTATATATAGAGAGCGCGCGAAATTCGTTAGCGATCTATTCTGATTAGTCTGCAGCGTTTTTGCAGGAGGAAAAAAACGATCATTGGACAATTGCAGTCATTGCACTTTCTATTGGCGTTGAGTAGTGTAGCAGGAGGCGGGAAGAAAATGAATTGGCCAAGTTACCATAGCGACGTTAAACCAATTGAGAACGCTGGGCGTCGAGTAGTGCAGTGCGCGGCGGTTTAGTCTCAACTAATGACTCGCTTTACTGTGTTAGGCCCGCGGCGTTTCTCCACTGACCGTCTATCGCGTTTTTTTTTTAGCAGTGGCACGTCTACATAATTCATCATTGCCACATCTATGCACAAATCACTTCCTCGTTCAGTTCAGTCACGTTCGGTACTTCTCTAAGCGACGCGAATTTAATGAATAATTGTTGTTTTAATACACCAGATGGCGCTTTATTGATTTAGAAAATCGAAATAGCTACAACTTCTAAGGTTTTAGTAAGCCTAATAAAACTGCATCGGCTTCAAGAAGGGTAATGTCTCTAGCAGCTCCCATAAAATAATTAGACAATTCTAAATCTCTCAGTCGAAGACGAACTCTAGCTCCTCGTACGTATTCAGCTGATTTGGCTCTAGGCCTTTTGCAGACACAATAGAATTTTCCACCGAAATCTATATATAAATCATCTTGGACTACCTCCACAATTTTTCCGTTAACAATCCTGCCATCAGGATCTCCTATTTGAAGATATTTTGATTCACGTAATAGTTTAGAAAAAGAGTCTGAATTTTTAAGAGAGTGTTGTTCTTTGGTTTCTACTTTATCCAAAACATTTATAACCTTCTCTACGGTTGACGATTTCTCTGTTTCAGTGGTTTTTTGAGTTGTACAATAGGGATGATTAATTCCGAGAGAATAAACGTACTTCACACCAACACGTGCCGCTTGTTGATATCGCAAGAGCGCAGCCATTTTTTCAGATATCACTAAATCTCCTGCTAGGCAACTGGTAGTCAGTACATTTAATTTATGAAAAATCCTAAATTGTGACTAGAGATTAAAGTTGTATCATATTCAATGTAAATATAATAAATAAGTACCTTTCATTTAAAAAAAACTAGACAAGAAAGTAAAATTTCAGTAAAAATCTTGTAATATTCCATTTCATAAAAAGATGTACATCTTTTAGTATATCCATTAAGGAAAGCAGTGGTATTTTTAAACAACACTGCTAAGAGAATTACACAGCATTATTATAGTAGTCTACTTCTCATTTCATAATATTTCATAACAAAACGGTCCGCAAGTGACGATTGGAATTTAGTGATTCCCTTAGAAAGGAGAATCACCTTTCTGACGTAAGATTGGGGTCAACCAATAACTAACTAGAATTTCTATCACGTGACCTCTAATGTAAGTGTGTTGTGTTTTGCAAACCAGCTAGACAGTGTATTTGGTTAAAAACAGAATTGTTGTGTTGTATTTTAATCTTTTATTTTTTTTGCTCAAACTGAATTATACCAATCTTTTAAACCAATAAATTGTAGTGAAATCAAGGTAATTTACTCAGAATAATTTTCGCAAGTCATTTTGCTTATATCGTCAATTAATTCTCAGAGAAAGTTAATATGGAATCAACGTCCAATCAAACTGCGCCGAAATTATGTGTAATGGGTTGTGGCTTTTACGGCTCGTCCACGATGGAGGGAATGTGTTCTAGATGTTACAAAGATCTTAGCAAGCAGCCTCAGGCCAGTAAAGGTTTGTAGACAAATGTAATTTTTTTTACCCTGATATTTATTGGACTATTTGTACCACAATAAAGAGTCTTCGGTTGGACAAGACGCTTCAGACTTAGTTGAAAAGCTGACTGTATCGCCCAAAGAACCAGAGTGTGCAGAAGAGGTCGAGGAGTCAATGACAGTTGAAAAGAAAGAAGACACGAAAAAAAAACGTAGTAACCGCTGTAAAGAATGTAGAAAGAAAGTAGGGCTAACTGGATTTAGCTGCAGATGCGGTGGTCTATACTGCAGTTTACACCGTTACTCGAATGAACACGCCTGCACATATGATTATAAAGAATCAGGTGCTGAAGAAATCCGAAAAGCTAATCCGGTTGTCGAAGCCAAGAAAATAATAAAAATTTGAAACGAACGACCTTTTACCTCTTCCACATGGCATTATACAGACCTATTCATTTTACATAATAAATTCTACCAGTTCTTGTTTCTTTTGTTTACTTCACTATACAATTTCATCCAGAACAATCGTAAATAACCTTGCGCAAAAATAATACTAAGGTGTACTGACGTCAAAACACCTGACTCATCGCTTAGTCACTATATACTGACAATACTATTTTTTGTTATCGTTTTTTATTTATTGGTAATATTTATGGAAAAAAAAACAACTCTGTAATAAATATACACTTTCATAATCTATTACACGCTTAATCGATCAATTTTAACCATAGTATGACTATATTTTATGAATTGTTTTTAAGTTGTACTATAACCTCTTATTTTCTACTTTGGCATAGGAAAGTAGAAAAAGGGACTACAAACCAGTTTAATATTGTGTGGTTAAAGCTAAAAATAGGAAGCAATAGAATTGACAGTCACGTTAACTCTGCCCGGCTTTAAATGCTGACTTACTTCAGATTATCCGAGGTAAGTGACGTTTTTGCTCAGCAGAATTCATTACATCGTTATTTTTGGCTTTGGCCAACAACGCTTACGGCTAGTTCAATTTTGCACTACCCCCTTTACCTGACATTTATGCACCTTTCACATAGCAGTAAAAATGACATTAAAATAGATTAAAATATATGTCCGAACTATAAACAAGGAAACCATCTTAACTCGTGTGCTGTCATCCAGTTTTGTTTATTCTATTATGATCACGAAGCGATTACCTCATCAAATATCATCTAAGTTCAGTACAGGCTAAACAAATAACTGGTAATGTTTGCTATCGTTGTTGCACCGACAGTAAAAAAAAAAGAAAAAAAGGCGAGAGTATTGTGAGAATAACACTACTAATTCAATAATTGAAAACATTCTATTTGCCTTTCGAAACCATGTTCCATTTTGTTATTAAAACGTTTTCTTCCAACTCGCCAAAGTTCGAATTGTCTTTCGCTAAATTCTTTTAAACATACTAACAAATAAACATAGTTTACATAGTATTCACAATTGATACATAGTATCTATTTATATATTATTATGATCTAGATAAAATAGAATTAACGTCACTTTTATTATGACGTTCAATTTTATTAGGTTCATACTATATATAGTAGTTTTTATTTGAACATGTAAACAGTACGACAAATAAATACCATATAATGTGTATGAAGAATTAGGACAGCCTATTTAGTTGGATTTTACGGCGACTCAAACCTAAGAGGATTACTAAAGCTTGCTAAAACTGCAAGATATGACAAAAGCAGTATAAAACATACAGTAGCATACTTTCGTCAATTTTTTTATCAAAATGTCCACCAGGTGGAGGTAGCTCTTAAACTATTAGCGACATCTACATGCCCGTTTTTATAGGCATTTCTTCGAAAGTAACTTATCTTAATTTGATGTGATCTGTTGATATAGGGAAAGTGTGAAATTTTCCGTGATTAATAAGATTAGATTGTTAAACAGAAGGAGAAATGTATATACTTTAAAGATGCTTTTCAAAAGTTGAAAGTTTTCCTCAACTAAACAACCAGTATTAAATATGGGCGATTTTATTCAGCATTCCAAGGTACTCTCTAAAATATCTATAGGTTAAGAAAAAAGTATAAAACGGGGCAATTTAAAAAAAAGAAATTAACAAAAGTATCAACAACAACAACAGTCGATTGTCTCTGAGATTGTCAAAGGCATTTGGATAAGTCTTCCTAGAAATGAAAAGATAGGGACGATTAACTACGATAATCATTTCTTTCTACTGCAATCTAATAATACGATTCAAACTCTATCCAGCCTCTTGGATATTTTCTTAGTAGGTATTTACGAACTTCATCGTAGACAAAAATTAGCAGGGAAAAGGGTATAGGAGGTATCCACCAGGTCCATCTTAGCGGATACATTCTTAATCCTTTATCTAAGCCTGGGCAATAAGCCAAAAATGCCGCTAAGGCCGTCTCGAAGAACAATCCGAATGTTAAGTGATTGTTAAACATTCCTTGATGAATTATTGAATTTCTTCTAGTCTTACAGATACATAAATCGGCCCATTGTACGATTACAATGGAAACAAAGAATGCAGTGTGACAGGTATATTCGGCTACTTTTCTCTGGGCGTACGTCCACTGCTGCCCGTAAGAGTCTTCTAAATTGCTTATGCTTTTCGAATCCCATTCTCTGCGAATACCAACTAAACGACTTGGCCAAAAACCCAATTCTGAAAAGATGACAAAATAAACGAAAAAACCAGCAGAGGCTTGCATCATTCCAATTTGACCGTATGCCATACTAATGAGCCTGTAATTGACGAGTTTGTCGTGAATTGGATCGCGGGGTTTTCTTTTCATTATGTCTGACTCAGCTTGTTCATATGCCAAAGAGATCGCCGGTACCAAATCAGTTCCAAGGTCTATACAAAGGATAGTAATTGTTCCAAGGGGTAATGGTATATCTAAGCATATGAACATTAGGAAAGGCGATATTTCCGGAATGTTTGATGTTAGTGTGTAAGCTATACTCTTTTTCAAATTGTCGAAAATTAAGCGTCCCTCCTCTACGCCCGTGACGATTGACGCAAAGTTGTCATCCAACAGAATCATATCAGCAGCCTGCTTTGAAACGTCCGAACCTGCAATTCCCATGGCAACACCAATATCTGCTTTCTTGAGGGCAGGAGAATCATTAACGCCATCCCCGGTTACAGCCACTATTTGACCTTGCCTTTGACAACCTTCGACTATAATAAGCTTTTGTTGAGGTGAGGTCCGAGCAAAAACAATTTCCGAATGATTTCGTAGAATATCGTCAATTTGCGCCGGGACCATGTCTCTCAAATCCGATCCATGAACAACACATGCCTCTGCATCTCTTGGATTAACGTCACTAATTGATACATTTAGTCTTTGCGCAATGTCTTCAACAGTTTCCTTTCCTTCCGAAATGATACCCACTCCTTTCGCAATAGCCTTGGCTGTAATTGGGTGATCTCCAGTTACCATAATGACTTTAATACCAGCCGACCGACATTTCGCAACAGCGTCAGGTACAGCGGCTCTAGGTGGATCAATCATAGACATAAGACCAACGAATCTTAAACCTGTAAGCGTAAAATTCTCTGGTTCAGTATCGAATTTAAAATCTGGTGGGAATTGGTCTCCCGGCAAGAAATAATCGCAAAAACCCAAAACCCTTTCCCCTAAACCCCCTAATTCTAAGTAGGCTTGGTTGAAAGCCTCTCTCCACTCATCTGATAAAGGTTTCTCCTCGTTGTGCACTAAAATTGAGGTGCACCTATCGAGAATTCTTTCAGGGGCACCTTTCATCACCAGCAGGTAACGAGAGTCATCCTTGTTGTCAGTTTCATGAATGGAAACCTGATATTTATTTGTAGAATTAAAAGGAATTTCGCAGATTTTTCTATTCCTTTCTCTAAACTCTGTTACATTTCCAATTGACAATTCAACACACTTTAAAAGGGCCGATTCAGAAGCATCTCCATTACAGTCCCTCTTCAAGACGGGAATACCTCCCTGACCAGATTTAAATTCAGCCCTATTACACAACATAGCAATTCTAGCTAAAGCCATCCAAGTAGGAGAGTCCTTATCATAAGTTGCATTAGTTTGTTCTTCCGACGTATCTGATTCATAGATTCTATTATCAAACCACATATGAGCGACAGTCATTCGATTTTGGGTCAATGTGCCTGTTTTGTCTGAGCAGATGGTTGATGTTGAACCAAGAGTTTCAACAGCTTCTAAATTTTTCACCAAGCAATTCTTGCTAGCCATTCTCTTGGCTGTCAGAGTTAGACAGACCGTAACAGTAGCTAGTAAACCTTCAGGAACGTTAGCTACGATGATACCAATAAGAAATATAACAGCTTCTAACCAGTCATAGCCAAGTATAAAAGCAATTACAAAGAATGAAATTCCCAGGAACACTGCAACAGCAGTTATAATGTGTATAAAATGGGTAATTTCCTTTGCAATCGGAGTCTCTCCCATTTCCAAGCCAGATGCCAGATTTGCTATTCTTCCCATAACTGTTTTATCGCCAGTTTGAACTATGACACCTTGAGCTGTTCCCTCTACAGCATTAGTTGAAAAGAAAGCCAAATTCCTTGTTTCGAGAGGATTTTCACTTGTACAATCGGCTCCACGAGATTGAGGTTCAGACTCTCCTGTTAGAGAAGAGTTGTCGACTTTAAAACCGTGAGAACTGACAATTCGAATATCAGCTGGTACGCGATCTCCGAATTTTACTTCAATTAGATCTCCAAGAACCAGCTCTTCGGCGTGAACCGTAAGCTTTTCACCATTTCTGATAACGATTGCGTATTGAGGTACCAAATTTTTAAATGAATCCATAATCCTTGATGATTTTGCCTCTTGATAATATGAAAAGCATCCAGTAACAACAACAACAGCCGTTAGAACAATTCCAAGGTATAAATTATCTCCTGGAGGATCTTCATCAGTAGAAGCCAGAATGGAATAGGCAACAAAGCAAAGAATAGCTCCGATCCAAAGAAGCATTGAGAAACCACCAAACATTTTTTTACAAAACTTGACCCATTCAGGAGTAGTTTTTGGAGGAGTTAGCTCATTGGGTCCATCCCTTTCCAGAATTTCTTTTGCTTTTTCAGGTTTCATACCCTATTAAGGTAATTAGGTAGTCTACGCTATGTGTTGTATAGAACAACTTGATAAAAAGCAACTTACAGTTTTAGGATCAGTTCCATATCTTTCAAAAAGTTCTTCTAATGGAATTTGGTGTTCATCCTTTAATAAGAAAAGAAAGTGTAAGAATTTTTATTTTCTAGATAGAAGCACTTGCCATTTCCAATTCTTGCTTTAAATCATCTAAATCTTCCTTCCTTTTTTGTTTCTTCTTCTTGCCTCTACCCTTTTTCTCAATATCATTCTCCGGCAGATCTTGGACATCATCCTGGTTTTCCGCCAGTTTTTCATCCTAAAAAAGTAATATTAATAATGTTGTGATTTCTATTCTTAAATTAGAATAGTCAGCTGATATAATTTATGAATATTGAATAGAAAGAAGAATGGAAAAATGTTGATAATTTTACGAGTCGAAGTTTTTATGTATATAATATGTAAGTATATTCAATATGTACCTTCCGATAATGATTTCACTTTCTTACAAGAGTCATTTCTTGCGAAATGCAGAATGCATTATAAGTTTAATTAACAACATATGAACCGGCATATTCTTTACTTTTACCTATCTTATCACTATAGACTATCACCATGCGTGTGATAAGATATTGATAAATTTTTATCGTCACCTCTTTTCCCTTGGCTATTTCCACAGACGCCATTTTGAAATCGCAATGTCTTGGACTGCAACGCTTTTAGAAAGAGTAGCGGACGTGACGCTATAAATGGCCGTTTTTTAATATTCAAATAGGACGTCATTTTTCTTTTCTGTAATGATAAGCAGTGAGTTCGGAAAGGGTCATTTGAATGACATTCTTATATCATTTCCGTCTGGAAATTTGAATAAGGGAGTTTTATTTCCCAGTCAGATTTGAGCCGACAATTAATTAATGAAGTCTAAAAGAATAAAATAATTGACCCAATACAATAAATTGACGAATTAAAACGATTTCAATTTACTTAGAAAAGAAAAATTACCCTTTTTAAGAAGTAATTAAATGATGATGAAGATATACCGAGCAATTTAAAATTTGGCAATTAAGCCAGCTAATTATAAGTTTCTTTTTTTAGCATTAATTTCCTTTTCTATCATTTAAAGTAGAAGGAATGAACATAAATGAATTTAGTGGTTGAATAGGACAAATTTAATATTAATAAAAAGTATATAGTATACAGGAGGTTTGTAAATAATATAGAGGTTATATGAAATATTTTCTATTTAAATTTACATCAAATATAGACATATGTAAAGTTTTTCTATTGAACATTTATTCTCTTTTATCGAATTGTTCTTAAAACATTTCCTCTCAACAATTTATCATAAAATTCTATAGATGTTTGATAAAGTAATATAGTATTTACATATCGATACTCTCATCTTATGTTATTTACTTTGTACATAAAAATGCTTGCATAGTCTATTTACAGCAATTAGCAAAATCTAATCGAAAAGAAAAGAAAAACCGCCTTTTATATTAATCAGTGTTTCGGTAGTGTTTTAGATCTTAAGATACTACATAAAAATAAAGGGGAGTCTAATTAGACGCTTTTGCTTTTCTCTGCTTTTTCATTAATGTTTCTTACGAGAAACCTTCTAAGAGTAAAGACTATTCCCCGTTCGTAAAAAGGCCTAATAATTAATAAATTCAAAGGAACAATTTTAGCGCTGTGAGGATAAAAACGTTCTCTGTCCGATGAATAGAAAATATTTTAGATGGGTTTTCTGAGTGCAAAACGCTGATAAAGAGGGAAAAATTGAGGGAAACTTGTTAGATCGATAAGGACTTTGCCTAGAGAATAGTTTGTTCCGATGACACCTTCTATAAGGTCGACTGAATAAAAGGTTCTATTTTATCCTTAGCATACTTCTTATCCGTGAAAATCAAGGTCAGCTGAGACGTTTTCATCGGCTAAATTTGTTTTATTTTTTTGAGAAGAAAAGCAGAAATAGACAAAAAAAACCTTTTCGTCTATACTGAAAACATTTTTGTCTGTTCTAATGTTTTACCTAGGCCTACAAGAGGCATAAAAAAGGTAAAAAACATTGCTTTATACTATTTTACAGTGTACTATGAGACCGCAGCATTTTTTAGTTATTTTTTCGATTGATTCACCAATATTCCGTTTTATTTGATTCCTCATCATTTTATCATTAGCTCTTTGTAATTTGTCCATAGTTATCGGTCCCGCTTCCCAATATAAAGGAAATTGTAGTTGGTAAATTTTGGTGGGATAAGCGTCCTTTCTTCTCTTTCCGTGGGCGTTTCCTTGTATTGATAGCTTATCGAGCACAGTTTCCTCAATTCTATTTACTATTAAAGTTAGCATGGAGGTGGGAGATCTATAAAGTTGATCATTGTGTTGGAAATGAAAAGATTTGCCTACCGGTAACGAAAATCTTTGTAGGGAAGTTTCCAAGTCTTCAATACCCTTTATGAAATTATCAATAAGATCCTTAGTTCTTAGACAATTGTTAATACATTCAAACGATGTTGGAATGATGAAATTCTGCTCTCCTCCTGTAAGGAATCGAAGTAAGCAACCGTATTCGCGTGTAAGAAATGGTTTTTCGTAATCCCTAATCGGTTCAATGACCTTTATATTTCTTTTCCTATCTAAACAACGAAGAATCTCTTCACACATTACCAAAACTAACCTACGAAGAGGTTGCATTACAGAATAATCCTCGGTAGACGGTATCTCATTGGCAATTAAAGCCAAGCATTTAACAAGAATAACGCCGTTCAACCTATTCGATTTTGTCGTCCTGAGGCGTTCCTCGACGCTCTCGGTTAAGAAAATCATTTTACGAACGGCCTTGAGGCAAGTTACTATTCTGTCGGCACTTTCGAGCAATTGGTTTTGAAAGATAGTTCTATGCTTAAACCTTTCGTCGGTTCGTTCGTCAGCCCTGTTGGTATGTGAACCAATTTTGTTTCTTGTTTTGGTCCATCTAACACTCCCATTATATATTGGTGAAAATTTGTTTTTATTTAAGCCTGTCTGCTTTACTAGGTTCTTTTTAGTATTATTTTTCATTTTTAATAGTCTATAACCGTTATCGGCAGCTGTATATATAAATGTGAATAGTTATTACGCAATTGTCTTCTATCTGGTTGTGTTTCAGCTAGTTTGCTAAAAAAAAAAGGAGAAACTTTGTCTTTTTATATTTTAACTGTAAGTAATTTTGTTATTTGAAATGGAAAAGATAACATTGTACGCTATTTTTCACTTATTACTCGTAGGCCTATTAGAATCTTAATAAAATACTGCACTGTATTTATTTAGATTTTTCTATTTTACTGTACAACTTATTTAGATGATCTCAGCCTATTTACAAGTTTAAATACATTTGGCATTAAGAAGGTCTTAAAAAGGAAAACAAAATTAGACGCTGTCCACTTCTATTTCTTTACCATAACGCAATAAGGCATCGCTTTCCTCTTCCAGACCTTCATCATCTTCTTCATTGCAGTAATACTCATTAATAGTCCGTAAATTTGGCAGTGTGCCAGAGGCCGGAGGGGTTCTCGGCCTCCTTGCAGGCCTCTTAACCGTTTGAATACGGCCACAGCCACAGCAGCTGGATGGTACCCGGAGTGTTGTTAAACATTCAGAAATCACTGGATTCCTCGGTTGATCGCTGCTTCTATCTGTGAGAGTCGATGCTAGGGTCGATTGACTGCATGCCAATGATGTTCCACCCGAGGAACATTCAGATAGAGGCCGCCTACACATTCGTAAACGAGCATGTGCGCAAACTGTTGATACAGTTCCTGCACCAAGCAAAGCAGATTTGTTAACCAACCGACTAAACCGATTGGCCCTAATAAGGCAAACAGCAACAATACATGACAAAAGTAGGCAAAAGGTCCCTAGAACAGACGGTATAATGATGGACAAATTATTTGTCTTATTTCGAACAGTAGGGGATGTAGGTATTCTGATTTGTCTTCTGCGCCATTCATCCAGGGTTCTATATGGAGGTTTGTGTTTACCCTGCAAATCAACAGTGGTCTTGTGACTAAATGATTTAGTTTCTTCTTCGTCCTCTTCTTCATCTTTATCTTCATCTTCATTAATAGCTCCTTCTCGCTCTTCACACTCAATTTCGTCTGAGCCGTCCGAACAATGCCAAATTCCATCGCACTTTAAGTGCCTATCAACACAAATTGACTGCTTCTTACATAATATATCTCCTTGCCTGTGACATTGGCCCTTAGAATCTACATAGTCGAAACCAACAAAAACTGCTTCAAAGTAATCATTATGATTAACAAAACCATCTAATTCTAATCTTAGACCTTTAGTAGAATTGAAACTTGGTAAACGATCAAGAATGATACGTTTAGGTTCTAGTTGAGCTATCAGATTTGAATAGCTCAGTATACCTGACTTTATGTTTATGGTTGCGTTACTGCTTTTAGAAGTAGACATACTAGTCAAGCGCACAGAAACCGAATGCCTAGATGTCAGATTATGAAAAAGCCAGTAGCAGGAATAAAACCCATCTTCACGAGGTTCAAATTTCAATTCGGCTGCCGGATTATATTTGAAAGCGCGACCACAATCTGTCGAGGGTTGTTTTATCCATTGATCCTCTTCAGTAAAGTAATATCGAAACCCAAAACCAATATCTGACGCCAAATTAACGACACTCTGGTCTGGTACGAATATTATGGTAACAGAATTAGAGTTTACTTGCAAAAGAGGCCTATGCCTTGAACCAACTAGCTTTAATAGAGGTTCACTTTTAAAAGTATTGTAAATCTGCCAGGAAAAATACGAAATATTGAGTATAAAGGCCAGATGCTGGGAAAAATAACTTACGGCTACTTTAGAGGTATAATATAACTCCCAGTCAACGAACTCGATCCTTGTATTCAGATTTGCATTTGAGCTTTCAATTTTATACGTGTAGATCTCGGAAGAAAGAGCATAACCAAGGGGAAAATTTGGGGACGTTATTAAGGTATTTAACGCCTCTTTATCACCATATAAATACTCCTTTTCTGTTTTTAAACAAAACGAAACAACATAAAAGAAATTAATACAATACATAATTAGAATTAATATTAATATCTAAATAGAGTATTTGTGGTTAACATTAAGCTTTTGTTTATGTTTTGTCTTGTTTTTCCTTCAAATAGAATAGTTAAATAAAACGAGGATTGATTACAAGACAGCCAAAAGGTCATTTCGTGAGGAATAGGCATAATTACCCTTTTTATATGTAAAAAAAAAATAACTATGTTATACAGTATGAATAATATACTAACTATAGACGGAGTATTTTAGTTCCGTCTCGAAAGGAAATCCCGATGAGACGCATGATTCTATCGTTAATCTATTCGATATCGTTTCAAATTTAGCAAATTTCTCTTTGGCAACAAAATTTGAGGTATAAGGGTAGTAATCTTCATATATAATAAGGCCGTTACAGCTGCAAAATTAAAAAAAAAATGAGAGAAATAATAGAAGGATGATGTAAATTATATTAATAAGTAATGGATTACGAAAGGGCCCAACAATGATGCATAGAAATATTTGTATATATAGATGCAGAATGCGGTATATGCAATATACTAATATATATTTACTGTATATATTGTATATATAACTATTCATTACTATATATACAATACAAATTGTAAACTGTAAACATATACATAATATATATTTTAATCTACATCTCTAATTACATATATACAACTTATATAGTATATATTCATATAAGAGCCTATAAATATATAAATTATTCTATTTGTTCTTTATTAACGAATAGGACACTTACTTTTTTGTACATTTCTTTCCCGAACACTCCTCGTTCTTTGTCACGTTTTTTAGTCTGACAACTTGAACGATAAATCTACAATCATCGCATCCCACTAATTTCGTTCGACACGGCAGATGGCTTGAGAATAGGAGGCTACCGGAAGACGACAAATTTTGCGTTGCTGTCCAATTAGTTGTGCGACACAAGTCCAACGAATATTCCCCTAGAGAGTTTTAGAATAATGAAAAGCATTCATATACTCTTTTCGACACGTTCTCACTCGTAGGAGGCTTACCGATGCAAACGAATGGAAATTGAGATAAGATTAGATAGATGAAGATTAGGCTCAAATCCAGCATGGTTTTTTTCTGTCAGTCCGGGAAGAGTGGATGGAGAGGGTAAACCGAGGTGGCCTGGCCGGGAAAAGAGACGAATTGTTCAATATTGATTTTCAATTGTAACACATAATACTTTAAGTCTCTTATGGACGTCTATTTAATCGTTGTTTCTATGCGCCCCTCTAATACAAAATTAAATGGTAAGAAAAAAAAGAAAAGAAAGAAAACTATTACAATCAGCGTTTTTTTCGTTCGCCGCCTGTTTATTCAGCTGTAGACGCCCAGGGGAGGAGCAAGAGTTCGATCGTTTTGCCTAGTTCCGTATAATATATGCAAATCAATTAATAAAACAAAAATCTTTAAATTCGTCCAGGAGTTTTGGCCCGTATCTGACGAGGCTAATGCGTCATCTGTAGATGCCGGTTACACTATCGATCGTTTTGAAAACACCTCAAACTTTCCACTCCAAAATCGTCTAAAATAACGTGCATCATTGATACTTCAGCAAAGTAGAGATAATCATTGAAATAGAGAAATCGTGCTCGACTTACCTGCAGACAAAAGTCAAGCGGCAAACTATTCAGAGAAAGCGAGATAGAAACGCCGTCTGGCGACCAACACTTTGCCCCTCATGTGTGTTTGTCAAATCGATAAAAGGAGGCGAATATGTACACCGACATATTGGCTTTAATTAGGTTCGTTAGGTTATACTAAGGCTTGTGAGAGAGCGTCAACAGATGTCTGTTGAAACAGGTTGCCTATATCTAACCTATTCTGCGGTATATTTTGTAAATAATAGACGGTAATTGCCTTTTAAGATCGCCGACTCGAGTTTCCGGTCGTCTAATTTGTTATACATAGAAAAAACAGGCCCCTCGAGATTAAAAGGGCGAAAGCATCTAAATGAATTTTTAAAGAAAAGTGCACATACACGCCAAGTTACCCCATTTTCTTGTTTCTCTCTTATATAATCGTTTTATCTATCAAAATAACTGCCTATAATAATAAAAAAAATGGTCATGAATATTCAAACAAATATAGGCAAAGTTGTAAAGTCCAACACGTGATCTTTCGATAACAAAAGCATATATATATATATATATATATATATATATATTATAAGTAGTACAGTAAAACCGACGTTGGGTTCAAAGCAACTAGATTGTAACGAAGGACGATGGCACCAAATTTTACTGGAAAATGGGAAATGGTCAAGCAGGAGAATTTTGATGAATACTTAAAGGCTTTGGGTAAATTTAATTATTGATATAGTTTAATACATTTATATAGTTTTTATATTTGATATATTTATATAAATTTATTGGTTAAGATAAGAAAATGAATTTAACACAGTTTTCAAGATAATAAGATGATTTCCAATGATTTCTTTTATCTCTAGAAATTGGTTTAATCCTAAGGAAAGCGGCCGCAGTCTTTGCCGGTAAAACAAAGCTTGATATTGAACAGAATGGAGATCATTTCGTTATCGTTAGAAATGGTTCTGAGAAGGATGAATTTAATATTGGTACCGAATTTACAACGAAAAACAAATTAGGAGAAATGAAAAATCTACCAAAATGGGGTGACAACGACCGTCTCGTCGTTGATATGACTCCAACAGGTAAAGATGGAAAGCCCAGTACTCTCTACAGATATCTCGCCTCTCCGGACGAAATGATTGTAGAAGTTCATTGTAAAGATGTTGTTATGAAACGATATTTTAAGAGAATTTAATACAATTCAATTTACTCAATCAAATTAATTATTCTGTTCTTGTTTTTTCAAAAAAACAAATATGTAAAAATTATTTAAATTATAAAAAAAATATCTTTTATTTCCATTTTTCTTTCAAGAGATTAGATCTTATCGAATTGTCACTAAAAGTGCTCTAGTTCTAAATTACAAATATAAATATATATATATATGTATATACAGCTTATTATAATATAAATTCCTTCTATCGATATTTTTATAAGAAAGTAGTACAGAATTTTAAAGGAAACGTTATCTTTATGAGATATCTTCGGTTAATCCGATTATGAGGTTTGCAATTAACCAAGTTGATAGTTCACGTCTGCTACGAACCGCAATATCTAATTCTATAAGACTCAAGTACGACGAGAAAATCAACAGTAACGAATACGCAGATGACAAAAGTCGAATTGCTTATTTAAGGAATAAATTAGTCAATTTTCAATACAAATTACAGAACGAATATGCTTCTCAAACGCTTATTTCTCCCTGTGCTATGTTAAAAGGTAATACGACGCCTAATCTATGTAAAATAGAAAAAAGACCTCCTTATACCCCAGTCTCTTCTCCTGAATCGGATGAGAATGACTCTAATGAGCTCAAGAGAAATATAAAAAAGATAAAGAAAAAGAGAAAAAAAAGGGTAACAAGGCCTATCGATTTAGATCTATACCAAAGATTGGTGGGTACCAAAGCAAAGTCGATGGACGACTTAAGAGGAATTAATAGGCCTAAGTCTATTACTAAGGGTCACAAACTGAGACCGTTAGCGCAATCGGTCAGCGAGCGTTTATATGTTATAAATAGCAGGAAAATTGAGAAAGAGATTGATCGATCTATTTCAAGACCTCGCCTAAAGTCGAATTATAAAAAAGTTTCTCTTAGTGCAATAGGTAAAAAACATTATACCGTAGCCTGTCAAACTGACAGAATCATAAGGAGGAGCGTGCCCGCAATGATCAAAGAAAACGCTTTCCTAACATTCAAGAGGCGAGCAGAGGAAGTCATCCGATTAGGTTCTGAGAATCCTGGCCAATTTACCAGGAATCAGTGGCAGTGTGTTAGCAATTTAGCCCTCAGGATTGTAAACCAAGGTTACAAACTTGAGGGTAAAGTTAAAAAGCGAAAAAATTACCCCAACCGTGTGTGCAACAAGAGTAAAAAAGATACAACTAAGGCTGAGAGTAAAAATGATACAAATCATCTATCTAAATCAAAAACTGAAATAGAAATGTGTCGTACCGTTAGCGACGAAGAAGATTGTTTCGGATTAATTGTCAACGTTGAACCTTTGAGCTTAAGTGACGAGGAGAATTTTGTAAACCCTACCAAAATTAAAGAAATAGACGCCGATCACTGCGACGCCTGTAGGCAACTGGCACAGGGTAGAAGTCAAACCAGGTCAAACTATTTAAAACTGCCACCCGTAAAAAGTCTCTTAGGAGTTTTAGATCCGATCGAGGACGAAATGTTACGTAATATTGACTCTTAGAATACTTGACACGTAGTAACAGAAAATTTCATTAATGTAGAACTACATGACCCTACTATAAAAGATTTTCTGTAAACGTAGATTACGAAATAATAGTAAAAGGCTAATACAATATTTACTTATATATTTGATGCATGTATCAGGGAAAAACTGCAAATTATATTTCTTTGTTTTCTGGTCAGTCGGACAAAAGAATTGAGATTAATATTTTTTTTCTCTCCCTCATTTTACTTGAAAATTTTAAAGCGAAGCGACAAAACATTCACAATTTTACACGGTTTTTTTTTTAAAAAAAAAGAGAAAGCACAATTAGCAAAAATAGTGACTGCTGTTGTAAAAAAAAAAGAGAGAGAAAACCCATATATAATATAACGAGTATATATATATATACTATTATATAAATATATGCGAAGGGGGAAACTCATGCAAAAAGGAAAATTCACTTTTTTCAATAAAATTTGTCATCTAAAACTCCAATCTAAAAGCTGGGCATCCTATTTCATTGTCTTGCAATTGAATACCACACCTACTTGCCGAAGGTGCTATCTTAACATTCTTAGTTCTCAAATCGTCCTCTCTAACTGCAATCCAATTACGCATAATTGGCGTATCGTAGGTTGGTATCAATTGAATTTCATCTTCTCCTTCGGTTAAACCGTCCAGGAAAGCATCTAAAATATAACGAGAAGGCGACAGACTACTTAACACGTAATGCTTGGCTTTAATCTTTGAGAAGAAGGCACTATCCACGTGATTTGGATCACCATGACATGGGATATAAGCCAAATCAACATTAAAACTTGCTGCGTTTCGACGGGCTTCAGCAAACGATGCACCATTTGTTCGCGGTGGTAGAGACATTCGACTGGAATTTGATCTAGAAGACGGATCAGCAACTGTGGCACTCCTGGCTAGTGGTCTACCTCCTATTGACATTCTTCCGGTGGCTTTAGGTGGTGGGGGTGGCAAGCTCATGGGTGGATCGACACCTTCTGGTAGAGAAGTGTCTAGCTGAGTTGGCTTTTCATTCTTGTTGTCGTTTGCATCTAAACTTCCAATTAAAGAAGCTGTCATTTCCGTTGGTAAATCTTTTACATCAACGGCTTCACCAATCGTTTCCTGCTTAGTATCGTCAGTTTTGTTTGCGTCCGCCCCATTCCCATTGTTTACATTTTCCTCAATATTCACTGTCTCAGCTACATCGTTCATTTCCGGTTCAATACTTTCCGTTATTATATCAGTTTTTTGTTCATCAGTAACGTTATCACCATTACCGTTTTCATTTGACGATTTAGCAGTTTCATTATTATCAATAGATCCAGGATCTCCTGAACCATCTGCCGGTGTTCTATCCATATTCTCCACACTATTATTCTCTTGTGTCTCTACAGCTTCTGTTCTTACTAATTCTTGGGGTTCTGTTTTCGGTTGCTCGACTTCCTGACTTCCAGTTGTTGTTTCACTTGGCTTTGTTTCTATAACTTGTTCGGCTTCAGCTATATTTTCTGGTTCCTGTTGTACAAAATGGGCAGGATCACCATTCATAACTAGTGGAGGCTGTTCAACAGATTTTGGTGATTCAGTTTCAATAGCTTCTTTTGAGACAGGCGCTTCTCTTGGCGATGCTTTTTTAATATCCGTTTTAGGTTTTTCTTTTTTTACAGGTTCTAAAATGTTAATTCTATTATATTTAACCATTGCAAACTTTATACAAAAATACCTTTCTTTGTTAGTTTATCTTTAGGCTTAACTGCTGCTGCTCTTCCTACTGGTGGCCTTTTGCTTGGTTCAGCTTTTGTTGTTTTTTCAACTGTTCTCTTCGGCGTAGCCGACACTGTTGTAGCAGAAGTTACAGTTTGCTGCTTTTTAACAACTTGTTTAGAGGTTGCTGTTGTAGGCCTGGAGTCCATGGATTTTGAAGCTGAGAGGGGTGGTCGTTTAGCCGGTCCAGGAGCTGGGGTTGTTCTATCAATTTTTGTTTTTGAATCCCGAGTTGTGGTCAATGATTTTTTCAATTCCGGCTTTGTTTCTTTCGGTGGAATATTCTTTTTAACTTCTGGTTTGGTATCTTTAACAGGAGGTGGCTTCTTTAAATCAGTCTTAAGAGAACTTGTACTCTTGCTTGATAGCGGTGGAGTTGTGGTAGGTTTTTTAAAAGTAAGGGACTCTTCAGTACAATTTAGCTTTTTAAAAATATCCAAAGATTTTAACTTTTCAAGCGAATCTAATAGCTTGTTTTGAGGACAATTTCCAGGAAATAGTATTCGTACAATATTATCCTTTGGTGATGCTGGTCGCCATACAAGTATGACTGATACCGAGACTAAATGTGTTAAAGAGATCATTGCCTCCTTTCCTTTGGATTTACATACTTTCTGCTGGGAAAAGGAATCAACTCTTTTTGACCACTGTGAAAGAAAGTCTTTTATCTCTTTTGAATCCTGTTGGGGATTAAGAACGTACAAATCCAATGAACCGTAGCCTAATTTCTGGTATAAATTCAAGGGCTTTGTGATATCCTTAGAAGCAAGGCAATTAAGACGGTTTACATTCAATCCACTCAGGTTATCAACAATTCCAGAAGCAACATCAGCCATATTTACGTATAAACTGTCTGTTTGTACGGTAGACGGTGTTTTTGCGTTTGGAGCGTTAAAAAGGGTTGTACCGATGTCGGGATGTATCTTCTCAGTCAGCTTTTTCTCTAACATACTATTTACACCGAATAGATTGTCGGAATTTAAATGTGTAACTAACAAGGCATCAATTCTATCCAAATGTTTCACAAATGGCCAAAAGCAGGACTGACGGGAGTAGCCTCCGTTTGCCATGAAAGTAAATCCAGATATACCGAAGAAAGCAGAATCGCCTTCACCAGCTGGGAAAATATATAAGGTTGGTCTATTGAAACGAATATTACCAACAATATTGGACGCTTCTAATGTTTTTGTGACGTCTTCAAATACAAGCATGTTTTGAACATAAGAAGCGAAACTATCAATATACTGAGGGGTTTCCACCGATCCTCCATCTGGATTTACGACTAGTTTCCTAAGGCTAGTTAAACCTTTCTTTAACAAGCCATTTTGAGTCCATTTCCCCTGATTAAAAGCACAAAGCACGAGCTCTAAATCCTTATTTCCAAGAGCAGTTATTTCTGATGCAAATTTGCCTGAAGTGTAAGTTTCCTCTTTCAATGGCCAATCGCCAGAACCTTGTAGAACAACACCAGAATAGATGAAGTGTGCATAGTGTGCATTCTTCAGTTTTGCGATTGAAGAACTAAGAATGGCCGATGAAGGATTGTACAGGATGTTTAATTCAAAATTGTCAGTTACGTAGGTGGCGCAATTGTCCGAATCTACAAAAGGCAAAAAGTAAAAAAATAGTTGAAATAGTGGAACACTTTTGTAAATAGCAATTACTTCAATTATACTGCTATACAAACGATTAACAAATCAATGACATATGGGTATTCATATGTCTACAATTTAGAAAATAGATATAACAAGCCTAAGCGGAAATGTGATATTTAATTGAAGCAAACAACTAAGATAACGTAACTTTCAAATCGAGGTCGATTTAGTTAATTGTTTACATAAGAAAAACAACAAATCAATCAGTTGACGTTTATCGTCCTTTACTTAAGCATAAAAAAAGTCGAGCTATGAGTTATAGTTTCGGTATGTCTTTACTTTTGTGACAATAAACCTAGCTTGCGTACGAATTGAGGTCATATTCTATTCAACTATGCTGCCTATTATTTAATATTTTCTTAAGAAAAACCGAATATACAGAATTACGATTTGTGTACCTTGTTTAACGTCTTGCGATAAAAAACTATTTAGCTCTTGTTCCAAATCCACTTTACTTGACTCTTGAATCCAAGTTTTCAAATCTGTTAAAAATATTCATAAAAAAATGTTTGCTATAATTTATCATTATCAGGCGACATATCTTGCAAAATAATTACGAAACTAATAGCGGCTTATAAGGAATATAGTTTGCATTACTCACCGGAAGTGACTTTTTCTAAAATTAACGCCTTTTGCTTCTCTGTCCATGGTTCATTCAGTACAATGCTTAGGAACGCTTTGGTCTCGTTACTGTTCGCTTGTTTTTCACTTGTTCCCACTTCGGCCATCTTCTACTTCTCAGGCCGGGTGACGTCACTCGTCTGCCACCAGAAGTCGCTCTTTGGCGGGAAAAAATTCTTAGTCTGGTTCCTATTCCATAACACTTTCAAATAAAGACATGGAATACGGATTACTAGACATGTATTCATACGCTTTAGCGAAAATGATTTTTAACGTTTTTCGATTAATATTTTCCCCGTGTATTTTAAATTTATTCTTATGGCGCTTAAAAAATAAATGAAAAGTAAATATAGTGTTTTACGAGTAAAATTTTAAATTTCATAAGGACTATTTCGTGTCAATTTAAAAAACGGCCGGATGTGACGCCATCCTGCATAAATTAAACGGCGTGCGTTTGTAAACGATGCGTGGTATTTAAACATTTTGGTGAGTTTTTTCGCTTTTACCTGATTTGATGAGCGTCTAAAGTGTCAGAATTTACTTCTTATAGTTTGTTTTACCTATATCTTAACGATTGTGTATTCTAAATTGCAAAGGTATATTGTAATTTCAAAAATATTTGACCGTTTTGTGTTTACATTCCCCGCCTCCAACCTTCCTTTGTTATCATTCTTTGCATTCTCAAATAAAATTCCTTTTTGCTTTTACAGATACTTTCAAATTTACCAACGCACTGAAAATATGTATCACGGACCACCAACACCACAACGACATCAAAGTACGTACATTGGTTTATTGTTTTCGTACCGATAATATATCAGATAAGCTTGTCAATATATGTCTGAATGAGTGCTATTGAAATAAATTTTTCATTCTGGTTTTTCAGTGGGCAGCAGCGGAGATGCTTATATGGGAGATGGATCCATGGGCCCTGCTGGTGGGATTGACTCAAAGGGTCAAATTGTTATGTGGCAACAAGGCCAATACCTGACCGACTCTGGAGTCCAATCCGGTGTTACAACTGGCGCGCCCAGTGTCTCTTCCATACATGATGAGATTGAACAACAGTCAACTAGTGCAGGGAGTGGAATGGACACTTCTGTTCTATATGCTCCTCCACCTGCACAATACCCAAATCATCCGCCACCCCCTCCTCAACCCCCATCTGCTGAGCAAGCAATGGCGGAATTAAGAAACGCTATGTTTCCAGAAAATATTGAGGACCAAACAATGGTACAAGATGTAAATAGCCCTCAACAGCCACCGCCTCCACAACAGGCCCCAGACCACATGCTTAACACGGCTGTAGTTAATTTAATCAACTATCAAGATGATGCCGATATAGCAGCCAAGGCTATACCAGATTTAGTAAAATTATTAACCGAAGAGGATCAGGTTGTAGTTGCCTCTGCTGCTTCGTTCATTCATCAGTTGTCAAAGAAAGAGGCACCCAGACACGCAATCATGAATTCACCTCACATGGTTACGTCTCTAGTTCATACACTAACGAATTTCAGTGATCACGAGATTATGCGATGCGCTGTCGGTACTTTGCATAATTTGTCACACCACAAACAAGGTTTACATTCGATATACCAAGCGGATGGCATACCAGGCCTAGTCAAGCTCTTAGCAAGTCCAATCGAAAGCGTCCTTTTCTACGCAATAACAACCTTACATAATCTGCTTTTACATCAAGATGGATCGAAAATGGCCGTTCGCCTAGCGGGAGGCTTACAGAAAATGGTCGCTTTACTGGCAAGAAACAACGAAAAATTTCTTGCTATTACAACTGATTGTCTACAAATTTTGGCTTATGGTAATCAGGAATCAAAATTGATAATTTTGGGAAGTGGCGGTCCTGTTGAACTTGTAAGAATTTTACGTCAATATTCATACGAGAAGCTCCTTTGGACTACTACTCGAGTTCTAAAAGTGTTATCTGTTTGTCAAAATAATAAGCAGGCAATTGTTAAGGCTGGCGGAATGCAAGCGTTAGCCTTACACCTGTCTAGACCAAGTGTACGCCTAGTCCAAAATTGTCTTTGGACTCTAAGAAACTTATCAGATGCCGCCACTAAATTAGGTGGATTGGAAGAGTTGCTGAGAATGCTTATTCATCTCTTGTCTAATCAAGACATCAACATCGTAACCTGTACCGCCGGTATCTTGTCGAACTTAACGTGCAATAATCAACAAAATAAGGTCACTGTTGTACAAGCGGCCGGTGTTGAGGCTCTGATTAGAACCATTTTGCATGCTGGAGACAGAGAAGATATTACAGAGCCAGCTGTTTGTGCTCTGCGTCATATCACATCGAGACATGAAGAAGCTGAAGCCGCTCAAGATATCGTAAAGCAGCATTATGGCATCTCTGTTCTTGTTAAATTGCTTCACCCCCCCAGTCGTTGGCCACTAATTAAAGCCGTTATTGGATTAATTCGTAATTTGGCTTTCTTGCCGTCGAATCAAGCACAATTACGAGATCAAGATGCTGTCAGTCGCCTCGTTCATCTACTCTTTAAAGCTCATCAAGATATTCAAAGACGTCCCGCTCAGTCTGTCGATGGAGTAAGAATGGAAGAAATTCTCGAAACTGCCGGTGGGGCCTTGCAAGTAATGGCTAGAGACGAAGGAAATCGTGCAATTATTCGAAAAGCTATAAAAATACTGGTTGAAATGCTCTACTCAAATACTGAAACTATTCAAAAAGTTTCCGCTGGAATTCTTTGCGAATTAGCATCGGATAAAGAAGGAACTGAAGCCATTGAATCTGAAGGTGCAAGTGCACCCCTAAGTGAATTGGTTCGCTCACCCAACGAAGGAATTGCGACTTACGCAGCCGCCGTTCTCTTCCGTTTATCCGAAGATAGACCCACGGGAGCGTTTAACGGAGCCGAAGCAGCTGTCGCTGGATCGCAGTTCCCTTGGCAACGTGATCCGAACGGTGGCCCAAGTTCGACGGCTAGATCTCAAAGTAAGCTCATAAATTAAATAACAAAATAATTGAATTAATACATTTTTTTGTTTTAATAGCATTTGTTCCATCATCACCATATCAACAACAGCCGCCTCCACCAGCGCAACCACAGCAGCAACAACAACAACAACCACCACCACCACCTCAGCAACATCAACGAATGTGGTTCGATACTGACTTATAAACGCAGTAGTGGAACATAAAAGAAAGCGTTCAGTAAACAAGGCATATCGTTGCTTTTTATTTGCATGGTTTTTATAATATACTCGCCTTAGTTTTAAGCAGATGTTCGTATATTTTAATACATATTTTTTTTGTTCATGCACCTTACAAGAAAGCTATGTTTAAGTTTCAGTGAGTTCTTAGCATTTTTTAATATATGTAAACAAAAATTATATTTCTATTGGGTTACTTTGATTTTTTATGTATTTTTCAGTATTTGATAAGAAACTAAGTCATTTAAGTAAGTGTAAATAAGATAAGATTTTTAAAGATCAATAGGCCAAAATCAAGCCAAGCTTTCTTTTCTTAAAGTAGCATTAAGGAGATTGAAGTAATCACTGTGATCCGTTTCTTTTGGTAATAATTGACGATAATGTCTATCGCATACCCAAATTGATCTTCCATCAAATTGTATTTTAGTCAGACCACAAATTCTTCGACAGTTTGATGCCAAATTCAGCCTACTTCTCAGGAAATTACTATCTACCTTATCTAAAGGATACTTCAGAGTTGATATCTTAAATTTTGCTTCCAGATCTTTAAGCATTCCATCTAAAGTCTGCGTGATTTGCTTCGTTCTAACTGCCATATCATTGGCCAAAACAGACGAATCGCTAGTAATTCGAAGTAATTGTAAAACGGCTAAAGTATGAGGACCGTACTTGTGCATTATTTCGTCGACGTTACGATGAAGGGCCAGCCCTTCTTCCGGACTTATGTGCAAACCATCGGGAAATTCGCATACAGCATGTAAAGCATACGCAGAATATTGATTGGGGTAGATAGTTTGTTTAGCAATATTTAGGCCATCACCAACCGCTGGTAGAACGACAAAATATGTTGGAAATCCATTACATTTCGCCGAAAGATCTGATTTCTCTTTAGGTATTAATTTCTTTGGTATTTGGCCCTTTATAAATTCGAAATTTGCGCCGAGCTGATGACCCTGCTCGCATGAGACATCTGATTCGTCATCATACGATAGAATGATGGAAGGGAATCTAGCTGGGTTTTCTACATTATTAAATAAACATCCAGGACAAATGATTGTGTTGAGGAGTCTGGAGTTCATAGAAGCTTGAGATTTGAGTCCTTCATAAGTACTAGTGACTTTGTCTAAAATTCGATCAAGAATATCGATACCTTCGTGTATATCTCTGTCGAATGTTGTTCGTATTTCTAGTAATAGAACATTTCTTTTCAACTGAATGTGGTATGCGAAACCATCTATTACTTCGACAATGTGAGTTAATAAGTACGTGGATTTTACACCTTCGTAGACTTCGTCTGTCCGATTTTTTCTTAATGCAACTGTTAAATCGGGAAAGAAACTTGGTGGAGCAATTGTTGGTAGGGTAACCATAAAAACAAATTGTAGTTCATCATCTTCTGGAAATTTCCTCCACGATGTTTCAGGAGGGTAGCCAGCCGGTAATCTCGAGGGTGCTAACAATAATTTTGTTCCACTCAATCGAATACAAATTGACAAACTTAGTAGAAAGGATAAGGCATCTTGGTCCAATTGTTTAAGTAATAAGTCTTCTTGTATCAGGCCTACATTATTAGGATCAGATGGTATGGCGTGTATGGTTGAGAGACATTTTGCCAACCATTCAGGTTGAAGAACAATAACGGTATTATTTGACCGAGAAGCGGTGACGACCGAACCAGAGTTGGCGAACCTAGCTAACATTAAAAGGAACTCTTCATCATTTTTTACGCCATGAACCTGAGCTAGCTTAGCCATTTCATCCATGGTTATTACTGGTTTTTCTATTCTGTTTAAAGAATCTTGTAGTTGAGACCATCTTCTTGGGATATATGAATTTAATGATATTGTTTTCCTGCAAATGTTTTCCATATAGGTTTTAAGAGATTCAATGTTGGCCCCGTCTGGAGAACTGACTTCAAAATAAGCAATAATGTGAGGTGAAAAAAGAGGTGATTGTACTCCATCTGCGCCTCCGCTGTCATCCGTCGCGTTTTCTATGTCATTCGCCGTAAGATTTCCAGTTGGAGGGCGTCTTTGAGGTAGACAACCGACAGTACAGAGTATACAATCACTGCACGAGTCCATACGAGTGTGTTTGATCTTGCAGCGACTCAATAGTTTCCTTACTTCTGTCCATATTTCTTGTTTAAGATCATCGTTCAACGATGAATGATCGGCATGTGTTCCAACAATAATAACAGAGGCATTCGGAGCTTTTGAATAGATATAAGAGAGCCATAGTTGAAGTCTTCCAAGAAGAAAATTTGATCTTTCAACTGTACATTCAGTCCATTCATTCATTTTGAAAACTGTAACGTATACGGCTCCAGCAGTTAAAAAAAACCCGTGGTCATCGTACAAATCTGCCGAACCGCCACAATCAAAAATCTTAAGAACAATTTCCTCGCCAAGATTTACTTGCCGAACATCAACACTCTTGACCCTTGAAGCTTGGCGCATGTTCGGTCGAGCAGATAGTTTTAGCTGGGAAAGTCTCCTAACAACGTTAGTGCTGTTGTGGACGGGGTGAAGTCTTTTAATTAGACTAGTCTTTCCGCATTTTTCCTGTCCAACTACAACCATTTTCATAGTATTGCATGGAACGGGATCTTCCGTGAGAATTCTTAAATAGGACTTTAATTCCTGAACAGATAACTCATCGGAAACATCCTCTAATGGATTATAATTCAGAATGATGTCTTTTAGCTTATTCAATGTTGACAGCGAAGTCGGAACGGTCTTCAACTTATTCTGCTCTAGATCAATGGTTCTTAATTGGGAGCATAATCCTATATCTTCAGGTAGGCTTATTAGCTGGTTATTTGAAACATTTAGCTGTCTGAGGGATGTGCAAGAGCAGAGTTGATTAGGAAGAATTTTTAATTGGTTCCAGGAAACATCCAAGATCTCTAGGTTTGTTAACTCAAAGGGGGGTAGACATGTAAGATGATTCTTTACTGCTCGGATAACTTTTAGCTGCTTAAATCGTCCTATAGAAGCCGGTAGACTTGTTAGACGATTTTCGCTAACGTCTAAAGATTCCAGAGAGTCCAAACCTTCCAGCTGTAATTGTCTCATTCCACATTCCACAATGATAAGATTTTTTAGAGAAGAGAAATTCAATAGATTCCCAGCTCTTATACTGGATTTTAATATTGTAAGTGTTATGGTTTTGCTTGGGAAACACTTTGAAATATTTGAAGTATTCATATCCCCCTTTACATTCCTTAATAAAATGTGTTTTGTAGGAATATCGAGGGTCTGATATAGGAAAACCCCAAGGTCATTCGCCGCTTGTCCATGGGCTAGTAATATTTCAACACACAGAAAATTTCTTAATGAGAAGCTCTTGACCACTGAACAACTTCTAGATTGTTCCACCACGTAGGATCTCCTTAGGTCGTCTTCAAGGTTCTTTTCTTGACTTTTTATAGATCTCAAGAGAATGAAAGGCGCCCTTGGCCTTCGGTCAACTGAATGTATGAAATCGACGATAATTCCAACACAATTAACGTGACCATTCTCAACAGCGGAGTAAAGAGCGGTTTTACCTTGCTTATCACGTTTCTCTAAATCGGCACCATGAGATAAAAGATACATAATAATTTTATGATAACCTCTTGCCGAAGCCTTATGTAAAGCCGTTCGTCCATTGGAATCGGGGACATTAATAATAGTTTTGTTGGACTTGTAGTACTTTCGTACTTCATCCACGTCATTTCTGCAAACGGCTTCAAAGAAACCGGAATCAGCTGAGTCAGGTTCGGAAATGTTAGAAATAGATGTCCATAAAGCTTTTGGAGGAGGAAGAGCCGTGGTTGTGTCATCTCTCTTCGCCTCCTGCTTTTTCAACTTGTTTGAAATTTTCTTCAACATTCTCTCTCCTATGTTGCGTTGAAATCGCGCCCAATAACTTTAAGGCCAATAATGTTCAATATATATTCGACAATCAAATCCTGAAAGCAGGTAAATAGGCCTATTCGCCTTTCACAAAGGGAGGGAATAAGAAAAAAGCCTAGCTTAAACATACTATATAACCGATATTTATCTTTTAGTAAAAAAAACAAGGAAGAGGAGAAAAAGTGATATTACTCATACAAGATAAGGATGTTACTTATCTATATTTGAAACGATTATAGATGAAAACGGAGTGAATAGGAAGATAATATGCTCTTAAAGATAAATTAATTAACTAATGTAACGCGATTGATAAATAATTAACAAAGTCATCTGAATTAGTTGAAACCTTTTGTCTTATTCGAATAATTAGATATAATTAAATTGGATTACTTAGTATATATATTATAAATACATTATTAAGTATAACGTAAATATGTACACATACTCGTCTCTCATTTTTTTCATTCTCTTCCCCCCTTCATTGATTATTAATAATAAGGCTTTTTTTAGTATGAAAAGAGGAAGACGAGGAAGAAGAGGGAAAAGAAATTAAAACTATATACGAATATATGCTATATATATAATTTTTTTATTATATATAGTATAGCCTTCTTATATTTTCTTTTTTGTTGTTCTATCCTTTAAAGAGGACTTTCCTTTCCAGTAATTTTTTGAGGAGGAGAGAAACTAGTTTATTCGATATTATTACTTTAATCTTCAAATGAATAATGAAATTGAAAAGTTTCGTTTGAAGACGTTCTTCCTTATAAAACTGACATATCGCTGTGGGCATATTCAGTCTTTAAACTAGTTAACAGTACTCGAACCTTTTTCAAAGGCGATCAATTGCATTTAAAGAAAAAAGAACAGAAAACACAAATAAGGCAGGAAGAGAAATACTAACTGCAACTAACTAAATCTCTATTTTCCGTGCGTGCTTTAGTGACTATGCGTGGTGCGTTTCTCTACCTTCACCTCTCTTTTTGTGTGTTGTCTGCATGATGTTTGGGTATGATTTCTACGCGAATTATTAAGTTATCAATTAATTTCTATTCTCTACGTTTTTATCCGAAATTCTTTGTCTACTATTCAAAGGAGCAAGTTAAAATTCATATGGAAGAAAAAACAGTGTAAATATACCGGAAACGGGGATATTTTTACATGTTTCTTATTGTACGTTATTCGATAGAATAAGTCTTTAAGTAAAGAGAGAACGTAAGAAAATTTCTTCTTGACCTATACTATATATTTATAAAATTTTACAGCTATTGTTTATATACGCATAACAAGAGTAAGGAAAAGGTTGAATTTAGATCTCTCCTCCAACGCTAAATATACGTTGGACGGTGAGGCGATGACCTTAACTTCACTCTTCTATCTTTAGATAAAAGGATAATGTAAACGTATTAGAGTATTTATTAAATTTTATCTTAATTGTGCTGGAATGATATGTAACTTTTCTATTTGATTAAATCAAACCTTGTCGAACGATCTTTTCATTTTAATATCCGTAAACGCTGTTACTGTGCAGTCTTCAATTATTTAAATGGATTCTGGGTTAATGTACGTCAGCCTGTTTACATTTGAAGTTAGTTATATGACCTGTGTAGTTTTTCACTTTTCTGGATTCATATTCAGTCATAGTGACAAAATTCCTTTCTTTATTCAACAATAATTGCAAATTAATTAAATGTTAAAGTTAATAATATAGGTATATTTAAGGAAATTTCAGCCTATGTTTGATTACAAGTACATAAATTTTAGACTATTTATATATTGAAAAACAATATTATGTTTTTTATTTTATGGGTCAATTATAGGACATTGGAAAAGATGAGAATAGAAATCATTGGGCGGACATTTAGAGCAGGACAATGATTTATCTCATAGTTCATTAACCTATGGCGTATTAGCAGAGAAAACATTGAGGTTATCCCAGTACATCTTTGCGGCGTCTAGCCTATCAAGAGTTTATTAAGAAAGAAAAAATTTAGAGACGTCTAGTAACGTATATTAAAAAAATATAAACATACAAATGCTGATAATATACCATATATATATGTATGTATATTAGTTCTATGTAACAAAGACTAATAATGGAAAGAGTACACCATCACTCATTCACTTCTATTCTTAAACCAGCTTTCATTCTGTTATAAAGAGAAAAGCTGTAGGAGGTTTATATTTAAGAAAAAATAGAATCCACAGAATATTTTATATAGTAATACGTATTTTGAATATATATTTGCATTTATAGTATAGATATAAACATAAACATAGTGAACATAGTGGCGTGCATCACTAGATCGTGAGCAGATTATTAACATTTAAAATATAGTTCTTAAAATATTAATTAAGAAAAATATTTATTATATACTATGTCTGTTAATAATATTTTGATGAAATGAAAAGATTAACCAAAGATTTACTATCTAATCCTTTATTTCATTAAATCCATTTAATATAATATTTATGAAGTATAGCATTTTTATAGCGAAAATAAAAAATAAATGAAGCCATAGGAGACTTTTTTTATTAATTGATAAAAAATAAATTTAATAAATTTAAGATGAATCTAGACTTATGAAATTCTATAGATAGGTATATATATAAAATATATATATATATATATATATATATATATTCGTTTATAAATCATTGCCGTCTGCGAGCCTGAGGAGAGCATAAAATCTGTAAAGGCACTCTAAACGCTAATAGGTTAGCGCTCTAACGCTCGTGGTGACGCCCGCTCTGGTTTTCACTTACAGAATATGGAGGATAGTGGACGGAAGGCGCAGCTATTCTTTGTCTCTGCAGCCTTTACGGTTAGCCTTTTATGTAATGTTGGAGTTTTCGTCATCTTCTATAGGAAGAAGAGCTTGATGAGTACATCGAATAAATTTGTTCTAAGTCACACCTTGGTAAACACTTTTATCAGTATTTTTGTTCATCCAACTTTACTGGTTTCAACGGCATTCAACGAATGGCCACTGAGTGAATTTTTCTGCAAACTTGTCGGCTGTGTCTTCTGTTCACTAGTCGCTTCTTCCACGTTGTCTCTTCTACTTATTACTATAGACAGATGGTTAGCCGTTACAAAGGCCCTCCGATATCCTTCTATTATGACTAGGGTCAAGTCGAATACTTTAGTGGCTCTATCTTGGCTTATCTCTTTACTAATCGGCTTTGTAGCCCCTCTAGTTGAGTACCAGCCATCACTAAGTATCTGCTGGCCGAGTTGGAAGAGGGGAGACTGGTTTGGAACGACTTATTTTTCACTGATTTTTGCTACTCCTCTATTGTCCATGATATGGATTTACGGTAGCCTCCTACATCAAGTAAATAGAAGTTGTCGAGAAGCAAGGAGGAATAGTCAGTTGTCTAGTAATTTAGATGATAGAAGGCCGAGTAGATCAAGCTTCACAGCAAGAATGCTAGAGATCTTCCATAAAGATAACATGATGGCTGCGAAAACTTGCCTTATAATGACTGCAACGTATGCCTTTTGCTGGGCACCATTCTTTACAGTATTGCTTTTGGCATCTCTGCAGCATAACCCACCGACCGTTGTATGCCTAATTGCCCTTGATTTCGCTCTATTATCTTGCATAGTTAACCCTGTCATATATGTATTTCGAAATAAGCAAGTGCGAACTGAGATGAACTCGATGGCAGACAACAGAGGTCGATGCTTGAAACGGATATGTGTTGCAGTACGATGTTCCAAAAATGATAAGCAGAGTATTCCAGTTACCAGCGTCTAGTACGTTCTTCTTCCTAATCCAATTTTCATTCTGATTCTAAAAAGACAACTTTTCAATATTTACTTTCAAAATTCATTATTTAATTGTTAACATTTCAACAATTGTATTTTTTTACAAGTTCTGATTCATGTTTTCTATCGATGAATTTTAAAGGATATCTGTTAAAGTTCACATTCGACAAGTGCCATAAAAACAGCTCATTATTAGACTTGGAACAAAATATGACAAGCCGAACCCTAGACATCCACAATTGATTCACCTTGACCTTTGAAAAGACGTCTTTTTTCTCTGACGCTCCTCGTTAACGATGAGAGAGAATGGGATAGAAAGAGGGAAAATGAGCAAGCAGTGTAAACGATTTTGGATAACTGGGTAAAAGTTAAGATTTGCATAAACCCTCTTTTCCCTGCAGAAAAAAAGCCATAGAAACTTATATATATATATATATATATATATATATTATTTCAATATATATATATATATACTGTATATATACATAAAGGATGAATATACTGTGATACAAATCGTCTTACATCAGCTGCTCTCAAATAGAAACAATGAAACGTGACCGTCATCCACAATTTTCGTGCTAATAGAAAAAAAGACAGTTTCATACGAAAGAAAAAAAAAAAACAAGAAGTGAAAGAGAAGGAAGAGAAATCTACTCACGTAAAGAACATTCGAGCATGAGGTTTAATTAATCGCCTGTGTGTTTGTTAAGGCCTACGTATTTTAGTCAAAATGGAACAAAACAAGGGAAAAGACAGTTTGTCTATTTTACTATTGTACAAGCAAAAATCCTGTAATTAACTGTCTCACATATTTAAAAAATGGACGGATAAAGAAGCTAATGATCTAGACAGCAATATATCATCAACTTCAATAAATCACAAGTCTGAACTGTCCTGAAAATAGGACAATAAAATTACTAACTTAAGTGATTCTATATATTAATAATTTAATAGAGAATCTATATTCAAAGTAAACATAAATTTCCGTTGTTCAAGGTTTAAAAATTGGTATCTAGTATTATACATATTTGGCGCTCTTAAAAATAGCGGAAATGAGAGAATGAGACATTTAGGCAGACAGACAGACAGATAGACGACAGCCAAATGAATAAGACCACGAAAGTAATTTGCTACCGTAAAAATGTCGACCTTCGAATGTATGCACAGATTTTTTTGTCTCCAATTCCCAATTGAAAGCACGAATAAACAAAAAAACAAAAAAGTGGAAAAAATAAGAAATAAAGGGAAGAGAGAGCAAAAGAGATAGAGAGATAGATAAAAAGATAGATAGAGATAGAAAGAGGAAAATAGAAATTATCAAAGAAAACGAATGGAAAAAAAATTTTTTTTGGCCAGGAGATAGTGAAATTTTTATCTTAACATATTCTCTTGCGATCCTCTCCTGCATTTATTCATTTCCCTTTTATATAAACTTGTATTAAAATGACAGCAAATTGTTAAAAATGGGCTTATCTATTTATAAAGTGAAAAGACTATATATACAGTACATTCTATCATATAGACATCACAGACAGTCAATCTAACTGTAAAATACATCGTGTTTTTTACATTTTAGCATAATATTAAATAAAATTCTCATGATATAAAATATACAGAATATATGTACAAGAATATTTATATTTATACATGTGAGATATATGTTAATGTATTTCTGCAAATCTACGCATGTTACCAGTCATAATTGACCATATACAGTATGTATAACTTATTAATGGTGATATAATAAACGTACAATAATTATACTATTCGAAGCTAATTCACTGAATGCGCTACTGTTTTGCTTATGGAACCGTGAAGAAGCATGCACTACTATATTAAAAAAAAAGTAGATGCTCTCGTTTTATGAGGACAGCGACACATTTCATTAACTTTTGTCAACAACTTAAATTATAAAGTAATAAAGAACTCCATCCCTCAGTTTTTCTAATTTTGCCCTAGTTCTCTTCTCACTTTTAGTTGTCTAAATAGTTTTTAACGAAAAACTAGTCTCATAATTAGCCCAAATGAATAGTAAATTCCTTAATAATCCTATAAAAGAACTAATAAGTCGAGAAGGGAATAAGGCAAACTCATCTATTCCTTTCCATATTAGGCCACAAAAAAAAAGGAAAAATAAAATAGTATAGGAGAAGAGTAGATATTCTAGTGGGAGGTGGGATGATAACTAAAGAAATAGACAATTTAATAATAATTTCGTTTTATAATAGAATATAAACCGATTGCTATAAAGTAATAAACGTCTAAACTAGAATAATATTATATATACTGAGTATATATATATACCTATACGTAGACTGTAGATGTATGTTATATGTATATCAAAATATTAATTTAGCAAACACTATAATTGAGCTAATTATCAAAGATATTCTAATTCTACAAAAGCCAAATACAGGGTTTATACATTTTACGATTTTATTCTATATGAAAAAGAAATGAACAAAGGAAAGACGTAAGTAAACGTGATAAAATATATTAAAGAAATGAGAGAAAAAGAATGAGAGAAAGAGAGAGAGAGAGAGAGAGAGAGAGAGAGAGCAAGGGAGAAAGGGAGGGAGAGAAAAAAAAACAAACAAAAGAATATTGGTTAACTGTATATACAATACTGTGTAGTTTTTATGTTTCCTTCTGATCTAAAATCCAGTATTGCATAAAACAAAATGATGATTAAAAAAAAATTTAAATAAAACAAAAAAAGTGAAAAGAAACACAAAAGAGAAAAACTCTCATTATCGATTTATATTTGTATACAAGTATATAACGTTTTTATTCTTTTTCTAGTGTTTGTTTTTGTTCTGCTTTATGTTTAATGTAAAAAAGGAAGAAGAAAAAAAAACAACATAAAAAAAATTGTTATTAATATTTGGTCTGTATATGTTATTGTTTTGAAGTATTTCAATATATTATTATTTTAAATAAGGAATAAATGAGCAATTATTTACTATTAATAAGTATTAAAAACAATTCATATTTACAGTATTATATATTCAACCTTTATTTCTTTATTGTTTTTAATTTAAAGATAAAGAAAACACCTTTCTAATTATTTAAAGATTGTAAAAAAATTCTAGGAAAGTTATCTTCTTTCTAATTTTCATACTTTCGTTACTTCCCTTGTAATACTGTATATTCAGTTGTATACATATACATATATAGACATGCTCTATATAAAAATCAATTAAAGTGCACGAGAGAGAAAAAATTTCATAAAAAACTTTAGAGTGGCATTTGAACTTTGTATAATTTCAAGGACATTTAGTAAATACACTACGTCATTTATCCTAGAAATCATGTTCATATTTATATAAAACAAAAAGAATAGAGAAATATCATATAAAAAACATTACACCATTTTCATATCAAGCCTAGAGAGTTGCCATAATCAGCTTTCTTCTCTATATTGTCAGGATCCTAACCAATTTTACTTACATAAATTTCATTTTAGAACTAGACTATATTTTTCCTTAAAAGAAAAGGGCAAGAGAGAAAAAGAAGGATTGGTAGAAAGAGAAAAGGGCATAGTGGGTTAATAAGCAACCCTAGCTCAATAACTTTTCTTCCCTTACCGAAATGACGAGATTGGGAATTGTTTAAACAAGGATGATAATAATAAAAATTATAAATATGTAGATAGATGGATATGAAGAGTACTGAAGACATGGTAGGAATAATAATTGCAGTAGTTGTAAATAATAATGAATAAAAAAGATAAATAGTCTATATTTAGAAGTTTAAATAATTTTTCCTCGTTTTTTCTTCCTTTAATTTTTTAATTGCTTTTTTCGTTTCAATAAACCAAAATAATAATTTTTTCGAACAATCTTAAAAGAAAAATACGAATGACATTTCTCTTTAGGCATTCGCATGTAAGAAATGTATTATAAATGGTTCACATACCCTTCCCTCCTCCTCATTGTTTCCTTCTCTTATATTTCTTATGTACACCCAATATCCTTAATCTAAAAAATGAGATTCTCTCGTTAAATTCATTACTGAAATAGACAAGACTATTTTTTTTATATCATAAATTATAAATAAAAGGTTTGAAACAACAGTTCAATGTCCTGTTTAGGCTCCTAACAAAAAAATAGGAGATATGTGTTTATAAACAAAGAGAGAAATGAAATACTGCGATATTTCGCAACATTCGACTAACAGAAATCTATACAAATGCGCAATATACAGATTTAATAATTGGAATTAGCAGATACTATAAATTAACTTTCGTTAATTACAGAAATGTGACAAACAAGAAAAGTCTCTTTTCATTTTCTATTTCAAGTTTTTTGACGAAGAAAGGAACACGCTTCAAATAATATATAAGAATACATCTCTAGTTCAATTAAATAATCATCTATAATTAGCGCTAGTCTATTCCTTGTACAATCGACCACTGTGTAGCATTAAACGTCCTATAATTATGTAATCTAGATGAAAGTATAATTAATTAAACACGTATTTACATATTAATACTGAAATATGTACAGTTGTGTACAAACATTTTAACGATACTACTATATTTGTTTATTTTCTTTATCATTACTCTTCGATATTTTCATCCATATTGACGACTACTCGACTTGTAACATTTTCTTTTCAATCAAATATAGCGAATTATTCCAAAAATACGTAAAATTTAACAAATCCAATTAAATTAATAGATAAATAAACTAAAAAGATAAATATTATTCTAAATGTATGGATTAAGCAATGTCTTTTATCCAAATAGCTTCATTTAATACTAGATGATGGACATGAAATCAATTGACAAAAGAGAATAACATCAAAATAATGATTGTATTGTAACTTTTAATATTAATATTTTAAAATACTGAAATACTTTAAACATATAAAAAGTATTCAAATCGAGAGATTATGGAGAATGAGGATAGATGGATGGATTTTAGATTAAAAAAAGTTGATTGAATAAAACGAATAAAAAGACAAAGAAAAACAGGTGATTAACAAGGGCTTATAGAAAATACAGAAAAAAAAAATATCCAGGGTATTTTTCTTATCATTGTATAAAAATTGATTCAATTAATTCAATTAAATACATTTTCAGTTTGTATTTTTCTTTCGATGTCTTATTAAAAATTGATTATACAAATTATTAATATATAATTATGTTAATACATAGATAAAGCTTGAGTATTCTGCACTATCACTATACGGTATATACAAATTTATATATACTTACTGTATACATATTGTATATATATATATATTTTATACTGTATATTGTTATTAAAAATAGAAATAAGATTTCTATTTGGAAGAGGAAGCTTATAAGGTTAAGATTTTTAAATTTCTGCTTCCTGTTTATAAGTTTCTTCTCTTTACCTTAGTTACTTTCTCTACTTTCCTGTTTTATATCTAATTAGGAAAAACTCCTTGAGAAGTCTTGTTTTGCAAAAAGAATACGAATGCTAACAAAAACTTTCTCGTATTCTTTGTAATGTACACATATAAATTTTATTTCTATATATTCTATTAATATAGATTTTCGTTTCCTTTACTCCTATTCGTAATCATTCTGTTATATTCATATTGAAAATAGATGCTGAAATGAAACATTTTCCCAACTGACTTTCAGAACAACGCTAATTATCAGGACTTTTTCCCCTCCATCAAACATTTATCTATAAGCGGAATGTTTTTTTTTCTAGATTCTATTTAATAAATGAATATTTAAAATTTGCAGCTTCAATACAGTATGAAAAACAAGCGGAAAGAAACAATTTTTTTATTTTATAAATAAAGAAGTATTGAAGAATTATAATTTTCTTTCCCCCACCCCCAGCTAAATAAGGATCATACCAACAATGTTATTATTTTGTTAAACCTGAGCCTTTTCATATATTTATAAGAGAAGCTATATAAGAACAATAAATTATAAATTTTCTTCAATTTACCATCATTTTCTCTAGAGATCTAAAGCGTTATTTCTTAATTATCCGTCCTATTAATAACATTCAAAAAAGTAATTATATAGAAGGTTATGATGTAAATGGAAAAAAATGTATTTTTCTAATATATTTTATTACCAGATCGAGGGAAAGGGTGAAGGAAGGTCAAGAGAGATTGACAAAAGCCATTAGGCGGGTTGAAAAAAGCGCAAGAGAAAAAGAAAATGAGAACGATAAAGAAAGAGAGATTGAGAGAGAAAAAGAAAAACTAGTCTCTGTAAATTCACTCAAAATTTACATATTTACCTTATATTTTATATAAAAAATTCATGAAGCTAATTATAAATCAAGGAAATTTTTAGCGCCCCTGGAATTTTTTTTCAAATTATTGTTATTATTAATAACTCCACCATTTCTTGTTTTTTAAGATACTTTTACAGTTTTTTTCACTTAAACGATTACAATAAAAGTAAAAGGAAAAGTCTCTTTTCTTTTCTATTTGATACTTTTATGGTATTAATAATTTTGTAGAGAAAATTACCCTGCTTTGACTTAAATATCATTAATTATCTTTACAGCTTTTATATGTACTTTGCTACAAGATATTCTTGATTCTTCCTCCCTTTTTTTGCCCTATTCGCCCTCTCCACTATTTGTATCTAAAATGTAACAATGACTACTATCATAACTAGATATAAAACTATTATATGAATGATACTTTGCTTTGGCAAAGGATTAGGCGAATGAAAATATTTAATTATAAAAACCCTTGTTTGTCACAAACTGTGTACTCAATTGAAGGTATTTTTTGGTTTGACTTTGTAGAAAAAACCCCTAACAGAGAGCTCCTAAATTTGAAATGACTGTCTCTCTAGAACAGAGTCCTCTCCAAGGTTGAAGCTTGTATGGAGATAAATGATCTTAAAGCTAAGTAAACGGGTAACTATATATTTTCCTTTGAGGTACGAAACTAATATCAATAATACTCTTTTATATATCAGAATATATAAAATTTCCATTTCTCATGCTTAAAAGTTAATATTTCACTTCAAGAACATAGCAAGGTTATATGTTTGTCATCTTTCCTTCGTAAAAAACATAGTATTTAAGCATGCAAAATTCTATTCACTCCTTTCATCTATACTTTTCTTATTTTCTAATGTAGCAATTGTATTGTCTATTCTTCTCATTTTTAATAATATATTACCTAATTTAATTATAATTTCCTTCACACTTGGCTGTTTTGTGTGACTTTCCTACATGTGCCTTTGAAACACCGCAGAAAGAAGATTCTTAAACCTACTGTGCAATTTTCATAATAATAATTTCAAAAGACCTATCAAAATCAAGGTGTTTTTTACCAGTTGAAATATCAAACTACCAAAGAAAGAGTTGCTTGGAAACATCAATTTGCTTGAAATACGTCGTAGAGTAAAAAAAGGTTCACTTTTCACTTTCTAAATGTGACTAAACACCATTAAGGGGAGTTCACTTGATTATTTAAGATCATTTTTCTCGTTAGGTTACATTTTTTATGCGTTGAGAGGTTTTTATTCCTAAGAAATTGTAATGTATTCTTCTATTAGATATATTATCAAGTTTCTCAGCATATAAATCCAAAAGAAAATGTCTTATACAAAAAAAAAACAATTTTTAATTTTTTCTCTTCAACAGAGATAATTTGATCAAAGAAATTAAAATTAACTTAGATTCACCATTTCCTATCTTTTGATAATTTTTCAATATTTTCTCTAGCTTTTAACCGGGCATCAATAATTTTTTTTCTATCTTGTATTCTATTATCGAATTCTTGTAATTTTTTTGAAATATAGGAATTTTGCAGTCTGTCACTTTTTCTGAAAAGAAAAATTGAATAAATAATTAATTTACAGAATAAGTTAATAACTTACGAGGAGAAATAAAACGCTGCGGCCGTAATTGACAGAATGCCAAATATAAATACATTCTTTATTCGGTTAAACTTCGTACCAGTGTAATAACCAGTTCGCCTAGTTCGTTTTATATCTTTACCGAGCATGTCCATTTTTCAATTTTTTTTATAACTTTTTAAAATGACCAAAACAGCCTCTAGTTCTTTTTTGAGAAGTTTAAGTATTATATTATAAAGACTTAGCGATTCAAAGCGATTGAAAACTCCTCGCCCTACAGATGCACTTGAGACGCAAAACACTCAAAAAACATGGTATTACCGGTTTTCACGACAGGAAGCGGCTTAAACCGGAAATACATTTCAGGAAAACCTTTCCTTACTTTTTCTTCATTCAAGTATTCCTGTAGAATACAGTTATCGCAAATATGTCGAATATTTCCTATCAGATCGGAAACTTATTAGAGAAGGTGAGTGTCTTGCCTCGTATCTATCGAAGCTGTTTGAAAAAATCGAACCGTTTTTCTTGAACTTTTTTTAAGAAAGCTTTTCTTCTTACAAAAATGATTTTTAGATGATGTCCTCGGACAAGGACTATAGATTTATGGCAACGAATGACCTTATATCCGAACTGCAAAAAGATTCTATTAAACTAGATGACGACAGCGAAAGAAAAGTCGTTAAAATGGTGCTCAGATTACTCGAAGACAAAAATGGTGAAGTGCAGAACTTAGCCGTCAAATGGTATGTTTCAAATTTCATCAGCATAAAATAAAATGATTTGCTTTTTCAGTCTAGGGCCTTTGGTGAACAAAGTAAAAGACAACCAAGTCGAAGTAATTGTAGATACACTATGCACTAATATGGTTTCCGACAAAGAACAATTGCGAGACATCTCAACCATAGGTAATAAATTTTAAATAAGAGAGTTCATATTCAAGATTATTAATTGTTTAGGAATGAAAACTGTGATAAGCGATATGCCTATCGGCTCATCCACTTTTGCAGCCACTATTTCTAGAAAAATAACCGGAAAATTAACAACCGCTATATCTGTAAGGCGCAAATTTTTATAATATTTGATTGCAGCATAATAATTTACACTAAAATTTTATAGAAAGAAGACATCTCTGTACAATTGGAAGCTCTTGATATTTTACATGATCTGCTCCATAAATTCGGTGGATTACTAACATCTTTCCATTCATCTATTCAACAAACTCTTGTCAATCAGTTAGATTCAAGCAGACTTGCAGTAAGAAAACGATCTATTAGCGCTCTAGGCAAGAAATTTTATTCTTGAAATAATTACTTAATATTTATGTTTATAATTTACAGGACAACTTGTATTATGTTCTAGTTCAGCGCTGTTCAGTGAACTGATGGAATTCTTACTACAAAAGTTATGCAATGATACTCCAACAACTCGTACCTACATTCAGTGTGTTGGGGCAATAGCTAGACACGCAGGACATAAAGTCGGCAAGGTAAAATTGCTTAAAATTTATAATTCACGATAATCATTCTATATTTTTAATATTATTATCACTATTAGTATTTGGATAAAATTATGCCTGCTGTTGTAAATTACTGTAAACAAGATGATGATGAAGTTCGCGAATTTTGTCTCCAAGCTTTTGAATCTTTTGTTATCCGTTGTCCTAAGGAAGTTACCCCACACATAAACCAAATTATTGACCTCTGTCTTAAATATATAACCTACGATCCAAATTATAATTATGATGACGATGATGAAAATGAAGACGAACACATGATGGACACTGACGAAGATATAGAAGAAGATGATGATGACTATAGTGATGACGATGATATGAGCTGGAAAGTTAGGAGAGCTTCTGCTAAGTGTTTAGAAGCTGTTATCCGAACCAGACATGAAATGCTCGGACAACTGCATACAACTGTGTCTCCTGCTTTAATAGGAAGATTTAAAGGTTTAATTTTTTATCTTTTTGTTTGTCAATAATTTATATCTATCATATGAATTTTACAAACAGAGAGGGAAGATAATGTTAAGGCGGACGTTTTTCATGCTTATATGTGCTTATTGAAACAAACTCGCCCAGCGACTGTTTCAGACCCAGATGCCATGGATCAAGACGGAAAGTAGGTATTTCACTTTAAGCTTATAAGTGTTTTTAATACCTCTTATTTCTTTTAAGCCCAATAAATGAACTTCAAGACCATCTTCCAAATCTCGTAAAGGCTGTTTATCGGCAATTTCGTCAAAAATCTATTAAGACAAGGCAATGTTGCTTCGCTTTGCTAACTGAATTGGTAACAGTTCTACCTGGCTGTTTGTCACCATATATTCAAATGCTTATTCCTGGAATTCAATTTTCTCTTGGGTAAATTTTTTAATTACAAGTTTCATAAGTTCCACTATATACCGCTGCTTTACAGTGATAAGAACACGAGCTCGAATATGAAAATTGATACTCTCTCTTTTCTAAATTGCTTACTAGTCAATCATCAACCTTCTGACTTTCATCCACATATTGAAGTACTTGTTCCGGTTAGTTCATATTAAAAATATCTCTTATTCACCAAATAAATAATGCTAACATCTGTTCTCTAGTTGGTTATCGGATCCGTAGATGATGCATTTTATAAAATAATATCAGAAGCATTGTTGGTTACACAACAACTGGTTAAAGTGATAAGACCACTTGGTGAACCAGTAAAATTCGATTATAAACCATACGTGGACACTCTGTACAAGAGCACTTTAGCTCGTTTGGTTGCTGCTGATATAGATCAAGAGGTAAAGGAACGAGCTATTTCATGTATGGCACAGATAGTACATAGTCTTGGTGATGCTCTTGGAGCGCACTTCAAGCAATGCTTACCTATTTTCGTAGAACGCCTAAGAAATGAAATTACTAGACTAACAACTGTAAAAGGAGTAACCCTTATTGCATCGTAAGAAATTTTGCTTTAAAAAGTTTAGCTCAGATTGAATACATAGAATACATAATATTTCTTCACAGATCTCCTTTGAAAATCGACTTGAGCAAAGTTTTGGTTGGTATATCTAAGTGAAGCTATCTTTCATATATTCTTCATATTCATTTTAAACAAACAGAACGACATTTTACCTATCTTGGCAACCTTTCTTAGAAAACATCACAGGGCTCTGAGACTGAGCACTCAACAATGTCTAGAAACAATTGTACGAAATTATGGGCATCTGTTTTCTGCCAATTTGCTTAACGACGTATTAAATGAACTACCGCCTTTAATTAGTGAAAGCGATTTACATATGTCCCAAATGACAATGACGTTACTAACAACAGTTAGTGAAATTAACAAAACATTTTTAGATAAAATGGCAGCGAATATTTTGCCTCAAGTAATGCTCCTTATTAGATCTCCGTTACTGCAAGGTTCGAAATTTTTAACATTTTACATATTATAAACAATGTAATATTAATCTGTTTTATACTTGCAGGAGCTGCCCTTTATTCAGTATTGTCATTCTTACAAGGAATAGTTAAGGCTGAAGTCCATAATTGTTCTTATAAAGAACTATTCACGGTTCGTTAAAATAATAATAATTCTCATTAGTCAACTAAATAACAACAAATTTAGCTTCTAATAAAACCGGTGGATGAAGCATCTGAAAAAGCTCGTGCACCAACCATATTACACAAACAAGCCCACCAATCCATATCCAAAGCAGTAGCAGCAATAACAGCTGCTTCACCAAAGAATATTTCACATACAGTTGATTATTGTATCGCTGAAATAAAAGTAACTTTATAGTTTTTTACCATTTTCCCTTGTTTTAAATTACGTTTTTTCTTTTTCAGTCGAGCAAAAGTGATATCAAAAAGCTTATAGTACTGCTTTCTCTTGGTGAATTGGGACGTTTGATTGATTTAAGCGGCGTTAAGGGCGTTCAAGATTTGATACTTGAATGCTTTTCTATAGGACACAGCGATGATATTAAGACGGCTGCAGCCTATTCATTAGGCTCAATGTGCGTTGGAAACTTACCAAAATTATTACCTGGTGTCATTGAACTTATTGAAAAGCAACCCAAACGTCAATATTTACTGCTGCACTCCTTGAAAGAAATAATATCATTTCAGAGCGTTAATCCCGAAGCTGTTGATGCTCTAAGACCATTTGTCAAGTCTATCTGGCAAATGTTAATGAATCACGCTGAATGTGAAGAGGAAGGGACGAGAAATGTAGTTGCAGAGTGTTTGGGAAAATTAACTCTCATCGATCCATTGAATCTACTACCAGAACTAGAAAAATATTTAAAATCTAGCTCAGGATTAGTAAGAGCAACAGTTGTGACAGCTATAAAGTTCACAATAACTGATCACGCTCAAAAAATTGATGGTCTGTTAAAAAAAAGCATCGGCGCCTTCCTGAATAGTTTATGCGATAAGGACTTGAATGTAAGAAGAGTAGCACTAGTTACCTTCAATTCTGCTGCTCATAACAAACCTGCTCTTATACGTGATCTCTTACCAAAAGTACTGTCCAGTTTGTATGACGAGACAGTTGTTAAGAAGGAACTAATTAGAGAAGTTGAAATGGGACCCTTCAAACATACAGTTGATGATGGACTTGATGTTCGAAAAGCAGCTTTTGAATGCATGTATACCCTACTAGATTCATGTTTGGATAGACTGGATATTTTTGAATTTCTGAAACATTTGGAAGATGGCTTAAATGATCATTATGATATTAAAATGCTCAGCTATCTTATGCTTGTTCGGCTCTCGGTGTTATCACCTTCAGCGTTATTACAACGTGAGACTAATTTAGCAACATAGTTATATGAATAATTCAAATTTTCTATTTTATTTTAGATTTGGATCGTATTATTGAACCTCTAAAATCCACTTGTACTTTAAAGTTAAAACAAAATGCTGTGAAACAGGAACACGAGAAACAGGATGAATTGAGAAGATCAGCATTAAGAGCTGTTGCAGCAATACTGAAAATTCCAGATGCCGGTAACAATACTAAAAACATTAAATATCTATTAAAAACGCTGTAAAATTTTCAGATAAAAGTCAACAAATGACTGAATTTATGAATCAAATCAAAGCCAGTACTGAGCTTTTACAAATGTTTGAATTTGTCCAAAAAGATAGCACTCCTCCCGGTCAAGACCATACGTCAATGGATATTTACTAGCATGAAAAATTTTGGTGTTTGTTTGTCTATATAAGACAATATTTAACTTTGAAATGTGTGTATCAGAACAAAATGCTTGTTTTAAGAAAAAAGCTAAAATATTTCTTTTCAAATATCCTCATTTTCAAGTCTTAAAAGCATTTATATAACTGTATAATGTATATATATATATATATATATATATATGTATATATATTATATATATATATGTATATATATATTATATATATATAGCTATATATACATTTATACATGTACTTATAACTGAAGTTTAAAATCAGTTCCGAATTCAAGGACACATGATATGCGTTTAAATAAACTCCACTGAACGAAACAATAAATGTCTAAATCAAAACACAACAACCAAGTCATTAAACTTTACAACTTGTCGTATCGAGTACGACATTCATAAAGACTTTCTTCTACTTCATTTTTCATTGTCTAGTCAAAACTTTAATTGATATTATCAGGGCTATTATAAAATATTGTAATGGGCAACACAATATCGAATCCGAATTTAGCCTACAACTTTTCAAATCTCTTGTTATTTATAATCATTAATTTTAACATATTGTCAAGGTTTAATTAACCACTCGAAGTCCTATAATGAAAAGGATATTTAATGTCACACTTTCGAAAATATAAAAATTTGAAATGGAATCACAAAAGAAGGGTAATGATGACGATGCCTTTACAGAAAATTTTATTACTCAGACAATCGATGATTCATTCTTATACGTTTACTAAAATATGATCTAATCAAAAGAATATTTCCCAATGCGAACAAACGAAGATATTTAATGCGAATAACACATTTTATTCAATAATATTAATTAGACGTTAAATAAGCACAAAATTCATAAACTTATTAATAGATAGATGTGATAATTCCAACGAAATTCCACTAAATACAAAATGCATAATAAACGAAAGAAATCAAGTTATTAAACTTTAAAGTGTATCGCATCAAGTACGGCGTTCATATCGGCTTTCTTTTCTTTGACAAGATTGGTCAACCATTGATCATCATTTACAAATCCCATATTTTGAAGTTTCGAAACTATTTCGTTAACGCGTTTTTCTATTTATAAATAAAATAATAAAATTTAATAGTAAATTATTATTTTAATGACTTACCTTCTAAGGATTTCGACACAGCCTCTTGTATGTCATCATCAACCATGCACCAGTCTGCTGGATTCTTTTCTTCGGGTTTCTTTGTTTCTTGTTCTTTTGATTCTGATGCTGCTTCGGGGCAAGATGCAGTCTTCTCGCCAGAAACAGTTTCTCTTTTTCCATTATGATCAATATGGACTGCAACATCCACACCAAATGGATCTAGCATGGCGGAAACAGTCTCTCCAATAGTTTTTAAGTATATTTCCTCCTGTTTTCTTTCATCTTCAGTTGGGGCTTCATTTGAATTAGTAGCCCCCTCAGTTTTGGGGCCGCAATTTTCGGGACGTTGCTGACCAAATCGATTGAACCATCCATCCCACCATCCTCTTGGGCCACCTCTACCCTTGTGGCAACCGCGAGGTCCCCAACCGTGACGCTGAAATCCACCAGCAAAAGGAAACATACGTGGGAAACGGGTATGACTCGGATCGGTGATCCTGGCCATTACATGGTTAACATGAATATTCTTTTTTTCACACTTCCAACAAAGATCATAATCAGGACATTGTAGGCACTTATATCTGTACCCTACTACATCACCATCGCAACCATCACAAATAACACCTGGATGTTTTTGTCCAGAAGGCTCTGAATTACTAGCTACATCTAACGAATCGGTAAGATATATCTTCAGTAAGTTTTTCGAGCCAGAAATAGCTTGACAGAGTTCTTCGCTGGTTGAGAAATTAATCACATCTCCTTCTTCGTCTTTCCAAGAGAAAATAATGGCGTCTTGGTTCAAACCTGGAAATATTGAAAATGCTTTTTTCTGTAAAATTCCAAACCCTCCAGCGGGATCAATTTCAAATCGACGAATTTCTTGACGATCTTTCAAAGTCAGGTAGGCTTTTACAGCAAGTGTCATATTTACTAGAATGAAAATAATGAACGAATGATTAGATGATCATAAACAAGGACAAAATAGACCAACTTACCTTATTGCGAAATACAATATTTACGATTTCAGAGTAGAACGAAAATGTCAGTTGGAGCTTTCACAGCGATCTGATTCTTCGATGTTCTATCCCCCTTTTATATAGTATAGGAAGAATATTCTGGAGAGTGACTTGCAATCCGAACCAATTTTGCAAGTCACCGGCTGTTGTTTTGTTTATAATATTTGGTTGCGCATGCGCTCTCAATGTGATGCACGATCACGTGAAGAGAGAGGAGCGCCATCTTCAGATATTTACTAGGACTAAATTTACCGGGAAATTTTCTTGAAACATCAAAAAGTAATTTTGGATCATTTATAAGACACAAGAGTATGGTTACCAATAGGATGAGACACTAAGATGACATACTGACCACAGACAAGTAAAAAAAATCGAAAAAAAATATGAGTGTTAAGGAGGGAACGGAATCTGGTTGAGACAATGTCAAATCGGGCAAGCTGTGAAATAAAAACTGAAACAAATAAGTTACCAAAAAAAACAATTAAAAATAGAAATTTTGATAATTTTTAAGCAAGTTTTAAATAAATTCATTAAAAGTTAACAAACCAATAAAAAAGGACTCAAATAAAGAAACAAATTAACAAACAAAAGTTGAAAGTCCTATATGGCTGATGTGTTCAATTGCCAGCGAGTCTTTTGAAAGTTTCTTGCCAAGAGACTATGCCAGTTTCTACTCAAACTGCTCCCATTTTTGCTTGTTTTGATTGTCGTTTCTTGAAGTTGAATCAAAACACCAAACAAGATTCAGCCAATATTACTTAAACGATGCTCACGATCAAGGAGGTCGATTAGACGGACGAATCGGCGCGGACTTGTGGGCGGAGCATATATTTAATTGCCAATCACTAATTAGTCGATTCGACGGCGTAAACGGTCAGTCTTCTTGACGATACGTCAGAAAGATGGTTCCCTATAATCGTCTACTTCTACTTTTATTCCTCGAAACTTTTAGAACGGCTCCCGTTCATAACAACGCTCAAGAAAATGTTGAAATTCTAATAAGCAAATTCGGTATGAATATGGACGTCGCCAACAAATTTGTTTTAAACTTTTACAAGAGGTTAGAAAGTGGAAAATCTTTATCGAAGGCTTCAGGTCATCCAAGAATGGACAGATCAATAAGCGGTGCTGATACTTTTCGGACGCTTCCCGTTGAAGGTAAAAAAAATTAACTAATTAGAATATTTAGACGTCTGTCAAGTTATTACTCATCTTTAAAATTAACGGATAATATTAAGCAGATATCGTCAATTAGCCACTCAGACTAATTTAGATTGGCCACTTTTTTTAAAAATCCTGATACAACAGTCTGCGTTGAGTAATTAGTACAAACATGATTTATCGGTGAGAGTAAAGTCTGAGTCGGCATATTCTATAATTCGTTAGTCTGGAGCAATTTCCCATTTGTTTTTCTCGCTTTTTTTCGACAAGCGATTGTAAAGGTCGGAAGTTTTAAATGACGTCGCATGCTGAGAAACATTTCCTCTTTTACGGTGTCGCGTGTAAATACACCATTCGGTCTTTCATCTTACCTGTTTCTTCACACCTTTTTCTTTATTTCCGCTTATTAATGTCGTTTTTCATTTTAAACAGCTAAAGAATTAACAAGGAATTCCTTGAAGATAAGATTCAAAACGAATCTTGTACCCGGTGAGAAACTCATCTCAGCCGAATTAAGAATGAAGATCAAGGCTAATCCCGTTAAGTGGAGCGTTTATAGGGTTCAAGGAAATCTAGAGAGCAAATCGGATGGGGCAAAAGCAGTTTATGATTTGAAAACAAAACCTCTCTCATCCGACGGCAATGTTCTTTTAGACTTTACAAATATTCTAAATGGATTATTCGATACGTGGATATTTAAAGGAAATTCATCGAATGATCAACTTGTAAGCCTACTTGTTTATGGCTTTAAAATTAAGATAAACAATATTTTTTCCCTTTATTTTCAGACTGTTAACTTCAATATTACAAATCGATTTAGTTCTCCAAAGAAAGTTGTTCAGAATGTATTTGATATGGATAGTTTTATTTTAGTTATCTACACAAAAAGACCAAGTTTCGTAGACGAAATAAACAAGAATTTTCTATCAGTTTTACCAACTAAAAATCGACAAAAAAGAAGAGTTCGATCGAAAGATGTAATGAGTACTATTTAATATATTTTACTGTTTAAACTAATTCATACTCTCCTCTATCCACTTTTTCTTAGAAATCGCCTTGTAGTCTTAGAGATTTTGTTATCAAATATGAAGATTTAGGACCTCAGTTGGCGGATATTGTTTTTCCATATACGCATAATATTCGTATGTGCAGCGGCCATTGCCAAATTAAGTTTGTTGCTGGAGAAGAAGCAGAAGTTATGACTCCTAGAGCAAGATTACAAGTATGTTACATTTTTTTCTTCTACCTTGACCTTTCTTATTTTTTTTTGTCTTTTAGTTTCTTGCTTGGAAATTAGGAGTTTATAGAGGTCGCAAACCATGTTGCTCGCCTACCAAGTTGAAAAAAGCAGCTGTTATTAGGGCTGATTTTTCTCGAATGTGGTTACAAACTATTCCTGATTATGTTGCTACGGAATGCGGTTGTTCATAGCAGTTGATAAAATTAGAATCTTATGAACAATAGAGGAGTGTGCTTATTTCTTATTGTCTATAAAGATGTTTGTTATTTATTTTTCAAATACAATTGGCGGGTTTGTTTACTATACCGGAAGTAGTATATTGCTGATCACATGACTGGAATATGGCCGCCCCCTAATTGAACAAAACGTAGAAAATTTTTAAGCTTTAAGGAAAATATACCAATTTAGACGATATGGCATTGGTTAAATTCACTAATTGTCGCCTTATTAGAAATGGTCAAATCGAATGCGATGACTTGTGGGTACGAAATGGAAAAATCATGAATCCAGAGAAGATTTTCTTTGAAGAAAAAGTAAAAGCTGATGTTTATATCGATTGTCATAACGTAATTATAGCACCTGGTTACATAGATGTCCAAATAAACGGTTCGTCCTCGCTTTTGGATGTAAATACGGTTATATAATAGTTGTATGCGCTCGTGTAGGGGCGTTCGGTATTGACTTTTCAACGGACGTTGACAGAGTTAACGAAGGCGTAATTAAAGTGGCTGGCGGAGTTTTAAGACACGGTGTAACTTCTTTTTGTCCAACAATAGTCACATCTCCCTCAGAAAGTTACAAAAAGGTGAAAGTAATCTGATTGTTTTTCATAATACCACTATAAACGTTCGACCAACATTCTAACAGATTATACCGAATATACGCCGCAAGGGAGGCTCAAAGTACGGAGCAGCTGTCTTGGGTATTCATATCGAGGGTCCTTTTATTAATAAAGAAAAGAAAGGTGCTCACTCCGAAGAATTAATAAGGAGTGACTTAAGCGGAGGATGGAGTTTACTAGAAGATATGTATGGGAGTCTAGAAAATGTCTCAATCTTCACTATAGCCCCTGAACTACCAGGTGCCCTCAACATTATAAAAGAGTTAAGAAAGAGAAATATTCGAGTATCGTTAGGTAAAAAAGAAGACTTAATATTTGCACATATTTCAAATGATATTCTCAAGTTTTTAATTAAAACAGGACATTCTATGGCTGATTTAAATAAAGGCATAGAGGCTATCGAACATGGTGCTAACTTTATTACTCACTTGTTCAACGCTATGCTACCAGTTCGTTAGCTTTATCTGTATCAGCCTTTGAAATAATTGTTTTTTTCTTAATCCTTAATTTTAGTTCCATCATCGTGATCCTCATCTTGTCGGTCTCCTGGCAACTGATCTTCCTCACACTGTCTATTACGGAATGATTACAGATGGAATCCATACTCACTCTTCTGCTATTAGAATTGCTCAAAAAACTCATCCTAAGGGACTTGTTATAGTTACTGATGCTACTCCAGCTATGGGACTAGAGTGTGGCAAACATCATATTGGAACTTTAGAGGTTTGCACGCCTATTCTCGAAAAGAAGAAATTTCGAATAAATATTATTTTCCAGGTAGAAGTCAAGAAGGATGGAAGAGCTGTCATAGCGGGAACCCAGACTTTAGCAGGAAGGTAAAAACAACAAATTAATTTGAATAACATTTACTAGGATAACAGTGTCGTTTTTCTTTTATTAGTATAGCAACAATGGATGAATGCGTAAGACACTTAAGAAAAGCAACAAATTGCTCAATAGTAGAAGCAATTGAGTCGGCTAGTTTGCATCCTGCTCAGCTCTTGGGGATTGAAACTAAAGGCAGATTGAACGCCGGTTGCGATGCGGATTTCGTCTTTTTGGACGATAATTTATTCCCGTTAAGCACGTGGATAGCGGGCGAGAAAGTATTTGATACTTCTACAGTTGAATAATAAGTTTTTAGAATAAGGTGAACTGTGTTACTTAAGGAAATTATAATACACAAAAAAATTTCATTTCATTTGGAAAAACTCGTGTATTTTGCTACACAAACGCAAAATTCAACGAATGAAGTTTACATTCCTTTAATTTTAATCTTCTTTTCATGGATAACTTTGTTGGGCTTCCTCTTCTTAATTGGGACTCTGGGAGTCTTCTTTTTAAGATTTCCAAATTCGGTGTTTATTAACCTATTTCGGGCTTGTTTCATTTTCATAAGCTTGAACCTGTCGAAGTCTGACAAATTCTCTCTAAGCTTTTTAGAGGCTATTTTTTTAGCCCAGACGGTCTTAGCCCATTTCTTCTCAATTTCTTCCTTTTCCCAAATTTTCTTGATGAGTCCTGTTCTCAAACCATACGGCATTTTAATGACAAACTTGGTTAAATGGAGTTGCTTGATGTTAACAGCTTGTCTTTTGACCTAGATATGAAAGTAAATAAACTTAACACGTGAAATTTACATGACGGTAATATCATGCCATACCGCTGTGCATGGGCCATCTACAAGAACTCTATTTTGATCAATGACGTCAACGATCACTATCAACTTGCCCTTAGATGGTCCATAAGCAATGTAGGCCACTCTACCGATCTCAATGAAGCGTTTGAATTGCATCTCGACGTGTTATTCGCGATTTTTTCACGTCAATCCGAACGTCTTTACACGCTGCTGAAAAAAGGAAGTACTCCTACGCCATTTTTCGGTTTTCGGATTTTTTCAAAAAGTAAAATAACCCATATTCGTATATATAAAAATTAACTGTATATAATATTATTTTTTTGTCAAATACATTACGAAAATGAAAAAAAATTTACTATAAAGTTATCTATTTATTTACAGTGTCCCGAGCGATAATTAGGAAGAAACAAAGATTACAAACTCAGAAAGTAAACAATTGCTAATTTTTCAAATATCTGAGAAAGTTAATTTTTCAATATTAGAAATTTAGAAAAAATATTATTGGGTCTGTTTTTACGACTGAAAGTCACAGTCAAATATATTTTTCTAATCTTAAAGCGCAAAATAGATGTAGCATAATTAGTCATTTTAAAAAGTAGCAAAGTTTGTGCCTTATAATTAAGGTATATTATCTTGTATTTAACGTATTGTTAATACAATAATAAATATTTGATTTATAAATAAATCAAAATGTTTCAAGTTATGTATCCATTATCATACAAATGTAATGTGATTTTTATTTAAAAAGTGACATATTTTTTTCTAAAATTTATTATCTGAAAATTTAATATTTATAAAAATAAATTTAAAACATTTCATTGATGAATATTTTATAATCGTGATTTTAGAAAATCGCTGAAATTTTTCTTGAAATATTGGATTTTATGATGTGGTGAGTAATAGTTTTTGAAAGTAAGTGAAATCTATATTATAAATAGTTACAGAATACAAGCCTTTTTGATAACCCAATCGAATATATGAAACTTGAGCCACTATAAAGAATAATGGGTAAGTAATATATAGTATTTAAAAAATATAGGGACATCAAATGATAGGCTACTTTTCCCATGTGGCCATTTATCTGCATAAAATAGTATCTAAACTTATAAAATAAAATGCATACGGTAAATTCAAGTTCTTCCGTTTTTATAGCAGGTGAAGAGGTAATTGTTAATAGACGATTGAGGAGAAATATTACAATCGATGGTGACAATACATCAGAGTTGGGTTTCGTATTCGTAGACAGACCTGAAAATGATTTTGAAACTCACCGAGTTCTCAATAATTACCTGGTAATGATTCTTTTATTGAAATTTACTGTATAAGATAATAAAATAACAAATTTTGCTTTTAGTTTGGATTTAAAAAATGGAAAAGTCATGTGACTGAAAGACCGCTTGCCCACAGATCAGATATCGTTAGAAAATTATATAACGAAGGCTACGCAATCGCCGACGGTTAGACAATATAACAATGTTACGAGTTTGTGTTTTAAAGTTTTCTTTTAAATAAATTTTAGCTCAAATTAGTACTATACGACCAGGCAATATTTTATATACAATATTATTTGGTTGGTGGTTAGCCTTACTTTATCTCATATTGGGTTGTTTAGTGGGAATCAGTATTGTTGGAATTCCATACAGTTTGTACACAATATTCATGAATTATTGTATTTTAATGTATACCTCTTTAACCTTTGTCAGCAAAATTCTGTTTTAAGTTAGGCTATTACTTCCTATGGCCTTTTGGGTATTTTGTTCATAAGGTAAAGGTTTAAAATTATCTATAATTAGGTCATTAAAATTTCTTTCATTTCATTTTCCAAAAACAGGATACAAGCATACTTACGTCGGACGGTTATACTCCGTTACAAAGAGCTAGCAATTCAAGTAGCGTTTTACGTCTTATTCATATTTAATACAACAATGAAAATTGCTACACTTTAAGATTCAAATACCTTCGAAGAAGAAACTGATGAACGAACCTCTTTGCTAACTGATTCTATTGAACTGAATAATCAACAATATCAAAATCATAGCCCAAAAGCATGGAACTTTTTCCAGTGCTGTAGATCAATTCCTTGGGTAAATTTCTTCTTATGACAACTAACCCAAATATGATACAAAATGCATCTATACATATAATTTGTCTTTTATAGAATAGACCATCGACATATTTTTGGTTGATAATACCTGTACCAATCCTAATAATTGTCCACTCTTTAGTATTTCTTGTTAGTTGGACTTCAGTCATATTTATTCCAATAGCAAAATTGAATCTCAAAACTATTCAGCAAATTCTTTTTGCTGAACCTGAGAGACTAAAAATTGAACATTCTAGTATCGTATGTGACTTTACTATAGACAATATTTATAATATAATTAAAGTTTTCTTTTTTACAGAGTGAAACACCTGAAACTGATATAATTGTATACATTCATCATGCTGTTAACATTTATTACTACAAGTATACTATAGACGGAGTGAACGTTATCGTTGCTAGTATCCTAGTTTTTTTAAAAAAGATAAAAGAATATAGCACATGTCTTATAAAAAATATTATCCTTAACTTATTAAAGATCTTTGTATATTCGTCGTTATAGCTCTAGCACTTGGATATCTCGACAAGCACAATAAGTATAGTAGCGAATTAACTGTAAGTTTCTTTATTAATAGTGTTTGAACTATGTAATGAATTAATTGATTGAAATTGCCAATCAGAAATTGATTCTAGCAATGTTAGCTATTATACCATTGGCTCATTACATTGGAATGGCTATTACATGGTAAATAATTGTTTATATCTTTAATAATAATATTATATTCTTTTTTATAATTATAGCATATCGGCTCAATCGCATCCTGCTGTTGGTGCAGTTTTGAATGCAACTTTTGGATCAGTAGTTGAGATTTCTCTATACGTTATCAGTCTGGTCAAAGGAGCAAAATTAAAAACTAAATGTTATGTTGCTTTGGTCAATTCTGCCTTAACAGGAACTTTATTGGCTACGATGATGCTATTTCCGGTTGATAAAATGATCTATTTTTTAAGTAAATTAATGTACAATTTTGATTTTCAGGGTCTATTTATGGTAATAGGGGGATTGAAACATAGTACACAAAGATTTAATCCAAGAGCAGCTGCTGTTAGCTCAACTCTGTTATTTGTATCAGTTGCAGGTATAACATTTAGTATTAATTTCTTCCTTTTAACTTTATGCTTACGAAACAACTATTTTTTTAAAGGTGTCTTTGCCCCAACTATCTTTTCTAAGGCCTATGGAACGCTACGGTGTGAACATTGTGTGAATAGTAATAGAACACTTGGTAACGATTCCAAATCATGGCCCCTTAGTTGTTCAGAGTGCGGATATAGCATAGTTTGTTTTCAATTTAAGCGTATCAACTCAAGAGAAAAATAATCGTTCTCTTCTCTTTTTACAGTTTGGTTTGAATGGAAACAATCAATTTTATTATGATCATGTAGCTCCCTTGGTTTATTCTTGCGCTTTAATTTTACCATTTGCATATTTTGTGGGTTTGACTTATTCTCTTAAAACTCATAGAGTTCATGTCTATGATACATTTTACGCTCAAAATGAAGTCCCGGAGAATAATCATTCAAACGTTCACTGGGGTAGATTAAAAAGCCTTGCAGTCCTTTTAATTGCTACTGTGGTAACATCTCTTTGCGCAGATATAGTTGCTGAAAATATTCAGATGATTCTGAGCAATTCCGGAATATCTGTGGTACGTTCCTAATAATCCTATTGAATCGTCTATATGTAATAAAAAGTAAATTTTACAGTATTTCATTGGAGTAACACTTCTAGCTTTGGTTCCTGACCTTCCTGAAATTGTAAATGGCGTACAGTTTGCCTTACAGAACAACATATCATTAAGGTTCTTTATTATATTATATACAGTCATTCAAAGAAATTTCAATTTAAATTATATTTATATTAGTATTGAAGTTGCCAGTTGCATTGCTGTACAAGTTTGTTTGATTCAAATTCCTATCTTAGTCCTTGTCAATGTTATATACGTAAGTAACAACCACATTTTAATGGTAGTTTTGCAATTATTTATTTAAAAAATATACATAGGATGTTGGATTTTATATGATATTTCCTGATGTTCATTTATGGACTGTTATATTCGCTCTCTTAATGATGAATTACGTCTTTCAAGACGGAAAATCAGATTATTTTCAAGGTTTGATGAATATATTCACAAGGGTTGAAAATTAACATACGTCTTTTTTTCAGGAAGTGCCATGTGTCTTGTGTATGTAGCTCTTATTTTGATGTATTTTTTCGCTCCGACTCCAAAAGACACGGTTTGCTAAAGACCATCTTTACAGCTATTTTTCTTTTCCATCCCTCCAATGTTTGGTATTGATTATTTGTATAATTAATTATTAAAAATAAGATTAACTTTAGTAATTAAAGGATGTTGGAAATTCAATGTCTTTGTTGTCAAAGTATACCGGAAATTGAGTCACCTACTTGCTATAAAATAAAACAACGTACTTTTTTTATAAGACCTTGTACAAACCAGGATCCATTTTCATTTCGGTAACTTTTGTGTTCCTATCCAATCAAGTACGCTGGATAGGACATTTGCGAAAGTTTTTGCAAAGTAATAAGATAACATTGTTCAGTTGAAAATATTACCAACAATCTCTCTGCTTTTGTACGCGCCTTGTAGTAAGATCTTCTAACCATTCGAAACTGTTCAGCTTATCTTTTGTGGTATATTCTCTAAAATCCTCTAATATTATAACCATTTCAGGAGACTCATTGTCAACTAAATCTGTGATAAGTTTTTCAATCAAAAGTTCCTCTTCTCCCACTTTAGTATATTTGGCATTTTTATGACCAAGGATCGTTAAAACACACTGTTTCTCCACAGCTCTTTTGACATTTTTTGCGATCTTATTGAATGCTTTCCTCTAGATATTGTGAAATTTGTTTATTATGAACATAAAAGCCAAGATAAAAACTAGTTAAGTTCATAGATATTCAATACAGTGCGAGTCATTCTATATATCCGTACTTTCATTTTTATGTCTCATGCCTGAAAGGGCTATAAAACATACAAACTATAAAAGGATTCTTTTAATTAAACGCCATACTTTAAAAGCTTTAGATGAATCTTCAAAACATTCTTTAGTCCTCTTCTCATTTTCCAGTAACAAATTAATAATTAATATTTACTTTTAAAAATATCTCGCGCCTTCGACGAACACAACTCTGGGCATTTTTTAACGTCAGCTACCAGTTTTGCGTAAGCACATACACCCGCAGTCTCAATAACTAATAATGAACGGAGAAATTGATGACAAACAGTGTAGTATTGATATACTTACTAACGATGGTAACTATTAGTTTCAAAGAGAAAATCAGACTTGAATAAGTCTACACTCGGCTGATTTATACTTACATTTAGGGTAAAAGAGCGATAATATGTGATTTTCAATACAGATGATTATAAGAAGTTTTTCGAATCAAATTTCGATGCGAAAATATATACTACAAGCATTATGCAGGGAATGTCAATTGCTAATCAACTGAAAAAGATCAGTGACGGTTTAGATTTATTAGATAAAGAATTACATAACCAGGTGAGGATTGTATTTAAAAGTACACAAGAACTCAGTGAATTTTATTCCTATATTAAACTTCAATAGATTGTAACACACCACGAAGATCTTCTATCCCAAGCAACAGGAGTTGAAACGCTGGAAGGAGTTTTGCAAATTATGCAAAATAGAATAGAATCATTGATGACTTCTTTAGAAAGGTATTTCCCCCTTTTGTTTTTTTGCCAACCAGCTATATTTAATTATTGTTATTCTATTATTTAGAATAAAGGCACGCGTTACCGAACCTTATGAGAAAATTGTAAAAAGAACTAAACAATTAAAAAGATTACAGGAGGCATGCGACCTATTACGTCGAATAATTCGTCTCCTATATCTATCAAAACGCTTAAAAATTCAATTGGAAGGCGGAGCTCGAGAAATAGCAAAATCTGCGCAGTCTTTAGCCGAATTAGATTATTTAATGGAGGGTCAAGACCTGAGTGGAATCGATATCATTGAACAAGATCGTAGGTTTATTAGACAGGCAAGAAAGGAGGTTGAAACGCATGCTCAATCGATGCTTGCCCAAGGAATAGAGAATAAGAATCAGAGTTCCGTATCTACAGCCTTACAAGTGTTCTATCACTTAGATATGCTAAAAACTATCGTCAATCAGTCTGTTTTAAATTGTATAAAATGCTTAAAAGATCATATTGGACAATGTGTCAATGTTCAACATTTAATGTCTAGTATGAAACAAACAGCTCCAGCTGCCCCAGGAAGAAGTGCTCTACCAACAAACACTGCAGCCTTTCGTGCTGCATTATGGACAAATATGGAGAAAGTAATGGATTCTATTTACAATTCTTGCGCCCAAATGCAGCATCTTAATAAAGTTATAGCTAAAAAGAAAGATCCTGTTTCTCATACAAAATTCTCTGATATACTTGAAAATGACATTTTGGATGAGTTTTGGTCTAGTACTTCGTATTCCCTAACTACAGTCTTTTCAGCAGCTGTTGAAGAAAATACATATGTTAAACAAGCTTTGGAGGGAGAATATCCAAAGTTAATAAGGCTCTTTAATGATTTATGGAGACGATTAGGACATTTATTTGAAGACGAAACGGTTGAAGATACACAAAGGTACGAAAACCAGTTAAGGAACAGCATATCTCTACTGGAGGAAGCCTATTTATCGAAATCTTTATCACGTTTATTTGATGTTGTTAATATGGCTTTGAGTTCTGGAAATTCTAATCCTCCATCTATAAATGATATAGAAGCTATACTAAAAGTTTTTGTTAGCGAGTTAAATTTTGCTAAAGTCGATAGCGATTTGATGTACTCAGTGGCTTCAAATGTATCTAAGACTTTGAATCTCTTTGCCGTCAAATGTGAGCAAATATCGTCGACTGACGGCGAAGCTTCTCAAGTTATATCTCCACCCACGCAAGGCCAAACTAGAAATGCCCAAATAGTCAATGTACTTTATAGGTTATTCGATGGAGGCTCCAAAATTATTGATTCATTAGAAAATGTTGAAGATAGAGTTGTCAATAATCTAAAATCTAGTTTAAACTCCTTAACGAATTGCATGAAACAAACGATATGTCCACTATTCACTTCAATTTCCGAAGCTCTCGAAGCAATCATTGCAACTCTCCATAATGAAGACTTTTCATCTTCGGATCATTCTGACGGTTCTAATTGTTCTTTATATATGAAGGAGTTAGGAGATTTCATTCAAAGAGTTGACCAGTCATATCTGGTACAGTTTGATTGTCGTTCAGACTGGCTTGATGAAGAATGCGTCCTACCGTTAGCCTCTCGATGCATTCAATTATTTATTCGACACGTCTGCCTAACAAGACCAGTTGGTGAAGGAGGTCGTCTTCGTTTGGCTGCTGATTGCGCTGAGCTTGAAAGAGCTGTTCAACCTTTGTGCAAGCCCTCATTTCTTGGTTCTACGTATAAAAGCCTCAGAGCCTTGCGCCCTCTGCTATTTATGACTCCTGAAAATCTCATTACTGCACCATCTCTAGGAGAAGCAATTCCGTACTCTTTCGCTATTCATCTCCTATTGGCCAGGGCTCCATCATCAATACCAAGCCCATATAGTCTAAACAATTGGTCAATGAACAAATATAGTGATTGGTTAAATAAACATTCCGAAAAGGAAAGGCTGGCTCTGTTACAAGTAGCTCTGCAAACATATGTCAGCAACGTTCAAAAAAGGGGTGAAAAGGAATACGACGTCATATATCCATTCCTGTTTCAACTATTACAAGACGCTCAAGCCAGTCTAAACTAAGCACGAACAATAATAATAATAATAATAGACTTACTACATTTGTAATGTGAAACATCCAAAAATAAAGCAATATAGTTTAATTATGCAGTACATTGATTTAAAAATCTACATAACTATTGACTATTGTTATGTAAACAATTGTTTATATGTTTGACAAGATAAACTATGAATAGGTTTTCTTTATTTATTATTAAATTTTCATGCGTTTTCTCAATTGCGTTTGCTATCTATTTACTATTAGCCTTCTGTTCCAACAATGGTAGAGAAAATTCCATTTTGGCAAAGATAAAGTTTGATGCCGTTAATAGTGAAGGAATAAAATTTACCTATTCCGCTTTAAGTCCTATTATCTTTATTGGGGGGGTACCGAGGTCTGGAACAACCTTAATGAGAGTAATACTAGACGCCCATCCTAATATACGATGCGGTGAAGAAACTCGAATAATACCACGTATATTAAATATATTTGGACCTTTAAAAACATTTTCTTTCGAGGATTTAAAAAATGTCTATAACATCGGATTAACGGGGAATATACTCGAAAGAGCTGTGACAACTTTTATATTAGAAATAATTGTTAGACACGGCGAACCATCAGCGAATCTTTGCAACAAAGATCCTTTTACTTTAAAATCTTCAGTTTATTTATCAAATTTATTTCCAAACTCTAAATTTATCCTTATGGTAAGGGATGGAAGAGCAGTTGTTCATTCTTTAATTAATAGGTATATTACAGTATCCGGATTTAATTTAAGCGATTATAGTCAGTGTTTATCGGCATGGAATTCTATTATAAAATCTATGATTACGCAATGTGAAGATATTGGATCTGGTAGATGTTTAATAGTTCGTTACGAAAATTTAATTCTACAACAGGAAAGTACTTTACGAAAGGTTATGGAATTCTTACAAGTGGAATGGAGTGAAAATACGCTAAATCACGAAAAGTTTGTTGGAAAGAAAAGAGGTATATCTCTGTCAAAGTACGGTTATTTCTTCATTTTTTCCTTTAACCTCTCGTAAAAGAAATAGGTTTTCTCTATCTATATAAACATTTACAGAGTGGAACGTTCATCGTCACAAGTAATTCAACCAGTAAATTTAAACGCTCTTTATAATTGGACAAAAGATTTTCCGAAGGATTTACAAAAGAGGGGAAAATTAATTGCGCCAATGCTTCAGACATTAGGTTATAAACCTGATCACTTTCCACCGTTTTATGGAAAACCGAATGATAATGTTATTGTAAAGACCAGAGAAATTCATCTGGAAGCAAATTACTGGAAAAAACTGGCGGATTCTTACATAAAATGAGCATTTTTTATTGTTTAAAACTTACACTTCAAATACTTTAGGAAAATATTTTATATTCATTTACTGCTATCTTTTTTATTCTTCTTCTTCTTCTTTCTTTTTTTCTTCTTCAAAGTTTTTCTTTCTTGTCGATCGCGTTCCTTGCTTATATAATGATTATCGTCATCTTCATTATCATCCTCAATATCGTCTAACATTTGTAGAAATCCAAGTTCATCTTTTCCAACTGCTATACTTACTCTAAATCTATTTTGACTTAGTACTTCTAGGCCTAGTAGAGAATCTGGAGGAGGAGATTCGCAAATAGTTACAGTCCTTTGTCTAGCTTTTAATTTACCTTTTCCCGACGTTAAATAAAAGATAAAGAATATAACAATAAATATAAAAAAGATAACAACACTAGAACAAATAATAACAATCACTTTAAACGAAGAAACAACTATTGATGTAGGTAGAGGAGTTGTTGTTATGAACTTTTCACGGACAGTGGGAACCTGTGTTTCACTTGGAGATAATCTCGGTACGCTAACTTCCAAGCAGGAGTCTTTCTTACAACTTTGACACAACAACAGAAAATCATCTGGTTCAAAAGATTTTGGGCAACTAACCCAAACTTCAGTCTGAAAATTTTCTTCTTCTGCAATTGTCGATAAAGCCTTTTGAATTTGTTTATCAGATTTTAATGTTACTCCTATTTTTTCCGCAAGAGAATATTGTAATTTTGATAAACAATAGCGTTCAACAAAATCCGATGTTACGTCTTCAGGATAGTCTATTTTTGGTTTAAAAAGTATCGTTGAATGCTTGTATCTCTTGTATAATTTATTAAACCTATTTCGAATATTATCCTTGGTGACCATTTTAGAGTGTGATAGAGTACTGCAATGTTCGACGTATTTATATTCTTGTACTGGATCCATTTGTAAAGTTATACGTATTTGTTCATAATCGGCAGGATTAGGAGCATTAATCTTCCCATATCTTTTATGGGCAAATGGAAAGTATTTGGCGAGTAAGTTTCTCTTTTTGATAAAGGGAACGGCCCTTTCAAATCTCTTGCACAAAGCGCTTATCTTAAACTGACGAATTATACCATTATCCAATAATCGTTTTCCTATCTCTTCGCTTATCCGATAAGCTTCGACTAAAGCATATTCAACATCCTTGCTCATACATTTTGTACCTGGTTTTAATTTCATTATGTAATCAGTCCTACTAAAAGCTTTAAATCCATAAATTTCAATTGATTTTGGCCAATAAAGAGTTTTTTCTTCAAATTTATAATCCATTATACAATTAATATCTTGTAAGTTGTTTGCTAAACGGTAAGACGGAGATTTCAAGTGCAGACTACCATCTTTTGAAACAAACATACCCATAAATTCTTTCGAATCTGCAGTTAAATACGTCTCCTTAAATGGAACAGTCCATTTTATGTTTACTCTATTTCTAACTACTCTTTCAAAGTCGATAGATGGAATACAAGGCAAGGTTATTGAACCACCTAAAAGTAGGAACCAAGTTGGTTTTGCGTCTATACAGTCATCTACTGTTTTCGATGCGTAGAAAGTTGAAAATTTATACTGAGGGCATTTGTTACATTTTGGTAGACCTTCCATGGAAGAATAACGACCAGGAGGACAAGGTTGACATTCTTTATAAGATCTTCTAGAGTTTCTATAAGAACCTATTCGACATGGTCTGCATAAATTACTATTGTACGGATCTTCTTCGTAACCGGAAACGCACTGAAATTCATGAGTATCTTTCCTAGCCCAACCTAGAACTTCCGATCCATAATATCTAGACTCAAGAACAATCTCCTCAATCCTATCGTAAGTTTTATTCATTACATCTTGAAATTCGTCATAGAATTTGCAAGTATCAGCTTTTCCTACTTCACTTTTACAACTAAGGTCATAATTATAGGGTGATGTATAGCTTATATTAACAATAGTTATTGAATCTTCGGGACGAAAGTCAAGAATAACATTCCTAGTCAAAGCACCAATCATTGGAGATATTCTATACGGATTACAAAACGAGAAAAATTGAAATGTACACGAAAACTCTGGATAAATTGACGAAATATTCAAATCATTATAAATACTATTTTGAAATTCATAAGGACAAAATTCTTTTAAAATTTCTTGTTCAAGACTAGAAACGTGTCTAGCTTGACAAATTCCATGATGACCAAAGCCAAATTGACCATAATAAGTGAACCATTTTCCACGATTTTTCTTACAATTAACAATAAATGTGTATACGATAATGAAATAAAACCTATAAATATCTAAAATCATAATATTTGTTGTTATTTTTTCCAAAAAAACAAACAAAGATGCCTTTTTTCGTTACGTTTTTTATTTTTATAAAAGAAAATAATAATAGAATATAAAGAACGAAATATTGTCATTTCAATTATTAAATTATTTACAGTTTTCTTTGATACAGTATATATGAAATCTGTGAACTAAAGTCCGTCGTCAGAGTCCTCCTCTAGAAGAGGTACAATATCAAAACTTCCAAATTTTCTTTTGGTTTGTTGGGCTTTCGTGTCTTTACGAAAGCAAAACATTAGTGTAAAGATGATGACTATTGAGATAACAATAAAAGCGTCTGTGAAAGATATAAATAAATAGGTTAATTTTTATTTATTTAATATATAAAGTTAAGCATCTTACTCATAATCCAAAGAAATGTAAATAATAAACTCTGATTTTTCATTGGTATTAAATTTATAGTTAATTCTTTATCATTCAAAGGTAATACTATTTTAATTGACGTTTCTTGATATCCTTCAGCCGAGATCCTAATATTATATAAACCTTTCTTAATGAATAGCGATAGCATCCCTTTCTTTGAGAGGAATTCTTCGTTATTAATATAAATTTTACAATTTTTAATTGATGTAGTTGATTTAGAATTACGAACAATAACTGTATAAAATGATAAAGAAGAAGAAAGAGTATATTATTAAATTTATAATAATATAGTTAAAATCTCTATTATATTTCATTACTTACGTTTAAGAGCATTACTCGTCTGTGATATAACTTCTTTTAATTTCCAATTTAGTTCTGAACTTTGATGAACTACTTCTCTATCGTTAAAAGATTCACAACAGTAAATTGGCGCGCTAATTATCATAGTTTTTGTTTCTTTTGAAATTTCATCCTTTTTAAAGGAAAAAAACAGCAATAAAAATTAATAAACAAGATTAATAAAGTATTAGGAAAGGAAAGATTAAATACGAACTAAGAATAATTTCATTTGAGATTCTTTCTTCTTTTCTTTACAATCAGGAAATAGAGATTTTATTTTTTCAATTGCATGACTACGTAATCCTTTTGCTGTTGAGTGTTGAAAACTACCAAAACTATTTACCAATAGTACCAAGTCATATGAATCTTTCTTCATAAAATATAATAAACGATTTTTAACCTCTTCTTTGATGAAAGTGTTTGTTTGGCACGAATTATTAGCTTCCCATGCATAGGGACTACTAATTAACGGCATTACTGATACATCTACGGATAAGAGATTTTTCGTTAATTCCGAATTTTTTCTATTGATGAATAAGTCTTGAAGAAAAGCAGTCAATAACTCGGCCGAGTAACGATCGGTAGTTGTAAAGCCTCCTACGATGGCTATTTTAGAGCGGACCTTGAATGAATTTATTGGAGGTTTTATATGGACAATACAAGCAGTTGGACCATTATTACATTCTGTATTACCATGATTTGGTAGAGATTCAACGATTTGATAAGGCGTATCGTAATGGCGAAAAGATGAAGAATATTCAAGGGTAATAGTCTTAAACACCCTTTCCTTTTTAAGATTAATGCTTAAGATTTTTAGTTTATATCCTTTAGCTTCAATTCGGATAGTATATACTCCTTGATCGAGTAGAAAGAGGAAACGAGATCCGACTACTTCATATTTCGTTTCGTAGATATACGCTGTTGCGTTACTAATCTCTTTTTCGTATTTATCTTGAATTATTCCACTTATATACATTGTCATACATTTTAAAACGTTCATTAAAGATTGTACTTGCTCATTAAAAATGAGTGGAATTTGTTTTGAATCTGGATATTTACAACACGATATACCTATGTTCAAGCGTGGGAAATCTTTAAAAATCCCATCCTCAATTTGTCTTAAATCTTCGCTGAAGTTAGTTACCGAGGAATAATCACAATCTTCATTCCAATTTAACTTGGATGCTTTCATAAAAGATTTTGAAAGTCGTTTTAAAAGTGCATTATTTTTATTCTGTTGTAGTTTTATTCCACCTGCTGTTAAAGTTAATATAACGTCAATATTTTTACGTTTCTCAAGAATTAGACTAAGAGCTTGAGATGCAATTGTTCCGGAATATGGAAAAGAATTCGCTTTATCCTTATAACTTTCGCCGCTGCAATCTCCTTTAACCAAGCTTTGAGATGACTTTATATAAAGGCTAGGTAAAATGATTACTCGAATGTCTTTCATTAGGTATTCAATATCTCCACTCGACATAATAGAACCTAAATGTCTTGCAAATCGTAGGGCAACTTCACTTCCAATAGGTTCGTCCGCTTTATAACTTCCAATGATAAGAATGGTACTCTTTTCAATGCGGTTAGGTTTAGAAAATTCTAACATTGGTAGATCAAATATTCTGCTAATTGAGACATTCTTATCGAATCTATTAGCTATATCTTGCATATGTTTTGTTAAGTTTGAAATTGAATAAGTTGCCTTAACGTTCTCTTCAACTGTGTAAGTATCCTTGTCAGATAATATAAGTTGGCTATCCTTTCTTAGTAAATCAAAATCAACAAATGTTGCTTGATTGTTAGTAACGGTAACAGCCTTCTTTTGAGATAGATATCTATAAATTGATTTGTTAAATACTTTTTAATTAAATATAATATAATAGAATAAAATTATTTCAACCCTACCCAATAGTAGATACTTCTACTTCGTAATTTCCGGGAGCCAATAGACGCCAATAATCTCCACCTTCGGCTGATTTAATGATATGACGAATCGATGTAACATTTATCGTAGCACCTCCTATACCTTTAGATGTTGAGCCATCTCTGATAAATCCTCTTATACCTTTATGAACCTGAGACATATATGTAATAAGTGAATATTTATTATCATTCCAAATTTCTTTAAGAGCCTTTGCTGGAGGATATTTCACACATCCAAGTTCCATTGTTAATTCAAAACAATTACTCTGAAAATAGTTATAATCTTGCATTCCACCGGCCACTGAGTACCATGCTGCTCCGTTAGTTATACCATCTGTTATTTTGTAAATAAAAAGAGTAAATAAATGTAAAGTACTATATGATTTTCGCCTGTTTCTGCTTGTTTCTACCTTTAAATTTTTCTGAACAGGCATCACCTTTATACATTTTTGAATGACTAAAAGAGTAAGATTTAGCCAATCTGCGAAAAATATCATCATCTGGACTTTTACTATAAGATGATTTTCTTTCTTTGTTATCATCCAAAGGATAATTTGCAACTAATGAACCACCGTGCAAATTTGCGGATAATACGAAAGGATAACTGTGTATCCATTCAATAACAATTTTTGTTTCCTTTTGCATCTCTTTTCTCGTTGGGAAAAAAGCATCCGGAAAATTTCGATTTAAATCAACATGATGGCTATTTGGTCTTCCTTCAATTCTTGAATTTATATAAGCTTTCGCATAACCATCAGGATTCATTGTTGGCATAAGATGTATTCTAGTATTATCAACAAGTTTTGTAATTAGTCTATCCTTTCCATAGTTAAAGCATATTAATTGTATTAAATTAACTAATAAGACACGACCAACAACTTCATTTCCATGCATGGTTGATAAATATTTAAATTCGGGTTTACCTATATTATAATTGATTATTAATATTGTAATTGTTCTAATTTAGTATAAAACAAATAAACCTAATTGATGAAATCCAGGTTTATCACTTATTTCAACAACCCATAACTGTCTACCTTGAACCGATTTACCAACTGAATAAAGTCTTGTAATTTTTGAACAGTTTGTCATTGACGTTAAACTTATTAGAGTTTTTTCCAATTGTTTGTCATCAAGATGGCGCATTATTGTAGGCTCAATCCAATTTGATTCTTTTCTAAATAAAAATATTCAATTACAAGAAAATGCGCACGTTTCTATTTGAAACAAACTTTGATTTATAATCCATGAATTTATTTGTGCAGTTTATAATATATGCCAATTCTTTATTAACTTTTGTACGTATCGATTGATGAGAATAAGAAGACTTATCCCTAATCCTTTAAAAGTGAAATTTTATGAATTAATCATATATAGGAGCAAAATCAATACTAACTCTTCCTTTATCTTTTCCAAATTATATATATATTCGTAAGATCTTGTTGCTATGGTTACAGGTTTCCACTGAGTATGGTAGCCTGTTGCATAGACTCCTACTTTATATGATCCCGGTAGTAATAAACGCCAGAAGTAACCGTCGCTGGACGTTCTGACATTTTTACCGGCTGATGTACCATTTATATATTTAACGGTTACTATTGAATTTTGAAGAGGTTGACCCGCTTTACTTCTAACTAGACCTTTCATACCGATATGAGCTTTTCCAATGAAATTAACAAGAGCCATTGTGGTTTTTGACACTTGTTTTTTAAGTACGGAGTCACTTGGAAAGTTACAACAAGAAACACCTAAAGAAAGTTCCAAGCAGTTTGTATGACTGTATATATAATCTTGTAAACTTCCATTGTCATGGTTTACATTAGCACCAACAGTATATCCATTTGCATATTGAAGTTCTTTAGGCAAATTGCATTTATCATTTTTATAATTTGGAAATTTTGATATAAATGAATTAGCCAATTCCTGAAATAAAAGATCGTCTTTTGTTGCTGAATTATTAAGGGAATCTTTTCCATTGAATGGATATGTAACAAGTAAATTTCCAGCTCTAATATTAGCTGAAAGAACAAACATTTTGCTATTTAACCAATCCATCATTTTTTTAGCTTCTGGATCTATTGGTGCTTTAGGTAAATTTCTCCATCTGTCTGGATAATTTCCATTCAAGTCGTAATTGTTGGAATTATATCGTCCCGTTGTACCATTACAACTTCCTTTTATGGCTTTATTTAATCCATCCGGATTCAAACTAAGAATTAAATATATATCCGTCTTGTCTACAAGTTGACGAACAGTAGGATTATTAGTATAATTATTTAATAAGAAATGTGCAAGATTCAATATTGTTTGGCTAGTAATAGCTTCATTTCCATGTATACTACCAGTAATTTTAACCATTGGCTCATCAAATTCTCTTAGCAATGGATTATCAGTTATTCGTATTCCTATAACACTTTGACCACTCTTAGTGTTCCATAATAAAACTTTTTGAGCGATATTCAAGTGAGTTGCAACAAGATTGTCTATCACCTTTGAGCATTGAGTAAAATTAAGATAATGGTCATTATCATATAAATGATCGTTGATTATTTGTTCAGTTGTTGAATAGCTTAAAAACAGAAAAAAAAGAAACAAAAAAATAGGTGATTTCATTCTTCCACGTTGAGACGGAAATGAAAACATCACATGATAATAAACTCTGCCACCTAGCGTAAAAATTTTTTAATAATACTTTAATTTTTAATTCAGTAAAAAGTTATTATTGATTTCAATTGAAATATAAAAAGAATCAATGAAATAGATAAGCTACATACATTTTTTAACTTTTCATTGAAATTTTAGAAGTAGTCTTTCATTGTCTTTATGACAAGCTATTTTGAATTGTAATAGTTTATTTATAATCATAAAATCATGTATTTAGAAACTCTAATCAATTAATCATAGATAACTACCATCACAAGCTACTAATCTTCATTTTAAATAGTGAGAAAAAAAGCAAAAGTTTCACAGTTTAACAAAAAAAAAAGAACAACAAGGCAGACAAAAGAGAATTATTAGCACCATAAATTTAAAAAAGTAACCAAAAAATTGCACAGATTACAGATTCGAATAATACTAGAAATACTTTCTTTCTTTGTAAAATATAAACTGGCGGCAAAGCAGAAGAAAAAAGACATGTTATTATGATGCATTTCTCATTTTCTCCAAGATTTCTGTAATCATATCGAATCTGGGTCTTTTTCCAGGGTCTTCGTTCATACAGATTTTAATCATTTTTGTAGTGGACGTAGAGGTTCCTGGCGGTATTGTGACTCTAGCATTCTCTAATGCAATCTAATAGAATAAAAAGAATAAACAATAAAATGTTTAAATATCCAATTAATTAACTGTTTAAATATTTAATTAATAAATATACCTTAACACCAACTTCCATTGGAGTAATATTGGCGAAAGGAACTTGTCTTGTAGCTAATTCCCATAGAACAATAGCAAAACTCCACATATGTGCAGCTCTAATATTAATATCTACAGATTTCTTTGTTAAAGCTATAAAATTATTGAATAGATATATTAATAAACTTTTGAAACGTATAACGTATATAGATGATACCTTCAGGAGATAGCCAAGCAGGATTATACTCTTTCTCTTGTTCGTGAAAAGAGAATTTACAGTCAGCCATATTAATTTTAGCAGTTCGATTTTCATCCAGCTGAGGAGAAGAGAAAGTTTGATTTTAATTAAATATTTAATAATAACTTTTCTGATTGTTATTTCATATTAATAATAATAAAAAAATTAATAAAAAAATCAATCTGAAAGGAGAATACGTAAGTGGTAAGTATAAATAGAATAAAAGAATAATATAGTAACAGATAGCATCATTCTCAGCCATAATAAATGCTCTTCAGACAAAATAAAAATGATACTAATTGAATGAACAAATGATGAATAAATAAGAAACACTTGCTATTTCTAATAAAAAAGGCATGATAAAAAAAATAAGAGAGTAATAGTATAACAATAATAGAAGAAAATATTAGTGAGATTAATAAAGAGACTATAAATAAATTAGTAAAAGTATTGTCTGATAAAACAACAGAAACCATTCCAATTTACATATATATATATTAGTATATATATATATATATATATACAGCATATTAAAAGTATATGCATACATCAATATACTAATATACTAATATATATATATAAATACATCTTTTATTTTTACCCCAAGTGATAGGTTCCTAGAATCATTTGCTGACAAAGTAGCAAATTCGAGGTTTAACTTGGCTAAGTTTTCATCAATCTGCCAGACGTATAAAATATTGCAACATTTACTTATCATATTATGAGTATAATATATTATATAAGCATTGTTTTAAAATTAGAAATAATATAGAGCAATTTATACAAAAAGTATATTCAAACAATATTAAAGTCGTATCGACTATCTCACTTGGATACATTAAGTAGTAAATATAATATTAATATTAAAATCTTACCATAACGTGTTTGCTAGTTAGATTGAAGTTTATAATTGGAGGATCTAAATTATGCAAATAGTGCATTCCTTTAGCAATATCTAATTCGAATTTAATTGCTTGATTATTATCAATAACGAGTCCAGATTCTCCATGAATAACATTATACAACGAACCAAAAGGCATATGAGGACTGAGTATAATGAACTTTTGTGCGTCAGTAGTACCGCCAAGTACAGGTAGGACGTTGGCGTGATTGAAGATCCTTATATTTTTTAATGAAATATAAAAAAATATAAACAAAAACTTAAATAAGCAAACTATTTAACTAATTAATGAAATTGCCTTTACTTTAATTTAGGTAGTTCTTCTTTAAACATCCTTGCATAGCGTAAACTATTATCACAATTTAGATATTTCACAATGACTTCAGCCTCATTCCACTTTCCAAAGTGTACTCTACCAGAATGAGTTTCGCATAACATCCTCCCAACCTTAAGATCTCGAATGTTAACAAACTTGGTTGAATCTTTACCTCGTACGGTCGTTGAAAAAGATCTCATTTCGTCGTAATGATAGACAAGTGACAAATCTTGTCCTAAGGTTTGTGCGCGATCTAGTAGTTAATAGTAAAATTCAGAGTTTTTATTGAGTATAATGACCTAATCTTTAAACTAACCAATAAGAAGCCTTCTTAAATTTGGTCTGGCTAGGTCTATAGGAGTTTGATTAAATCTGTTTGCGTGTCTTACGTGTGCACCTTTATCAACCAACGTCTTTAAAATAAAAATAAAAAGAGATTTACAATATTAATATAGTCTTTAAAGTTTTTCAATACTTACTATCGCTACATCTTCAAAATTCCAGAAAGCAGCATAATGTAACGGTGTATTACCATGAATATTTGTCCAATTCATCTCATTTGAATAATCAGCCAACTATTTAAAAACAACAATTATTAAATATATATATATATATATATATATATAGTATATAAAGAATATTTCTAAGAGCACAACATCTGATAGATGTCATTTAAAATCATTAGACCAGTGACATCTGCTTGTTTTATTCGAAAACAATTATATAAAAAAAACTGATAAAATTCATAAATTAGCTCTCTTACACCATTCATTGAAAAAGTATACTGTATACTACCAATATTTGTAGTAAGAGAGCAAAAACAAATAAGCGATTGTCCAATGATAAGACGAATTTATGCTCCTTTGATTTAGTATTGTTTTTTTTTAATGTAAAAGAGAGATTAATTAAATTGATCAGTTAATAAATTTTCAATACTGATATTAGTTTGCTTGAATTATTTTTTTTATAAGAAATAGGAAGCTGATTTTACCAAAAGGATTACTTCTAAATGCCCAAAACTGGCTGCCAGATGGATTGGTCGATCTCCACTTGCATTCACCGCTACAGGATTCGCACCACGTTGTAGCAGCATATCCACAATTTGTTTATTTCCTCGCATAGCTGCCCAGTGCAGAAGTGAAAATTTATGCTCATCTCCTTGATGCAGATCATTTTCAGCGTTATCCAACCATAACTTGGTTTCCAAAACTCTTCCATCTTTAACAATTGCAAATATGTCTTGCTCTGGAGTGTCCATCAGTATATAGCTATCTGTCTCAAGCACCATTTAACAGATTTTTTCTTCTAAATGAGTCTTTTATAAATGTAGAAGTGTTGGGTGTTGCCGTCTGCTTAATCAAATAATCGGTTATGCCAGATATAGAGACAGCTAACATTCAGTAGTTCGTATATATATATTTACTATTAGTGTAATATTGGCTACCTACTAGCCTTTTTTGTCTTGCACTTACTAATTAAGCTGATAACGCGCGAAATAATGGTAAACAAATGTTGAGCTTAGGAAAACGTTTAAACAAACTTTGATGGAGTTATTACGATTTTATCGAAATATCCGATTACTGTAAGAAAAAGCAAGAAATCGATAATTAATCGAGAAATCGATTACTCCAAACATTTCCGTTCGTTTCACAATGTTTATCCTGTAGATGTCGCTTAAACACACGTGCTAAAAACGTATCAATTCTGTTATGAATTTCTATTAAAATACCCTGTTAGCTTAATAAAACTTGAAGATGTTCGACGAAGAAGACTGGGATGCGTCGAAAAACGATGCAAAAACAGAAAAATTATCTAAAATACTATTTTCAGACAAAATTTCAGATAATTTGGTAATGATAAATACTAAACTCCACTCGAAATATAGATCATATTTGTATTCTTAGAAAAAGAAAGGGAATAAAAGGAAGAGAAAGCAGGAAGGAAAACCCAAACAACAGACATCTGTTAAGAAACCGAGAAACAGAAAGAAAAATCGAAAGGAGAGTGATGTTACTAAAAACCGGAATCTTGCAAAGGAAGCTGATAAAGAAGAACTGGCAAGCGAGATAAACGAATTTCAGAAGAAAATCAATCGAAAGAGAAAGGTGGCGGAAATTAAGGAAGAACAACCCAATAAACCAAATAAAGTAGCAAAGACGAGCCCCAAAACGACGACTCTAAAAAGTAGAATGACCAACAGATTGAACGCCGCCAGATTCCGATTCATTAACGAGCAGCTTTATACTCAAACTGGAGAAGATTCTATGAAAATGTTCCAAGAAGATGATGAAGCGTTTCACGTCTATCATACTGGGTTTGCATCACAAGTTGAAAAATGGCCTGTAAATCCAGTGGATTTAGCGATAGAATACATAAAAAAGGGGTAAATAATTATATTTATTAGAAATATGCACTCCCTAATGTAAGTTATTTAACGTAGCAAACCGAATCAAATTGTTGCCGATTTCGGATGCGGTGATGCAAAGATAGCAAGAAGTGTTAAAAATAAGATATATTCTTTTGACCTTATTGCCCTAAACGACAAAATAACTGTCTGCGATATGACTAAGGTAATAGTTTCAAATTTTATTTAACGCTAAGGCTTAAATTTATCAATGCTTATATGCACCAAGGTTCCATTGGCAGATAATTCTATTAATATAGCCGTATTCTGTCTCTCTCTTATGGGTACAAACTTGTCATCTTACATTCTAGAAGCTAATAGAGTCCTAGCAAACAGGTATTTGTTTGTGTATTAGCTTAGAGTTTTGTTTTCTTTTTCATAAAACTACTTTTTATAGGGGAACTCTATTAATAGCTGAAGTTGTTAGTCGATTCAACAATATTGATGCTTTCAAACGAAAATTAGAGAAATATGGATTCGATTTAATCAATAAGGTAACTTTTACTATGAAATAATACATGTATTTTATTTTTATGTAGATAGTTATTCTCTGGCTAATTAAATGTACGAATTAAAACAAAAGATTTTAACATATATCATGTTAAACAACGAGAACTCAATCTTTACTTGATTGCAGAAAACGTACAAAATGTTCGTTTGGATGGAACTTAAAAAAACGAAAAGAGTTAATCCAGGTAAAAGCTTGCCGGATATTAAATTGTCACCATGCTTGTACAAAAAACGATGAAATCAAGTTTATAGAGAGTGCATTCTAATATCAACATGATCCAGCATAAATTGGACAGTATCTATGCGACGTAGTACTCGTGGTGTCTGTACAAAGTAGATAAGAACTGATATTTATAACTTGACTAATAATTAGTGATTTACCTTATAAAGATTCAAAGAAATATCTGCAGTATCTCTTAAAAATTGTCTAAATTCGGAAAAAGTTCCGGGCTTAACTATGAATACTTTCATTGGAGCAATATTATTCTTCTTTCGAAATGTTTCGTATACGAAAAACTCTTTGCATAACGTTTTATCAATCTATTTGGTAAGAAAAATTACTTTAAAACTGAGTAAAAGAGAAGATAAATTGAGGAAACAAACCTCATCCAATTGTGATGCGCATATTAAATGTCCGTTTTCTAATTCTAAGAAAACTGTATAATATGGCAGATCGATAAGATCACTTTTATTTGATACTTGTTCCAGAACAGCGCTTTCAACGCAACAATAATCAATTATTTTAATGCCGTGCCAATTTCTAGCGGAATGAATTAAAGCTGAATAGAACGCTTTTTCACTAGTTTTCTCTCCTCTAACGTTCAAGAATTGTCCTTGTCTAAGTGTTAGGAAAATAGAAGATAACTTTATAAAACTAAGCAATTTTGTCTCTTTACCTATAAAGAAATTCAATTAAGGGACAATGATTATGGAAACCAACAACTCTAACTACGTCTCCGAATCGGTATCTGTAAAGAAACGTATTTATTATACTATTTTTGATATAATGAATGGTGTTATACCAACCTATAAAGTCCACTTTGATTTGATACAACTAGCTCATAATCTTTTCCATCTTCAACTTCATCTAATAGTAGAGTGGAAGGTTGTTCTTCGTCACTTTGTTCCAATGGAATGAATTCATAAAATACGGTTCTAGGGATTAATAAATAATGTCTATTGTGACTTAAAGGATCTAAATTGATTCCTAGAAGGCCTTCGGTTGCTGAATAGAGAGCTGAATAGAAGATAATTCCTTGAAATTCATGTTGCTTCAAAATCCGTCCATATATATCATTAGAACCCGAATCAACAGTTAATACACATTGTAGATCAGGCCAAATTCTTGATACAATACCATCGAAACCTCTATCAAACTCTTCACGAAGAAAAGATGCTCTATTAAGATCCGGAAAAAGTAATGATTCTAAATGTTTTCTGAGATTCGTATCTAATTTGATATCGCAATTTATTGTTCCAGTTTCTATATCGTGTACTAAATCGTGCCAATGGTTCCTTAGAGCTCTCATAGCTGTGTAGAGAACAGAGGCAAAGCCACTCTCAATTAAACCAATATTAGGATCTCTTAAGCCAAATAGCAGATGAATGTATAAAAGGGAATAGTCATCTGTAATTTTGAATGCTTTTGTGGGTGTACTTAACATTTGCAAAGTATATTCAACATTCGGTTGTTGTTGTCCAACCGGTATACCGCAAGCGATTGTTTTAGTTCTTGGTACGTAGGCAAATCTAAGAATTTTTCTTAATCGTTTCAATTCGCTAAAGTTATCATGTAGAATGCGCCAAACAATTGCATAACCAAATCTATAATGTAAAGTCCTTTCGTGCGACAAAACGGGCAACATGTTGCTATGTCCAGATGCTCCTGATGTTATAGCTAACAGAACTGTACTATCAACATTAAGAACGTTTTCTTGACCTTCAACAATCTGCTCTAAGTACGATTGATAATGACTATATCTCGTTAGAGGATGTTGTTTTGTAAAGTCTTCAACCGTTTTCATTATTTTAAAATTATAATCACGACCATAAATTGTGCTTTGATTTCTTCGAAGCCTTTGTAAAATAAGTCTACTTTGAACCTCACGAAGTTCAATGGTATCTGATTCAAGTTTATTCCTCATTCGTCTACCGGTAAATTGCAATCTGATTAAGCATATATAATGACTAGCCATGTGTCCAAATGTGTATTGGGTAACGCCAGAAATCCTTCTACGGAAATAATCAACTCCGGCAAAGGATAATATAACAAGAATTAGGCATCCAATTCCTGATTAGATAAAAAATTTATTATTGTGTCTGTATTACATTTCAAAATAATAATTTACCAGCTAGAGCGCTTTTAGTAACCGACAAAGCCTTAGGATGCTCCATAACTTCATGATAAATGGCGTATACAGAGAATGCAACTACAAAAGGTAGGAATATAACTATCATTACAAGTGGAGCCGCTTGAGCACCCATTTTTGAAGGTTATCAATCCAAAGCCAACCTCCTTTAACTTAACAGCGATAATCAGTATGTTTACATATTCGAGATCTCGTTCCTGAACTTCCGCTGAGGCTTTCGCGCCAAATTTCGGTTTTTTGCCTCATTGATAGATATATTTTCTGAATTATACACTGGCATCCACTTCATTACTTATATGATTTTATAAATCATATACGAAAACGACATTTACAATAACAGATTTCAAATGGGTTATTAAATGTCTTAAGTATAAGGCATAATATTACTGCTAAATATATCAAGTCCTCTTTAACAAATAAGTAAAATAGTTTTCTTGAAAAAAATTGGTCAATTTACACTTTTTAAGCTTTTCCCCTTTGTAAAGAAGAGCACGTGTATAAATTACCGATAATTTTCAATCATATGACTACCAACGTGATATATTTTCACTTCACATTTCTCTCTCTCTCTCTCTCTCTCTCTCTCTCTCTCTGTCTATTTTTCTATTTATCTTTTTCTCTATTTCTCTCACTTTTGTCAAAATCATATCTCCTGTGGAAGAATGAAATATACTTATCTATTAATAGCATTGCTTTCAGGAGTAGTCTTCAGTAATGAAGAATGCTCCGAAAGTGCGCTTGAATGCGAATACTACTTTGATATTGAATACGCAAAGAGTATGACTTTTCAGGGTTCTAAGGTATATATGGCTAATAATTCTTTCATGATATATGAGAAGGAAACTGGTAATCTTAAAATACTTACAAATGAAGGTTAAGAATCATGCTTTTTTTCAAATTGTTCCAATCATAAGTCCTTTACAAACGTTTTAATTGTGATAATAGAGGCAGAACAAGTTATTACGGCGGATGGAAGGCAGAAGAGTCTAATAACTATCAATGGTCGCTTTCCGGGACCACCAATAATAGTCTATGAAGGTCAAATAGTGACAGTGAAACTAAAAAATTCTTTGGACAGTCAAGGAACTTCTCTTCATTTTCATGGAATAAAACAGCTAAACACTGCTTGGATGGATGGAGTCGGTGGAGTAACTCAGTGTCCTATAAGTCCAGGACAAAGTTTTACTTATAAATTTTTAGCCTCTCCGGTAGGAACACATTGGTATCATTCACATTACGGTATTCAAAGAAGTACTGGCTTATTCGGTCCGTTAGTAATTAAGAGAAAGAGCGATAAGGACGAAAAAAAGTACAACAAAGAGTTTATCATTTCTGTGCATGAATGGCTATGGAATGATACTTCTGATATCTATGATATGGCTTCGAAAGAAGCAGTTAGTTTTGCATTCGGATATGGAGATTTTAATTCTCCTTGCTTTTTTTCCTCAAAAGAGTCAGATGGCATAGATACTGTGGTAACCCCGATTTATTCGGCTCTACTTAATAGTAGAGGTCGACACTACGGACGTTTTAATAGAACATATCCCGGTCCAAAGCTTCCTCTTGAAGAATTTCATGTGGAAAGCGGCGGGGTATATTTATTTCGTATTATAAATACTGGAATGGCCGTTTCCTTTGAAATAAGCATTGATGATCACGATCTAATGGTTGTAGCGACTGATGGGTGTGATGTAAGACCAAAGCAATTCGATTCTTTGATCATCCATCCCGGAGAAAGATATGATTTTTATCTTGAAGCCATTAGGGAACCTGGAATATATTTCTTAAGGGCTAGAACACTTGAAAGATTCTCTAACAATAAGGTTATTAAACATTCTATTTGATGTACCAAATAAGATTTATTACTGAGTGTAATTTTAATCTTTTTTTCATAGCCAGTGATTCCTGTTCATATTGAAGGTTTAATAAAGTATAAAGGAAGCGCAAAGTCATTTTCAAAGAGGAAAAAATGCTCGCGGGTTTATCCTTGCAAAGTTTTAAATTGTCCATTTGCGACTTCCATCATTGATAATTGGATTTGTACCTCCATTGCAAATTTGGAAGCTTTAAATGAACGTCACATTCCACATCCTACGGTTGAGCACTTTCTAAATTATCATTTTAATTGGCTTAAGGATGAGAGGGTTTGGAAACCGACAATAAATGGATTAAGACATGAGAACCCATCGGCCCCCCTTCAATTATTTCCACCGGCGGAACTACAGAGTATGCGCGAGTGTGGTAAAGAAAATTGCAATAATTCTTGTAAATGTACAAATATACTGCATTTACCATTCAATAAAAGCGTCCAATTAGTTCTCGCAACAACCATTCACAATCCTAAAAATGTTCTCAATGGGAATCCACATCCAATACACTTACACGGTCATCACTTCCAAGTTTTGTCTATTGGCTATCCTAAATATAATGAACAAGGAGTATATTTCAAACAGAATCCATCCCTTAAATGCTCAGATATGCAATGTAATCGGCTTCTTTGGTCCTTCAATAAAACTATTATTAGTAATCCGAGAGCTGTTGAAAAAGATACAGTTATAGTTCCTGCTGGGGGATACGTTGTTATTAGATTCTTGACGGATAATCCTGGATTTTGGTATATGCATTGTCACATGGAATTTCATAATGAAGAAGGAATGGCAATGATACTTCAAGTTGGAGAAATGAGCGATATGACAGAACCTCCTATAGATATGAATAATTGCGGAAATTTTGAATGGAATGATGAAAGCTTTTCCAATTACATTAAAAATCCTCCCACATTAAATTCACTTTTGCAGAAAGAAGAGAAGACTGACAAAAGGAAATTAATTGCAGTCTATGTAGCTGCAGCTTTAGCTACGTTTAGTTCGTTTTTAGCACTGTTTGCACTTTGTCACAAAAGAATTAACAAACAATATGATGGATATCAGATTATTCCTATGCAATAGCAGGAATATTGAAAGTTTAACAATATTTAAATTGATAGAACTATAAACGATAGAAAATTGATGATCCTTTGTAGAATCTTAAAAAATTACTTAAATGCGGCTTGTATTCAAATATTATTAAAAATTTTTTCATCTAACAAAACATTGTGATAGGCTCTTCTGTGATCTAGCTCAATTTAATACTAATATAAACATACTGTTATCTCAGCGATAAGAGTAGCTTTAGTATTTAACAGAATAAAGGCATCATACCTTCAGGTTAAAGACTAGAATACTAAGCTTTCCTGGTATGGGAACATTTCTCGGTCACATTCTCCCAGGTTCCTTCTTCATAATTTTTTCTCTTTGGTCAACTTTCAATGTTGCCAAAAAGCGAATACTGGATCACAGAAAAAGATTAGAATATAAAAGTACTGCAACTCATGATTGCAATTGCTTTGGTCGTTTCTCTAGAGCTCCGATAGAATCGATCATAAAATTTGTTTGCTGTATTTGTGGAATTATTTTAGAATTAGTGATGTGGTACAAAGGTGGGTTTGGCCTTCCAGTTTTGGCTGCCAATTTGCAACATTCGTCTATGTATGCTGGTTTTGCTGTATCTGGATTAGCCGAAGCTTGTCTTCACTACAAAAAGGGAATAGATGGTATTGATTACATAATGGGTGCTTTCGCCTTTGCAGTTGAAGGATTCCTATTTCAATTTCATCTTCTCACAAAATCAGATATTGAGTCTAAACTTCATCTTCTTCTCGTGTTGATAGCATATGCATCCTCTGTAGCATATCTATTAGAGTGGCGCTTTCTTAAAAGCCAATTGGCTGCTTTCTTCAGATGTCAAGCTACGCTTTTAAATGGCCTGTGGTTTTGGTGTGTGGCGTTTATGCTGTTTCCTCCTGCTCCTTCGTTACCTCGGTGGAAAGATAACTCTGGATTAACTATGCTAGCTGCCGGCCTGTTTGTCTGGATGGCACTAATATCTATAGGAATTGTTACACTCATTAATTACTTAACATACACAGCGTATAGTCGCTACTGGACTATTGATTATACAGTCGTAACTAGTTCGGATTGCGATGAAGATGATTCATAGCATATTCCTATTGAATTAACAAAAAAATGAATATAATGTTGTATAGTATTTACATAAGCACTTTTTCTACACAAAAACAACAAAGACCTAAATTAAAAAATTTTTGACTATACAAAAATTAGAACGAACCACAGTTAAAGAGAAAGTACAAAATTCAATCTATTTTCTTGCCAGAGCAGCCTGTTGACTCATAACTTGTTGCCATCTCAATATTTGTTGCTGATATTGTTCAATGTACTGCTGTTGTATAAGAAGCCGGAGCTGCTTTTGAAGCTCCTCTTGAGTAATATTTGGAGATTTTGCAACAATATTTCTGGCCAATTCTTGCATTTGAAATGTTGTTGGAGCGGACATTTGCTGTTGCTGTAAGAAAAGTTGTTGCTGGGCTAATGACATTCCCATACCAGGAGCACCCATTCCAAATCCCATTGTGTTACCAGCGGCCAGCACGGCTGATCTAACACCTTCTTTCTCTTGCTCATATTCGTCCCAAGCTGCCTTTCTTTCTTCCTCTGTTAGGCTCTCTTCAGGTCTTTCTTCAAGTAATGAGTCGTGTTCTTTTACATCAATTACATGAACTTTTAATTCTGATATTAGTTCTGCCAGTAAACGATCTTTTGGAACAGGAGGCGTTGGTTCAACCTCCGGTATTGGCCGGAAATTGTACAATTCCTGTAAATCGGCAGCAGTGAAATGCCTATCGATTTGTTGTTCGTCAACAACACGGTGGGACAAAGACAGTTTTGTCACTTGACGTTCGTATATCTTCTGTTCCATAGTACCGTACGCTAACAAACGATAAACATAACAAGGTTTAGTTTGCCCGAACCTATATACTCTAAATATAGATTGAACATCATGGCTCGGATTCCACGAAGCATCTAAAATTACAACCCGATTAGCTCCAATTAAATTAATACCTAAGCCACCGGCTTTAGTTGATATTAAGAACAAACGAGCTCTAATATTTTCCGGATTATTGAAAATTGTAGCCCATCGTTTTCTTAGATGGGCTGGTGTTGAGCCGTCAAATCGAAAGTAATCAGTATTTGGTACCCATTTTGATTTAACACCATCTGTTGTTCTTTTCAAAAATTCTTTGCTTAACTCAATCTCTTCCTCAGTTTTATTCTCATCAATACTTGCCTCTTGCCAGAGTTTAAGTATGTGCTCGATAAAATTTAATGTAAGTATACTTTGAGAAAATACTATGAGTTTATCTCCAATCGATTCACATAGAACCAGTAGGCGGACAAGAATCATTAGTTTTCCAGAAGCTTCCACACAGCTTTTCATCTGTTCATCCATATGATCAGCCCACCATTCATTACTTACAGGTCCCTTTACTTCTTCATCTTCTACAATATCTTCCTTTTGGCCATCCGATTGATTACGTCTTGTCCGCTTGGTGGAAAATTTATTAACATAAGTATTTTCATCAGATTTATCAGTATCAGAATCGGCTTTCGGATTTTTCTTCATAGATCTTGTCTTTCGTTTTCCATTATCAGAATCACTCAGAACTAAGCAGTCATCATCATTGTTGCTATCAGTTGACTGCGAAGCCTCACTGGTCCCTACGGAATTATCGTCAATAAACTCTTCCATGGAATCATCGTTAAACATGCGCTTAGCTTCTTGTCTTATTTCATTCATTTTCAATTGCCAAGGATGCGACCAAATTCTCATTAAAAATTGATAGTCTGAGAATAAAGATGCTCCTCTATTCCGAATTTCTCCTAAACCTACTTTCCTTTTTAAATACTCTTCATAAAGTTTAATTTGAATCTCTCCCAATTGAGTATAAACAACGTATTCATATTTAGGTGGTAAGAAAGATGTCAGAGCTCTATAATCTCGTCTTTGTACACAACCGGCTAATGTTTCGTGGAGGACGTGAGCACGTCTTTTCATTAGTTTTACATCTCTCTGGGTAGAATCAGCACACTGACCATTTGTTATGGGATTAACAAAGCGATTGCAAAATTCTTTTTTCGTACCCAGTAATCTTTTCTTCACAAGATCAACCATACAGTGATATTCCAACAGATTATTTTGTAGAGGTGTACCTGTTAAAACTATCTTCCGCTTGGTTCTCACCCCTGCAATACATTGTGATAGAGCAGATGAGGCATTTTTTAAGACGTGACCTTCGTCCGCAACGAACAAGTCTGGACCAGGATCGATTAAACATCTAGTTAACATATCTTTCTGACTCTTTTTTTTAATCCATTTATGTTGGGCTAAGTTTCTAAACATTTCATAACCAATTATTAATATTCCCCCTGTTTTCCACCATGTTTCAATTTCAATTACTCGATTTGCACTATTCTTTAAACTTGACAATTCAACAACATTCAATTCAAGCTTCTTATCATTCAAATGCCCCTGCCATGTATCCCATTCATCTTTCCAATTAAGGACGGTATTCAACGGACAAACTACTAAACAACGAGTAAATTTTAGTAATTTTTCCGTCATTATAGTGTGCACAAAGGCTATAATTGATAAAGTTTTTCCTAAACCCATGCAATGAGCAAGAATAGCACCAGAACCAGAATCATTGTCTCTGACTCGATCAACCGATTCGCAGACACATTCCCACAAAAATTTCACTGCTTCAACCTGATGGGGCTTCAATAAACGGATAATATTTGGATGAACTTCGACGTGAGGTGGATCCAATTCTAATTTTGTCGTAATAGGACACTTCTGCCCGGTATCCTCCACAACAGTATTATATAAACGTTGGCGTTCCTTGACACGATTCCGTCTTTCTTCTTCTTCTCGACCAGCAGCTTTGGTATCGCTGTCCAGTTTTTTATCTTTTATTATCTTTTTTATATCCTTACGTTTACCAGGCGTTCCCTTTACGTCAACTTCCTCGATGTCACTGTCATTTGACGAAGCGCCAGAAACTCGTCTCTTCTTTTTTGTAAAGTTTTCCTCTTTATCCATGTCTTCATCAGAAGATGATATTGTGATAATAGTTCTTTTCCTTCTTCTTTTTTTCTTTTTGACATCATTTCCTGGCTCCGATTCATCTGAAAGTTTATTTGGGTCATCTCCGCTCGAATCGTCTCTTTTTTTGTTCTTTTTTTCTCTCTTTTTCTTTTTTTCCTTAGCTTGGGCAGTTTTCTTGTCAGACAACTCATCAGGTTCACCTTTTTTATCACGTTTAATTGTAATTTTTAATTTTCTATCACTTTTATCAGGATTTACATCTGAATTTTGACTACTATCTGTGTTTATGTGATATTTACGCTTCCGATTATCAGTATCAAAGCATTCATCCTCAGAATCATTTATCCTTGCATCTAACAATTTGTCATAAGGACGTCTGCTAGACTTTGAGGTGGTTGACTCGCTATTTTCTTTCGAAGAAGTCGAGTCATTATCATCTTTCGAAGATGTTAAACTCTTTTTATTTTCCGATGGAACTTTATTCTTGCAAGCTTTCTTTAATTTATTTAACCCGAGATCTTCCAAATCTGAGTCATGCGATTGATTATCTGAATTTGAACTGGAGCTATCAAATATATAAGATTTATCCTTATGTGGATTGATAGCGTGACTTTGGTATTCATCTTCACTAAATTGGTCACTAATCTGATGAGTGTCCAGCTCGGAATCATCGTCGCTTGAGTTCATAATTCTATCGACGAGTGAACTATTCCCAGGATTTGAGGCAGATCCCAAGCCTTCTTCAGCTTGTGTTCGCTTTTTGAGATTCAGCTTGGCACTTTCACTTCCCTGAACTCTCCCTAGTGGCAGGTGTAACACTACTACAGATGCGCACAAAATAAAATGGAAGGAATACCTTACCTATGGCAGCTCGGAGATTTCTCATTGTGGACGAAACAGCCTCTTCTTCGTTAACAAATTCACTAGAATCAATAGTGCTATTTACCAAGGCATCATTGTTAGTAGTATCGAGAGGATCATTTGTACCATCTTGTGACGGAAGTATTAAATTGTGATCGCTTTCTAAGTTACTTTCTTCCATGTCTATTTTCTCTCTTTGACGCCTTCTATTTTCTCTAATCAAGCGTCTCTTTTTCAGTTTTTGACGAATTTTTCGTAATTTAGCTTTTGAGGATTCTTTGTCTTTAAATAATATTTAGATAAGAAAGTTGAATAAGTTTAAATAAGTCATTGTAAAATTTTATAACTACCTGGTTCATCACTTGATATTAGATCACTAGTGTCAAATGTACTGGTAGATGACTTTTGTTTATCATCGCAACTGTCATTAGCACTATTTCTCCTTTTTTTACCCTTATTTTTTGAAATCTATAGATTCATAAAACAATACATAAATTAAATATTTTACTTTTCTAAAATAAATATACATATATATATATATATATATATATGTATAGATACTTGTTAATAATGAGTGGTATTACCTGAATATTTTTGCGTTCATCCTCCGAGCTGTCTATGATAATGACTTCTTGAGGGCCAACTTGATTTGTGATATTGATCCGGCGAATTCTCGGCCTATCACTGTACTCAGACGTTCTTCGTCGAGCCAATAATGTACACTGATTCGCTGCTTTTTTGAAAATAGCCAACATTCGATCGGTGTCTCTTGCTACATCTGTTCGTAGCCTACTTTGCAGCTCCATAGATTGTTCTCTAGTTGCTGCTCTGTTTCTTTTTCTTAAATCCTTCACGTGGTTTCGTAATTTATCTAATACAGTCAGCGTTCTTAAGAGAACTTCCGACACAGCTTCAGGGCAAGTTTGAAAATAATCACCGTTGTAGGTTGGTACGTCTCTTAGAAATCTTCGTTGAGAGCCTCGATAATTACCGCCTATTAACGACTTTGATGTTGGTTTTTCAGGTGTTATTTCCCCCAGTGCTCTTTGGCACTCAATTACTAATGGTTTTATAGGATTAGAATTGCAAACAAGGCACGACCATTTAGTTTTTGGATCCTTAATTCGTTGAAGCTGAGATCTACCAAGATTTCTTCGTATACATTCACTACAGAATGCATGAGGACAATTATCACAACAAAGTAATGAGCCCCCCTCACCACACCAGAGACACTGATTATCTGTCCCATTATCGTCTCTTTCGATAGGAACACATTGATAATAATAATAACAAGTTTTGCAAACAAGAACTCGGAGATGAGGATGACTTCTTGCATATCCGCCGCTAGTTCTTCGAATTTCAGATCCACAAACTGTACATGAGGGGCCGATCTTTGTCATCGGTACAATTTTTCTTTTTGTATCATCAACAGATTCCGGTTCTAAGTACAATGTTCCATCAGGCAGGCCAACAGGTCTTCCACGAGAGTCAAATTCCATATCATGATCATCCCTATTTGTACCATCTGATTCATCATCGGCGTCATCTGAGTCGTAGCATAATACTTTTCTTGTTATTGCAGGCTTTCGCCTCCTTGTTTTGAGATTTTCTCCATCTAATTTGGTGGTTGGAGAAGATTGGGGTTCTTTTTCTTGATCTTTTGGTAAGTTAGCATAGTCTTTTAAATCATCAACTTCGGTTCTTAAAAGGAAAAAATGCAAATATAAAATTATAAAAATTTCATGATATAACTAACATGTCATTATTGTTTGTAGTCTTCTCAGCGTGCTTTTCACCGCTTGTTTGATCATTTTGAATTATTTCTGTGTCTTTAGCATCATCCATAGCAGATGGTTCGGATTTCCTAACTTCTGATTCAAAGCTGGATCAAAAACATTGATTGTTATATTTATATGCTCCGTAAAACCAACTTTAAAAGAAACCGCTCGAAAATGATGATTTTTAAGCAAAATGGCGGATACAAAACCGGAAGTGATAAAAACAACAATAGACTGGTGAGACTTCCTCCATCAAAATGTGTATAATATTACAGACAACGTCTAAAGTGCCAGGGTAAATTCTCACGTGGGAGAAAAAATTTCATAATACTATATTACACTTCGAAACTAGTTAGAGTTTAAAATTTAGTTTGAAAATAAAAAGAAAATTGCACGAAAATGAGCCACGATTCTGAGGATGAGTCGTCTTATCCTGCATATTCCAATCCTTTATGGAAGTTTTCTAAAAACACTCAACATCGCTCGCAAGATATTCCAAACAACTGCTGGAAAGGTTTTTCCGTAAAGAATAACTTACCCCAAAGCAAAGAGTATAATAAAAACTATACACCCTGGTCGGGACATTTCCGATCAAAGGTACTGTAAAAAATTTCCTGTAATTTTAATTTGTGAATTTGAAAGAATACAGTTGTTTAATCTAAAATATCCTTTTCCAATTAAACAGCAAAGATATACATATGGTTCAAAAGAAAATCATAAGAAATTTACTCATAGATGTGAAAGCTGCGATCGGGGATTTCCATCAGAAGAAATATTACAAAAACATTTATCTGAACACGAAAAAGTTTGTACATAAAATTTATGATAATAAACCAACATACTTTAGACGTTTGGCGTGCATTTTAGTGTCCGGAATGCAACTATAGCGCTTCATCTGGTCTCATAAATTTGCATTATAAACATGTAAGTTTATCTCTTCCAAGTTAACGAAGGTTCTTTAATTATTTAACTTTTTTTTAAAGCATCATATGACAGGACTGGCTAATAAAATTTGGAAAAAAGAATCAAAAGAAGACATTGAAAAATGGATAATGGAGAGAAAAAAGTATATTTAATTGATGCCTTTTCTGTAAAAAATTCATCAAATCTCTTTTTCCAGGAAATATCCGACTATTAAGAAAATAGAAGAGCAAAAAAGCACCAAACCAGCTAAGAATGTATTAGAAAAGTAATTTTTAAGTTTAAATATCTAGACTTTCTTTAAAATCAAACTGTAAAAATATTATTTTTAATTTCAGATCCCAAATAGGCTTTAAAAAGACTAATAAGAAAAGAAAAAGAAAACCTAGAAAACAAAAAGAGAAAAATGATTTAGAGAAAAAAGAAATCATAAAATCAGATGATCCTTTGTCTAAACTTCAAATTAGTGAATCAGGTAATAAAATATAGTTTTTGCCAACGAAACTCATAACTAAACTAATTTTTATTATCTTATAGAAGATGGTGAGCAAGTAGAGAAAATTGAAACAGATAGATCTGCCTCTGTAAATACATCAAGTGCACTATCAGCGTTGCAGTCAATGTATTCGTCGGGTTAGTTTGACCTAAATGCTTTTTCTGTTTTTAGTAATCTTTCTTTTTAGACGATGAAGAAGAAGTAAATAAAGATAAGGATACAGACTGTCCAGCAAAGAAATCGCGTGTGTTCACTAAACCTAAAAATATTAAAAAGAAACTTACCAAACCAAAAAAGAATTTAACCGCACCAAAGACAAGGATGTTAAGGAAACGTCTTACACCTGCACAGACTTCTTTAAGAATGAAACGACCTAGTTTACTTACAATGGTAGCGTTTTTTTGATTCATAAATCATTTAACGGTCCCAATCTCATTTTAAAACGTCCCTACTTGCAGCTACTGGAAAGCGATCGTCAACGTGAAGAAGCCTAAATTTGTTACATTTGGTTGTTTAGTCACTAAATCATAATATTTTATCATCAAGACAGTATGAACACAGATCGAACTTTTAGCTCCAGTTAAGAAAAAAACCTAATGAATGAAGGAAGCTGTTTCTGGAGATTTAAAACAATTTCCCTAATTATGGATTTCAAAGTTTGTTTGTAATAATGATTGCTCTAGGAATTATAACTAAACAAGATCTTGAATGGTTAGCATTTTTTTAAAAGAAATACCAAAACAAATTTTTTAACATAGAGGAATACAGTATTTTATCAGAACTTAAAAATTCTTATTTGGATTCGAAACCATCCTTAAATAAAACAATATTTATAAAAACAAAAGCATTATGTTGGAACATTATAAATATGAATATTTCTATCATCCGAAACGGAAACAATTTTAGAGCCACTTTGATTATATTTTCCACACCAAACTTGATCTGTATGTTCATAAAATGTATGAACACATTGCCTTGAGCTCAAATCCCAAACTCTAACAGTCTTATCAGAGGAACTACAAAAAATTTAAAATAAGTTTCATAAAAAAAATAAAAAACATTTCTAACCATGATACAAAATGCTGATTATCTGGGGAGAAATCTACATTCAAGACGTAGGAGCCATGACCAGAGAGAGTTCCGGCCAAATTGGCATTTTGTCTGTTAAAATTAACATTTTTTAAAATTCTGACAAGAATTATACAGAAATATCTCTTACACATCATAAATTTTAATATGTGAATCATCACTGCCAGTTAATAATAATTGCGAATCGCTTGAAAATGTTAAACCACGAATGGGCATAGCATGTCCTTCTAAGGTATGCAATATTTTACCGGCTGTCATATCGAAGATATTCACAATTCCGTCAATAGCCCCACAAGCTATGTATTTACCATCAGGACTCTGAAAATTAAAGTTCCATGTATTATTTCCTTTTCAGTCGCATAGTATGAATCTTTTCTTACAAAAGCTAAACTTAAGATGAATTTTCCTCTGGTCTCTAAGCTAGTCTCTTTATTTCCAGACTCAGCTGACATAATATTAACTTTTCCAGAATAAGTTCCTGACGCAATAAACCGAGAATCCGGGGAATAGCACACTGACCAAGCGTCAACAGGTCCTGCATCAATTACACGAATTTGTTTACCACTATCGATATCCCACAGTCGAATATGACAATCTAAACTGTTAGATACAGCCCCTAATGAAAAAAGAATTATTTTTTGAAAAAGATTTTTGATAATTTTACTATTTAAGTAAAAACTAATATTACTTGTTCCTAAGGCGTTGATATCCACTGATACAACTCCCAATTGATGTCCTTCGCAAACGTGCCTTTGTTCCAACTTATTTTCAGACCTATAAACGTTTAATGTAAAATAGCAAGTGCTTATTATAACTTCTATTCACCATCTCCAAATTCGGACGGTATCATCAACAGATCCTGTAACTAAATATTCGTTGCCATCATTTTCACTTTTAGACCATGCACAGCTCCAAATTCCATCGTCATGAGCTGTTTACAATATTGTATTTGGTATATTTGAGTATAAAATTAAATTATTGTATACAAACCACTTTCTTGTTTGGCATATAACGCGTACTATAGAGAAAAAAAATATATAAGATTAATCGAAATAAAGGTTCTTCGCGAAAATTAGATGCTTAAGAGTATAAAGCTTGGCTGAGGTTAAACCTCGTATGGAAACAAAGACCTTTAAACGTACTGGAACTAAATATGTTATATGTCACATTCATATAGATATTCTCGAAATTATTCTACAAAATGTACTAATATTGCTTAGCTTACCATACTTAGAATCGATTAGCCGCTCTTAACCTGGTAGAAAATACTTAGGTAAAAAATCGAATACAAAAAAATTGTTTTTGTTTCCTGGAAACAAGAATGTCCGGTGGTAAAGAAGAATACGAGGATGATTCCTTCTTTTCTGATGAGAGTGACGATGTAGCACCTATTCGTGTCAGTCCTGAGAGGTCTTCACTACGAGGTTGGTTTTAAATAGAAAGCAATTTACTACTTTCTTTAACACAAATTCTTCAATTTTCTCACACAGCCTCCTATACAGGGCCATTATCAGAGTTAAAAACTATAGAAGAAAATAGCGAGTGTAATACGGAAAGAACAGTTGAATCTTCAAGAAGTTCAGTTCAAGGAGGGTAAGGAAATTTGAATAAAGAATGCTAAGATACTTTACAGTTGATTAACTATATAAAGGGATAAATCAACAAGAGGGAGAGAATTAAGATCTCCAGAGGATTTGCTGCCAATATGCAAGATAAAGGCAGATAATTACTCTGTGGATAAAAAGGTATCTCTCTAACACCTTTTAGAATATTACGATTTATGGCTATTTGAATAATTTTAGACTGATAAAGCTATAAAAGAATTTATCAAATGTGTCGCCTATTCCCGAATTGTTTACGGTTCCGAAAACTGGAACTACGGAAAGGCTGTCTGTGATTTGGGTGTAGCATATTTAGAATTGAAAAGTAAGTAAAGTATTCTTTAGAATCAGAATTGGAATGTATTTTTTTGTAACAAATAACTATTTCTCTTTGTCAGATTGGCCAGTTCAAGCTCATTATCATTGTAATATTGCTCAAAATATTTTAAAATCGGATGTTCAAGGTCAGGCAACAACAAATTCTTCAGAAATTCTAAAAATATTTCTTCAAAGCTACTTGACTTGCGGTCGAGCTTTGACCTTAATGAAAAAATATCCTCTTTTTTAAAGAAATTATACAACATTTTAATTAGTTGAAGTGTTTACTTTTAAAAAATTCAAACTGTTCCTTAACAAATTTGTTTTTAAATTTAACGATGCTGAATCTGCGTTAGAACAAGCTGATAGAGTAGCGGATAAGCGTAGTCAAATACCTACTGTCCCCGAAGAAGAAATCGACGATTGGAACATTAAAATATACACGGCAGTTGCTAAGTATAAATATTTATTTAGACTTTTTCACCAAATTATTTATCTTCTTGTTTATAAATTTAGATTGGCAGCTAAACAGAAGAAGCACGCCAAAGCGTTAACTTATTTTGAAAAAGTTCTAAATATCATTGAAGATACCTCAGGTAGAGAAAGTAGCGAGTTAGTTGGAGGTAACATTCACCTATATTTACTTATTCTATTAAAAAGTATATGTATACATGTATAAATACTGTATTTTCCAAACAGTTTATCAATATATGGGTTCAATTAAATTATGTAACGATAGTCCAACTGACATTGAGAAGGGCATTGAATATTATCACAAGGCGCACAGCATCAGTATGACAATGTATGTATAAAAAAATATTAAGATATATCGACCTAATTTATAGAATGATACTTTACAATTTAGTTACAAGGATGGTAGTCTGGAAAGCGCTGATAGTGCGCGTAAATTAGCAGCTGCCTACGCTTGTTTAGGAACCGAAGATGCTGAAAGTGAATATATTTTAATCAATGTTTATAGGAAAAGAATTTAGATATTTGTGCGTAATTTTTTCTTTTTCCTTAAATTTGATTCAGTATCTTCGGAGAGTTATCTAAACGAGTGTTTACTAACATATCAAACAAACCTCGGAGATATTCACGAGAAAACAATTCAAGTACAAGACGATCTGGTTAAACTCATGCTAAGAACCGACAGGAAAGAGGTGATACTCTTAGGGCATATTCTCTTTTCTCTTATTTTATAAATAATACCAATTATTCTTTTAAATGCTTTTATTTTATTCATTTTAATCAATCTTCGTTTTCTCGTTCTTTGTGATTAGGATGCTCTTATCTTACTGAGAAAACTGATAGAGCCCAAGTGCGTTGTACACGGTGAATTTTCTGAAGAAGTATCAGAGAGTTACAAGTTAATTGGTTCTGTTTTATTATCAAACGGAGAAGATGAAAAAGCGCTTAAAGCTCTAAATAAGGTAATATAAATCTTAATCTTTCGCTAATTGTCAATATGTTTATTATTATTTTTACTATTATTAATATTAAATAGTTATTAAATACACCACTCAATTATTCCTCCTTATCCCCGTTTAAATGAAAAAAATTGTCTTTGACAGTGTTATACGATACAATGCTTCTCCCATGGCGAAAACGCAAGAAGAACAAAGGATACGAAGAAGACTATTGACATGCTTATCTCGTACGAGTTTCTCATATTACTATATTCTCTTTCCTATTTTTTATTCTTTTTTATTATATTTAAAGGAACCCCAACTTGGCTGCTGTACACAAGAAGCTCTCAAATAATTTGCAAGATAGGCCTAACTTTAATAGCGTTGTTTGTCGGAGCAGTAGATTAGGTGGATTTAAGACTGATGCCACCTACTGATCTTTAGTGTCTCATAAACTTCTATTACAGAGTGTAATATAAATGATATAATATAGCAAATATGTAATAAATTATTTAATATTTATAAAAAAAAAATATTTTAAATCTAAAGTTAATATGAGATTCTTTCTGATAAGTGCAAATTATAAACCGACATTGACAGAGAAATGCGCGATAAGCAAATGTTTGTTTATAAAAGTGCAGGAAGCATGCTAATCTGGAAGATTATCTTTTAATCAACCGATTATCCTTGGTCTTAATCCCTCAAGACAACCAGATTCTTTGATGGGTCTAGTTTTGTGAAACATTAGGCGATTAAGCTGTTTAACCTTCATTTCCGATATCTAACTTATATCTTTGTAAGTGTATGTCTGGTGGCTTTGATGACTGTTACGCAATACTTAAAGGGGTATGGAATAGTTGGTTCTTAATATGTATAAATGTAGCGGTATGAAAGTTAACGGGAAATTTAAAGAACACCTGCGAAAGATTGTTTACACTACGGAGCCATCTGCATTGGGAAGAGTAACTACGTTTGTTTTAGTGTTGATTTTTCCCTTCTCTTAAATGCTAGTTACACGCTTTTATGATGTAAACGTTTTCTTTTGGGAGCCTTTTACAATCCGTTGTATGATTTTTTAATGAGATATCTCCTATTTAAAAGGTTTAACCTCTTTAGTCTCGAATCCTTTTTTTCCCCCTTTTACCACCCTGCCCTCTCTTTCCTCCCATATTTTGTTACAATAGGCCTACTTTTCTTAAAATAGCTGATTTCTTAAGATTCACTATTGTTCGATGAAGATAAATGCATTTAATGAAGATAAACAAGAATAGTGGCAAGCCTGATTTGCGCCTTAATTTGTCAGCAAACTCTGTTTGTAGGCTGCTGTTTGGTGCAGACGAAGTCCAGAAACTGCCAAATCTTGACCTATTGGCCTCGTTTTTGCAGATTTCCACCCTTATCTTTTCCTATTATCACCCGATTTAGTCATTTATTTCATTATGTCGAGATATAAAAGAGAAATCCATATAACAAATTCAGAGTTATTTATTATCAAGAACGAATAACTATTCTATATAGATGTTACATAAATATTATTCATATGCATACATACATACATACATTCAGTATAAATATACTGTCTATGTATATATCCTTCTTTTCTTTTACAACAACTTTTCAAAGCATAAATATACATATATATATCCAGTATATACAGTATATATATACATATATATATATATATGTATTCCTTGAAATTTATACACAAATACAATTTTATCATCGAAAGCATAACCACAAGGAAGAAAAATAAAACAACCGAAGAAAATGTTGAGAAATTTTTATGTACATATAGGCCTACCAATTAATACAGTCTAATTTTTGGAATCTTGACGTAATTCTTTTGCCCAAACTGCTTGCGGCCAGCCGGTTCGCCCTTTGGACTTTTTCCTTGCACAACTTTGATCCGAACCCTATGGGGAATAAAAAATAAAGTTGAATTAATCATATAAGAAAAATTTCATAATTAATTTAATAAAAACATAACAAAATAAGATCAATAATGACAATGGGATAAACGCTTTACAAGAGGGAACAATTAAAAGAAGCGGCAGCTTGTAATCAAGTGACGCCCATCTGCTAGAGGAGACGCGTATGTAAATAATACTAAAAACAAAGTCACTAATATCATATAACTGATTCAACTTCAAACAGAGAACTATTATAGATAAACATAAAAAACAAGTCTGGCGAACGATTAATTTTAAAAAATAACGGTAATTTATATAGTTGTATGAAAAATTGCGTAAATTGTTAATAGTTTATTCTATTAAGATAAATATATGCATGTATCCATACACAATATATAGTGTACTGTACTTTGCCAGCTTTTCAAAGATACATATAAAGTATATAAAAAGAAAACAAAAGACCATACTCTGCGCAATATAATCCGATAGCCTGAAGCGCTGCTGGCGCAAATTTTATTCGATTTAGTTTTCCCGCGTGACGAGCTTGTCAACTCGAATTTATCTTAATGACCGAAGCAGAGGCTTATCGCTGCTGAATTTATTTTAATTTTCCATTAAATACCCTTGAAATTAGATTTATATGAAAATCCTATAAAGATGGCTATAAAAATGTCTTTTTTTATTCTTTTCTAATAAGTAAAAACTATTGGATTTGCCTTACTCCTTTCATTTGGGTCTCATGTTTACCCCTACTATGTCTTCTTAAACTCTGACTAGATTCCTAAATTATAAACATTCTTTCCTTATTGTTAGTTTCTTATAGATACATTGAATGGATATTATGTTATTCGTTTAACAAACAGAAATGCAAATGATTGTTGAAAGTAATAAGAAACACATTGGGAAACAGATGCGTAAAATGAGGGGATAATTCGACATGTTTTTATAGTTTAGATACGTAAACATATCAGTAAGAATATGTTTATTTAAATCTATAATAGTTTGAAATCTGGCCCTTTTTCAGACTACTATCTTTTTTATAGCATATTGTAGACGGGGACTAAAGGCTATAATAGCATTTTGTATATAGTGTCAAGACCAGGTTAAAGGTATGGAAACGACGAAACACAGAAAACGCGGTTTGTCATCACTGTTTATTTAACTACCCCTTTCAGTTTGTTCTCGTATGTCCGATTTATATAATGCATTGGTCCGATTGTATACAATAAGTCATTGTATTTATTAAGACAAACAATAATGTTCTTGTTTATTTTTTCGTTGATACGAAGGTAAAGTGGTGCTCAGGTTTGTCAGATAACTTTTACATTTATCATCTATTTTCAGTATGTTCCTTAAGTCGGATAATTTTGGAAGACATACGGAGCATTTCAAATTAAAGTTTTTTTTTCTACTTGAAAACATTGGGAATAGGCCAATGTGTAGTTTGGCATTAAGGCTTAACTGATTCTCAATTTTCTCACTAAATTTTTTTTATGTAAGATAAAGCTCTCCCTAATAAGATGTTTTAAAGTACTGTCTCCAACTGGAGAGGGGTTTGATAGGTATGATGCATCTGGTTCGCGTGATTTATATGCGCATTTAGCGGACACCCGTTGGCGAACAGTTGCTGCGATATATTTTCTGTTGCTGCGGTATTGAGTTACATTTGGGATTTTATTTCAGAGAGGGATAAATGCTCGGACACCCAGTTATATATATATATATATATTCATTTTGTCTCTATCCACTACTTTACATTCTAGTACTTATCCCCCATCAATATACTACCTATCAAATTTATTTATACGAACTGTTTGAATTTTCAACACTTAAGATCTTCATCATAAAACTTTTAAATTGGACTGAAATTATTCCTATATATATCGATAGTCACCGCCTTATTTGCATATATGGCTACTATATTTTACGCGGCTTTCTTAAAGACAAATTCAGCAGATAATGAATCTGAATCGGCATTCAAATTTCTATAAGTCACTTTTGTACGCGGAAAGTACAATGGCGCCAAGTCTGTCTTTGATGGCGCCATGAAAGATCTTTCTCTCTCCCCCCCCCACCCCTGCTTTTCGACTGAATAATTAGGCCTATACAAAGATAGAAGATTTTAACAACCACCTTTCGTAAAAGACTCTTAGAATTATAATAAAAGATAAATTAAACGGAGTTTGTAATGCTTTCCTTATCGTTTCTATTTCATAAATTAGTATAGGCAATAACAAAATAACTTTCCATATAAAGAACTTTATAAGGTAAGACAGAAAGAATTAGCCTATTAGAGAGTGAATTTTAGTTAACCCTGATTCTTTTTTGTAAGAGAGAATTCGTATTCATCTTCTTTTTCTTAAGTCTTTCTCCCTGTCTATCTATCTCTATATCTGTCTATCTTTCTTGATATCTTTCAGAATATTTTTAAATTGTTTCTCCTTTTATTTATTTTAATTTCGAAAAATTCCATTGTGATTTACTTGAAAAAAAAATGAACTATAAACTTCAAAGATGAACATTAACTAAAATGATAAAAAGAGATTACTCATCGTCTACGTTACTTCGTTGACGTTAGTTAATAAAATTGTTTCTTAGAGGTATAAATAGGCAAATTAATGTTCTAAATGACCTTTAAATTGAAGGCGAATGATTATGCCTTAAGGGACCGGCGTTATTCTTTTTAAAATGGACGTGTTTTATGGTAATTTCTTTCGTGACACCGCCTTATTACATAAGAGAATTTTTCAACAATTACTTAACGGTTTAAATGAATCGAGACGAAGTTTTTCTACTTTGATGGTAGAAACGATAAGCAAGTGTATCTTTCTACTTCTTACGAAAGATTCAAGCTTAAAACAACAAACTAAATTTAAAATATACAAACCCCCTACAAGGGTAATTTAACTGCGGTAGATACTAAAGCTTATCGTTTCAACGTGGCAAGAGTTTGCATGCATTCACAGCTGTCTTATTTCCATAATATTTTTTATGTGTAAACTATACCTCTGATTCTTCACTCCCGCTTGCTTCGTCATTCTGTCCTTCTGTTTCATCAACTTGTTCCACTCGACGTTTTCGACGATGAGAACTATTAACTAGGTCATAAGCTCTAAACGTCTTTTCCGTATCACCACCTAACACGGCCATCAAATGCCCGATATAACTTGTTGCTAGTCTTAAAGTTTTTATCTTTGATAATTTCGTATCAGCTGGAACATTCGGAATACAACCACGTAGTGCTGCAAAGGCTGTGTTTATGCTGTGAGTTCTCCTCCTTTCTTTTTTATTTGCTGTATTTCGTTTCCTGGGTGGACGTTCCATTGGGCGGTTATAAATTGGTGTTTGGTGTATGTATTCCATACACGGCTGCTGCATGACAGGCCAATACTGTCCGTGAACTTCTTCATGACCGGGGCCATAAGTTGGATAAAATTCGCTGTAGGCTGGATATCCCCCGATTACACTCATTCTCAAGTCTCTACTATCTCTTGAAACCTTCTGAACGAACAAACTCGCTGCTTTTAAAGACTAGCAAACGACCTAATTACGCTCATCGCTCATTGGTTGCTGTTAGTCATACTTGTTTCTGATTGGCTGTTTGAGCTTGGTGTAAAACGAGCGCCATTTGACGGCTTTATTTCGATAGATTGAATAGTTAAATATTGTTTTTCATTGTACTCATCGACGATTTATCTTTTCTTTTTAAAAAATACTTATAGCACACCTGTTATCGAGATTTTTGTTAAAGATTTGTGCATGCTTTATGCTTTACCAGCTTCGGGGCATGGGAGGTTCGTCTACCACTAAAAAGTCTTAGTATAAAACCGCAATAATTTAAGCAAGTAATTCCGAAAAGCATGCCTTATCTGATTAGAGGAAAACGTAAACTGTTTATTCTATGTAAGTATACCAGAACGAACATGGTATTTTTTCCCTATATAAAAAGCCAAAGACACCTGACAAGATACCGAACAAATAAACAGACTAAGAAAAACGAAGGAATTGAAAGACGGACAGATAACGACAGTTTTCTAGGCGTCGTGCGGCGTTTAATTCGGAATTAGCAAAAGTGTCACGATTGTAAAAACGATTCAAAACAGTTAGAAAAAGATAAGGGTTAAAATGGCGGGAAAATTGATTGTAGCAGATAAAAAAAATACGAGCTTTAATGACTCTCTTTTTAAAACAAACTCTTCTAAATCAACTTAACTATGGCTTGTGTAGAAGCCAAATAAACATGAGATTTATCCGGGGGCGACAAACTGAAAGAAAATGCTTAAGTTACCGGCGACCAGCAGCCAAGCAGATCGTCTTATCAACGGTAGATAAGCCGAGTAAATGGGCGGTATTATGAAGCTTCTTATCGTGTCGCGTTTTACAAACGCCCCATTCCTTCGGTTAGAGACTTTTTAAATGCGTTCATCAGCTCAGTAGTGGTCTTCTATGATTGATGACCATATTCCCAAACGCCAATAGACTGAGTCGGGATAAAAGAGACGCTACGAATTCCAAAGTGCGTCTGTTTTTTTCAGAAACTCAAACTCCATATAACGGACATTGGCGGCGCAATTCCCTTTGTAGTCGACTCTTTTTATTTTACCCTTGGTCTCTAAGCGAGTACTACATCATTTCTTAATTTTACAACTGTGGTAAATTGACAGTGTGCAGCGTATTTTTTTTGTACGTTAAAGAAATAATTGTCCACTGCATTTAATTGTCAACTTGGAAAGAAACTTAAATCACAATTGCTTTTATTTGGTTTTAATAGTTATTGAAACTGTTTAGTTAAAGAATGCGTTGAATATACATAAATTTAATAAATTTCACGGAAAACTAGGTGGCAGATTGATAAGAGACTATAAATTAATTTCAATTAATGACCTAAAAATGTTATCCTATCTATCAAAATTATTTCATTAAAAATCTCATTATTCTTATCAAATTTCGATAGAAAAAATTTTAATTTATTTCTTAGTTCAATTCGAAAATAATCTTTGTTCCTTTGGAAAGCTGCAGCGTATTGCCATCTTGCGGAGAAATGCAATTTTAAAAGATAACATATATCTGATTCATTTACCCCCCTCTTTAATTGTATGTCTACTTAGGACTAGTTGACATTGATGAAGAGATAGCAAAACTCTTTCTAATTACCTCTAAACAGAAACTACAAGAAAAACCATAGAAATGACGAGTTTAATAATATGAAAGAGTTAAATTACTAAAAGAATTATTAATAATTCATAATGATGTATGTGAATAATCCTCTGATTAATAGAACATAAATATCTTCAAAGAGTGTCCTTTTCCCGTTTCCATGGCATAAACTGTACACTGTAAGATCAATTGAATTTGTCTTTTTTTTATCCATTACTAGTGTCTTTTAACTTTTAAGACAAAGGACTTTTCTTACGTATTGCTCTTAATAAGAGAAGATCTACTCACTTTAATTACTTTTTACTGAAGAGAGCTTTTTTAAACAAATATCTGAGAGATAACTGACATTGAGCAAAAGAAAACGCTAAATATAGATAATCGAAAGGTATTTTGTCTATATTTCTAATACAAACATTTAATAATCTTAAGAGTGATTGAATATCTCTTTTAGAAATATTACAAAAAAAGAAATAGGATCTACTTTTATTCTGGAGAGTCAATGTCATTTCGGAAAATGATTCCCGCCACAGATATCTTGAGCGATAATTGACATTATTAGAAGTTTGCAAGATGGAATCAAGACCTCTTGTCGCAGCTGGATTTATAATTTATCGAATTATACAAAACACTCGTCAGTATTTATTATTACAAACATCGTATGGAAAACATCACTGGACACCTCCAAAAGGTTTCTATGAAAGATATATTTAATCATTAACCTACTTTTGGTTAAAACCTTTTAAACGTCATCTCAATCTAGGACATGTGGATCCTGGTGAAAGTGAAATGCAAACTGCAATTCGAGAGACAGAAGAGGAAACTGGTTTGAAAGAGGAAGATTATAACTTAGTTGAAGGTCTCAAAAGAGAGCTGCACTATGAAGTGAATGGTCGATCTAAACGAGTTGTCTATTGGTACGACGAATATATTTTATATAGTTATTATAGGTAATCTGTTGTAAAAATATATTCCTATTCTTTTACAGGATAGCTCAAATAAAGGAAGGAAAAGAGATAAAACTATCCGATGAGCACATTGACTATAAATGGTTGAATATTAAAGATGCTGAAACTTTTGCGAATTACTCAGATATGATTGACGCTTTACGATTTGTTGATGAGTTTCTTAGCAAATGAAACATTGTCATTTCTTTTATAATTAACCTTCTTGAGGTAATAAATATTATATAACTAGATACAAATTTACCTAAAATCTATACGAAAGGTTTTTATTTACATCTTTAATATGACATTTAATATCCCTTTCGTCCTCTAAATCTCGTCCTCATATCAAGCTGTAGATAGTATATTTTCAATTAAATTAATTTCAAGTAAAATTAATATGTAAAACTACTCACAATCGATCTTTTGCATTCGAAGAAGGCTTGCCTTAAAGCCAAACAGTCATCCGGTACAGATTCATGCTTTCCTAACATCAAACATTCTTTGGGAGTGTTTTTGTCCTTTACGAAAAAAATATATTTTTAAACCATAATCAATCATTTTTATGGAAAATGCCTACTCTTCTGACACAGGGGCTTTTTAAAAGACACGCCTTTAAATCTTCTCTCAATCCAGAGCATGCTCTGGCCCTATTCTTCTTTTCCTCTTCAGTTTCTTCTTCGTAATAAGTAGGCATACTGATCTGTTATTGACGATAGTAGATTGCTAGGATGCTCAAGTGTATGCAATTAATTATTAAACATTATCATTTATTATTTACACAGGAATTGGTAGTTGATTGAATTACACTATCACTTTTAATTTCGGATTTTAGAAAAAAAGAGGCATCAACGAAATAAAGTACTCGTTGAATACTACAACAGCAGAATCGCAGTAAAAATAAAGTAATAAAATCGGAAAAAAATATTAGAAATATTAGTGCGAAACTATTAAACTAATATTTAACAAACAGTCCAGAAAAAGCAATATTGATTAATTATTTAATAAAGTAATAAGATATTATGATTTCAAAAATATAGCGGAAGTATTTATGAATAATCTGTCGTCTCTTATGTCAGAAATCGTTACTTAAGAAGTCCTTTCAACTAGCTGAGCACCCATGCTGTCCTTTACAGAAAGTTGTGTTTAGCGTTCTCTTTAATCCATTACGTAACACGCAAATTAACAAAAGTTAGTTTCGTGACAAGACTTAAAGGCGAATGATATTCAATGCATATTATTGCTTAATAGAATATATAGCTTGTCAAAAATTTAGAATAAATAGCAAAGGACGTAGTATATATTTTAAATATTTAAATAATCATCTAGTATAAACAGTAGAAACGTGATAACGGCCGTAAGATTCTTTTTGTAATAAATGACTCAATTATGATAGTGAAATATTATATTATGAAAATAAAAAAGAAAGACTGTTTTATGCGAAGAAAAAGCGTGTCTTCAGTAAAAAATATAGATAAAAAACTTGTATTGTGGATTGGTTGACTGATTAAGAACTCTGTTGAAATGCTTTCTGCAAAAGGAAGTAGGCTAATTAATTATCGTACATAAAATGTAAACGAGTCAAGGTAATTCAAACGTTCAATAACGTTCAATCTAGGGATCGTTTGTTTGTAAATAATATTTCGTTGCTATTGGAGACAGTGAGCGAGGTTATAATAGTTGAAGTTACTAAATATAGATAGCGTCGATTGCAAAAATACTTGTTGAATGCTTTATTAGATGAAATTGCAACTTAGTAACTAAAATTCCCAGCGTTTCCATTTAATCACGATGTTTACATGTGTAGCCATAGTAATAGTAATTTGTACTCTTTATTTTCCTCTTCTGGCGATCATCAAACGATCTACCTGGCACGTTAGTAAAGATAACAAAAATTGCGAGTAGAAGAGTTCCTTTTTAGTTGTCATTCAATATTTGTCATGAACATGTCATCAACAGCATGACACAATTTTCAACACGTGTCTAGAAAACATGTGATCTTGTATTAAATCATTAAATATCTGGTAGAATATAATAGTAAAAAATACGGTTTACGTTGCGTTACTTCGGTTACTAGTAAACAAGAGTAGTATTTTGACGTTGCATTATAGAGATATACGCTTTGTGAAATGTATGATTAAAATTTATTAAAATGGAAAGACAAAATAAAAGATTACACCCAAACACGTTAAAATTTAAAAAACAGTGAAAGAAAGGGGGAATAGAATTTATAGAAATACTGTCAAAAATATCTATATTTAGACTAATTATATAGATGTTAAGACTGTCTACATAAGCACCGGTGATAAATTAACAAAACAAGCAAAAAACAAGAAAAAAAAACCAAATCAAAATAAACAAAAAACATATAAGAAGAATGAAAATAAAACTAAAATTCATGTTGGAAAAAGGAACACAAATTTGGAATTTTATTTTCCAGTTGTAGTCATTTATTTATTTAATAATAAACTCCTTCCTTTCTCTTTTCTTTTATAATTTTGAACAAAATAATTCAGCACAATTTGGCAGTTAAAATTAATAAGAATATACTTTTCTTTTGGATTTGAACACCATCGAATTTGGGATATTATTATTGTTTATAACGTTCTTTAATTGTTTATAACATTGTTGTTGTAGTAGTAGTTCTATTGATATTTTAATATAAAGTTATTTCTTATCACTTTTCATTGCCTTTTTTAAAATCCGAATTAGGTTGTTTTGTTGCTTGTAAAAACTTTTCGACAAGAAGGATGAAATTTTGGATATCAGAAGGAGTTGGTGTACCATTAGTCTGCTGTTGTTGGGGCTTTTTTCCAATGAGTTTCCTGTTTATTCTAGCACTTTTTGAAAGAGGCACTGGCCTTGATGGTAATTTAAAGATGTGAGAACCATCGCTCTTTGACAAAATTTTATCTGAACTCTCCGAGTCCTTCTTCTCATACGGATGAGGTCTTGCCTTAACGGCTGAGACTTGAGAACCTTGAGATGCTGTTAACGTCATGCTTTACGAGAAAATGAACTATAACGGGCGTTGATTTTGTTCGTACGAGCCGTTGGCAAGTTGCCTATTGGCAATCGCTTGGAAACAATAAATTTATCTGCCTCTATTAGCAACGCGTCAAAACTGTCCCGTAAGTTTGTTTATTCGCTCACACAGCAACTTTAGTACAAATTCAATAGAGAGTATTTAAATGGATTATTAGCATATTTTTACATACAAGTAGGTTCCGCGTAATCTTGAAACTTCGCCAGGTAAACAATCTGATTTTTACTGTTAACAATCATTGATATATCAATGAAACAATAGAGCGATAATAAATACACTAATCCTTCGTACGAGCTAACCTAATTCTTATATTTTCGCGCGACTCTGTATAATTTATGATTCAATGCCTAGGGTGCAATAACCAAGGTTGTTATGAAAATTACTTTTCTAACTATGAAGTAAAATTAGTCATGTAATTTACAATGTCTGTAGTTTCTTTAAAAAAAAACTAATAAAAATTCAAAAGTTTCTCAATAAAAAATAAACACAATTATTAGAATTTAGCAGCTCCATCTAGTACGTCCAAAAGATATTACTCTGTTCATCGCATTCAATAGATTTGGCAAATGAGTTACCCAACTTGGTATTCTTGTAATGTTTGCGGTTCACAGGCAAAAAATCTGAACAGATGTTCCAAATGCCGCTCGGTCCTATACTGGTAATTAAATAGTAATATGTTTATAAAAGACTTTTGAAAACTTTCTACCTATTTTCACAAGGTTTATAATTTTCGACAGCTCTTCAAAATGCCAAAGACAAGATTGGTCTCAACACCGCAATCGGTGCTCTAAAAAGGACGATTCGAAAAATGATACAGACGAATCAGTTCAAAACAATACCCGATCTTATTTTGTCAATAACCAATTATTCACCGATGCTCCCGAAATCAACAGAGATGAGCCTTTCATTACAATTACATTGAAATATAATGGGACGAGAAAGAAAATTGATCTACAAACATCATGGACTTCTTCAGAAATGTTCAAATATATTTGTTCTATTGTGAGAATACCTTTGGACTTGATTAAACTTATAAACAAAGGAAAAATAATTCGATCCAATAATCTTAAAGATTTCGTTGTTGAAGGTGCAATATTTCAAGTAATCGGGGAATTGATGGAAGACAGCGAAGGTATCAATCAAAAGGACATTGAACTCCTTATGAAACAGATGAAAGTGGGTTACAACGAATCAGTTAGAACTTTAAGGACGAATAATTTAGTCGATGCAATTCTTTTTATCGGCAATAAGGAAACGAATTAAAAATAAAAACAAAAAAAAAACAACGAATTGTTCTAATTTTTTTCTTTTTTTGCTTTAAAAACTTTTCTCCAACATTTAAATAAAATTGATATTATTGAATTAAAAATTATGGAAGTAAAAACTCCATGGCCGCTTGTAAATCCCAGTTTTTCGATGAGAGTGCTGTTATTCTAGAATTTTTCTGAAATGGTAGAAAAAAAAACATGAAGTTTTCTTCACAATTCAATAATATTTTATTGATATTATATAATATAGTAATTATAACAAACCTCATGAAAACCCATTTCTTGAAGTTGTTTAAGCTTTTCTTCATATTCCTTCATTTTTTCATTACGTGGAGCTGCAAAAATATTATAATGAATATAGATATTTACTTATATTTAAATATTGAGCTGTTTTAATTTTTATCCCGCAATAGGCTTCATTACGTAAGTCAATACAGCATTCTCAAATGAAATTTTGCTTTATGCGAGGATAATTTTTAGGAAAATTCTAAGAATCGGCGGTTTGGGTTTTAATGTTTTATATATAATCAGCGTATAAGAATATTTTACCTTCTGCATAAACGTATGCCCAAAAAGATGCTGTAGACCTAAAAATCTCGGGGTGTTGTTTAAATTGAGTTGCTACTACAGCATCTTGAGGGTCATCTGGTTCAGCTGCCGACATTAATGCTTGTAATGACAATAATACAGTTCGCAAAGTCATAGCAGCTGCCCACTGATCCTTCAATATATCCAAACAAATAGCTCCAGTTTGCGAACTAATGTTAGGATGCCAAATTTTTGTTAAAAATTTTACCTGTAAGATTAAGATATAAGTATATATTTTTTTTATGAACTGCTCTCACTTTTGGTGGATTGAATGGATAGGTTTCTGGGATGACTATATCTAGGGTATATTTTCCACCCTGATAAGGTGTATCTGGAGGACCAATGATTTCCCCTTTCAAATGGGTGAAATTATCTTCAAACGGCTCTAATTTTATTTGGCAATTTTTGACCTGTAAAAAGCGTCTTTGTGAGATTATGAAAAAATAGTCTGAATAAAAGAAATATTACTTCGTCACTCTTTATAACTTCTTTAAATTCTCGTTGAATCCGCGTTAGTGCAATGTTCGACATTGTTCTTATATGTTCTCTATATTTCGCCTTATCTGGTAAAACTATTTAATTGAGTTGTTTTTATTTTAGAACAGCAAAAATGTGCAAACGTTTGTTGTTTCGCTATTTAAGAGACGTTTCCGGTAGTGAAGACTGGTTAAAGTCTGAATAACCAGATAGACAGGTACCACATTATTCAGTAGCGCCTCTACCGTCACTCAGTTGATATATCTGTGTAGTTGAGAACACGTGCAGAATCATGCCTAATATAAAAGTTTTCAGCGGTAATTCGCATCCTGATTTGGCAGTCAGAATTGCTGATAGACTTGGAATCGAACTTGGAAAAGTCACCTCGAAGAAATTCAGCAATCAGGAAACTAGGTACTTTTACATTATATTATCGCCATTGACGCATTATGTAGCATGCCAATGGAAGGAAAGATATGGAATGACCTAATGGCAATTCAAGGGTCGAATTCTATGTTTAATCTTATACTATTAAGCTCATTTCGGTAATATTTAAACGTTGCACATCGACGTTTTTATTATCAGAAGCAAACTGAGTTTCCAGCTAAGGGTACCAGCATGCTATAAATTTCCTCAAGTTCACTTACAGTAGCTATTTAAATTTGAAAAAATAATTAATTTTCAGTGTTGAAATAGGAGAGTCAGTTCGAGGTGAAGATGTCTATATAGTTCAATCAGGATGCGGAGAAGTAAACGATAACCTCATGGAGTTGTTAATTATGATAAACGCTTGTAAAATTGCTTCGGCTGCTCGCGTTACAGCAGTTCTTCCATGTTATCCCTACGCCAGACAAGATAAAAAAGATAAAGTAATATTAACCTCATTGCAGATTTTCATTTTTAATCCAACCTATGTTTGAAACAAAACAGAGTCGAGCTCCAATATCAGCTAAACTCGTTGCCAACATGTTATCTGTCGCAGGGGCCGATCATATTATAACTATGGATTTGCATGCTTCTCAAATTCAAGTAGGCCTGAGTCTTTTTATTTCATTTGTCTTTGAATTTATTGTGTTTTATAATCTTAAAGGGTTTTTTTGATATACCCGTTGATAACCTCTACGCCGAACCTGCAGTTCTTAAGTGGATCAGAGAAAATATTATCGAATGGAAAAACTGTACTATCGTTTCGCCCGATGCTGGTGGTGCTAAAAGGGTGACGTCTATCGCCGACCGCTTAGGAGTCGAATTCGCTTTGATTCATAAAGAGCGTAAGAAGGCCAATGAAGTATCGTCTATGGTTTTAGTCGGGGACGTTAAGGACAGGATAGCCATATTGGTCGATGATATGGCTGATACCTGCGGAACAATCTGCCATGCGGCGGAAAAGTACGAATTTGCTTGATCCGATGTTTTTTGTTATAAAAATCGTCGATTAGGTTGCAAGAAGCCGGAGCCACAAAAGTTTACGCCATTTGCACGCACGGTATATTCTCCGGGCCGGCAAGCAACAGAATTAATGAATCGCTATTCGAGGCTGTGGTAGTAACGAACACGATTCCTCAGGAAGAGAAGATGAAGAAATCGCCAAAGATTAGGGTAAGTATACAGTTCGACATCTTAATTAAGTGTTAGTTTTGTGCACGTTTGTTGTGAATTTCCAGTGTATAGATATTTCAATGATACTATCCGAGGCTGTTAGAAGAACTCACAATGGAGAATCAGTGTCGTATTTATTCAGTCAAGTTCCTCTTTAGAGCCGAACTTAAGGTGATTGTGCTATAATTTTTCCGAATATTATTTTTCGCAAAGCACAAAGATAATTACTGTCTTTAAATTTGTCTAAAACGTTTTAAAATTTTTTGACAGTGTGTTGACGTCTCGATGATGTTAGCGGAAGCTATAAGAAGAACTCATAATGGTGAGTCAGTTTCATATTTGTTCAGCAATGTACCAATGTAAAACATAACATGAGCGTAATCTCCTTAATACTTTAAGGTAATATACAATATTCTTTGAAAAAAATACAGCACCTGTGCAAAACTTATGATTTTGTTTATTGTCAATTTCTTTGTATTAAGTTGTACGGTATTAGGGTGTAAATTGTAAGTTTCTACTTGTTACTCGTCTCACTGATTAAGCCACTTTAAAGGATGCTGATTTCCTTATATTTTAAATATATATGTATATATATATGCATATATATATTTTGTATATTTGTTTTGATGACTAGATGAGACAGATCTAATAGAAATATTTTCCATAACTTTTTGACGGTATTATTTGATTGATGAGCACCGCAAAGAAAGGAATTTAAAATCAGACTGCGTAAACGTTTTACAATTTTATCGAACTAAAATCTAATCAATCTTAGCTACATTCAGCTTAAAACTTTTATAAATATACAATTATGACGAATGCACCTTTATCTAAGAAAATTGTTGACGTTGTTGAGGCATAGTTTGATACTGAATGGCATTCGACTGCTGCACGTAATTGGGAGATGGTTGATTCATATTTTGATGACTGATGTTTTGAACTGGTAAGGGCGATGGCTGAGGACTAGGCCTTGGGCTATACTTGGGCTTACGCGAAAAAAATTTCTTCAAATTTAAACTAAAAGAAGAACTACGCGATTTGCGTAATCTCTTATCATCATCCATTTGATAAGCTCCTGGTGCATCTAACAACGAAAAAAAGGCACTTCAATTTGTCCATACTAAAACTTCTATTTACCATATGCACTCTGACTGTCCGAAGGTCGAAGTAAATGGTCCTCTCTAGTCCTATCAGCACTCTGAGAACGCTTACCTTTCTTATTAAACCTCCTTCTCAGTGCACTACCTAGTGATCTTTTCTTTTTATGTCCTATTAAGATAAAAAGCAGAATATACGTAAAAGAGGGCTAGTAGGAGGAGAATTATAGATTGATACCTCTATCCGAGTGTTGGTCAAAGCTATAAGCCGAAAGACTCTCAATGTCGCGACTATCGTGCACATTAAGCATTGCGTCGTTTGGGCTCTGAAAAAAAGTATAATTGATTAAACTGATCTTTTGATAACTATAAACTAATCTATTTTCCACACATTTCCCCTCCCACACCACATAGTAAATATTTAGGAAAAAAGTAATCATATCCTACTTTTCGACGACTGCGCGAAGAATCTCGAGGCTGACAGCATGGCGGGATAAAGTTAAATTTTTAGCTTTTTTTTTTAAAACAAAAATGTGCATATGTGAATCACTTTGCTAGCTGCCACCAAATTGAAAGACATTTTGATTGACCGATAAGCGCACTTGGTTTAAAATAATAAAACAAACAAAAAGATAAATTACAGATAAAATGACTGTAGCAACATTGCTTAATAGAGAAGCAGACAACGCTGAAAGCAGTGTGAAGCAACTTACCAGCCAAAGCATAATAGTCAAGATATTTTAAACGAATGTATAAGAGATATATTATATATTTTTTCCTTAAAGGCATTCTATATTTAATTATATATTACACGTACTCTAACTCACAAGCATTCATTCGTAATATTAAAGAGAGAGAGAAGAAGATAGCCTAGACAATTGTGTCTCTAAATCCATTATTCTCAATTTGCCTTACCCTCTCTTTGACACCTGTTATCACAATCGACGTCTTGGTCGGGGTTTTTGGTCGATTTGACGTGTTTTGTGCTTTCGCTTCTAGGTGTCTTATAGCCAAAGCGGCAGGATCGTCTGCAAAAATCGAACACTCACCAATGGTGCGGTGTTACTACGTTGCGCGACGCGACCGGGCATCATCGTCATTGTGTTCCTCATTGTTGAATCGGCTGGCAGTAGCTGTTGACCCCCAGCTAGGTTAACTGGAAGGTTCGAAGATACTTAATTTGAAAGAAGCGCGCAACTAAAAGCAAGAGTTAGTTCGATGCGGTCTGGTTAGTTCCTTTGGGCATGCGCTAGAAGAGGGTAAAAGGGGTGCAGTTAGTTTGGGGACATACCTGTTAGAGCAGCATCATGAGCTTCTAATAGAGCACTGGTTCTATTAGGTGATTCTGCTGAATAATAATTTTCAGTCTTCTGAATCATCTTAGGGGATTCTAATTATTAAAGAACATTCAGATATCATTCAAGGCAATGTAATTATTAACCATGAAAACCCATTGGTGCATGTGTATTCCGTCCAGTTCTGGGCCTTTCGGTAGTGGTGGTAGTTTGTGTAATCAAAGTACCTCCAGGCGTAACCTGTTATAGAAATTATAAAGTGCCTAATTTATTGTCTTCGACCTTCAATCAAACAGCTGTCCTACTTTTGTACATAATACAATATACAGTATATGCATGTGTGTTCACTATACATCTATCTACAAGAGAGAAGTAATTGTGTAAACATATAGCTAACATGAAGCCAACGTCTGACTGTTGTCGCCTGAAAGGAAAACCACCAGACGGTGGTTGGTCTTGGGTTGTTTTATTTGGAGCATTTTTGTTATTTGTGGTTTATTCCGGATTTTATGATGTATATCCAATTGTTTTTAAGGAATTACGACAAAGATTTGATGCCCCAGCCCATGAAGTTGCATGGGTTAGTGCTATTAACGAGTCGATAAAACTGTTATTAGGTATAATATGTAGGATCGTTGCTGACTGATATTAATAAAAATATAAATATCTCTGTAGCTCCCTTTATAAGCAGCCTTGCTAAGTACACTGGAGCTCAAAGTTTGACAGTTTTAGGAGGTATACTATATTCCTTGGGAATTCTGTTCACTGCATTCTCGTCATCCGTAAGGTTATGTTGTCTATATTACGGTATTTTCGGAGGTATATAATTACTACTAGAATATTTATTATTTTCCATAAAAGCCACTTTAACGAATTAAAACAATAAATACAATTTCTCCAGGAATTGGTGCCTCGATGGCTTTGACATGCTACAATATTGCTATTTCAGAATATTTTGTAGAGAAAAAAGGAATGGCTATTCTATTAATGCACTGCGGAGCTGGAGTAGGCAGTTTCTTATATAGTCTTCTAATCAAGTACCTGTTCCCTTTTTATGGCTTTACTGGAACACTACTTACATTTTCAGGATTATCTCTCCATATATGTATAAGTGGGATGGTACTGCGACCTATCACTATTCAGCAGAAGAGTTCTTCCATCAAATTTGACATAGAAGTTTTTAAAAACTTAGATTTCAGTTTCTTCTTGAGTTTTGCATTTTTTGCTTTCATGGGTTCAAATATCTCTTTTGTTTTCTTAGCTGATTTCTCGAGAGAGAAGGGATTTAGCACGACAGATATAGCTAGTATTTATATTATAACATCGGGAGTAACTTTGCTAATCAGAATTTTGACTGGGCTTATAATTGATCTTAATGGAATTAGGAGACATAGGTCTCTTATATGCTCTTTTATTGCTTTAGTTGGGGGTATTATTTCTATATTAATAACTTTACGCATGTCCAGTGCGTCGTTCATTATATGTTATGTTGTCTTGGTGACTTCTATTAGTTTATATTTAACACAGCAAGTCATAGCTATTACCGATAATGTAAAGCCTTATCAAATAGGTGAAGCAATTGGTGTATTGCGATTCATTCAAGGAGTATCTGTTCTAATTGGGCCAATTTTAGCTGGTAGGCTAAATTTTTCTTATTACTATTTACAAATTTTCTTCTACATTCTAGGCACCTTTCGAGACGAAACTGGAACTTATTTTTGGTCCCTTATTTTGAGCGGATCATTAATGTGCTTTGGTTCTATTTTTTTTATTATGCATAATATTTTCAGAAGGTTAACATTAATTGCGCAATACAGATGCTAATACTTTTGATTGTTCAAGTCACTTTGAAATCAAACGATTGTTCGTTATCTATATACAATTATTTTATACATACGATGCTAAATATCGATTTTCTTTTATCAAAAAGTATATTGCATGTTACATTCATATATAAAATAATAGAACTCGGTTAAATTTTAAAATACAATAACCCTGACAATGGTCATTATACTTGGAGTTTGATACTAAATTCAACACCAGAAATATATCGTTGACATTTCTGTGAGAGAGTTGACTTTTTATAATGTCGAACGAATCTGACAAGAGGATATCAACCCCAGATGGTGGTTGGGGATGGATGGTTGTTGTAGGAGGATTTTTTATACTACTGCTTCATGGAGGTTTCTTAACCGCTTATACATTTATTTTTACCGAACTTCGAATTCTCTTTCAATCGGGAGCGGAAAGGTTAGCTTGGGCAAGTTCAATAAATAATCTATGCAAATTTCTACTAGGTGGGTTTATTTACTGCAGCTCTGCTTTAATAATTTTTTTCAACATCTAATATAACATTAGGCCCTGTAACTGGTAGCTTAGTTCAACATTTTGGAACAAGAAAATTAAGTGTTTTGGGGGGATTTTTATATGCTGCTGGAATATTTTTGACTGGTTTTGCCAAAACTCCTGAATTTTCTTATATATCATACGGATTTTTAACTGGCGTCGGTGCAGCCTGTGTCAGTACCTCGTTGTATGTTGCAATAGCCGAATATTTCCATAAAAAGAAAGCACTTGCCATGTCTATTGTTTTTACTGGAGATAGTTTTGGTATGATAATATATGTTTTTTTAATTCCAAAACTACTAGAGGAATATGCATTTAAGGGTACTATGATGATTTTAGCTGCATTACTTGGCAACTTATGTGTGTCTGGTATGCTCTTTAGACCGTTGGAGTATAATAAGCCTGAATTAAAAGTAGAAACTAATGATAAAGAGTCTGGTGATAAGAAGTCGGAAAAAAATTGGAAGAGAGATTTAAAAGTAACATTAAAGAACTATCGAGAAATAGTGACAGATTTTAAAAAATGTTCATTTATTGCATATTTATTCTGTATATGTATCGGCCTAGCCATAAGTCAGTTATTCTTATCTGATTTAGCTTTGGATCAAGGATTAACAACAAAAGACGCTTCATTGGCAATATTAATATCAGCATCTTTGAACATTTTCATCAGAATTTTAGCTGGTTATTTATTTGATAGAGCGTTTATTAAAAAGTATAGGGAAGTATACTTTTCGTTTATTGGGATTGGTTATGGAATTTCCCTTGTGACCTTGTCTTTCCCTGTTGGTAGAATATACTTCTATCTAAATTATGCTTTGTTAATGTGCTTTAGTTGTATTCATTATTCTCAATATGCAACTGTTCTAACTGATGGTGTTGATCCAAAAAAGTATGGCGAGATTATAGGCCTATGCAGATTTACAAATGGATTAGGGTTTGTTATCGGTCAAGCCGCCGGAGGTAAGTAAACAAAGAAACTTAAATAAAATAATATTCTAAAAGTATCATGTGCAGGTCGACTACGAGATATCACCGGCTCCTATCAATGGACCTTTGTTTTAAGTGGGATAGTAATAATAGCTGCAGGACTTGCTTATGTACTGGAATTATGCCTAATATTACTCTGTAAATGTAGAAAAAAACCTTCCGGAAGGATTGAAATTTCTACACTAGAAATATAAAATATTTGCTTACCGTTCTTGTTGTATCTATGTGCCTTCTAGGTAAATCATTGTATGCTGTGTTATCATTTGATTCCACGAAAAGGAACTGTAGGAAAATTAAAATGATTTAAATTGAAAAATAAAGATAGTGAGAGTAAGAAAGAGAGATAGAGAGAAAGCATTCTTCATAATGCGACTATTATAATTACCTCTACAGTCAGTGACCCGCCTTGTCCCTTTGGTTTTCCTGCCAAAGGTAGAATTTGTCTACTGCCTGGTGTTGAACGCAATTCATCTACCATAACGAATGCTCTTCCTAAGAAGTCATCTAAGGGAATAATAGTGAAATATATTGGAATATTATATTAAAAAAGTAATATATTCCATTCTGGTAAGATTGCTTACTGCCTGGATTTTTCGATTTGTCGTATAGTTCAAACCTTAGTTGTTGAGTTGCGTCATTTAAATCGCTAACAAAAAATACGAAATTAATAAGAAATATAAGAAAGTTATAAATGTGAAAATGATAATTCATACAAAAGAAAGTGTTCGTCCCAGAAAGGATTGAAAGTATGTTTACAAGCAGAGGTTGAGTGTTTTTGAGCTGGTTCGTCCATCGATACGATACAGTAAGGATCTGACATACCTATTTAAAAGGACACATGAATGAGCATATGTGTGTATAGATAAGGAAATTGTATAAGGTTTCATTCCAAGTTTGAAAATTCTCACCAGTATCTATGTCTGAAACGCCAGTTGCCTTAATAACTTTAACCAAAAGCTTTCGGTCCCTTATAGCAGTCTTTGCCACGTTAAGCGGGTACTGTTTAAAATATGAACATAAACATGACGGTAGGAGGGGTTATCGAATGGGTGTGATTTGTGGTCATCACGACGTGGCGCAATCTTTGGACGAAAATTGAAAACAGTGCGACGAAAATCATTAAAATAGCGAAAGTATTATACACAAATATAGCACGGTTAACAGAGTAAAGCGAGGTGAACTCAAAAAAAACTGGTCTATCACCAAATCACAATTGCTCCACTAAAAGCTGGGGCACTCACATACTGCGATGAATCTCTATTTCTGGCCCACAGAGGCCTCCTTAAGACAGTACTATTTCTATCACTAGATGGCATTACGCTAGTGCTACCATTCGAGGCTTTATCCGAAACATCCTCTTCCTCTTTTCGAACTTCATTTGTTTGGTATGAGTCCTTTTATTTATTGAAAGTGATATAAAAAAAACATCTCAAGCCTATGCTAAACACTTAAAAGAGTACGAAAATGTGCTAAATCTTAAAATAAATATTTTAGAAAAAAGTTGAAACTCGAAGTAAAATAACAAGAAAAAGCTTCTTTTCATAAACTTACCATATTGGGTTCATGTCTCATATCCATGGAATTATACTTGTATGCAGCATGTGTATTCTGGTATGAATCTCTTATTTGATTATTTAGGGTTAAAGGTCTTTGCATATTAGTATTCAGAGAGTTCAGGCTAACATTCCAAAAGACCTTAGTATCCGATATTGCTCTTCTAACGGCTGTTTCTATTCTACCAGGTTCGATTTGTGTCTACAGTAGAATTAAAAATAATTAATTAAGAAAGAAAGATTAATAATGGATAATTATATATATATATATATATATATTAGTATATATATATATATATATGAATATGTTTCAGTACATCAAATCCTCTCTGTTTCACAATGAATTTAATATCAGGAACTTTGACAAAAGAAGCTGTAAGTTGCATAGATTCGTTTCTCATGTCGGAGATAACATAAATCTGAAATAGGTGTTATGCAGTTAAAAAGAGTTATGAATAGATAAACTATACAAAGTAGAAGAAATAAAGTAGTTAAGAGAAAGAATAAATTATACCTGGTACTTAATCTAAAAGAAAAGAAAAGAGAAAGAAAGTGAGAAGGGAAGTAAACACTAAATTGAATACAAAGCTATACCTGTCCAGTCAGTCGCTGTATGTTTAGCTCGCAGTTTGCGCTTATTACTCCGCTTTGAGTTTGTTGGAGCGCTGTCATAAGGAAAGCTACATCACAAGCTTCAACATCCGCTTTAACAGTCTATAGAAATAAAAACAAAAGGGTAAATAGATACTTTCAAATTATGAAAAGAGAGTAGGGGTCATGCTACTAATTACAATTGATAGTGGGTGTTCCTTTCCTACTAAGGAATTATCTTAATAATATTTTTCCATACGTACTAGTGATTCACTGTCTTCAATATTTGTAGAAAGGTTCGAAATTTTCGGTGGAAGACTACCGGCTACGATGTTCTCGAACTTAACTTGGACATCACCCTGTGAGAAAATCAATAAAATTGTTATGGCCCCGAGTTGTTTAGTTGATGGTCTCTCCAAGTTATTACCTCTCCCCTAAAATAGTTTAATTTATCTAAGAAACAACCACATTAGTATATGCATGCTGAACTGGAGTGTTTTATCATTTTGTATATAACGTTGTAATAAATAAAACGGGACAGTATTATCTTTAGCTTTTGTAAACACCTGCATTTAGCGCATAACGTAAATGCAGCAGATGCTGTCTGCAATCGCTGTACGCGTTGTATGAAAGCTTTACTAAATCAATAAGTAAGTTATTACAATTCTCATCATCATAAAAGTAATCCGAATAAAATTCCATATTGCTATAATCTTGGTGTTCGCTAAACCACACCCTATTTAGTACACCGTACTGAAAAATATACCTTACAACTTAAAAAAAGAGCAGTACCTTTTCATTTAAATAAAATAAAAAAAAGATTCATATAATGCAAAACAAATAAAAAGCCTTCGGAACACCTACAAACGTCCGTGAACTAAATATAGATTAGTTGCAGTCCATCAGAATAAGGAATATGGTTGTAATTTTCAACTACATCGATTTTCCACATCTTCCAACAAGTAATGAAACCAAACTATCGAAAGTAGATTAATCTTGCTTCTTGGGGAAATGAAATAATAAAAGAAGTAGACCAAAGCAATATGTGAGGTGATGGAAAATACACAAAAAGTAAAAATAACAAGATAATAATGGAAACGAAACTTGGATTGCGCCAAGCGTCGACTCTATAGATTTATGAATACTCTTTTGAAATTAAAGAAAGAGAATACACAAGAAAAGGAAATATAGAACAGCTTGTAGAACATTAAAAAGATAATGTAGCACGCAATAAAAATTATTCTAAATATAAAGCGTAGAAATAAAGATGACAGGAGATCTGCTTTAGAGCGGATTTAGTTTAGATGAGATTGGGGAGAAACAGAGATAGAATTATGGCTTAAACATATTTAATTCAACCTCATATTGAGAGAGTTAGCGTAAATTTTAATTATGTGTAATCAATATTTGTCGCACGGAAAAAAGAATTATTTTGTAAAAAAGCGAAGTGTTTGTTAAGCATTTTGTTCTTTCTCCATTTTACTTTATTGTTAGGCATTACATACAAAAATAAACTAATGATGCTTAGATTGACTATAATATCTTATTCATGATAGAAAATTACCTTAGGATAAGCAAGTATAAAAAAAAACAATTGCTGTTTTTTTTAACTGCTCGAAAAAAAATGAATTGTTTCCTGAATTCTAAGCTTTTTCATCGATTGTTAGTATTTGTTTTTTTCTATATCAACATTGTGGTACGATATTAAATAGCTTTAGTGCCATAAAGAACCATTGTCGAGCAAATAATAAACAAAACTTACCGGCTTGAGTGTGTTCTGCAAAGCAGTCTTATTCAATTCTTCAATCCATTGCTGCACAAGCCAAGGCGTTTGGTGTAAATGAACGTAAAGCCATTTAAGGACAGAGTTAACCCAAAAGCACGATTCCCCACCCAAACCAGTAACATATCCAGCCCTTCCGAAAGATATTGTTCTTTTTGAAAAAAACCGAAGATAAATATGAATAGCAGCCACTGTCGCAAAAGCTAAGCCTATCCAAGCTAGGAAAAACATATCGAGAATATTTAGCCGGGAAAGAGAGAAGTTCCTATAGAAATCGCCTAGTTTTTCACACTTCTCAACCAAGTTGCTGTAAGTCTCCCCGAGTTTGTACCAAACTAGTTTTGCAGTAACATCTACCATCGCACCGACCAATCGCCTTTCTTTTTATTTTTAGAGAAAATTGTTTGGCATTCGTATAGGTACGGTTCGCCAGGAATTTTAGATAACGATATCACGTTTCTCTGATTCCGACCGCATTCGGCCGTAGTCAGCGCCACCTGGATGGTTAAGGTTAAGGTTGAAAAGTGGATAGTTTCGTATTTTTTTCAAACTCTTTATTAATGTTTTTAAACAATAATTTAGTATCTTCTATGAAAGATAGCCGATTAAAATAATTTTACGATAAATTTTAACCGGAAGTAGAGTTGAATAAATTACGCGCCACTTTTGAATCCTTAAGGAGTTCGATTGTTAATAGTCATGCAAATATTTAAGCTGGATTACTTTACGAAGCTTCATATACCCAGAGGTATTCAATCAATTACACAAATTGTTTACAAATATTAGCTTGCGTTATGCATTCATTGTTTTAACGTTAAATACCACAAATCCTAAGATTTCGTAATATGTTTGTTCACGCTTGGTTGAATTATAATATCATAGTTGAATCTTATGGTTCCCTATTCCCCCTTATTAATATAGATAGCTCAAAGCTATTCAAATTTTAGGCCATACAACCATATACCATAGAATTGTGTATTGCTTGTGCAAACTGAATAGGAAACTACGTTGAATTTGAGTTACTTAAAAAATGACTACCAATTTATCGTTTGAACACTGCTTCTGGGTAAGTTTGTTAGATCAAACTATTTAAAATCGATTGTTTGACAAAGAGAGCTATCTTTAGTGTAAATATAAAAAAAAATTGGTGGGCTATTACTCGAAATGTGAAAATTCAAGTTGATGTTTAAAATATGCCACAAACAGATACATTAAAGAAAATTCAAAGAAATACAATAGAATTATAAACGTGTAATACTGTATACAGTATGTTCTATAGTACAGATGGGTGCAAGATAAAACTGGTATTGTGGGAGGGCTAAGTGACCAAAAAGAGTACAAAGCGGGAAAGTGCAAGAGAGAGAGAGAGTTGCTACAACATCGTGAACGTTATATATAACTATGAAATACAAGGATGAGAGAAAGAAGTATTAATATATTTACATTAATTGCGTCAATTAGAAAATGATGTATGAAAAACAAATCTTTATACAATCGATATATTACACATATGTATAATTTACAAATATATTTATAGAATTAAATTATTCTTTTAGGATGAGAAGATTAATGAAACAAACGGATTTTCAATACTTAATAATAAGATGAAAGAGTCCGAAGGTATGTGTAAGAGCTATTCCGAATTTTTGGAGCATCGGTAAGTAAAATTATAATAATCAATGAATTATTTAAGTATTTACTTAATTTGTATATATATCTATATATGTAAATAATATGCGTTCAAAATAGTAATGTCTACTTATATGGGCATTTTTTCATACGTGTATAGAGTATATATATTAAAATTAGAATATTTTCTAATTCAGTAATGTTACAGTATAGACTATACTTGGCATATTGAAATAGAACACAATAGACTATATCATATCTTATCTTATATTTTGTTTTATACTTTACAGAGCGAAGTTAGATATGCAATATTCAAAGGACTTAAAAAAACTATTAAAACATTTTAGTATAAATTCCGAATTTGGGTGTGTTATTAATAGCAAATATGACTCACATTTATAATAAACATTTTATTTTATACTAATATTTTTAAGAAATAATAGAAGGAATTTGCATATATACATATTACATATTCAAACGCATCGATAGATTACTTAAAGATTCCTTTGCTGTGTTGAAATCGGAGACTGAAAAGATTTGTCAACATCATGCAGACTATTCAGAAAGTCTGAGAGAGAGTTCAAGGAGGATGAAGGAATTCTATGGAGACTATAGAAGGAAACGAAAACTTGTTAGTAAAATAATTTTCTATCTTACAGTCCCGCATAGAAGTTTTAGATGTAAACTGATAAGTTAATGAGATATGACTTTATCTACTATTATATCAAGTGCCCTTGCCGTCACATCCTTTAATGTATGCTATATAAGTATTAAAACTTTTCTTCTGATAAATATCTGAAGGCTGAAACAATTAGTTAGATAAAATAAGAGCAGATTAATCGGTTTATTATCTAAAATAGTTTGTTTAAGGTAAACTATATGAATATTAATTCTACTGTTTTGTTTTCGTTTTAGGAAAAAGACAAGGTTCAAGAATATCACGCTAAAGCTGTAACTGAATATGACAGAGCAATTAAAACCAAAGATGATTATCACACTAAAAAAATAATTTCTGATTCTCCGGAAAATAATAGTAGCTGTGATAATCTAAATCCCGAAAAACAAGGAAAGGTAAATTGAAACAAAACCATAGTAATTAATTTATCATTGCTTTTAAAAATACTAAAGTATTGGGTTTGCTTTCCCCAATGTTTTAGATACATGAGAAGAGAGATAAACTTAAAAGAGAAGCTGATGCAGCAGGTAATAAATTCTTTATTTCATTTTACCTTAAATTACAAAATATATATTAATACTATAATACATTTATTCTACAAAAAAAACTATATATTTTAGAGAGTAAATATAGAACATGCTTAGTTGACTTAGATAAAGCATTAACGAAATGGGGAAAAGTGTACCATGAAATGTGCTCAGTAAGTTCCATAGAAGATTATTAATTTATATCAAAAGAGTAAACCTTTTTATATTCTTTTTTTGTATCTTTTTGTTTAAATAGAAAGCCGAAAGGTTAGAGAAATCTCGAATCATTTACATTAGAAATGAAATATGGGCGTATGCTAATTTTGAATCTTTAAGGAACGTTGAAATCGATAAAGTACACTTTTCTTTGAAAATGAAGAACTATTCGAATATTATTAATTTTAATAATTTAACTTTAATTATTGTAGAGTTGCGAGGAAGTTAGAAAATCATTAGAAAAATGCGATGAAGAAGAAGATATTAGGAAATTTATCAAAGAAAATACTACAGGAATCACTACTCAACCAAAAGCACCACCGTTCGAATCATCACCTTCGGAAAGGTCTGCTTCAAATCCTATTGATAACTATGAACCAGAAGGACATCTACCGAATTATCAACAATCCCAAGAAGAAAAAATGCGTGAACAATACCTGGAAAGACAGAACAAAGAATTTTCCTGGACAGCTAGTAAATAATATTGATTAAACATTACCTTTCAATTAATAATTTCTAATTATACATTTCTTTTTTAGAAGAAGACTAAGAAGATAAAGAAGAAAATCAATAGCATTTTATTTTACTATAATTAACTTAAACTTAACTAAATAAAGAATATTAAACATAGCATATCTTGCTCTTAAATATATCTATCGTTAATGCTCTTATTTTTAATAGTTTATTCTTATATCTATCAAATGTTAATTAATTTTTCTTTTTTAATTTTCTTATTCTGATCCAAATTCCTTCTGTCTTTCTTCTTCGTACGAAATTAATACCAATACAACATCGTCATTATTCTCTAGCCTAGGCTTAATTTCTCTCTTTTTCTTTTAAGAAAAGGCAACAAACTTAACACGACTGTCTACATCACTTTGTAAATTGAGTAATAATAGATCAAAACTGCACAACAAATTAAAGATATCCTTCGTTATGAAGAAATAGAAATTGATATTTTTTTTTAAAAAAAAAATAAAAGAGAAATACTCTCTTTCTTTAGCTAATAATACATTTCCGTTAAATATTTCAACAACCAGTAATATTGTATATTCAGTAAAAAAAATAAATATATACAACATATTGGTACGTATAAAATATAACGTCGATATTTCGTTTTAATTAAATTTGACCTAGATTAATATTTCTTAAGCGAAAGATTTTTTTTTGGATTGTAGCTAAAAAAAACCCCTATGCATTAAATGTTATATAATTAAATTTTTATATCTTTACATTATTTTTAAGTACTGTTTCAATTGTAGGTCATATATCAAAGTATAAATACAAACCACATAATTTTTTAGTGCAATATACTGTATAATGCATATGTTTCATAAATTATTACATATATATAGATATATATGGTACATAGATGGATATATAGCGTATATATATATATATATATATATGCTGTATTATGTAAATATAACTGTACCATATGTATTGAAAAGGTATGGGATTTTATAGTCCTATTAGAGGAAATAATAACGGACTAATAAAAAACTACTTAGAGAAGTGAAAGAAATAGATGATGCTGAAAAAAGATTTTTATATCGCTAATTCTCTCTCTCCTCTCTCTCTCTCCCTCCCTCTCTTTTTTGATATATTCAAAAAATATTCAGCTAAAATAGTGTCCACGTCTAATAGAATTTAATCATTAATCCTACGAATGATGTAATATAAAGCTTAACTAAAAAAAAAATGATTTTAGGTTCAAGAATCTGGACAAATGATTATAGTTTTAATAGGATTTGATGATCAATTGAGACTTTTTCTAACACAAGATCAATTAGTTGAATAAAGATATGCATATCATATATAGTTTATTTAATTTCTTAATATAATCTTATGTATATCATCTCTTGTTTAGAGTTACTCGAACATTTCACTGAAGATATATGATTCTACATGGGTACAATTACAAAGTCTCTTTAATAAACCAATATAGCTCTTTTTTTAATTTTAAGGATTTCATTTGACTGTCTTCACTTTTATTAATTTATTGATAACTCTTCCAATCGAAAAGCGTCGATGCTCTATCTGTTACCATCCTTGCTATTGCTAACGAGCTTGTGGCGGCTGGGGAGGGAGCATTTCTAACGTGCAACATTCTTGAGGATAACGATCCTGTACCGGAATCAAAAACAAAATCGTCGACCAATGAACCGTCAGGCGCTAAGGCTTGCGCTCTTACCCCAGCTGGGCCCCTATAAAATATAGTTAACGATAGGCAAGAAACTAATGAAATGTTAAGAAGCTGTTTACTTGGTAACATCGGAAAGCTGCAATTCTGGAACAAATCTCTGTAACTGTTTGACCTGAGCCGAAATGAATACACCCCTGTAAAGTTCACCAAACGCGTAAGAAACATTCTTAAAGACGAGCTTTCTCAATCCCCTAGTATTGGATAGATAAATTCAAAGGTATGATTGTCTTACTTTGAACTGAGATTAACAGAGACTATTAGACTTACGAATAAGCTGCAGCCTCTGAGAATTCCTTTAAACTGAAGTCAAATAACTTATAACCTTCCCTTTTAAATGCCAAAACAGCATTTGGCCCCAACCACACATCTCCATTCATTCTTGGTGTGAAATGAACTCCTAAAAAGGGGAATTTGGGATCAGGAACTGGATAAATGTTTCCTCTAACAAGATCGCTCTTTTCTTTCTTTAACAGCAAATACTCTCCTCTAAATGGCACGATTTTAGGATGCGGTGTGCCTCCAGATAAAGCGGCTACTTTATCCGATTGCAAACCAGTGCAGGTAATAACGTAACGAGTGCGGATTTTGTACGGCTGTCAAATATGTAACGAATATTTTAAAGCATTACTATTATCTGGTTTAGGTGCAATCTCACTTGAGACTTTAGGCTAATCTCCACAGGAAAATCATCATCAGTCATTCCAGATTCTCTAAAACCGGTTACTTCGTGATTTAAGAATATTTTTCCGCCACTCTTTTCAAAGTTCTTTCCATAAGATCTAGATACTTCAGCCCAATCAACAATACCCGTGTGAGGAGAGTGAAGAGCTTTTAGACCCTGATGTTGTAAAGACGAAAATAAGTATTCTATTGAAAATAAACTCCCTGGGGATATACGTTCTCATATTTAATAATCTTACACGACAATTCGGTTCGATTTCTCTTATTCCTTCCTCATTTTCAATTAATTTCAAATCAGGTACGTCATTTTTTAAGCCTCTTTCGTGTAAATTGGCTAAGCGTGGCAATTCGTCAGGTTGAGTTGCTACAATTAACTATAAAGGTAACAAAACAAATTTTGATGTATATATGGGTCTTCTTAAAGTTAAGTACTATACTTTTCCGCATTTTTTATATGGTACGTTGTTGGCGTCACAGTATTCGTACGCTAATCGAAGTCCTTCCACGCATAGTTTTGCCTTTAGTGACCCAGGTACATAATAAATTCCCGCGTGTATAACACCGCTGTTATTACCACTTTGATGGGCAGCTGAGAATAAAATTAAAAAGTAAAATACAGAGTGACAATATAATATTTAATAAGTATCCATTACCCAATTTATCTTCCTTTTCTAGTACACAAGACTCTAAAAAAGGAAATTTGCGCATGGCAGTGTAAGCGCTTGCCAGTCCCACAATACCCCCTCCAACATAAACACAATCGAAATACTTGTAATTTTCAGTATCTTTTTGACTGGCTTTAGAGATTTTACCAGTTGGATTTTTTTCAACCGCGGCTGAAGGACCCCTACGAAAATAGGGTAATTTTGTTTAATTTAATATTCTAAGAAATAGCAATCAAATCAAAAAACAGAACTTACACATGAGTATTTGATGAAAAGTTATTTACACCATTTACCCGTAATAAACAATGCAATTTCGCTGTTTTTGACAATAGTCGAATTTGATGACCTCTCAATGCCATTGTCGGCGGCAGTTACTTATTTTGATTTTATTGTATAAAAAAAGAATGAAATATGAAAAAAAGCATAAAAATTCAATTTATTAAATAATATTATAAAAAAAATAAATAAAATATAACTTTCTATTTTTTATAAAATTTGTTTTTTCTGTCAATAAATAGGTGCTCCTCAAAAAATTCTTTAGATATAAACAGAACGAAACTAAACAAACTTATTTTTATAAATATTGATGTTTTCCATAAAAATTATAATATTGAAACTAAGCGGCATTTTTGTTAAAGCAAAGGATAACTGAAAATCAGTAATATCTAATCGGAACTTGGAAACTAGTTAGTAGTTATAAAAAATCTTTATGGAAGAGTTGTGTAAATATCTGAAAACCTTCTTATAGTGGTATTATAAACTAAATTATTGTTTAAATACAAGGAAAAAAGCTTTTATGTCTTGTATGAAATTAACTTTATAAAGTAAATTTTATTATAAGATGATAGCTACAAAAAGAAATATAAATATTCTCCGAATGTCAACGATATGATAAAGAGTTTAGTAAATGTGAACAATTACGTTGGAATATTTTTCATCATATAAATACTTGATGAGCTGCTGTCCTTGTCATAAATGGTTTAACAATTTGACTTGTTGCAAAATAGAATATAAGACCAAAAAATATCGATATTGGTAAAGCTGGCAGGGCTCTTTTGAATATAGCTAAGAGGAAGAGAGTCAGACTGAGTCCCTGTAACAATTAGACATATAATTTTTTCTATTGTTAAGCATTAAATATAATTAATTGCAATAAACTTACAATTAAGATAGCTATAAAACACGCTAAGGTAGTATTCCAGTCACCGTATGAAGAAGCCTTACCAACCAGTAGACTGTAAAATATAAAATCACCCAAACCCAACTTAACACCTCTTTCCTCTTCTACCGATTCACTCGATAACGATCTCATTGCTAATTGGCTGTTATTATTTGCATTATCCCCCTGATTATTTTGAGCTGGAACATCAGCCGTTTGGTTCGAATCCACTCCAAAATTAGGGTTAGTTCGGCCCTCAAGTCGGTGTGTTTCTTTGGAAAAAAAATCTATAATTAAATAATGACTGCATTTGCAATTCAACAGTTTTGCTATCGAAAAAATATAGTTCTTGAGTCTGTTTGTTTACACTTTATGATGGTTACAACACTATAGTATTTTATACTTTTTATGGTTATTTATGAGCAATATTTATCACTTTTACCTGTATTACCACCTTGTGCAGCAGGTACGTCATCTGCAGCATTTACAATCCAAGCCATTGTTGATGAATAAATTAAACCGGGCATAATCTGTTCATTTCTCTCGTGAGCAGTTTCAACTAATATCTTAAGTGGTCCAAATGGACATAGAACAGCAACTAAATCCCAAACTGAAATTAATGCCAATAAAACCCATGTTGTCCAATCAGGTAAATATTTTATGAAGACTAAGGCCATTAAAGAGGAAATTATAATGTGGTATAATTGCTGCAGTCTTAGAGGCCCTTTCCAATGAATACAAGCCATTCCAGGCACACCGAAATTCCATATAACTAAGGCGGTTGTTAAATAATCCATAGGTACGTTGTATCGTTCTAAAACTTGTCCCCAATATATTAATGCAAACAAAAATAAAAGGAGTAAACTAGAAACAATCAACCATCCATGAATTATTTTGTAGCAGCTGAACTTGTAAAGGAGTATCAGCACGACAGTCATAACAATGACGACGGATAGAAAAATCAAAGTATTTGCCAAAGAAATCCCAAACCTTGCAGCGCCAGTACTAGACTTTTCAGACAAAGGGGTATAAAAGAATGTACCAGAGGATTGTGTGTAATTTGTTGCCGATGTTACTGTTGCTACAACTATAATCATACACAATGTAACAGGAACAAAAAGTCGAATAATGTTGGTTGCTCCTTTAAACAGAGCTAAGTCTATTCTCTCATCCACTTCTTCTTGATCGGAAGAAAAGGGTTCATTTCGGGAATTGTTTTGAGTACCATTCTATAAAGACAATTAAAATAAAATTTTAGTTATTATAATAATTACATTTCATGATAAGCAACGATTAGCAATGTAATCACAATTATTAACATTATTATAGTATTTAACAGAATGTGATACCTGTTGCGCTGGCTCCTGTGGTACGTCAACATTAATATAATCTTGGATGTTTACATTGGGAGGTAACTGCTGATTTGTCCTAGGCTGAAATAGTTCGTTTTTCAAATGTAATATAGAAACTTCTTGATAATATTTTACTTTAATTATAATTAACAAACCTCTTCCATACTTGCTTTCAAATTCAGAAATTTAAGTAGATTACTTTAAGGAAGTGCGAATAAAAAGTACACCGCGGAAGCTTGATCTAAAATATTTAGACAGCTGCTGAGAAATATAATAGTAGTGATTTATAAAGATTAAAATTAGTAAATGGTTTAGATCGTTTACATTATATTTCTTGGAGAGTCAATTATTAGATTAAAAAGAAATACCTATTTCTTTTCTTTCAATTAAATGCATCGAAAAGCAAAACATAACTAGAGAGAAAACTGGTATAACTAAGTTGATTAAATAATTTTGAGAATGAAAAATTGCTCCTCAATGCCACTGTATTCCAATTGTATAAAAATATAAATATAAGGGTAAAATCTCATGTAACATTAAGGACAAAAGTGTTGCTATATGCTATAATAAACGCATTTCTTTCAAAAATTATGTGGGCGTTTCCTAACAAAAGAAACAATAATTCATTTCTTAATTGATGATAGGTCAATTTATCTCATTTATTTAAGTACAATAGTCATTTCTAAAAGAAATAACAGAATAGTCGGAGAGTCTGGTAACAAAAACTCGAAGAGGTTAAAATTAAAAACTCCCGCGATTTTTTGCCGAACCATACTAGTTTTGTTTAAATGAGCTGGTTCTTATTACGAAAAGTACAATACAACGTGACTATCCAAGGTCGTTCGAAATTTTTGCGATTGAAAAAGAATAATTACATTTTGAAAATTGATTTAAATTCATTAGAAAAAGCTTTTCCGTTGGTTTGGCAAATTTTCTGGAAACTTTATTGAAAGATTGATACAATAAGAATTTGTTTTCAAACCGGGTAGCTTTCGTGGGGTTCTTTTATCTTGAGTTTAAAAGCACTCTAAGTAAAGCAATGTTTTCAAAATTATCATCATGTAGGAGTCAATTTACTCTTTTATTAAGGTCTTCTTGCTGCATTAAAAATGGACTAGTTCATTCAACAGTTGGACACTCAAAGGTAAATTTATATTTAATAAATTAGATTTCAAATTACTAAGAATAATATTCATTTTTTCATCTAGCTCATGCATAAGACAGCTAAAGAAGCGAAATTGGATAATGTTGATGAGAATTTAACCATTTTTGTTAAAGCCTCTGGAAAATCTCTTGCACTTCCTCGGCCTAAGAATTCTACAGAGAATTACTCTCTTACTGTAGGTGAAAAAGTTTTAAAAATTAACAACAGAGAAATACCAGCCGAGGATACTCAAGTCCAATCTGTTGGAGATTTGTTATGGAGACAGGTTGGAGACTATAAGATTTCCGAATTACCAAAATACTATATGGCTCTTTCCAAACTTCGTTTAACAGGCCTAGTAGTTGCAACTGCTATGGCAGGCTATGCTTTGGCTCCCGAAGTATTTTGTGTGTCTACTTTTGCCTATTGTTCGATTGGGACAGCGTTGACCTCCGCTGCTGCAAACAGTATCAATCAATTTCTAGAAGTTCCTTACGACTCTCAAATGAGCAGAACTAAAAATCGAGTTTTAGTTAGGGGATATCTAAGTCCTCTTCATGCTGTGAATTTTGCAATTGTATCAGGCGTGACGGGGCTAACAATTTTAGCCTTAGGCACAAACTTATTGACAACATCACTTGGATTATTAAATCTTATATTATATACAGCAGTTTATACGCCTATGAAACGCAAAAGCCCAGCAAACACTTGGGTTGGCTCTATTGTTGGAGCGATTCCACCAATAATGGGGTGGACTGCTTGCGGTGGCGGTCTTGAACCTGGAGCATTCTTATTAGGAGCTCTTCTTTTTTCATGGCAATTTCCCCACTTTAATGCTCTAAGCTGGAACTTGAAACAAGAATATTCACGAGCAGGATATCGTATGATGTCGGTTGTTGATCCAGACATGTGCAGGAGAGTTGCTTTAAGACACTCCGTCCTTATTACTATCTATTGTTTAATGGCCAGCCCACTAGAACTAACAAATTGGAGTTTTGCAGTGGACTCTTTCATCTTGAACATGTGTTTAGTTTATTTATCAGCTAAATTTTATAAGGATGCTGATAGTAAGAGTGCTAGAAAGTTATTTAGATTTTCTTTGATTCATATACCTGCATTATTTGTCCTAATGTTAATTAGTAAAAAATGGAAAAGGACTGAAGATAAAAACACTAATACTAACACCCCAAAAACTGCTTTTCAACAAATAATTGAAAATTAATGAATATTTGAATTGTTTTAAACAGTGTTATATACAGTATAAACTGATAATTTAAAATGTTAATACGATGGTTTTTTATTGGACTATTTATTAGCAAAAAACAATAACAAGATAATAAAAGGAAATTTATTAAGTTTCTTCGTTATTTTTTATATTTTTAGGTTTTTTGACAAATATATTAATTTCTATGTTGTAACCAAAGTTCTTTGTTAATTTAATATCAAAAATTTCTCTATTTTTCATCTTTTTCTGATATTCAGCATTTTTTGTAGCGAATGAATAGCACTCTTCCACATTTAAATCATCTATTCTGTCTTTTTGTACAGGTATTCTACATACTTCTTTACTATTTACCTACAAAATTATACATATACAGTATTTATTTGTATATTATAAATAATAACCACATTACTAGTAGAGTATAAAGATTATACTAACCTTAACAATTAACGGTAGTTCGTAATTATTATCAACTGGCGGCCATGTTTCGTCGAAAACATTAACATCACCTCGATTTCTAAAACCACAGTATAGTTCTGAAGAGAAACAAGGAGAAAATGGTGAAAGCATAACGATTAGATCCTTTAAGGCTCTTTCAAAATTTGAACTGTTAGCTATAACACCCTCAGGACATTTCTGTTTAAAAGAAAATCATTAATTTCAAGTTAGATAATTAACTAAAGTAAATGACAAAAACCTTAAGAAAACTGGTAAATTCTTGAAGTCTGGATAATGCAGTATTAAGGAGAAAAGTTTTTCCCATGTGAAAAGTAACCTAAAATGTTTACATAATAAAAAACAGTTTTAATGATAAAAGTATATATTAAATACAATTTAAAGGAAAACAACAACAACAAACCTCTTTAACAATGTGATTTCTCTTATGATCAATATCTAAATTAAATTTTAATAATTCTGCTTCATCTATTTTTATGTTTCCTTGATGTTTTACTTTCAAGTAGTCTCCAATCAAGCGCCAAATTCGTTGTTGCCAATGTAAGATACCTTTCATAACTAGTTTATAGTTTTACAAAAATAATTAATACTTATAAAATAATATTCATTACTATTTATATTAAATACCGTCTAAATTCCAATGTCTATGCGATTTTGGAGCAACGTTAGCAAGTATACATAATCTCGTTGCATCCGCTCCAAATTCGTCGATTATCACTTGAGGATCGGCTCCGTTATGTTTGGATTTTGACATTTTTTCCCATTTAATTTCGACTGGCTTTCCAGTTGATTTTTCAATGGCGTTTTTCTTGTCTAAAAATAAAGTTATTAACAATTTAACTAACAAGACTTTTACAAATAACGTACTTTCAATAAATTCAATCTCGTCGCTTCTTAAATATTTACCCGTTTCCTCAACCTTAAAGGTCTGTCCCATAACCATTCCTTGAGATAATATATTTAAAAATGGCTCGGGATGAGGCAAAATTCCAAGAGAACATAAGAAATGAGTAAAAAATCTTGCATAATAAAGATGAAGTGTAGCTAAATGTGATTAGAATAAAAGACTTAAAATAAATAATAGCTATCAAAAATAGTGTAAAATAAAATCGTTTACCATGCTCTTTACCACCAATGTATAGGTCAACCGGCATTCCTGCCATAACTTTATCTTTCGAAAATGGTTGGAAACTATTTTTCGGATCTAAGAAACGTAAAAAATACCATGAAGAGTCTACAAAAGTATCCATGGTATCGGTTTCACGTTTTCCTCCTTCTTCACAAGTACAACTGGAAGAAAAAGATTTGAAAGACATTAAATAATAAATGACTTTTTACAAACTTTGAGCATCTTGCTTTGAGCCAATCTGCATTGTTTAGTAGAGAGGCGGCACTTCTGCCAGCAAAATTTTCCACCTCTGGTAATTTTACAGGCAACTCTTCGTAAGGAACAGGGACAGGCTTTATGCAAATAAAGAATAATCAAATAAAATTTATATTATACAGAGCAGTCACGCACCCCTTGTTTGGGGCAATGAATAATTGGAATGGGTGTTCCCCAGTATCTCTGCCTTGAAATTAACCAATCTCTTAATTTGGCACTTGTCATTTGACCTCCAGCATTAATATGTTTAGCATACTCGGATATGGCTTGAAAAGCAGATTTCCTATGTAGTCCCTCGAAATGACCAGAATTTGTTAGTATATTGGGATCATGTGTACTTCTAACTTTAGTATAGCAAAGGTGGTGTTTTTCAGCATATTTTTCGTCTAAATGATTGCCATCTGGTATAGCTAAGTGGGAGTCCAATTGTTCGTGGAAATATTCAGCAGATTTTTCCACAAATATTGGTAATTTATTCCCATTAAATGGATTTAATGCAGTGATCCCTTCGAGTCTACCATCAGTAGCTTGATCGTAAAGAGCTAAATAGTGTTCAGGCTTTACAAGAATATGAGAAGCTCCGTAGATGAATTCAGGAGTTTTTGAAAATAATGATAAAACATCTAATTTCTCATCATTTTTCTGTTCAAGATAAAATCATTTACAAACTCCTTTCTTTAAAATTTATTATCTTACCTGAACTCTAAAATCAAATTTTACACCTTCAATCTGACCAATCCAATGCTTTTGTAAATCAACAATATCCCTCCATAAACCTGAATCAACTTCGTCCAAACCATCGAGTAAGTTCTATTACATGTTGAAAGCATATTAGAATAGATATTCTAAAAATGTTACTACAACAATTGATTTTCAATTACTTTTGCAAATGCTGTTGTTTTTATATACCACTGCTCCAGATATTTAATTTCGGCTAAAGCCCCAGATCTCCATGATCTTCCTTCTTCGTCAATTTGTTCATCGGCTAATACAGTCTTATCAACTGGATCCCAATGGACTTTGGCCTGTTTAAATTATTTATTTTATATTGTAAACTTTATTAATAATCACAGTAAAAATGATAAACCTTTTTCCTATAGACTAAACCTCTTTTGTATAATTCTAAGAATAGGAATTGAGTCCATTTATAATAGTCTGGATGACAAGTTGTAAATTCCTTTTTTAAATAGAAAACATTATTAAAGTAGTGAATGTATATAAATTATTATTTCATTAAAATTTACTCTATCCCAATCAAAACTACAACATAACGATTCCATTTGACGTTTCATAGATTGTATATTAGCTTTTGTCCATTTGTGAGGAACTTTACCCCTTTCAATGGCTGCATTCTCAGCAGGCAGACCGAAGGCATCCCATCCCATTGGATGGATAACGTGCTTACCATTTAATCTATAAAATCTTGCCATAGTATCACTAATTGCATAAACTCTAACATGACCCATGTGAAGGTTACCACTTGGATATGGAAACATTGAAAGAACGTAGAATTTCTCATTTGCATTCTATAAGAGAAAATAGTAATTATTACTATAAATTTCAAATGTTTTTAATAATCTTTACGTTTGCTTGACTACTTTTATGATGATTCAGCAGTCGACCTTTCCAGAAGTTTTCAATTTCTTTTCTTTTCTCATTAGTCAGTTTTTCAGTCTATATACAAAAGAATTTTTTAATCAAAATGATTGACTTCATTAAGTTGCATAGTTATATTGCAAATGGTGCGTTACCCATTGTCCTGTTTGTCTATATATTTTTCCGTACGAAAGATATTTTATTGTTCTTTGGCAGTTTATATATGATGGAACTAAGCGGATAATTGGATTGAATGACATAATCACTCGAAAACTACTTAAATTTCTTATTGTTGTATTCAATCTACTAATAAAGAAAAAATTCTTTAAATTAGTAATCCCTTCTTTTATCGCTCACTAAACATGAGTTTAAATTGTGTAGATGGCGCTTTTCCGATTTGCAATAAAAAAATATTTCCTATCTGACTAGAGCGCAGTAACAGTTTTAAAAAACAAGAATTAATGAAATGGCATTTTCTAAGAAATAATTTTTTTAATAATCATAGATAATTGGAAGACTTTGGTGTATTTTTTTAAAATTTTTTACCGTCTTCATTATCGAAAGAAACAATTAGTCATCAACTAACTTAGTTGAAAAATATGGCATTAGTCTAGTTGTCTTGTATAGATTTTTTCGTGCATAAAAAAGGTCTATTTAGATCTGAGAGCTTGACCTTCTCCTTGGAAAACTTTAAAATTATTATCCTCCGAGAGTTCTTTATTTGGATCCTTATTCCTTCTCTTTTCCCTGTAAAATTGCAAATGATACGGATCGTGATTGTAGTTAGGGATTCCTCTTTGACGTCCATTGGTTGTTCGTTGAGGTGCTGCTTGGGTATTTTTTGATTTTCCATCAATTCTCTGACCTTGCCCCTGAAATGCGCAAAATGCCGAATCAACTAATTCATTTTCTGTTTCATTATCGGTGACTTCTTGTTGATTTGCTTGACTTTTAACATTATGCTCCTGATATCCCACTGGAGATGCAAAATCAACATTCATATCGCATTCTATAATTGACACTGCAGGACCCGGCTTAGTTTCTAAAACGCAAAGTTCATAGACTTTATCATTGTAGTATATTGCTATAACATCTCCTGTTGTTAAACAAGCAAAATGCCTAAAAAAAAAAAAAGCATACGTATTAGCATTTCATGAATGAGGAGAGAATTTACGTATTATGTTGCAATTGAAGGTAAGCCTATTTTTGATTTTGCTCAATAATGAATCACTCGCCTTAAAACGTGTTCCAAGACAGCTTTTGGGTTGGTGAGATCAAGAAAATCGAGACTTTGAGGTTGAAACTTTGCAAATGTGGCTATGGGTAATGAAACGTTCTCTACAAGACAGATGTCTCCTTCCTCTAAAAATAAGTTTTTCATCATCCAGTGAGGAACATGCATCTGACCCTCGTCCGCAATGAATTCCAAAACACCACAATAAGTTTGTCGATTCACATTATCTTTAGTATTCGTTAATTTGAACAGCATAGGGTACTGAATGTTTAATCTCGTCAGCTGATCCAATGAGGATTGTGGTAAGATGATTTTTCCTCCTTTTTCAACATCGCCTCGATCCACGTGCATCATAGAAACGGAGTAACATTTATACCTTGCGGTAAATTGCGTTTGATGCTGCATACCATCATCGAATAAACGATTGAATGGGAACATGACTTTAGATTTTCTTGTTTGTTAATTATAAGTAAAGTATTCTATCAGAGTGTGGAAACGGGTAATTTGTAGAGTATTTTAGACTGGTTAATTTATATTACAATATAAGTTCACAATCTTGTCCATAATGGTTGTCTACAATGATTTGTTTTATTTTCATAAAAAGTTTATGCAGAATTTAAAAAATTAAGAAATATATTATATAACGACAGAGCTATTGATAAATCAAGTTTTAAAAAAAAACCACTCTACTCCCAAAACTGGTTTAAAATCAACCGGTTTCTCACACAGCTAAACGATAACGTTTAGTCGCCGTGTGGTCGCTGAGGGCTAGTACGGAATTATATCTTTAGTTAATCTCGGTATTATATGTAGTAAGGAATAAGCGATGTCTGGTTTTAATTTTGGTTCCGCTTCTACTAGTGGATTTAATTTCGGTGCATCGGCTAGTAAACCTGCATGTAAGTACGACTTTCACAAGAAAAAGTTAACTGCCTCTACGGCATTTGATCCATATAGAAGTAAAAAACTAATCTGAAAAATTCTCTTTTATTATCATTAAACAAAATTATTCGATTCTATATTTTTAAATGCTAATCTAAAAAAAATAATTTTCTAATATATAGCAACACAACCTGGTTTCTCCTTTCCATCAACAACGAAGTCATCAGTATCATTCGGTCAAACGACAACACTAGGGCAAAATACTACACAGGCTGGCGCTAGTGGATTTAATTTAGGCACAGGAACAAACACTACGACCAGTTCATCTACTTTTTCATTTGGTTAGATAATAAGTTAATGTAAATGATAAGCATAGTTATTTAATGAAATCATTAACTTAGGGAATAATACTTTACCTTCGAAACCAACTGGTCTGACACTTCCGCAAGTATCAACATCTGCAACAGCTAATACTACTTCTCTACCAACTTTCACATCCGGTGGAACAGGATTTAACTTTGGAGCCAAAACAACAGCTCCAGCATTAGGTGGAATAGCGACCATTTCAACTACCACAGGAAGTACGATTGATCTAATTTTTAATATGTTGAAAATAATTAATTATTATTCTATTATTTGCAAGCTGCAAGTAATACTACCGGTAGTTTTAATTTTGGTGGTCTAACGAATACTTCGAGTCCTTTCTCCAATAATACAACAATAGGTAGTATGAGATTTAATTGTTTATATTAAATTGTTAACAAAAATCTTGATATTCAATTTACCAGCTAGCAAAGGGCTGGGAGGAGTGGATGCAGCAACAGCTCAAGCAAATGAAAAACAATCTGCAAAAGCTGCTAAAGATGCTAATATACCAAAAGAAATATTACAAACTGTCGAAGAATTCAAGTATGACGTATTCTTATTCATAAATTGATCTTAAATCCAGAAATATGTATTTATCTTTCCTTAATAGAAAATTTTTAAATAATGAAAAAAAGTTTAGAGAAGAAATTTCTCGTCATTCAACGAAAGCTTCTGTTAACGTTGTAAAAGAAGTAAATTCGTTAAAACAACAAGCCGCTTTAGAATCATCTAAAGTTGAAAGAAATAAAATTATGATTGAATGCCTAAAACAAGACATTAGGTCTGAATTTCGTAATGCAGAAATGGCCAAGCATACAAGAGATATTCCCGAAACATTACAATATGAAAATATCGCACCTGGATTGTAAGAATCTTTTTTTAATATTTAAAATTTATTTTTAAGTGAATTATTTTCTATATCTAGATATTTCGAAACTTTGATAGAGAATTATGAGCATAGTATGGTTATATTTAAACAGCAGATTGACGATTTAGAACGTCATTTAATGAGTACAACTGAGCAAATAGCTCCTTTAACTGCACAAGGTAGAAACTTTTCAAATATTATATTATTAAACATGTTATTGAAAAAGAAGCTTCTTTCAGATTTATCCGATGTTATGAAGCAATTACACTCCAGTTTTATTTGTTTAGCAGCTAATCTGCAAAGTGTGCACGATAATGTTCAAGTACATATTCTTCATGTAAACAACTGTACAATATAATTAATACTTTCTTTCTTAATGCAGTCCCTTAAGGAGCAATTTTTGTCATATTTGAAACTCTATAAAAATGACAACAGAAATGTTTTTGATAAGAAAACGGCTCCAGCACCTAAACCAATTGTACCTCCAACAACAATAATACCAAGCAACTCGATTTCTTCACCTGCAGCTGCTGCTGTTGCTGCTGTGTTGAGCCGTGTTCAGCCTCCGTTTAATTCCAGTAGCTTATCAGGTTAGTTTTAATTTTTCTATTTAAATTCAAAGAATATAATTAAACGTCATTTCATTTTCTCTAGCGCCGACCACTACAACAGCGAGTAATATGTTTTCAAGTTTTACTCAGCCTTCTTTCAATAGCACTGCGCCTTTAGGAAGCACAGGGTTACGACCCCAAAATGGGTCAAACCTATTTGGATCTAAACCTCCAACTTCAAATTCAGTTGCAACTGTAAGACCTTTTTCTCCAGCAGTTAATAATACTTTGGGGGGAAGTTTCTTAGGGTCAAATACAACCCAACAACCTTTCACTCTACAAAGTCCTCCCATTGGATCGAAAAGAACGAAGAAATGAGAGATTGTAACTTATAGTCTATCAGTTTGTCTGTTATCGCTTATTGTTTTTAATAAGTTGATGCTATGCTTCACCTTTCGTTGAAATCATAGTTCTCAACTTCATAAACTTGAAAGATGTACGTTGTTTAATAAATTGCGTGTAAGCTGTGGAAAGATCTATTTTATATTTATATAGATATACAGAAAATAAACTAAGAAAGATATACAGTATATATGTATATATAAGTTCACAGTTTGCTTTTATCCTAACAACAGGAAAAGCTTAAAAGTTTTATATATGTTTATATTTATTTGTGAATTTATTATGCATAGAACAGAAATATATAATTGTGCGTAAGAACAAAATTCAATCAGGTTTCCACTCTCCTCTGTTTACCAAAAAGTAATCCTGATTGATAATCATTTTTAATAATTAATAATTCATTTTTAAAGTAGCCGACATTAAAACATTAATGTTTTTGTGTGTGGTTTTTTTTTGTCATACTGTACATTTACATGCATATACAGACATACTAATACAGTATATATATAATTTCTCATATAGACATTTTTCCAAGATGTTGCATATCCAGTTTATAAAAGAAGCACCTTTAACCAGTTTGTGAGTAATCTTTTTTCAAAATTCATAACGATCCTTCATTGGGAAAGTGTTAAACATTAAATATACTCTTCGTAACATTAGTATTACAATTGTGGCTCCCAGGATAATCAAAGCTGTGACAAACATCCGGCTTTCACTTCTCCTAGGACCTCTAACACCAACGTGATCAGAAGGTGCTAAAACACTATCATCATCCTGCGTTTGCTCATCATCTTCAGTCTCTCTATCCAATTTTACTCTTGGTTCGTTGCTATCTCTGTTAAGCTCTGCTTCATCATTTCTTGCAGGAGAATTACTTTCATCAGTTTTAGTACTTGTTTCAGAAGCATTATTCGATGTTCCTGAAAGTGGTGTGGATTCTGAATTATTTCTCGATATGGCCTTCGTTTTTTCACCCTGTAAATTAATAACATTTACATAATTACTCGATATAGTCTTCTATACAAATTCAATTGCGAACCTGCATATCAATTTGAGCTGCTAACTTTTTGGCTTCGGCATTTCCTGCTGCCTTTGATTCTGCAGTCTCTTCTTTCAAAATTGTAGTAACAACTCCACATTCAGAACATTTTAAATCTTTAGATCTAATTAATTCATTAATTAATTGTTTGATTAAAATATAAATTATTTAGAAAAAAGTACTTTTTTGCCAATTTTTTCCTCTGCTCCTTAGGATATTCTAATGATCCAATAGCTCCTCTTCCATGCGTTGGCATAAATCCAATAATAGCCAGTAAAGCAGTTCGAACTAAATGGAGAAAGAAAAACAGCACAAATGTTAATTTATCTAAAATGATAAGCAAAATAAAGTTAAAGTTAAAAAGATATTATATGGAGCATTAGATGTAGATTAGATGTATATACTTTATTTATTAATATTTACATGGTATATATACTATGTATTGTTTATGTTTACTAACGACTTACTTGACCAAGATGGTTGCCAAGTTTCAGGATGATAACCGGATATGCTTAGACAGATTTTTTTATGCACTTCGAATCGACCATTTGGCTGTAGATTACAAATTATAGTAATATATTTTATAATTGAAAAAAACAATATATATTTATAGATTTTTTTATCAATATACTTTTTTATAGAATGAATATAATTAAAAGGCTTACTGTGACAAAAAAAATACTTGGCGGTTTCATAGGATATTCTGTTGGTAAAATTATTCTTCCATGGTAAAGTCCACCCTCAAATTCTGAGTCAGCTGGACCCCGAATTGTAAAGTGCCACTCGAAAAGATTATCCTAATATATAAAGGAAGAACGTTAAAATATCGCCTATTATAATTTATAATAAAAAAAATAGCAATGTCGTAGAATTCACATTAACGGAAGAAAAGAGATGTTGCTTTATTGGTAAAATATATGGAACTCAACTAATTCAAGTCTATTTTTCTATCTAATTTTAGAATAAAACTAAGTATTTTTTTCTTCAATGTTCTAAATTAAATGCTAGCGTTTCGTTCTTTTAGATCGATCGTTTTTATGGCGAAAGACTATAGATTTTTTCAATTGTTTCAAAGAAGATAAACAAATTTTAAAATAGAACTGAAAATGACATACGTCTAACGGTTGAGCGTGATACTGATCGGTTGATTCGCTAAGCTCCTCCGCTTCTTTCATCAATCGTTTAACAGCTGTTGTAAAGAGAATTAAATTTTTTAAAAGGAATAGGCAACATTTTTATGTCATTTATGAAGAGTATTCATGTAAACATAAATATGAATTACGTTTCTTGTCAATTTAGAAACCTATTTTAAATAATCGTTTACAAAATTTGCCTACCTGGACTCCTTAAACTGTATTGTCCATTCATGGTGGGTTGTTGGTTTGCAAAAAGTATTTGTTCCTACGAAAACAGTATAAAATCTACAAGTAAATCAAGAATGGGAAACGGAAACATATGACGTGTAATAAGATTTAGACTGGTCCTATTTCACACAGAATATTCATTAGTATCCGATAGATGTCGCTAATAATAGGTTAAATACTTAAAAGTTTAAAAAGAAAAATAGCCACAAGAATACTACAGGAAATGATTAAAAATCTATAAAAATACGTAGTAGACAGATATAACAATATACAAAGAGAAAAATTATTGCAGTAGATAATAAAAAAATATGAAATATTTGCCGGAAATGCCAGAAAGCTTGGTGCATATAAATAGTAAAATATTTATATTTATTTAATATCAATTATTACAAAATTATCTAGTTTATAATTTGCAAATAGGTTCTTCGATAATATTGCATGGACCTATACAAATGTCAATATACAATGAAACATAGACAAAACCCCTATAAGAATGTATTACAAAACGTTTATTATTGATAAAGATTTGATACCCCCTTCGTATTCTTTCTGTACTTTCTTTTCTCTTGAACAAACAGGTCTAAACACCTACAGTATTGGTTTTTAACCATATGTATGTATATTACACAAAAGATCATTTTTTTAAACAATAGTTAGAATGTTTTAACAAATACAAAGGGCAAAGGAATCTTCAATACAAACTAGATTAAATACGATAAGAGTTTTCCATATAGAATATATGTATATATTATCTTTAATCTCAAAAATGGAAATAATATTTTTATCCTCTTTTATCAATCTTTTAAAATAAGAAATATTATCTATTCTATTAAATCTCTTTTGCATACAGAATATGTTTATAATGAAAATAGATTTTGAATGCAAAGTGCAATTTGACATTGTCATTCCTGAGTTGCTTGCTGATCAATCACCTAATAATGGATTAGTCGATATAAATCGATAAAAGTGTTTGTACTTTGTTTTTTCATTGGTGAACCACATTTCCTTTTTTAACCTAAAATCTCTGTTTACATCTCTGTTAAAGAAATATTTAATAAAAATAATTCGTGTTTCTCTTTTTATTGTCCTTTGTCGGGTATTGTTAATAAAAAGTATGAATTATTAAAAAAAAGTTTCCTTTTTTTTTAAAAAAAAAACAGAAATTACAATAAAAGCCTAATTAAAAAAAAAATTAGATTTAGTAATCAAACTTTTGTATTTTTTTTTATTTTCTTGAAAGATCGATTGTACAGAGCAAAATCTCTTGTTTGATGTAATTTCTAAAAGTTTCTTCTTTGATAGACAAACTATGTTTGCCAATACTGCAAAATGGAGAAATTATATATGTATATATAGATTCAGGACACTGAGACAGAGAGGGTTGAGAAAGAAAAAAGAAAAAAACAGAAAGATACATACAAACGGACAGACAGAAAGTGAGAAAAAAAGAAGACAGGAAAGGAGAACAAGAGTTTATTTAGTACTTTTATTGTTATTATTATACTTGAGTTCTTTTCTTTTCTTTTTTTTTTTGCAGTGATCTTACATTAATACTAGTAATAATACTGAATTACGAAGCAAATAATACTGAATGATTATGTGTAGGTTGGCAAAAAATCAAATCACCTACAAGCAGAGTGCAGAGAGAAAAATACTGGATAGGAAGAACTGATGGGAAATAGTTAATTCCCTAAATGACTCCGCCATTTTACTGGGTTAGTTGGTGGGATTCCCATATCTTTCTTTCTGTTGTCGGTACTTCTTGAAAAGAAATAGCCGCAAGTAGATTTAACTGCTCCAGTTATAAATGGTGCCATAGAATTCTTAAGAATTTTTCCATCTCCCGAACATTCTGGATCGACGTGCTGTTCCTTTTTAGGTTGTTGCCTGGGAGAGCAACTATACATTTCCACAGATGTTGAAATTCTCGGAGACGAGCTAATGTCTAGAATATGCCTTGAAAATCTATTGGGAATATTCAATTTTTCAAGACGTTTTTTCTCCAAAGCTTCATAAGTAATCTTTGAATCCGTAGCGTTCATATTCTGTCGTGTTGCTAAGGATAGAATTCAAAAGAGTTTTTAATTTTTTACTTTACCAAGTAATAGAAAACAATTCTATAAATTACAGTTTAATAGTATCTAAAAACTTAATTATCTTATCTTTACTAATTAAGTTAGTTTCAAAAAACTTACCCCAACTTACTTTTCTTACCTTAAAGCACAAATTAAATGAGCGATATTCAAATATACAACAAACCCCCCCTACAACAATATGTCAATGCGATTAACGACCATCGGTTCAATGGCATCTAGGCCTGGTTTTTAAATTCAATTATGAATTCATAAGTATAGGATTTCATTTCTTTTTAGCATATATAAACTATAGAACGAAATATGATAATCAAGAGTTGGCTTTTTTTCTCTTCAAATATATGTTGATATATATATCAACTCTATATAAAAGAATCTTTTCTATGTTTTCTTCCATTTTCCAGTAGAGTGAAAAAAAATCAATTATCAAGACAAATATAATCGTATATACTATTATTTTTCTTTAAAAAAAAAACTTATAATGTAAACCTTAATATTTTTATTAACATCCTTACATTGTTGACTTTATTCTATAAAAGTTAAATAGAACTTCCTCTAAAAGTTTGACTTCAATGTCACGGTTAATTTCCTTAAGTTGAAGTATTTGTCACGTATCGGGGTTTTGGATAAAAAAAGGAACTTTGGGAATTATATTATTCTATCAATCAGTAAATCTAAATTGAATTTGCTGTATAATCGATAATTGCATCAATAAATCGACAAGTTTCTATGTATATTTAACAATAATACCATAAATTTCTTTAAGTCATTTTATGATATAAAAACAACATGTTGATACGAGAGGAATATTCTCTTTTTATTGTTTTACAATACTTAATTATAAACATCGTAGGCAGATTCTCTATTGTTTTATTAATTGATCAATCTTACTCGTCTTATTAGCAGAGTTTAGAAATTAGAATAGTAACGATAGATGGCATTGGGTATTGGTTTAATATTTAACTAGAATTTTGGCGCTATAAACCCTTCTTTAAACTATCTATTGAGTTTTGGCCACCTAGTTGATTATTTTATAACATAATCTCACAGTCAAAGTTTCGTGAATATTATTGATGCTTTCTATTCAGTGAAAATATCTTTTATTGATTATATCAATTAAAGTAAACGTTTAACATGAATTAAATAGGCTCTGATCGGTGAACGTCTAATCGACAATTACTCATTGCATTTTTAAAACAAGTAATCTTTTCTTCTTTTTCATTCAATGTCCTTTCTTCATATAGCAGTCTTTTACGATCACTCTCTAATTTTCTTCTTTTCCTCTGCAAATCCTCAACTTGGTCTTGCAGAATACTGTCAACAAGCTCATTGATAGTACTGGTAGTAACTGATACTTTGGCACCGTCTGTTGCATACTCTGACTGTTTAACATAGTATTTAGGTAGATTAATTTTCGAATGAAAACTTCTTTTAGGTGATTGTTTTTTTGGCAGCAGACGAATTTCTCCTATAATCTCACCTTCATTAATGGTAATTTTGCGCCATTTAGAATTTACCATGAGAATCCCTATTTTACCATTGCTTATTTTAACTACTGAACTCAGAGCGTCTAAGCCTGGAGAACCTTGAATTTCATCCCTCGCGTCAAAAATAACCTCTTTCGTTCCAAGCGGTACGGGTGGACACGAAAAGAAGAAAATGCATCTTTCTTCTGGACCTAGACTGATAGATTTCTCTGTTAAAACATCAGTTAGCTTTGGAACGCTCTTTTTATTCATTAACGGAAGAACGAAACATTTACGATCCAAGAATAACCTTACAACTGATTGTCCAAAGTCGAATTGAGCCCCTAACTCGTCAAGAATATCCCATCCAAGTATAGCATCATCCTTGTCCATATCTTCAACAATAAACGTACAGTCTTTCTCTCCATTACCAAATTTCAATTTATAGGTAACTTTAGTAATTTTATTTTCAACTTCATCATTGCCTTTCGACAGTAAATGACAAGTTGAATTTAATGGAGGTATTAAACTAACTAATTTGGAGCTAATTTTTGATGTTTTATGGCCTGTTAGTAATATAACTTGAACAGGATAATTTTCAATTCTCATCGATACACAATCAAAAACTTCGTTGGATGTTTTCTTTGATACAGTACCCAACTGATCAGGTATATTAAAATTAATAATACCACAGCCATTTTCTAATGTTGATAAATCATCCTCAAGATCCCCCAAGCATTCTATATGCACTCCTTTATCCATAATAAAGATTTCTTGGAATGTTACTATTTGTCGTAAATCAAATTCTGATAAAAGAAATATTATTAGTATTTCAAGAATTTACACTACATGTCCTATTTTTTTAAGTTGTCTTAAAACAACATTCTCTCATGCAAAATCTCTTAAACTTTTCGCCTACAAACATACTAGAAATTCTTTATCTTAAAATAAGGGTTTTTTTTCTAATAAATAACATTTTGTTCGATATACTATCAATAACAACAAAATATCTCATGGTTATATTCGAGATAAGATTACACATGTTGTTCTTACAAGAACAAACATATTAATAATTAGTTCGTGTTGTTTAAGTTGTTGTTGACAATAAATAAAGAATTTGCTTACTTTTGCAAGCTAATAAAACTCGATATGTAAGTTTGAGTAACTAAACAATAGACACTCTATTCTCGTGCAATGTGTTTTTTCAAGGCGGGAAAAATGCCGGAAGAGTACGCAATACCCGTTTATTTTCAAACTTTGAATATATTTTCCCTAATTTCTAGGCGGGCGAACAGTCGAATCGGTTAAACGACTAGCCACGATAGTAGAACAACAATCAAAATGTCACTATGGGTAGATAAATATAGACCTCGAAGCTTAGGAAAATTAGATTACCATGAGGAACAAGCAAATATGCTGAAGAAGCTGGTAAGAATGAGCGATAATGCAATTTAATACCTTACTTAAATTCATCACAATTAACAAGGTGCAATCAGGAGACTTTCCCCATATGCTGGTTTATGGGCCCAATGGAGCAGGCAAGAGGACAAGAATTATGGCGGTATTACGAGAGCTCTATGGACATGGTGTCGAAAAATTGCGTCACGAGCACCAAACTTTTACTACACCATCAAAGAAAAAATTGGAAATTTCCACAATCGCAAGCAATTATCACATCGAAGTAAATCCCAGTGATGCGGGAATATACGATAGAGTTGTTATCCAAGATCTTATTAAAACCGTTGCCCAAACTAACCAACTGGAATCCTCATCTCAACGGGAGTTTAAAAGTAAAGCTTAATTTAAACGTATATTTACACTTCGTTTTTAACGTTACTATAAATCACTCAGTTGTTCTAATAATGGAGGCTGATCGCTTAACCAAGGATGCTCAGCATGCTTTAAGAAGAACTATGGAAAAGTATATGTCCACATGTAGAATAATTTTATGTGCAAATACGACAAGTAAAGTAATTGGAGCAATACGCAGTCGTTGTTTAGCGGTTAGGGTTTCATCCCCCACAATTGAGCAGGTTAGGCCTAACTACTTAATCTCTCAATTTCAAGGAGTTGCAAATAACCTTAATAATAAATACACAGATCATGATTATTCTCACGTTCGTTTGCAAGAAGGAAGGCTTAAGTCTACCAAATGAATTAGCAAAGAGAATAGCAGAGTATAGTCAAGGAAATTTAAGAAAAGCTTTACTAGCATGTGAGGCTTGTAGAGTTCAACAGTTCGTTTTTTTTTAACACTAAATAAATAGTATTGATGACATGTTACGCGCTTGAAACAAAAATAGATATCCCTTTTCCGACGATCAAGAAATACCAAAAGCTGACTGGGAAGTATATTTAAAGGAAACAAGTAGTTTGATTGTTGAAGAACAGAGTCCGAACAGGTTTTTACGCATGTTCATTGTACTATCTCCAATTTAATAATACATTCTATTATTAGACTTCTGCAAATTCGAGAAAGATTATACGAACTGTTGGTGCATTGTATTCCCCCAGAAATGATTATGAAAAAATTATTACAAGAATTAATGATGAACTGTGATGGAACGTTAAAAACGGGGGTTATACAAGCTGCTGCAAGATTTGAACATCGTATGCAAAAGGGACAGAAACCAATTTACCACTTGGAAGCTTTTGTCGCCTATTTTATGGCAATGTATAAGAAATTTTTAGAAGATGGTATGACGGCCGATTGGTAAATAAAATTAACGATGATTGTAGCGTAAATTGCATTTTAGCGCCATATGGCGATTTGTACTGTGTTGGTACATATATAAATAATACAAGAACGCTGTACATTTTTTTAAAACGCTTAATACTGTACATAGGCTAGCAGTTCTCCAAAGCAACTTGCTGCGATTCGGATAATTCGATTTCGTCGTTTAATTGCTGTTTATGAACGGATAGTAATATTCTTTCATGAATGCACTGTTCGAACTTTTCCACAGTATCCTCAGAGTAATGGGCACCTAGAACTTGTTTTACTCTCTGTAATCCTTTAGTTCTTAAATCTTCTGCTAAGATAGTAACCTCATCCATTTTCTCTGCTGCTGCATCGCGTCGTTTCTTTTCACCAGAATCCTCTATTGCTGCGGCTTCGGCTGCGGATAGCTTCTTCGACAACATTGTGGCGACATTTATTACTCTATCAACACTCTGAAGATGCGATTTAGCTCTAGTTGAACAGATCAGATTTTCTTCGAATTCTCTTATTAAGTTGTCAGTTGCGCTTTTGTTGAGTATAATAGCATCTTCGATATCTTTAATTTGACGTTCTAACGACGATATCTTCCTAACCACAACTTCGACGACATGGGAGCAAAGTGATTGTATGGACTCTGTAGAGTTAAGGAAAGACATGGCCGCTGGCGAGTTGATGGTTAATTTTCTTCGATCTTTGATGCTTTGTGATAGTTCTGGCGATACAATAGATGCTAGAACATCTCCTGCCAAAGATTTGGATATTTCTAAACTCTTTGAGAGAACATTTAATCCATCACGCTCGGCTCGTTTAATAACAGCGGCTATGTGCTGCTCACATTCAACTTCCTCCTTAGATCTCTGACGAAGTTTTAGATCTTTTTTAATGACCTTTGGATTCGAATCGGTTGTATCTTTTAAGTTAACTTCCGTTTCTCCGTTTTCTTTAGGCTTAGATTGCCATGGATGAACAATCTGTCTCGATTTCTCCTCTATATGTGGCATCTCTATCTCACTTCGTGAATTTCTTCTGTCGGGTAAAACTGGTTGAACGGATGACTTGAATGTAAAAGATCCAGCATTTTGTTTCCTCTGCGGAGGTTTTGATTCGTCCATAACAAGGTTTGAACTTTGACTGTTAATTAGAACAATGGTGAAACAATACTCAAACAATATAAAAAATTAACTAGGCTAATTACCTGTTTGCACAATGTTCCGGAGAATCAAACGATAATTTTCTCACTGTTAATTCGTTATCTTGTCGTGAAGGCGATGAAGGTAACTCATCCATGGGTGGTGGTAGAGGGGGTGGCTCTGACGTTTCCGGTGACGTATCAGTTACTGAACTATTAGGTGGAATTGTGGACGGTGTTGTTGTCGCTATGGATTCTGGAGAAGATTCCTTAGTGGCGGCCAAATTCATGCAATTTTGAAAATAATTCTCCTTTCTCAGGGGTTGGGGAGCAGAGCTATTTGATTGAGTAACTGTAGCTATGTTGGTAATTGAAGAAACATTAGTAGATTGAGGAATAGAAATAGAAGGATTATTATGTGCTTGAGCCGGTTTTTTCGAGGTAATTACACAATATTTTGCACTCCTTCTTAATTGGGCACTATAATCATGTAGACTGTCATCCTGTTCATCGTCTAGAAAGGTGTTTAATAGTTTCGAGTCCAACTCAGATATTTCAGGTCGAATATTCGTTGTAGATAGGCCAAATGGTTTTTCAATCAAATATGGTGCACGGGAAGCGGCCATCTGCTTAGGTATTTCATTTTGGATTTTCGAGGTCGATTTTTCGATGTAAGGATTTTCGTAATTCCTATAATTTCGAGGAGGAATGGGCGGAATTTTTTCTTCATCTGCGCTTGAATTAACTTGTTCGCTATTTTTTTGTAGAAGCATCGAGCTATCATGAATAATAAAAACGAGACGTTAGATAAACGATGATATTCGCTGTTAACAGTGTCGGTTATAATAAAAAAAAAGAAATAAAAAGCTTGCTCTTGAATATTAATCAATATAGTATTAAAAGTTCTTACTCGCCCGTAGCCTTGACGAACACGTTAATTGTACTCCTATATTTTGAACGCTTATCCATCAGTATTTCAGGCCTATCGGCCTTTTTCGATTCTCGGTACAAATCAAAAATAAACATACAAACAAATTACAGCCAGAGCGAGAAAAATCTGGTAGCGGCCTCATTCGCTTTGAAAGACTTGGAACAAGTTAGCCATCTAAACTACGCACAAGATTTTTACCTAAACCTATAGTCTTTTGTACTTTAAAAAAAAAAATCAACAGATAACGTTACATTCTTTAAACGTGATTCAATCTATCAATTTAAACATAAAAGCTAGCGATAAAATCGGCCGACTTCTATTTAATTAAACGAGTAAAGGATACTACGAGAGCGACATCTATCTCTTTAACGTAAGATAATTAGCCAAATTTAAATGTTGTTTGAATAACAAACCTGACTGCAGGATTCATGTTTAGACAAGATGGCGGTTGGGAAGGTTGCAGGTTACCCGGTACAGACTGTAAAATGTAACAAAATGAATGATTTCAGGATAAGGCATGTTCAAGCCATAAAGTTATTCACCTGTGAAGGCCTAATAGACTGTTCCTGCTCGTAATCTGCTTCCGGAACGTGGGGGGATATGGCGTTCGTTGAAGAAGAAGAAAATGACTTATCCAATGGAGAGGATGGTAGGTGAGTTTCTAAATAGGGAAGTTGTTTTCCATTATCCGAAGGTGTTGAATCTTCGAAATTTTTGGACGATCTAGAAGATCGTTTGGAAGAAGAAGACGAAAGACGTTTTTGCCGTGTTTCCACAGTTAGTGGATGTTGAACAACTGGATCAGACTTTGAAAATTCGTGATTATTTGATGACGATTTTCGAGCTGCACCAGGATCGCTTCTTTTATGATGTTTTGGCGCTCTGAGTCTCTGTTCTCCGTCTCTTTTCATTTTTTCTCTTTCCATAATCTCTTCATGATCTCTTCTGGCCGCTTCAAATCTCTGTTCTCTTGTCAATTTCGTTTCTGACGTAGATCTGGTTACAGTAGCCTTAACTTGCGAATCGGGTGCTCTGGCTTGATCGACACCCAATGAACGTCTGCTTGACGAGAGCGGTAATACTCGTCTTGTATCTATATCCTCTTGGGTTCCGTAAGCCCTTTTCATGCTTGCTCGCGCTACTGCCTTCCTATTCATATCCGTAATCGACTCGGCATTAATATAGTCTGTATAAATGTTCCTTGTCAACTGTCTTAACATGGCCGTTTGATTGGCTTGAGAATTTTCATGTATATTTCGAACATCAGAATGACGCAGACCTTCTCTGTTTTCTATTTTCTTTCTATTCTCCAACAATACCTCGTCTAATATACTGGAATCCACTTCAGAGTGGGTTTCCAATCTGGGGTGGAACTGCCTCTGATTTGGACCTACAGGCCAGGATTGTTGACGCTCGTGATTAGTATGATTCAGCGAGTGATTTCGAATTGGTACAGGAGGGGGTTCAAGATCCTCTAATCTCAAATCGGGACTAGATCTAGCTAAATCCTCCCTTTTCTTGGGCTGATCAAATTGAACTGGTCTATATGATCGTTGGCTATTCCATAAAGCCGAAGAGGATGTGTACGACTGATTAGCATAATGCTCCATTCGTCGTACGTCCATCATAGATTGCGTACCACTAAAATTTGTCTCAGCCAGCCTATACACGTCTCTTTGAGCCATTGGTTCAGAAGACATTTGGCTTTTTGTCATGTTTTCATGGGCTATACTAGATCTAGACCTATTGTTAGCTGTGGCAGAGGGGACTGAGACTGCAGCTTGTGGTTGCCAAGACATTGGCCTTGTACGGGATGGCTTCTGTTTGTGACTGCAAAAAATAATTAATCTCCTGTAATTTTATACTATAATCGATAAGGAATTAGATTTCAAACAACTAGTAAGCAAATAAATAAAAGAGTCTTCGAATCAAAAGAATATCCGATTATAATTGCTTTATTGATTCATGCCTGATCATTCCACTCCGACACGACATTGTTGGCATTCCTTTCTCGTATTATAATTGGTATTTTCAAATAAACTAGTGTTTATCATTTTCCCAACATATACTTTAAGCCATACATTCTGATCAATAGTTCCTATACGTTTATTATTTTACAATGTATACATCCTACATTCCGTTCAATAAACCGTTTGTATACGTAGATCCATATAATTAAATCGAGTTTTATGCGAAATTTGACTATTTTTGCATTTCGTTCAAAGGAACTTTTATAAATTATAATAATAAAGCGAATTAAATGCAAAATTCTTACCTAAAACTCTCAACTCGTCGTTGTACTTTGTTATAGTTCTTTGTCGGGGATATAGAAGAAAGAACCGAGTCATCTTTCGTGCATTTTCCCGTCTCCTCGTTTGAGCCGTTATCCGTTGGTGATGAATTACTTCTGTAAAAGTGACGATCGATGATTATATTTTGGCCGATTACTTAGAAAACAACGTTTTTTCGTTTTTACTGTGTACTGTATGTCTTTTACCTGGCACACGTGAGTCGGCGCTAGTTTCAATAGCAATTAACCAATCACCGACGACATTACATTCGAAAATACTATATAAAAGTATGCTATTGGTCAACAACAATGTCAGCCTAAGCGGCATCTGTCGGATTCAGCTGACGGTTATATAGAACCTATAGGCCTAAAGCAAGCCGGAACGGATCAATCGTTAGATCGGTTTTTACACGCGCACTAGTCCGTAGATCATTATCTCGATATTATGGATGTAAAAATTGTTAGGTATAACGGCTGGTTAGACTAGTCGACAGTTTTTAGCTTCCCCCCTTTTCTTTTTTTAATCGAAATAACAATAACCTGAAAGCAAATATACGCCCCAATCGGCAATAGCGAAGTAGTAAATTATGTAATAAAAGTACTTTGTGCATAAAACTATTCAATGCGATAGGACAAGATTAGACAGCTTAGAGAATAGCTTTCGCTTATGTACAGCTTTAAATAGTGTGAGTATCAAATTCCAAACTGTATTCTAAATAAACGAAGCGTTAAATGGTTTCAATTATATGTCGCTTCTCTCGTCTCTCACTCTAATTCGTCCTTTCATACTATCCTTCTATCGTAAAATATTTTGCCCCGCGTCATACCCTGAATACCCATAAAGTTTGTTGGTTTAACTGAGAAAAAAAACACACATAGACACACATACACACATAAAATCCCTACTCGTTAGACTTAGGAGATGAAATAAAAATGTTGAATAAACAGAACAGTTCAAAAGGTTTAGCGTGTTAATGCAATAACAAGGCAACCTTTGTAAAACGTCGTTGAAATTGCTTTCAGCTTTTAAGTGGACCGGTAATAATTTCCTTTTTATACAATATTTTTTTCAGTGACTCTCTATTAAATCAAATAAGCCGACGAATGTCTTTCTTTCTCTCTCTCTCTCTCTCTTTGTTTGTAGAAAAAAGAAAACTTGAACATTCAATTCATAACCGTCTAGCGTTAAGATAGTGTATTTTTTATAATATTTTCAACTAATATCAAATTGAAAAGTTTGTTTACTTGTACTATATAAAATCATCTCTGCGGGAGAGATTTGAATCCCTCTACCTCATCGGAATGATCGTAAACATACTATATATCTATTAAATATATATTTATTCGAATTATACGTATTATTCTTTTCTACTATGTAGAAGGAGAGAGAGCAAATATTGAATTAAATAAGTTTTAAATTTACCTTTCTTAAGAAATAAGAGAGAAACTTACACTGTAAAATAAACGCATGACACGTAGGTCTTATCTGGTCTCTCAAAGACCCCTAATGAATTTTCGTTGATAACACCAAGCATGGTTAAGAGTAGTCCATTGAGTCATAAGTTTTTAACGCTAATATGCTTGTTTTGCTTTCTGGATTTTTGTTTTCTTGTCCAGTAATAAATAGATACAATGTCTTTTTTTTGTTTTATAAAATAATTCAAATTTCTTGTGAGAAATCACATTTGTAACGGAAATTCTATCAATATTGGTGAGAAAATGAGAAAACACTGAATAGTAAGGCTAAATATGAGGAGTTGGATGAGGAGGAGGAGGCGGTGGTGGTAGTGATTGTGGAGGAGGAGGAGGAAGGAAGGAAGGAAGGAAGAGAGAGTTAAAAGTTTTGTAATATTCCTAAGAAAAAAAGTGAGTCATTCCTAGTCACTGACGCGATTGAATCTGGCGGGTAGTGGGGGAGTCACTCTCATTTTATATGCCAATGCGTGGGCAACCAATCACGAAAGTTTTAGGCCTAAATTTCCTAAAAAAAAGAAGGTATTTTGGAAGAATAACATAAAGGTGGACTGAGTGAGTGGATAAGGATAAAAAAAGTGGAGAAGAAAGAAGGAAAGAGAGAAAGGGAAAGAGACGAGAGACGGGTGAAAGGAGAAGAAAGGGAAATAAATGAAAGAAAAAGAAGAAGAGAGGGTGGGGGAATAGGGCAGAAGGTAGGCATTGAACAAGGGAGGGAAGGAAAGATTAAAATCTTGTTATAAGGTAACTGAATAGGAGAAAAAAGAGGGAAAAGAAAAGAAGAATAAAGTTTAAACGTAAGAAAAAAATGTTGTTGATTATATGGTATTTGTATATATTTGACAAATATCACATACGAAAGAGTATGGTATTTATTCTCCAACCGTTCCTCCTAGTTCGTAGCTCATAAAAAAGCTACTTTAAGAAAGGTAAAGTGTAAATAAATAACACGTAAAGAGAGAAGTAAAAAAAAGGAGGAAATTCATTGAAAAGAAGAAAAAAAAGTAAATGAAAAAAGGTTAAATAAATCCAGGGAGAAGCGGTAAATATCAAAAAGCCTCATCTTGTCAAATATCATCGATAAAAGGTATAAATTTTTCTACTCGAGATGTCTACAAGTTGACTGAGTGTTTACTTAAATAATAAAATAAATCGCTAACAAATTCCCTCTTTAATCCTTCGTAAACACATCAAACGGATTTTTCTATTGTGGATTTGAATTCTCTATAGAAATTCTTGGTCCATATATAAGAACAATATATATAGATATAAATAAATATTAAAGTGTTAATATTTCTTACAATTCTTATTTAGCATAAATTAAATACAATGAACCCTAAGGTGGTAAATGGTATAGTATTTGGTCATTGACCACATTTGGTCATAAACAAGTTCATAAAAAGTGGTTTATAAGTGACGGTAATTATATCAATTGGCCATTCAGCGTTTTGTTAGACATCTAAGTTATATTGCGCGATAGTTGAATAACTTTATTGAATTTAGAAAGGCGAAATAGTTTGATATCGAACGCTACAGTATCAAGGTCAATTGCCTTGCAAACACTCTCAACAAGATATGCTCTTCTAAATATATACATATTTCTATATAAATATATACAAATAACATCTGATAGTTGTCACATTTATACAATTCACTGTCTAATTGTTTAATAAGCGTTCTTGACCTATCCCTCAACTTTTTTGATTGACCTTATGACGTCAGATGGGCTATGACGTCACCTGGGCGCGCCTCGCTCAAGTAAATATTTGATATGGTAAAACACGAAAATTATTTAGCTTCCCTCAGGGGTACGACGCGATTAGAAAGTGAACGACCTAAAATATATCGAATTAAGCTATCGGGGATCTTTAAGTCGGGTGGTAATTAACTTTTCTTTCGTCTGTTTGAAGTTAAGTAGAAGGCGGACTAGGGCTTTATTCTCTGCTCAGTTAAAAAAATAAGGTTTAAAAGATTTAGATTTATAGGCTCAATGGCATTTTCTTTTTATCGGTCGACTTTATTTACATATTTCCGAAAAGACGAGGTTGGTAGGTTGTTGGAAAATCAATAAAGAAATAGAAAAAAGAAAACAGGCATATTTATACACTTTTTCTAACCGCTAAAATTGTCAACTCTATGTCTAGACTTACAAAATATTTACTATCTTCATTTATTTAATCCGGCCTTTATTCACCATGCAAATCACATAAAAACATATTTGACCTGTTGCCTTAATCTTTTCATCCTAATTAACTAGTTATGAAGTTCTTTTTTGTTATAAAGAATACAATAGAAAAACATGTTACAAGTATATATACTGTATATATAGATATAGGGTGCACATATTCACAAATTCATAAATGCAGTATTATACTGTATATATATATATATATATATATATATATACCTTGTATTTAGAGAGAAAGAGAGAGAGAGAGAGAGAGAGAGAGAGAGAGAAGACTTTATATATTAAAGTATAGACATTTTTGGCAATTCAATTTATATAATAAAGGAATAAATAATAAAGTGAACTATAGGAATGTAATTTAATAAAATATTCAAAGAGAAAATTGTTCCAAGCGAGCTATACCTTTATCATTTAAAATAGCCTTTTTTTTAATAATAAAGAAATTTTATGTCTTGTATTGTATATATCTTGTATATCTTTATTATATAACTATGCATATAAACAAGTGTAGATATACTATATATACTGTATATATAGTGATATATATATATATTTAGGATATATCTCAATTATTGCGAAAAACACTTTTTTAAAACTTATTTCAAAAGCCTTTGTTAGTGACGGAATGTTAAAAATGCTTATTAAGTAGGCCTATTATCTCTACTAAAGACGATACTTAGTGTCCCCATTCGGGCGATAGTCGATAGAGAATAGGTCAATAAGAGACAAATCTTTGCCTCTACAACCTTAGGAAAAAGAAGGGCACCTTTGATTGAAATGATAAGGGCGCATTTTTTCCCATATTGATTTTATTGACTATTTTTGGAAGTGTTCCTCTCCCTCCTTTCTTTTTTTAAGACCATCGAATAGTATTACAAAATAGACCGTTATCCTAAAATATTTATTGCACCCTACCCCGAAAAATAATAAGTTATTGTATTCATTCTATCACGTAAATCTAAATCGATTGACCTGAAATACAGATGGCGTTCTGTTCAATTCATGTTTTTTCTTCTTTTTTATTTTCCTATACCCTGTACCTATAGGCTTATAAGGAAAACGGAACGCAATTCTTGAATGAGGCGTTACCCTAACGACCAGCATTAGGATTTTTCCAATACGAACAACACTAACAAAGACGAATTCACAATGTTTACACAATTATGCACTCCATTTTCATTTGCAATTGATATAATGATACTATCTGTTTTTAGCCAGTTTATGTAAACATTACATTCTCAGGAGGAGAAGAAAACAATAAGACAGACAGATAGAATGGAGGAGGGATTGAGGAAATGGTACTTACTTCTTTTTCCTCTTGGACTTCTTGCTTTTCCGTCTAACGAACGAAAACATTGCTGACCAATTATTCCTAAACAACTAAAACAAATATATTTAATCTCAACATCGTTTTTCAAATTTTCTTATCATCCCCTGATCGAGAAAATAGATAAATATACATTTTGGCCGAACGATAACGAGCTTTAGGTAGGAAATAAAGCGAGACTGTTCAAGAAAAAATTGACGATAAAATTGAAACAGGTGCTGCTGCTTTTTTGCAGTATATTCGATGCTCAGGTGTGGCAGTGCGGTTGGGTTTTTTTTGCAGTGCGCAATCGCAGTTTCTCGTCTATAGGCGTAATACTCATGAGAAATCTTTTACCTTTAAATTTTTAATAACTGCATGTATAAAGAATAACAAGAAAATTTCTATAAGTAAAAGAATATTGTTGAATGGCTTGAAAATTATGTATTATATAGGCCACTGACGATGTTTTTAACCGTAAGAATAGAATAACCTACAAAACCCAACCATTTCTTAATATATACAGTATATGAGGTATATAATACTATTATTTAAACAAGAATTTTGACAGTATAGCCTCAAGTAGACTGAAATCTCTTTAAAATTGATTTAATTAAAAGTTTATGATTTCTGCACAAAAATTTTTGTAACGTATTTATTTTAGCGTATCGATTTCACCCCATGTACAGTCTGTTAACGTGTGCTTTTTGTACAACGTTCGAAAATGAAGGTATTGATTGATGCGCTTAAGTTGTTCTTTGCATATCTCAATCCCTTCGGAATATTTGAGTAGAAAAACGAGTGTAAACATTTAAGAACAAAAAGTTTCTTAAGCATTTGACATAGCTGGAGCTGGAGATCCAGCGTTATTTGTCGACGATCTGTTGAACATGGCGTTGCTTTCGTAACTGACGAGACCACCGTTTTGGTAATTGCCGCCTAAGCCGTACAAGTGATTGAGATATTTTTCTTCGTCTATCATGTTTTCGAAAAACATTTCTCTCATTTTAAAAAATACTTGTCCAGTGAGGAGGCTGTCCGATCCAGCCTGATGTTGTTGACCTATTCGCACTATTTCCAAGCCATCGGCTACTTCTTGTAAACCTCCTTTCAATTGTTTACAGCTTTTCATTAAATATTTTACATCGTAAATTTTTGGAAAATATATATGAAGATATTCGTGAAAATTCGCCTCTTGGTCTGGTAGGTTTCTTGTTGTTAATAGGTGAAGTAGATATGAAAAATCATAAGAACTATGTGCGGAAGACGTGAAAAAAAAAGAAATGTAAAAATTTGGCATATTCTATAAAGAAAGTCATATATACATGTATAGTAGTATATCATAATTAGTGAATTACCTGTGGAAACTAAGCCAATAAATGTTTTTCATTAAAATCAATCCAGATCCTATAAGCATTTCAGCAAAATCAAAAGGATCTATGCCATCCGTGCTATGTTTTTGAAATTGAATGCCTGAATTTTGGAGAAGTTCGATGGAATCTGGTGCGAACATGTCATCATTTAAATTGAACTGAAAATTAAACTGAAAGGTTGAAGTAGGTGATGGTGTTTGGCCATTTTCATCCATCAGGGTTAGACCAATCTAGAGGTTAACAGATATTTGTTTTATATATCAGTTGGATAAAGTTTTAAAAGTTCAACATACTTGGATAACTTTCAAAACGTCTACGTTACATTTCATACACTGATACTGAAAATCATTTGTACTCTTGAATTCACCAACAGGTCGACAACAAACACCAGGAAATTCGGTATCCTTGTTAAAAATAAGCAAGAATTAGGTTTCATAAAAAAAATTAACTTATCGTTTTAAGCTAACCATTGCTATATAATTATACTGATTGATTAGTTTTCGTATACTCTTGAAGGCGTCTTCCAAATCATTCCTCCAAACGTCTATGATTTTCTCATCGGCATGTTTCATCAAGAGACGTTGAGTTTGGGGACCACTTAATGAATGGCTGGCGACCGTGGGCATATGATGCATCATAGGTATACCACTATCACCCAGATTCGCCAATGGATTCATTTGCATCATTGGTTTATTGTTTGAAAAATTGGGGCTAGAAAGAAGTTAATTGAAATTCTTATGATTTACTTTTAAAAAATAATCGAACATACGTTTCAAAAAAACGTCCTTATTCTGAAATATATCCTCAGTAGTAAGTTACGTTCAGATTACAGGCTGAGTCGGTTCACTGATTGTGAATCTTACCAAAACCGTGGGTTTACTAACACGCCATATTACCGGAAGGTGGTTGGTAATATTTTACTTAAAGTAAACTGGTATTAAATTATATTGATTTGAACGGTCAACTTTCAAAATTGAATTTTTTTTAATTTAAAAGACTAAAACTTTTTTCTTTGTGAAAAAGACAATGTAAAATAGATTACTACTACTGTTATATAAGTCAGCTTTAATCTTTTGCGTAGAGTAGTGAAATTCTAAAAAAAATACGATAGGTGGCAGCAAATTATTTCCGGAAAACAAAGTGTTTCCGGTTTCGAATTTGGATTTTTGTTTTAACTGCTCTTAAATAAAATTATCAAATCGGAGAATGGAATGGTTGACAGGAAAGTCTAAATCTGACCAGCGTAATAAAAATACAACTCCGTTACAAGCTCAAAGGAATAGACAAATTGAACAATTAAAGAAAGTTAATCCAAAGTTTGTATGAGTAACATACACAAGATGATAACGTAATAGTTTTTTTATTATTTAGTGTTTATGAAGTTCAGCGGGGAGTGGACTATCGATTAAATTTAGTCGTTTCTGGAATAGATATTTTACTCTTTATGTAAGATTTTTAATAAAAATTCTAATACCTTCATGAGGATGTCATCTTATTTTAATTACAGTCATTTACCTCCCTACTTTCCTCAAGATAAACCATCAATTACAGTTAGTCCTAGTATTCAACATCCTTGGGTCAATGAAGATAATGTTATTTCGGGTTGTCCTGAATTGAATGATGTAAATTTTCCGATAGGGTTAAGATTATAACGAAATAATGAATTTTCTTTTCAGTTTGTAATACACTCTGATTTAGGGAAAATCATAAAAGACATATTAGACAATTTGAAGAGGAATGGCCGAGTACCTCTTCCGACACAGTGAGAATTGATTAATATATATATATATATATATATTTATAATTATCTATTCTAAAAGATTTAAGCTAAAGAATTGCTCTTTCTATAGATCAAACTACCCTAAAAATTCAACTCCTATGACCAGTGAAGTTAACAATTACTCTTACGCAAATGCAATGAGTACCACAACTTCTAGTGATATTATGCCTTATCCACAGTATTCAATGATACCTATAACTTCACAAACAGTTGTTTCGAGCTCCACAGTTAGTAAAAGAATTATTTAGCTATTTCTCTTTAATAAAAACTTTTATTTTCTCTATAATCTAGCGTCCTGCTCAAATATACAGTTCAAACGGATTATTCAATTCGCCTAATTATGTAAACGAATCGCAATCAAACGAGTATGATTAAAATTCCCTTTAAAATGTTCTATAAAAGATACTTTTCCAATTAGTGAGAATAAGTATAAAGATCTTGTAATCGACCAAGAAAAGTTGATCGAAATGGCAATGAGTACAAACACTGGTCAGAATATTATTCAACAGAAACAGAAACTCTTTGAAAGCAACAAACAATTAGCGGGTACGAAATTATGCAACAATATATTCCTATATTTATCATTAAATATAATTTCTTGTTTAATTGTTACAGAAACTAACTTAAATTTAAAAAGTGATTTAGAAAAATCGAGAGAAAAGCTGTTAGACGAAGTAAGCTTAATTTTTTAATAAAATGATAGAATATAATTCTTTTAATACATCCTTTCTTCTCAACAAGTATACAAAACTATCAAATATGCGTAGCGAATTTGATTACCTTTTGGAAAAACAAGATTCTTTACTACGTGCAGTTGATGCGTCAAATCTAAAATATAATCTTAAAGTTGCTACTGTTGAAGCGGAAGAAGCTAGTGACAAGCTAGCCGAAAAGTTTTTGGAAGGTAAAATTAGAGTTTTAATATCTTTTTTATTCTATATTTGATATTTTTTTTTAGGTAAGGTAAACCCAACGAAATTTATCGAGAACTATATTCAAGCCAGAACTGTATGTATAATAACAAAGAAATTATTACAAAATAACTTATCGTAAATTATCTTTACAGCTGTATCACGCGCGCCGCGTCAAAGAAGAATATCTACAAGGACTCTCTTCAGAGACATGAAAATTTATTTCAAAACCTTTTATAAATCTAATGCAATAAATTTTTCTTTTTATGAACGCTGAATATTTCATAATATTTAAAGGAGTCACCGTTGCCTATAAATATTTTTGTAATCGGATCTAGCAAATGATATTTGCTCGTCTTCGAGTCGAAGAATGGATAATGAGCAAATCATTAAGATCCTCACGAAAAAGATATATTGTCTGCATTGATTATACAACAATTTACACTTCGAAAATTGAGCTTCATTTATTTGAATATTCACTGTCATACTTAAATAAAACTTATTGAACCTGTTAAATTCGTACATATTGACTTTTGAAAGATTTTACCACCTTGCTCCAATTTTTTGTCACGTTCATAAAGACTTGTGAATTACTATGGAGCGATTGTCTATGATATTTTTTCTTCTTTGCATTTATTCAAAGCTCTTAACTATTAAATCAGTACCATGTTCAAGTGGTCAACCTGTAGGATATACCGTATTTAGTGGATCTTATCAAAACTCTGATCCAGGAACGGGAACGTTACTTATTGAAAACACTGCTAATACTTGGAAACCGACGGTATAATACGCTGTTCTTTAGAGATAATACATGTGTAATTTAAACGACTTTTATTAGTGTTGTGGAGTGATTACGGAATGGACGATAACATTTACTGATTCAGATGACGTAAATATGCAAGTATGGAGGCCTATTGACACAACCTTGCGAAAATACAAACTTATAGGATCGAAGACGTTGACTTTATTTAGTTTGTTAATCTCAAAAAGAGATTAGCTGTGTGTCTTAATACTGTTTTGTTTGTTTTTACCTAAAAATCAGATCCAAATACTCCGATGGACCATACCGAAACATTCACGATGAACGATGACAATGAGAAATTAATTATTCATGAAAATGATGTTGTAGGATGGTATTCAGTAGGAGGGCTGGCTGTTATTGCTTATGAAGACGATCCCTCTCTTGGGTCAGATTGGCTAACTTGGAGTATTCCGTCAAACGATCTAGGGAAAACTTTCGAATGGGAAATTCCGTCATTCCCTGATACGAGAGCTTACGGAATTGAATTTACAGTGGGGCAAGGTTATTTATTTGTATATTTATTCACCTTGTATGTTCTTTATTTATTCACTTTTATCTCATAAACTTTTAGGTACACCGCCTACTTTGTCAAATCTTCCAACTACAATCACAGTCGATGATAATATATTAGTTGGAAAAACCCTCTTTAAAGTTGATTTCTCCAGTGTCCACTCAAATCATAGCTTGACTTTAAACAGTAGTATAAACGATAATTTCCACGTTAGTTCAGATGGAACAATCAAACTTGCTAAAAGCTTGGCAGGAAAAGCCGGCACTGTCGAAAATATCACTATATCAGTTACGGACGGATGCGAAACCACTGAAGAATTATTAATCATAAATATAAACTTGGGAACAACAATCACTCCAGAGCTTCCAGCGAAAAGTAAATTCTTATTAGCCTTTCATCGAAAATTAAAGTATAAAAAGTATTTCTTTTTATCAGCGGTATGCTTTGCTGGCGACTCTCGAGGAACGGCTGACGTTACACTATATAGCGATGTTCCTAATATTCGAAATAGTTTGTAACAAATATTATTAATTGCATTTCTATAAAAATATATATAATACATTTTAGTGGTTGTTGCTAAAAGCAGCACTTTTACATCGAATTGTTGTGGTCATATATCTAGTTGGACAGTAAATCCTGCAGAAACTACTGATGCTCATTTCTATGTTTGGCGACCAGTTGAAGGTGACAAGTACCTCTTAGTTGGAGCCAACAACGTCTCACGTAAGATTTATAGTCTTTAGAAACTGTTACAATATTTATTCTTTTGATAGTTGATATAAATGCGGCTAGCGTTCTAGCAACGAGCGAGCAAATTTTTAGCATACCACCCGGAGAACGTATTCAAATACGACCCAAAGACGTTGTTGGATGGTAAGACATAACATTTAATAATGAATTAATACCTGTAAGAGTTCTTTCGTATGTAGGGTAGCCGATTCATTTGGTACAAATTCAGTATATGAATGCGATTTTTGTGGATTTGGGTCAGAAAATGGTGACTTTTTCGAAGTGGATCTAGCAACGGAGGGAGAAGCTATTTTAGGGCAAACTATGGATTTCACTAATTATTTGGCAGCCAGTCTCGGCTCAAACGACAAAGATTTCTCATTAAAATACGAAGTTGATCCAGGTGAACTTACACAATAGATCAATAAAGTAAATTTTAATATATTTTTATTCAAATAGGAAATGCGCCGTCATTCAGCAATTTGCCTGAAACTAAAGATATTCCAGTTGACTCAGCAATTGGGACTACTTTGCATACAATAACTTATTCAGATGCTGATCCTGTTGACACTCCTGTTTTGTCCTTGTATAGTACACTTCCGGCAAGCGATTTCTTTGAATTAGCAGGGAATGGTGGTAATATTTATAAATTGAAAAGAAATATTATATTAAGTTAAATGTTCTGTCACATTGCATTTAGATATTAAACTAACAAAAACAATTGAAAATTTAAGTGGAATTTATACATTACGTTTCCGGTTGACTGATGGATGTCACGATGTCTATGAAAATCTTACACTATCGCTAACACCCTTAACGACAACTGCAGAAACAACTACAGAAGATATAACAACTACAGTTGCGACTACATCTACCGAAGCACCAACGACAACAGCCAAACAGACTACTGAAAAAACTACAACGGAACAGACGACTAAAGAAACTACTACCGAAGCGCAAACGACTTCTCAAACGACAATTGAAGAAACAACTTCGAAGAAACTCGAGGAAACTACAACGCAAAACCTTAAAGTCACTACAACTAGTAGTGCGCAAGACACCACTACTCAAGATTCAAGCCAAACTGCTGGATCAACTTCTCAAACAGTAAATAGATTTTATTGATTTTATTTATTAAGTCTGATTATATCTGATTGTTTAGGCTAAGGGAACTGCATCAGGTATGTCTACATTTTTGACCGATTATACAACAAACTCAGCGGATTTATCTACCTCTCCTACTACTACATCGATAAATAACACAGAGACGAATGATAACACTTCAACACATATTACAAAAATTAATCCAACAACAGAGTCAACTACAATTCCTCCATCGATAAATAACACAGAGACGAATAATAGCACTTCAACACATACCACAAAAATTATTCCTATAACAGTGTCAACTGCAATTCCTTCATCGATAAATTACACAGAGACGAATGATAACACTTCGACACATATTACAAAAATTAATCCATCGACAGAGTCAACTACAATTCCTCAATCGATAAATTATACAAAAACAAATGATAGCATTTCAACACATATTTCAAAAATTAATCCAACAACAGAGCCAACTACTATTACCTCTAATGATAAATTGTTTCAAACATCTGATCAAACCAGTTCAGCTTTTAAAACAAATAGTAAAACTTATAGCAGTACGACAGGAAAACCATTAATTACTACACTAATCGGTAAAATACAAACCACACTTTCAACAAAGAAGATCAGGAGTACTACTTTTACCTCAGCTATACAAACAACAACTAAAAACAGGAAGACTACATCTAAAATCAGGAAAACAACAAAAAGTGTTCAACCAACAGAGAAAACTACAAGTATCTATACAATTTCCTAAAGCAATATAAAATCTATATAGTATTCAATTGATGAACTTAATTCTACAAACGAATATCACAGAGTTAACTAGCATTAGAATGTCCAGTTCAGGTATAAAAAGGGTTATTTGTATGCTATCTTTCCTTCTCCTCCTCCTCCTCCTCTTTTTTAAATATGACCACATTAAACAAGTCAACCGTTTCTTTTCTCGGTTTATTTACACAAGCGCTCCTTTTAAAAAGTCAAAATTAACTTTACTATTGCACAATGTCACCTATGCCACACATTATTAATCCTTTATTAACAAATTAACCAATTGTATTTAATATTTCTTTACTATCATTATTGTTTCTAATGAGATGTTCCTTTTCCAAAAAAAACCTATTTATATAGCTCCTAATGAGACTGCGAAGAATAATACAAATTCAAATGACTCTGACAAGGGAATATTAGAGACTACTGAAGGATTGGTAAAAATGTTTTGTAAAAATAAGCTTAGGACTCGAGTAACTAATAAATATTTTAAATTAGATATTAATTGGAGTTGTTGCTGGAATTTTAGTTGTTCTCTCTATTATCGGAATTGTTACAGCAGTTATGATGTGCAACATTTGGAAAATGAAAAAGGCTTTCTCAGTGTTTGTATACAAAAGTTTTTCATTATCAACGAACGAAAACTTTTATTAATTTAATTTCAGTCCTCGACAAGTCGAATCTATAGAAAGTTCGAATGAGGTTCAGAATAATTACAAGAAAACTGTCTCTGATAGGCCTGAAACAGCTTCATCCAACAATAGTCGATTATCGAGACAATGTAGCAATATTCATTTCAAGCTAATGTTATATAGATAAAAACAATTTTGTAAATTTTCAGCAAGAAGTCATACTCATAGTCCAAATCTCAATGAAATGACTCCTCCAAATACGCCATCTGTTTCCAGATCCAGTATTGTCTCTCCAAGGAATGTCAATCTAACTCCAAGAAGTAATTTGACTCCAAGAGATGCGAAATTCTGGTAACATAGATGAAAAAGTAATGAAAAGTATCACAAAAATAAAACTGCAGGAGAATGATGACATTCGACGACGAATCCATAAAAGAAAGAAGCTAATATATTTAACAAAATTAAAACATATTCCATTCTATCGATCTTTTATATATAGCTATCGGTTCACAAGTGTTGAACATTTCGGGTAAACGTGTTTACCCTAAATGTGTAACTCTTTTGCTTCAGATATCTGTGTTTTGTTTTTTCATTATTTCTTGAATTCTTTTCAAGCGAAATAAAAGTCTAAGTGCTCTTCTTCCTCTAAATGGTTATTTGCATGTTCATTAATTAGAGTCTTAGGTATACGATCCTGGCAGAAAATACACACTTCCGTTTCCTCTTCTCCTGCAATAGATCCGCATGTAAGGCAATGTTCCTGAAGTTCACTTAATGATTTCCAATTTTTTTTCTCACAAATAGGACAAGTTAGTCCATCTGATCTGATGGATGCAGAATGATCGAAACTGACATTTGAATTAATTGCTACATCATTAGATGCATTGTCTATATTTCTATCATAACGATGATCTCGAGAGTCTAATGATAGTCTAAAGTCCAATGATGGTAAATTACATTGATAATTGAAGTTACAATTCGTTTCCGAAATTGTGGAACAGCCATCGGTGCTATCTAAAAAGTCTCTTGAATATGTTTTTGCAGTATTTGAAAATTCTCTTCCATTATTTTTAACGGTATTAGACACTGATTTACTGTGAAACAAAAGTCTAGCTGTTTCTCTATTTTTCTGACTTAATTCCTTGATTTTTAATGAATATTGTCGAACAATGTTACGAAACACAGTTAATTCATTTTCTAATTTTGAAATCTGTTCCAATTGTTCTCTTATAATAAATCTGTCCTTTTTTACAACGCTCTCCATGTTCCTACCGACTGCTTTAAGGATATTGTTAAATACCAAATGAGTATTAGAATGATATCCATTATCACTTTCACTTTCTGCTTGTCTTACACTAACAAAGTCTTCAATATTTTCATTAGATGTCAATAGCACTTTTAGTTGATTAGGTAAGGCCTTAAACTGACTCTCAAACATTTCTATTCTTGATGTCAAGCTTATGATTTCCTCATCTTTTTTTTTCATCTGTATTTTCAATATCTCACATTCTCGTTCCTTTTTCTTAAGATCCGTCTCCTTATGTAAATTGTTCATTTGTATATTAGAGAATTTTCAGTCAATATTCCTTTTTTTTGGCTTCAACAAATATTCCAATCGTGTGTTGCCCTTAAAAATGTAAACTATTTTCATATTAAATATTTAAGATTATTTGTAACTTTTGTATCCTTCTGTTTTTGAATAAAAATAACATTGGATTTTTTACTTTTCTCTAAACTAAAATAATAATACGTTTTAGACAATATAACTTATTTTTTATTTTTGAGACTATAATGATAATACCTAGTTGAACAATGTTTTGTTAATTTGCTATGTACAGGACACTCATTTATCTAGCAGCGCCATTTTGTATTCAGTTTTTTTACGTCTGTTTTACTAACCTCTGTCTATTTCGTCGTTCCAAAGAACTATGACAATCGCTTGGATTTTTAATTCATTAAATTTAATTTAACAGTATAATACTCATAATTAATATTTTATGGGTATTATTTGTAATAAGTGTATTAAGTTGTGATTTTCAATTCAACTCACAAAGAAAATAGCAATTAGAACTTTTAAAAGTTTTTCAAGATGATATTGTACATTTTGTCAATGACTTACTAATTTACGAATTATAACAACATAATTTCGAACTAAATCTGTCAGTTGTCACATGCTTAATTTTAAACATTAGATATTTTATACAAAAAAAATTTTCAAACCTCAAGTCGAATTTCCCTCTCTCATAACTTATACAATATTTCAGTATTTTTTAAAATTAAAGTCTTGCTTTCGTTCAGTTTTTGGGGAATCTTAACAATTTACTAAAATTAACTGTAAAAACTGGTTAGCTAAAAGGTATATGCTTGAGCGATATTTGGAATTTTAAGGTCATGTTCATGCACTAAAATAGTTTATGAGAAGTTATTTAATCTTGCAGGAAGTAGAATGTCAACAACGCGACAACTTGTATTAAGCTGCTTTAAAAATCTTCATAGAGCGTGTGGGCAAGTATTCGGCAACGATTATAAAGCCTTAATTGAAGCAAGAAAAAAAGTAAATGAAGAGTTTAGGAAAAATTTACAATTGAATAATGAAGATGAAATAAAAGAAAAGATACAATTCGGTGATGATGCTTGTGAGTTTTTAAAAACAATGGTTATTCAAGCGGAGGGTGATGGAAAAAATAGCTTTAAATTAAATATAACAAAGGACACAACAATGTTAGAAAATGTAAGCTATGATCCAGAAGCAGTTGATAAAGCTTATGAAAACAAGAAAAAGCAAAGAAAAACTAAGAAGTGAATACAAAAATAGTGAATTTTAAATTTTGTTATAATCGAATACTAAATGAAATTATTTGTTGAAGTTTTAAATAAAGTCATTCATTTTTTATGCCTTAATATAATTCTTCTGAAGAAAAATTTTCAGGTCATAATAAAGAAAATCTCTGACAACCTCAGCCTTGTGTTGATTACCAAAATTGATATATTACAATATATTCAATTTAGTTTTAAAGTTCAGCACTGAAACAAGCCAAAATTCCTATGAGAATTGATCAATCATATTATAAAATTTTGTCAGCAAGTTTCGCCAATATTCAAACTTTTATGAGTTCTTTGAGGATCTATCATTAACCCTTGAAATACTTATAATTTGAACAAGAAAGTAGAGATAAGTAGATTTTCTTAATCAGCTGGCATTTGGAATTTACATTTGACAATGCCAGTTGTATTTATTTCTCAACAATCGGATTATTTATACAATTTTTGCTTTAGAAAGGTTAAAATAAATGGAAAAATATATTCTATTTTTGAAAGATTATGAATAAACAGATATGAAAACCAAATAAAAGCAACAATAGATGCTGAATGTAACAAACATAACTAAGTAATCAGAAAGAGTTTTTATATTACTAAAATGCTATATCCTTTAATAAATTTCATAATAAACCAAACAAAATCTTCTATAATGTTTATAAATTCTCCATTCATTAAATTTAAAAAATTAACTGTAATTTGAAGCCATTCAAGTTTTGAGTAATGGGACTCTAATACCTTTTTTTATTATTTTATTCAATATCTATAAATCTTTACACAGTAAAGCAATACCTTTGAACTATAGTAAAAAGTTTGACAAATTATTGTAAGTATACCCTTTATCATTTCAAAGTAGCTATTGATTGGCCAATTGACTTTTTTAATGGATTTTGGGTATTACGACATTCATTGCGGCCTATAGTAATACCCCATAATTAAGTTTTCTTCTGTGCAAAGGAAAATTTAGACCCGTCTAATTGCTTCTCCTTCTCTTATTACCTTCAAAACTCAAATTAAAAGTTCAGGTAACTTTAATACTATAACAACTAATTGAGGTTGTATAAGAGTTTTCATATTTAATACTTTTGAACGTATTTCGGTAAAAAATCGATTAATTCGTTAGTTGCTCGTGGCGACATCTACAATTTATGCATTAATCTTTCTAAGCTACCATTGGTAGCCGAATCGTCTGCTATTGTTAACAGTGATAATTGCAACAAAAAAGATTTCACTCTCTCATCAAAAACTCACTCAAAAGAAAATAAAGCATCAATAGGATACTTTTTCCGTAATAGATTTACTATTGTAACAGTAAATATTTAAACATTTTCAGCGATCTACTAGGCCTTTTCATTCGCTGAAGAATTTATGCGAATATGACATATAGCAAATATTATTACTCTATCAAATTTAGTTTTCTATATAACGGTTTACGAAACTGGCCTCAGTCTGAAACATTTTATTATTTAACACTTGCAATTATTAGTTTATCTTTTCGCAAAACTTGCTAGCTAGCTTCTCTCTTTTTTTGCTTACGATACTGGAGACTAATGGTTTATTATTTATTAACTAAGTAATAATAAGGTTCTAACAATTATATTCTCTTCCATTGAGATCTTCCGTAAAGACAGTTCCACCTCAATGAGCCTTTACAAATACCAACAGTTCTATAAAAAAGAGCCTGAACACCAAACACGAACTCGAAAGAGGCCATATATTTTCCCACCTTATTGCTGTGTATAAACTTTTGTCATAAAATTTATTTTCTCAGTTATAGACATGCCAGCGGTTCCAGGACAACCACATACTCCGACTTTACATCCTAGGACTAGGCCTGAGGCGAATGAATGGGCCCTAAAGATGAGACAAACGAATGATTGGTTTAGGCATGATGGACATAATGTAGAGGAGAGGAAACAATTGCCAAGGAAACTTCATACCGAAAAAGCTTACGAAATAGCGGATAAAGCTAGAGGTAATAGGAATTTTCGTTTCATAAACAAACAACTTATTTTCTAACAGCTCGACAAATATTTAATTTCATAAGGAAATATAATATTTGCATAAATATATTTTGAAAGATGTTTGCTAAACAGTAAAATATATTCACCTGAATCTTTCAATTAGGTCAACTACTTTCTTATTTAAGTCTAAAGTGATAAAACTATTGAATTCTATAAAGGGATTGAATAATGAACATAATAAAACTCTGTCATCACTAATTGTTGTTGAATATCATATTTTAAACAGGTGCTGCTGATGAGTGGTTCGCACACAATCCTAATAGGCCTGCTGTAAAACCGCAGAGGACCCGATGTCGAAGTGCAACGCCTAGAGAGGATGAAACTGGAAAGTGGTTTAAATTCAGTGATAACGAGAATTATCATACACCTAGAGCCAAGCATCGGCTAACTGAATCTCTAGGCTTTGAGGTTAAAGAAAAGTCAAAAGGCCAAAGTGATCAGTGGTACAGACATGAGCATCTTGACACGCCTGAGACATTCGTTAAACATAGGAGTCCTACAAAAGAGTGCAGGAAGAATCTTGATAAGATGAGGGCTAGTGCTGACTGGTATATTCACAATCCCTCTATAACTGAAGTACCTGATCAAAAACTTAGTGCCAGACTTGCAGACAGAGAAGGTTAGTTATTCTTTTCCTTGTAAATGTTAATAAAACGATGGTTAATTGCTATTGGCAGAACATTGACTTTTTCCTATAATTCAGCAAAAACCTACTTGGACAGAAATAAGCAAGGATCTGTATCTGAATGGTTCAGCCACGATCACGCTGACAACGGTAGTGACGCTCAATCAGCGCCTGTACCTTCTCCCAGACCAAATGTGAATTCGGTAAGAAGCTTTATTTTATCCAATATTAGGTATTAAATGATAATTTAATAAATTAGGATTCAAAAGAGTGGTTTAGTCATGAAAATTTTCCAAAATCTGAGCCAAAATCAAAAAGAGTACCTTGTGAAATCGACAAGTTATTGAATCAAAATAGAGAGAGCGATGAAATGTACGCTGAGTATGTATCAAGAGTAAAGCCCGAAGCTAGAGAGTGGGCCCAAAGGAGTGTGAAGGGTCTTATGGAAAGACTTTTGGTTCATGATCCTACAGCTTCTCCTGCGGAACCTAATGCCCCTAGAGCAGTAAAACCAGAAGCCAGAAAAACTTTCGAAGAAAACAAAGGACAAATGGCAAAAGTTTTGGATGGACATCCAGCACCTCCTCTGAAAAAGAGCAATGTTGGCCGATCAGTTAAGCCGGAAGCGGCTGAAACGGCAGGAAAGCACTCAGGAGGAGACATGAAGAAAGTTTTAGAGGACCAACCAGCAAGCCCTGGAAAATTCGTTGGAGCAGCAAGAGCAATCCCAGCAGAGGCTAAGGATTGGGCGGAAAGAAACAAAGGTACAGTTGGACAAGTACTAACGGGTAGTAACGATTTAGAGTTAGCTGGAAAACCTGCACCAAAATTGGGATCAAACAGCGGAAGGGAAATTGCGATGAAACACAGAGGAACGGCAGGACCAGTTATCTTCAGCCAGCCAGTTCCTGCTAAGTAATTAACAACAACGTTTTTAGAAATTCCTTAATTAAGTCTTAAACTGATCAGCCATTATTGTAAACATTTGATTAAATTTTTTCTTTTTGTAAGTAAAACGTTTTTAGCTCCGTTTGAACTTAACGATCCTAGCTTGTCTTTTTTTCTCTGGCAAACATTCCATGAAAACTCAAAAATTAAACTATTGTCTTTTTCTTTAGATGCTTGTTTTTAATAAAGTAAAATTATAACTTGACTATTCTTTTTTATCGCGGAGCGGCAAAATTAGCGCTACCTTGCGGGGTGGAACAAAACGCGTCGTCTGCTATAGATGTTTTGAGTTCAAAAGAACATTTATATTTTTCAGTGATAAAAAATGTCACAGGGTCCAATGGAGAAAAAGAATTTCCTCTGTGTAGGGCTAATTTGTGTTGACATTATGAATCATGTGGAAAAATTCCCAACAGAAGATTCTGATAATAGGTTTGTAATTCTTTTTGATAATTGAAAGAACTTTCTTTACCTTTAAGCTTACGTGTACAAACAAACAAATCTTATTATATAATATGTTAGGGCAAGTGATCAATATTGGCAAAGAGGAGGTAATGCTTCTAATAACTGCACTGTATTGTCATTGTTGGGCGAGAATGTGTCTATTTTTGGAACGATTGCGAACAGTAATGAATTAGGGTAGGATTATTGCCTTGTGTATCAGAAAATAAGTTCTGAACTTCTTATTTTAGATTTTTACAGGACGACTTCAAAAAATATAATATTTCATTTAATAACTGCCCAATTAAAGAGAACGTGACATGTCCCCTCTCTATTGCTATTGTCAATAAACAAAATGGATCAAGAACTATTATTCATCATAATCGGTTATTCAATTTCAAAGATTCTTTAGTAATTTTACAACAACGAGATTCAAAATTTCAAACAGAAATCTTCCTGAACTTACTTCCGATGAATTCTCGAAATTAGATTTAAAAAATTTTGATTGGATACATTTTGAAGTACTTACAACCGTTACTTTTTTCTGTCTACTCCTAAAGATAGATTTTTTGACAGGGTAGACCCAGTGTGGATGAAATCTCTGGAATGTTGCAAATAATAGACACTTTCAATGAAAAATATGATAAGAAAATAAGAACTTCAGTGGAATTGGAGAAAAAGCGAGAAACCTTGAAGCTTTTAGCTGACAGAGCTGATGTTATTTTTGTTAGTAAAGGACATGCAAGCATGCTTGGATACAATAAGAAAGAAGATGCTTTATTACACTATTTAAAGAAATGTCGGCCAAAGTTAGCTGAATATGAAAACGTAATATAAATAGTTTTAATATTTAAATTTCCGTTATAAAACAGAGCTACAGTAATTGTGCCTTGGGCCGAGGAAGGTGCAGTAGGACAAGTACAGGGACAAGATCAAATGTTCCACTCGCCATGTTTTTCTCCCGATAAAGTTATTGATACATTGGGAGCTGGAGACACTTTTGTTGCTTCTTGTATACAAGCTTTAAGCAGAGATTTACCCTTGGCACATGCTTTGAAAATAGCTTGTAAAGTTGCCGGCTTCAAGTGCGGTATTAAAGGTTATGATGGAATCAGTAAAAATCTAATTGTGTAACAATAAAAATCCTCAAAAGTAGAAAATATCTTATTGATTTCTTTAATTTATATTTGTTCAATGTTCAAAACCCCAAGGTCTTCTGAATATATAATTAAAGCACTAATTGTCTTTTCTAGAAAAGATAGTCACTTTGACTGAAATTAATATTATAAGTTAGATGATGAAAAGATTGCTAGATTGTAGCATAGTAGAAGTACAAGTACTTAAACAAAAAATAACTATTCATTTAATCAGTCCGTGATGTATCTTCATTCAATGACTTTGACTCCTGAATCAGTTTTTTGATCCCAACCATCCACTGATTTACCTGATGATAAGATTTATATAAATAAAGGTATTTATTCAAGATTTCAATACCAAAACTTACTTCAGAGACATGGTCCATCATTAAAGTTAAGTGTACGCTTTCTGCTATTTCATATTTATGGCAGCATAGAGCGGCTGTTAATTTTGCCATTAGATCTTTAACATCTACAGATAATCTATCACTTTTCCACATGGTTTGCATAGTAATTAATCGTTTCGAAACTTCATCCATCGATTTACCCTTCAAAAACAGAGAATACATTCAATAATCAATTATTGTTATGACCACTAATACCTTAGCTACACAATCATTAACAAAGCGTTGCAAAGTTGATGTTATGTAATTGTATTTCTGAACGTCATCCTCAAAGTCTGGAACAGTTACTTGAGATTTCGTGGCACATTCTGGAGGAGGAGAAGAAACAACAAGACCAGAATTTAGTAATGATGGTCCTTTTGTTTCTGTAGGGCTAAATGATGGTACAAGAACAGCTGCAGGGGAAACACTTGCTGGTAGAGCTGTTGTTGATGCTGGAGGATGCAAAACGACATTCATTTGTGGTTCTGTTGATTGAAGTTTAGTCACAGGATCAATGTCAGATACTTCTGCAGTAATTATTAAAAGTTTAGCTTGTTGAGCATTTTTCAACTATGCATATTTAGCTTACTAGTTATCCCCGGATATGCAACGCGTTTATTGAGCAAAGTTCTTTTTTGTGTGCTACTTGGTTGAACACCGTCATTAGTGTGGAGAAACATGGGAGGATCATTCCATCCCCTTTCATCGTTTCCTGATAATTTGTTTTATATTGCAATTAATAACGATCATAACGTGACTAGTGAGAAACGGCAAAGCATGCTGTTTTAGTTAGTGAACCAAGAACAATCATTCTATGGTTTATATATTTATATTCTCTTGGTTATTGAATATTTATATAGCATATATCCTACATTAAGGGATATCAAATCTGGAACAGTTAGTAAAATGGATAAAAAAGCTTAAATGCCAACTCACCAGGCCTTGTGGGCTGCGCCATGTTTGTTATTGTCACGTGACTTTTAAACTAAGGACACCTATCATACCGTACGTGGACAGACTTTGTCAATTTTTTGAATGCCTACATCAGTTAAATGGTTTATACATGTGTAGTAGTTATGTATGCACTACATGAAATTTAATAGTAAATATCAAGAAATAACTTATTATCATTCAGAGAACTTTTATTTAGTTATACGCAACGTAAACATTCCTCTTATAACAATCGTTTACTTCGCTTTCTTTCCAGTCTTGATCTTTCTCAAATAGAATTCTAATTCTTTGCCTTCGAGGATGTAACCATCACATCTGCCACTCTGTCCTGGTCTAGATGCGACACAAGCTGAAATAATAGAAATTATTAACATCCCACCTTAAAAAACTGGTGTGAAATATAATTTTTTGGTGAGGCTACATTTAATCAGAGTAACTATGACAGTATAATCACAAGATTTATGGTTAGAACCACCAAAACAGTGGCTCAGCCCAAATCATGCTAAGTTATGGTTCATCATTGTAAGGAAGTGATAAAATTAATTTCAAGTTTTCAACTTAAAACACTAACCAAGAATACGCCCAGTCAAAAATTGATCTTCCAAAGCTTTTTCAACTTCCTTATGCTTTTGACGTTCAAGATACTTCTTTTGGGTTTTCTTAGACTTCTTATTCAAGTCTGGGACTTCGTCTTTCTTGTCATCCTGAAATGAACATTCATTTGGTTAGAGGTCAGAGGATGGTACAAAATTAAATGAGTCAAGCACCGAAGAATCCTCAAAATACTCTCCCTCCATTTACATTAGCAGCTATTCAAGACAGAACATCTGCTCCAAGATGGAGGCTAAACCGATAAGACAAGATATTTACCTCTTTGTTAGATCCCTTCTTTGTGTTGGCTCTACGTCCGAGAGGCAAGCAATAGTGTTGCTCATACCAATGACGGAAAGGGGTAGCATCGATTTGAACGATGGCGTTCTTAACAAGCGTCTTCGTTCTAACCAATTCATTGTTCGAAGCGTTATACACAACGTCTAGGATTCTTGTTTTGTGTGTACAAGCTGGAATATAGGTTTATATAGAATTTTTTGAATAGGTTAATTGAAGCTAAAGCTTACCTTCAGATCCCCAGCTGTAATTGCCGTGATCTAATCTAAGAGCACGAACTTTAGTATTTCCTCCTCGCACTCTTATGGTTCGTACACGTTTTGCGTATAGCTGTTATAGAAAGTTGAATATGAGCGATGATATAACAAATATGTTAGACATGGCTAACCTTAGTATTCGCTGGTGGACGACCGAGTTCAAACTTCCTCTTCTTACGAAGTGGGCACATACGGCCACCAGTCTTCCTTCGCTTATGCCATTTATCTCTCGAAATACCTAAGATTAAAGTTATTTAAATAAGTGACCAGAGTAATGAAGCAGGCTTAAACAAAAGTCAATTTACGCCGAATTTTTTGTATTTATTAAAAATATCACAACGGCGAAGCACAGTAAACGTTATGATTATTATATAGAATGCTTCTAGATTAACGAGAAGTTTAAACTATCGATGATTTTGTTAGATTTTGAAAACATTTGCGGACTTACCCATCTTGCGTTCTTCTAAGCCGGAAAAGGAACCAGACACGTTCCGCAGATGAGTCGTTTACTGGTTCGTACTCCCTTAACTAATATTTTTCTGATAAAATTAAACTCTTAATTTTTTTCTCATTTTAAATTAGATTACAGTTTAATTAATTAATTTTTTTGAAATTAGATTAACAAAAAGGGAGTGAAAATTACTAGCTGTATACACTACACATTAACTTCCGGTCGTCATGCGTGTCGTTAGATGATCGGTGTTTTCACACAAGCAAATTAGTTTGACGCTAAGGTGTCCTCCAATGTAAAACAGAGAAGATCTTTCAGAGACCACTAGGACGGATGCTACTTAAACCTAAGTCTAAAATAATTCCGTTATGCAAAAAAATTGTTGGCAGTTCTGTGATCTCAAGCATCTTTTGTTCATTTGTGTCTGCTTCTTACTAATTTTTATTGTGGGAACTTCATCAGATGATACCGATACAGGTAACAAACTTTCTCATTTATCATATACCCTACCTAACTAATAAAGAAAATTTAAACATCTGTTCATTCAATCAATAAGATTTTTAGATTCGAGAAACAGATTGTCAATTAAATCCAGTTTTTTGAGACATTTCCTCGTTGATAAACTATTAGTAAATTAGATGAAGGGTCAATAAATTTACTTTTTTTCTTTACAACATTTGTTTAGAAGAGAGTATTCTCTTATTTTTTTTAAAGTCATCGTTATGTCAGTGACAGCAATTATCAACAGTTGTTACGCCAGAGACCAATTTGTAGGAAAATATTTACTCTACGACAGATATGAAGTCAGACCATTCACCAATAACTTTTAAAAAAGATAGCGGAGGCTAAGCATATGTCGAAATTGCTTTATAAGAGATATATATTCTTTTTATATGTATTGATCTTTGGCATTCCGTTGTAGAAAACTTAATTGAGACTTAGACATAGCGTGATAAAGATTTAGATTAGTCTTATTAAATTTTTTTTTTATTCAAGCAACATATAATGCTAAGAATATCCAAAATAGTCCAGTTTCACTAATATATTTACTGCGAAATAGGCAATAATCCATAAAAAAGGGATACTCCCTTGTAATCTTAAAAAATCCACGATGTTTTTTAATTTTATCTACAAGAATCGTTTTTCGTTCCCTCTCAATTAATTTCATTCATTTTGTTACAGCAGCGTGTATTGGTGGTGATAGAAAAAATTGCATACCAACCGACAAAGTTGGATATGATTCTATAAAAACACTCCATATGCAAATTGACGATGATAGGAATGGCAAAGTTGACTTTTCAGAAAGTGATGAGGTAATAGTAAAACACACACACATATATATATATATATATAGATAATTTTTTCCTGTTGATCTTATTTTAACTTATATTATTTATAATTATTATTTATTGTCATCTTTTTTACAATTTTCCTATTCGAATAAATGTTACAATTTTAATTTTACATAAGAAGGTATATATATTATATTTTCTCTTTACTATTCCTTGTAAAAAAAAAGCTCTATTCTTAACTCTATATATACTGTTTATTGTATATATATTTTATTTGTTTTATCCTTTTTTAGGTGTATTTATGTGTGAATGTTTGCATATATATACATGATATATATTTTTACTGTATATATGTATGTGTATTTTTTACAGTTTTTAAATGTAAAAATGGTATTTATCGTGACTATTGTATTCTCATTGATTTATTTTTTTTTTTTGCTGTTATATTTTTTATATTTTTGGTTATTTATTTTTATTTTAAATCAATTTTTCAATTTTTTTTTTTTACAAGTTGTAATATAGAATGAGTTTTGGTTATATTTTATATTACTAACTTACAGTTTATTCGGGACGAATTAAAATATGAAGATGGCTTCCATCGTCATAATAACTTTCACAATAACGATGCTCAGATTAGTGTTGAGGAATTATGGAAATCGTGGACAAGTAGCGACGGTAGGCCTTAATTTTATTTTTCTTTTTTTTTGTAAAATAATCTTTAAAAGTACCATTTTGAAGACATTGATTAAATTACAGTTTATAACTGGACTGTTGATGATGTGCTAGATTGGTTGGTAAATGATGTACAGCTAGGACAGTACTCTGAACAATTTCGAATAAACGCAGTGGATGGAAAAACGTTACCACGATTAGCTTCCACTTCAACTTATGTAACGAAAATCTTAGGAATAAAAAATGCTGTTCATAGCAAAAAATTAACTGTTAAAGCCATGGATGTTGTATTATTTGGATCTTCTAATAGTATGTATAGCATATTTTCATACTTCATGACGTTAATTGTAATAGATACATTTATATGAAAAAAAACTCATATTCGTGATAATTTATTATTCAGGGAGACACAATTACGTTAAGGATGCTATATTAGTAACTAGTTTATTGGTTGCAATTGGAGGCTGTTGGCTAGCTTACTTACAACACAAATATTCTCAAGTTAAAGTAAGAAAAGTGCTAGAAGAATTAAACTCCCTACAAGAAGCTGAAGATAAATATAAAGAAATGAAAGAAAAGTACATATTAATAACAACGATATTTATATATATATATATTTATACATAGAATTTAATAATTTATTGGGTAAAACGTATAATAGATAGGTACAATTGTACAATCGAAAGGTTAAAGTGTTGTAGTAATCTCTTACTTAGTCAAATACTGTGAGGTTTTTATCTTCTATTTAAAAAAAAATAACAGATTTTTGCACTTAGACCAAAGATCAATTATATGAAACCAAATATTTACAAAGTCATTTTTTGGGTGTTAAACAATTGACTATAAATATATATATTTCATTTCGCCCTTGTTTTTTATTTATTAGGTTAAAACAAGCTGAAGTTGAACAAACAAATGTTAAAGAAGAGAAGGAAAGCTTAGAAACAAAATTAAAAACAGAAGTGGAATCATATAAACGGGAGGCAAACAGACTACGAGAACAACGAGAAACAACACAAGAAGAAATTTGTCGTTTAAAATTGGCAGAGGAAGAGTTAGAACAGGTTAGGAACGCATTAAGGAATGCTGAAAGGGAAGTTGAAGAGTTATGCTCATCGCCGGTCTCTTATTCTGCTGAATTACAATATCTACTTCAACTTACATATGAAAATGAAATGCTCATATGTCAACAAAAAAGGGAAGCAGCAGAAAAAAGATTATATGAAGTGAAAGAGATGTTTGAGAAAATGACAAAGAAGAAGGGTGCTTTTAGTTCCTTGAAGATAGCACATTCTAATTATTTGGATAATACTAAGTTAAATATAGAAAGTGCTAAGAATTCAATAGACATTACGAATAGAGAAATGCAGGAATCTAGTTATAGATGGTTACAAATTGAAAAATTCTGTGGATTCTCTATAAGAAGAAACAAAGGAAGATTTTTTCTTCAAAACCATCTTTATACTAAACATGGATTTCCATATGGTAAATTATTATTTTTCCTGAAGTTATTCCAATTATATTTATATATAAGTATGTATATTTTTATTTACTTTATAAAACAGCTGACTCTAAAAATACTGGTAGTTCGCTAACCTTTTCTGACTCGCCAGAGGACGAGATACCTCCAACAGGTAGTATCATATCTTAAATATTTTATGTTCAATATTTATGTATATACGCAATATGTATATAATAGCAATGTGCTTTTATTTCGCATAAGGCATTTTATCACTTTTTTTTTATTTTAATACTTCTACACAAAATAAATAGTTTCTATGGCTTACACTTTCTCTATTTACTAATAAAATACTATCTCTTTTCTCGCTAACCGACAGAGCATCTCGTTTATCCGAAACTCATGCAAGCCGGTCTTCAGTTAACTGCTGTAGGATTAAATCATAATTATTGTAAAATTCATTCAGGTGTGTAAAAAATAAAAAAAAAATTGAACTAAAATGGAAAGATTTTGTCTGTCTGACTTTATTCTATCAAAATGTATCGGCAGTTTGTTACTGATAAAGGACAAAAAAAAGATAAAACTTGTTCAAATATTCACTCTTTATTATTTTATCTCTCTTTTTATTTTTAATAATTCTCTTTAACTAGTTCTATAACATTTTATCTCATGTTGATCAATCTTGCTTGTCTAACAGCATGCCAAAATGTGAAGCGCATTGCCAGTAGTAAAAACATGTGTACGTACTTAATCACTTTAATTTTTTTTTTTTGACATTAAAATCTCCCTAACGCTGCTTCTTTTATAGTACCGTTAGGTGAACAGCACATCCTTGTCAGATCGCATACTGTACCTCCTGGAGCACTTCTCGATAATAGTGATACAGAATCAATTCCAGAGTCGAAGAGTTTGGATAGCAATCAGGTGCTATTCGATCTCGGCTTTTCAGACGAGTAAGTAAATAGTTTACCTTTAGCCTTACCTACTCTCCTTTATAAGTTTACAAGTCTAAATCACTTATATTACTTTTTCTATTTATTATATGCTATTTCTCTTTTGTGTCTTAAGATCCCCGGACGATCCTCGCTTCAGGACGAGCTCGTTCAAATCGAATTCAGTAGCACATAAACCCACCAATTTCTCTAAAACAAATAAGAAATCTTCCGGAGATAGCCTACAGAAACGCGAGTCTAGCGACGTAGAATCAAACGGTTCGCTGGCGAACGATGAAAAAAACAAGAAAAAAAGTGGTCTAAAACTGTTTAAAATTGGCAAGCAAAAAGTTACTTGAACGGGGAATAAATATACAATTTTTTAAAACCTATAAACTTACGACTTAAAAAGTATTGATTATATTCAATTTGTTTTTGCTTTTTTTTTAAAATTTCTCTGGCTCACTGCATTTAACAAAAACAAACAAAAAATATATACCGAGATACAGTGTTATTTTATAGTATAGACAAATCAATATATTGTATCAATTAGTTTTTTTTCCTGTCACTTTTCTTTGCAATCTCTCTCTCAGCAGTTCTTATAATTTTTATTCAACCTATATATATATATATATGTATACAGTATCTACAAGAAATGTTTTAAACGTTTGAGGAAGAGAAAACAAAGATTTTTTAATCAATACCAATTACACAAATATTCAATTTTTCTTTTTAAAATATAATTCAAAATATATTCAAAATATTGTAATTTTAGTGAATTTATTCTTTTTCTCCTCGGAAATACAATACCATGTGTTTTTCTTTTTTTGTGTTTAAACAAATAAAGTTAAAATTAAAAGAAAATTTGTTGAAATCAGGTTAAAAGTTTAATTTATCGTATTTTATGAATTAGAGGAAAACACTTTTTGTGGGGTTTAGGATCTAGTTTCCGACCTGAAAAGCAGAATAGACTTCGTTTATTTGTTGAGTTACCCGAATAAAAGTTGTTCTTCTTGGCAATTCTTTCAGTTCGGTTGCCCCAACATATGTGCAGGTTGATCGTATACCGCCCAGAATGTCTTTTAGGGTTTCGATAACCGGTCCTCTATAGGCAATCTGAACAGTTTTACCTTCGGAAGCGCGATATTCAGCAACACCTCCCTGATGCTTTTTCATGGCTGTTGAACTAGCCATTCCATAAAAGAGTTTTAATTTCTGACCGTTTCGCTCAATTATCTCTCCACCGGACTCATCGTGACCAGCCAGCATACCCCCAATCATTACAAAATCAGCACCGGCACCGAAAGCCTTGGAAACGTCACCTATATTATTTGTCAAAAAAAGAGGCTACTTATAAAGACTGACAAGTGAAAGTAATTATCATTTCGTGCTAACCAGGGCAGGTGCAGCCGCCGTCCGATATTATGTGACCCCCAAGAAGATGGGCCGCATCGGCACACTAGTAGGAGATAATTGCTAATCAGTATTTTTGGAAAGTTAAGAAAAATAAAAGATTTTTACCTCTAATATGGCACTTAATTGGGGATACCCAACACCCGTCTTTTTTCTCGTTGTACAAACGGAGCCAGGACCAATTCCAACTTTAACAATATCTGCACCAGCAAGCAGTAATTCTTCAACCATTTCAGGAGTTACCACATTACCCGCCTATATAAAATAAGAAACACATTATTACAAACAAAATCTGCAACTAAATAAGGGTGAAATGTACAAATAGTTTATATCAGCAAAGAGTAGTTACACTAATGGCCTCCAAAATGAACCTAATTTTGTGTAAGTACATAGTTTTCTACTTTACAAATAGTCATTAAAAAGTTGAAAATGATTGCAGTAGCATCTTTCGTTATCCTTTTAACTTCAACTATAGTCTATGTAAGAAAGTTTTGGCTAAAAGAAAAGAAAATTGATACTACTGGAAAAATTGTTTTGATCACCGGTTGCGATAGTGGTTTTGGTCTTGCTAGCGCTCTCAGACTACATGATATAGGGTTAAGACTAATTGTTACTTGCTTAAATAACGATAGCGTCGGAGCAAAACAACTGAAGAAGCTATCAAACACGGACGTATACATTTTAAATTTACGTAATTGTACCGAAATTGAAAAATTCATTATTCAATTGAAGGATACTTTTAAAGGCGGAATTTGGGCTATAGTTAACAATGCCGGAATTGGAACTCCAGGAGAATTACTTTCTATGTCGGTCAAGCACGCTAAGAACATATTTCAAGTAAATTTTTTCGCACCTTTGAACATAATTGACGGCTTTGTACCAATGATAATTAAAGGAGGGTTCTTTGGAAAAAAATATAGACCTCTTTTTTACCCTAATATAACATGACACAATTAAAAAATAATAGTATAAAAATGTATTTATAGTAAGAAAATGCTGATATTTAAAAATAATTAGAATCCTCCTTTAAAAAGGGAAAGGAAGAATAGTTAATGTTTGTAGTCTGGCTGGTAGAGTTCCCGCTGAAGGATTCGGTATTTATTCATCATCAAAGCACGCGTTGGCTGCCTATTCAGATGTACTTAGCTCAGAGTTAGAGAATTTTGGTGTACGCGTAATAACTATAGAGCCTACAGCTTTTAAAACGCAAAACTTACAGAGGTCATCGTTTCGTAACGCAGCTATTCAACTGTGGAATGATTTAGAAGACGAAAAGCGAAGCTTATACAATGAACAGGATTTTTTTAAAAGATTCGAAAATATGGCAACTAATATGGATAAAGTTTCGGAGATCAATTTAAATCCTGTAATAGAGGCTATTGAAAATGCCGTAACATCGCTTAATCCCAAAATAAGATATCCGGTCGGTAAAGGGGCCAGAATTTTTAACATTGTTTATAGCTCTTTACCAGTTAACTTGCAATTTAAATTGCGAAAATTTACGTCGACGACAAGAAATTAAAATCATTTTGACGTTTTGCTGACTCAACAATATCCTGAATTTCGTATTGATAAAATTTGAAACCTATGAGATATCTCACTATAAAGTATAGTTAGGACCTTGAGAGTGAATAAACCTATTTATAATCTTCTCATATTTTTTTAACATATTTTCTATTATTAGTAACAAAGTATAAGTTAATAATAAGGATTAAAAATAAGCATATTTACCATAATCACATGATTTTTGTAGTTCTTTCGGACTTCTTTAACAAAATTAACAAAGTGTTCAGAATATCCATTAGCCACATCAACACAAATATATTGTAATGGCAGTTTTTCTAAGATTTCCTTTAGTTTTTCTAAATCACCAGTTGCCATACCAACAGAAACAGCAACATATTCCAAGATTGATGGATTTTCCTTGGCAAATAATACCCATTCATCAACAGAATAGTGTTTATGGATACATGTAAAAACTTTTTGCTGTATAAAGAATAAATAATTGACTTTAAACAAAGGGAAACGTAAAGATTCTTAAGAAAGAACATTTTTTATACCATCACAGAAACATATTTTAATGTTAAAAAAGCAAAATGTTTTAGAATAACAAGGAAGAGAATTCTAAGATTCTATTCTAAAATAAAAAATAAACTTACTTAATATTTTTTATATACAGAATAAATAATTATTAATTATTAATAGTAAAAAGGCTATCTAACTTATTGTTATAGATAATATAATAAATAAAAACTTACTGTATATTTATTATAATCATAATTTTTATCTTAAAGTTTGTTCTTTTTTGTTTTTTAAATAATTTACTGTTTTTGTTTTTTCATCCATTCTAAAATATTCATATAAAATAAAAGATAATATTATTTAAATGCTTTATTGCCTAAGAAAGATCAATTAAAAACATTATATATATATATATATATACTTCTCTAACCGTTCTATCAGACTTATAGAACATCGAATTATATATATATAGAATATTTCTGTATTATAGAATGTTTATAGGCCTATACGAACCTTGCCAAACACTATTGCCATTTCAAAGGTTCCAGTTGTATCCATATTTGCAGCGAGAATAGGAACACCTTTATATGTCCTTTTACTATTTCTGAATGTATACTCGCGTTCAAGATCTACCTGTTAGTTTTTTTTAAAGAAGTTTATTAATGAGCGATAATGTACAGTGGAAAAGTCAAAAGTCTACAACCTCAGATCGGCTTCTTACGGTGCTTTTTTTTGGTTTAAATAGCACATCTTTAAAGTCCAGTTTAATATCGTTTTCTATCTTAGGCATCTTTAACTGTAAATATGTAAATCTGGAATTGATGGCGACCTTGAAACCACGTTTATAAGATCTGGGATATCCAAGATTGTTAAGCAGTGTCTCGAAAAGGCGCATTAATTATAAATTACAGAAGGAGATTAATACTTTTATTAACTTTCACTTGAATATGTATATAAATACTGATTTATATGAACTTGGAATATATTCTAATGAAATTTCCTAATAGTGTGTATTACATTTTTTATTAATATATAACCAAAACGTGTATTCGTCTGTAGAAGTTGGTAAATCTGTTTCTCCGCTTCTTCTTTCGGGACACCATATGTATAGGCTAGGCTTAGTACGATTATTTTCCGTATTACCAGTCCTGAATATCTAAAAGGATTTGTTTAGGGGAATGATCAGAAGAATAAAAATAAGAGTACGAAAAGGTTAACCTTATGCCAAAGCCTTTTAATAATTATTTGTCTACAATCGCAAAAGATCAATCCCCTCATATAGATTTTTGAGGGTGACCTATAAATTAGCTTTAATCTATCCGCCCTACTCTTCGGAGTGAACAAAACAGATATATTATTGAAATTAACTAGTCTTTTAATAACGCATGGTTTGCCATTCGAATTGGTGATACCAAGCGTACTTGCCACGACATAAGATTTTTCAGTTCTTCCTGCCAAGCGGGCTTTTACAGTTACATCTCGAATTCTCCTCCTATAGAAACCTTTTCCACTTGGACAATGGCTATAATCGAAAAGCTTTATCCAGTATATAGCAGAACCACGTTTTAAAGTTGTTAAATACAACATTCCAGGATCGCTTATCATGAAAGTCATATCTAATTGCTGTTGTCAAATAAAATAACAAAGTTATTAAAGTATCATAAAAATGTTGTAGTTTGTTCAGAAAACGAGAGACGCTAATTATTGTTTGAATAGAAACGATCGTAATCCCGTTTTATGATACAAACGAAATCTAAAAACGCCCCTGGATAGATCGCCTGATATTGCATGGTAGAAGGGTATTATTAAGGAAAAGGTGTTCAGGTGGCCGACTTTCTATAATTATTCTTCTGTCAAAGCAAGACCATATAAGAACCTTGGTTTTCTGATCGAATAAATGAAAGTTTAAGCCGGGTAGAGATCTATCAAAGAAGCTATAAGATTGAGTAAGAGTGCACGTTATCAATGTCATCCTTTGTCTTGTATCAACCTTATTAAGTAGATAAGAGAATGTTGAGCACGTTTTAGGTTGATGTAAAGTTGTTTTATTGCAAATATAGACTAAAACAATCGCTTTTTCGCCGATAGTTTTATTGCAGTTGCAAGCCTCGTACATCTATACAAATGTTCAGTATTCATTAGTTAATTATAGCTATTTACTGATAAGGTATAAAATCATTTGATATCACTGGTAAAAGACTCTGAGAAAGAACTATAGTAGGTAGTATCAACATCAAAACAATAATAGAAAATGAACCGGTGTACGTCATATTCAGTAATTTTTATCAATAACTTTTCCATTCACAAATATTCTTTTATTTTTAAAATAATAAATAAATTTAATATTTGATAAACAAAATTATAACCAATTTAGGCCTAATATAATATCATGTATATTTATATATTTTTATATGTAAATATATAGGCCTTTGTGACATCTTAAACGGAATGTTAAAAGGCGTTAGATTATATAACATTTCCCCTTCTTTCTCCTTTCTACTTCTCCCTTTCTATTGAAGAAAATAAGCCAAATTTTCTCTATTAACTGTCTTTGAACTTAAGTTAATTACCTTAAACGGCGGATAATAGTCATTTTTACCGTAACTGCCTCTGTTTTTATTTAAAACAATACGTTTGAGTTGTTTACTCTCTATTTAATACCGAAATCTGATTTAAAAAGGGAGAATTCCCGATTGCTCATAAGGATTGCTCTACTTTATAATTTATATTTAGATAATTTATCCTATTTCTCTTTTTTTTCTCCTTTCGTTTCTCTAATAAAAGACCGGACAGGGCACTTTCCAAAGAATTCAAGAATCTACTAATGACCTCCATTGGGACGGAATTGTATGCCTTTTATGGCTCCCGTACAAAATACGCCGTTTAGATTGTGTGTGGCGCTAATTGGCCCTGTCTCTTGATCACTAGTCAAAATCAACATGATCAATATATAACGTCAATATTATATAAGTTATTTTTTCTTGTATAGTTTATGTTTTTCTTGTAATTATTACGTTATATAATTGTTTACATTTGCTAGAAATGGTTCCTAAAATAATAAAATACCAAAAAATGATCAAAGGATAAGAATTGAGTGTTTTTTTTCCCTTTTATATAAATAATATATTCCTCTTAAGAAAATCATTTCCCTTATTTTTACTAGTTACTTCTTTTTTAAATTAATAATATACACTGAAAATATATCGCTTAAAATACAGTCAATAGAGCAAAAATTCCGTAGACGAGAGCGCATGGATAGGCAACGAGTAGTTGTTGAGCGCTCATTCCAAAAGCGTTGACAAACAGTTTTGAGGCTGAGAAGCTACACCAAAAAATTGAGAGTAATGTCATACCGCCTCCGAAAAATCCCCTGTTACGGCATAAGAATAGAGATAATTAGGTCACGAATGGATAAAAAAACGGAAGTATTAAATATGATGAATAGGCTTACTTTAGAGATATCATGACGCTGACACAAGACTGCAGAACCATTGGCAATAAACAGTAGCCTAAAATTGATACGACGCATCCAAAATGTACTTTATTTGTACTCATTACACCTAAAAGCGAATACATAGCCATACAACCCAATACCCCAAGACCGTAGATATAACCAAAATGTACTTTTCCCGCCTGGAAGAAAAAAGTGCTTTGTAAATAAATAAATTACGCAATAAGGAAAAGTAAGGAAAAGTAGTGAAAAGATATACCAGTAGCAAACATCCGCCAAAAGCTAAACAAAACACCAAAGGTCCAGCTAAATCTGTATCTTGTAAAATAGCCGAATCCGGTGTTTTAAATGGATTCAATACAGTGAATGTCTGTTTATAATCACTAAGATTAGAATCTTCATAGTTCAATTAAAATAATCTTACTTTTTGTCTTATATGTTCGAAATTAACTCCCAATTCTATAAATAGAATAAAAGTGTATGAATATATATATATAGATTGTTTATAGTGTTTATACACTGAAGAGAATAAAGGGAAAAAAATATTTGAGTTCTTTAAAGACCTTCCAATAAAGGTGGTTCATTTTCGTAATCCTCTTCATCTACATCATTCGAGCCGCTGGCATATGGCCTAGACGTGCTTGTGTCTATTCAAACAGTTAATAGTGTTTAAAACAGTCCCATCTGTCGTAAAATAGAATAGAGTAAAATATTTCACCTGGAGTATAGATATTCCCAGTGTAAGGCTGTGGTGCATTGAATGTCTGTAATGACAAGATAAAAGGGCAGTTTTGAATACATTATTCCCTAATCGCTAGACCCAAATAAGCAAAATTTCAAACCTGTTGGGATTGGAAATCGGCCTGTTGATTGTAATCAAATTGTTGGAATTGTCTGTAACAAAGCGGAATAAACCGTTAGTAAAACATGAAAACGCTCTATTTTACTCAATTAACTAATTAAATCATCGTACGACTTTAATCTCAACCGCCTTTTGTCTTTGAAGTGACCTATTCGATTCGAGTGCTCTCGCTAATCAATGCGTCTGCAATTCGATATAAACAACCACCTGTTCGATTGCTAATTACGATAGGAAATGGAAAAGGGAATATTGGCGTAGTAAACTTGTCATTTTAATTAGCACGCTCCAATTTTTCCATAGAAGGAAGGTGGAAGAAAAAAAAATAAATAAAAAGGAGTGCATAAAAGGAAAACAAGAGTCGATTTTCGCCTAAAGCAACAATTATACGGATGTATTGAAATCGCCACGCAGCTACGAATTGTAACGCGTCACTGCTAAACAACTTTCGTTTCGCATTTATCTGCTTCAGGCTAAGTGTCATACACTTCCTAACTCCGGCGAGCCTTAAACAGACTAGGAAGTTACGTAATATTATACATAACGACCATTCGAGAAAGAACAAGTGGAAAAGAAGCCCCTCCTACCCAAAACCACGTGACCTCGCTGCACGTGACTAGACGCGAGATCCAACTGAACAACTCATTCGGGAAACAGCAAGTTTCGACACACTTCCGACTGGTAAGTTGAATAGTTTTAATTAGATTGGACTATAGAACGACGTTCAAGTTTTACAACATGACGGGTTTGAACTGATGTGTCAGTCATAGAAATGACAAACGTGACATTTATAAGTAGCAAGTTTCAAATTCGGTGAAATCAGTACAAATATTTCACTACTCGTCGAACGTCATCGTTGATTTATTCGGTTTACTTAGAAAACGAAAATTCTTAAGATAATGTCTTGCACAGATAAAAGAAATTTTCGTTGGCTGAACATTCTCTGCTATTCAGAAAAGCATCGTTCTATAACAACAGCATCTACTTATAGTAGCGATCTCTCTGGAAATTTTAACTTTTGGGTAAGTTGAATAATTCATAATCTACAGTAAATAGAAGTATTTAACTCTATTCGTAAATATTTGAGGAAATACTCTCTAACCATATGCTAAGGATTAAGAACGATATTCATTTAAGCGGTTTCGGAAGGACCAATAAATGACGTAACGATATTTAAGAATTCTTTCTTAACTTACGCAACATCATTCAAAATAGTATTAAACCGATTAAAAGAATTATAAAAAAGCTAAATTCTGTAGCTCAGTAGGAAGCTTTACAGAGAATGTCACGTTTTCTATCCACCTATTAATTGCTCTTTCTTCTCTTTAACAGGAAATCACGTTCTCTTCTTCGCAACTTTCACAACAAAATTCTAGTTATACCATGGACCGTTGGACACCCAAGACTAGCCCCAGGTACTCCCACAACTATTCTCTCCCACCGGTTAACGATAAGTCCACCAGCCTCTGGGAATCTACGGATGATTTGTTCATCGATATGACTCCCTCTGATAAAAACTCTTCTTCAAGTGATGGTGTTACCCTTCCGGGCTATTCGGATTCCTCTGAAAATTCTTCATTCTATATGCATACCAGCTCAGTGAGTGATGATGCACCCTCCGAGTTGGATAAAGCAATTTGTTTTGATAAATCGGAATTAGATTTTACTGTAAGTGATTGTGAGCCCGCAACCCCTGAAAAAAGATCTTTTCTTCAAATTTCGGATTTTTCACCAATTTCTAGTAGTAGTGATAGTGAATTTAAGACAACATATGCAGGAAGTACTCCTTATACAAGCAGACCTAATGCTATTGGTCGAGAGGAAGTTTACTATGAAGAGACAATGTACAGGAAAACTCTAAATTCTCAAGTACCCTGCTTGGATTGTAGCAGACACTACATCAAGTCACCTAAAAGACTGAACTTTTCCAATCGAAAATCATCCAAACGGTATAATGATGAAAATGAAGGTCAATCGAAATATTCTAGTAAGATATCAAGACCTCTTCAACGTCAGCCTCTTCAACAAATTCAAAATGCCCCCTTCGTCTACGACAGCCAATGTCATTTCAGCTGTAGTAATGACAGCCACGTTTGTGAGTGTGGCTTGAATTGCGGTAGAGATTCTATTGAAAATCGTCTAAGAAAAACAGCTCTATACCTAAACCACAGAGCAAAAGAGGAGCCAAGCGATAATTTTCAATTTATGGGACATATTTAAAATGAACTTGTAAAAAATTTCTTCGAAGAGGCCATTAAATCTTACTTACGGATTCTGTGGAAACTGCTCATTCCCTTTGTTTTCATAGTAGTATCCAAACTCAGACATGTTTGTCACTTGTTCCACGTCTTCTGAGCGAAAAAGAGTGATTTGTACAAATTTTCCTAAAATCAGTATTAATTGTAAATAAAATTTTAATCTTATTAAATATATGAGTTATTTATTTAAAATATTAATCAAAATTACTTTGGTTTATTACCAATTTAAAGTGACAAACTAAAAAATCTAGGTATAAACTTTTTGATGACAACCGGTAGATGGCGCGTTCCACATAGAGAGAATTTCGTCAAAAAAACTTAAAACACCAAATAATTTTTTTAGACGCAAAGCTTATTTAATATTTTTCTTTAAAATTAGAATGTCTCTTTGATTAAATTTTTCTTTATATTTTTTAATTAACGTTTCGGAAAATGGTGAAATCAACTTCCTTTTCCGGTCGAGCCGCTGAAGGTATGCAACGTTTTATTAAAAATCTTTTAAAATCCTTATAAAAAGAACGAATTAAGTTAATCAAACGACAAATTCTTATGTAAAATTGCAATCCTTTGTCAACTGTTGCCTTATTGGAATTATTACATTTGCAATTATGATGAATTATTTGTTTATCTATCAGAATGAAAACGATCAAGTCCAATCAGACGGTGAAAGCACCAGAGGGTGTAGAATTACGCGTAAAATCTCGCAGGGTTACTGTTAAAGGACCTAGAGGAACCCTTCACAGAGAATTCAAACATTTAGCTGTGGATATACGCCAAATTAGCAAGCGAGAAATAATTGTTGAAAAATGGTTTGGAATCAGAAAGGAGTTGGCCGCCGTCAGAACTGTCTGCTCTCATGTCGAAAATATGATTAAAGGCGTAACTATGGTATGTTCTCTTTGTCTCCAAGTGCCGCAAATATTTATATAGTTTTTCACATAGGGATACAAATACAAGATGAGATCCGTTTACGCTCATTTCCCCATCAACGTCGTCATCTCCGAAAGTAACAGCATGGTAGAAATCAGAAACTTCTTGGGAGAAAAATTCACCCGAAGAGTAAGGGCTTATAACCAAAATTCACACATTTTCTAACAAAACTGACACTTTAGGTAAGAATGTTGAAGGGCGTATCATGTGTAGCTTCAAAAGTAAAGGATGAATTTATTTTGGAAGGAAACGACATTGAACTTGTTTCTAGATCAGGTAATAATAGTTTACATTTACTCCCTGCGATATATATGTTTGATTAGAAAAAATTTTTTAACTCGTTAAGTTAACTAATAATCTCTCTCTTAATAGCCGCTTTGATTCAACAATCTACGACTGTCAAAAATAAGGACATAAGAAAATTTCTTGATGGCGTCTATGTTAGCGAAAAGGGACACGTCGTTGAGGAACTTCAATAAGTTCGTTGCTTGTACACTGAAAGCGAGACATTCAATTCAATACACTTTTTGAATGATAAAATTTGGTTAATGCTTAATGCTTATAACTCATCTGTTTGTGGGGTTGCGGATGTAATGTTTAATATCCCGCTAGATTGAAAGCGAAGACTATGAGTATTAATTTATTCTAATCAACAATTTATTGAAATCAAAAAATTAAGAAGTTAGTGCTTCAGTTAATTTTCGTAGATTCTCTTCTAGACTTTTCTCTGTTAACCGAAGAGATCTATGCTGAAGTCGGATCAATGCTTCGTATTGGATATGTGAGAAACTCGATGTTCCTTGCTCAATGATAGCACTTAAGAGATCATCGGGTTTTCGATAAAGTAGCTCGTAATATTGTCTAGCCGAATCTAAACCAGTGTAAGATCGAGTACTCAGAATTTTTCCAACTGTTTGTTGAGAGGAAAATATGTTTCGTATCATTTTCTTTACCCCATTTTGGTTCATTCTTTTTATTTTAGATGCAGAATTAATAAGTATTGAACCAATGACATATCCTACCCCTGACATAATATATCGAAAATATGCTGACGGAAGAGCATAAGACAGAGCTTCAGCTAGGGTAGTTAAATTCCTATTTAATTCGCTAATTTTCGGGTCAACTTTAAGATCATCAGTTGCGCTATTGTAAGTCCTGTCTCTTAGGTGTCTAACGGCTGCCTGAACATTTTCTGCTGATTTTTCAATATGGCCTGGAAATAAATAATCGATATAGTTAAGATACTCTACAATGTTTAGCATACAAACCAGCTATCGGCTGTAAGTAGAAGAAACAATTTACTCTTATTTCTATGTATAATAGAAGAATGCAATTGTTATTTAGTTTGATCATATCGTCCTTAGCAGCCATTTGAAAGTCTTTTAAATGATTTAGAAGGAAAAGATTTGTATGAATAAGGCATGAAATGATCTTGAGGGTATCGGTAGAATCTTCAGTCATCAAGTCTACTCGTTGTAGGAAATTTTGAGACGCCAAGTTATTAGTAAAAATTTCTGCCTCTTTATCTGAATTTTTGCTAAATTCTTCTACTGTTTTTGTTTTATTGCCATTGTCTAAAACTCTCCAACTATGTTGAGATAGTAATAATCTAGTAATGTCGTCATCTTGGACCCAAGAACTACTAACTGTTCTTTTACTAATAATGAGTTCATACACTATTCGACTTTTATCATAAAAAGCATAAATGACGTCGCTCAAAATGTCACTAAATTCTTTTAAATAATTGGGAATATTATCCGAGGATCCCTTCAATTTATTTATGCAATCAATAACAGTTATAGCTGCCGTGAAAATAGGTAGTTGATTATCGACTCCTTCCTTAATCAGCGTAATATACTTATACCAATTAGTATCGGCTGTTGCTAGTTGTAATTTTTCTAGGCATTGCTGTTTTAGTATACGTAAATAGGCACCAGTCATAAAATTATGTATATCGATATTTAATTGCAGTGAAGTATTTCTAGTATTTAGCGCCTTTCCAATGTCTACTGAAAATTCAATAACAGAAGAGTAAACCTGAACGATATTCTCGGGCTTTGGACTGCATATATAAACGGTTTGCTGACCCACTATTTCTGGTTCATCTTCAACTCCCTGATTGGCATATGCATTTTGTCTTTCCTCTCGTTCATAAGATTTTAAGCTGAGGGCGTGAGAAGAATATTCAAATTTAAATAGAGTAGATTCAACTTTTGGCCTCCTTTTATTAAAATAAGATGAAATATCAACGTTTTTGTCGTTTAGTGTACTTCTATCTTTCTTTTTGATATCATTTTTGGAATAATTGATATATTCCAGCAACAGATTTCGAACAACTTTCTGGGCCTGAACCCAAACATCTTGAATACAATAGATATCTAAAGCAGGTAGACCCCTCTTCCATTGAGCCCGATTAGAATAAGCTAGTATGATTTCGTGAACGCGAACAACCAATCTAAATTGTTGAAATATTAGATCAAAGAGATCCTTTAACAATGATGGGTCGTTATTTGTTTTTCCATTCTGCGCGTGAGCGTAAGCATTATCTGATACTTGTTGTGATGCTCTTTGAATAATAGACTTTAAACCAAATTTGATCTTTTCCTTTACCGAATATAAAGCATCCTTTAATTCATTAAGAATAGCCAGGGATTCAATAAGAACGCCTATATATTGAACAGGTTTCTCTTCGATTTCCTCTATAGGGACGTCGTTAAATTCGGCAAAATTCCTCAACTCATGCAAATCGGCATTCATAAGTTCATCCCTACGTTCATCATCCATAACCAAATCTGATTTTAAATCAATATTTGACTGAAGGGAACCCGTAGATCTCGTAGAAGCCCTTGTTGATCCCATTCTTTGAAAGTTTCGTACAATGCATGCTGTAGATTTTATATAGATTTGTTTATAAAGCTCATTTTTTAATTTAGTAACAATTTCTGCTTTCTTTAATTCTAATTCTCTTTTAGTTTCCCTTAATGCATCAACATCTTGTAATTCAGATTCAATTATTCTTACGCAATTTATAACGGCAGTTGTAGCTTCTAAGTAACGCTTATTGTGAAGAAGGAACGGAAGTTGCTGAGTACATTCTCTTACTCTGTCAATTTCATCTAAAAGAGACGATAGCGTTTTCTGTTCTATAGCATCCGTCCATAATTTCGTTAATTCCTCCCTTTTACATCTCAATAGATTTTTACAACTCTGTAAATTTTCTTTCAGGCCTCTTATCCTCTTTTGAGAATCGGTTATTTTTTCTGATATTCCTTGAAATGACTTGACTAACAATTCGAGTGATGTATAATTTTCTCTTACCAAATCACCTAAAATTTTATCGGATTCCTTGTAATCCTTCTCAACTCTGTGCTTTAGCCTTGCTCTTTTGTCTGAGGAGGCGGATAGGGTATTTATTATATCATTTAAATAGCCCAATTCATTCTGTGTAGCTATTTTTGACATTTTTAGTAATTTTAAGAAGTGGGCCGATAAATTCTTTTTCAGTCAGAAAAGATCTACTGAATATTCATCATTATATCGAATATCGTTTAATACCTGAGCAATGTCCATATTCCGCGAAATACAAAGATGCAACGAGTTATTCAAGTCGATATTTTTATTGAAGAATTTTATCTAAACGTATATCATAAAATGCTAAACAAATATTCCATTTAGAACTAATAATAAAGTATTTAAAAAGCAAAACTCTTAAAGCTCTTATTTATAATGAATATTTCTCATATTATCGCTCAAACTATAAAACTATAAAACTATAAAAAGTTAATAGCACAAACCAGCAGAAATCATGTGTTTTTCATATTACATGCTATATCAAATTAAAGTCATTTTGTGCTTCTGATAGATTAAGAATATTATATGCTTCAGTATCGTATGATTCTTCAACAGTTTGACGCTGTTTTGAATAACAAGAGACACAAAAAAATACACATAATATATTTATCTGTAGATGTTTTAGCAAGCAATACAGATAGCATATTAGATACTTCAAGCATCTGCAAATTTTATAATTCCGTAAGGTGTGAGAAATAGGAAAGACTTTATTTTTTCTCATATAGTTCCAAAAGTATACTGTCTGTCGCTCGTGTCCAACTTGAGTGTTTAATCGTTTTCGAAAAACGACTAAAACTTTTCCTTGCTTAGGTTGCACATTAAATTCAACTTGATTGTTCAGTTGTGACTTTTACCAAGTTAAACCCAAATCTGAAAACAATTAGAAAAATAACACAACCTTTGAACTCTTTAATAACTTTTATTGCTGACATCCAATGGGTTTGTTATATATTTTTAATATTTGCTTTCTTGAATATTTCTATGTTCTTTCGCTTTGTTAAGAATAATAACTACGCAGTACGTAAGTTTTCATTCTAACAAGAATCATAACGAAAACGGTAGATATTAGTTTTTCATATAATATTTGTCCGCTAGATGGCGAAATAAGAATGTATTTTAAAAGAGTTTTTAAAAGATAAAATTCGACTATATTTTAGTTTAACCAGATGCTTAAGTAATCGAAAATTTTCAATCAAGATTTGTATAGGTATACTCATGTTGATACGGTCTATCTGGTCTAATTGACAGTTTAAGTAATAGTATTATTCGGTATAGTCAACATAGTGGAGATTTTAATTAATGTTGAAAATTTTCACTAAGAGCTGTCCATTATCTGGTTAATTTCTAATAATAATTAAGAATAATAAATGGGAATAGGTATCTATTTATTACAATCCATTCATTCATCTAAATTAAGTATATTTAGAAAAATGATATGGGTAATTAAATTCGTATATTTTCAATGTTCAAACCTTTCAATATCGAATTTCAGTTTCTTTCCCTTTTATTTCTTTCTCTCTCTCTCTCTCTCTCTATCTTTTTCACTTTCCTATTTTTATAAAAATGAAAAAAAAAATGAACAGAATTCCTACACAATACAGTGACTAAAATCTTTCAATTTCTTGCTAAAATTATTGAATTATTTTTTAATGGCCAAGGTACTCAAAATGGGAAAGCTTTAGTGCCAGGCTATAGCTATGGTAACAACACAGCGTGTCTATACCGTGCCGGCATTCTTACATTGGATATATTTACCCGTTTAATGTTCCCTTTCCTATAGATAGTTAACAAAGTTTAGAAACAGTGAGTTCTTACCCTTGTTTTTTTTTTATGTAAATCTGAGTATAAGTGTGAATGAAACTCGTGATATTAAAAGCTAACACGTGGGTAATGTGTTGTACTATACATTTCTAGGTTGCTCACAATTCTATTTACGTATCTAGACTGGATTCTTTGCAGATATATATAGTATACAGGATATATACATATGTACATACGTAAATTTATATATATATATATATATCTTGTCTCTTTTGACCTAAATGAAAAATGTTATATATTTTTAAGAAACTGCAATGCCCGTATCAATGAATAGTATTAACAATACGATAGATTTGATATTTTACAATACTATTTTTCCTTAATGATATCTTTTCCATTATTATGTTTCCTAATATTTTTATATATATTTTTTTTGAGCTGCTATGAAAGTAGAATGACCTTACACTATTAATCATAAAGAATGCTGTTTAGACGAAAATTTCCGACTCAGTCATAATCCAATAAATTTGAATATTTATAAGGGGATTTTCCAGCACTCTGAAAACTTGCTTTTTCATTTCCGCTTAATTATTATTTGTCAATACATCTGTTTTAGATAATGTATTTATCAAATATGAAGTAAATGACGATTCTATAGAGAAATAAACAAGTGAATATACTTGTTAAAAAATAGTAAAAGTATATATATAGTATTATAAACAGCGTTGGTGGTACTACTACTTTTTCATTCATAAATTCATAAGTTTCACAAGACAATAAAATATTATAGAATCTTTAATAATATTTAAATTATCTTTATCTTCAATCTATTTCAATTATAATAACAATAGTATAATAATAAAATAGTAACTGTTGAATTAGATTTTCGAAAAACTGCTGTTCATTGAATAAATAAACTACGGATGATAGAATCGTCTGGCTTATCAATAAATTATTCGACATTCTTTTACAATTGATAATATTGATTTAGATATTTTATTTATTTCGAAATTTTCCACTGATATTTTGTAAACAAAATTAACCTCTCTTTGAATTTTTACTAGGACATTAACTGTCCAAAAATAGCATTTTATCTTTTCAAGTATTTCGTTTGCTTTTGTCAATAAAACAGCATTCGAATTTAAAGAAATACAAAAATATTCAATGAAAAAAAATGACTAAATTAGCTTTTTTTTTTAAAAAAAACAAGCATTTATCATTTGGTTTTATAACAGACTTTCTCTATTATATAATATTATTAAACTTGTATTGAATAATATTATGAATTATTAGATGATAAATACGTTTAAGAATAACTTTTATTTATTTATATAAATAAGAGATATGAGATAAATATTTTCCCTCTCCATTGTTTTTTACATCCTAGAAATAGTTTAAATTAAAAAAAGATTTCTTTAGAAAATGAAACTAGAGTATTATCCTCGATAACAGAGAACAAATAAATAAAAATACCTACCAAGTACTTTAAGATAAGATAGCATTTTAAATAGTCTTTTTTAGAAATAACTGATTATATTTCAATTGTGAAAAAAAGGACCATTTCCTTTATATTTAGGGTTTTAACTATGCGTTTTATAGAGGTTTTAATATTTCCAAAATTTGAAGACATGCGCATCGAAACACACTAGGCTCAAATGAATAATGTAACTGGAACCAGTTTATATTCAAATTTAATGTTAATGATGGAATTATCCAGGATTTTTCTTATGACTTTTGTAACATCTACTAAAGCAAAATATAACAGGTATTTACGTATATATTGCAATTAGAAAACAATCAAAAATATTAGTTTAAATATATATTAAAAAATTGTTATTATGTGTAATTTTAAGTTTATATTGTGCACTTTTTCCAAGTCACAAATAAAAGAACCAGGTAAATTCCTCTCCATTCTTAAAATCACTTTCATTGAATAGTTGTATACAAAAAAAAATTCGGCCGTTTCTATAGACATTTTTGATTCTCTCCCGCATTCCTTAATTTTCATATTTTGTTTTTGGAAAATCTATAATATAAACCAAAAAACCATAAATTTATATAAAAAATAATATGATATCAAATATCTTGTTGATACTTTAAAGGAGTGTTTGTTTAAATTGCTATTCGCTCTGAAGTAAAACTTTGAATTTATAAATGTGGGAATTTCCATTTTGCATAAATTATCAATTGGCGGCAAGATGCTCATGCTAGCAGCATATGTAGCCAGAACTCCAAAGCGAAAAGAATGGCGCTTTTCAAAAAAGTAAAAGAATATTTTGTTGTTAATTGTCAAGATGAGGTATAGATTATTTATGTAATTATATTGAATAATATTATTATATTATGAATCATTATAAAACTATTTGCTTTTTCAAATGAAAGCATTAAAGTTTATCTAACTTAACAATACTAAACAGGATATAATACAAGATCTTTTGCTAACGGTTGACCACAACTGTAGGATTCATATATATATATATATTCAAATTCCAAAAGAATACTAACTAACCCATTCTTATGTACTATTTGTTTATAAAGAAAACGAAAATGGCCTCAGAAGCAGATTCACAAATAGCAAATGAAGAAGAATTTATTGATCTAAAGAAAACGGCCAATGATAAAGCACATATCGAAGAAGGTAATCAACTTCTCACTTCGGATCCAGAAAGCGCGAAAGAGAAATCTGATTTGAGCAGTAAGAAAAATAGAGGAGAGTGGGGAGGAAAGTTCGAATTCTTACTATCATGCTTATCGTATGCAGTAGGGCTTGGGAATCTATGGCGATTCCCATACCTCTGCTACAAAAACGGTGGAGGCGCATTTCTCATACCATACACAGTTATGCTCCTGGTGGCAGGGATTCCTCTATTTTTTCTAGAATTGAGTTTTGGGCAGAAAGCTAAAGAAGGTGTTATATCAATATGGAAAATTTGTCCTCTCTTTCAAGGAATTGGATGGGGAATGTTTCTGGTCTCCCTGTTCATTTCCATCTATTACAATATGATCATCGCATGGACATTATTCTATTTGGGTAGTTCTTTTAGCAGTGATGTACCCTGGCGCCATTGTGAAAACGACTGGAATACTGGAGAATGCGGCGTTCATAAATTCTTAATGTTGAAAAACTGTACAGAAATTTTAAAGGGATTGTTCTACAACAACACGTGTTTAACTAGAGATGAGATTGGTAACAGCCAATTTGAAATAATGAGCAATTGGACAAACGTTAGCACAAAAGCTGACCACAATAGTATTGCGTATCCAAGCGATGAATTCTTCCACAGAAATGTCCTGCAGATGTCGGAAGGATTTCATGATTTTGGAACGCCAAATTTGTCATTATCCATGGCACTTTTAGGGGCCTGGATTCTTGTAGGAATTTGCCTTAGTAAAGGGATCAAATCTGCAGGCAGGGCAGTTTATTTTACTGCAACATTCCCATACTTGGTTTTAATTATACTTCTAATCAGGGGATTGACTCTTGAAGGATCATTCGAAGGAATAAAATTTTATTTGACACCCGAGTGGAGTCGTTTAGCAACTGCAAAAGTATGGGGGGACGCGGCAGTACAGATTTTCTTCTCATTATCACCTTGCTGGGGTGGCTTGATTACTCTTGCATCTTATAACAAGACGAATAATAACTGTCTAAGGGATGCATTAGTCGTTTCTATCGCAAATTGTAAGTTAATCGTTTTCGCAATCTATACTTTTTACGAATCTATTTTTATCTCCTTAAGGATAGTTGTCTTTAAAAATACTTAAAGTTGTCATCAATGACAAGGTCAATGAAAACAATACTAAAACTAAGGTATTAGATTTTCGAATAAAACGATAGTTAAATTAGTATACATCAAGGCCGATGGCCAAGAAGTTTATTTTTATACCAAGAGGTGAAATTAAACAATTTTTAGGACATTTTCTAGGCTTAACTCATGTAATATATTATTTAAAATAATGCAAAAATATAAAGAAAATATAAATGATCTTACTAATAACTATAATTTTCACTTATAGGTTTAACATCGTTTTTTGCCGGATTCGTTATATTTGGTATTATTGGATTTATGGCAAATGAAATGGGTCTAGATGTTGGAAAGGTGGCTAAAAGTGGAGCTGGTCTTGCCTTTATTGTGTATCCGGAAGTAGTGTCTCGACTACCCATATCACCGCTATGGGCAATTTTATTTTTTCTAATGCTGCTAACACTTGGTCTTGGTACACAATTTGCAGTTGTTACTACAGTTCACACTACCTTATTGGATGTGTTTCCAAGTGTCTTACGTCGAGGAAAGAGACCAATGTTGGTTATGTTGGGTATTTGTATATTTGGTTATTTGGTTGGGTTGAGCTGTACTACAAGAGGAGGAATCTATCTTTTACAATTAATCGACAATTACGCAGCTTCTTATTCTGTGCTAATTATTGGTTTATTCGAATGCTCCGTTCTCTCATGGGTTTATGGTGTTGATAAATATATAGACACTATTAGCGACATGCTTACGTTTCGTGTTCCAATAGTGTTTAAATATATGTGGAAGTATGTAACGCCGATTATATTAATTGCAATTATGTTATTCACTTGGATTGACTATCAGCCTTCCTATTACGGGTCATACATTTTCCCAACTTGGGCCGACTCCTTGGGATGGACTATTTCAATGACATCAGTTTCAGCTATTCCAATTGTAGCGTTTTATAAACTTTTCATGCGGAAATCTGTTGAAGGAGAAAGTTTTATGGATAAAATCCGAGATTTATGTAAACCTGACGATACCTGGGGAAAGCCATTCTCAATTACTAAAGCCACAGGGAACAAAGAACTTTATCAGACAAACAGTCGTTCGGAGACACCTTCAGAAAATAATGAGAAGGTTTGACAAACAAAGAAAACTAGTGACATTACTTCACGTAAGAAATCTCACATACCTAAAGTTACTTGTTGTAAAAGTCTGTTTTGTTTGGTATTCAATCTTCATTCTAGTTGTAAAGTTTGATGCGATTGTGCGGGTTATTTTTTTACCTGGCTTTATAAATATTTCACAAGTATATTAATATACTTGTAGAATAATTATAAAACTAGATAAAAACTCTTGCGATCTAGTCAAACTTTATAATATGAAAGGGAATTAAATCCCCAGTAAAATAGCCTTTTATGAAAGAAAATTTAGGTATGAGACATTTCTTTTATAGCGATTTTTTAAATTTCCTTTTTGGGGTAGGGTTTTCTTAGGATGATTTTACCCTAGTCTTATTTTTTATCTGTTTTCAAATATGATTCATTTTAACTAGAATGCTATAAAACGAAAATAAGCTCAGGGTAAAATGGTGCTAAGAAGGAAAGAGTAAAACGTTATATTGCTCTACCTCTTCTGATAGGGAAATTTATGCATTTTTCAAATTCTTTCTTGATATAAATATTTCTTTCATATAAAATATTTTGTTTAATACAAAAAACATATTTCCAAAGTGTATAAATCTTTCTTACTATTTAAAAAAATAAGATAAATTACCTTTAAAAGAATAAACAGATGCTTTGATAGAGCCTCATCGGAAAATGTCAAATTTTCTCTCCTTTTTTTTTTACAACATCTAAAGATTCTTTTTTGTATACAGTGTATTTTAGTTACAAGAGATATAGGAACAAAACTCTCTTTAACCTTGCTCTCTCTACCTGAGTACAACTGTAATTAACGTGAAAAAGAATTCTGTGTAGGTATCTTTAGTTCTTAATTTGAAGAGGACTAATTTAGCCCACAAGCAAAGTTACTTTGCTACTAATGTCTTAATAGATATATTCTCTATTACCACAATTTATAACTAATTTTATGCAGTAAACCTATCATCAAAATCTTTTATAAATATAAGAGACTGTTAATTTTAATTGAACAGGACAGAGATGATAAAGTTTCCTCCAATTTTTTCATTTTTTATTCAAGAGTTTAATGTAATGGAAAATAAAACAAGAAAAGAATAATGATTGTAAAAGTAATATATCAGAATATTCAATATCAGAGAATGTGATTGTACAGGTTGTTGCCAGTCGAACAAATCAATTAAATAAACATTAATGAAAGGGGCGTAAATCTGTATTATTCCTTCAGCAGTATGCAGCAGGTATTGCATATACATGTATAGATCTATTTTTAACAACCATTTAATAAGATATTCTAATGCTAAGCTCTTCCGGTCGAATCTTTTTTCATAGTATTATAAGATCGATTTGACATAGTTTTTTTTCTGTAAAACTCCTTCCTTGTCACTAGCTTTGATGATTGTTTGATGTATTTTCATGAAAATAGTAGCTAAAAGATATTCAGTATTCAATAAATAAAGATAATTGAATTGTTTCAAGTCTAGACAGATACAGTGAAAACTGTAATCGAAATTGAAGTGCTCTTTAAACCTCTTTAAATCTTTAGAAGTAGGATAAGCTCAACGTTTTAAAAATGAAAAAAATGATCGTTTTTATCCGAAAAAGAGATCACATTTTTTCCATACTGGACAATAATTTTATAACATGTGCAAACTTTCCATAAAGCAAACTATAGGATAAATCATCTTTGTAGCTTTTAAATCTAGTTCTTTCTTCAAAAGGAATAGAGATTATCTCATATTTGCATACCTGTTTAAAATTGATTCCATTCATAAAATATATTAGTATTATATTATATTCTAATATAAATTAAATGAGATTGTTTTGAAATAGAATATTCTTCTCGTTTAAGATTAAAAAGTATATTTTCATAGTTTATATAAACATAAATAGGAGTTTGCCTTGTATTTTAGCATCATTTTTTATTCGTTTCATTAATGATTTCAATTCTGCCCAACATTTAACCTTCGACAATATTCTAATTAGTTCCTCTGCTTAATTATTGATTATTTACGTCATAGAACTAATCTATTTCTTTTTTCATTACTATATCGCTATAGAAAGTCTTTTATAGAAAAAATGTCATTCTTTCCTTTGATTTATATCACTTAACAATTTGACTAAAGCTTACTTTTTGTTGAGATATTTGAAGAGCATCTATGATAATATAAAAATTAAAGGTAACTTAATTGGTACTCAATCGCTCTCTTTGGAGATTTTCCATCATTTTGTCACTTATACTTAACCAAGTTATAAATCCTTGGAGGCAATCTAATATTTTAATATACGGCTTTATGGTTTGTCAGTCAATTGCCAATGAATTTCCTGTTGATGGATTTCTGATGAATTATGCATTGGAGGAGAAGGTAGTCTAAAAACTTCATCAGTAAATTAACTAACATAAAGATAAGATAGATAAAAATAGTTTTCCATTAGGGCAAGTACTAAAATTTTCATCGAATCAAATTTAATAACACTTTGAATAAAAGGACATTCCAACATTCAGAAGAGTATATTAAACTCTTTCTTTCTTGATAACTTATCAAGCTTTCTTTTAAATGATAGATATATTTTCTCTTTCATAATCGGTAAAAATCAGTCTTATCTTACAAGAAGATAGAATGTTCCCTTTTCGGATAGTTTTCAAAAAATGTTATTCGCCGCCATCTTTATTAATGACTACTCAAAACAAATAAACAGATAGAGAGAGAGGGAGGGAGAAGGCTCACATTGTATAATGTTTTGTATGCTTGTTTATAAATTAAGAATTTATACTATTGGAAAAACGAAGAGAAGAAGAGACTATAAATAATATTTCTTTATAATTTTTCCCCAAACTATTTAGGTTTGTATCAAATTTCATGGTTCTTTTTATAACAGGTTTATTTATATTGGAATATTGAGTGAACGTTATCATTCTTTTAAATTTTTTGTCCCCTTTTCAATTAAATATATAATAGAATTATCCAATAAACAATTCTTAGTATTTCCATTCGTATTAAAATGATATTGAACCACATTTATAATTGTTTTTCGTTCATTTAAACGGAAATCTCGTGCTATTTGCTTTTAGTTTTAATTGATAGAGTTATTTTCCCCTCTATTCCTGTTTTTTTCCTTTCTTTTCAATATATACAAATAATTTAGATGAAATTGTAATATTCCTATCATATTCTCCTATAGAGTCAAACATTGTAATAATTTATGACGAGATTCTGAATATTACCATCGATAGTGTTATTAGGTTTTTTCCACAGTATGGTAGAGTCATCTAGCGGGCTATCTTTTATTTATATCTAGATTTGCTTGGCCTCGAACCTGGAAAATGTTGATCTAAAATATGCTAAACATAGTTCTTGCGGAGCCAGTCATGCATTTATTTCTAAACTAATAGTGTTTATTCATCAATAGAAACCTCTACGCAACGAATTAGTTCGATAATTTTGTTATATGACTATAATGTCTTAGAATGATATAAAAATGATAAAGTATCTTCTTATTAGATCAGCAAGTACGATCATTGCAAAGAAAAAAAAATGTATCAGTTCATGAAGGGTGCACTGACTTATTCGATTCCAAGTTCTTTTTTGGTGAAATCCCATAAGACTTTGCAAGCTTTGTCATCATTACACAATTTTGACATCTCGTACTCCTCGCATTCTCTATTAATGAAAAGGTATTAAGGTTTAATACTCATGTAAAAATAATAATTATTTATCATTACACAAAATATCTGCCTGCTTTCGATTCTAAGCCTCTTTGCAAGCTACAATATAGAGGAGTTTGAGAGCCTTGTTTAGGTGTTTTACCAATTTGCACCATTGGATTCCAACAATCAAGAGTCTGTTTAAAAAAGATAAATTATATATTTTAAAAATTGAATTGAAATGTTACAAGTTAATTATCTATCTAAACTTTTTATATATTTAGCTCTTCAAAGAGCTTAGTCATGCTAACGGATAAAACAATAGTGCTATATAACACTGATAGTTAGTATGTTAAATACTATAACAGTACTTTTACCATATCTACTAATTTAAAAAGAAAATTAGAATTATGATAGTATTAAGAGATTAAACGGTATGTCATCTTTATAAAATTACCTTAAAGAGAATGTAGCTTGAAAAGTCATTAAGAAATGTATAGTATCGCGTAATTTCTGTATGGACTGTACCTGGATGGCAACTATACGCTGTTACGCCTAAGTCTATGGAAATAATTGTTTAAATGAGCAGCAATGATCATGAAGTTTTATTAATGAAAGAAATATAGTACTTCCGTAAAGTTCTTGCAATTGTCTTGCGTGCATAACGTTAGCCGCTTTGCTTCTGCAATAGAGATAAAAATTCGAAGGTCCAAAACAACCTGATTTGATATGAAAATCTTTAAACATCATATCTGTTCCAGAAAAGTGAGCCGAAGAAGAAACGTTTATTATTCTACTTGGAGCACTTTTCTTCAATAGATCCATTAATAGGTGCGTGAGAAGAAAGTGACCAAGATAATTTGTTGCAATAATAGTTTCAAAACCTTCACTTGTATGAGTGTTCAATGCTTTCATTATGCCGCCATTATTTATTAAGATATCTAGCCTACTCTCCTCTATTAGTTGAAAAATATTCCCAAAATTAACTTTTAATTACAATATTAAAATTCTAATAAATTACAAACGTTTGTTAAATTGATCAGCAAATTTTCGTACACTTTTCATCGACGATAAATCCAAATCCATAAGAATTACTTGACCGAACTTGCCAGTATCGTTTTCAATTTCTTCTTTCGCAGCTTTACCTTTCGGTCTGTATCTACAAGGTAAAATAACTTTTGCGCCCCTTCGCACGAACTCTCTTACACATTCTTTCCCTATTCCAGAAGTTCCTCCAGTAACAAGAGCAACTTTACCATCTAATCTTACGTCGGATTTGCATATTGCATGCTCCTTTATCCTAAAAAAAAGTTTGTTTCAAATTGAGGAAAAGAAATCTTATTAAATGACAAACTCGTGTTCAAATTGAGCAGCTGCTCGAAATTCGGGATTGGTAAAAACGTGATAAAACATAGTTGCCATTTTGACGGTTGATGAACAAATGAACTGTCAGTACAACTGTTTTCATTTGGAAATAGAGTAGTCGAAGGTCTTTATATAGATTAAAAACTAGGTAAATTTGAACCTATTTACAACTGGTGATACGACTAAATTTTCCGAATATTGATCGTAGTTTATATTTGAATTCCAAGATTTCAGGTATTTAAATGCTTTAATCAATTAATAAACTCTATAGATATGTTTGCATGTTTAATACAGTAAAAAAAACAAGTTTAAGCCAAAGACTCCCGCAAAGTTTACAATGATTAATAACATCGTTGATTGTACTTTCCAACAAATTACAATATCTCTTCGAATTATGTATTTAATTGCTGCAAAAGCTATAGAATGGTTATCTAAATTTTTTAAACTCAAGATAGTCTGTTATTTAAATTAGGAAAACTTTTTAATGTTAAAAATATGATTTGATTGAAAATTCTATCAAAAATAAAGGCATTCATATTCTGTATCATTGACAAAGATTGAAACCTGTTTACTACGTTGGGTGAATCAACAAGAGGCAGACATTTGACCGAATTTTAACCAATCAGAATTGCCCCTTCATAATCATATACGAAATATCGAATGTTTTAATCTTTTATATAAGTATAATAAGTTAGTTTATCAGTTAACTTTTTACAGCTAGAAAAAGTATATCTATTGCATAATTCTATCTGTTAATTTCATATTCATATCTTGTTGTATTTCATAAAACGTCCAATGTTGATAGACCTAGAAATTTCAGACATTTTAAATTTAAATCAGATTTACTTGGAAAAAGAGACCATTATCATGCGATATATGCTAGAGGACATTGAATTTAATCACGTGACTCGAAAGGCTTTTTACTTTACTGGTTTCTTTTCTATTGCCATGCGTTGGCTCTGTACACATAAAGTAAAGACGTCTAGGTACAGAATAATCGTTGGTATATGATTGCACTAAACTATACGAGATTAGTAAGCAATTTTTAATGGAGCAATATTTTGGAGGTCATGGACAGAATCTAGTTCTTTCAATTTTAGGTAAAAAGAACTACTGACCTCTACTCATATCTATAATTGTGTTTATTGTCCTATAGACAACAGAAAGCTCACCTATGATTAAATTCATACAGATTTTGAATGCATCCCTATTTACTTTTCGCCTGCCGACCCTTCTTCCTTGTTCATATTTTTGAATTCTCAACAACTATGGTGGAGGAATATGTTTGAAATGAATTTAATTACTTGTTAGTTAGATTTCTTAAATATTAATTAGCCTGTTTATCTACTATATATATATATATATATATATATATATATATATCAATCTTCCCTTTTCTGTATGAATCATCAAAAAAGATGTTAACAATTCAATACCAGAACTAGGTAGCCCAGACAATTTTAAGTTACATTTCCCTTACAGATTACTATTTATTACTAATAGAATTAACATATTTTATAATTAATTGATGATTATACTCATTTATTTCTCTCCTAAAATAATCAGTTGTTATTTGAACAGATTTCTTTTTCTTTATCTTTGATAATAAAAAAAGCATTCTGATTTGAAATTAAAACAAAATTAAAGGTAAAAGAGATAGTTTATATAAAATATAATGAATAAATAGACTTTTTTCTTGGCAAAATAGACTGTTGAATAAGATATTACTCAGTTTTTCTTTTATTTTTACTTGATCTCTAGTGCTTTTCAAAATTACATGGATACAGGTAAATACTTCTAAGAAAAATACTTTTTCAGAAAAATAGATTGAAATAAAAATACTGAGCTCTGATATTTTCATGTGAAAGTTTCTTGAATAAACTTTAATTTAATGTTAATACTTGATTTTATTTTTAATCTACCTTTTATATGGCAAATAGATAGACTATTTCAGTATTTAGTCGGGGACGACAGCAAATAGAAAGTTAAATACATACAATCCTTTAAAACTAAGGTAGCGACACCTGGTGATAAATATCTTTTATAACTTTTTTTGCAAATTGTTGAATAAGAAAGGAAAGATGAGGGTTTTTTTTCTTAACAATGACATTTTAGGTTCCTTTTTCAATTTTAAAAAAGGACATAATGAATAAAAAGCGACCTTACTTGCATATCTTTATATATATATATATATAAATGTATTCAGAAAAAAATCATTCAAATCTATTCATCATCATTTTTTGCACATAGAAACTATTGCAAGATATTTTACTCGATAAAAAATAGGAATCCATTGGTTCAGACTTTTTTCGATGCAGTTTCATATCAATTCGATAGATGGCGTTTTATTTGTTGTTGAGTGAAAATAGAAGAAATTCTCTCCATATATTCGATGGCCGTTCGGTCACGTGATTATACGTATTTTTACTCAATTTTGACTTGATTATATGATTATGGATTTCAAGAATAAAATAAAGAAAGTTTTCAATGATATAAAGGTTTATTTCTCTTTATAATCATATATTTTTTGAATATTTTCAGCTGTTACTTTGTATTTAAATGATCTATCTCTTCCCTCTTTAGGAATCGAATAAAACGAGCCCCGAAGATGATCTAACCGTTCTGAATCTCTTGCAAAGCTCAGTTGATAAACCGGTAAACCTTTAGTCGTTATTCCGCAAGCAGAACGTTTTAGACAAATGTTTTTGAAATCCTCCCATTTTCAATCTTAATATCGCCATCTGCCAATATCCCACCAACTGTTTGCAAAGCGTGTTCTCTGATATTTGTAAAAATCAAATAGTTCAATCTTTTGAAAAATCACAGTATAACACTAATGATAAAAAAAACAAAATAGACGGTAACTGTACAATAACCTTATTTACAGGTGACTTCAAGTCAATTTACTGCTGATCCACATGCAGATCGCCAAGCTATAGAGAGCATTGAAGGTGTTTATTATAAAGATCCACAAGCCTTTTGTGCGGGAGATTATGAATTGAAAGTAAGAATTTTTTCACAATTGTGATTGTTTTTTGAAAAAGAATATTTATTTTATTTTTTAATTTTTCTCTAACAGAAAATACTTAAAAATTTTCCTGATATCGATAACGTTCAACCAGTCATTGGTTGTATTGATGATAATATCAATAGACTAAAAAAGCAAGCTATGGCAGTTTCTAGAAAAGTATCGGAATTAGTATTAGAAAATCATCCAGCCTACGCTGCCGAATTGGATAGAGTTATTGAATTACAAGGTGATTTATCAGTAGCTGCTACAGTATGTACCGACAGCAGAAAGTAAGCAATACTTAATTATTTTGTACAAAGCAGTTTATTTATTTATTTATTCTATTTTCAGGGAGCTTGCAGAAACAAAAAGCAAGTTTACAGGGGCTAGTTTATTACTTTTAGCAAATTATAATAGAAAGAAACATTTAACTTCGGTTTTACAGTCATTATATACAATTAAAACTCTGGTGAGTTTTCCTCTTAATCTAAGAAAAAATGTTCATCTCATTTTCTGTTTCTTACTATCATTTATTAGCAAAGAACTGATGTCCGGGTAAGGGAGTTATTAGAGGCTGAAGACTATCCTGGAGCAATTCAATTATGTTTAGAGTGTCAGAAAGCGGCTTCAACGTTTAAACACTTTAATTGTATTAGGTAATGCGTAATGTTATGTGTTTTATATTTCGAAAATATGAATATTTTTGATTGCTTTTTAGCGAATTGAACACAAAACTAGGCGAAACTCTAGTCACTATGGAGGAGTGTTTGGATAAAGCTCTGTGTAAAGTTTGCACTCATTTCGATCCATTAAATTATAATAAGATACAAGCTGCATTTGGACAACTAGGAAAATCACAAGCTGCCCTGGATCAATTACATATGCACTTTACTTCCGTTATACATAATACTGCTTTCGTAAAAGTTTTGGGATATGCTCAATTGAGTTCTGAGTCGGATGACACTTTAAGGAGGAAACAATATCACGAACTATGTTCGCAAGTTTCTTCAGACCTGTTTACTTCATGTCTAGTGGATATTTGCAAAGCTTTGTGGCAAATAATGTTTAATTATAAACGCGTTTGCAAATGGCATGAAGAAAATGAATTAACTTCAAACGGTGAAGTTAGCGAGGCTCACGCTCGTTATGTCCGTCATAAATTAGTTCATGGTAGGATACGTATATGGGATGATATTCAACAAAGAGTGAAAATGTTTATATCTGTAAACGATTTAAGTTACTTTTTGTATGACCAATTTATAAATGTTCTCGATCTTATTACAACTTTAACACAAGTTGGAGAAGAATTTTGTGGATCAAAAAGTGAGAGTTTAAAAGAATGTTTGAAAACTCAGAGTGTTAACTACTTTCGACATTACCATCGCATTCGAATGGATGAATTGAGAATGTTTCTAGAAAACGAAACATGGCAAATTTGTCCACTTAAATCAGGCTTCAACATATTCCAATTACACGTAAGCTTCATATATTTATTTCAATTATATTTTATCATCGATTAATATTATAACAGGAATTTAAATCTATTATTAACAATAAACCGTCAGTTATTCCAGAAAGTTTGCATAATAGTGCCAAACAATCTCCAATTGTTTCAGAGGTTAAATATTTTTTTACTTTAAAATTTGACACATTACAAATTGAAAACAAAAATAACACAAAAAATATCCATAGCCCTGCAGCCGAAGGGATAGTTTAGAAAATATAAAAACGGAATATGATTACTTTGAAAAGTATACTCCTGATAATAGTCCATTTGATGTGCAAAAAGAAGACAAAGTTGAAGAAGATGTACTATTAGTGAATGAGGTATACTAATTTGATTTCTATATAATATATAATTTCTCGATTATAAATATAGTCTCAAGACAACAATAGCCGTTCAAATCTTACTAATACATATGATAGCGAATCCGAATCAGACGTTGAGGATGAACTTAAAAAGGACTTTGTTGATGAGAATACAGGTGAAACAAACCATAATTTTAGTGCAATAGCGTAAGTTTTATTAAATAATTAGAAATTAAAGAATACTAACGAAAAATTTTGTTTCTAGATTTATATCAACACGAGGAAGACACGATAAGTGTGCCCCTATTGTTACAAACACAACATTAAGTGTTTGTAGATTATTTGGTTTGTAATCTAAATTGCTATTATTGTACTAGTCAGCTAATAAAATAGTTTTATTTTAGGCAAATACATGCAAATGATGACTGTTTTAACATCAATAGCCTTTGATGTTACTATTTGCTTATCCCAACTCTTCGATTTTTACCTCTATTCAGTAACTATTTCTTTAATCTCCCAAGTTTAAAATGGTTATATAATGATTATTTTCGTTCAGGTATACTCATTCTTTTGCGTTGAAGAAAATGAGACGGTAATATTCTTTATCAAATAAATAATTAGGTGTACAGTATGTCTAAATGTAAATATCATTATTTTCTCTAGTCTGAGGACAATAATTCTTTCCTATCGCCTAAATTAACTACTACTCTCCGACGTATAAAAGAAAATTTGATTGTTATGCCAGACGAAGAGGAGGGAACTGAAGCATCTAAAAATAAGATTATTAGTCCAATGCTCTCCCTTTGCGTTGATAAAAATAACTCTGAAGAATTATTCGGTTTAACCGAAAGATTAGTTGCCACCGAATCACTAGTCTTTCTAGCTGAACAAACAGAATTATTGCAACCTCATCTAGAAGCTCTTATTCCAACAACTAAAAGAGCTTTTCTACAACAATTTTATTCTCAAACGGTGTGCATAGCTAAAGAATTAAGAAATCCAGTTTATCGTGTCGTAGCTGTTAAATCGATAGACTATGAATATTTATGTGGTTTGATGACAAATGTTCGATACGATTTAAAAGAAATTCTTTCTCAGCATAGTTCCTATATTGACGTTATTTTGCAGGTAATAATCTATTTACAATATTTTGCTATGAATTAAATTTAAATTGTTTTTTTTTTGAAAGGAACTAAAAAATTTTGCATTAAGAATGACTGGTGTCAATCAAAGAGTTCCCATTCCAAAAGATGTTACAACTATCATATGGGATCAAGTTGTAAGACTAATTAATAGGACAATGTTAGAAGGATTTTCCAGTGCTAAAAAATGTACTAATGAAGGAAGGGCTCTAATGCAATTAGATTATCAGCAATTTTTGATACAATTAGATAAATTGACTGATTTAAGACCGATTCCCGATAGGGAATTAGTTGAAAGTTATGTAAAGGCATATTATATACCTGAGATACAACTCGAAGGATGGATTAAAGAACATAAAGTTTGTATTTTTTTAAATATTTTGTGAAAATATATTATATAATATTCTCTTTCCTTATAGGACTATTCCATTAAGCAGTTAGTAAATCTTTTAAATCAAATACCTCATTTGAATAAGAAGACGCGACAGAAATTAATAACTAATTTAGAAGAATCAAACCGTAAACCGTAGAAAGAAGACTACCAAAATATTGCTAAATGTAAAACTTAAAAGTCAATATAATTTAAGAGCAAATAAAAAGTGCTTAATAGTCAATCACTTTAATTTATCAATTCGAACGAAAAGGAGTCATAATTTCTTATCTTTTTTTTTCCAGTTTATGATTTGTTTTATTTAATTTTATTTTCTCGACTGAAGTTTTAAAATAATAAAGAGCTCCCGTCTGATTATTTAATTACTTTGATTACTTTCTATAAGTATTCACTAGTTAAATAATAGCTTTATTATATTCTTGTCTTCTACACTTGAGGTACTTTTAAAAATTGGAATTATATTCGATAATGTATATTTCTGCTATCCATGTGTGTTTTAAATCTCTTCCAGAAATATATTCAATTTATTAATTTAACTTGATACAGATTGATAACTAAGGTATATACCTTTAAATACTCTTCACGATTGAAAGATGTGATTTAGAAACTATAAAGCTCTTTTATTGAAAAAAATATGCAATTGAGCGATAATACAAGTATTAAGGCTTTGCATGCTGTCTGTATTAAACAGAAAGAAAAGTTTCTAATATTAATAGCCAGTTTATTAGTAATTACGTGTAAAAATAATTTACAGATTACCAATTTTGACTATGTCGCTGATATTTGCACGAAGATTTGGAAGATTAATAACAAGTTTACCAAAAAATCATATTAAATACGTATCAAGTTCATCAAATACAGTTAAAAATAAAGATGATAAAAGTCTGTCAGTACAAGATGAAAATGAATCAACAGCACCAAAAGATATTGGGGGATACGATTACTTTCGATATTTGGCCGAAATGGCAAATGTAAATCCAATAACAATTTCAAAACAATTAGACGAAGTTTTAAAAGAAAAACACTTTAAAGATGACCATAGAAGTTTGGAAAATTTAAAACCAGTTTTACCTTCAAAGAGTTTAAGTCTTGCAGCTTACGCAAATGACTCTAAAGTTATACAAAAGTTTATTAAATTAGGAGTAAATTTAAGAAATATTGAAGTGAATCATCCAAAAATGGCTAATTTAATATTAAAATTAGATTTCGAATTGGATATTCAACCGTTATTATTGTATCTATGCAATAATGGGGTCGATAAAAAAGATCTGGGTAAAATAATAACAAAAAGCCCAGAAATACTTGAAGTTGATTATGAAGAGTTACAAGCAAAACTCGACTATTTTCTGTCTAAAAAATTTACCAGAGAAGCAATTGGTAGAATAATAACAAAGGCTCCGAGAGTATTATTAAGAAATCTTAGAGAAGTTGATAGGGGTTTAGGATTTTTACAAAAGGAATTTATGTTAACGGGAAATGAAGTTAGAGAATGTGCAACAAAACATCCGAAACTTATTACATTTAATAGGAAATATATACACGTAAGTTGTAATAGTACATCTCTTAGTTAATAAAGTATTTATCCTTTTTTATTTTATCCTTCTACAGTTGAGTAGGATAAACCTTAAGGAAATTTGCGGTTTTAACGATAACGAGATCAAAAGTATTGTATTGGCAACGCCTAAAATTCTATTAGAAAGTTTGTTTTCGAGTTTCTTTTTTACTTTTTTCCTTTTTTTAACAAAATATATTTTCAGATCGATTTACTATTGAAAAAACGTTTAACTATGTTCATAATGTTATTGGGATAAGCCATTCTTCAATTTTACATTGGCCGGATATATTGAGGAAAAGATTGACTCTTATTAAAGAAAGACACGAATATCTTAAAGCTATTGGCAGGGATCAGTACGACGAAACAAAAGAAAATTTCGTATCAACTAAAGCATTATCTTCTGGTAGAGACAGTGAATTTTGCGAAAATGTTGCCAAAACATCAGTCAAAGTCTATAATGATTTTCTAAGAACTTTATAAGAAATCTTTTATTATCATTCATTCAAGAATATTAAGACTAAAGAATTTATTTAAACAAAAACAACAACAATAAACGTAACTAATTTGAAATATAAACAAATATCTTTTATTATAAAAGGAAAAATGAATAGCGAAAGTGAAAGAAGTTTATCAAATTCTCCAATTTGCTGTATCGAAACTGAAACAAGTTCCGCTGTATTTCTAAAGACAGTTAATAATCATAATAGATTAGAGACAAAGAAAATAAATAACAAAATATTACTAAGGAAACCATTGAATTCAGAGTTAAGACAACAAACAATGCCCACTTGTATGGTTATATTCCGCCCTTTAAAAACGTCTATTATCTTTTTATGTCTTTCTATAATTCATCTTATTATTGCATTGATTTGTCTTGTTGCATATGCTAAAGTAATTCAAGTTAAATTTGATTATACCGATTGTAAATCATTCAATATGATAAATGTTACTTGCGCAAATTACTTGAAAAACAAGTTTGCGAAATGGAATCGTTTAGAGAGGCCATCTTGGAAATTTTGTATATGTGATATTGAAATTATTTTAAAGCAATCAATTCCAGGAAAGGTATTCCTTTATTATGAATTAAGTAACTTTTATCAAAATTCTCGTTTATACGTTCAATCCGTTGACGAAACTCAATTAAAATATGCAAATTACTTATCAACTGATGGTAATTGTGAACCTTTCAAAACTTTTAAAGTATTATTAGGACTGGATATATTGCTTCTGTTTAGTTAATTCGTGATATAAATGACCTAATTTATACTTTATAACATATTAATTAAGGACGAAACTACTGGTAAGATAAAGTATATCTTTCCTTGCGGTACAATAGCTAATTCGTGGTTTCAAGATGATTTTCAATTATATCATATAAATGATACGAACTTTCCTCATTCGTTAGATTTAGATAAATCAAATATTGAATGGACTACAAATTCAAGAAGATTCGGTAATTTTAATGTAACCAATCAGAATCGATATCAATTTCCATTAAGATGGCAAAAGTACCATTCAAACATTATTAAGGATGCTGGTTTTCGTAATTGGATGCTAATATCATTATTGCCTACATTTAAGAAACTTTACGCAGAGGTTAAAGTAGAAGATGATAACGAAGGCCTTCGTTCAGGAAATTATAGATTGATTGTTGATTATTTATATGATGTAAAGACATTTAATGGTAAAAAGTCAATTATATTATCAAATACTAGCTTTATGGGCGGTAAAAATATCTCCTTTCCGGTCTCTTTCTTCATAGCATTTCTTGGATATTTCGGTATTTCTTGCCTTTTTTATATTATACACAAAAAGAATTAATATATTCTATATTTTCTAATACATGTAAATTTATTCATATTTTTCATTTGAAAATAAATGTAGCAATAAAAAAATGAATATTAATTAAGCTACTGTTTATTTAAATATTTGAATTTATGTAAATATAAGGTAAATTTTAAAATAGTTTATTCGAGACACATAAACAAAAACAATCAGGGAATTTCTAAGTTATTTAATCACAAAATAAATAGAAAATTTCCAGAGAATGAGTAAGCATTTTAATTTATTCATGAATAATTAATTAGCTAATTTAAAATAATGTTTTAAGGTTATTCTCCTGAAAATTCCGAAGAATTTCAACTAAACTCTACAAGTTTTTTACCACCTTGCCAACAGTTCATTATTTAATTATTAAATATGTAAATTAGGTGAAATGATTTAAATAATTTTGAATTTTCCAAAAAAAAAAAATTAGGCGTTCAAGAACTTTAATAAGCGTTGTTAAAGAACAAATACAGCAATTAAATCAAGATGTTTCTATCAAAAACGTTGAAAATAAATGGAAAGACTTGAATTTGGAAGGAAAATCGAAATTATTAATTAAAGATAATAGTTTCTCGCTTGGAAATGTTGGAGAGGCAGTAAATTATCTTTTTAATTAATTTAATTTATTCAGTCATTCATTCCAATTCTTAAATACGCTTATATACTCTATTTTTACTATTTGTAGTTATATCTCAAAGGAAATAAATCAAAATTACATAACTTCTATACTGAAGATCCTCTTATGAAAGTGCTACCACCGGATTATAGGCCTCTTTCCGATCCTTACGTTGGGGTTGGATAGTTTATATTATTTTTTAGCTTTATTATCTTATAATATAATATTTAAATAGAACTTTTATAAATCTGGAAGAAATAGGAAGAGGTTACTGCATCTTGGTTCTATTTCGGCTAATAACAGAGCTATGTGTACTCCTAAAGATTACAGAAGATTTTTCGAATATATGAAACAAATGGAAGGATTTAGAATAAGGGAAGAAGAATTGAAAGGCAATGCTATTGATGAAAAATTAAAAAAACAAATTACAAACAAACCTTTAAGAAGTACTTGTTTATCTTTACCGGAAGTCGTTACATTAAAGAGAAAAGAGTTGATGGATTTATATATTTGGATGCAAAAAGTTTGGTGTTTAGTTGGAAAAGAGAGGATAAATCAGAGGAGAATGAGAGCGTTAGCTATAAAACGCGAAGAAGATAGATTACAGAAGATACTTAAGAAATTAATCCTTTGGAATAAAAAGGACAAACTAAAGAGTAGTAATAGTAAAGGTTTGTAATTTAATTTTACTATTTCTTTTCTATTTATATTGTTTCTTTTCTATTTTTTAGACAATTCAACATCTTTGCCGTCAATTAAAAATTGTAAGTACAATTGTCTTTCTTATCTAATCTTTTCAAAACAATAAAATATGAAAAACCAAATTTAAAAAGTCTGTTATCATTTTGTTGTTTTTCAGTTAAAATTCCTAGTCGATTTCATCATTACGATACACCTTCGTTAAGTAACCTTTCAGCTGAAATTGATGAACTTCTTAAGAAAGGTCTACCTAAATTCCATTCTAATCAAAATGATAAGAAACCAAAATTAAAGAAGAAAACGAAGAGAAACGAAGATAAAAGATCAAAATTCAAAAAATTGATAGATGATCAATATTCAAACCTATCAGCATCTTTAAAGAATTCTAATTCAATAGTTGATGATAAAGGGAGCAAATTATCAATAAAGGATGATTATACTCTGCAAAAGCAGTGGAGAGATATATCATCAACTATAGTTGAATGGATTATTTATAGTGTAACAGATTTAATCATTCCTCTCTGTCTTGGAAAAACGAAACAATCGACAACAAGAAGATCTATTTCGCCTATAAATAAAGGTATAGTAGTTTATTAGCAGTTAATTAATTAACTATGTTAATTGAATATGTTAATTAATTCATTTTAGATTCGGATAATATGAAGAGAAATGTATCATTCAATAAAATTATTAAAGTAGCCGAATCAAAGAGTTGTAATTCAGAATTAAGTGATAATGTAAATCTACTTTGTTCATTCTTAGTCTTCATTTAATCCATCTATCTTTATCACTTACGCTCTAGATTGTTGACGATGATAGACGTACAGCTACTAATGAATTTGACGATGATTTACCTTCTTCCCAATTGGGTTTAAGGTCAAGAGATTCATTAGAATTATTGCGTAATACTTCGTCATATCTTGCCGTTCATCCGAATGAAGCTGGTAACGCACTATTAATAGTATCAAAGGCAATAACGGCTGGCCTATTAAAGTCGGAACAAATACATCGCCTGTTTAATTGCGTAGCGGATACTTGCCCTAAACTCGACAAACTAGCCCTAGACGAATTGCTAAATGATCAATCGAATGATACCGCTATCAATAATCTAGCATCATCCGTTTTGCATTCAACTTTAGCGAGGAATATTAAGATAATTCAAATTCAGGAAAAAGATGAAAATTTCCACTCTAGACCAAGGGGAAAAGGCGAAGAAAACGACGACAACGATGACGATGATAATAATAATGATAATGAAGAACAAGAAAGTAAAGATGACATTCTCCTAGCTCAAGAATTAAGGAGTATCACAAAGAATTGTTTTAAAGTGGATAATTCAGACTGGAAAGTCGTCGCTATTGATTTCTTAGCGCACGCTTTTAGACAAGTTTATGCCTATTATCTAAAAGATAAAAAAGAAACAACCAGAGAGGATATTAGAGAATATTTAATGGATCATATAGCTGATATGTATCTAGAATCTTCTCCATCAATCTATTCCGAGAATATTATGATACTCATCGAAAAGTTCACCAATTTACAAAATAATTGGTCTTTACGTTTAGGTTGTCCTTTACATTCCAGAAAAATAGACTCGGATACAGTTAATTTCATAAAAACTTCACTAATGAATGCTGTAACCTTTCAAGAAGAATTAATTAGTAAAATAATTGATTACAGTCTTAATTGTTCCATTACTACTACTGCTGTTGATGAGGACAATCTCTTACGAGTTAGCGGCCATATTATTTGCAATTGTAAACCTCATATTGCGAAACCTATGTTAGAGATGAACAATTATTACCAATCAATTGCCTCATCTCAGGGAAAGATAAAGAATAGATTTGAAGAGGATAGAGATCTTTACGTAAATTCTATATCAGGCTCCAAAAAATATGGGCCAAGATGGAGAAAACGTTTCTCGTCTTCGGCAGGTTCTGGAAGAAGTAGAGAATCAACCGATGATGATAATAAAATTAATAATGAAAATAATAATAATAATAACAATAATAACAAGAAATTCTTTAATTTCTTCAAAAGGCAAAGGTCTGTTGGAGATCAAAGATCGAGGATGAATAGTTTAAGGAATAGCGTTGAAGGAGATTTTCAAGTATTCAGAAGGAAATCAATTTGTAAAGATTCGGAAAATCAAATTGATATTATCTCTTCCAATGAACTTAAGAGATTCTCTACACAGTCGGATGAGAAAACGGATAGTTTAAGGAGTAACGATTTCGTTGTTGTTCAAGATACGGACATTGAACAACAATTGATTATACCAGTCTTCCAAGGAAAAGAAATTGAAGGTTTGGACGAGAATCTTTGCAGTTCAGGCTTATCGGCTGTAACTGTTAAAAATGGCTTAACTCAGAATAAGCAACATTGTCATAGTGAAGATCGTCTCGAAGACAGACTTTCCTACGTAAATATACTAAGACCAGAATTATCATTACACTATCTCCCAGAGACATTTAATAAGGAATTAGCTACAGATCTAATTAAAAGATCGTCAATAGTAAACCAGGAAAAATGTATGATCAGTCTAAATACAACAAGGTTACCGGTTGAAGAGAAATTCAACATTACTGATAATGAAACTGATGAAAAAGTTTTAAGCGTTATCAACTTGGAAAGTGAAGAAAATACTGAAAACGAATCAAGAAGCTCCAAGCGTCTATCGTTACGTTTAATTCGTAAAACCATTGAAACTCTCTATGAGAATAGTAGCGAAACTAGTAATAACAATAACAATAATAATAACAACAATAAAGATAAGGAGGTTAATTTTCTTTAGACTCTCTTTTAGTACACTTTTACAATTGTTTTTTCTTGTTATATCTAGAAAGAGAAGGATGATAAGATTCTTTGTAATCTCCTTCCAGCTTATCAGCCTATTCACGTACGTGCAAGATTGTACAGGAACTTTGGTAAACCATTATACGACGATGAAATTACTGGAAAATTTGAAGATAATAGCGAAATTTCTCAACACTGCAACGAAAATAATCCTTACGGAATAAGATTAAGCTTGGAAGATTTTCAACAAACTTATGATACTGATAATGTTGGAACTGTTCAGCCAGTGTTTAAGGGTCAAAAATTAGAGATTGACTCTCTTACAGCGGGATTAGCTCTTGGGGTGATAAGCTACAAAGATTTTAATCATTCGCAAACTCCTTACGCAACAGTTGAGAGAATTTCACATACAAATCTCCATAAACCAGGTTTTCTTATGCAATATCATTCTATGATCATCTATGATGTTTTATCTTTCATCATGAATTATTAGATTTATCAGCAAATGTCGACTCGGGAAAAGATTTGGCAATAGTTCTTCAGAGAATCGAGGCGGCCGCTGCCGGATATAAAAAGTTACTAGTTCAAGCAGGACTTTATAGGAAAACACTATACGACAATCGAATGTCGTTGGACGACCGACGAAAGGAATCGTTGGAAAATGGCCAGAATAACGACGATAAAGATGCTAACAAACTGAAGAGTAACGAAGAAATGCGTAGATTTTCTGATATAACACCACTAATTGAAAGTGCAAAGAGAACGTTAGATTTAGCAAAAGTTACAGATCAATCTATAAGTAACATGGTACAAAAGAATTCAAAATTAAGACAAAAATACCTAAAAGACGATTCTAGTAGTGACGAAGGAAAAACAAAGAAGATCACTATTTTTAACAGTATCGACGAAAAGAATACTATAGGTAAACAAGAAAAGTCATCATCAATTAAAGATAAATAATAACTATTCTTACTATTATTATGATTATAAACTTAACTACTTAACAATATTAATAAATTAATAAATCTTTATTAACGATAAACATAAATATATTCTTTTCCTTTACCTTAAAATAACAATAGTTTGTCAAAGGAAGGAAGAAATTTTTATATTTAGTTTATGTAAAAGTTTTTGTATATTTAGACATAGTTTCAGGTTTAATATGATCATTTAATAAATCGCTAATGAATGAATTTGATTTAATGATGTTTGTACTCAGAATTATAGGCTGAATATTAGCTGCTGAAATAGTTTCGACTAAAGATTTTACTTCTTGTATAGTTATACCACCAAGTACACAAAAGATAAGGATAGGTTGATCCCCTGGCCGAGCTTTAGTAGCACCAGTTAAAAACCTATAATAGATAATATATAAAGTCAATTTTAATTAAAATATCTTATATTAACTTACCCAAAACCTGTTCTTAATAATTGCCTAAATCCAGTAGCGTGATGAGAAATATCAGTTAATTCTGGTTTATTATTATCTGTAATTGATTTGGCAATATTTTGTAAGACACTGGTAGCCGCTGATGGTATCATAGATTTTTCTCTTAATAAAACAAATTGAAGATAATACACAAGATTAGAACTATTTTATAATAGATTAAGTAAAATTCTATTACCTATATTGTCCAAAATAATTTCTAAAAGAGGAAATGGCTTTTAACTTATCAAATAAGTCTGATAGAACTTTATATTGATCTCCTTTTGTTTTCTTAATAACTATAATAATAATTAAAGTAATAACATATACATTATATATTAAATTCTGTATATATGCTTACTTAATTTCTTTGTTATTGCCGGTAGATTATCTTCCTTAGTATTTTTAATTAATTCTAATAGAGATAATTTTATATCTCTTTCAAAATTTCCGCATTTTTCGTCATCGCAATTGTATGCGGAATAGGCGAATGTTAATAAACTTAGATAGTCATCCGTTGTATAAATTCTATCTTCTTCATCCCTTTTCAAATCGGCTTTTAACGAATCGTTTACTTGCGATAAGGCTGACGACGGCTCCTCAGCCATTAATATCCCTTTTTCAGCGGCAAGTAATTGTTTCCTTTTATGTTCTGTATTTAATGCATCAATTACACTTTGAGCTATCTGCAATACTCCAGATTCGGATTTCATAGTTTCTATCTTTTTACTAAAAGAAAATTAAAGAACTTATAATAAATCATTTAAATCAATAAAGAAATAATCGATTACTGGAATAGATTTAAAATTGATTTTAATTCTTCCACTCCTATTCTTGATACCTTTGGAGGTTTAGATAAAAGATTTTCTTTCGATGCAGATTCGATTAAATTCCTTAGAACAGCTGTTAAAGCGTCGTCATATTTCGAATACGCCATTTGCTTTAATAACGTTTTGCTTCGATTACACTGAGGTTGAGATAAACAACCTGGAGCAAGTGTATATTTGCAGGATCTTTAATAATAATAATAGTAAAAGTAAAATTAAATATCAATCGCCACTATAAATCATTTATAAGGAAAAACAAGTAATACTTACGCATGTAAACCACTTAAGTAAGACATATCAGTTTCAACATCAACTAAATGATCTTCCAATGGTTTTAGAACGTTTAAACAATAATCTAATAAATTGTCTTGTCGATGACCAGCTGCACTAAGAATATCAGCCGTCCTATCGACAATGAGCATTGAGGCTTTTAATTGTTGATTATTCTAATAGATAAACATACTTATACATAATCTATACGTAAATGTATATTATAAAAAACAAACTTTTCTCCTCTGCCTAGCCGATTGTAGAGATGCCAATTCAGACGCAACAGCTTTCGATGTAAATCCCATTGAATATATATCTTCACATATCCCTAATTGTTGTAATAAACTATCAATTGCCGTTACCAATAGCTTTTCAAAAGAAAAAATATGAAATAAAATAAAAAATAGGACAAATCTTGTTAAAAAATAAATAAAATACTTTATATTGCAGTTGACCTTCTTTCATTAAATGTGTAAAATCTAAATCGGTAATTTTCATATCATTCTGTAATAAAATAAATGTTTTACAAAATAATTAAAAAGGGAAATTTCTTTAAGAAAAAGTAAAGACCTTTGGATTTGCTTGTGCTTTAATTAGTTCTTCTAATTCATTCGATAAAAGCGGCATAAAGTTACCATCTTGCGGAAGAATAACTAATTCTGGTAGAATGTTACAAAAAGCAAATGGAATATACATAACTTCTACTGTATAATTCTGTTAATAAAAAGATAATTAAAGGATTATTATATAAATAATTTTTATATATTTGTACCATATTTCCCATCCAATCGCATAGGGTTGTCTCCATTTCAGTGAAAGATCTATTTTCGTTTGCCTCTCCTATTCCGTAATTAAAAGTTGTGTGCATAGCTGGAGGTATTGCACTTATAAGAATAATGTATTGGAAATTGCTACATTGAATGATATTTCTTAATGTTCTGCTTATTTCCCCTTCAATTAAGGACGATAAAATGAAAACTGCTTTTTGGTATTCTTGACTAGAACTCTGTAAGTATTTTGTAAGTTTAAGGCAATTTGATCAACTTTGATGAAGAAAATTAAGTGATAGTAATTCATCTCTTTTTTAAACTTACCTCAGACATATTAAATTGTTTAACTTCGGCAGCGCCGTTTTGATAAAGCATATCAATACCTCCGCACCAATGCAAACTTTCTATACTAGGAGCGTCTAAATAGACACTCGCTCGTTTAACTTCGCGACAAACAAGCCGCCATGCATCTCTACATTTATCAAAGATACTAATTTTCTCTTGTGGTGGCATTGTCGTCTAATAATAAGATTATTATTAACGTCAACGTGTTATTATTGTAGTAATGGAAACTGGTGATTATATGAAAAATAGTGAAAATAGACTGGTTCCCAATCCAAAAACAAGGTTTTTAGTTTTTTAAAAACTTTTATTTTGTATCAATATCACTCTTTTGATTGGTTTTAAAAGAGAGTATACATGTTAATATAATTAAAAATAGTTTATGAGGAAAAAGCTTAAAAAAAAGTGATCCCTGTTAAAAATTTCTTTTACTTCTAAAATCACCAGGAAGAAATAGAAACGAAAACATAGGAATATGTTTTATTTTTATTATTGCATAATGAACAGATTGTATATTTTTTAATCATAAATATGGCCAGATTGAAAAGCTTTGACGATTTCTTCAAGAGTTGTAGCTGTACCAACAGCAAATCCAAATAAACCGAATGCTATTATCAGAATATTTTTAATGAGTTTCCATCGAAAATATCCTAAATCATTGGGCCAGTTTACGATACAGTCAACAATCGGAGGAAATATTAAAGCGATACTTGAACTACTAAATGCTCCAATTAAAGATATTAATAGATTTAATTGGGGTAGTACAGCAGCAGCGACAACTGTATGAATAATTTTATAAACATTAACAAACGTAGTTGAGAAATAGAATAATAGTAATAACGTACAAGTTGAAAGGACAACTATGGTTTTGAATAGATATCTGCACCATCTTAACTTCAACCTCGAATAATTTCTATTAAAGAAGAATGAAAATATTGTTTTCAATTATCATAAAAATTCTTTAAAAGTTAGAAGAAAGAGAGATGAGGGAGAGAGATAGTTACCTTTTTTCCAATTTTTTCCTAAAATAAGGCCAAATTATATTGATTGGTACAAGAAATTGCAATCCGTATGATAGAAATATAGCTAAAGCTATTAAGATTTGAATACAGTTGTATTGCCTATTTAGTATTAAGAAAAGTTGAATAATTAGTGATGATTCAATAAACTATACGAAAAATAATATTAACCATTGATTCGATGGAAGATTTAAAGTTATACTGCCTTTTACTTTCTTACCAACCTTCAGAAAGCCAAAAAATCCGACTGCTGTATATAATGCAGTTACAATAAACATTCCTGTGTTCAATACTCCGTTCCAAGCGTTAAATCGATGCTTATATTTCATTTTATTTTCAATTGGCATAACTAAACCAATTCCTTCAAATGCGTAAATAGCTAGGCCAAAGAATAATGGTAAAGTTGACCAACTTTCGAAAGCGGGATAGTCTGAAACGTCTGGCAGATCATATGTACTGTAGACTAGAACACCAATTAAACCGGCCATTGTTGAAACATTAGCAATCGTTGAAAAATATGAAAGATTTCTTAAGCCACCAATAAATGTATAAGGAATTAATACTAGAGTTACCAATATTTCATAAACTCTAATATTAATTGAAATATCTGGATGATAAGCTTTAACTACAATTTCCAGAGTTCTTGATATAAAAAGTATATAAACAATACAAAAGCCAAATTGCGTTATACATAAGAAAGTATCAACAATTAATCTAAAATAATGAATATAAGAGAATATTTACATATGCAAATGAGATATATACTTAATTGCTCTGGCAAATCTTTGAAATTTAACTGGACCCTGTCTAAAAGCTTCTTCTACTACTCTACTGTAGCCCAAATTTTCACCATCGCTAAACAGCAATATTAATTAATATTTAAATTACTTTAATAAGTTATTCAATGCTTACGGATCTTTTAATTTTCTTGCAGCATTTATTAATAAATGCATACAATGCGTTGCTACTAAACCAAGTATTGGAATTAATACAAATCCAACCTAATTTCAATTCATGAGTAATTAAGTATTTATATATATATATATATATATATATGTCTATAGACATTCATTTAAATAGAATACTTACCCAAATTCCTGAATAGCTAAGTGCAGCTGGCATAGCTAATATTCCAGTGCCTATATTTCCTTTAAGGAGATGCATAAGAGATTGTGTCCCGCTATGATTGAATAGTATTTATAACTAATTTTTAATATCCATTACAATCTTAATAAAAATTAAGTCTTTGGTTCTACAGATGGGCTGAATAATCATTTTTATAGAAATGCTATATCTATATTTAGAAATTTTTCAACTTTATATAAATAGATTAATTGTTATATATTAGTATGTTTTAATTGTTTATTTTTTTTATATTTGCTTATATACAATTAATTGAATAATTAACTTACGTCGTGGTTGTCCGTGGTTTACTTTGTAGACTATACAGCTCAGTTTCTGCACTGTCTAAACCGGTTTCGTTAGAAATGGTTTCATCTCCAGTCTCTTCAACTGATCTTGGTGAATAATGAGCATTACCCAAGAGCGCATCAGTTTCAGTTGCCATTTTTTAGTCAATAGCTATCACAGAATTATTAACTATGATGTAATCTATAACTGCAGTTACAAATTATTAATTAACTATCTTCAAATGAGTATTTCATCTAACAAAAACCCATCGAGTGAAAGTTAACTTCTAAAGTCACATGATTTATCTCGGATTATTTATATTCCTCAGACGATTTTAGCAGACGATATTTTTTCAAAATACTCTTACCTTGTTAAATCTTCGTTTAAATCATACTTCTCGTAAAAACTAAAATTATTTTTCCAAAATATAATATTTATACTATATATAAAAATATTGTATTACGTAAATCTTGCAGATCAATGTCACAGTACTGCTCAAGGTCACCTTAGCAGACGACGTATAATATTGACATTATTTTTCAACCGTTTTTTTTATTCTAATACAAATTTTACTCTCTAACAAACAGTTCATTTAGAATTATGGAAATTTAGTTTGAGAGCTATTTATCATATAGATAATTAGCATTTGCAATAGTCTATTAGTATCAAAGTATCCTTAGATTTGAAGAACGATAATTGATATAAAATATAGAGAGCAAAATGAATATTATCACTAAAAGTAACTTGTTAAAGTTACAATGTAACTTTATTAAACAAGGGTTAGTTTCATTTCACGGGACAAGTCAAAAGTCTGCGATTGAAATAAAAGTTGATTATAAGATGAAAAATAAAGAAGGTATGATTGAAAACAAATCGGAAATGATATCAAAAGAAGATGAAACTGTTCAGAAAACATTTCATGGTCTTATAAAAGGCGAGCGTTCAAGCTTAGCTAAAAGTATAACAATGTGTGAATCAGTTCATCCAAAAAAAAAGGCTCAAGCTCAAGTTTTGCTTGCCGAAGTTCTCGAATACAATAAGAAAAAGGGTAGAAAACGAAACGCCAAGAGTAACGCCCTACGTAATAAACTGACTATATTATAATATACTTTTAAATATCTTTTCCTTTGAATAGCAATGACGAAACACGCATCCTTAAAACATGGAACATTTAGAATTGGTAATAAATTTTAATCTTTATATTAAAATCACTATTTCAAACTTAATTTCGAAAAACAGGTCTCTCTGGACCTCCAGGTGCGGGAAAAAGTACTTTTATCGAGGCATTTGGTAAATTCTTAACTGAACGAAAGCATAAAGTTGCCGTCTTAGCCGTTGATCCTAGTTCAAGTACTACAGGAGGTAGAAAGTTTTAACTTTTCATATATTTTGAACACTTAAGCTTATTTATATTAAAATATTAAGGTTCTTTATTGGGAGACAAAACGCGTATGCCTGAATTATCGGTTGACGCTAACGCTTATATCAGACCTTCACCATCCTCCGGAACACTTGGTGGAGTTACAAGATCTACAAACGAGGCAATTGTTCTCTGCGAAGGAGCAGGTTACGATACTATTCTTGTTGAGACAGTTGGTAAGGTTGTTTTACTAATCAATAGAATAATTTATATTTTCAATGTGTTCTTCTATTCAAACTTATAGGAGTTGGACAATCCGAGTTCGCAGTTGCTGATATGGTTGATCTATTCGTTCTCATTCTACCACCAGCAGGTGGAGATGAACTTCAAGGCATTAAGAAGGGTATAGTTGAAGTTGCTGATTTAATTGTTATAAACAAATCCGATGGAGATTTAGTAGCGGCGGCAAGAAGAATCCAAATGGAGTATATATCTGCACTGAAATTTATAAGACGAAGAAGCAAAGTATGGAAACCAAAAGTAAGAAGAATTTCATCAAAAACTAAAGAAGGTATTGAAGATCTTTGGGAAAAGATGAAAGAATATAGGAATCTCTCGCTAGAAAGCGGTGAACTGGAAACGAAAAGAATGAATCAACAAAAGATTTGGATGTGGAGTCATATAAAACATGAGATTATTGATATATTTAAAAACCATTCTCATGTAAAAGACAAAGTAGATACTTTGGAAAAAGAGGTCTCGTTGGGTAATATTACTCCTGGTTACGCAGCTGATACTCTGCTTAGTTTATTCAAGAGCAAGAAACTCTAGAACAGTTTAAAGAACGATTAGGCATATAAATTATTAATTAACTGTTAATTTGTATTTTATTTGAAAAGAATAACATTGAAAAATGATTAAATATTTTTTCGGAATTAAGATTAAAAGGTCTTTTCCTTGAATTTGAATAATATATTATTTTATTGAGAATGGAGATGATACCGTTGGAGAGATAGGAACAGAGGAGGAGGTGGACGAAGAAGAAAAGGGAAATGTAGAGGATAAAATATTACTACTATTTATTATTTCTTTTACATCTGTTTTCGTATTCGAAACCCTTTTTTGTTGCATTCTTTTAATGATTATTCTATTTACCAAACAAAATATAATAGAAGAGGTAAACAAACATCCAAAGATTGTTAATTGTCCCAATAGACTTATTTTCATCTCTTTTCTTCTATTTCGATATTCGAAATCGTCTCCGAAACAATTATAATGAGGTTTTGAAGGTTTTGGATTATTGCATTTTCTAGTTCGAAAGCTCTTCCCTTTAATGTTTGAATCGAAATTCCAGTTAGACCAGCTACTCCATTCTCCAATAAGCGGTCTCCAGCAAAGTGTTTGATGCTTCTCCTCGCAATCGGCTCCTTGCCATTGTATTTCTTTTTCTTCGATCATGGCCAAGTAACAATCACCTTCTAAACTACTCACAACTTTCTCATCTACTACGTCAGTATCGTTCCAAACGAAAGAGTCCCATACAAAAGTTCTTTCGGGTCCTTTCATCTTACGTATACCTAACCAAAGAGTCATGTTTTTAAAAGCATTACGAAGAAATCTGACCAGATTTGAAGCTTTTTGAACATTTGATAATTTAAATAGATGCAAACCGAGATTCTGACAATATTGAACACCTTCCTCATAAGTTAAATATCCTCCGTATGACAAACAATAACCGCTTAATTCGTCATAATAAAAGATTGGTAATTGACAAACGTTGGACGTAAAAATACAACGCTTATCAGTCAATCTGTAAAGTCTTTCTAAACTGCTAGATTTCGATTTCAAAAAAGAACAAAACGATGTTGATTTAACACATTTATATCTTTTATCTTCTATCTTTAGTGAATAAACTTCCCTACAAAGTTTATCTTGTAAGCACCAATTGATACAGAGTTCAAATGATATCATATTTTCAACGCTATGCTGTATTGTTGGAATACTTAGAAATTTATTCAAGCTAACTTCTGAATCATCTCTTTGAGTAGCAATCATAGATTGGCAAATATCCTTAGTTCTTAGGTGACCATAAAATTCAATTTCAACTGCCATATGAACACTATTCGGACTTGTAAATTGCCAGCAACGTCGAACTTGTCTCTCTTCTAAGCTTTGCGTACCGCAGGGACTCTCTAAAAACTCTTCAGCAGGTCCAGGATCGTTACACTTTCTTGTTCTATATTGTTTAATATTCGTAACAGACTTAAAGTAGCAAGGACAGTCGGACCATTTTGTCCAAGGGGACCAACCACCTCTCAGAGGACGTTGGCAAATTGCTGTTAACTTGGAGAAATTGCATAGGATTTCATTTTTTAATGGCAATCTTCTCCGATTTAAACCAAACATATCCTTCAGATCAACGGTTCGATAGCTTACGTATAAAGCGATACAATTCGATAGAGGAATGTCAGATATGTTTAAGCCTTTTAATTGATTATTATCCAAGAGTTCATATCGTTTTCCATCGCCAAAATTAGAGTTATAATGAAGTCGATAATCGATTAGTTTTGTTGACATCCATACAGTTTCTTTTGAAGGGAAGAGCGTTTTTACAGATTCAGATAACAAATCCGGTCTAAACATATTCATTTCTATACTCTGACAATATTTAGTAGCCTCTCTATATGTAACATTCCTTTTAATAACAAAACAAACTTTCGTTAATGCGTCGTACAAGACGTTGTCAATGGGAACGGTAGAAAATTTTGAACATATATCATGAGTTTTTACATAAAGCCAATGCCCAGCTGGAATATATGTATAGGCATAATTAGGATCAGTATCGCAATATCTTTCGGTCAAACCGCAATAACCAATAAGTTTATCATCTTTCATAGGAATATATAAAAATCCAACATAGGTTTGAGAGTCGGAACAGATTTTCCTACATTCGAAAAATGTCTTACCAACAATGTACTTTCTTGCGGTAGGATCATTACCATTCTCGTACGGAATTATTCTCTCTGTAGAGACAGAGGAGCTATTCCGTTTAGTAAAACTACCGAAATGAAATCGAAAGAGATGTGTAGGACCACAAATATCCCATAGAGCTGGTCTAAAGAATTTAAATGAATATTTAATAGAAGGCAAAGATTGAAGGACCATATCTGGTCTTGGAAGTCTGTCAAATATCCTACACCATAGTTTTAATGTAAGAGGAGGTTGCGTACAAGAACTATCACTCTTAATCTTAAGGAAAGGTATTTCTAAAATATGTCTTGGATATATATTTTCATATAAATCAATAATCGAATGATTGATTTCTAAGCCCAAGTGATCATCTTTAAAAGTAATTGTGGGTTGTAAGTCTGCATTGAGCCATAAATAATCAAGTCCAAATGTAGCACATAATCCTTTCATTAAATATTTCCTTCTTTCTTGAGCTAAAGCTTTAATGTTATTGATATTTATACATAAAGGTTTAAGCAAACCATTCCATCTCATATAAAGAAATCCACAACGGGAATTTCCGCTATTAATTTCAATTTGATCAATAAAACCAAATATATTGACTGTTGCTTTAATATGATCACAATCGTGATTAGTAAATGTTCTCATTATAAGAAAGCCATCAAACGATTCTAAATCTTTTATTGAGCTTGTTCTACTTGAATAGTTGATCTTACTTGAACCAAAATTAACGATATCTGTATATCTAGCCAAACTTTTAAATTGGGGAAAACAATAGCTCTGATCGACATGATTAAATTTAAGATTGCAATAATGATATCTAAAGGGTAATTTATATTTAGAAGAAGGAGTTTGTATAAACTAATAAAAACTAACTTAAAATGGATAGCCTTATCATTATCTCCTATGTAAGGTGGATTAGGTTTTTTAAGCATTTCTTTTATCAGCCACTTTTGACTTTCAGTTATATTCCAACCATCTTTCGGTTTATAACAAATGGTTGTTAATCTACTCTTACAATTAATCTTTTCCCTATCCATTAGTAAGTAATTCTTATTATATCTAATCAATGCAGAATTACAATCTTCTCGTAGACTTTTTAAAGGATAGAACTTTGATTTAACTTTTAATAATTTATCTCTTGATTGAAAAACGTTACGCCAATAGAAACCTCCATCTTTTTTTATTATAGGTAACCATATTCTCTCTCCTTTAGTAGAGAAAAACGTTTTTACCATATTTGGCAAATATTCATTATTCTCTGTAACCTTTAGAATTGCCATTCCTCTATTTGAACATTCTTTTTCGGCTTCTTCCCAATTGAATTTATCCTTCAAGATTGTATAACAGTACGAAGGTTTAAAATAGTTTTCAAAATACATCTCATTTGCATAAAGCCTATTTGAACATCTTTGGGATGTTCTAACATATAAATTTTGTCCAGGTCTTAGATAAACCATCTTGTTAGATTGAACATTTTCGCATTGTTTATTAGTAAGATGACAAATTGAGCCAGATTTTAATGGGAAAAAACCGAAGGCAACGCAATCTCTGCTATTTAAACATTCGTCCGCGCAATTGTCAACCGTTTGAGAAGAAATAGAAGTTTTCGAATTGTTCCATTGTAAATTTGCTTCATTTATTAAATGAAGTGGTCCACAAAGGTGATAATTATCTTTTCCTGGTCGATATAGTATAAATATTACATGCATTTTAACAATCTTTAAAGGAGGGAAATAGGTTGTATTCTTCGAATTGCATTTAACTAGCAGAGGTTGTTTACAAACTTTACTAGAACTTTCTAAAGCATTGGCTTCGAATAGGTGAGATAAGATAACATCATCGAATATCTTGCTAGATATTAAATCGTTTGTATGTTTTGTAGAGGATAAAAAAACTGATGGAAATTCTTTAAACAACCTTTCATACTTCCGGTCAACTGTATCGTGCATAACTTCTGATTCCATATGAACACTTCGACATATTGCTTTTGAAACGACCCAAACTTTCGTATAGGCTTGATATTCTTTTAAAATATTTTTATTGTCAAGACAAACTAATCCGAATTGCTTGTTAAAGCGAACTAAACCAATACCGCAAATCATTTTTACTCCGCAATTATCCGTTTGAATTTCCCTAAGATAAACTCTACCATCAATTGATTCATAGCCAGTCTCGTTGACTAAAACCAAGCCATACTGAGAATTTGTACCCTCAACCTTTCTTACAGTTCTAAAGGGAGGAAAGTAATAATTTAAAGATTTTCCATAATGCCAACAATTAGTTATTGATCTGTTACAAGTTATCTTTGGAGAATTTAGAGTATTTTTTTTTGAATCTAATGTCAGAAATAGAAGAAATATAATTGAGAAAAAGCTAATTGAATGTAAAATGTTACATTTACACATTCAAACAATTGTTAATCTATTTAATTGAAATAAGCAAAATAAACGACATTTGGATTATAAAATAATACCATTTTTATTTTGTTTGTTTGTTGTTTGTCAATTTTTTGTTTTTTTAAATATATTCATATTTCGTTCGACAAACAATTTTACTAATATTTTATTACATGTTGAAGAAAAGTCGGAAAGGCTAATATATTTGTGATTTTATATTATCGTTATCATTATTATTATTCTTTCAATTGTCTTCAGCGCTATCTTGAACTCTTTCCTTCAGTTCATTACGGGCACGGTGACCACGAAAAGTTGCTTGTATTTTTATAGCCGCCTTTTCTGTTTCAGGATCGTCCAAATCGACGTCTGTATTCTCTTCGGCTAAATCTAAAGTTATTATTAAATTTAGAAAAAGACGTCAAGAGCGAACTAAGAAGAAATTACCTTCATTCTTATTTTCATTTTTAAGTTTGGTTGAAGAACTAGCGTTGCATCCCATAATTAGAGGAAGAGTAAAGGTATTAAGTCTTCTGTTTGTTAATTATTTTGAAGTTGATTCCATGGCGATAACCCTGTTTAATTCTCTTAGACCATTTCGACTTATTGATATCGTATTAATTGCTTCCTCAGTTAAACTTTAATCAAATCAATGAACTTTTGGCCTACGAGATCATTTACAAGCAATTTAAAATTTGTAGACGTGAAATGCCCCTCTTTTACTCTTATTATTAATTTAAGTCATGTCTAATAAAATTCTTCTCAACTACTGTAAAACTGCTAGTCTTACTTCTTTCATTACATTGCCTACTAGAGATGATATTCTAGTGTATGGATCTTACAAAATGGAGCGTGAATGTAAAGACAAAGACAGCGAAATAGATTTTATCAAACGGTCAAATGTATTATCTTTTTATTCTGACAAAGTGTATCACCGGAAGTTTCTACACAGAGTCGACAACTGGTGGTTCGTAGTTGTCTGGGCGAGCAACCTTTTCACCACCTTCAGAAATGACACCACCTTTGGAGGTACCCTCACCATGTAGGTCCATCAAACGACCCAAATCGAATTTCGGTTTCTTAAGAATTTTAACTTTACGGATGTAGACATCATGTAAAGGAAAGATTCCTTGACAAGATTTTTCGATATCTTTGCTGATCGAGTCTGGGATCAATTTGTTGACGACTTCTTTAAGCTCAAAGTTGGAAATTTCGCGGGTCATTATTTCAACCATCTTCTTTCTGATAGTTCTTACCTATTATTTAGAAAAAAAAATAAAATTACATATGTCTCTTATTTTACGGATAACTTTACAACATAATGATTGTTTGATGGTGGATAGGTGAATGAATGGTACGTTTATATACATATTAGAGAAACAAGTTCAAACGCCTTTATTTGTGATGTTGCCTAATATGTCGTAAAAAAGATCACTTACTTGTTGTTGTTGAGCATAGCACGTTTTGGAAGTCTGACCGCTATTTTTCTTGGTGAAGGCTATGCAGAACATTCTAAGGAGATATCCATCGCTGGTCTTAGCATCAACGTTGGCCTCAATGAGAGTTTGCCATTTTTTGACCATTGATCTCAATTTATCGGTTGTCAAATCCATACCGTGGAAATTTGTTAGTACATGTTTACCTTGTACTTCTTCGGCAACCATCTTAAACTTTCTAAAAGCGACTTCATCGTCTTGCAAGTCAGCCAATGAAACTTCAAACACTCTACCTTTCAGACCGTCCGAAGCAATTTCTGTATTCAAGTGACGGTCAGACAGATTCAATAAAATAAAAATTTATCTTACTTGTTCCTATGGTCTTGGTAACTAGAGTTTTACCAATGTTACGTTTGTTAAACATACACGGCACTTTAACATCATACCATTCCTTCTTGGCGAATGGATCCACACTGTTACATATCCAAAAAAATCTCATTAACAATTAACATTTTACGCAAAAAAAATGGCCTAATCTTTAGATTATCATTATATCTTTAATTCCAATGAATAAAAGCTACATACGCCTTCTTCTTTCCACCCTTTTTGCCTCCTTTTGATAGCCTCTTGTTTTTACCGACAACCATCTTGCCAGATTTTCCGGAAAAGGAAGTGTAAATTTTCTCGGACCCCGCACTCGATTTTTCGACTCTGTTTCGTTAGCGAGAAGTCAAACGACTATTTCGCATATTTTTTTTAATGTTTTGATGCTTTAACTGAAAATCGACAAAGTTAACGTAAATCTTGGATTTATTAGAAATTTATAAGATAGAAAAGATGGTAAATTGTTTTATACTTTAATCCATAGCTAATCATATTTAAAAGAAACTTAATAGAGTGGGCGATAAAAGGATATATTTTACTATCTTTTCAGTCTTCTCAGTCCCGAGTTATAAAACTGGGCGATCAAAGTACTTTTGTTCAAATATCAAACGGTAAAATACTGCAAGAGAATGGTCAGAATGTTTATTACGTCCTTGGAGATGAACAAGTCGAGGAGATTGAACAAAATACTCAAGAAGAGACCGAATATGTAATAATGACAAATCAACAAGGAGACAACGAATCCTTAGCATTACAGCAATTAGATGTTGCTGAAAATTGTGTAGTTGATTCAACAGATACGATACGAGTAAGCATTCTACCTCCAGAGTGTCATGTGCCCTCATCCGAAATTATATCGTTGGAAAACAAAGCTCAAGAAGAAAAGGAGGAGAAAGAATCGAGTTCATTTAATACAGTTGCTGAAGAAGTTACAATTGGAAGGATTGGTACACCGTATTCGTATTCAAAGAAAAAAATGCTGCAACCAGGTCCTACCGCAGTATCAGATGTAGAAATTATTACTTGCCCAACCGTAGCAGTAAAAACAGGTTAATTATTATTTTAAATACTATAAATAAATAAAAACTTTTAATAATTAATTGTTGTGTCATAATTTAATGAATTTCAGAAAGTAGAATGGCATTCGAAAGAAGTAATATACCCATTCACGCACCAAAATATGTTTGGCAATGTGAACAGTGTACTGCGTTAATGGAAAACGAAGCAGAATACAAGAATCACATAACATCTTGCGACGAAATGATAGAAATTAATAACGATACAAGGTAAAACAATGTAAAGCCTACTTGGAACCTTTGAAAATAAATTTTTTTTCAGGTTTATATGCCCAAGGTGCCAAAATACATTTAAACGATTGCCAAGCCTACATTTTCACCTTGATCGAATACATTCTATGATCGTACAACATCCTCAAACAAATAATGTCCCCGAAACAGACGAAATGTCGTTTGATAATGGTCAAGAGGACGAAGACGTTGATGATGCTGAATTAAGTGACGAAGACAATAGTTAGAATGTCTAGTTATGTATATAGTTTATTTGTATGTATCATTTGTAAATATTTTATTACTTAAGAGCTGACCAGCTTCCTATACTTTCCGGGTCTTTTAATTGTTTACTCATTAAGGCTTCACCTTCTTTTTCCATTCGGTTTATGATGAAATTACTTGCATCAATGAAACGGTTGACGCAATTCGTTAGACACGTCTCAGTTTTCTTTTCTAATCTATTCGACGGTGTTCCCATACATGCATCCCAACAATGGTCTGTTAGTGAGTGAACGATTTCTTGAAATTTTTGACGTTGGGTCTCCGTTTCAACAAAACGTTTCAGTTGTGGATCAGATGCCTAAATAATTCATAACTACATTATCGTTCATAAGAAAGTCTACATTTTAGTTTTCAGTAATCATTTAAGAGTCATTAAATTAAGTAATAAAAAATTTGTTAAATTTACCATTTTTCAAATCGTATAAATTTTACTGTGTATTTTTTTACTTATGATTTCAAAGAAAAGTACGCCTGAAGTCAAACCACAGACTTTTGAGCGATACTAAATAACAAAATTATTTACCAGTTTATATAAAAAGTTTTGAATTATATCCCAATAAGATATCAAATTTCTTTATAAGCCACTTCATTTATTATACCATAAAGAATAGAAAAACAATTGTCCTACATGTCAAAATTTGTTTCCAAGTTTTGTAAAAAAAAAACACATTTTATTTTTCACATTCTGTATCTTTCTGGTGAAGACAGCGTTGTCACAAAATTTACAAAGCACAATTAAATAAATCTTTGGAAGAAAATCTACAGAAGTTATTTTTTTTCAAAAATACAAATTGCAATAGTAAGTAGACGCCTTCTTATCTAATAGAAAATATACTAAGTACAAAGTATGTCAGAAAGTAATCAAAGCACCGTCAAACAAGAAAGTTTAAAGGCATTAAATATGAACCCGATTTGGAATATGCTGAGGATCGAGATACGGATAAGAATATTTTAATGTCGGGTTTTCTTTCCTTTTCTGCTCTCTTAACTTGCTTGCTTCGCTTAATTGAGCCAAATCTTGCTGAAATTCTTTTACAGCTTGGATACACATAGGCTCGTAATGAGCGTGATCCTCTCCTAATGATCTTGCTTCGGTATTGCTGATTAATTTGGTTAAAGCTGCAGTCTCACATGTGACTTGTTTGGATGGTATGAAAGAGCATAATTCATCTTCTGTTATAGGTTGCTTAGTTCTTGGTGGTGAGCCCTTTAACAGCAGGGGATAACTGGGAGGGAATGCACAGTGATCATACAATGGCAGAGAGGTTGCTGCATGAACACCCGTACACGTCCATATAATACCAGTTGCTATTTTAATGATTTCATCCTGAGTTTTTACAGAAGGCGGAAGCCCATTCACTCCGATTCCTCCAAATGACCTCTCTCTAGCCAATTCGCCAATAAATTGTTGAAGCTCGTAATCTTTTATAACTGAGTCCATGTCCTTGTAATAAATTTTAATTACCTTTGTTACATAAGAATTCATCACTTTGTGTAGTGGTATAGCCTCATCCCTGTAAGAGTAGTTTGGTAGAACATTCAGATCAAGAAGACCTCGTTGTTCCAATTCTCGCGGTACACAGCCCTAGAAAAGAAACCAGAATACAAATTTAATTCTATGTTCGTTGGTAAAAATATTTTAATTATAAATTACTTGAATGTCCAAGCACCAAGCCTCCGCTGCCCTTATGCATAGCTCTAAAGTTCCCTTTCTCCCTACTGAAAGATTTCTCTCTGCCCAGCCTGACTCTGAGAGCAATTCATTGACAACTCGCCTGTTCAAAGAAGGTATATGAGCTAGATGAGGATATAGTAGTCTATGAAGAGGATGAGATGGTGCTAGATGGCGTTGTAAGGCCACAGAAATTCCTTCCATCATCATGTGTGTAATACCAAATCTCCATAGACAAAAGCTTAATGTTGCATCAGCATGATTAAACCACATCTTTGCAGCTATCCAAGTCAACTTCGGATCGGAGGGAAAGAAAACGGGCCCATCTCTTTCTAGTTGAATCGCAATGGGTTGGAGCTTTTTATCTCCAGAAACGAAGAACAAACCAATAGCCGCATCACACAGATGTCTTCCGGGAACTGTGGTAACACCTTCCAACAAATGAGAATGATCAACGAAGAACAATCTTCTAGCCTGTATGATCTGTTTCACTGACCATCCTTCCAGGAAAGGCTTAAGCATATCATGAGTAACTGGTAGTCGATCAGGAAGAGAATGACATAAACAGATACTAGTCGGCAAACACCCTGCTAAGCGTTGGGCGCCGAAGCAACAATCGCTAGACCAATCAGACTTACAAGCTGGAGTTGGAAGACCTCCAGGACCATCAAATAATTGAACAACTTCATCAAAACCGGCAAACGATGTGGAAGTTGTTCTCGCTAATCCATATTGTGCAAGAAGTTCTGTTTTTCTTCTTATCAGATCCCAAAACGGAGCAAGTTCCGAACTAGTATCGATAACGTCCCTCTGTTGTAGGGGCGCATGGGCCACCAATTGAGCATATTGATGTGAAGATCTGTTATCATAAGGTATGATTTGTATATTTATTTATCAGCCCGATAAATTATAAACATTTTAATGATACAATTTCTATAAAAAGTAATTTGTCTTATAAAAAACATGCTATTGAAGATAACAAATCAGTTATAATAACGTTCTAAAATTTTTAACTTGTTTTCCTCGTTTAAAACTGATAATAAAAAGTTTCGAAATTGTCGTAAAGACGTTATTTTATTGTTTCAAGCTGACCTACCGATTTTCTATTAGCTCCGCTTCTCTTAATTTGGCATGAGCGTCATTCTGAGGTAAGCTAGTGTCGTTTCTTTTCACTCGTATCCTTCTTCCTGCCTTTAACCAACGACCAATAGGAAAATGTGTTATAAGGCCTTTCGCCCTACTATGAACTGTAATAACATCGCATAGCCAATCAGCGTCCGAGTCATTTGGGTCTCTCCAGATTTCCAACTCTGTAACCGATGACAATTGGTCCCATGATTCCGCTTGAAAGACGTCAGTATGCCCAGGTTGCGGATCCATAACTTCTACTGGTATCTCGTCAACATGAATACCTGTATGAAAAAGCTGTTTATCAATCTGAAACTTTCTTTTGCATGACTATCAGACCCATATTGTCATAGGCAATCATTCGCAATCTGACATTCGTAGCCGACGGTCTGGCATCTCCTGTCCTTATATAAATCCAATAATTTACGGCTCCTTTTACCGCGCAACAGTTATTCCCCATCTTTCACAGGTACATTTATCAGATTAATCACCGCCCTTATCACCTGGATCAACCTGAGTCACGTGACAATATAAAAAAAACTGGTATACTTGAAACTAACAGCCTCTTTTATTTCCGTTTCTTTGAATATTTAAAAATATTGAAGTCTTATTGTCTGTACTTGTTACTAATTCCGTTGTTTCTGTTTGTTTTTATCAATCTTATATGTTTATTAAGGGAAAAATAATAACTTGAATATCTGGAGTAGATTATGACAGACTGTACAGCATGATAAATAATATGTATTGCTTGTCAAACTAAAAAGTTTACAATTGAAAGAGTTATCGATATATATATATTGTTTTTATACAGTGAGTTTACTTAAGTTTGTATTTATTATTATATTTTTCCATTAGAGATTTTATCTTTGGAAGTGAATTGTCTATAATAGAGTTCCTGTCAACACTCTTTAATGGACATCTAACAGGACCTAGGTTAATATCCAGAAAGAAACTTGTAAAAGTTTTTAAAGATGTAATACCACGCCCTATAGATAAAATATATAGTTAATATATCTCTATACTACTAGAAGAATACTTGTATAAATTACCATTTTCAAAGATAATCTCTAAAAATTCCTGAGCAAAAGTTTGAATTTCAAGAGCCTTTTTAAGATTTCCATCTTCGAATGAACTGATTAATTCCGTGTAGACGTTCCCTGTTTCGCGTGTTATTTTGTAAGATCTGAATGATATATTAATACAAGTAGATTGTTATTATTCTTACCAATATAGTTATAAGTTGAACCAATAGCTGCATCTATCCCAAATACCATGGCTCCTAACAATTGTTCGTCCATACCGTAGAGAATGTTATATTTTCCATTATCAATCATTCTACACAAATTTATTTCAGACAAGTTCCAATGACTATATTTCAAACCCCGAAGATTAGGTATTCTCTTTGCAGCTGTCCATAGAAACTCTTTCATGCATACTAAGTTTAAAACGGAAAAGAAACATAGATGATAGGGATTGATAAATTATCAGATTATTTACATTGGATATTCGTTCTCATAGGAATATGATAATAGTAGAAAGGAATGTTAGGGGCTTCACTCGCTACTCTTGAACAGTAGTCAATCAAATCGTCTAGAACGATTTGAATATTTTCCTATTTAATTAAAGTGCAATAGATACAGACCAATTGTTTCTGGTTTAAAGTAGGTCGGTGCCATAGCTGAAATGGCGTCAACATGCTTTTCATTACAAAATCTCGCTAATCTACAAGCATCTTTTACGGACTCGGCGCCGACATGAATTATTACATTTTCTAAATTATTTTTCTCCTTAACATTCATCCAATGTTCACTTAATTTGTTCCTCTCTTCAACACTTAGGGAAAGACCTTCTCCAGTAGAACCATTAACTATTAAAGTTTACTTAATTAGAAATAAGTTAATTCTATTATCTAAAACTTTACCAAACACGTTTTTAACGTTGATACTACTCAATTTTTCAGCATATTTATCAATTATCCCATAATTGACATACCTACAATTAAATTTATTACATATACTTTGTTAGCAAAAGTACAAAAGTAATGATTAATAAACGTACTGATTATCGTCAAAGGGCGTAAAAACAGCTGCTACTAAACCCTTTATTCTATAATTACTCATTTTGAATGTAGCCATTCTCTGTTTATTCCGTATGTACTTTACTAATATAATTACTCCCACAAAATATATTTAAAAAACAAATTAATGATAAGATAAAAGTTTCAATAGATATCTGCATGTTTTTTTTTTACTCTTATTTGTTTATTACTTGTATTTAATGCAACTATTTCCATATTTATGAATTATTTAATAGATGTTGTTTTTTTTTCATTTAAATATTCGTACTAATGAAATGCTTATTCTATTGTAAACATTATCTATTATATAAGATACCAAATTTGTTTGTATTATCATTTATTCACTAGATGGCGCTTTTTTTATCATCTCATAGCATAGCATCATCTATTACTTGTATATTAAGTAAATTATGAGATAGTTCCTACAAATATAAATAGATATTATTAATACGACGAATTGTTATTCATAAAAACCCAAGTATTAGCAATAAAAATACGAAAACTGTGTTACCCCGAGAGACGGCAAACACCCTTTACTAATCCATGAAGATCAATACGCCCTGCACATAGTCCGCAAGAAAATTCCGCCATGATTGCGCACGTTCAGAAAATTTTCGCTTTGTTCGTTACGATATTCGCTATTGTCAGTGCTCAAGAGAGTAAGTAACAAACAAAAATAATCAATAAATAAGGATGATAATTAATTATTACCGAGAGCCTTCGCTTTTCAACCTATTTTGTTTGTCATTCATTTGACATTGTTGTGATTTTTTATTCTTAGGCATAAATCCACACGAGGGTTTCAACGTCTTTCTGCACGCTGGTATAGCTTTATTAATGAGCTTCGGTATCTTAGCATCATGCGCAGTTGGTGTAAATGTCCTCAGTAAATATTGCGCTAAACGTATTGGCAAAGCCGAATAAAAAGTAAGTAACGATTAAGAGATGCATTTAATTTTACTCTTTATAGAATATATATGTGCATACAGTATTTTTAAATATCATACAATAAATGAGATAATATATATTATTCCATAATTTTCAGACTCATCCCACCGATATCGTAGAGATTTCAAGGAAATTGTGTGATTTAGTTGTTTTTTCCTAGCTATATTGACTTATTACGCATAAAAAGGATATAAATTATTATAGAGCATGTTTTTTTAATTGTTAAAAAACACTATTTTAGTATCTTGTTTAGACCTTTTACCAATTTTTGTTTGTTTATATATCGTCCATTGCATTGTTATATTCAGAGAAGAAAAAGTTGGAACAAACCTATATAATAAGATAAGTCAAAAAATGTTCTTAAGAAAATTTAAATAATACAATTTAAAATGAACACTGCTGAAGAATTTTTGACATTACGTAAAAAAAAAAGAATAAAAGAATAAAGAACAAAAAAATATGTAACGTTCCTTCGTTCTATTTGCATCAAATAAAGAGTAAATTCCGTGAATTCTATAATGGGTAAACTGTATTGTGATCTTTATTCGCTTCAAAGTTAAGAGGAAATATATATAATATATATATATAATTCAATTCATAAAAAAAGATATTGAAAGAGGAAAAACGAGATATGGAAAAAGAGTCATAAAAAAAAAGAAAAGAAATTTTCATGCTATTTACAAAGAAGATTTAGCAAAGCAATCAAAATAGTTCTACTCGGTTTAACATAAATAATATTTGTATATACGTATACATGAGATAATATTACTTTTTCAAAAAAGTTATGCCTTCAATTAGTATTTTAAAGAGAGTATGAAATTTATAGAAATATAATATATGAAAACAGTAAAAAAGAATACATGATACTTTTTAATTACTATACAGGTAATTTAATTATAGTAGTTTTTATTAAGTTATAAAAGTCTACTTAATTGAAGAAAGTTAGTTAATAGGGGAAAATAAGTTTCTCTCCTTCTCTTCTTTTGTCTATATATATCTTTGAAATAATATATGTACGGTTTGTATGATGAAAGGCATTCTTTTAGTTTTTTCCTAATAATTTTTTCTAACTTGTTATTTTAGAACGCAGTTCTTTCACGGAAAAACACAGTAAAGAAAAACATTCTTTTTTGTTCCATTTGCGCAATAGTTATTCTTTCTTTTTCTGGATTGCTTCTAGATCATGATCTTATTCTTATTTCAGATGTAACGTTTTGTAAATTAAAAAGATATAACGCGTTTTTTTGTAAATGTCCTTTAAAAGGAAAACTATTTAGATATAATTTTTTTGAAGTCCTAAGTAGAGTATAGAAAAAACACCCCTATATTATTTTTTACTTTCAAATGAAATTTTTTATTTTAAATTTATAACTTGAACAAAAGTTCAATATTTATAAAATTAATAAAATTTCCAACTTTCCAACAGAAAAGATAATAGTACATTCTATAATTTTTCTCATATTTTATATTTAATAGAATGAATCCCTTACAAAAATTTTATTATAAACCAAATATAACCGTTTCCTACTCTATAAAATAGTAGAAAATTTTCACTTTGCACCACGGAACCACACGTTGACGTGCTAAATTACGTCCGTCTCCAGTGCAGCTGCGCATATTCTGCAAGTTAACTACAAAGCGTCTACCAAAGTGTACTGATTATATTTCTTTTGTAGACTTGGATGGGATTATGAAATTTTAGAAAAGTCTGCTTATTAGATTTCATAATTTTTCTCTACAAAATTCGTCTGCTGCTAAGCACTCAAGATGGAGGTGCTGACAGCATTTGGAGATGTTTCTGATCATTTTAGTCAATTAGACTTTGATAAAATAATTTCTGTAAGTTCTATTATCTAAATTATTATCCATAAATCTGAACATGAAATAGTGGATTAACAGCAAATAACAGTCATCGATTGTCAATTAATATTAAATATCTCCCTTCCAGGATTGGACAGACTCTGTAGACAATTCTGAAAGCTTTAACGAAAAATTACGAAATTACATCAAAAACAACATTCTTAAAGTACTTCATCCTAGTCCTGAGTGTGATCTAAATGTTGAAGAGCCTAAAATTGATACGTACTTCTTTAAACTTTTCGAGGTTTTCATTTGTGGTAATAAGGAGACAGAGAAAACTTTCAACGAACTAAAAAACCTCGACAGTCCGTCCGTTATTTGTGGCAAAGTCTTTAAAACAGGAGAGCCTGTATATTCCTGCAGGTTTGTGTCTATAGCATAAATAAAGCGAGACAAATACTTTGACAGTTAAAAAATATTTTCAGAGACTGCAGTGTCGATCCAGCTTGTGTGTTATGTATCAAATGCTTTAACAGCAGTATTCACAAAAAACATCATTATAAGGTAAGTTACTTATGTTTTTTTTTTTATTAATATAATATGATCATGTGAAAATTAAGATAACTGCATCTTCGGGTTGTGGTTATTGTGATTGTGGCGATCCAGAAGCCTGGAAAGATGGAGTATATTGTTCGCTGCACGAGCCAAAACTAAAGTCTGATTCAAATAAGGTGTGCCCTAGACTTTGACCATACTCTATAGTATTTTCATTTTGAATGTATTGTTAATTATATAGCCACTCGCAATGGATAACTTGCCTGAAGAAGTAAAAAAACGAGCTACAGCTATATTTCTCTTCCTGTCAAATTATATACTTGAAATTTTGACTATAAAAGAAAACGATTGCCTTCCAGAACGTTATCAAGCTCTTGCTAAGAGTGAAAACTTTGTAACAATGTTGTATAATGATGAAATCCATACATATGAGCAAGTAAGAGCGCTAATTATGATCCAAGTCCATTTATTGTTTTAATAAATATTTTCACGACATAGGTAATAAGTGCTCTAATGAAGTCAATCAAGTGCGAGCAGAAGAGAGCCGTAGATATCGCTACGTTTGTTGATAAAGAGGGAAGGGCAGCTATATCCTTCGGCCCAAAAGCTAATTGTCTCCGTCTGAAAGAAGAAATTGAAAAAACTACAGCTAGATCTACTGGTCAAGGCTCAATTCAACCATCCCTACTGGTTTGTCATATTATAAAAGATAAAGAACGGAAAGATATATATACATGTTTTTTTAAAACAGGTAAAAGTTATTCATAATTCAATTGTTGCTCATCAAATGTTTGCAATGAGAGCACTCTCGTGGTTTCTAAACATTGCTGGAAAATCAGGTACAGCAATTGAAATTGAAGTAGTTTTTGTTAACAATGGAAACTATTGTTTTTATTTTCTATTAAAAGATGGACTGCTCCATTTGTTCTGCTCTCTATCAATGACCTCACCCGTAACGTATCCTAATGCAACGGAAACAATTATTGAAGAAAGTATGTTGGCCGATACTGATCTATGGAAAGGTAGTTCTTCCGTTATAAATATGTAAAAGTAATGGCTAACTAAACATTATTTATCTCCAATTGCTAGGCGCTAGACTTCTTTGCCACGAATTATTTATGACTGGTATTTTGAAAAATATTGACCTTAAACATAAATTTAGTAAAATTTTTGTAAAGGTAAGTAAATTTCTAAATCGCTTAAATTCTTTGTATTGTCCAGTAGTTGTTAATTTAGTGTGAAATTTTTGTATATATAAAAATATTCTTAAAAAGTAGAGTATATCAAAGAGGGTTTGCGGTAAATGTGTTTCAGCATTATGCGAAAGTACAGAGAAACAATACTCGCGATGATCATGAACCCAACGTCTGTATAGCTACAGAGAGCGTGCAAATATTTACAGTACCGAGTCTGGTAAGTGACATTCTCAAGTCTATTCTTTTTTCAGGTATATCCAAGACTGTGTGCTGATTTTGTTATGGACGATCATCATCGTTCCGTATCAACAATGAACTTTAGCGTTCAATTGCTGACAGTTTCCACTTTGGTAAAAAAAGATATCTTTCTTTCCCAAATAAATAAGCATCCTTCTTTTTTAAAGTTATTTTTTTTTTATATTGTTAATACAAACAAATTCATGTTCTTTAAGGCAAGGATGCTAATTCGAGAGGACAACGTTCTTGAAATTGTGTTAAAGTCTTTCATAGAAGAATGCAAGCATAAATTAAGTAATTTTCTTTTTAAATTACTGTCTCCTAGTTTTTACACTAATCAAATTTTTTGTGTTTCCCTATTCAGAAGACGACAAATTTAATTTTGATCGTAATGATAGAAGCTCAAGTAATAATGGACAACTAAGATATCGAAGAGCATTGTATATACTATACGATGTTAAATACTTGCTCATAACTGTTCCTTCGGAGGACGAATGGGACAGTGCATTTTGTCAAAATTTTATCAATGGCCTAAACTATCTTCTTGACTTGCTATCTTATTTACATGTATGTTTTTTTTTTTTGCTATCTTTGAAAATTTCTTATATAAGCTATACTTTTTGTAATAATTTTCTCCTTTTTTCTGGAAAAAAGGGTGTTGACTCAGTTAAACGACAAACTGGTGCACATATTGAATATGAAAGTGAATGGGAAGGAGCTTTTGGCTTACAAATCAAATTGTCTGATATCTTTGGGCCTTTTCTGGAATGGTGTAGCGTCAAAGTAATTTATTAAATTTTTTCTATATCATTCTTTGATTGTAAAAGCTTTTAATTTTACAATAACTTCCAGACTTGCGTTCTTGAGGAAGCCTTTAAGAGAACTGTAAACTTAATTGAATCACAGAAAAATACACCATCAGTAGTCTGGAAAACAATCCCTCTTCAAGGTTTTCATTAATAAAATCCTGTTTATATATTGAAATTATATTTGTTACTTTATTATTTCAGTCGCCGGGTTCGAAGACGAGATTCACGTTGTTGATTACGATGTTTCAACGCATAAAGTGTCAGTCCATATTGCTTTACATAGATTTCTAGCAGGTTTGTACAACAATATATTTCTATACTTGTGCATAATGTTTTGAACTGAGTTACTTATTGCAAAATGTAGGTCTTTGTCCCGGCCTAAACGCCTACAATATCACGTTAACAGAATTATTAAGTCGGTCCGAATCAAGAGTAAGTAAACTTTGGTGTCATTTATTAATTTTGATTAGAATATACATTCTAATTGACTCTTTCTTTGTGTTTATAGCCTGGCTTATGCGATAGTGTTAAATCCAGAATTGCATTACTCCTAGATCCAGTGCTTAGAGTGCAAGTACTAATTGCACAACATAGAGCTGGAATGTGGAGGAGGAATGGATTTTCTTTAATTAATCAAGTATGTTAAAACATCAAAGAAAGATTAAATTTATGTTAAATTCTTTTAGATATACTTCTATAGAAATGTTCGATGCCGAACTGAAATGCAAGATAAAGATGTTATTCTTGTACAAAAAATTGCTGCTGGTATTAGATACATATATTTTTTTATTTCGTTTTGCTTTGAAGTCTAACAATTTTACAGAGTTACCTCCAAATGAGTTCTTAGCTCACTGCCTAAACAAATACGGTTTACTTAATTGGATAAAGTACGATTTTTAATTAGTTTTTACACCAATATATAATTATTTTTAATCTTATATTTTAGACAAGAGTACGATGATGTAAGAACAGCACCAAGCGAAGACAGAGTTGTTCAAACCAGTGTTATTGCTGAAGAGTTTTTTATATTAATTCTGACTATTTTAAGTAAGTAAAATTTATTATCTCATTACACGTTGTTAAACATTTTTTTAAAGGCGAAAGATTTACTCCGAATATGGGTTGCGTTGATAAAAAAGACTCTATTAAGCGAGAAATAATACATTTACTATGTTCTGGACCATTGTCTCATTCAGAATTGTGTAAAAGTTTGGTTGAAGATGTACGTTTCAATATTTGTTCCATAAATAAAATATATACACTAATAAAATTATTCTTATATTTTTCAGATCTGCAATATGACAGAATTAGAATCTATCGTTTTGGAAGTTGCAGATAAAAAGTAAGTTAAATATAATATATATTTTTACCCACAAGTATTTAATTAGAATATTTCAGTCTTACCGTATATAAGATAATTTTTTTATTAGTGAGACTTTATGATAACTTAATTAATATAAAATACTGAAAAGTTTATCAACTTTTTAAGGTTTTAAATCAAAGTAATAAGTAAAATATAGCTGTTTCGATATAACTAAAAAAGTATTCCTTATGGAAATTAGGATAGTCTCACGTTAAGTTTCAAACATACATGTAATCATTTAATGCTATAGTTGAAAGAAAGTGTATATATTTATATTGAATCAATCATTTGTGTTTCTACATCCATTAAGGAAAATATCTTCCGGTAAAATCGAGTATTGTTTGAAGCAAGAATATTATGATTGGTACAATCCATTCTTCTATCATTATGGCAAAACGGAACAAACTAAGGTAAATATGACTCCTACCACATAGAATAGTATAGATTTCTCTCTATATATTATTGTCTGTTATAAGTTTATCATACGATTTCTATATTATATATAAATTATCTATACATATTGCAGTCGGAGCAAAGGCAGCTAAAGAGAAGAAAAGAGGCAAATGAAGAAGAATGTAAGATTATACTCAATATATACTGTATATAATTTATACAAATTATATCTGTTCTTTCCACTTTCAACAGGTTTACCTCCACCTAAACCGCCCAAATTTCACAAAAATATGGAGAGTATTCTTGAGCTTCTAAAATGTGATGTTATGATTTATTTGCAAAAACTTGTATTGGAGAGAATGGAAGCAAAGAGATCTAGATCAGCATCTGAAAATCAACTGCACATTGTTCTTCACCTTATTGCTTTAAGTTTATATGAAGAAGAGAATGCCCATAATGATGGAAAATGTTTTGGATATGTGAAAAAGGCCGTATCTGGTAAAAAATAAATTAAACAAATACTTATACTGAATATACAAAAATCTATTATTTTTTTTTTAGAACCATCATCAATTTATCAATTACTTAAGAAGTTATTAGATTCACCAAACGTAAAGTCACCACCAATGAGGAGTCTTTTAACATTTGTTTTTAAGGTTTTTTTCAAAAAGCGTATTTCGAAAAGCTTGAACTAATGACTGAAAATTCAATTCTTTTCGTTAGAAATTCATCATTGTTCGTCACTTGGTAGATTCATCAATTGGCTCAAAGATAGATAAAGATCTCGAAAGATTTCTTAGCCAGAGCGACAAAGAAAAAACCGAACAGAAAAAGAAGGCTGACATTGCAGCGAAACGTAGAAGAAGAATATTGGAACAAATGAATAAAAGACAAAAAGAATTTATTCAGTCCAACATTGAGTTATTTCGAAAAACTAAATCAGGTTCACAAGATGAAATTATGGAAACAGATACTTTGTTAGTTTCTTTTTTTTTTTATTTTAATGAAATTTCCATCTAATAATACTATTAAATCTTTAGAACTACGGATTCAGAAACTTTTCACGTAGCCCTTGGCGATGACAGGACCCACATAACTTCTCCTGTTTCTGTTGTGCGAAAAATTTGCATTCTATGTCAAGAGGAACAAGACATATCGATCTCATCGAAAAAACCAATGGTTCTTTGCTCTTATGTTCAAAAGTCGACTGTTTTATCTCAAAACCGAACCAAATGCGTTCAAAAAATAGGCGCATATTACGAATCCGTATTCTTTCCTGCAGATTTAATATTAGGAACGCACGTGAGCACGTGTGGTCATGTGATGCACGCCGATTGCTGGCAAAAGTATGCAGTTACATTCTCATATTTATTTAAATTTAAAAACTTATATTTTTAGTTGGTACGAAGCGTTAACTCATAGAGATAGAAGACGTATGGGACGCTTAAGAGGACCTCATCACTCCAGCTACGATATCGAAAAGCGAGAATATTTGTGTCCTTTGTGCGAGACATTAGGGAATTCAGTATTACCTCTTCTACCAAAGTTAACCTATTTTACATCACAATCAAGGCAAAATAATGCAACATTTGGTGTGTCATTGAGTATGAGTGACTGGTTGGATGGTCTTCGAAAAACTGTTCAGAATTCCATTCAAAAGGAGAGAAGCCAACAAAATAATGATTCTGATGAATTTTCAATATTTTTTGTTCCTTGTCCTCTGTCATCAATAACTCGCCTTATGGCTGAAAGCGTGGCTAAGAACTTTCAAGCTCTATTTGAATATTATTATGATATGGATCCAGCCTTAAGCCTTAATGATGAAACAGTCCAGATGGTCAGCAAATTTGCACTTGATGTCTATATTGTGAGTAACTAGCAATTTAGGTAACGCATGCTAATTTAAATATTTTATGATTTCTTAGCATGGGTGTGATGCTGAGGCGGATGACAATAATAGGAATGTACCACTTTTAACATGGGTTTCGGCGGCCTATACAATAATGTCAACTGGTAATAATTTAGATTTATTCTCTTGACAGAATTAACTCTCTTTTCATTTTAGAACACCTCTTAAGATACAGCAATCAACCCCTGTTTAGTACCCTTCCAGCACGTCAAGAGGATTGTTTAGTTAGTATCGTTAGATATGCTGCAGTAGCAACAGTTGTCATGCAGAAAAATTTGATAAAGGATTACTGCGTAAGACTCTTATCTGCACTTGTTTGCGATTCGGCTGACAAACGCTTAAGGAAAACTCCAAGCATTTTGGATATGGATATGTTTCATTTATTAGTTCCCCTGGTTTTGAGTTTGCCTACCTTATATGCAGAGGAAGATGTTTCTTCTGCTCAAGCAACAGGAGGAACTGAAACTAAATTTCAGTCGTCCAGAATCGCAACGGGCGATTTGAATTCTAAACATATATTAAATTTAGTTTTTACTGCACATGTTGTGCAAACTATCTTATCCGCCAGTCAAGAAGATATTTATTGCGGGGAAGATTCAATGGATGCTCAATCTTCGGATGAGAAGGGTGAAAAGCTAGCTGATATATTTATGCATCTTAGAAATTTAGCCCAGTTAGTCAATTTTAATTATTCTTTACTTAATTTTCCTTACTGATTGTATTTTTTTCCTGTTAATTTTAAAAATAGGGTACCTACAATCGAGGCTAAATCATGGAATATTGAAAAATATATTCAAAAGGCAGTAATGCCTTTCTTAAGATGTTCTGGTTTATTCTTCCACTATTTAACATCAGTTTCGCCACCTGATTTACTCAAGGAGTTACACCAAACTGAATCATCCATTGAATTTGAACTGTTAACAAAGTATCTAGCTTTGCCCCAAAATCTTGCAGATCTTTTTCATCCTGAAGATAATGAAGTTGTTCAAAATTTGTGTAAAAGCTGGTGCACAGACGACTCAATGAAAGAAACTCTCAACAGAGTAAATCACACAATCGTAAAACATCCCATCAAAGTAAATTCATTATTCGATTTACCCGATGACTATACCGACGTCATTAATAGCGCATCTACCTTCTCGTAAGTTTATCGAACTATTTTAATTATACTACGAAAAGATAAATGAATTAACTATTCATATAGATGCCCAAACAACAAAGAAGTTGACGATGCCCGAACTCCTACTATGTGTTTGATATGTGGTCAAATGTTGTGCTCACATGGCTATTGCTGCCAAGAACACTTGGGTAAATTAATTGTTGGAGCTGCAACTGCACATGTTCAAATTTGCGGATCTGGCACAGGAATGTTTTTTAGACCAAGAGAATGTCAACTATTAATGCTAAGCGGTAAAGTTAAAGGATGTTTTTATCCACCTCCCTACCTCGATGCTTACGGAGAAACAGACTCAGGTTTGAGGAGGGGAAATCCACTATTCTTGTGTCAGCAAAGGCTAAAGAATTTAAACAAGCTGTGGCTAAGGCACGGAATACCCGAGACAATTGCGCATAGCCTGGAGGTTAACACTAATTGGTTGGATATTGAATGGTTTAATCTGTAAACTGTATTCCTTTCCCCCTAAGAATAACTTTATTTATCACCAATTAATTCCCGTTGCTTTGCGTTTGTTAATTCTTCTAACTTTGTTACATACTGCTTGGATTCGTTAAGCACCTATGGAAGAAGAAACAAATATATCATTGTGCACCCTTTCATATCAGTTATGAAAAAGAACTTTAAAAATTGCTTGTCTATTTAATATAATTACCCAATCATTGACATTGCGTAAAAGATCTTTAGAAGTACCATCTTTCTTCTTATTTACTTCTTTAACATATCTATTCTGAACGTCTCTGATCTTTTCTTTATACTTATTGCATAAATTTTTCGAATTTTTCGCTAGCATTTCTCTATGCTCTCTGGTTATTCTGTTATGAAGTGGCAATAAGAGCTTTAAAAAGTTATAATTTCCCTCTTCTACTTTCCTTACTTGGGAATTGGAACAAATAGAGTAGTTCCGTCCTGTTGTGGGTTAAGATTAAGGCCAGATTCCATTATAGCTTTTTTAACATTACCAATATACTATAATAATTTTATAATAATTGATATATTCTTGGTACAACACTGATAAAAAAATTAATTACCTGAGGAGTAGCTAACATATTAATAACAACCAAATTTGCATTTTTTTGAGTTATTTGACCCAATTGCATCAACGGATAATTACCGTCTGGAGTCGAAATATCCAGTCTTTCAAGCGCACCTAAAGACCGCAAAGGATATCTTCAGTAGTATGAAATGGAATAATAGCCGATCTTTAAGAGGATATGCCTACCTGTATTGGTTCTTAACGAAAGCTGTTCATTGAAGTCTGACTGCATTTTCTTAACAACTGCATCAAGACTTGAATGAAATCTATCAGGATCTAGCAACTGATTAAGTTCTTCATCAGACAAATGTACTAGTTTCTTCCCTAGAAAATTTTCACAACGTTTATATACGCAAATCTTTCCACGTTAATAATTACATTTTACCTTTTTTATCCTTTTTATCCTTCTTTTTAGGTGCCTTAGAGCCATATTCTCTTAATAGCCTATCCCCAGTTAGAAACTTTGAAGTTGAGATAGGAGCTAGATTGTTTCGAATTTGATATTTCGAATTTGTCATAAAATTCTTACATGCAATACTGTTTCCGAGAAACAAGCGATGCGATGCCCAATAGAGTCTAATAGAATTGCGAAATGCCAACATCTATAACAACATATATTTTTGTAAATAATGTAAAAAGCATTGAAAATCGTTTATCTAATCATCCTAACATTTGTTTAGAATTGTTTAAAATTGGATTTAACTCGCTATCATGGAGAATATTTGCTCTCTTCTGAAAAATTATCAATTTATAAAAAAGATCTTGAACCACCTTATTATGTTGTTATTAAAAGGCAAACTTTCCGCCGATAAAATTCAAAAAGTGGTACTTTTTACCAAAAGCCGTCTGCAGTTAACCACGTGATCCAAGACACGGCAAAGTCGACCGGTCAGAAATGGAACTTTTGAAACCGGTTTAAATTCTACAAGTATACACTTCTATCAAAAAGTTTTTATATTAACTTTTCAGTTTGAATAAACGTGAATATAATTAAAAGTATGGTTATTGCCATAATCTAATAATTAAGGCAGACTTTAGCCTTACATCTAAATCCAACCTAGATATAAGAAAACTGCGTAAATTGATAAAATAAAATGTTTCATATTATCTTTTTTTTGTATTCAGAAACTTTTTGAAAATCAATGTTTGTATTTAACAAACATACAAAATTTAGATTACAAGAAAGTTTTCTTTCACAAATAAAGAAAATTTAGAGAATGTTTAGAAAAAAATCTTCAATACGGTCTGCTATGATTAAAGTTTCTATGGTGAGAGAAAGCTCGATATTGCTGATAATAATTTCTATCGTATTCGTGATTTTGATGTTGAGATCCTTTGTATCCTATAAATGTATTGAAAAGCTATTATGATTATTTCAATTGCAGTAAAAAATAGGATAAAAGTAACCTCTTTCATCGATACGTCTACTTAAGTTATCACCTTGATAGTTCATCATTCCAGGTCTTGGTAATTTACAAAAGTTACAGAGTAGTCTCCAAGAGAAATTATTATTAGCGCAAGACGGATCGGGACAAATCCAATCCCCATTTCGATAAGTTTCGGATCTTCGTCTGGGTTGGTATCTATAATTCCTCATTCCTGTGGATATCGGATGATTGTCTATGTAGAATAGGTAATTAAAACGAATATAATCGAAAGTTAGGCGATAATTTTCCACATAAATAGTGCAAGAGTGGTTAGTTAGGAACCTTACCGCAAAGTTCTCTCGCTTGAGAAAAATCATAACCATATCAAAAGAAATTCTCCCATCTTCTCTATCTAACTTAAAAAGTCGAATTAGAAATTGCTCAATCTATCCAAAAGATCGAAATAAAAATAATGGCCACCTCCAGACCAATAAACAACTTTTTTAAAAGGAGGGAAAGCGGATTAGAAGATTAAGCAACCGATTTCTTTATTAGTATTAGCAATAAATGGTAGTATATTACTAAACCAACCATCGTAATTTCTATTAAGACCGTATCTATAATTATTCGATTGTGTAGAACTATTAAATTGAAAAAAAAAAGGTTACTCTTCCAAAAATCTAGGTCAATTTGTAAAAATAGACTTATTTTTTATATGTTCTCTTCTAAAATAAATAGATTTCTTTACCTGCTTTGTCTATTTGTTCCATTAATAAGATTCTCTACTTTTATAGAGGAAAAACTCTATTTAATTAATAAGAAAAACAAATTAATAGTTTCTAACTTACGATGAGTATTGTTTATATTATCATTTGATCTACCACCGTAAGTAGGTGAAGTTAAATCCAGGGTACAGTTGTTATTGCTTTCGAAATTATTATTATTGTTACAGTTGTCTAAATGAAAGAAATAGCGAATTTAGAATAAGATTAAATAGTTATATATAACGATGTTGTTTTTGTTATTACTAGGTTTTGCGGAATAATCAAATGGAGCTTGGGAACAATTATGGAGTCCATGCTTGTTTAATACATTCGCCAATAACATTGGAAAAGGTACTTGCGCTCCTCCCAAAAGATTCCTTGCAACGTTTCTACCCGTAACATCATTTTCTATATATTGATTCGTCAAGTATGTCCCATTTACTGGAAAGTTGTTATGAGTATCTATTTCAAATGTAGATAAAGATGAATTGCCCAATTTCGGAATAATATTACTGGCATTTGCTTGAAAATCCAAAGTAGGATAAGTCAAATTATCAAGTCTATAAGTTTCCTGTGGAGATGTTATTACATCTGTAAGGATACTGTGACCAAATGTAGTAGGATCGGCCCCTCCACAGAAGTTTGAATAGGAGCTGAAAATGTTATTCGTATTTTTTTTATTTTCTTAATATGGTAAGAAAAATAAAAAACTTACCTTTGAAGTGTTAAAGGAAAACCAATAGCTCTTAATGGAGGGGGAGGTAACGAATATTCCTCAAAATTTCCTAATTAAAATGTCATATAAGTTAAAAGTTGACTAAGTTTTAATAGCATCTGTTCAACTAACTATATTTTAATCATTAAAGTAATATATAAATATACATATTAATCTAAATGAAAAGCTGTAAATTTAGCAAGTCACGTAATCATAATACTCGAAAGGAAATAAAAAAAGTTTCAAAATATCAACATAATTTACATAAAATTTGTCTTTTTATTATGGTTTTATAAAGAAATTTCTACGAAAACAAATGTTAAAATATTTAACAAACTATTTAAGTTTTGTCCCAAATTGCTATTCATTTTGTTAAGACACTTTTGAAGCAAATTCAGTGTGAAATTTGTCAAATCAGACACATAACACTTTTTTATCCACCGGTGATGAGTTACCGTTTTCAAATTTGACCTTGAACTGACATTACCAGTTGTTTCGTCTTCCAACGCAAAACAATGCTATGGCGGATAGTATAGAAACTGAATTTAGATTAAAGCTTCCATCGCATTTTGAAGCGAATACACTTTTCAAAGATTCATCGAATGCAATTGTTGTCGGAGAAGAGATTGATCTGTGTCTAATTGCCAAACAGCTTGACGGATCAAAGGATATTTGGGAGAAAGCAGTATCAAATGTTCGGGCTGCTGTTTCCGTAGTAGACATACAGGGCAGCCGCCCACCAAAAGAAAATTTTGATTGTAAAGTTGTTAAATCTAGTAGGGGCCGAGACAAACATCGACGTTCACCACCCAAAACTTTAGATAGTCCAGACTCTCAGAAATGGCAGAAATTAAACGATAATACAATGAAATTAATAGTTCCAATACAATTTGTGCCAGATTCTAAAACTCTTAATAAATCATATAAAATATTCGTTGCTCTATGGTCGACTGATGGAGCGGAAAGTAATTTGGAACTTTCAACTCATAAACTAATGTCACCTGCTCTAAACGTTCAATTTCCTCCATTAATCACTTCCAGGGTTGTTCAATTTTCTGGAAAAACATTTCTAAAGATTGAACTACGTAACGTAGCAATTGAAACAATTCAATTGAATTCCCTCAAGGTTCTGATATCCGCTGAGAAAGAAGGAGAAATTACAATAGATCATTCAACCTTGCCAAACTTTCCTATGAAGCTAGATAAAGAATGTGAATATTCATTTATTGTTGAAATAATTGACTGTGTTAAAGAAAGCGATAATAGAAGTTCAAGTTCTTCCAACGTCAACTTAGTTGCCGAATTAAATTGGGAAAACGAAGGCGCTTCAGCACTTGATAGAATAACTACAACTTATAGGTAGGACTATTAATTTAATTAATTTATTCATTTATGCATTATGTATATTCCTTGTAGTGAGGTATATAAAAATACTTATATATTTATATTTTTGCAGTTTGCAGCAGATAGCCCTGAAATATCCACAATTATCATTGTTTGTCACCCTGCCAGAGATATTAGGATCGCAATTTATTATAGAATATACCTTACAAAATTATATGCAAGACTTTCGTAACATTAAATTGACACTACCCGATTACGATGCTGAAGGATTAATATTTTCAAAACGTTCTATAGATTTAGGCGTTTGTTCTGTAAGAAGCATCAAGAAGGCAAAGGTTTTGGTCACAATTTTGAAACCAGGTACATTCGATTTATGCAAGAATGTTAAAATGAGCTTACAATACAGTACACCAAAAAATTCTGACCCAAATGGACCTATAAAGTTGGATAATGTATTAAAATTACCCTGCCCTATTTATATCGAAGAAAATGGCAATACAAAGAACTGATATATATTTTTATAGACGTTATTAACAAATCTCTGCTCAAAAACAATTTCTATTTACGTACAGAAAATATATTTATATTTTTTCAATTATGAATATTTATGAAAATATGCAAATATAAAGCTTCTTTTTTTAGCTTTTATTTTCAAGGGAAATACAAATTATCGTTAATAACTTTTCATATTTTTTGTTTATCTGCATCTAAGTTTATTCCTAGAAGTCTTTCGATTTACCTTATTTCATTTTATAGATTATTTTATATTTCTCATTAACCAAAGTCCGTCATTGAGGTAGTGGATATTCTCAACAGCAATTCCTTTGTTCTGCGTCTCTCTAGAAAGATATAAATAGGAGATAGGACTAGGAATGGATATTACTTATTTAACTTACATATCTTCAGAAGACATTTTGGTTAAACCTACAGCAAGTGCGTGTTGTTTTCCTGCAGCCGTTACGGCCTATAATATATCAATTATAATGAGCTTCTCATAGAGATACTATCCTATTATAAATTAAAAGAAAGTGAGCTTACCACTATTGTTCCACTATCGACTTTAGTCATTTTAGCTCCGGCAGCCCGATTAGTTAATCCTGGGCTCATAATATTAGCTCCGCTAAGTATAAATTTAATTGCTCCTTTATCAACTCGCATTTCCGGTAGAATAAAGGGATCTTTTTATAAGATATATCTCAAATTTATAATCTCTTCAGGGAGAAATGAGATTTTCTTAATACTTACACTTGTGAACAAGTTTCAGAGAAGGATAAAACTGTCCATCTCTCTGTTTAAAGAAAACAACTTCTCCTTCTCTTGCCGCTAAAGCTTCAATATGATCAGCGCTGTTCAATATTTATTATTAGTGAGTTAAATTTTTTATAGAAAAATATGGTCAACCATTTTACTAATTTCCATTCCTTTTTTGGTAATATCTCATCAATATAGTCTGCGAGAAAGGGCATTTGTTGAATAAGTGAAGCTTTCAGAGATCTTTGAACAGATGATTTGATACTAGTAACACCAGAAACATGCTCCTTTTCGTCGAACCTGTTTTATCGTCCAGACGGTTACACAATATACGACGATGTTATGATTTCAGCAAAAGTACATAAACTCAACAAATGTTAAAACTGGGAGAATTAATATACGAATATAAAAAACGATACAAACTTTTTAAACATAGTGAAATTCTAAAAAATTATTAAATATATTGACGGACTATGCTCTTTCCAAAGTTTCAAAGTTAAGGGAATAGTTTTCGCTTAACTTTCGAAAGAAAGTGACGAAAACACTAATAAAAACCTTAATTTAAAACATAAAACTACATATTAGCAAGTTAATACTAAATACTTATTAAATATAAATAATCTATTATAAGAAAAGTTACTCTATTGTTAAATTGATTCCTTATAGTAAAGTATATTTAAAAAATATTGCAAAAAATATATTTTTCAAGGCTTCTCTTTACCAAAGATTCATTTAGCAATGCTTATATAAATATAGTTCACTGTATTGTATTTAGAATTATCTAGAGGATAATTTTAACTATGAAATTACATCTGATGGTTTATTATTTCATATATAAACAACGATCGCGAAACTCTTCAACACAGTTCTGAGAACACTGTCGGTGTCCAGATTTTTTCTTCTTGAGATATATAAAATCCTACCGAATATGGCTTATTCTTCAATTGTAAGAAATACATTTCACAAGATTCGATTATCTACTTCCTTAGGCAAGAATCTAGGAACAAGATCGTTGGCAGAAGTTCCGTTGAGGCACAGTTCTTCAAATGCAACAGAACAAAATGAATCTATTATCGCTATTCAAGAAATGCACAGATTTATGAAAGATTGTATGTTAGCTGTTGGATGCACAGAAACAGACTCTAATCAACTTGCAGAAACATTGGTTCATGCCGATCATAGGGGACATTATTCCCATGGCTTGAATAGATTAGGTAATCAAGCTGTTCTCCGACAATGTTATTTTTGACCTTGATTTGATCTTCGTTCTTCTAGATTCCTTCCCTTGTTTTCTTTAAAAGCGAGATCTATTTTTAAGTTTTCGATTTTGCAAATAACGTTCTTTCTTCTATAGTTACACATTATTGTAAATTCTTTTAAAATTCAAAGCTTAAAACCTTTGAAAAGAACGAATAATCTACTAAAATATAACATTTTCTCCTATCTTCACCTGCCAAAACATTTTAGCTAACGATATGATTTATAGTCTTTTTTTATGCCTACCTACTTGATTTTAACTTGTTTTTTAGACATGTACGTTGAAGATGTTCGTTGTGGAGCGACTGTATCAGGGATTGTGGAGCCAATTATTATTAAGGAAACTACATCATCAGCTTCCGTTGATGGAAATAATCTTTTAGGGCCTGTTGTAGGAAATTTCTGTATGCAATTGGCAATAAAGAAAGCAAGAGAATCGGGAATTTCTCTTGTTGTTGCTAAAGGATCAAACCATTATGGTATTGCAGGACATTACTCTTTACAAGCTGTTCGTGAAGGAATGATTGGCATATCTATGACAAACACCTCTCCGTTGGTTGTTCCTACGCGGGCTAGTGAATGCATTCTTGGAACCAATCCAATAGCTGTTGGTGCTCCCGGGTTAGGTGATGATTGCTTTGTATTAGATATGGCTACGAGTGCAGCTGCCCTTGGAAAATTGGAGTTAGCTGACAGAAAGAGTCAAAAAATTCCAATTGGTTGGGGTGCAGATAGTACTGGACAAGCGACCGAAGATCCAAAAGAAGCTTTGAAGGGTGGCCTTATGCCTTTAGGAGGAATTGAATATACATCAGGTTACAAAGGATTTGGGCTAGCAATGCTTGTAGAAGTTCTGACAGGTATCCTCTCAGGTGGAGCATACGGGCCATTCGTGAGGAAATGGAAAGTACGTTCAAAATTGGCTGATTTAGGACAAATGTTTATGGTAATTAACCCTAACTTTTTCCCCGATGGCTTCCGGGAGAGAATGCAAGAGTTGATGGATTTCTTGCGCCAAGCAAATACTGCTCCCGATGCTAAAGGAAATGTACTTGTGGCGGGTGATCCTGAAAGACAGAATATTGCAAAATGTGAACGAATAGGAGGAATTCCTTATTCGCAAGTTCAAGTTGATTACGCAAACAACTTGGCTAAATTGTTACAGATAGATCAGCCTAAAATTCTATAAAAGTGCTAACTAAACATTATTAAAAGAACATATTAATACACCTAGCATAATTTTTAATAACACGAAAATAGATATAGTAACAAAACTGATCTAGATTTCTTTTTTATTATGAAGGAAAGCTCACTAAGATAAGGTTGCTCATTTTTCTTTGAAACATTTTAATTGTACAAAGTATACCAATACGAAGTCTTAAAACGTTTTCCAAGTATTAAAAGAGAGCTATTGAATATTATACATATATTGTTGACGTTAGAGGTATTATTCGACTATGCACCAAATGAAATTGGATAATCTTCTGTTCTATTACAAATAAAAGAAGTTCTATAAGCCAAATACTTGAATGGAAAAATATTAAATGGAAAAAATGGCAATTGTATTAATTTGAAAAGAGTTTTAGCAAACTATCTTATTGTATTGCTAAATGATGAAGAATAAAATAAGAGAAATATTAAAAACTGTGCAAAAATAATTGTTTTATTTAAAAACATTTTTCAAATCGTTTTTCTTTTCAGTACTATTCGTCATCTTTTACTTTATATTCAACCATTCCTTGAACTTTATGAACTGTGGTTGAAAACGATTTAAATTTTACTTGTTCTGCATCTTTTATCAGAAGAGCGCTGCTCTCATAACAGCAAGATGGGGTTTCCTCGTCTTTGTCGGTGTAAACTTGAACGTCGATAGTACCTGCAAAATATATATATATTTTTTGAAATACATACTTTAATAGATATTTTTGTTGTATGTGTATACAATGTACTTACAAGTATCTTCCAAAGCAGGTAAGAATGTTACTGATGCAATAATTTGTCTTAAAACGGCTCTTATCTCATTTTGAATATCTTTCAATTCCTTTTTACTATTCGTACTAGAAAACAAGCAAAAGTTTAAATAATAATTAAATATTTAAAGAAAACGCTTTATACTAACTTTTCACTGTCCACTTGTTTTTCGCAATCTATATTAAACACCCATCTCTCTACAATTTCTTCGGTTTTGACATTTTTCATAACCAGAACAAGCTTTTTTATAACTTTTTTCAAAAGCCATTCTGTTGAAAAAATTATGTAACTATTTTATCGTCTCTTTAGAGTTTATACCTCGGACTTGGTCCAAAACAGTCTTCAGAAATTGTTCTAATTTTGGATCACTTGTTACCAAAATTGATAGGCCATAAGCCTCCTTTCTGGTAAACATGTCATCTGGATATACCCCTCTTTGATAAAGAATACTATTCAGTCCAAACCCTGTTTATCAAACAACATTGAAAGATTATTAGCACTTAATTAACTAATACTTGAAGAATTCGCTTAGTTTAAAATGAATTAGAAATAAAAACCAACCTATCATAGAGCGATAATTGAGCTGAGTTCATAAAGTATCGTTTTAAAGTTTAAATTAGCGTAAATAACTTACCGAAAAATTCAGTCACCATTTGTGTGGAACCTTTCAAAGTAATACCTGTCTTATTTGCCTGCATTTTATGAATTAAATGACCTTATGTTAAGGAAACTTATTCAAATTTTAAATTTGAGCTGTGAAACTGTCATAAACTGGTATGTTGTTCTAAAGTTTCTGTCAAATATAACTAAGTGGTATCTGAAAAAGTTGTCTTTAATTTATTGAAAAACAATAAATTTATTAATAAAATTAAATGATTATAAATATATTTAAATATTTTATTCATTTTATCATAAACTAAACTTTAAAGATCATATTGTTAGTATAGTACATTTTGTATTAAAATATTTTCCCAAAATATTAATTTATATTGCATTTATGCTGTTTATATCAATTAAAGTCCCTGATAGTTAATTATAACACGAAATTAGTTTGATAAAGTTTTAATAAATTTTATTAATTTAAATGTAAAATTGAATTTTATTAAGTCTCTAATCATATGACTTATTCCAAGTAGTATTTAGTGTTAACCAAATAGATATTTCTTAATTTTCGGATTATAAAATGAACAATTTAGCAATGTTGATTCACTCAAACTGATGATATTCACTACATATTAACTCTGTTACAGTTAAACTTTAGTTTAACTCAATTTCTAAAATTTATTACCTTCAAAAAAAACTTTTTTTGACCTCAATCGAAGTGTTTTGGATAAGGTTAGCCACTACTTTTACTATCTGCGACAAATACAACATAAATACAACTTTGAAAGATAGAATATTGTATTAAATGAGAAATTGTACAAGAATATGGATATTCTCAAAAGTCAAGCTCTCAAGATAGATTTTTCACCTTGCGCTGATGAATATGAATTAAATGATACTATTGGAAGTGGTGCTTATGGAGTTGTCTGTTCAGCTATTCATAAACATACAAAAGCAAAGGTTGCAATAAAGAAAATATCAAAAATATCCGATCATACTGAAATTGCACGGAGAACATTAAGAGAGTTGAAAATCTTACGTTATTTTAAGCACGAAAACGTAATATCCATAAGGAAATTAATGCAGCATAGTAAAGATGGAAAGATATTTGATGTTTATATTGTTCTTGACTTTATGGATACAGATCTTCATAATCTTATTCAATCAAAGCAGGCTTTATCAATGGAGCATATTCGTTATTTTCTTTATCAAATGTTATGCGGTCTAAAGTATATACATTCCGCCAGTGTTTTACACAGGGATTTAAAACCAAGCAATATACTTGTTAACGAAAATTGCCTATTAAAAATTGGTGATTTCGGTTTGGCTAGAGGATTGTCAAATAAAAATCTAGTCACAGATACAACAAACTTTCTCATGACACAATATGTGGCTACAAGATGGTATAGAGCTCCAGAACTCCTTTTGGGAACAACTCATTATACCTTTTCAGTAGATTTATGGAGTGTTGGATGCATACTTGCCGAAATGTTCCGTAGGAAACAACTTTTCCCCGGAAGGTCATTTCCTGAACAGTTAGATAAAGTTTTAACAACTACTGGATTGCCTCCAGAATCTATATTGAAACATGCTCCGGCAAACCTTCAAAATTTTATAAATGGTAAGTTTTTCGTTAAACATTTCCTTATGTTTCTTCTTTATAAACCGTTTGTTCTTTATAGATAGATATAAAAATCTCAAGCTAAAATCTCTGGAAACTGAAATACCAGTGATAGATCCTCTAGCTTTCGATTTATTAACTAAACTCTTAAAAAGCGATCCTGAGGAAAGACCGACAGCAATTGAATCGCTAAATCATCCGTTCTTGTCAAAATTGTACTCAAACGACGATCCACCTTGCAATCCGCCGTTTGATTTTTCTTTTGATAAACCGGTAAGTTCTGATAATTTTGCTGAATAAATATCAGTATTTTAAGCGTTTCTTTAATAAAATAGACTCTAACTAAAGAAGAAATGGTTAATGCCATTATGTCAGAAGTGAAATCGTACGAATTCAAATTTAACTTTACACCGAATCCCTTAAATTGCTTTAAAAAACCATCTGTCCCAAAAAAAGCCGAAGTACTTGAGAGGTCATCAACCACGAAACTGGAACCTCAGGTTATAGAACCAACAACGCAGCCATCCACTTCAGACATCCATATGAATAGTGCAGGCGTTGGGAAGAAGGAAGAAGACATAAATTGTTTTGCTGCTACTGCTGCTGTTGACTCAAAAATTGCTCTAAAAAAAGCAATACTAAGGAAACAAAAGAACAAAGAAACAGTCGTTGTTGAAAGTGACAATCCACAAAAGCCTATGACTGCTCATAGGAAGATGAGAGAACGTCAAATGAAGAGAGAAATACGAAAGAACAAGAATAAAAAAAAGCTGAAAGATAAACACAAGACCGAGAAAAGTGCTAAAAGTCTTTTATCGGATGATGACAAAAAGTTATTGGAAAGATGGAATGCTATGCAAACGCGAAAAAATTCTGATAAATCTCAAAGCTTTGATTTTCCACCTGATATTTCAGCTCCAGATGAAAGTATACACTCTGATATAGAAGAACTGGCAGTAATAAATAATATACCTTTGGCTCAAAATCAACCACCCGACGATAAATTCTCAGAGATCGCAACACAGCCTCAAGGAGAGATAACTGCGGATGCAGATACGCTCGATGACCAAGAAAATATTGGTCTTTCAAATATCTACAGATCACTTTCAGAAGAGCAACTATCAATTCTTACTCGGCATTTACATATGGAAGATTTCAATCTAATGGATACTCCTAAAGGAACTGGTGATGGATACGGCATTGGCTTAGACTTAGATGCTCTATTGAATATGGTTCAATCTTTCACAGATTCTGGGAATATATCTCCTTTTCGATCGATAGAATCAGAGGAACTGGGAAAAATTTTAGATGATTATAAGTAGCTAATCTAATTGTTTTGTTCGTTAAATTTAACGAGTATAATTGTTAACAGAGAGTATTGGCATTATTCATTTTATGAGTTGAAAACTAAGAATAATGTTAACATTGTGTTATACTTTTTTTTGTTTTTTTTTTATATTCTTTAATGAACTAATCTTATAAATTGAATGAAAAATACAGTCTTTTCTCTTATTCAAGGAAAGTCTAGCTTCTATTTGGTAAATGCTTATAATAGAATAATTATACTTCAGTACGCCCTACTAAGTTCAGGATTTAGTATATAGCTAAAGGAGATAAATAACATCCGGTTTTATGTGAATAGTCTACTAAAGTAAGTGAAAAAATAGCAGCAAAATATTTCCTTACCAGTTTTCTCTGAAAAATGGAAAGCGCTGATCAATTCAAGTAACTAAAGAGTTCATAAACTAAATTATTTGTAAATCTTAGCTAATAATTCTATTTGTTAATAAAGAATTTTATACTTAATGTTATTTTTCCGTAATCTATAGAGCTGTTCAACCATTGCAATACTACAAGAGATTTTTGGTAAGTTTCCGAGTGATATTACACAAACAATTTATCCTTAGCACGTGTTGTGAAGAAAAATAAGCTATTATTTCAAAGATCTGTGAGAAAATTATTGTTCAACAGGATCAAAACATTCGTCCAGATGGGAGGCGTCTACAGGAAGCTCGAACAACAACTGTCAATGTTAATTTTTGCACACACGCAAACGGCTCTGCTATGGTTCGAATTGGTAATACTACAGTCTGTTGCGGAGTAAAAGCAGTAAGTTTAGTTAAAAAACTGAACTATCTTGCAGTTTTGTATCAATTATTTCAAAACTAAAGGAAATTACAACGCCGAGTGTGACACAACCTAACGATGGAATAATAGTACCAAATGTAGATTTACCTCCTTTATGCTCTAGTGCTATTCAAAGTGGTCCACCAACAGACTACGCTCAAACGTCTACAAAATTGATAGATGATATCTTGGTCAGGTAAATTAATTTATTTATATAATGAATTTATATATAATAAATTCTTAAAAACAAATTGAATTCTTATTTTCAGCTCTAACTTGATTGAAAAAAAAGATTTATGTATAGTTCCATCAAAATACGTCTGGGTATTGTATTGCGATATAGTCTGCTTGGATCTAGATGGAAATTTAATAGACGCTTCACTTTTAAGTTTAATGGCAGCTCTGAAAAACAGTTGAGTTTTAAAAGTTTTTACTTTTAGTATTGCATTTAATCTATCAAAAAAAATCAAAAAATAGTAAAGTTACCAGTTGTAAGTGTGAATGAAAAAACTGGAAAATTAGAGTACGATCATGCTAAAACAACGTCTTTAACTCTTCGTGACGAACCTATAGCCACAACATTTGCAGCGTTTGATTCGTAAGTGTAGTTGAATCCATACAAAAAATGTTATGAACAATGTTTAAACATATTCAAAACAGGGACGCAATCATCATGGATCCAACACTGGAAGAGGAGAATCTCTGTAATGGTTCATTTACTATCACATTAAATAAAGAAGATGATATTTGCAGTTTATTTAAACCAGGTGAAAAAGCAAAAGCATTTAATATAATATATTCATAATTATTAATATGACTTTCTGTTTGTAAATAGGAGGAACTGAACTAGATAATCAAAAATTGCAAAATTGCTTAAAACATTGTAAACGACGTGTAAATTCCGTTAGAAGCTTAATGCAAAATGCTGTTTCAAGCTGATAATTGTATAATGTTTGGCAGTTGTAAATAATAATAACGAAACAAAGCAAAAAGGAAACAAAAGGAAATAAAAATATCTCGTTAATCCTTTAAAATAACATATTTGTCTTGTATTAATTTTTTATAACTAGCTATATACTTTCCAGCTTTTTTTGTATGCTGTAGTATAACATTTTCGACGAATGCTCTCTTTTCCATTAGGAATTCTGTATCGAATTTCGAACATTCGGCGAATCGAATAAAATTCAACACAAAATCGAAACAATTTCTATTTGTTGACAAGTAGTTTTCCTTTTTCCAAACCGATCTATTCCTATTTAAAAATTCCCCTATTAATTCGTCCAGATCGTTACAATCATCTAATGCAATTGATATACAATGATTCCACGTTTCATCCTCATTTAAACCGTTCTCGTCATAATGATAGACTCTCCCCATAGAATTAGTAAAGCCTATATGCAACGGTTTGTCGTTTGAATAGTCTGTTAAAAAATTTCCGAACGTAGGCCTTATTACAATAGATTTCCCATTTGCCCTTTCAAAAGGTGATGGTAGTCTGAACAGCATAATTTGTAAAGTTATAATTTCACACTGACAAACTGGGCAGATCTTTGGCAACTCCAAACATAAAACCTTCTTTGTACAATGCTGAAAGCATTTTATCGGATTATTCATATTACATCACACGTATAATAAACATCCATGTAATCATATACAACACAGATATTCGTTTTAAGCAGTGTCAAGGGCGTTTAAGGCCTTCTTCGGCACTCTTCTATTCTTGAATCTATATATATATATGCTAAAATGTCTATATATCACTATATATAAATATATACAGTATTAAGCAGCTAATTATAGGCCTAAACTCTAATCATCACCAGGTGTCGTTTAGACTATGAGGTAAAAACAGAGGGAGTCAGCGACTTCTGTCGGTGAGCGGTGGAATTACAACAAGTTTGAACAGAGACAACTTTTAGCGACTTGTACAACAGGGAAAGAGGATGAAGAATAAGAATTAAGGAAATAGCCCAAAGATAGAAATGACAACTGCACCAAGAAGTAGAAGAAGAAAGACGTCAAAGAACTCTTCTCCGGTAATTAGATTTAAAAACATTATTTCTATGACTGTTTTTTTAATAGCTGTTAAAATAAGTAGACTATTGATTATAAAAACACGAGCGTTATCGCACTTCGGATTTGTTTATACGCGTTTCCATAACAACTACGGCCGTATTGCAGATCTGCAGTTTAGAATCGTCAACTAAAATAATTAATAAGAAAGTTGTCCGTGTACATAACCCCTATAGAAAAAGACATAATTAGACCGATCACTGGGAATTATTGATTGACTACGCAAACGTTCGCCAAATAGATTTTATTTCGATCAATAATATAAAAAAAGCGGCAAATTCCTTGCGTATCTTGACTCTTTTGAAAGCGAGGGGTAGATCACGTGATGTAAAATGGAAGATGCTTTAATTCAGTGGAGAATCAGGGAGAGGGAACTTTTGTTCGCTTGTCTCCACGTAACGGTATGATAGCTATAGCAATTATCCATACTTGCATAAATCATTAGGAATGGGGTTAAAGATTATATATTTTTCAAATTGTATCAATCAGTCGATACGTAAAAGATTAGTTAATTATTTATTTACAACACGTCAATATATTCTGCGTGCAGATAGAGGCAAGGGATGGAGAAATCAGAGACGCCTTCGACGATTTACTAAGAACAAATTCCGTAGAACTCGCCAGTTTAAGATCAAGGAATCATTCAAACGAACGCCAAATCAGTCGTTTATCGACCGAAATTGAATACCTGCAGCAGAGAAATGAAGACTTGCAAAGACGGGTGAATAATAAATATTCGATCGAATTTATCTTTTGTTATTAGTGTTACTTTATTATTTCATAGCTCGACGAAGCGGCTATAAAGACCGGCTCTCTAGAGCGGGATAAAGAGACGGTTATCAGAACGGCAGATATGGAATTATATGATGCGAAAAGTGAATTAGATAGGACTAGGAAAGAACAAGAAATTTTGGATAATGAAATTCGCCATATGAAAGCAGTAAAATTTTATTTATTTTCTACCTTTTAATTCAGTTATATCAATTAATAGTCAATGAATAGTATATAACTTATATCCAATAGGAAAGGGCTGCCCTTATTTCTGAAATGGACGATTCGAAGTCGCAGCTCGGAGAGGAGATTGCTCAACTAAGAGAGCTTTTAAGTAAGGCTCACACCGATAAGAAAAAGTTAAGTAGCCGTATCACAAAGCTGACAAATAATGGTTAGTCTTTCTTTATTCTCTCTGTCAATATCATATCGGAAGGAAATAATAAATCATTAATTACAGAGAGAGAGTTGGTATTAGAGATTGATAGGCTTAAACACAGAAGTTCGTCTGTTAAGAATGGTAAAAAGACGAATAAGCATGTGGAAAATTTAATCAAATGCTTAGAAGAAGAGAGGAATTATTGGAAAAGCGAAGCGGATGGATTAAGCAAGCTCTTGAAACTGGGAGGAACTGTTCGATCACGTTCGATTTCACCCTCGAGGAAGGGTTCAACAAAAGCATTACAAGAAGTATGTATTGCTACAATACTACTTTTATCCTATTCATTACAGTGTTTTTTTCAAGCTAATAACTATTTTGTTTTCTATAGGCTTTACAAACTGCTGAGGAAGAGAGAAACCACTTCAGAAGAGAATGCGATCTCTTAAAAGCTATGCGTAGATCCCCATCCCCTACTAGACGATCCCAATCTAAAACAACCTCCAATGAAATTAATAACGAATTTGATAAAATGAAAAAGGAGAGGGATGAACTCCAATTGCTTCTTGATAAATTCGAAAGACACATGGCCGAAATTCAGTCGAATGTTAAGGTGCTAACTTCAGAAAGAGATAAATTAGCTGGAATGTATAAGGAATCAAAACAAGAATTAGGTACATTTTTTTGCAGTTTTTTGCTGTTGAATCCTGCAATTTTTTTTAATTGCTGTTTCTTTTGTACGGTATATAAAATTTATAATTCATTCTCTCATACATGTTTTTATAGACCGTCTACGCAGAGATGTTGTCAGATCTACAAAATCCGCCAAATCATCCATAGCAGTGCAAAACGTTCTACATAGAGTAGAATCCGAAAGAGGTTCCGTGTTCATTATTTTGTTAATATATGTTGATTTATGTTTCCTTTAACGAATAGATAGCGCCTTAACGGAATTAAGACGTATGACCACTGAGAGAGATTCTTTAAGAGAACGCCTAAAAATTGCTACTGAAACTCATTTGTCGGACCGTGCACATTTGGAACAGAAAGTAGATGATTTAGAATCGGCAATGAGAGCCTCAGAATTGGATAAGGACGAAGCCATAAATCGTTTGAAATCTATGCAAGACGTCATTGACGCTGTTGAAGCAAAAGTTCGCGTTGAAGGAGAAGCGTCGGCAACTCATAAAGCGACTGCTACTCAAATGAGACTAATTGCCGAAAAGGCAGAAAGAGCCGCTCACGATGCTCAAAGACAATTGGCTAAATACGAAAGCGAAGTTAGAGCATCCCGTGAAAAAATCGCCGATTTGGAGGCCGAAGCTGTTAGTCTTAGGCGGCAAGTCAGCGGAGAAAGAGAACAAGCTAAAACCCTTCATTCGACTGTGGTTGCTGGAAAGAGAGATAACGATAGACTGAGGGAAGAAGTTACCCAATACAGTCTTGAAGTCGAAGCAAAAGATAAGGCAATGATTGAAAATAGAAGACTTATTAACGAATTAGAGTCTCAATTAGATCGCTACAAAGGTGAGTTTAAAGCTCACGAAGAAGAAATAAACGATTTAAGAAGGAAGAAAAATGAATTTGGAGACGAAATTTCCATTGTTAAAAGATCTAGAGAAGAGCTAAGCAGAGAAAATCGTAAACTAGTTGAGGAATTGCACGCAACGAAAGAAGAATTAAGACAAGTACAAGCCCAATTGGAAGAGGCTGACGCCGACGAACAAGAATTAAAAGATCAAATACAAGGTTACGTTGCCGAAGTAAAAAGAGTCGAAGATCTGCTCAATTCAAAAGAACAACAGAGAAACGATTTATTGGAACAATTTAAGTATGGAAAATATCCGTCTAATTGTTACAAATAATAATATAATAAAAAATTCATTGTATTATATAATTTATTCATTTCTGAAATAACAAATAGAACAATGAGTGCCAGTGCCGAACGTTATGAAACTGCAACCCACGAATTACAAAGCCAAAGCTCGTCTTTAAGATTGGAATTGACTACAAGAGACGCCGAAATAAGACGTTACAAAGATCGTGCGGAAGAGGCTGAACGCCAATTAGCCGAATGCTCTAGATCAGAGAATGCTTACCAAACTCAGGTATCTTTTACAAACTTTTCCCTTTTAATAGTCTTCTATAAAAGTTTGTTTTTTTTTCCACAATCAAGATTAACAGTCTAACGAAATCAGTTGCGCAATTAGAGGAAAGTTTACGTAGGGGAGAGACTGAAAAACGTTACTTAAGTAACGATTTATCGGCCGTACGTGATATATGCGGAAAATCGGAGCTATCAAAAGATCAAATAGCTCGTCAGTTTGCAAGATCGCAAACTCAACACGCTGAATTAGCAAGAACTGTGGAAGATTTGAAATCTGAAAACAATGATTTAAAAGATCAACTGGGCTCCAGCCACGAAGCTATCTCGAAATTAGAAGATTTAATTCATTCAAACAAGGATAGAGATTTTCAGAATAAAATAGCTCACCAGGAAGCTGAATCTGAAATAAACTTGCTAAAAGATAGGCTGAATTTGAATGAAAGCAAAGTGTAAAGTTCCCTTTATTTACTCTTGTCGAATGAATTTTCACTTTTCTCTTTCTTTTAATTAGGGACAGTCAAAATAGGGAATTGAATGCTCTGAGATCAAAGAACATACAGGTAGAAGCGGAAGTTGATAAGCTGAGAAGACAATTAACGAACGAAAGATTCGAAAAGGAACGTGCCGCTCAAGAACTAAGACGTCATGGTATTGCACCACCGGGCGAAAGATTGCAATTGCGAACAATAAATGGAAATCCATTAAGCTACTAACATACTGTAAACTTTGATAATACCAACTAATTTTCCCAAGTTAATTCATACTATCTTCAATTTTTCAGCTCAAAAACAAAAATGGATGCCGAAAGTTTTACTGTGATAATTAATTTATTATTTAAAAAAAGGAGACTTAAAAAAATTCCGTCCAGAACGAAAAAAGAAGATTTCTTTTTTTTCAAGAAAAAAATAATTGCGCTTTACCAGTTTTTCTTTTTTTGTTTTTGATCCATTTGTTTTTTTCTGAACCATACTAATTCTGAACTATCATTCAATTTTATTAGTAATTTGTATTGCTTTTTACTTTTGATTACGATGTGCTATTGCTCTGTAGAGAATAACGGAAAGTAGAAACAAAATTTTAGCAGTTGGTGTCGGTGTTTTTTTTGTTTGATCTTGTTAAATTAGACGTATTTTAAAAAAGAAATTGGTTTCGAATTTAAGAAACAAAAGTTGGAGCACTTTTGCACAAAAATGAAAAACTGTGAAAGAAAATAATACATTTAAATGAGAAAACAAAGATAGTTTCTTTCTTTCTTTCATTGATTTATTGATTAATAAAATTGAATACAAACAAAGACCTGGAAACAATTTTACAGTAAGAAAAATATCAACTTTACAATTACTTTTAACAAAGAGCGCCATCTAGCGGTTTTACAAATTCATAATTCAAAGAATCAAGCATAGGAAGATAATTGAAATTGAATAAAATATACTAGTTAATTGTAGACTGTTAGCGGAGTTGCAGTTTTTTCCGCTGCAAATGCATACAACTGATGTAGCTCCATCACCGCCATCGCTATTGCATTCATTATTCGTTTTTGGCCCAGTGTAGCATCCTCTAGCAACTAATTGATATTCTGTAACAGAAAGGAATAGAATCACCTTGATTGTTATCTTTTATAATTGGAATAAATAGAAATACAAACTGTTTGTATGGTATTTAGTTTTAACGCAGTTGGTTGATTGGCATTTTGTTGCATTTTGTGGAGCGGTAAAAACGTCTGCACACCAAGGATCTTTCAACGACCAACAGCTATAACAATCCCCAGCTTGGCCTTGAAAAAGAGAGAACACATTAAAGATTATTTAGGCAACAGTGGAAGAAGATATTCATGAAAAAATATTAAAACCTGGTTTGGAGCAGGCGTTACTTGTGGTGGCCACTATAGATGATTGTAGAATTGAAAAGTATGTTTTGATTTGACCACTTAAACCAGTCTGACAAGCACCTAATTCCCTCTTGAAACATGATTCAATCTTTTGAGCATCGGAACATGATGATAAAACACCTTCGCAAGTTTTCAATTTTTTATGGCAATCTGAAAAAAATAATTATTAGAAAAACATCTCATTTCGTGGTCGTATCGTAATCTTACCGGAATTTGTATTACATAGTCTCGATTCTAAATCTTTAACAGTTACAACAGATATGGTTGAATTTGAACAGGGTTCATACCCTTCAAGACAGCTTATAAATCGCTTTGAAATTCCGCATACCGAAGTCATAATAATCTCATTTTTTATGACTTTATCAATATCAATCTTGTACGAAACACTGCATTGAAGTTGCTTATCCGCGCAGTCTAATTTAAATATTTTAATTTAAAAGGATTAAGAACGGAGACAATTAATTATAATATTACGCTGGTGTCAGCATAATTATTCATAAAGAATTTATTGATTTTTGTCAACAATGAACAAACCTTGAGCAGAGACAATTTCAACCTTTGAAAGAAGTTGTACAATAATATCTGTAAAGAAACATATTGTCTATAAATCCATGTAAATTCTAGTTTAATATTGACTATCGTCCATTTATTAATTATGATTTAGCATTGAATTATTTAAGGAAATCCGTCTAACTTACGCAGTATAAAGATCCTTCTTGTTGCCATGTTTGACAACACCATGGACTTAACTAAATATACGAAAGGTTTTTCATATTCTGATCAATAGCCACAGTTTGATTATCGCCTTACCAGATTTATTTCAAAACTACTCTGCTTGGATTCCCAGAAACTATACTGAATATATATTAAAGTGTTATGAATATTTAAATGATATTAAGGTATTGGAAAATTAATTATAATAATACTTTCTATCGTTTTCATAAGTGATATAATTAATTTATTTTTCTCCTCTATTTGTTTTTTATCAAAGAGTGAAGAATAATCAATTAGCTATTGAGAGTCTCTTTTGAATTACTTAAATTTTTATGATCTTATTTAAACGAATACTGCTAATAGTATTAGTCTCCCGCAAAAAACAATAATTAAAGATTCTGAGAGATTAAAGCATGCGCGGTTATTATTCTAAATGCAGACGTAGATATTTCAAAGGTCAAGGTTTTTTGATACGTTTCCGGCAGGACGTGTAGGTTTTCGAAAATGTCTAGGGGTGGTTTATCGGAACATTTAAACGAAAATGAATTGGATTTGTCCATGTTACAATACGAAGTTGTTCCGGTTAAGGAAATAGTTAAGTTTTTATAAAAAAACTATAGAGGATTCCTTAAATATCTACTTTTTTTCTTTATCAGGTTGCAGTAAAAAAGGCTACTCAACTAGATTTATCGGCTAATTCTATTAGAGAATTACCGCAAACTTTTGCTTCAAGCTTAACAAGACTAGTCAAATTGGACTTGAGTAAGAATCGCTTGGAAATTCTGCCCGATAATATAAATCTATTGCAGAACCTGCATACGCTAGACTTATATGCTAATCGTTTAACTTCGTTACCCGTATCTATTTTTGAAATGAAAAATTTAAAGTGGTTAGATTTGAAGGACAATCCTTTGAATGCTGAGCTAAAAGCTGTCGCCGGTGATTGCCTTGATAAGAAGGAGTGTGAAAGGTGCGCAAAAGACGTTCGAGAATATTATGCGAATGTTAACGTTGAATTAGAAAAGAAGAAAGTCAAAAAATTGAAAAAAGAGAGGAAGAGAGAAGCTCTTAGAAATAGGTTGGAAGAAGAGGAAGCTAAAAAGAAGAAAGAAATTCAAAAATTAGAAAAAGAACGTAGGAGACAAGAGTTCCTACGTAAAAAAGAAGAAAATACGAAATCTGAAGGTTTGTTATATATTTTATAAAATGGAAAACAAATAGAATTGTGTGTTTCTTCTTGTTTTTATTATATAGATATGTATATTGGCTATTTATAATATTTTACCATATTGCTTTTAATTTTTTTCATCTTTCTTATTGTTTCTACAGAGAAAAATAACAAGGATGTTACTGAAAATGAAACAAAGACTGAGAAAGATACCAATTCTGATCAGCCCAAGATAAAACCTTCAAAGAGAAATAATTCTGAAAGTTTTACACTGAAATCGATATTTGTTATCTTTCTGGTGGCGTTAATTTCACTTCTAGTTAGCCTTTGGTTCTACTGTAGTAATTACAATGATATTCTCTGTACGGAGGGAAAATATTGGATAGAAATGTATTGGAAGAAATTGCAATTGAAATTGAAATAAAGAAGAACTTACCACGTTCCCTCTCTCTTTCTTTCTTTCTTTCTTTCTTTCTATTTCTGTTAATCTGTCCCTTTTTCTTTCTTTTTTTCTCTGATTCGGCAGTCATTTACGAGACCGGCCTGGTCTTTGCACTGTGGTCATTTCTTGTTTTATCATTTGACAACAGTACAAAGCCAGACTGGGCACGCAAACTTTAAAATAAAAAAAATAACAGAAAAACACCAATTTTTCTCGTTCAAAAGAACTTTTTTGGACCAAAATCGGCGATAAAATTTTGTAGGTATTTGACAAATACTATTGTAGATAGGGCCACGGACGATTTGGGGTATTGCCAGACGTTCTTTGAAGCTTTAAACAGTCAACGAACATCTCACAAAACCTGCCCGTCCGCTGCAAATCCAAGCCATCGAATGAGGAGAGAAGCATCAGCCACCCGTATATATATGTATAAATATCTAAATTCATCGCGCATTAGTCGTTCAGTGCAACAGCTTGAGCTTTAGTCGGACGCCTAATTAGATTAATCGGATTTCAGAGAGCGAATATAATTTTCTTGTTGGCGGGAAAGCGACAAACTTGCCTACTGAACTGCTATGAATCCTGTTGGAGGCGGAGTCTGTCTGATCATGTGCGCAAGTACGAACGCGTTTTAATTCGCTTTTTTTCCATCCGCCAATGCAATTATGCGTTTCGGTTTCAAATTTCACCGGTGGGCATGTGACGGGTAGGCATAAAAAGTTCCTCAAAATCATATGACCTGTTTTTTTTCCACAAGCTTTTATTTAGCAATACTTCAGACTTATAACGGTGCTATATATAAATACATATACAGTATAATCAGTCAGTTATATACCGTATATGTATATATATAACTATATATTTATACATATTATATTTAAACTTTCTAATAATATAATAATTGAATACAGGAGAGTCTAAAGTCAATATTCATCATTTAAACAATTTCATTTTTCATCTATATACGTTGAAAGTTTATATTTCTTGTTTTTTTGACAATTTTATTTTTCATTTTATACGGAAATTTGTTTCTTTCATCTAATTTCTTTAATGTGCGGCGACTGCTGACTGCTGACCATTTTCGGTACGTATTTGCTTGCCCAGATATTCCCAATTATGTACCATTAACTTTTGAACAGCCAACAAAGATTCATAACGAACGTTTGGATCTTCGTGTCCCAAATGTTGCATGACCAACTGTTTTCCACCAAGTTGTTCAATTACACTGAAAAATAATACTTTTAAAGGCCGAGTATTTTGTTTATATATATATTTATACTTGTACATGTTCATACATTGTACATTATACAGTATATACCAACATTTAAAAAAAGATGTTAAAAAGCTTACTGTTTTCCCTTTGGATAATGTCGTACGTACTCCCCTATATCGTGCGCAGCAACTGATAGGATTAAAGGATCTCTGTTTGACTCCAATAGTTTTATTAGGATCCTAAAAATAATTAATTATGAGGATTTATTAATTATACTTTATGCTTCCTTTTTCAATTAATAGAAACTTAATCTTTATTAATTGTTTCTTACTTAAGAAGTTCATAATTCTTTTCGTTTAACCTAGCGGCATTTTCTCTCCAGAATCTCTCTGTCTTATGCACAGGTGACCACTCCAGACGACCCGACCGAATTTCATTCGTATATTCGTCAAATGAACTGAAGATGGCGTAATTGTACGAACGAAAAAAAATATATATATAGTAACTCACCTTAAATCTTGTACTGATTCATGTAATTTCTCATTTAAGAATTCAATATCTTCCGTAATATCTGGATCATCGAATTTTCTGCCTTCTAAATGCTGTAATTGCTTAAGAACTTTACATTGAACCATCGAAAGTGCATGTTCGTGAATAACGTCTTTCTGATTGGGTTTTTCCAAAAGATTCTTTAAAAAAAAAACCCCAAAATTAAAAATAGAGTTTTTATTAATATTTAGATAAAAAAAAGAATAAAATATACTATAATTAAGAATAGAGACTTGTATGACTTACTCTAAACGTCGCGAGAATAATTCTAGTCACTTTATCCTTAGCACTCTCACTAAGAATATCAGCTGTTATTGGTATAACATTATATTTGTTGACAATAGACGCCAAATCTGAATTAAAAGTTAGACACCAGAGACAAAATATTAGCTGATATTGAATCTGAAATCCAACTTTTCCCGCCAAAACGGACACGATTCTAAACGATAAAAGTGTATTTAAATTGAGTAACAATATTTTAAATGTTACAATTATTATAATATACTTACACGCTTATACCGTCAACGTTAACAAAAGCTAATCTGTAAGCGTCTATTCTTAACATCATTTGTAAACATCTGGCGACGGTTTGTAGGTATTCGTTACTATTTCTTTTCATTTCATCTCTTAACCAAGTTAGGTAATAATCCAAATCTTGCCCTTCCATTAAAATCGAACTCCAACAGGCTAACTTAGCTATAATTCTAAACGTCTAAAGGTTGATAATAATAATTAGTCATTAATACGTAACTCGTAGTATATATATATATATATTACTTGATTGACGATAAATGGATCTGGTCTATTCAGCATATTCAGAAAAGGCGTCCACATTGATTCCTTATTCTTGACAGCATAATTTTTGAAAATTTCAACTCGTGATTTATCTTCCTGTAATATATCATCAATCATGGTAAGGATATATTGCACAGTTTGATCTTTCGATATATGGCCCATCAAGGTAAGAAATGTTCTAGCACACTGCATTTGAATGAAATTCGTTTAGTATAATGTATAAAGTAATTTCATATTTTTACGATTACGTTGTATGGTTTTTCGCCTAATAGGGCACTCTTTTGAGCTGGACCGGAGTTATCTAAGCGGGAAATCACTCCAAAATCTTCGGGAGAGATCATTTGACCCCTGATTATAAAAATTGTATTTTAAGTGATAAATGTTGGTAAATTTTAAGTACAAACTGTAGATAGGATTGCCAATTAACTCTATTTGCTCGAATTTCATTTGCTCTTTGCTGCAGAAGACTAGTAGCTGCTGCCACTCCAGCTAACGTGTAATCAATTTTAAATTATTATTTTACGAAGATAAGAAAGTACATCTACCTACCAGCTTTTTCCAAATCGTCAATATTGGATATTCCAGAATCTTGTAATCTTGTATAGGCTGCCATCATTCACAATTCAGTTTAATATTTCTGAAAATCAAATGGGCAAACAACTTTCATCTGTAATAAGTAGTCATGTGAGATATCACGTGATGGAAGGCGAAAACTGGTATGCTAATAGGCTGAATATAAAACAAAGTGACGTCACGATAGTGCGGTTGTGTTCCTAAATTTTTTGTTTTTCTTCTTTTATGAGTGAGTTTACGTCTATTTTTATTATTTATCAAAACAGAAATGTTAATGTTAATGGATAATATTATTCAGATCATTGGTTGAAAAGATCTAGAATAATAAGTATAATTTTAGTAAGTACATAGTTAATTTCAGCAATCAAGCAATGCATGAACAAAATTATATTTATCTTTAACAATTATTAAACAATACTCTATTAGAAATGTCCATCAAAATGATAAACGATGAAGGCTTGAGCAATGTTTCATTATCGTCTGACACCGAAACAGGTCGAATCATAGTAATAATAATATCGTTAATGGGAATTTAACTAAACTTGAATTTATCAAAATCATCTTACTATACCTAATCCTTTCATGCGGGACCCTTGTAACCTTGAATACTAGTCTCTCTTTCCTCTTCTTAACCCTTATATTCAAATCTCCCGGCTTGATAACAGGACTCTTTCTTTTTAAAAAAACAAATAATGCTCATTCTATCTATTTATTCGAATCTATTACATAATTTGCAAATATAGAATTGGAACGGTCGACTATTGACAACGCTAAAGAATCAGCAGACCAATTAAAGAAACACGACATGTCAAATTTCGGTAAAAAAAAACTCTATCGTTAATATTTAATGAAAAACGATACGTTCTTTATAGGCTTTGATCAAGAAACTAATGCTGATGAAGAAGAGGAAAAGCAGAGACTTATTTCTCAAGTTCTAGAACTTCAAAACACTTTGGATGGTAAGTCATTTGCACAACAGTATTTTTACCAAGAGAACTAATGTTCCATTCTAATAGATTTATCTCAACGAGTTGACGCCGTTAAAGAAGAGAATTTAAAATTGAAATCAGAAAATCAAGTTCTTGGCCAATATATAGAGAACTTAATGAAAGCTAGCGCCGTTTTTCAATCGACTTCTCAATCAGCAAAGAAAAAATAACAAGCTTTAATATATTGTATTTCTTTTTTCCTAGTCAATTGCTTGGTACTATTTAGCTTGTAGTTTAATAATTAATTATTAAAAAATACATAATATATATATATATATATAAACATAAATGAATAAATCATTTTTAGTATTCTCATCCATTTCATTAGACTCTGTGCTTATAAAAGGCGCACAAAGCCGCGCTAATATTCCATCCAACTATCACCGAAATTAAATAAAACATGAATGCAACTGTCATTGGTATTAAAATCACTCTTGTCTTCTTCAGAAACGGAAGTGCTGAAATAATGGTTTTTTTTGCTTAAAATTTTGGCTTCATTTAATATGTTACTTACCACTATACCCTAAAAATGATATATAAACATAATAGCCAATTGCGAACAGCCACAACGTATTTCCAAACAACAGCGATAAGAAATTGTGATTCATAAAGGCTATTTAATGAAAATTCTATTTATAATATAGAAATTGAACATTTTTTAAAACTTACCTAGAAAAGGTAATTGAAACAGATGCAAGATCATTAATAATGGAAAAAAAGCATTTAAGTGAACATCAAAAGAGTATCCCCATTCAACATCCGCTTTTGATCCTTCTGGTAACAAATAGTTGTTTGCTACAAACCTTAAAACACAAAATTATGTGAAGAACGTTGGTTTATTATTAACAAGTAAATAACTATTAATTAGAAAATACATACCACATAATAGTAGCAATAACAACTCCTACTCCGACGCAATCAATAAAGATAACCCAAAGCCAGAACTTAATAAAACCTGCAAAACCCAACTTCAGAACGAGTGAAAACCCAATTGATGAGACTGTAGAAAAGTTATTGAAATTATTGCTGTTTATGGCAAACTTTTTAGAGAAAATATATCTTACTAGTTAACCATAAAAACAGTAGAATTAGAAACGCAGGATCATCTCTAGCCCATTGATTTTTTGTTTCTAGAAAAAATATATTTATTATTAAATAGTCTTTTTAATAAGGTAATTGACTAAAAGCTATTCTATTCATCCCTTACGTTTTCTGTAGGCAAAATTTCGATAGACTTTTTGGGGAGATACGAATAAGAAAAGCATTTGCCAGAGAGCATACTCAAAATCCATTTGCCTGAATTTGAAAATTCTTCGCAAGTACTTCTTTCGCTTTGATGCTGCTGTAGCTACTCTATTTCTCAGATTACTTTCAGATGAATCTTGCCGGTTAAGCAACAAAACAGTAGAACCCGACGTCGGTGTAGGGGATTGAGGAGTCGACGGAGGGGAATAGTTGCCGTAATACGATGACATCGTCAATCTACTAAAAGTTGGTAAATAACGAAATTAAAGAACTAATTGAAATTTTAAAGATACAAATTTTAAAGTTTCTACAAAATATTTACTAAACTAAACAAAAACTCTTTGAAATTCAGAAAATTCTTACTTGTTCAATGTTTTCAAAGGACCTTTGGAATCTTAAATAGTGAAAAAACACGTTTTTAGAGTATGACAACACATCAGAGCCTCTGCGCAAACTCTACAAGTTAACTACCTAAAAAACCGGAGAGGACTATAATTTTCCGAAAGCTAATAAGGTGCACCCTTCCCAAACAAAATTGACCACTATCTTTTTAAAGGGGAGCTTGACGCCCAAAAAATCATTTTAAACCAATTGATACCATTTGCACCTGGTGACGTCATTGAGAGCAGGTAGGGAATATCGCAATATAAGGTAGACTCATCAATTCTGAAGGTGAATGTTGACCTGATGTAACGAGATCGCCATTTGTTGATATTTAGAAGGATTACGCCCTAGTATCCTCTTTAGACAACGTATAAAAAATCCTGCATAAAGATTTAAAAGCCAAAATATTGAATCGATATCTTAATATAAAACAATATATATTGATATATATTTATAACAACAAGAAGAAGGTAAATACAATGAAATATATAGGTCAAAAGAACTTTACCGAACTTTTTTTTCAGTTTTTAACTCTGAACATTCTTAACAATAATCATGTCAAACGAGTCTACATTTCCAACACAACGATCCTCAACACCATCTCCTAATATTGTTCCTACAGACTTTACTACTATAGCGGGTTTTACTGTGTTCCTTCTTCTAATTGTTTTTATTATAATTGGTTGTTTAGTTTTGGTACTAGCCAGTAAAAAAGGTTGCTGTCGAAAATCGAATCAAGGAAATAGAGAGAGCAGCACTGAAGGAGAGTCTGCCACATCGGTAAATATGTCTGATGGACCACCCTCCTACCTGGAGGTCACAGAAAGCAATAGAAATTCAACAGATAATCTTAGCAACCAAAATAGAATTTTCTTTTGTGAAGTTCCTCCTCCACCAAGTTATAATGAAGTAATGGAGGCTTTAGCTCAAAAAAAGAAAGAAGAGATAAGATCTGCAGAACAAGATACTGAATTAGGGAGTCGGAGTGAAAGTAGAAATACTGAACAAGAAGAAATAACTGATCAATCTCAAGAAAGTCCCGAACTTTTAACACTTACAATTAATCAATCGGATACGAATGCAATAACAATAAACCAGACAGAAGAACCAGGGAATTCTGCAAATGATAATACGATTTCGCCAGAAAATACAGTCTACACCTGGTCCTTATAAGCTACTAGATATTATAGATTTTCATGCGATCAGCATTAAAGTTTCATAGCTAAATGCTCAATTTTTAGATATTTTTTGTTTATGGAGCTCGTAATCTCGATTATGCAACATTTCAAGTGAGAGTGATACTACTAAAGATCTAATTTCATAATTTGATGCATTGTTTTTAATAAAATTTTGACAAAATGTTTACATCGCAAACAAATGTTACTTCGAAATGTGTATTTTTATGAGCACATAACTACAGGCTTAAATATACTTATGTATGGCTCGTCCTTGAAATTTCATTAACAGTTTCACTAACAGTTTCACTAACAGGTTCCTTGGTCTTTGAACGCGATATGTTCTTCTGTTTATTGTATTTCTGATTGATCCTTTTTAGATCCTTATTAGATAGCGTTGCTAGACCTTTTTCTTCGTCAAATATGCTCATATCGAAACTGTGCCTATTCATAAGAGCTGTTTCAACAAGATTTCCATTTACCCGTTCCTCCCTTTTAAACTTTTTCTTGAGTTCTTCTCTCGACCTACCTGGAAATAGTTTTGTTAGAGACGTAAAATCAGTTCCAAGGGTTTTGAGCCCCAAATAAAAAGTTGCTGTATCCCGTACTGTCCATGGTCCTGAGAAACTCTGTTTCTTGAAACTTCTACTAGAGACAAATTCATCTTTATTGCCGTCAGTTAAAGGCATTGATTTGAAATCAAACTTCTTTTTTTCCCTAACAACTAAAGACTCTTCATCAATGACGATTTCACCTTTCTCATCTATTCTAATTTGAGGCGCACTGGAGCTGCTCTCCTCTGTCAAATCTTCCTCTACAGCGGGTTTATCTGGCTTCTCATCGAATTCTTGTACAACTTCACTGTCATCTTTGGGCATTGGATTCGTTGTAGGGTTTAAATAAATTAAATCACTAATTTTCATTGAAGATTCCACTGGTGTATGCAAATATTCAGTTTTTCTCGTTAATTTTTTCGATACCATAGGGCGGACAGATTTAGTCAAGTCTTTCTTCGTTAAGATTGGTAATTCGTCGTCATAAGACTTGCGTCGATTCTTCTCACTTTTGTTTGTTTTCTTTTTGTCTTTTTTGACTTTGTCATGAGATGAATGGGAACCCGCTTGTTTTCTTTTTTGTGCACGTGGCTTGGGTGTATCAGTCACTTTCGAGTCGGACTTGGATGCTTCTTTTGCTCCCAAGTCAGAAATTTCTACTATCTCTTCAGCAGCAATATTAGACGGATAATCAGTGGCAGTATTTACTGACTCAATAGCTTTATTTTCTTCACTTACTTCGGTTTCTGAGATGATTTTACTTTCAACACTCTTCTCATCTTCAACAGTCACTTCAGTATTTTGCGTAGTTTCATCTTTCTTAATCGTCACATTAGGCTTGAAGCGAATTTTTGGTCGACGCATGGCTGACCTCCACTCGTAAATAACGAGTAAGACTGAAAATCTTATTGCAATAGGCGATGATGTAAATGTTGTGAAGCCTGAAGCGGAAACGGAAATAACATGCACCGTGAGAACAAATTCGCGCGAAAAGCGCCATCTAAGGCTCCTAACAAAGCGCATGCGCCATACATATTCGGTTTTTATTTGCTCAGGTTCTTTTATAACAAATTCAGGTAATTTACTTTATTTTATCGAAAAAAGAAACTACTAAGTAAGACTAAATTCATTTTTTATTATTAAAGCCTAAAAACTTATCGTGATTTCGATAAATTTTGACGCTTTTCAAGCATATTTCTCGGCAAGCTGTTCGCTTAACCGGCGTCGTTATGGAAATTTTTATGTAAATTAAGCACTAGTATATTAACCATATCTCTATATTCTTTTGCTGCCATTTTCTGTTAATTTTCTTCCTGATTTTAGTAATGTAGAATTTATTTCATTTTACAACATTTTGGCGCCAGAACTTAAGAATTCAGAGTCAAGGTCATTTAGGCCTGATTCTACGCGCTTCTTTAGAACTCGGAAAAATCGAACTTTAAGTTTAATTCCATCTAGTTAAAGTACTATTTAATATTCAGGCAAGCCATGCTACCACTTTCAAAGTCAAACGAGTCAACTCAGGAAGATGTCGACATGAAGGACAACAGCCTTGTAAACAATAATCGAAATGGATTTTCAACTCCAGTAACTTTTCAAAACGGTTGTAGTAATCCTTTCACGCAGATTTCTCGTAAAAGGTCACTATGTGATCAAAGTGTTTTCATGGATCTGTCAAAAAAAGCAAAAGTGAGCGAAACATCAAACGGTTCGTAAATAATTATTCTATCATTGTTATTTCTTTTGATACAAACACCGGTGTTGGGAATTTTCTTTTTTTTTAAATCGTTTTAAGCTATTTCCGCTTATGGCATTTTCAGATGATAATCCTTCAAATCCGCAAACTTGTCTCGAGATTTCAAATTATCTTACGTCAACTGTCAAAACACCAACACCTATTTGTTTTGTCGCGAAAGACGGTTTTTGGATGAACTATTGGTGATTGACCGTTTCTTGTTTCACAGGATCGTCGTTCAACTTAGGAAATCCAGAAAAAAATTTCCCTTGTACCTCGTTAATTGAGCATCAATGTAGCATCAATGCGCAAATTGGTTATGCTAACACTTACTGCGACGTTTTAATTGCAGATTATCACTCTGGTTGATGTGAAAATAGCTAGATTATTTTGTTATATAATGTTTGTTATGTCTCGTCTCTACACCTGTATATTTCTGGTATGTTCACTGCCCGTTAGTTTTTGGACTCTTTTACGTCTATTGATTTCAATGAAACTAGTATGAGTGGAAAATTTATTTTTTATAAATATGATTACAATATAGAAAAATACGAAACAAAAATAGAACAGTTTGATATTTCAAATAACGAATACCTTCCATTATCAAAGGCTCGTTCTTACGACAGACGCGAACGTAGACATCGTATGATTTTCTTTTTCCTCTGTGGAACGTTGTTCAGTTCATTGAGTTTTGCTTTCATTTTAGAGGATGTTTCATTTAATTGAGTAGAAAAAGAAGTGATTGGGGCTCTACTTCCTTCAACAAGAGTAGTACTTTTCTTCTGCGGTGTTGATGCTGAGTGAGCGCAATACGGCGATGGTGGGCTTTTACAACGTAATCTCTCTGATCGTCTATTCTCATCTTCGTCACTGAGACGCTCCTTTGCTTCTTTCTCACAAATTCTTGGCTTCTTATAACCATCGTAGTTAGTTAAACGAGAATTATAATCAGATTCAGGGGGAGCATAGCCTCTCTTTCGTCCCTTAAAAGGAACTCTGTTAATTAGAGATGGCCGGTCTGTTGATCTACTTCTGAGGTTTTTGCTTGATAAAGAATCCGTTGTTGATCTTTGATCTAAAGAAACACTTTTAGGCCTTAACGCATTATCAGAAGTTTTACTTTCATCCTCCTTATTAACAGATTTGACAACTTTTTCAGATTTTTTCCCACTTTCAGATGGTGTCTTGGCTAATTTAATACGAAGAGTTCTGGTTTCATTTATGGTTTTTAAAGCGCTCACAGAATTTGAAGAATTTTCATTTTCATTATAGCAGCTATCGCCTGCTTCGAGTTTAACTTTACTCTTCACTTGATTTCGTTGAGACAATCGTTGAAATACAGTTGGTTTTCTCTTTTTTAACAACTTTTGAGCTCCAAATTTTAATTTTTTTGCTTTTCTTTCTACTTCACTAATTATTTTAGATGATCGACCACGCTTTTGTTTTAAATCGTTCACTTTTGAGGTCTTATCAGTAAGTTCGGTTTCATTTTTCACTATTTGCTTTTTAGAATTTGGCTTAAACTTTGGTGTAGTTGCTGAATCGGGAATTTTTAATGTTCGAAATGGGCGTTTGTCATCCGAAAATGATTTTCGCTCATGTTGTTCTATAACTACACCATTTTTATTGACTTTGTTGGTAATAATTTGCGAATCATGATAGCCGTATCGTTGTTGAAAGGCGTCACTTTCCAATATGGCAGTTCGAGCCTTCACTGAATCATGATCATCATAAATCGGTGCAACTCTATGCGCTCTTATTACTTGCGGCTTTTCTCTACTGGTTAAGCTGGTATTTTCGAGCATTTCTGCTTGTTTGTGAATGATTAATTTTTTAACATTAGCCAACTTTTTACTATGTTTTTCTCTCCTCGTTACAAGATAACATAAATTCCTGACCCTTTCTAAATTTTGGCGAAGTTTTATAAACATTGCCAATCTTCTGTTGAGAAGGTCATTTTCAGCTTCCGTTAAGGAGTCGTCGGTTTTAGGATGCAATAAAGGTTTATCAAAAAAAGATTTTCTTTTTAACGTCCAGTAGACGTGAACATTTTCAACAATCTCAACTTTTTCCTTCAATGTACATGCTACGTCGGCGGCGTTGACCAGAGTATAAAATTCTTCTTTTAGTCTTTCAATTTTAGTGTTTCTATTCTCCTGACAAAAATCAATGGTTACATCATCGTCGTCATCATTGTCAGTGGTCAAATCTGATTTGTTTTTAGAATGTTTGGGGCAATAACTTAGGTAATTAATAGTTCCTTTTGAGGACGGAGTACAATTCATAGTTAAACCACTTCTTTGAGCACATGTTACATGGTATGCTTTAACGCAACTTTTTATTGAACATTGGATACAAGCTCCTTTCTTCCTTTTGCAAATACAACAAGCTAAATTTCTTCTAGACTGAGGTATGCTTTGGATGTGTTTGATTGGTTCCATTAAATCACTGGTATTCTCAATAGCTATCTCAGGTATCCATATAGCACAAGATAAATGCGCCCACTGTAATCCTGACCGGGTTGATTTCAAAGCACCACCGGTATTTGGACACAAGACGCATTCTTTCTTAACACCCAAAGCACAGGGCCTGCAATAATAAGGTCCATCTGGTATTCTCTGAATTCCATAACAACCTTGATGAACACATACATCACACCCATCGCAAAATACAATCTCATTATTATCCTCAGCGTCAGGACTTCTACAAACATCACAAACGACATTTTCGTCGTATTCGATACCTAGACCAGCTCCTGTTTTTTCACGCATTTGCATATTTTCATGACACTTATCTTCAAAGCATTCTATAATGCGCTCCATTTGCCGTGCACCAAGTGTTTCAATGCCAGATGATGTTCTCCCTCGATTAAAAATCTCGAGCCAGCTAATGTCCATTAGATCCAAATCGTAACGGCATAAGGATTCACCGATTTTATCGTAATTGCTTAATTTATGCTCTTTCTCGTCATAAGTTTCATCTTTTGTTTGATGGATGTATTTTTTAGATCTAAAAATGTGCATATAAATTAGCATTTAATAATTTATAACATCTAAAACTTTACCGAACGAAGCGAACATTATTATCATTGAGATTGGTTACTTTGACTACTTTTGGACAACTGTCGAAATCTGGATTAACAGGGACTTGAACACCAGCCTCCCATTCTTGTTTCCAGGGATCATTAATTATGATAATATCTTCTAGGGGTAAATGTTCACTATCAGGTACTTTCATAGCAGATATTAAATCTTTTCGGAACAGCTGTAGAGATGTATGAAAAAAAATATATTTCATATTTTAATGCAATATAATTGCTAACCTCTGCCGGTTTTTGACTACTCCTTCCACGTAACCTTAATGCAGACCGACCGTTTAAACTCTGCCTTAATTCAGGAGATTTAAGCGATGAGCTTGCTGTAGGTATGTCATTATTAATAAGGGATGCATAATTTGGTGACAAAAGGCGTTACCTCGACGCAAGTGTTCTCTACCGCTTGGGGCAGTTTCTTCATCAACATCTTCCATATCTATAAGGTAAAATTGGTGTTTAGATAAGCGTTCTAAGCTATTGACTACAAATTTATTGCACAATTTGATAATTACCTATGCAGATATGCTTTTTTCGCTCGCGACAATTTCTTTTAATAAAAAATCAGCAAGAAGTGGCGAATTATAAAGTATCCTTTCGAAAAGATTTGTATAATTTTAATCGAGCTGGTACTCTCAGACATAAACGTTTGTAACCGTTTTGTCTACTTCCGCGCCATAATGTATGGCGTTATTCTTTTCTTCAGAGACGCCATCTTGGTTTTGAGTCTAATTACCGCGGAAAATTTGAAATTATGTCTAGAATTTATAAATTCGTGAAAGGACTTGATGAATATTTGTTATAAAAATGGTGTTATTTTTGGTGTTGAAATAAAAATTTATGGGGGTAGAAAATAAAAATATTTTAGTAAATAATCAAAGGTGAAGGTCGTAACCGACTTTCGAACAATACATATTATAAATATATGCTTTATATAGTATTGACAATAGGTAAATTTAACATATCGTCTAAACTCAGGTTTGATTTAATAAAAGGAGTGTTTTTGTGTTTTATAAAAATAAACTACAGAGGCTGGCTGGCATACTTTACTTAAGCAAATATGAATTAGTTTATAGAAAGTACTAAAAATAGTCGACCTATTATAAACATTCCTTTGATTTATTGATTATTACACGTTTAGAAGATAAATTGAGGGAAGAAAGATTAAAAGTTATTTTAAAAAGTTGCCCATTGATAATTAATATGAAAGTATGTTTCAATAAAAGGCCACCTATTATTCTTTTTTAAATAGGCACGTATAGGTCTACACTTTTCTTAGAAGTGTAACTTTTCATTAATTCTTAATAAGCATAATGGTATTTGTGGTTTGTAAAGAAACATCGAAAGCAATAGAATAAACGATCAACGCTAAGGAAATCCCAAAGAAAAATGCTAACAGAGCATTTCTTTTCGTTTATAAAATCTCAATACCAAGCCTAACAAAAAAAATTCGTATTCCTTCGTCTTAAAGAAATAGTGTAATAGGAAACTTGACTCTGAAAAATAAATGTTTATCATACAATCGAATAGACGGAAACTGTATCACTTCATTTTAGTCATGTCTGCTTGAAAAGGAAGAGTTTTCCTATTTTTATTATAGTTCAACATTCGTCACTTATAAATGTATAAATATAATACGAAACAGTGCATAATTAAACAAAAATTGTTCTAATTGCTAGGATAATAAATCTATAATTATTATTTTTAGAATGTATATTTTAACAAACCAGTGAAAGCCTATACAGAAATTTAATTATCGGTTTTACATATAGAAAATCAAAGAAGTTAAATTATGTTTAAAAAATATAATAAGAGACATTTTAAAAAGGCAAAGAGTGGTAAATTTAAAAGGAAACGTTTAATGATTAGTCATGACTCTTTAGAACTATTCTCTATTTTTCCCTCCAAAACCTCTTTTACCCCCCACATAACAAATTGTAGCAATGTGTGTCAAAAATACGATGTGCTTTAATCTTTACACAAACAAAATTCATTGTATATCGTCGATATTGATTGTTAAAAGCAATTATTTCCTGTACTTTATACTGTGTAGTTCTTAAGCTGTTATTGGGTTTTTTTTCCTCTCGTCAAGATATTTTTTTTTATAGTATAACTTTGAATAACAGTCTGATAAAAAAACTTGCATGTATCTTATCAAAATTTTATGTGTCTATGAAAGCCTATAATCAATAGTCTGGTAAAAGATAAAATACCTTATCTTATCAATAGTAATGTGTTTAATTAAATTATAACATCCGTGGCATAAAAAGATATTAGCAACTGAATCTATTCAACTTATTATGACTAATATAAATTCACTTGTGTAATATTACGTTTGTTTTAGTGTTGCATTGCTACTAATGATTAATTAGGCTAAATATTTTACATTGGTGTTATTGTATTTTATTATATGTATAACTAAGATAGTCACAACACAGAATATTGAATATATATGCTTCTTTTATGGTCTTCATATTAAAAAGTTAAAAAAAGCCTTTGTTTATGGAGGACTCAATAAAAACTGGAAATGTCAATAATTTCATCGTTATAGCTAAAAAAATTTTCCTAATTAATTGGATTTTTAACCGTCCAATTGAATTTTACAACGACCCAAATATCCTTTCAAGTTATTACAAGTTAACGTGTCCAAAAATGTGAGATGACGTCATGTCTAAATATGTCGGCCAATGGCCGTTCAGAAAGACTGTTTTTTTTATGAATATTCATTGAGTTGCCTTATTGAGTTTCCTTCAGCGTTTACTGTGCTGCAGGCCATATATGCGTATCTAGGGGTTTTGTTAATGTTTAATTTCTAATTACACTTTTTTTGTAATATTTTTCATGATAATTATTTTTTAACTCATAATAAACTAGATAATTACATAATTTTGCTTTTAAGCTCTTTGATAAGAGAACTATAAAGCTGAAACCCCTTGAAAAAACAAAAACTGGTGTAGTTCTCTGGTGTGGTTGTATGACTCACCCGACTCCCGCACTCAGTTCTAGTAGTAGTGGTTATACGACGACGAAGAAAATGAATCGCAGCTTACAACCAGATTTCAACGCTCTTCTTAAAGAAAGATTCTTCCCTGTTCATTCCTCAGGTATGATCGCCTTATAGTATGCGCAAAAATACTGATGTTTTTGTCAAAGATTTGGGCTAAGATGGGTATAAGTGGGCTTTTCAGGCTTTATTATTATTATTTTTTTATATATTATTGTAAAGGGACGCTATATTATGGTTAAATCATATTTGTAGCTTCTACGATTCGTAATATATTAATAATTAGAGAAGAAATACAGTATATCAAAAATAAAATACGACAAGTCGAAGCTAGCAAACAATATCCAAGTGCGTGCTGATAATAGAAACAGCGCTTACAATAAAGATTCATATTGGATTTGCGACGTTCTGACCTAGGCATAGGCTTCGTTGGCACCTCGCCAATTGGCCGTTCGCCAAGCTTTTGAATTTGTAGAGGTCGCTTTTCGTCAATTTTATAACATATAGATTCAACGAAAGCTATCGCGATCGTAATATACTTAGAATAGTCTCGTATTTTTTATATTTTGATGTAGACTATTTTAAAGACCATGCCTGTTGTTGAGACAGCTAGTTATGCCTATTGCGATGGTAAGTGTCTTAAGTTCTCCTCGCAGACCATTAAAAAAAATAATAACAAATTTTTAATTAATTAGTTCTAATTAAAATTAAAATAATAAACAAAACCCGTATTTATAGAAAATAATTAAAAAAAAAATAAATTGATAAATGCGCAAAACGCAACCTTTCCTAGAATGTTAAACATGGTGGATAATCAATAGGAATTATAAAAATGTTATTAACAGATGTCGCTAGTTGTTAAAAAATATTACGAAATTCTATATCGTATCTTTTTGCAGCGCCAGTTTCTTCCGGACCAACTTCATCTCCTCCAGCGGATGATCTAAACCATCACCACTCTCGTATGAGCCCTATTGGAGAGAAAAATGGAGTTCAAGAGTTACGCAAGATTATATCGATGTATCTTGCTCATGTTTACCATAGCGATGAAAAGCGAATGGGTAAACGTAAAATGAAAAATCTTTGGGACAAGGCGCCAGATGATTGGCCCGAGGGAATTCCCTTCGTAGACCCTAATAACGGTCTTAAAGAAGACAATGGTAAACAATTAAAACCTAAAAAGCATGATTTGGTCCCGATGTATAATTTTCTTCGTCAAAAATACGAAGCAAGTATATCAGGCACCCAAAGTGTCATTCCAACTGGTGAAATGAGAGGATCCTATATGCATGAGCCCACGTTTAGCCAGATCATATCTGAACAGGAACAAACAACAATTTCCACACATAGCACTTCGACTACCATGGCATCAACCTTTATGGAAACGAACCAGCAAAGTTACGAAGATATGTTTCAATCGCAGCTGACAGCTGACTCTTCAAGTCGCATGACCAATGAGGTAACAGAACAGGTAAATAAGATTACTATGCTAGTTTACACTGCTTCGCTTTTTTCACATTCATTATAAATTGTGTAAACTACCTTAAAAAATCATATATGGTCTCTGCTGCTAACGGCACGGCAACATTGGCCAATTCATGATAGATTTTTTTCTATATTCTTCACATTAAAATCATTGCTAATGCGATTATCAAAAAAAAAAAATATGTAATAAAGACTTCCGGCAGCAGAGGCCCGTGAAAGAATTAAGATGACTTTGGTTACACAATTTTATAAATCATAAAAATATATACTTAAAAAAAAAAATTGACAGACAAACAGAAAAAAATTCTGGAAAAAAAATATGGTTAACGATTACGTAAATAACAGTAAACGAATCAAGACAAATCAGGATTAAATTTACGGGTTGCCTCTCCTGCCAGTTGTTTAAATCTGCCATCTGCAAATTTACGTTTTCTAGGGAAATCATCTGTTGTTGATGGACGAATCAGAGGTTTATGGATACTGCACACTAGACCCAAAACCCAAGGAAGAAGATATACAAGTCTTCATGAAGACCTATAAAGTTAGTCCGGATGATAAGTTAGATATGGAATTGGAAGCCACAATTGATGAAAAATCCCATTTTAAGGAGTGTTCTCCATCGGCAAGATTCCATAGGCAAGATCAAAAAGACAAACTTGGATTTTTTCATAAGAAATCGAAATTTTATAGATTAAAACCAAATGAACCAGATTTCTTTACTCCATGTGACGCTAAGAGAATAAAATTGAGCCCGACAGCTAAATCAATGGATATGGACATGGACATGGATATGGACACCAGTTACAGTAAAGAGATACCAGGAAATTTTATCCTAGAAAATAAAGAAGTAGAAAAAAGTCCGATACCCGACTTTGAAATATTACTTGGAGGAAACAATAAACCAAGAAGATGAACAGACAAATAGTATAGTTAATGAAAAAAAAAGTGCCATTTATTTAATACTTTTTCTAAATCGAAATGCTGTAATAGTTTATTTCGAATAAAATAAAATCTATAAAAAGTGATATATGTTAATATAAAACATATTTCATTCTTCCAAAAGTTTATTGTATATTATTTAATCGGTAAAATTGCATCGAAAATTATATTCTAACTTCACAGTAACGAAGATGGTATTGGATTGCAATAAACCAATCGAAATAGTATGGAAATAATCTGTTATGAAGTATAAAAGTGTGTACTTGAGTACGAAAGATAAATAATTCTAAAATGAAGCATAGGAAATAAATTGCAGATTAACTAAAGTCTTTTAGCTGTGTATAGTAAAGATATGTAAGCTAGAACTCCACTTGAATTTTGTCACAAAAAAGATTATAGCAACAATCATTTACAGCGACGCATGTCATATTTTATATCAGAAAGATAAATGAATAGGAAAATATGAAAGGGAAAGAGAGATTTATCTATTAATCATGAAAAGTAGAAGACAATTAAAAAATATTTATAATTATTAATAATATTGTTTTCTAATTAGTCTGTAAACCATTTCAAACATTCATCATAATGATGAATGAATTTGGAATATGATGTTACGTTGTTGAATTCTTTAAACAGTAATTCATAAATTAGAAAGAAAAAAAAACAGAATCATTCAATAAATTAAAAATTGAATGGATGTTTTCAAGTTTGATGTAAAAAAAATAAAATAATAGTACATACAAAATATATATATATAAATATATATAAATACAAATAATTGATAATAAAGTCAACTAACTGCTACAGTACGAAAAAGAATTTCTCGTAAATTAACGAAATTTGTCTCTTTCACTTAAAAAGTGAACTTTGGTTTTTAACAATCAACATTTATAAAGAAAAAAAAATAGCACAATAAACTACAGTATTCCTTCAGAATTTATAGTTGCAGGATCAGTAAAACAATTATATACCGTCATAAAACGTGTTGGAGAACAAAAGAGAATGAGGAGTAGGAGAGAAAGAAGTAAATTTGAGATAGGGCGGGAGAGAGAGATAAAGAGAGGTAGAGGAGAGAGAGAAAGATTAGCCCAAGGCGTACTAATAAAAAAATATTTTTTGAGCAAAAACTAGAATAAAGCTACAATAGATCTTTCGTTTTCTAGAAATTAGAAAATGAAATCATTGAAATTAAGTTCAGTTTTTTTTTCTCTCTCTTCTTTTTTAAACCCTAGTATTTCTTATTGTAGGTTTTTTTTCTGTTATTTCTTGGTAGATATGGTCATTATTTGGTTGCCAAACTACGTCAGTTGATGGTTTACTATTCTCTTTTTCTATTGAATCGGCAACCGTAGCGTATGGTGGTTCACTCTCAGAATGTCTTTCGGAAATTTTTGTTGGCACTGGAGGAGTATCTACCATGTCGTAATCGCCATCAACTTGGTAGTTATTCTGCAACGTTTCTGGTGTGGCGCTTTTTGTTTTTAAGCTTCTGTCTCTTTGCTTATTCACAACCGAATAGATAGGTATATCATTTGAACTGGAGGGTGGAGCAGTTTTCCTTTTTTCCTTATTTACTTTCGAGTAAAGTGATTCTCTCTTTAACACAGGAGCAGCATCAGCTCCGCCTACAGCGCCTGCAACCTCTTCTGAAGTTTTCTTGCTTTCGTGATGATCATTTACTTGATCGTAATTAGGTTCTTGCTCTTCATTTATTTCTGAATATATTTGAGTGGTATAATCATTTGAGGACTCTTTAATTACATCATAATTTTGTTGATCTTCGACAATTTCATAAACGGTACTATTTGGTGGGATAAGTATTTGTTGCTGAGCCTCTCTCTCTCGAAGAGAGGATAAAGATTCTCGTGCAGAAATATCGGAATAGGGTGGCTCTTTACCTAAAATAAGAAAAGCCAGTAAGATAAACGCAAAGTAAAGAGAATATGAAAACGATTAACCTGTTGTACAGATATTTCCTGTTCGAGATGGTGGAACAGCTTGAATTATTTCCCTATTGTCATCAATTGTAATTTTAGCGTCTTCACTTTTCTCTGGTATTACAGGAGGAGCACCACTAGTATCGGCAATGGTTGAGTTACGTATAAAATTTGACTGTTCTCCAGAACACCTAGAAACGTGACCATTCAATGACTCGACTGGAGGAGCTACTCTCCCGGTAACAACTCCCGATCCTGATTGATTTGGAGTATCACCAGGAACACACTCGTATATATTTGCATCGTGAGCCGCCGGATTGACAGTATCTGGTACCTCTGTATAAACAGCTTCAACAGGTTCGGTTTCAGGAGGAACTTGAGGGAGTTCTCTGGCCTGTCCATTACTTTGACGACAACTCTTTGACTTAATTTCACCTGTAGATCTGAGTCATACTAGGAATAAAAATATGAAAGAAACTACTTCACAATACACTTACTTGCTATCACCATCTTTCCTACATTTTGTACAAGCAAATATAAAAAACACAGAGGAGACGAGAGACGCACTAGCAACTAGGAAAATGTTAACATTTTGGAAATTTTCATCGGCCGTATTTAAATGCGGAGCCATCGTATCTGAAAGTTCGTGAAAGATTAGTATAAAGATATAAAGTAATTGATAAAAAAAAGCACGTACATTTTAAAGTTGAGTCAACAAGGCAGTTAAAGAGAGGATGTTGAGTTTTAGATTATCAAATATCTAGATCTTTAAGCATTTCGAATTATATTTACAACGTTTAGCTTCTCTCTGAAATTAATATTAACGATAATATTAAACAAGGCAGCTAATTGTTTATTTAAATGTATCGATTAAACAGTATTTGTTAGATGTATCGTTTCCCTTGATATCAACCTTGGTTGTCTAACTTCTCTTTTACGTATTATAAATAAAACAGTTCGTTAATTAAAAGATTACATTAGTAATTTAGTAAAATTTAGGCTTTAGTAGGCCTAAGAAATGACCGATCACAGTAAATAAGGTATACATAATTAAGACATCTTTTGATTAAATAAAATGGAATCAACTTAACTGTTTTCTCTTAGGTGTAAATATGGACCGTAGATAAGAAAAGATTAGGAAACTTTTCTCAGTTAAATTATAGACTTCCTATTTATATCGCCATCTTGAAAGTTCTTCGACTAAAATCCGAAAGGCGAGCATAAATATTGAATTACAGATGGCGTTAGTGTTTGCCAAACGTTCGATTTTGAGCCTGTGCGCGGCTACAGTAGGCGGCTAAGGACTCGCATAATGCGATGCGACAAAACTAAGAATAGAAAGGCAAATGCTGCGATAATAACACAGGACAACACAGAATAAAATATTCCTGTAGTACTACTTCGATAAAGGGATGGAATTGTACGCTGCTGTTCAGAAAGGAGATAATAACAAGGTAGAAGGTCTTTTGATGAAAGGAGCAGACGCAAATGCAGTTTTCGACGACGAACCAGTATTATTTACAGCTGTCGCTAACCGCGAAGAATTAATTATTAAACTATTGCTCGATCACAATGCTGACCCCAATAGGCCTTTCGCTGCGGATGAAGGATTTGGGGTGATGATGAGATATCCTCTACATGAAGCCATATGCCGAAACGAGAAGGAAATAGATGTATGTTGCCGAATTGTGTGTCAACTTTTATCTAAGGGAGCTGATCCAGATGCCGTTGACGACTGTGGACAAACAGCATTTCACCATGCAGCTGCCTGCAACAATCTTCAAATTATTAAATTATTACTGCAGTATAAAGCTAATCCACTGTTAGTTGATGCTTCAGGTGATACTGCTTTAAGTTTATCAGCAAGTGAAGGTCATTATGAGATTACTAAATTACTTCTGGAAAATGGCGTAAATCCCAATTCACCTTCAAGCGCAAAAAACGCTCTTTGCACACCACATTCTGCAATTATTCAACTACTCTTAGAACATAAAGCAAATCCTAATGGATATGTCTCTGAGGATGACAGCAATACAACAGTTGTCGAGTCATTCTGTCGTTTGGGGAAGGTGGACATTCTTACAAAATTGGTTCAACATGGAGGAAAGTTGACTCAACGCTGCGGGGTATTGGCGGTTAATAAAGCATCTCCAAGCCTATTGCATTTCCTACTAGAGAATGGTGTGAAGTTTGGATTTGAGACGTTGGATGCCATTTACAAACAAGCTAATGCTAAAGCACTTCTAAGTTTGTATCTAATTGGTATTGATCCGAAAATTGACGATACCAAGATGAGATACCTACAAGTCTTATCTTTAAATTTTCCCACTATAAAAGTAGTTAGAATGTTGGAAACAATGAAGAGTTTAAATATGGAGGAGCCATCTGTGTCGTGTATTTTAAAACTTAAAGACAATCCACTTAGCTTAGCAAGAACAAAAGATGTTTGTGAATACTTTTTAACTAATCTTGGTAATCCTATGGCACTTAAGGGATTATGTCGCATAAAATTATACGAGGTTTTGGGTAAAGATGTATTCTACCTAAAATTTCCTAATTCACCCGAAGTCGAAAGATTTTTAAGATTTGAGGAAGCGATGGCAATTGGAGAAAAGTGTTTAGCATGCGATGAATGGATCGATGAATGTTCTTGTGGAGAATTTGAGGATTATAATGAAATTTAATCAAGCAAAATATTTCCATATCAAAAAAAATATGATTAGGCAAAAAATCATTCCACCATAAAGAATAAACTTGTCTTGATGCGTCCTACGTTCTATTAATCTCATAACTGTGTTCGAGAGTCCTAACATATTAGTGACGTCTAAAATTTTTTGCTTAGCGGTCTTCAAAGATGAATATTGATTTCGCACACTTATCATAATTGCTGTACCAGTGTCTATCAATTGATCCACTTGATTATTTGCATTTAATAACCGCGAATTATGATCCAGCGCAGCACCCATTTCAATTGAAGTATCATCGGAACCGTATGTTGAATTTCTACTGTCGTTTGTAGTATATCTTCGACTGAGCAGGGCTTCTTTGTCCCGACGCTCCTCTTCCTTTCTACATCTAATTAAAATTTTCTTACTTCTATGTATGGTTATACAAAAATTAATCTTTACCTTTTCAATAGTATGCTTCGCATTGCAGCTTGTAGATGCTGACAATCATACTTTAATTGATCAACCTTCAATTTTGTGCTTTGGCGTCGCGATGGTATCTCTTTATGAACCATCAATTCAAGTTTCTCGCAATTTGATACGATTAAATCCACTAGAGCCTTTACATATATTAGATATCTTATTAGAACCATTTAAAGAACATCTAATCTGCAACAATACCTGCAATTCTCTCTCAACCAAAGGATAATTTTCATTTGTTGCGGTTTCTAACCGACCCAAACTATTCTGTACATCCAACACTATTCTATGGGTCTGGTGATAGAGAGAATCCATTTTCCCTGCTAACCCTCAAGTAATTATTTCGAAATTTGGTCAACTGGTCTAACTACGTGGAGCGGAAACGGAAATTGACATCGTAGTTCGTAATTTAGGATATTTTTCATAAGGACTGTAGGAGGATTAGGCTAACATTGTTACGAATATTTTTGTCTCATAATAATAAAGTGTTTGAAAATTTCCAATGAAAAGTTGTTTCAAACAAATAAAGTTAACACCATACTCATGCATACAATATTTCATTTAAGTAGGCTATTGATATTTAAGATTTCACCAAGAGAATGTATCCCTCATGATTGAGTCTTCACCGTTGAAATATGAAGGTTAAAATACTTTTATAATCGCAAAGTATACTTTCCCAAATATTTTTTTCGTAACGGAAGTTGCCTTCTGCTAACGAAAAAATTTCGACATTGTTTTACTTGAGTTTTTACTCAAATTTAACTTAGCAACCTATACATGTAAGTTTTAAAAATATATTGAACAAACAAATCTAAAATTAATATAACTTTTTAACCACTAATTTAATTTTTATTTTGGCTTAGTCATATAAATCATCGATTTCGATTTTGTTTTCGAACGCAACTTTATTTTCAACTGGAGATATGGAAGGAATGCTGCCTCATTCAAGCCTTATGGCTTTACAAGATTTATTAAGTCCCGCTGACGACATAGATCAAGACAGTGAAGATGAAAAAGTATACATCTCTTGCATTCAACTTTTTTCATTGGTTTATAGATTACTTTCAACAGCCCCAAACGGCAGCTTCATCGATGACACCGGCAAGTATAGGCAACTCAAAGAAGATTGCAGGAAAAGGTATCTAGAAGATTTGTGATTATTATTATTTTTGTTATATAAAACTACTATTACTGTTTGTAAAAGCGGTTGAGAGAAATAATACTACAAAAGATTCAAATAATAAAGATATTTGGGATGAGGAAGAGATACAACCTGGCGCAGAAAATATAGACTACGACGACCCACGACCAGAACCCGAGTATTTTTTTTATCTATACAGTATACATTGCTAAAAAGAAATTAATTAATATTCTTATTAATTAGATACGAAATTATTTATAAACAAGCTGTAACAACGGAGGATGTTTACTTACAAATGAGCAATAAATCTCAAGCCACTGCCAGTTGCGATCAAATTGTTGTACGTAATTCAGAATTATAATTATACATCTAATAAATAAGATATTGTTTATTAATTATTTTCTAAAGGTTAGAATTAAATTACCAGACTCAAAGATTTCCGAAATAGATTTAGACGTGAAAAAGTCTTTTATTGATTGCAGATGTCCAAATTAGTAAGTATTTTTATTAGAATATAATTTACTTGAAACTATATATATATATCTTTATTAAATTATAAAAATACAGTAAACTAGGCTTACATCTACCTCAACCAGTTGATCATAAATCTGGAAAGGCTGAATGGAATGGAAAAACATCAACATTATCAATAACGTTAAAAATGATTCGAGAATATGATTTTATGAATTTATAGACAATAAATAATTAAAAAACTTTGTTTTATTTCATAAAAACTAAGAAAAAAAGAATGATAATATTTCTAGAAAGAGTAATAATAATAATAATAGTAATAATAGGTCTTTTTTTATCAAATTTTCTTCTAAAACTATGAGGAGAGAACGTTTTACTTTGCAAAGTTTATTTATAAGTTTTTTCTTATAAAAAAAAACAATGGTAATACAATGAAATATGGTTAAAATTTGTAAGTTAAATGAGTGTTATAAGATATATTCCTATTGTTTATTTTCGGGGGTTTTAACTGTGGCCAATATCTTTTCCATTTTACCAATTTCATATTCAATCTTTTGGGCTAACTTCTCTTCAGGTTTAATTTGTTCAGCCGTTTTCTTTTCTTTAGGTTGCTTCCTTAGATTTGGTGATAATTTCAGACAAGTAACCTGTAAACAATTAAGTACAGTTTTAGCTTTTTAATGCTTGAAAGCCCTTTTTTTTATATGTAAGTTTTATACTTACGTATCCGCGATCATCTCCAACAATTAGAACGGGATGATTTTTATTGAAGGCAATGTGAGTCAACTTGGTCTTTTTCTTATGGACAACTATTTGTTGACAAATACTTTCATACTTATTCACGTTCAAATCGAATACGTGAACTTTTCCATCTGTTGTAACAGCAGCAAATACCGTTGAAGAATACGGAGCCCAAGCCACATCTCCAACTGGACTGTTCAGATCGAATGTTAAAATTGGATCGTCCGATTGATGACTTATATCCCAAATTTTAACCGTCCAATCTGCTGAACAGGTAACAAATATTCTATTGTGATAATGATTCCAAGAAACTCTATAAATAGCCATGTGATGAGCACTGAAAGTATGAAGGAAGGTAGAAGAGTAAGCTTTGGAACAGGAATACATTTTTCCTTCTTCACTTCCAGCCAAAAATTTATAATCGTGCTCTTTGTGAAAATCGAAAGCCGTTCCCGAAGCTAGAACTTCCATTTGAGTGCCTTCGGGACCTTCGGATGGAACGTCCTCCATTGTCAATTTGATAACGTCGTGGAAATGTAATTCGGACTTGACTAAAGTCCAAGCAACTATTCTACCATCGGAAGAGACCGAGTAAAAGTTTAAATTATTATCCAAATCGTCCTTTTGCCAGCGAACTTGCCATACAGGATCCGTATGTTTTCCATTCTTTGCAGTAGAAAAATATTGCGGTTCCTTGCTGTGAGTCAATACATTATAAACAGCAACGCTGCCGTCGTACAAGCCGACAGCTATTAAGTGGGTGTGTTCTGGATGAATATCGAGGCACATGACACCCGAATGTGTTTCGAAGACGTACTCTGGGAATGACGGGTTTTTCAAAGAATAAAATAGTATTAAACCTTGTGTTTGTTTCGTGAAATCGTCTAAAGAGCAAACAAATGAAATAAAGTTATTTATGAAGGTCTTATTATAAAGAAAGATTTATCTATTAATGGCACTTACAAGATCCGTGACCAACAGCAAACAAATCTGGATATTTTGGACTCCAGCATAACGCCGTAACGGCTAGTTTCTTTGCCTTTTCGTATTGAAATTTCCACAAAGGAAGTAAATTACCTTGAGGATCTCTGTGTTCATCTGCAGCGTCTTCCCAATATCTATAATCTAAAAAAATGGGCAACTTAATGATTGTACTAATTGATTACAATATATATATATATATATTATATTCTTATACGATACGAAATAGAGAGAATAGCAAACCTTCGGCAATTTCCTTGTACGTATTCTGATTAACCATTCGTTCAACAATTTTACTTGCCCGTGCGACGCGGGTAACGTCGTCACTCTGTCAAGAATCAAAAGTTAATTAATTAACATTCGGGCCTAGTTTTGGTAGGAAGCAGCGCGTTAAAAGTTGCAGAGATCTAATTAAAGATATAGAATATACAACAGGAACAGCTTTAAGGAGAAATTGTGCGAATATTATATACCATAGATAAATATTTAAAATAATAGAGTCAAATAAAAATAAGTAGCAACTCCTGATAATTAGGTCAATTGGAAAACGAATTAACGAAAAGATTGAAAGAAGTCAATGTTTCTAACTAGGTGATAGAGCTTTTCTTTTATATATGAATCATTTTTTAATCTTTATATACGTTTTTGCTGTGAAGTCTGAGCTATCTATCGCTAAGTTTTAATCACTTTTTGCCTCTCTGTCTTTTTCAATCTCTCTTTCTTTCTCTCTTTCTTTCTTTCTTTCTTTCTATCTCTCTGCCCCTTATTCTCTTTATTTTTTTATTACTTTCTTAATGGGAGTAAATTCTTATCAGGTGATGCTTTTTCGTCTCGTTTAAAGAGTATTGATACAAAATTCTTTATATTTATCTATGATCTATTAATATTACTATTGTTTTCTTGTCAGAGTACGTTTTTACAATACGTATAGTAAGAAGAGATAATTTTTGTAGGCTAATTAATATGCAAATATATGTAATATTTATATATGCGTATTGATGTAAAAAATAATACGTTCGTGAGATCAAAAATGCAAATTGTGAAAGTAAATATATATATATATATAACTTAAATAATTGTTAGAAATAATGTATATATATATATAATTATTAATACTGTTTTACGTAACTAAATTAACGTTTTAAGCCCATAAGTCATATATAATAATCGTTTTTCGAATCACGTAGCAAAAGTTAGTGCAGATGTTGAAAATATCATGATTAAAAAAAGAATATCGATAAACAATTAAAAATAATCAAGTGTTTGTTTACCAAGAATCCAATCTGAGGCACACAAAATAATATTTTTAATAAAAAAAAACGACGAAAAAAAAGACAAGGTTAAGATTAAAATTAAAAATAAAAGACTCTTCTTTTCATGTTAATAAAATATATTTGTTTCTTTAATATAGTTATATATACTGTATATATACTGTATATATATATATAACTATATATCTTTAACACACTTAAACTATTGTAAAACTTAGCTTATTGTTGTTATTAAAAAAAAAAACAAATAAAAAAAAAACTTGAAACAAGCAAACGACTGTACAAACAGTACAGTCTGTACCAAAGGACAATAAGTTAATAAATGTCTAATATATATATATATATATATATATATAAGCACGAGGAGAAAATAATGTGAAATAAAAATTGATACTACTTTTTTTTTTAAAAAGAAAACAAAAAAAAAACAAAAAATTTAAACTTCTGCATTAAAATTGCTTAGTAAATGTACATTATTGATTTTATATTGGTTTTCATCTTTTACGGAAATTTTCTTTATTATTTTAATGTGATTTATATAATTGTACACATTTATATCCTAAAATAATCGAATATTATAGAATAGAAGTAAACATTAAAACAAACCTGCGATTCAACAGTCGTTAGTTTCTTTTTATCCTTTTCTTCATCTTTTCTGCCAGGTATAGTTTTCTTTTCTTTACTCTGTTGCTGTATTGATTAGAAAAAGAAAATATAATAATAAAGTAAAAAAGGAGTAATAATAAAAGTAATATAATATTGTGAAACATGGAGAGAGAGAGAGAGAGAGAGAGAGAGAGAGAGAGAGAGAGAGAAAGAGAAAGAGAGAGATGGGAAAATAGTGATGTATCATCTCTTTAATGTAGGCGTATATAAAGAAATAAATATATATAAAAATAAACAGGAGAGGAACATTTGTTGAACAATATTTGTAAATGACAAACGTGATAAACTTACCAAATAATTGTTAATATTAAATTGTTTGTACGTTTTGTTTGTAACATTCCAATTTAGTTTTGGTAGCATTTTGGTTAAATAGAATAATAGTTTAAAATTTATAATTTAATAGAATACATTAAAATTAAGCATAATTTAATAAATAACATTTAACGATATTATACTTTTTTCTTTTTTGAACAAATTATATACATTGTATATAACATATAGAAACTTATATACTATTTTTTATAGTATATACTCTATATAGTGTATATAAGTACATTTAATTATACATAGACAGTATATATATATATATATATATAAATATATATATAAATACTTTTTGAAACATGCATATTTTACAAATAGGATGGTGATAAGAATATTTAGTAGATAAAATGAAACCAAAAGACAGTTATTTGTTTAACATACTTGAATATAAATTTATTAAACTATATAATAAAACAGTTTGTTATAATAATTAATAGTAAACTGGTTTATTTTATCTACATATTTCTTTATTTAGTTGTTTTTATTATAATTCACTATTGTCATCATTATAAAAAAACCTAACTTACAAAACTACATTTATTATTTTTAATATATTGTGTGATATATATCAAATACATATACTTATATATGTATATATATATGCAGTTAGCCAATTTATATATATATATATATATATATATATATATATATATATATAGATATTTAGATTCACAGGGTAAAGACGCCGAAAACATGCCTGTCGAATGTACTATATGATATAACCTGATTTGGACTAGGGTAAGTCTTTACCCACTCGAAAATGTTCCATTCTTTGAAGGCTCCAGCCTTTTTTATTTATTTACATTTGTATAATATATACAGTATATACATATTATATCAATTTTAAAATGGGCGTTTTTTTTATATATATAAACATATATAAAGAGTATCTAAATACAGATAGATAGAGAAAAGTATATACAATATATTTTGTAATTGTAAATTTAAAGGGAAAAGAATAAAAAAAACCATGCAAAAAAATATAAAAAGTTTCATTTCTTTTTTTTTTTTTAAAAAAAACAAAATATAAAATATAAATTAATATATTTTCAATGTTTAAATATCTTTCTGTTGTTATTTTTTAGTTGTCAAGAAATATTTTATAGTAAAAAATTGGTAATAAATAAGTGAATATTTTACCAACCTGTCTATCGAAATCTTGTTGATAGGCATCATATATTTCCCACTGAGTTACGTTTGCAGCGTATGATATTCTGGGTGGTGGTTCGGTAATCGTACCTCTTTCCTATATTAATACATATATATATATATATATATATATATATATATATGTAAACATATAGACATAATATAAATGTTTTAGATTAAACATGAAGACTACAGGTAACTGTATTTGTACTTACCCGAATTGGATTATTGTATGTTTGGGACGCTCTTTCGCTAAAGTTGAACTGATTTGTTAACTTTTTATCTCCCTTACTAGTTTGAGCGTCGGGTGTAGCCGATTCTTCTCCCTCTCCTTTTTTTTCACCATCTTTTTCCTGTATGTCATATAATAATTAAATTGAACCGAACAATATATATATATATATATATTATATATTTGATGAATTTTATCTTTCAATTTTATGTAGCCATACCTCTTCTTCTTCTTCTCCCTGTTGTGATATTAGCATAGATAATAAATCAAGATAAATAGATTATTAAATATATACATGAATATACATTTATATAGAATAACCATACAATAAACCATTTAATTAAATACTAAACAACAATTAAACTAGATTACTTTTCTATTATTTTTTCGTATTTGTGCAATTTTGTCAATTAATCTACTCATTCTCTTTTCATATAAACAATCCAATTTATCATTTAAGTATAAAGCTTTTGAAGAAGTCTCCTAAATGTTAAAAATTTTGATGAATTCTCTTTTTTTAATATATTTTTTACTATTAAATTGACATATATGTAAATTACTGAAGGTATACTTTTAGGACAAGGATCAGGAATTAAGTGACATACAAACAAGACACAGAGATACAAACAGAAAAGGAAGGGGATGGATTAAAGAAACAATATAAACTAGGAATAGTGAATAATTATTGTCCTACTCTAAAACTATTTAAATAAACGCTCTTTCTAAATACAGATATATGAAGCAAAAGTTTTATAAATAGACTTTTGCATCTGTTAAATAAATAGAATTCTATATATTAAAAACAACAATGATTATTTCACTAAACTAAGCAAAGGTGTATAGGGAATTGTTCATGTCTACCTCTGACATAAGAGAACCGTAGTCGTCATCCTTTATATAGTCGTTGATAAAAATATTATACAGTTTGTTATCTTTGCGTTTTTTATATATTACATACAAAATTTTTAATTTTCAAATAATACTAAATATTAATGATATATACGAACAAAGCAATATATAATAATTTAGAATGAAAAATGAAAATACCTCCTTCTTTGCTACTTCTTCTTCTTCTTCGTCTTTTTCACTTATGGCTGGATAAAATTGAAAGAAATACTAATTAAACAATGAGAATAAACAAATATGAATAAATTAGTAAATAAAGATATTTATCAAGGTAGTGGAATTATTAAATGATATATAGATATATAGACAATATATATATATAGCTTAATTAATCAAATAATCAGTAAGAGATTTAAAATTTTAGGTTAATAATTAGCTGAATCATTCCTGGATATTGTTTTAATATCTATTTATATATATATATATATTATTTTGTCCTTTAATCAGATATTTAATGCATACGAAATCACCTTGAAATATATTTACATGTATATATATATATATATATAGTGTGTGGATAATAATATTTATACTATAAGTACATTCATCATTCAATATGTCTAAAGCAAGTGGCTATGTCTATCTATATATTTAGACACAGTATATATATAAAATGTATATATATATATATATATATATATATATATATATATGTAAATATAATATGTAAAAAGCAGAGGACACTAAGCTTGTAGTTGATTTCTTTTATCACTTTATGTATATGGATACTTTACTAATTATTCTTGTTATACACATAAAATATAGTCTTTCATAAAAATTAAATAAAGAAGAAACATATCCATAAAGTGAGAAATAAATAAACTGGTGTTTTATTCACAAATAATCTTTTATGTGTGTTTTTTTGTTTTGTTTAATATAAATTATCTTGCCTCATTCTAGAATATTTTTTAAATATATATAAAAAATTCAATATTTATCTTAAAGTAATGAAGTAAGATAATTTATAATTTTATCTTTCATCTTTTTACATCCAGTAGCGATATTAATCATATTACATTGTTTTTTTTTTGTTTAAAAACAAGTTTGGGTAGCAATTTTACCTCTATGAACAGTTTGTTTTCCTGCATTTTAACAATTTTTAAAGAAAAGAAAGAGAAAAATATATTTTAAAATTCTGTAATTTTAGGCTTTTTTTTTGAAAGAAAATATTATTTTATATCTTTTTATTATTATTATTATTATTAAGTTAATAATTAATTTATAAATTAATTAAATACCTTCGGAAACTCCTTGTTTCTTTGTCAACTGCCTTTTAGCTTCGTCGGAATCTTTATGTAATAAATTACCATCCAAAGCGAAATGAATTGCTAATTGATCGACATGAGACGTTTGTTTATATTGGCTGTCCTATTTGGAAAATATATTTAATTATTGGTTAATAAATCATTTTTTATTCAAACTATCTTTGCCACTTACTTTAAAACTGTATCGGACAATATTTTGAGGAGCGTGAGGATTGTTAGCCGTTAAAATTCTCGTAAATTCCTCTTTAAGCTCCTAAACAGATATATAATTTACAATAAACAACTGAAATCAATTGCATTAATAAATAATTTTATTTTACATACTTGATCGTTTAATTGGAGTTGATCATCCGGTTTTACGAGCGTTTTAGTAGGCATCCATCCATCATCCTGTCCATCTTGAGGGTCGGTTGTAGATTCGTCATCCTATATTGATAGATACAAAGAAAATAGCGGAGAGAGGATGAAGGTGAGAAGAGAAAGGAAGAGGAGGAGGAGGAGGAGGAGGAGCAGGTAGAGAAAAAGATGGGTAGAATAGGAGGATAAGGAAAAAAAGAAAGAAAAAAAAATAAAATTAGTTGATTTGTAGTATTGATATATAAATATATATATATATATAAATATGTATAAATTAGGAGAGTAAAAGAGGAGATTATGGAGAAATAAAAATTTCTTTAATAAGCTGACATTCATGCAAAAATATTTAGAAATTTTGCTACAAAAATATGGCATCTATATAAAAATTTTGAAAATCAAAAAGTCTAAAATAAAAAGTTATTGCCCGCCAAAAAAAATAAAACAAAAATAGATAAATAAAAATATACTGCTACAGCAATTAATTATGTAAATTTATTAAAATTAGCTAAAAAGAATAATAATATCTAATTTAATTAGTTTAAAATACTTTAAAATTGCTATTAAAAATAAAATAATAACATAAAAAACAATTATTATTAATTAAAATAAAGCAATAGATCATTTCTTATCGTCTATTCTCTTTTACAAACAAAGAAGAAAACGTTCTTTTGTTCTTTTTATCCAAAATAGAAATTATTTGTATATATAAATATATACATATATATATATAGTCTTTTTTTGTTTGTCATCTTTGTTTTTTATTAAAAATAAAAGTAAAAGTTGCTAAGCAAAGCATAAATTAAAATAAAATAAAAAAGTTTTGTTGTTTTTTTTTAAAAAAAAAATTATAATTAAAATGCTAATTAAATAAGAATTTTCTTTGTTAAAATAAAATTGGTAAAAAAATGTAGTTAAAAATTATTTTACAACTAGAGAATTAAGAGGTCATAGTAGATCTTTTTGTAAATTTTGTTGTTCAGTACTTATGTCAAACCTTGTTAAAAGCACCTCTGTTCACTATACTTATTCGGTTCGGTCTCAAACTACCCGGCACCAGTGACTAGGAAAAAAAACACACTTTTGTAAAAACAGTCAAGAATAATCACCTTTTTTCCGCCGCCTTTAACTTTAGGGGCTAAAGTTAGCTAGAAAACAATTAAGATTAATAAAAATTCTCTCTCTGAAAAGTCTTTTCCTTAGAAATATATATAATTATCTAAGTTTGGTAATTCTTTTATGACAACCTTTCTAGGAGCAGCCAATTTAGGTGGCATATTTTAGGCTAAAACAATTATATTTCAATTCAAGCCGTATAGTTGTTGTATAAAATGGAGTGCGGTTGCTATGGTTTTAAACAGTAACGCCATCTATTGGTCGTTTCCAAACGAATGGCTCAATAAAAAGTTATTGTAAACTAACAGTGTAGTGATAAAAATATTCACTAATTAATTTATAAATACACATATATATATATAGATTTTCTTTAAGAGAATAAAATCACCTTTCTTACAGAAACGTTAATCATGCAACTTTATAAACATTAAAGAAAGATACTCAAAAAAGGGGAGACCATACTAAAAACGAATATTTTGCCAACTGCTTTAGATTTATGCGAATAAGGATTGTTGAAATAAGATTTCAATCAAATTACACAAAATGGCTCAGAGAAACTCATCTAATATCTTGCTAACTATTAAACAAGCAAGAAAAACAGGAAATTTAAATTTGACAGGAAGAAATTTAGATCAAGTGCCACCAGAAGTATGGTCGATAAATAGTGAACCATCCAACGCTTCTAAACTTCACTTTATGGATGGAAAAGATGATGACAAGTGGTGGGAGCAGAGCGATTTGACGAAATTAAACATATCAAGTAATAACTTAACTGTAATCGGCGAAGGTTTATCAAACTTAAAAGTTTTAACCGTACTTGATGTAAGCTTTTAAATAAGTTAAATAAACAAAATATTGTTTTATGTATATGTAAATTAAAATATTTTCAGCTACACGATAATCAATTGAGAGAGTTTGAGCAATCAATATTCGAATTATCTCATCTAACTCATTTAGATTTAAGGTTAGTAACAAAAAAAAACTAATAGCCACGGCATATCTATATTATATATTTATTCTATTTTAGTCGAAATAAAATAACATCAATACCCGATGATATTTATAAGTTAAAAGAGTTGAAGAGTTTAAATATAAGCAATAATAATATTTCAACAATTTCCGACTTCATATCAAGTTTAGCATGTTTGGAAGATGTGGTATGTATATTTTGTATGTATACAGTATATATATATATATACTATATATTAATTAATTTAAATACTAATTCTTTTCAATTATTAAAAACAGCAATTACAAAATAATAACATCCAATCTTTACCTGATAATTTTGGAGAATTAACTGGTCTCTATAAATTAAATGCATCTCATAATAAACTAAAAGAGTTACCACCATCGTTTTATCTTTTTCAGTGTTTGTATTAATGTTTATATATACTGTATATATATATATGTACTGTATATCATTTATTCTCTTTAGCTTTGAGAACTTTGGATTTAACTCATAATCAACTTGTAAGAGTGGAAATTCAAGGTTTACATAGACTAGAGTTATTATATATTAGACATAATAAATTAGAAGATTTACCTACTTTTGAATCTTGCCATTCGTTAAAAGTAAGTTTCTTGATTATTTTAATTCTATTATATTAGAATGTTTAATAAATGTTTCTTTTCTTCCTCGTAGGAGATTTACGCCGGAAATAACAGATTAAAAAGCATTAACAATCAAATTGTTCATAATCTAGCTAAATCATTAATTGTATTGGACATAAGAGATAATAAATTGAATGAAATATCATCGGATATAGTCAAATTAACAGAATTACAAAGACTCGATCTAACAAATAATAATCTGTCCAAGTAAATTTATTTATCAACATTTTTAATCTTGTTTAACACTGTTTATTATAAATTTGTAGTATTCCTAATGAACTTGGCTTACATAAGAAGTTAAGAAACTTGGTTCTCGAAGGAAATCCATTAAGGTCTATTAGACAGGATATCATAAGGGTTAATGTTTAAATTATGCTCTTTTTTGAGGATTATTAAAAACTTTCAATACTTAAAGAGAGGAACTGGACAATTATTAAAGTTTCTTGCGTCTAGAATTGACGATAAAGCATTATTAATGGAACAACAACAACAATCGCATACCAGCGCTCCTATGCCTGGTATGGCTAGTGATACTGTTAAAGTCAAACAAACTGCCAATCAATCAAAAGTATTTGATGTGAGCGGAAAGAATTTACCGGAAATTACAGAGACGTTTTGGGGCGCTGCTGGTGATTGTACAATTCAAAATGTTAATTTCTCAAAGAATCAATTACAATCAGTACCAGAAAAGTATGATTATATACTATATATATATACAGTATATACTAGATATATCAATAATTAACTAATTGTACCTTAATCAAATAGATTATCTCTTTATAAAACAACATTACTAGAATTAAACCTAAGTCAAAATCGATTGAAAAGCATACCAAATTTTTTATGTGAATTTTCACCTTTAACCTTTCTGGATTTAACGTAATATATCTTTATATATATATATATATCTTTATTTCTTCATATATGTAAATTATGTATATTTAAAGGATTGTTTACTTTTTAACAGGAAAAACCTTTTAAGTGAATTACCTGATGAAGTATCGAATTTAAACAATTTGCGTGAAATTAGACTAGCTTATAATAAATTTTCGATTATACCTTCTTGTTTGTATGCATGCTCATCATTGGAAATTATAGATATAAGTAATAATGGGATTGGTGTAATTAATCATGAAGGTATATCTTCTTTTAGTGTTTGTATATATAGTATAAGTGATTCTATGATTATTATTTCAAATAGGTATCCGTAAAATGGAAAAATTAGCTGTATTGGAACTATCTAATAATGATCTTACACAAATTCCACCAGAACTTGGTTTAGCAACTCAACTTAGGTAAAGAATGAAGAATTTTTTTAACCTATCTCTATGCTTTATATAATTTCTTATAACTAATTATAGGTCTTTAACACTCGATGGAAATCGTCTAAGAGTACCTAGACCAGCTATAATTGCTAAAGGAACAATTGCCATATTAGAATATCTTAGAGGAAGAATAACCGAATAGAGTATAATTTTTTATTGTATATATTATACAATAAATAGAAGCGACTGAATATAATTTCGATATTGAATTACTTAAATATTGTATTTATGAAACATTTAAATTTTTTATGATAAAATACTTAGATAAAAGATTAGTAATGTGATAAATACAAGAATATTTTGTCTCTTTCAAATCAGAAGAATGATTGTCCTTTTCTCCTTATTTTTTTTTAAATTATTAAATTAGCAATAGTTTAAAAGTCAAAAGGAGTGAAGAACATAGGAGAAACATGTTTGTTATACCTTTCTCCGAACCACCTCGAGGACAACTTGGACCATTCATTTTATATGATGGTTTCGTTACAACATCGCTTGCCTTCTTACCACAATTAGATTTGATTGGTCTATCTTGACAAGCTATTTTCTCCTCTTGAATTCTTTTATAACATAGTTGATCTGAATTAATATTTGTTCAACAAGAAAATATGATAAATACTCACTTGCATATTCTCTCTACAACTCCCTTAACACTCAAGTTGTCGTAATCTTGTTGGAGCTGTAAAAAGTCAATGCCTTGTTTCTGTAAACATTGATAAAGGGGTTGTCTTTGTTGTTGATAGCATTTCGTATGCTTCTTATACTCTTCACTATCTTTACAAAATCCTATTAAACTGTTATGAAAGTTATCTTTGTTGAAGTACATTTTGAAAACTTGACTTAATTTCTCATCTGCTACGCAATTTTCCATAATTTGCTCAAAGCAGATGGCAGCATTTTCCCATCTTTTATCCCTGCACATGGTATCTACATAATAAGCATTTCCACCTCCCAGTATTGGCACCACAACGCTTCCAGGACCAGGTAAAACTTCTTGGAAACATCTAAAAGCGTTTGCCAAGCTATTTGATGGACATCCCGGATTAGGTGTGGGAAATGGTGGAAATGATGGTATAATAACTTTTTTACAAAAGTCAGTCTTCATTCTTTTAACAGTTTCCTTGACTATGCTTGAAAATGCTTGTGAACAAGGACTTCGTTTCATGGCCGCATCTTGACAAATGTCCCTATTTTCTCTAGCTCTAATATTGAAGAAAAGAAAGCAGATGATAATAATCATAGAAAAGTCTTAAAAAGTAACAAAGGATAAGCTACTAACGCGCAAACCCTAGAGGCAATCTCTTCTTTAGATAATTCGTTCCATTTCGAAAAAATATTCTCAATTTCATTATATAAACTATATAAGAAACAATTCAGTAATTCGTCTCGGGTATATCTATATATGCAATCGGCGTGTTGGTTATAAACATCAACTTCCGAACAGAAATAATTCATTCCACTTTCAAATGTATGATTATTAAATACATTTCCAAGGAGAAATTTCACTTTTTCGTCTTCTGTACATTTCTTTTGCAATTCTACAATACATTCAATAGCCTTACGAAAATTTTCATCTCTAAGAATTGAATATTAGATGTAAAAAATAGAAAAAATGTGTTTTCTTTTAACTTTACCTGCACATTCCACTTGCAAATTCCCTATTTGCACCGCCTATAATTGGAGCAACATTTCTAGATGGATCAACTGGCCAAAGTTGTCTATAACATTCAGAAAATTTCTTGATAGCATCTGCTGGACATTGACAATTGGCAACTGCAATGCAACCTAAAGAAATGTAAAGAAATTAGATGGAGAAGAGAACTTTAAAGAAAAAGAAAAAGTTGCTAACAAAATATAATAATCCAGGTTTTCATGATTAATCTCTTAAAAAGTATCAAATATAACTGATTTTAATAAACAAGAAGGCGTTTGCAGTTTATCTTATCAAGCAATTAAATATTATTGTCTTCGCCGATTAATTTATTATTATTTCTATCTTTTCGAAGGAATATAGACTTAATAATTCTTGCTAATGATGAGTTTAATTACAAAGTTGTCTTTAAATGTTTTAAAAAGGCCTAATATAATATATGATAGTAGTCGAACGATTGCGTAATGTCTGCAAGAAACAGACGATAGAAGGTGTTAGACCAATGAAAAACAATTGAAATATTATATGAAACAATTCAATAACTCAGTAAGAAAATGTAAGAAATGACAAAAGTTTGGAATTTTCAATATTCGTTTTGTAATAGTTCTTTTAAAAATTTTATAATAGAAAAATAAAAACAAAATCATCATATAGATGACACTAGTTGTGTTGCATTTTAAGTTACTTGGCAACCAGTTAAAAGTTTTTCCAATAACTTTGAAGAGGGTAATGACTTAATAGCTCGATTTATAGAGAAACAGCCGTTAGTATATATTGGATATAACTAAAAGATATTATATTCCTACAACAGTTAATTCTGATAGGGTAAAATAGCAGAAGAGTAAAGAAGATATATTTTCGACAGTGTCTCTAAAATCGTCATGTCAGAAAGCAAAGAAGTAACACAGCCAATTACACCTCGTATGCATAAAACCAAAGTCACTGAGTTGAATTTTTCGTTTCTGTCGTTAACCGACGTTTTTGGTAAGAAATTAAATCCAAGAATATATTTATAATTACGTAATAGTAAATATTATTAAAATATAATAAAGAATGCGAGAAAATCGAACCAAGATGCGAAACTAGTAAATCAATACCGAAAAAGAATAAAGATGGATTATACAATGCAAGTTGCATACGCTTGAACAACAATTTAATATCGAAATTGAACGATTTTACAACTTTTCTCTCTCATATTATTATCAATCCAGACCAATTAACATGGATAGATTTAAGTTGCAACGAATTGCCTGAAATTCCATTAGTAAGAGCATTTTAATTAACGGTTTAGTATTTGAGGAGCTGAATTTGTATATCTTTTTTTTTTAATTACAAAGGCACTTGGAACAATTAACAGCTTAAGGATACTTTTACTCCACGGAAATCAAATTAAAGAGATTGATGAAGTTGACAAACTATTAAACTTACCCGAATTACATAAGCTAACTCTACACGGCAACCCTTTAGAAACAGTGAAGGTAATATACATATGTATAACATTACACATAACATATATGCTGTATAAGATATGCCATATATATATGTATATATTGTTCTGTTAATAGAATTACAAATTCATCATAATTTCGAAATTCTTAACTGCTCAAAAAGTACAAACACTGCAAGAACTAAAACTGCGATGCTTGGATAATGGTACGTTAATTAAGGGTGATGTTGTTACCGCCTTAAGTATAGGTCAGTCATCGGCAATGGCCGCTAAAAAAACCAACAAGAAGAAGAAGAAGAAGGAAGAAGAGTAAACGATAAGAAAATAATAATAAAAGAGTTATTAATAATTTGTTTGGCCTATATATTTCATTCACTAGAATAAAAAAACATATATATATATATATAAATTTATATAGGAGATATATGTGCCTTTAATATAGTAATTCCTTGACAAACAACTAGATATCTCTCTGTACAGATTGGTTTGTATCTATCTATCTTTAACATCACTTATTATTGGATATTTCATTGAATACATATCGGAAAAGTCTGATGTTATCCTGTCTGTATTATTCAACTTGAATCCCCCACTTCGTTCTCTTCCATTTGCAAACTGAATACAAAATGTTTTTATTAGTTCTAAGTGTTTTTATTCTTTCTTTTTTGTGAATGCAATACTACTACTTACAAAGGTATTTGATCCATCGTTTACATAAGTTGCTATATTAGTAAGATATTCGTTCATTTTATCAGAGAATGTACATATTATTTCTCTACAAGCCGTCTTACCTTTCTAAATTTAAGGAATAACTACAATTGCAAACGGCAATATGATATAAAAAATAAATACCGAAAGAACTGTTTCATTACAATTTACAATATTCATATTATTTAAACTGTATAGTTTGTCTTTATCTATATAGTTTATCTTATCTTTCTCTATATCATTTTCTTCCTCCTATATTGAGTATAGAATATCTATTATGTAATTAAAAATGTTGGATAAGCATACTTTGTTTCTCCTTTGGATTGGATAACCCCAAAATTTGGAGAAATTTTCAAATATACTAGGTAAATAATCATTAATATTTGATACTTTCTCAACGTTATTAATGATTTTCACGTTCCTATCTAATATATTTTTTATATCTGTTTTAACCTATGAAAGATCCCAATTAACTTTTATAACCAACAATTAATAAACTGTAATTATAACCTCATCCTTAACATCATCCCATAATTCTGTTCTATAAATAGTAACAGAAAGATTATCATCAACAATTTCGCAACTGGGTAGAATAGAAGATTCTTTATTTTTTTCTCTTTTTTCTATCAAATCTTTCATGTTATCTTAAAAACTATTGAAAAAATTATATATAAACAATATAAAACTAATATTTTTAATGATTTAAAAAAGAAAATATTCAAATTGGATTAATTACGTCATAAGCTATTTTACAACAATAAAAGTAAATAAAAAAGGACTTTGTTATTATTTATAAGCTTCATAGATAAGATAAAAAAAATATCAAATTTGTTCTATTATCATTATCAATTTTAAATAAAAAATACAATGTATAGATTAAATAAGTAAACTCGTCCATTTTAAAAATGTTGTCATCTTTTTATATGTGTATATTGCATATATATACTGAAAATTCTCTTTTCCAAACGTACCAAAAAGCAAGATTTCATTCAATTTTTATATAAACTATATAACATAGTATACTTTATTTGCTGAATATCAATTAAAGACATTTTTTCTTCTCCTTAACTCGATTTCAACTTTATCTTCTCCCTTTTTTTTATTTTGTTTAAATACGTTTAATATTGTTATATGTTTTTTTTCCATAGCACCAAGACTTATCACAAAATTTCAAATTCTTCTTCAGAATCGAATTTTCTATCTATTAATGTGAAATCTATCAATAGGAAATGGAAGAAAAACAAAAATGTGATATTATTATAAAATGACTGCTAAAATTCATTTAAAAATTTACCATTTTGTCCTGCATTTGAATTGTCCTCAGAAGAAACAGATACAGTTACTGAATTTAAGGGTGAATAATGCTGTAATTTCCCCCAGTGTTTAGGTCTATTATTAACAACTTCGAATAGTTTTTGAAATTTTTCTCTGGCTAAATATTGCCAGTCGTGTAGAGCTTCGTATCTTTCAAATAAAAAGCCTATGGCCAAAGATGGGTCTAATCCAGAACAATCAATTTTTCCAGCATAGTCACAGTGATATGTTTCATCGTTCTCGAAATCTTTTTCTTGACATACATGGGGATCTAAATATAATAGATCATTTTCGCACTTACCAAAAAACCAATGTGCGTGGTTTGGTCTTCCTCCCAATAAACCAACGAAATATTCCGAGTTAAAGGTATCCAATAATGGTTCGATATAGCACGGATTAATTTCAGATAACCCTAATCTCAAAGGTATAAACAGGAGTATTGGCTTCCAATTCTTTTGCTTGCGGTTATGATAGTCGACTTGAACGCCAGCCGTTGTATAAGTTGCAATTTTTTCAATATCTTCAAGTACAACAGTAGAATCCATGGCAATATGAAGAGCAAGGTCACACCAATTTTCGAAAGCAGATAGTTTCCTTAGAACGTGAGCTACAGTGCTAGGACCAAACCATTGCCCTATTTCTTTACCCTCACTTTCCCCCATTGAAGCTATTTGATGAATAGAAAATGGTGCTAATTTTTTATCATGAAACATTTTTAATATCTTCCAATAAGTTGTATTTGTTGTGCCTTTTGTCCACCTCCAATCTCTCCCTAAATGCCTTACAATGAGAGAGTGGGATAGCATCATCTGTCCACACCTCAACATACAACCCCATCCTGAATCGGTGGTTGGTCCACCAATACCACCAATAGCATTAAAACTTTTTCGGTAAGTTAGCCATATTCTTGACATAACATCCTTCCTTAGATCTTCTAAATCTGAACAACGAAAAAAAGTAATTAGACATTTAAAAATACTAAAGACAGGAATAGTTAATATTCCATTTATCAAAATAAATCAAATAATATTAACCTTCTGCAGTAGACGGTGTATAATTAACGCCTAAAATGCAAACTCTTTTGCAAGACTGTAAAAACTCCTTGTAATCCAGGTTTTTATTATCATACGTGATACAGTTGACTATTGCTGCTGTGAATAATTATTTGCATAAAAACATTTAAGATGATATAATGTTCAAAACCGATTAGATGACTTTTTTAACAGCTGATTTCTTAATTCTAGGATACTACGTTTATGACAGCTATCTAATTCAACAGAATTACGCGTTTATGTAATATTGGTAGTACTAACTATATATTTTCTTAAAGATATTCCAAACAATGGAAATAGGTAATGAAACACAAAAAAAAAATAATTTCTTACAGGATTTTGCTACTTCCATTATCAGAATGTAAACAAAATCACGCATGCGCGTAATGAGGCGCTTGATCGATTTGGAACATAGTCGATATAAGGGATTGTTATATGTTTTAATCATTAATGAAGAATGACATCTTTATATTTTATGCAGTAAAGTTGTCAAATATACACAATAGTATACTAAAACCAAATGATAAAAGTAGTTGAAACTTTTATCAAGATTATTTATGAAATTTACCCCAAACGATTTAATCGACTTTATTCGATTCGATTTTACAAATTTCGACGAAAGTTACAAAGAAAATTAGTAAATGAATACTTTTCATTTTCGTAAAATTTCATAAAATATTTCTGCAACGCCCTTTCCCGATTTTACTTTGAATGTTTTAAGCAATATTAAATGTCTAACATTTTAAATTACCAACATATCCAACATGGCGGACCTAACGGACGCCGAACTTCGACTTGAACTGATAAAATACGGTTATACACCAGGCCCAATAGTCCCAAGCACTCGAAAAGTTTTAGAGAAGAAGCTTCAAAAGCTTAAATCAGGAAAATTAAATTCCAATGCTCTGGTAACGGTTAGCACTGATGAAAATGATTCGGATGCTCCTTCAAAATCGACGCCGAAATCAAATAGGAGAAAGAAAAGTCCAATCAAATCATCTAGCACTAAACAAGCATCAGTTACGAGCACTCAATTACTAGATGAAGACGATCTGGATACCAATTCAGTAGGTTTACAATGCAGTTTCAACGAAGGAATCGAAAGACCGTTAATCACCGGAAGGAGACCTCTTGGAGCAAATTCACCTTTTACCAAACCGAAATTCTATTCAAGTACACCGAAATGTGATGCACCATCATTAAGTAGCTATTCAACGTACCGAAAATTTAGCTCAGTTACTCTCCGATCAGGAGATACAACTAAAACTTTACTTAAAACAGAAGAGCGTAAGAGTTCTTCAGATGACAACAGTTCATGGCGTCCCCAAAACGTTTCAGCTTTAATTATATTATTTTTTGGGGCTTTTTTATCCGTTATTGTATATTTGTACTTAAACCAGAGGCTGCTTGGTATGGAGAGAGCCCATGTTCAGGCGATTTGTAATAAGGATGGTCCAAAGAGTTCATTATGCTCTTTGCAACCAGAAAGAGTAAAATCTACTCAGCAAATAGCAAAGGCTATTTACGACGTTCTAAATACGGGAGAGGGTAATTATTAGTATTTTCTGTATTCTTATTCGTCCAATATTATGCAAGTTATTTGTTTTTTATTTCACCTTAGGTAACAGAATTTGTAAAGACGAATCTCTATCATTATATATGCCGCAGGCGACTGTCATTAAACAGATATCTGTTATTTTGAGACGGGAAGTGACTTCTAACGAACAAAAATTTGCCTACAACCTCATCTCGGAAAACCCTGAATGGCATATGCGTTTATATGATTCTTCCAAAAGAGAAACGTCTCTTCCAGAGAGTGTCCAGTATCTTCGTTGTATAAAACCGTCACTTCCTCTATCTTGTAGAATTTCTAGATCTTTCAAAAGGCTTGCACTATATATTCTGACAGGAATAGCTGGAGTTTTGATGATAATTAGCCTCTTTGTATTTAGAAAATATTGGAAGAAAAGGGCTGAAAGGAGAATGCATGAAATGTATCTCATAATAGACAATATCATTAACTTCTTCGAAAGTGAATCCAGACAAAAGAGAGACGATGGAGAAGAGGATGTTTTCTTTCCTATTGATCACGTTCGCGATCGACTTATTGAACCCAAAAAACGTCGTCAATTAGAGAAACTTTGGACTGAGGCTATAAACTTTTTATCGGATAATGAAAGCCGATTGTCTGAACAAATTAGAGTTGTAAATGGGGAAGAATTTCGTGTTTGGAAGTGGAACGACGGTGCTTTGAATGGTAAGAACAAAGTATGGCAAGGAAAAGGTAATTAATTTCCCTATAGATAGAGAAAAATTTAGTATTAACAAAAATTCCTTCTTTATTGATTTAGCCGTATCAGATAATTGTAAAGGAGACGACCCCGTTATAGGATACTACGAATGCTTGAAAATTAGAAATATGTTTGATCCTGACACGTTAGTATATTAAATATTATAATTCCGAAATATTTTCGTTGCTAATTAATTGATAATTTTTTCCAAATAGTGAAGTTGAAGAAAATTGGCATGTAGCAATTGAAGATGCAATATTGGAACAGTGTAAAGAATCTGACATTGTTCATATCTCTGTAGAGAAATCTTCAAAAGAGGGTTGCGTGTATGTTAAATGCAGGACAAAATTGGATGCAGGAAAAGCCTTCAAGCAAATGAGGGGTCTTTGGTTTAATAGACGCCTTATATCAGTGAAATACTTGTCATTAGAACGCTATCATAGGCGTTTCCCGAAAGCTGTTAGTTGTTGTGAACGCCTCGAGCCCAGCAACGATGAACGCAGATCATTAGCTGTACCTTTTTTTAATTCCGTCACGGAAAAATTTTAAACAAAGATGAAGAAAAATAGCGGGCAATTAATTGCCGTAGAAAGTTCATCCACAATCATTTTATAGATTTTATAGAATGTTGTGTAAAGGTTCGGGTTTTTGAAACTACTTAATGAGCTTTGTAGCGGATTTACAGAAGTAAATAATAAAATAATGTAAAAAGACCTAGAGTGTCTTTAAAAAATTATTTCAAGTTGCTTTTAATACATTTAAAGAGAATTCGATTGTGTTTACAAAATTAAAATTTGTGATCTATTTATTTCTTTTTCAATTATCTGCCACTGGAATAGTTGATTCATCAAAAATTATTCATATTTGCCTTCAAACTATTAATCTATCGTTGATTAGATAAAATCCTCATGCTCCAAAAAATTATCGTTGTCCCTTCTCGATAATATGCCTCCGCTCTTACTCTTTGTTGCTCTTTGCATTCTCATCCCAGATACAGTTCGATTAATACTACTAGCACCGACAGGTATTGCTGAATCTGTTACATTTAGTGCCTCCTCCGGTACCTTTGCCTTTTTACAAACTACACAGGCACAAACCAAGAAGATAAGGAGAAGAAAGGGAAGGATTGCAAATGAAAGAATCATAAATAACTTATTCTTATTCAGATAGCTTTTAACTGTAGCCAAACAGGTTCCGTTATGAAAGGTACTAGTAGGTGGTAGATTGGGAAAATTTGCCTTACGGAAAGGATCTTTAGTAATATTAACGTGTCCTGTTTTAAGAGTATTTTTTAGCAGATAATACAGATTATCTATATATAGAATAAGAAACGGAAAAATACTAAATTAATAACTTCTTACTTATATACGTTATCATCTGCTTATAGCAATCTTCGTCATAAAAATCATTTTTATCCGGATCGTAGGTTTTACAGCAAGATCGAGGAAATGGAGCAGCAGCTGACACGTCCCCGGGAGCAACGGCTGCAGCATATTCAGTGATACTTTTAAAAGCACAACATTGGAAGTTTTCTTGCACTTTGTGAATGGCTTTCCTCCATAAAATAACTTTTCCCTGATTCCTGTCGGTATCTTCCGGATCGAATGATCTTTTATAAATTTCTACTATAGATGGAATAAAAGGATTGAGAGGCTCACTAACTGCCACATAAATAACAATGACGAGCTGAAAAAGTGCAAGACAAATTAGGTTTCTTTTTTCAAAAACATGTAATTTCTCTCTCCCTCCCCTTCTTTTTTTTACCTTTAAGACAAACAATAAAGCCAATAGAACCATGTAAATGCCCAATGCAACCCTATCTTTAGTTATAGCTCCAGCTAAACCTACTATGGCTCCCACATAGACAAAAAAGAATAATGATATCATTGAAATAACTGCAACTTGGATGATATTCACTTGTGCTTTTTGGCTAGGATTCTTATCAACTTCGTATTCGGCAGCCCTATAAAGCGTTATGTAGGAAGGAGTAAAAGCTAAATAAGAAGCTAAGACTACAGCAGATGAAGCTATAAAGATCAGTAACACGTTAACTAGTATAAGTAATGGACGAATCATTCTCTTATTGTATGATTTCTTTCAGTTTATTCTTTCAATCAGTCTCTATCTCTGATTTTCTTTATTTTTTTTATATATTTTTAATTTTTGTTCTTTTAATAATAACGAAGAAAGAGACGATTTTTTTAGTTCTTTCCTCTCTCTTCTATCTTTAAACTTTATTTAAATTTCAAAACATCAATTTAAATGATGTCAATTAATTCGTAATAATAATTCATCTCTTTCCTTTCTATCTCTCTATTTCTCTATCATTTGTATCTTTTAATTATTTAATTCCGTTCAATTTATCGTTCGTTGTAAGTATTTTAACTTTTCAATATTTTATAATATTAAACTTGATTAACATTATTAAAAATAGAACATTCGCAATATATTAATAAGGAATATTACGTAATACATATACAAGTATATTTAATTTTTTTCTTTCACATTTCGACGCTAATTGGTAACTTAAGACGAATTTGGTGCATTTTTAAGCCTATTATGACAATCGATAAAGTTGTCAACAAGCAATCTCTCTGTAGGTTGCTTAGCAATCAACGGTTTTGTGTCAACTGCACATCGTTTTACTCAGTTTAAAAATATAATCATGACAAAGAACTTGAATAGACGTGAATACTCCCAAACTGATTATCATTTTCCTGGTGTTTCGAGGAAAAAATTACCAGTTGACCTTAGAGAGCCAATATATTATATAAAAATGGCTACTAGCGGTTCTTGGAAAGGTTCAACAAATAGAAAAAAATCAGCGAATCCTCATCAAAATGATGCAGAAAAGCAAAAATCAACGAATGTTGTTGAAAAAACGGATTCTCTACTTAAAAAAACAGCATGCTCTATTAAATATCGATATCCTACAAGTTTTCAAAAAACTGCTCCTAGTTTATCATCCAAGGATAAATTGCGTGAAGCTGAGAGAGATCGTCTAATGCAAAAATTATCGAATTCAACGCCTGAATGTATGAAAAGAGGGACATTCTACTCTGAACAGCCTAGACGACATAATTGTACTTATGGTGTTCTTCCTTATAATCAAAATAATAAATCAATATCTCAGAGATTTGGAAGAAGTTCTCTAAGTATAACATATATCTTAAATCATAAAATTGGTAGTAACCTATTGAAGGAAAGATATAGCAAATCAACGAAAAATCAGAACAATGGTAGTTTAAATCGTACTGAAAATAAAGTTACTTTTGATGATTCGACGGATGCTAAAAGAAATGGTACCTATAATTATTCTTATGCATACGACGAAAATAACGATAATTTAAGCTTTGATGATACGGATTCTTATACTAAAGATACTAATAAAATAGAAAATCCCCCTTCACTCTCTTACTCAGATTCAGGTTCCGAAAGAAAGCTATTGGAGACTTTAGACTCTTCTAGAAATTCTACTGCAAGACCTGTATCGAGTAGGCAAACGACGGATAGATCGACAAAAAGGAGTTCAGTTCGTAGTAATTCTAAGAGTGATGACGATCTTAGCATTGCAAAGAGTTACGAAAAAGAACTGTACGCACTTGATTCGGAATTTGAATCGAATGATGAAATCTAATACTCATAACATTCTCTAGACATAACAGCTTATATTATTGTAATATTTATTATTTTTGCTGTTAATTCGGAGATAACTGCAAATTACTCAGAGAAAAGTCTTAATTATGGTAATTGCCGTAATTAATTAGATATTAAAAAAGAGTATATTTTTAGTAAATTAGCCATAATTTTCTTTATTAATTAATACAAAAAACTATTAACCAACACTAAAAAGACCTTCTATATCTTCTGTTTATCCTCCTCTCTTCTGTTCCAAACTGCTCCACTAAACTTAATATGCAAATTAGTTTAATGGACAAAACCCTTTCAAAATTTCTTTTAAAACAGAAAGTAGATTGTACATAAGTTATGCTCTGGCTCTAGGTCAAATCGTGCAAGGATTTCGCCTTTTACTAAATCCTTCCGTGGACTAGAGTCCCTTTATGGGCTTCCATCCTAATTTTTGTTTGCCTCAATCTAATCTGAGGCTAATTATCCTAACAACGAAAGAAAACTGGTTCATTCCTTATTAGAATGAAAGAAAAGAACAAACAAGGGATCTTGACTTTGTTTTGTGATTATTTCTTTTTATTATAATAGATCAAGTGATTAAAATTGAGACATTGTCTTACTAACAAAAACAATATTCATTAATAAAAAACATTAAACACCACTACATCACTGAATTCCGTAAATAGGACAATAAAAAAAGATAGTAGGTGTTTTTTGAGGATGAGGAGGTGGGGAGGGGGTTTGGGAAGGGCAAGATAGGAATTAGTAAGATCTTAAATTGTAAAAGACTTTTGGGGACATTTTAAACAATATTCAAGAATTGGCGAACAGGGATTTTCCTTAGTTTTTGAAATACGAGAACGTCTCCTCGATTTATTAAAATTTGTATAAAAATCTGAACAAATACGCACAACAAACGATATAAGCACGAGAAAAAATTGTAGACAATAAAAACACTTAGTATTCATTAGACCGGCAATTGATTGGAAATTCCTGAGATCCAGTCTGTACCTGTTCAATTTGCTGCCTTCTACAGTCATTATGCAGATTTACTAATGTGTTGAGCACCGATTTTACTTGGTCGATATCTTGTATGTTCTTTTCATTTTCAACCAGAAAATGTAGAACTTTTTCGAAATCCTTTTCTATATTTTCACAAAGTTCCGCACCTGTTGGGGAACTTATACTAGGGCAAGTAGTTGGTTGGCAACCGTTTTCGTCCTGTCTTCCGCAGCACAAAAATCTTCAAAAGGAAAGGAATGAGTTAAGGAAACAAGACTTTTGACTTTTAAAGTAATACTTTACCTTCCTTTACGGGTAATACCAGGATGGTAATGAACAAGGCGGTTAGTATTGCAGGAAGTAGCTAAATGTAATACCTTCTTCCAGTCATCTCTCTCTTTACGATTCTTCGCTTGCAAGTACAATTTAACAATAGAAGTACCGCCATAAACAATTTGTAACATGTTCTTTTTTCCAAATGATGCTTCCGAGAGATCTTCAATAGCCAAGATGTCCAGTAAACGTATTTCCTGCATTTTTCCATTACCTCTACGATATCTGAATGATCTTGGAGTGAGGGAAAAGAATCTTGAATAAAAGCTTAAACGAAAGAGAGTGTTCCCTCGTGATTTCTTATTCAATATTCCTTCTTTCAAAACAGTGTCATTTGATGAATTGTTACCCTGTAAGTCTTTAGGCACAGTACAAACAGTCCCAAGGAAATCCTTGACCAATGTAAGATACTTTGGGTGTTCATTTAATAGGTCATTTAGAAAATTTGCCATAAAATCCTCTTTAAAAGCTACTGAGTTTTTACGCCTAGTGCACACAAGGTTACCTGAAAAAAAAAAGAAAAAATAAAAGTAGAGAATAATTAAGGTCAATTGTTAACTTTGAATAGATCGTAGTGAAGGAGTCTAAAAATAATTTTTACCTAAGCTTTGTATACTCTTGCTGATTAGTGTCAAGGTTCTTCCTGTCATACAATCAGGTGTATCACTTCGAATTTCAAACAATTTTGGATTGACAATGGCCGGTGCAAAAAAACGGAGAAAGACAAAACTACTAACAATCTGATTTTGTAAATCTTCAAGATTGTTATTACTAAATTTATTTACAGCCAAATCGCGTAGGTCGCTTAAAACTTGAGAGACGACCGAAGGGAAATTCTTTCCAGACGATAGGATGGCGTCCATTATGTCTATGACATAATTACGAAGAAGTTGATTACTAGATTGTATTTCTTTTTCAGATTTCGCTTTTAAGGGGTCAATTTCACAGTATCTATTATGAAAGAATAATAAATATATTGTATAACCATCTATATATGAAAAATGTTTTTCTAGAACTCACTTATGGTCGTTATATATTCTATCAATTACACATTTTATAGTAGCACTTAGATATCGTCTCCCAGCGACGAACATCAGCTCACCAACACACTTACTGAGAACAGAATCTGACCTCCAAATTGAACTCACTTCGTCAATTGAATTTGTTTCCATTGTTGCGAAATGTTTAATGAGATCGACTATCTTTGAATTTTTATACATGATTCTTAATAGAGGTCGAGTTATCCTCTTTCTTTCGTCGTCTGCGCTAAAGAGATGATAGGCTAAGTCTTGATTTTGAATAAGAACCCTTTCGAATTCTTTATAGGCTTCCGAAGGAAGTATCTGATTAAATAGAACAATTTTTTTTTATCATAAAACAAATATACAAAACAAATAAGCAACTGCTTTTAAAGTAGCCGCGTCTTACCTGATGCTTATTATAGTCAATATTTAACCTTAAATGACCTCCAGAATCAGATATGTCTTTGCGGGGTTGCAAAGCGTACCAGGCGTCATGTTTGGTCTGCGGAACGTCTGATAATTTTAATCGAACTTCTCCCAAAAATTCTGATGAACTTGATATATTCTTCTGTTCCTCTTGAAATAATGTTATTTCTAATTGATAATCAGGTACATGTTCTGGGCTGTAATGAGACACTGGATTGGTTGTATCCGAATCATACGGAAATTGGCATTGATATTCAAATTTTGGGCAGTTGGTTCCTTTTTTTGGGGGGCACTTGAATTTGGTTGGTTTTTTTCCAGCTCCTTTAAGTAAACTTATACAAGCAGATGGAGTGCAGTTTTTAATGTTTGTGCAGGCTAAATTTTTGGCCTCTATTAACTTAACTACTAATTGTTGTTTGACACCAGTGCTTGGTGGACTGAACTGTATAAAGGAAAAAAAATAAATGGCACTGTTAATTAAAGGTTTTTTGAAAGTTCTATTATAGCGTTGAATTAAACTTCCGGTCAATTGTGTATATTTCCATCCCATCATACGCTTCGAATAGGCTATAGATAGCTATTCTAAAACCACTAGGGGATATTGATATAATTAACGCTATTTTGACGTTAGTAAATAATAAGCACCTATTACATATTAGTATTTTAGATTGTTATTTTATCATATATGCCTATATTAAATTACCCTATTATAAACCTAGTAGAATACAGCAATAGAAATAGGAAGAAAAGCCTTTGGTATCTATTTAACAATCAATTTTGTTTTTTATACGCATACAAAGGTTTTCAGCTGTCTATGCGAAAGACGAATGTAAAAGAGTAAAAAAAAAAATCACATTCATAAAATCAGATACGCCTACTACATTTACGATTTGTGTGAATTCACTAATTTTTAACTAAATTCATAATCAAGCCTACAAATGCCTAGATTTATGTCAATATTTTCACTTTGCCCACTCTTCTTTATTGGAATAAAAATAACACAGCTAAATCTCATTTCTGTATTCAATTTTTATGAAAAATTCAATGTGTACGTAAAATACACACATGACTGATAGGGGAAATATATATATATATACACTGTATATCTTATCAAACTGGAACATCAAATATAATCTATACGGCTCGTTTTTATTATATCTACTTATTACTGATTGCGTCACTTGTGGTTAACTAGATATCTATTAATTCTATTATTTTGTAACTAGAGATTCCCTATCCATTTCAATTAAAATTACAAAAAAAGATGTTAACAATATATTATTTTTTAGTTTCCACCAATAGCCATTCATAAAAATCTCGCTTTCAAATAGTATTTGTGCTTTATTATTTTTAAGGATAGTCCTAACCTCTATCCGGGTTCGTTTTTGCAAAAAATCATTGAAATCATCACACTTACCGGTTCAGTTTGCAAGACTTGCATGAATGATAATTCTATATGTATGGATCCTTCAGCTTCGAAACGATTTTCTGCAGGTTTCAAAGGAAACCAGTTATCCCCCTTGTAGTCTTTTAGATCTTCCTTTCTCAAATTGACTTTTCCCAAAACTTTATCCTTGTGAGCTGCTTTTTCGAACACAACAACTGATAAATTATTCCCTAAGAGGAATGGTTCTTGAAAATCACAATCAAATGTTTCATTGTAGTAGGGATTTGTCTCTTTTCCTCTCACTACAGTCTCGAATACATACTCGTTACCGAGTTTTAACTTGCAAAATGTTCGAATTTGTGCCGGCGACTCTCCCCGCAACTCCTTCGCCTCAATTATATGAATTTTTAATGTCTCGTACACTGTTGCCGTCGTCATGATGCAGGGCCTATGTAGATTATTTGACCGTTAATTCACTTGGCGCGCCGTTTTGTCTGGCGGCCATTTTTAAGTTATCGTGAAGCGTTCGTATTTACTATCAGGTTAGACATTTGTGTCGTATAGTTTTTATTTGGCAATCACATTAAAAAACATAAATGAATGTTGTATTTTAAATGTTTTTTTACGAAAACAATCACTTTCGAGATTCAATGCAAAAAATAAGACCGGAAGTAGAACTGATAATTTGGTTTGTGTGGCGTTTTTCCGATATGTGATTTTGTTTGCACATTTTTCACTTTTTGGGAGGTTTTTTTTATGAAAAAACTTATTTTGTGTACATGCTGGACATTGCTTTTCCTGATTCTTTCTTCGTAAGGTTAGTGTTTTGTGAACTTCGATTTATTTTACCCTTGGCGTCACACTCTTGTTGGGGTCGACGTTGATGTTTTGTATATTTTGACTGGATTTAATTTGACTTCAAATCGTAGATGCCTCCGAAGAGAATTAATTTAAATGCAGCAACTGAGGAGGATTTAGTTTCATTACCAGGGATTGGCGAATCGAAAGCTAAAGCTATTGTATCGCATCGTCACAGTGTAGGCCATTTTCGGTCTTTGGAGGAATTAAATTGCGTGAAAGGATTTGGAAGCAGCACAATACAGACTTTAAAGAATAAACTATTTTGCAAACCGTTAATGAAACGTAAAAGTGACAGCAAAGAGGAGAGCAAGAAAAAACGCATATGCAAAACGATGAATATCGAGAAGTGGCTCAATGCGTTTCGTAGCTTTAGCGTTTCAGAACAAAGTGACGCTCTAGAACAATTAGTACAAAATTGCGCTCCATCTCAAGCAAAAAGTCTAATGGCTAGTCTAGAGAGTCAATTTCAACGTGATTTCATATCTTTATTACCTAAAGAGTTGGCTTTATATGTCCTCTCTTTCTTATCCGCTAGAGATTTAGTGAAAGCAGCACAAACATGCAGATACTGGCTAGTATTGGTTGACGATAACCTCCTTTGGAAGGAAAAATGCGAAGAAGATGGTGTTTTAATAAGACAGACTCCCTCTTTTAAGAAACTCTACCTCGAACAATTAAATATCGAGCACAATTGGAAAACTATGCCCACCGATGATCCCCTTGTTTTAAAGGGACACGACGATCACGTTATAACCTGTCTAGAATATTCTGGCGACCGTATTGTCAGTGGATCCGATGATAATACACTTAAAGTATGGAACTCCAAAACCGGAATGTGTGTTTTGACTCTGCAAGGTCATACTGGCGGTGTTTGGTGCTCCCAGATAATGGACAATAAATTAATAAGTGGATCTACTGATCGGACTTTACGAGTATGGGATATTGAGACTGGGGAATGTTTGCATACATTATATGGTCACTCGTCGACCGTTCGATGTTTGCACTGGCATGACGAGCTGGTTGTGTCCGGATCACGTGACGCCACGTTGCGAATTTGGCACGTACTGCGAGGAGAATGCGTGAAAACTCTTATAGGTCACGTAGCAGCCGTCCGTTGCGTTCAGTATGACGGTAGGAGGGTAGTTTCTGGAGCTTATGATTTTACAGTCAGAATCTGGGATCCGGAAACGGAAGCTTGTCTCCACGAACTTCAAGGTCATACGAATAGGGTTTATTCTTTACAGTTCGACGGTACCTATATTGTTAGCGGTTCGTTAGATACTTCCATACGAGTTTGGCATGCAGAGAGTGGACGATGCTTACACCAGTTAACTGGACACCAGTCTCTCACATCAAAAATGCAGTTGCGCAATAAATTATTAGTCTCCGGCAATGCTGATTCTACGGTAAAAATCTGGGATGTGGCAAGAGGAGAGTGCTTACATACGCTGGCTGGTCCTCATAAGCATGTCTCTGCCGTCACCTGTTTGCAATTGACACGCCATTTTGTTATTACCTCATCTGATGATGGCACTGTTAAATTGTGGAATTTGGAAACAGGAGAATGGCTGAGAGATTTAATAAATTTATCATCTGGAGGAAGTGGTGGTGTTGTTTGGAGAGTGCAATCGACTGATAGCACTTTGGTTTGTGCAGTTGGTTCAAGAAACGGAACTGAAGAGACCAAACTCTTAGTACTCGATTTTAAAGAGTCTTATGTAGGCTCAACTCACAACAAACTGTGATACGCATCTGTGTTTTACTTTTTTAAAAATCTAATTACTTTTTTTTTATTTACTTTGTCCAAACTAATAGAGTTTTATATTGTTTTTTTGTCAATTGTATTTTTTCTTTTTTTTTTTCGCATGTAGACATTTTATAATCGTGCGTTACTCGTCCAAAAAAAATTTTAAATATTTCCCATTTTATTGTACATTTAAAAAACAGAAAAACAAAAAGGTACAAAAACAATAAAAGAATTTAGATTCAAAGCCTCGCGGCATTGGCAATAATTTTATTTCGTTGTATTGCAACTCTGACAACATTTATAGTTAATTCGACTGAATAGTAAAAAAGGAACAACCAGGCTGGTATTAGAATGAAGTAGTATTTGAAATTTTCATAAATTTCCATCTTCAAGCAAAATAATACTTCGAATAAAGTTTTGGATATAATTGTTGCTATATAAAAACAAGTTTTTGTCCTCGAAACGTGAGATTCACGAGATCTATGGTTCGGAGGGTAGCCGTTTTTGCAATATTTAGCTAGGTAGATCGCTAAATCTAAAAGAACAGCTAGGTCCCATATCCAAACTGGAATAAAAACTAAGAACCAATTCCAAATTATTTTCTTGTCTAACTTTAATGCAAGAAATATACAAAATAATAGCATTACGAGCCAAGAAAGTAAAACTCTGCGTACAAACGACATTCTCTTGACATTATCGCTCACTATGGTCACCTGTTCCACTCAATTAGGTATTCAGTCATTTTAACATCGAAAAAGTAACTTCCCGGCATACTGTTTCCGTCTTCCATTTTGATTTATCGCCTGGTGCCGTTTTGACTAAATATTGTCGATTATCGAAGATCGAAAATTACGATATTCTTCTAAATATATTAGAAATTACGATCTCATTATATTTATTAATTTGGAATTTAAAAGTATTATGATTTTCTTTTTTTTTTAACTTACTGTAAGCAGGTTAAATTCTGAATGAACTATACTTGAGGAGTTACTATGAAAGAAGGCCTATTTAAAAGCTTTTAGGGAATATGCTTTGAAAACGATAACCTCCTAATCGAATTCGACGATTTTATTCATATAATCTTATATATCGATATCACCACGATTAATTTGTACCACCATCGATTTGATTTGCGACAATATCATTTTTTAGCGATTTAGTTTAAAAGAATTTCCCTTTCTCCCTCGTTTTCTCTGAAACATGGCTGGAGGCAGGGGAAGGGGAGCCAGAACCAGCAGAGGAAATGGGAGAGGAGGTAATATCGTAGTTTCTCGTTAAAGATCTTAACAACGATTACTAAAGAGCCGGGTATGATAGTAAAGGGAATAAATATAGGCTTTAAAATTATATTTTAATTAAATTATTTTATCAATCACTGTTTGTAAGAGGTATAACATAATTAAGATTTTGTAGTGTCGTATTTCAGAATTTAAACGTTGATTTTCTAACACTATTTTATATAAAGTAAATAATTTTTAGTTTTTGTTTTTGTATGTCATCCTAATTATGCATAAATCGTATCTATATGAATTCTACAAATATCTCAGTATTGTTCCCAATTGTTAGTCCTATACATTTGAAAGGATTGAGCTTTATAATTATATCGTGTTATTATATTTTTCTATTATTATTTATGATTATTCAAGGATAAAGAATTTTAATTACTTAGAAAGTTTTCTATATAAATCATATTGTGGAAATTTACGATGTATACCCCCTTAAGATGTTATTACTGATATTAATGACACTTGGTTACACACATTCATTTTGTTTATGTGCTTTAGTTTTTGTTTTGCAGTATAATTTTTTTTCTCTCATTAGGCTCTATGAAGGGCGGGAGAGGTATGCCACCGATGGGAGGACGTGCACCTATGGATGCTCCCAATAAAGCTCCACCTCCACTTTTACCTAGAGGACCAATGCCTCGTGGAATGAGAATGCAAGGAAGAGGCGGTCCTCTTCGTCCCCCGCCGCCTCCGATGATGGCTAGAGGAATGATGAGGCCAATGGGTCCAAGGCCAATGCCAAATCCGGTATTTAGAGGACGAGGACGAGGTATGCCACCTCCTATGCCTCCTGCCAACTTTGGATTTGATCGAGAGCGAGAGCATCCTTTGTATAATAGAGTCTTTGTTATTAGTAATCCTGGATATATGGAGGAAGATTATAGAAACGCTTTTTCAAAGTATGGTGATATTCAATATTATAAACAAGTTGATAAAGAAGGAAAAAAAAGTTGGTACTCTTTTATTTTAAGTAGTAAAATATGGATTAAAAAAAGAACATAAATATGGTCACATTTTCTGATTTCAACAGCTTTTACCTATATAACATATAGAAGAGCCTCAGAGGCAGCTTTAGCTATTGAAGAAATGAATGGTAAGCCATTAAATGAAGGCTCAACAAACCGCGTTAGAGTAAGTAAACTAGAAGTAACAAAAAATAAGAAAGAAAAGACTGAAAATTGAATGCTTTCTCTTACTTTTAGTGTTTATTGGCAACTAGCAAGGAAACAAGAGAAAATCAAGACAAATACGAAGAAAAAGGAAAGAGAATTTTAGTTTCCGTAGGTGTTGCAAAAACTGTTGATGAGATTAAAGCAGACTTTAAGGTTTTTCAATTAATAATCACAAATACGCTTTTGAATTATATAGTTTTATTCTCTATAGGAATACGGCGAAGTAGAACATGTGAAGTTATTGACACATAGGGATACTGGAAAATCACGTGGCTCTGCTTTCGTTACCTTTAAGCGACCCTATTGCGCTGCAATGGCATTAGAAAATCTCTCGAAAAGCTATCGACCTCAATTTGCTGAAAAGAAGCCAAAATTACCCCCAGAAAACATGATGCCACCCCCTTTCCCTCCTCAAAATCCACCATTTTCTCCAGCATTCGCTTATGATGATTGTCCCGATATGGCAGAGTACGATATATTTGACCCATCTTACTGCGGAGATTACGGTCCAGATTTTGAACCTCCTATGGATAATAGTGGTGCAGAATTTTACAATGAAAACTTGCCAGAAACGGGTCCTAATTTTGCACCGTCACCGTCCCTTAACTCTCAAATATCTCGTATAGATTCACAACCTAGAATACCACATCCAGCTGATGTAATTAGAAATTTTCCTCACGAAGGAAAGAATGTATTATATGTAACAACGGCCAATAATGTTAACACTGACAACATTGAACATTTATTTCGAATAATACCCGGTTTTGAATCGTGTTCATTTGATTCTGAATCAGGAGAAGGAACGATAAGATATACAGATTCGTCATGTGCAGCATACGCAAAAGATAGATTGGATGGTTTCGAATATCCGATTAATTATCAACTAACTGTAGACTTTTGCAAACCTGAATCAAAAGAAACTAAGCATACGGAACCTAATTCGTCAGAAATATCTGAAGACGCAGAAAAGACAAACGATGAAAACTGCAGAGAGAATCATGACGAAAAGAAAGAGGACACAAAAGAAAAAGAAGACGAAGAAGCAAGTAATGAAGTTAAAGGAGAAGATGAAAAAGATAGTTTTGTGCGTGTTAGATATTGTACTTTTCCCGTTCCAGATGTTAGAGACATTGTATCGCAGGTTGAATATTAAAAATACGTTGTATAAAACATCTTTGTTAAATATGCTTTTTATATTTCAGATGGAATGCAAAACTCGGTTATTTATTGTCTCAAAACCTTCATCCTTCGACAATAGTATTATGAAAAATTTATTTTGTAGATATGGTAATTTAATAGACGCTTATTTCCTTCCTGGTAAAAATTATGGTTTTGCCAAATATGGATGTAATCAAAGTGCTGAGGAAGCTTTATCGGCCATAGACGGAAAAGAAGTTGCTGGGCAATTATTAAGAGTAGTGTTAGCTGATAATGAAGCTACAACTATAAAACGAGAAGCATCAGACACAAATTCAGACGAACCACTAAATAAAAAATCCAAATAATAAAATAACATTTGAAAAAATATAATGAAAGTATAAGCGTTATAAGCTGCAAGGTGGGTGTGAATTTATGCGTTGTTGTCTTATCGTTAGAAATCCTGCTTTATAGTTATTTATTTCTAGAGATCTTTTTTTTAAAAGAGAAAAAGGAACAAATTTATCAATATTATACAAAATGTTGGTTTTTTATACATTTTCTCTACATGAATACTAAGATATTTTGTCATAAGAGAACATATCAATATACTGTAGATCATTTGGATTAATTAAATAACCTGAATTGTATTCTGTCATAATGATATGTCATCCATTTTTTACTTTTAAAAATTGACTATTCATGTAAATTTTTTTACACATGTCTATAGAATGTTAAGTATTTCTATCTTGAGAGAGAAAAAGAAAAACGAGAAAAGAGGGAGTGAGAGAGAGAATATCAATAATTTCATAAAATGTACATTATACGTTATAAACATAAAATCATTAAATTTAAGAGTGGATTAAAAATAATATGTTGGCGTTTAAACTTGATTCACTTTTCAAGGAAATATATCATTTAAATTGATTTTTTTGTTATATATTTTGTTATTTATATATAGTCCTATAACGTCTTTCTTCTTTTTTTTTACCTCATGTACCATAGAATGAAAAGTTATATCCTATATACCACATAATGTTGATTAATGTTATTTATAGCGTTTTCTTTTACAGTCAAAATTTAAAGTGGATAAATCCACTTGACAAACTTCTGTTTAAATTCGTTTTTTTTAGCTTTTTTACTATTGATTTCTTTAAATTAATTTCGATTAAATTATAAGAAAAAAGCAAAGAAAGAGAGAGAGAGAGAGGTGAGGGTGAGTTAGAAAAAGCTAAAAATTTTATTATGTATTCATTTTCTATCATTTTGTTTTTAACAAGTAAAAGGCACCTACGTAATTATCCTTCTATTTCTTTAAGCAATCTTTGCAAGATAAATGAAAGCAATCGTTCGCTAATAAGAAAATGATACATATAAAAATATTAAAATGAGAAAAATACGAATATGGCATATCTTTTATTTCTGATTATTTAGTTGAATTGTTAATTTAAAACTATATTTCTAAGAAGTAAAAAGCAATTTATTATTTATAATAATAATGTTTGAAATTTCTATTGAAAGTATTGTTTTTGGAAACTTTACGTTCTTATTGTAATAATAAATTAAAAGAGAAATTTCCAATTTGTTTATTATTAAAGTATTATACATATCAGAAAGAGAATGAAGAACATATGATTATTTTTAGACTTGTTTTATCTTTTCAATATTTCATTATCGTGTTTTCTAAGAGCAACATGGCATGTCCTTTCCATATACCATACTATATATAGTATATACTGTATACTGTATACATAAACTAACGAGGTATATTTGTGTAAATATCGAAAAAAATTAATTATGATGCTTAAATATTGACTGTTTCCTTAAAGATTTTAATTTAATAAAGAAAGAAGCACCTGTAAACAACTCTATAATCGTATTACTATCATCATTCTTTATAATTACGCTCTCATATTCGTGTTTCACTCTATAGAATGTAGAAAAAGGAAAAGTTTCATATTAGGTTTAATTCTGATTTCATTCTTATTAAAAATAGAAGAAATTTAATGAAACAAATATTTACATGTCACAGAAAGTAGATATTATGTCGTTAATAATATACAGTGTAGTCGACGAGTATATCGCCTAAATATGGCAGCGAGCCAAATTATCATTACACTTGTATAATTTTAAAACCAACTGTCTTTTACCCCTCATCATTTCTTTGAGTACGTGTATTATTTATAATTACTGCTATATTACCAGTATAAACTTTAATTCTAAACGCGCTGTATTGATAAGTCAATGACGTAGCGACGACTTATGTCCCCAACCCGCTCAACGACTAAACTAATTATAAATAAGTAAAGGTATAACAATACTGAAATGCCGAGGAAAAGACCAAATAAAACCACGAGTATCACGATATGGCAAATAGTAGAGACAGTAAAGAAAAATTCTTAAGTTTCGTCAGAGCTTTAGATTTTGTCTACGGCGACACCACTCTACAAGGAGGTAATATGGTGCAACAAATCTTGGACAAAACGGTTCCGTTCCAACCTCAAAAGGTCGCCGATTGGATCGAGTTTAAGGCATTTCTTGCAATGTTGAATTTGCAAAATTATGAAGGACGCCCTCAATTTGAACAGCTTAGACAGTTCTCAATGAGACTGCCCTCTGACATTCAAACCAAATCATAATCTCAACTAATAAATATCTGGACGATTTTGGTTCAGTTGTAGAAGAGATAGGTCACTATGTATCGAAGGTCATTAAAGGGATTGAAAGGGGAACGTATATATGTGAAGATAAAGAAATAAGCGTCGCTAGGCAAAGCCCCCCCTCCCCCGAACCATAGACCCTTGGCACATGTCGAACAGAAAAATAAGGCGAAGACTCAAGCTTCGAGCAAAGAATACAGATGTCTGTGTGATGAAAATCACCTATGTTTGGCCTATTGCCCGATTTACATCAATCTTGATGTGAAAGGAAGACAGAGAATGGTTCAAAGGTTCCACAGATGCCAGAACTGCCTACGAGATGGGCATACCAGGGAAAAATGTCCGTCAAAATTCAATTGCAAAAAATGCAACCAAGCTCATCACACGACGTTATATCATAGAGGCAATGGTCCCGAAAACGACATCTGCCATCAACTATAATCAATTAAAGGAAAAGCAAGAAAGAATGGCCGTATATGAGACAACAGTACAATTCCAGCGTCTGGTAAATCAACAAATCACAAAATTACCGCCCTCATCACCGGAGCAGCAGTGTCCCTGATCAGCAGACTACATACAGTATATATACTGTATCTTTATATATGATATACAAGTTTATATGAATTTAGTATCTATACCTCGGTTGTCGGGGAAAATGGCTCCTTAAAGAATATTTACATTTACCTTTGTTTAGTAGATTGTATTTCTAGGAATTGAATTTATTTAAAAATATACTTGCCTTCAAAATATCCATTATGGAAATGATACAACAGGAAGTTGAGTTTTTTTACAAACTGATTAATTGCTCTTTTCTTTCGCAACTCTTTTTTTATTTAGAATCGTGATGGTTCATTACTTTAAAACTTAATATTTAATGGGAAAGAGGTATTCGTTGGAAGGATGAAGGGGTAAAAGAGCTTTATAATAGGGAAAGCGAGTCAAACGAGAAAATCTTTGCTTTCTTTGAAGGTAAACTTGACGCTCAGAGTAATACGAGCTCCATTGTATTTTCCTACGGAATAGACAAAGAAGTGTATCTTACAAGGATTTATTGTATTTTTTTGATTTTTTAAAGCGATATTATAGTTATTTATAATCGTCATTTTCTCGCTTAACACCCAACAACAGCAGGAATTTATTATGTTTAAATACCTATCTTGTTAATTAATCTTTAGATATTTTTACGGTGTTAAAGAGCAAGAATTATTCGAATGTTGAGGCGGTTAGTATTTACAACTCTTCAAAACATCAAATAATCTAACAAAGGAAGTTTTTAATCAAATATGTATTTACATATATTGTTATATAATTATTTACAAATAATGCATAGAATTCAATTCTAAACTTTTCCTGTATATCTAAAATTTCTTTCAAATTCTTCACTTAAGCTTAAGAATAGTGTCAAAGCCGCCGGCGGTAGATTGATTCTCAACAAACCCATATCTTTTCCTTCCAACAAATCCATTACGTGATATATAGCATTAGACAAAGGGCCTGTAGAACTTCCTCCCTGCATACAATACGCTGCTATAAGTTGAACAGATACTCTTAAAAAGTTGGGTTTGGACAAGATAGCACATGCTTTTTCAAAGTTCTCTTTACAACTTTGAATTACTTCCATATTTTCTTTCATTAGATTTTCTAAAATGCAACTTAACGTGTTGACTATCAAATATGGGGGTGCGCTGTTGCCAGAGACAGCAAGTTGTACAGATCGGCATGCTAATGAATAAAATTCGCTAGATCTGTTGCCTTCGAGAATAACTTCAATTATTCTCAAAATTCTTGATCCTATCTCACGTTTTACCACTTGAGGCATAATAACGGTACAAGTTTTCATTACTTCAAGTTGATCTGTCGAGTTGCCCTTGCAACAAGATTCCATAAAAGTAACAACGGCAGGGGATGTTGTAGAAATCAACGATCTTTCCTTATTCAGAAAGTTCTGAAGCAAGTGCAATTGAAAGCGCCTGCTAGATTGGTTTGCAGAGATTTGAATGATATGTTGAACGACTTTTAACATGTATTCTTTGGGTAAACCACTTATTATACCAATCAAGTTTTCTGTACAAGTATCTACATCTTCGTTAACGACTGTTGAAAACATAAGAGCGTCTTAGAGAGCGTTTATACTACAAACAATAACCTACCTCTTAAATCCTTTATTATTAACTTCACCAACACTAACCAATTTTCTATTAACCAGTCTTCAGTAATATCAAATTCATCTCTCTTCTGACTAAGACATTTTAGGTATTTTAAAGTTCCCTCAACCTTTTCAGATATCGACTTTTGAGCTAATTCCCATAGTTTTTTAGCATATTTTGACGCCTCTTTCGATTGTAGGCAAACCGCTAAAATATTCATTGAGCAATCGATACAATTAGAGCATTTCGTGCTTTTTAATACATTCTCCAATATTTTAAATGATTGAATACTGAGACTTTCATAGAATTCGGAGCATATTTTCTTCTTTTCACCTTTTAAATAGTGGCGCTTAGAAAAAGATAAAGTCTTTGATAAAAAGAGTTCGAGTGAAGTGTAATTAGCAGCCAAAACCCAATTTGATGATTGTACATTCTTCAGTTCATTTAATGAAGCTACTTGATTCTTAAAAAATTCTTTTGTTTGTTTCGAACTGAGTATATATTCGGATTTGGCCAAACTAATAATCATAACATTGGAAACTTGCTTAAGCAGTCTAGCCAAATCGAAGGAATAATCTTCTTTCAAAAATCTGCTTTGCAAATATTCCAATACTTTATTCCATTGCAAATATTTCCACAGGTCACTTGCTTCTTTAGTATCTAGTACTTTAATGAGACCTTTCAAGCAAGTATTAAGTAGGGTTGCATTATTCGATTTATCGAGAGGAAGAGCAGAGTACAGTAAATACAGCAGAGCGAATTTCAACTTTAAATCAGATTCTAATGACTCAAAAGGAAAATCTAAAAGCAAATTCATCGTTTTTGTAAGAATGTTTATAGTTGTAGATTTTGCTTTAGGATGATTGCTAATATCGACCTTTAGAAAGTTGAGAATATCTTCACTAATAGACTTTATGTTAGTGTTATTAGTTTTTAATAATTCAATCGAGTGATCATTCCATAATTTAAACGTTTTCTTGCCTTTCAATGTTTCAGTTAGATTTTTAACCACTTGTGAAAAGAGGACTGTATGTAATTCTTTATATTCAAAAGCTTTAGAGATAATCGCCAAATTTTCATTCTCTATAATTCTATTACAAAAGTTCTCCTTCATATCTTTACTCATATAAGGATATATTAGATCGAAATTCTTTTTAGTACTCTCGAAGATATCGTTATCACTCTCGCACAAGGTTAATTCGTAGATGAATTCTATAGAATTTCTAATGATTTTTTCACTATCATTATAGCTAAAATGTTTAGCTATACGACTTTTAAGAATTGAAAAGTTAGCTAGAATACTACGTCCCTCAATTGAATTTTGACAGTGTTTCGCTACATCTTTCCATGGAGCTTTAAGAAGAGAGAATGAAAAATTCGATTTTTCTTTCTTTATCTCTGGTTCGTAACTGACATCTAAAGTTGTTGATAGGAGAAATTGCAAATTCGTTAATGCATAGAGTAACTTTAAGCAAGGAATGAATATTTCATCTTCCTTAAGGCTATTCTCTTCGGTACCTATACTACTTTTTATTCTTTCTCTGGTTTCATCCATAATTTCTACAAGTTTAACATTTGTACCTTGTAACAGTAGTTTATCTGAAATGATAAAATATTCTACAACTGTTGAGAGTAATTTAATAGAAGATTTCGTAAAGGAATTTTTATGATTAAGGCAAACTTTCCAGCAATCTAAACAAATGTTACTTGTTGATTCTTCCAGTTTATTTCCTAAGTATTTTAATGCCGAACTGTTGATATCTTCTAATTCCAAAAGAGATATAAAAAATTTTGGCAACCTTCGAAGTTTCCATTGAGTTGATATAACTGAACTATAAAAGTTATTTTCGGTATCAAAAGCGTTATGGGGTTCGAAACAGGGTAAAATATCTTTTAAATTGGCTTTTGAATGGTCAAGCTCGTATAGAATATTTGCGCATTCAAACCAATTATTATTTCTCTCCAATTGTAACAATTTTATCCATATTTCTTTACATTCTGGTACAATTTCACAAGAGCTGTATGTACGTAATAAGGTTATTAGACTCTGCAAATCCTCTTTTTTCCCATTCCCTATCTTTTTTAAGGATATATCAAAGATTATAGCTAAGAACTCCTCTTGACCTTTCCTATTGTTATACTTTTCGCAGAATTCTTTAGGCAATCTCTGCAGAAGCCGACTAGTATAGTTTCCTTCTACAAGACAGTCTTTAAATTTAGTAACCAAAGCTGATTTAGATTGTTGAAGAAGATTATCTTTAAATTGTAAAGTTAATATAGTGCTTGTAAGATAACTTAGAATCCTTTCATTAGGATCTTCCAGATGGAAGACTACTTTTAAAACTTGACAAACATATTCCATAATTTTAGTAACTCCTTTATGTCTTTGTGACAGACTTATGGCATTAATTACCTTTTCAATTAAATAATCGTCGGAATTTACTACTTTGCATAGTATTTTACCTATTTGGTCAAATAAACCAGCCAGACAACTACGGCTTACTGTGTCGAATAAGAGGGACAAGCATTCCAAAACTAATAGTGAAAAATTTCCATCTATATTTTCACATAAGCAATCCAATAATGTTGATTTAATAATTATTTTCTCGTTATTTCCTTTTACAAATAGGAATATATCTTTTAATAGTTTCCATACATTTTCACTCTCTTTTGCTCCATCCGGTGATTTTAAAGCTCTTATGAGACTTTCTAAAATCATATTTGTCTTATTTGGAACTCTTCTTTTGCACCAAACATAACGTACCAATTTGCACCATTCAGTAAAAGGGGGTTTTGCAAAACGAACTCTTTGATTTAACCCTTGTTTTCTATTCATTGTCGAAATCATTATTTTTACCTTACAAAGCTGGTTGAAGTATATTCTCAAGAGATTTTTTGATTAAACTTAATAAATGAAAATAGTTTAACAATTATAAATGTTAAACACTAGATTCTGTTGTCTTTTCTAAACACGTTAAAGGACTCTTCCAACTTGCACGTGTTTCAGTCGGGCTTGAATCTAATGTCAAGGTCAGTCTTTTTACAGGAGGTAAAAACCGTTTCCTAGCGCCACCTGTTTATTATTGAGATAAGTTGTTCGGCTTCAGGAATATTTCGCGAATCTGATGCAAAGTTCCACGTTTTGATGTTAACTTTTATATCCTGACCAAAAACCACCATAAATGGTCAAGGAACAGTATAGAGAGGCCGATTTGGCCAGAGAAATGTAAGTAATTTGTATATGTTTAAGGATACAGTGAAAAATTCACTTTTATTAAATTTAAATTTCATGTTTCGTTGAGCTCATTTTTTTCGTAACTTTGTAGAAGTCAATTGACTTTTGGGGTTCTCAGTTCGAAGGAAATAAGACAGCAAGGACAAGTTCAAGTTGTTGCAAAAAATCTTTATACTCAAGATGGTATACATCAACCACATCCCTATGGTGTTCTCGATAGACAAATGGGTGTCTGCGGAAAGGCTGACAAATGTGCCGCTTGTCATAAAGATGTATTCGCGTGTACTGGGCATTTTGGTTATATTGATTTAGAGCTGCCTTGCTTTCACATTGGCCATTTTAGAAATGTTATTACAATTTTACAAACAATTTGTAAAACGTGCAGTCATGTACTATTACCTCCTCCCGAAAAAAAGAAATGGATAAGCGTGATAAATCGACCAAATCTACCATATCTGCAAAAAAAGACGTTGAGAAAGAAGATAAGCGAACAAGCCAAGAAAATTTCGGTCTGTCCTTATTGTTCTGCGGTCAATGGAGTTGTTAAAAAGTGTGGACTTCTTAAAATTTCGCACGAACCTCATCGAGCCTTAGGTAAAAAGAAACTTGAATCGGTTATGGAAGAAAGAATCATTGAATTTCAATCGGCTATCGATTCAAATGCCGAATTAAAGGGTCTTCTAAAAAATGGTCATCCATCAATAATTCTAAATCCAATGATAGTTTTGGAGTTATTTAAGAGAATACCTCGAGAAGATATTGGTTTATTGATGATGTCTTCGGCGTCAGGAACACCTGAAGATATAATATTAACAAGAATTCCTGTACCACCTGTTTGTATAAGGCCATCTGTAGTTTCGGATGTTAAAGGTGGTACAACAGAAGATGATATAACAATGAAACTATCCGAAATTATATTCTTGAATGATGTTATCTGTAAACATCGAGCGACAGGTGCAAAGATGCACATGATGATGGAAGATTGGGACTTTTTACAACTGCAGGTAACACAAAATATATTAACATACTAAATACAAATTAATATACATTCGAAGATAACTTTTCTGAATAGGTTGCACTCTTAATAAATTCTGAAACAACCGGTGTTCCACCTCATATGCAACCGAAAAAACCTCTCAGAGGCTTGTGCCAGAGATTAAAAGGCAAACAAGGTAGATTCAGAGGAAATCTTTCTGGAAAACGAGTTGATTTTTCCAGTAGAACTGTAATATCACCCGATCCTAATATGAGAATAAATCAAGTTGCCATTCCTATACACGTTGCAAAAATCTTAACATTTCCGGAGAGAGTAACACCGCATAATATTAAACTAATGAAACAATTAATTAAAAATGGCTGTGATGTTCACCCAGGAGCAAACTTTGTTCAATTTCGTTCAGGTGGTAGGAAATTTTTAAAATTTGGTAACAGAACGATGATTGCCCGTGATATACGACCTGGCGATGTCATAGAACGTCATTTGGCAGACGGAGACGTCGTCTTATTTAATAGACAGCCGTCGCTTCATAAATTGTCGATTCAGGCTTTCAGAGCAAGAGTAATGCCTCATAGAACATTCCGGTTTAATGAATGTTGTTGCACACCGTTTAACGCTGATTTTGATGGAGACGAAATGAATATTCATCTTCCACAGACAATTGAGGCTAAAGCAGAAGCTTTAACCCTTATGGCTTCAACTAAAAATATTATTACACCTAGGAATGGAGAGCCTCTTATTGCCGCTATTCAAGATTTTATAACAGCCTCATTTCTATTAACCAAGAAAGACGAATTTTTTACCAAAGCTAAAGCTTGTCAGTTAATTTCATCAATTCTTACGGAGGATGACTCTACAACAAAAATCGACTTACCTACTCCAGCGATAATAAAACCCGTCCAGGTTTTTACATTCATTCCCTTCTCTCTTTATTAATAATTGAATAAAACTATTAATAAAATTTCATATTAATAATGATAAATTATTACAGATGTGGAGTGGTAAACAAATTTTCTCACTAGTCTTGAGACCTTCCAAGGCGCATGGGCAAATAAATATAAGAACAAAGGGCAAGAACTATTCAAAAGATGAAGAACTGTGCTGTAATGACTCCTACGTGGTTATTTATAATTCTCAACTGCTTGCTGGGGCCATGGACAAAACTACTTTGGGATCAAACTCGAAAAATAATGTTTTCTACGTTTTATTGCGAGATTATGGTGAAGATATGGCAGCAGCCGCCTTATCTAGATTAGCCCGTATTGCTCCAGCTTATCTCTCACACAGAGGGTTTTCAATAGGAATAGGTGACGTCACACCTGGAAAAACCCTTGTTGACGCTAAGGTTAAACTAGTCGATAAGGGATATGCTCTCTGTGAGGATTATATTAAGTCTTTGAATGAAGGCAATTTAGCTACTCAGCCTGGATGCACATTAGAAGAGACTCTAGAATCATTAATATTAAGGGAACTTTCGCAAATTCGAGAAGAAGCGGGTAAAGCCTGTCTACGAAATTTGCATTCGTCAAATTCTCCCTTGACTATGGCTATTTGCGGCTCTAAGGGTTCTTTCATTAATATTTCTCAGATGATTGCCTGTGTCGGACAACAAGCCATCAGCGGGAAAAGACCGTACGATGGTTTTGAACAGCGTTCTCTACCACACTTTCCACGGCTCTCCAAAAAACCAGCCGCTAAGGGATTTGTTAGAAACTCGTTTTATTCTGGTCTTACACCAACTGAATTTTTTTTCCATACAATGGCTGGCCGTGAAGGTCTGGTCGATACAGCTGTTAAGACTGCTGAAACTGGCTATATGCAAAGAAGACTAGTAAAGTCTCTTGAAGACGTTTGTTGCCATTACGACGGAACCGTTAGAGATGCTAACAAAGCGGTTGTCCAATTTGTGTACGGGGAAGATGGACTCGATCCCACACTAATGGAAGGTGATGAAAGACCCATTAATTTTGAGAGAATGCTTAGAAATGTCAGAAATAGAACTCCAAATTTGAAGGAAGACTCCTTGACTGGGGATGAAATACGTAGTAGAGTAAAAGCTTTGTTAAGCAAAGATATGTCTCGAGATTTTCAAAAAGAAGTAAATAACTTTTTTGAAACTATAGCCACTAAAGTTGATGTAAAATACAAGAAATTTTCAATGTCAGCACCACCTACAGGCGTTCATCGTTTTATTGAACGTCTGACTGAGTCACACGTAAATGATCTCGTTGATATCTTCAGTAAAAAATATACAAATGCGGCTATGGAACCAGGAACTGCTGTTGGTGCTCTGTGTGCACAATCTATTGGAGAGCCTGGAACTCAAATGACTTTAAAAACTTTTCACTTTGCTGGTGTAGCTTCTATGAATATTACTCAAGGTGTACCCAGGATAAAGGAAATTATAAATGCCGCTAAAGCTATTTCAACGCCAATCATTACTGCACCGTTAATAAAGCATGACGCAGACTATGCTAGATTAGTGAAAGGTAGGATTGAACAGACGAAACTCGGTGAAATTTGTGAATATTTAGAAGAAGTTTACCTTCCCGATGATGTTTTCTTACTAATCAAATTAGCTTCGAAGAGAATTAAAGTCTTGCGGCTTGAAACTGACGCTCATGGTATAGTTGATTCAATTTTGGCTGCTAAGAAATTAAAGTTAAAACCTGGTCAGATTAGAGTTTTCAACGAAAATTTCATAGCCATTTATGTAGCAGACAAGACGAATATTCATTTCACCTTAAGAAACTTGAAAACAGCCATACCTAAAGTTGTTGTTAAAGGTCTATCTTCAGTAAGCAGAGCGGTAATTCATAAAGATGAAACTCCTACTGTAACTCATAAGCTATTCGTTGAAGGCGGAGATTTGCTCTCGGTTATGTCTACAATAGGGGTTGAGGGTAAAAATACAACATCAAATAATATTATTGACGTGGAAAAGACTTTAGGCATTGAAGCAGCCCGTGTTACAATTATGAAAGAAATAGATTCAACTATGAAAAGTCACTCAATGTCTGTTGATATGAGACATATTCGTTTATTAGCGGATTTGATGACATGTAAAGGGCATGTTCTAGGTATAACGAGACATGGTTTAGCAAAGATGAAAGAGAGTGTCCTAATGTTAGCATCTTTTGAGAAAACGACGGATCACCTATTCGAAGCCGCTTACCATGGACAAACGGATGAAATTTGCGGCGTAAGTGAGTGTATTATCATGGGAAAGCCAATGCAAGTTGGCACAGGAATGTTTAAACTGGTACATAAAGTTGTAAAGGAAGACGTAAAGATAAAGTCTACTATATTTGATAAGCCAAATTTAGAAAAATTCATTAATTGAGACATTATTTCTAAACTGGAAGAAAATGTATATCTGTATGTTATTGTTTTATTTATGATATATCTATAAATTTATATATATATATAAACGAATTATAATACAAAAAATATATCCCATATGCGGTTATTAATCAATGAATATTCATATGCTTTTTTACATAGTTAAATATACACGTTATACTGTTTTATAAACGATTCTAACAGTATTAGACTATTAAAGAACAATAAGTGGTGATAACGTGTTACTTTCAATCGAAAGCTAAGAAGAACGTTATAAAATCTGACATGATTGACTTTTATGATAATCTGATGAGGAATAACTTGGAGGAGGCATAAGAAAACCAGGTGGAGGATCTGCAACAGGGCCGTCGAAATAAACTCTTACATGTAAAACTTTACGTTTACAGTTGTCATCGGACATGATGTGAGTATTGGAATTTTCTTCTAAAGCTATTGTTTCTACATTAATAATCTTGACATGCGAGTTATAGTTAACAAATGGAATAACTTCTCTGTACCATAATTTATCCAATGACTCGCATATCCTCGGAGTCTCCGAACTATCTGGCCTTACTATTCCAGGAAAGAAGCACTTAAATGTTAATTTGATTGGATATATAGAGAGACTAGGTGTTTTTATCGTATAATATACTCGAAGAATACGAAGAGATGTGCTAAAATGATAGTCTGACTTATAGCTGCCAAGCGTTTGAGGAAAATCTATAGAAAATAATATATAGAGAATTGTATTAAAAGTATAGAAGTATCCCAACTATATTCTATCCTTATCTGTTTACCTTTTAATAATTCAACACAAAGAGTTTGAATATTAGTTATATGAATGTTTGGTCTATTAAAAATCCATTTTTGTATCCTTCCCATAACACTGGTCATATTTTCATATTTAGGTTTCTTCTTACTTTGTTTATTGCCAATAAATTGCGGAATAAAATCTTCTGCATCTACAAATTTGGAAAATAACGACAAAGAATGAAATTAAGAGAATAAAAAGATAATTAATAGAGGAGAAGCCTAACAGAGTTTTTGATGATTGATGTTTCCCTTTATATAAAATATTCGTAGAAAAATAACGGAACTATTATTAGAGTCTTTTGAATATTCGTAAAATCTGGAACTGTTAAGAGAAAGAACAAAACATTACTATAAACAATAGGCAGGCTTTAATATGTTATTTACCAATTCAAATCGTTCATTTTATCTTTATTAATGAATTGTAATTGTATATTTATGATAGTACCAGGAAGTGAATTTTCGTTTAAATATTGATTTAATGATTGAAGTATTCCAGTCCAGATATTATAAAATGTGTTATCATTATCTAACATTTCATAGTTTGAGTAATTAATATGAAAATTAATAAAATCAATTTCATCTAATTCATCAGAATCGTAAATAGTTTTTGAACGAATATAAACTCTATTAATAGTATTTTATTGTTTTAGACAATATTTAATGACAACTTATTCGATTTTCTTACCTTAATCTCTTTAAAAGACAGTAATGGCATTTCGGCAGATATTCTCCGTCAATATCAAGAATATTTTCTTCGCAAGGTATAAAATGGGAATTTTGACTTTGAGTTTTATTCTTAATGTAGGGTGTACTCAATGTTTCACAATTAATAACCCTACAATTTCTATGTTTTGACAACCATAAATTAGCTTTCTCCGTTAATTCCCTAAAAGAAATATAGTCAATAGTAAGATTCTTTTTTGTAAAAACATACTTTATTAAGTGAAAATTAAACTACAACCTGAAATTCATACATATAATATTATCACCACTTCTAATTAGAGGATCAATATCTATCCTATTCAGAAGTAATACTGCAGTCTTAACAGCTTTTTCGTAACTTGGTAATTCATCTTCCATTTTCAAAATATTATTAATTCTGTATAAATAAACAGATATATTTATACTATGATTGTTAGTTGGATTGTTGTAACTTTTGGAACTGGGGCCTAACTAACATTCAAAAAAGTAGACTTGGTTTTAATATAATAGTAAAGAAAGGGAATAAAGAAACATATTTTGCTGATTGGTCAACTATTTTTTGACTCATTTAATTTCAAACTACGCTTGTGTTTATTGTTAAGATGATGAAAAATATGAACAAAATAAGATATAGAAAGAAGAGAGAAAGGAAGAGAGAAGTATATAATAAAGTTGAAAAAACAACGAACGAAAATGAGATGAAACATTTCAATTCTTTATTTTAATTAGCTAATTGATTTTCTCTTTCATTCATTAATGTCCTTAATACTTGTATATATGTAAATATACAGTATATACAGTAGAAGTCTTGAATATACTGCATATGATGAATTCTTTAAGAGAAATTCTCGTATATTTTTAATACGTTAATTTCCAATCCCCTATAGTGATTTAAACTATACAAAGATCTAGGTCCATTGAACTTTAACTACTTTATCCTTTTATATGAATAGACATGTCTATTTTTGTTGCTTTTTGCAGATAGCGGCTATTAGAATGCTTGTTATAGTAGTTGTACGTAAGTATGAAAAGTTTTATTATATTTTTATATATTGACAGATTCATTCAAAACTTTCAGTTTCATAGAGCGTATTTTTACTATATTGTATATAAAGGAAAAATGATGGAGGAGAGATGGAGGGGAGGGGGGCGGAGATGAAGAAACCAATTTATTCATAAGCCGATTGGCCTACTTAGTTACATAAAAGACTTTTACAAAAAAAGAAATGATCAATAACTAATTTACCTTCAGTTGTACAATTTTTTTGCAACTATTGATAAACAGGAATAAATTAATTTAATAAGCTTTCAGTACTTTTTAGGATTTACTTATTCGACTGGAAATTCTCTTCACATTTTAGACCGTCTTCAACGATCTTGATATTTTCTTTTCAATGGACTTAAACGTTGAATAGCTATTTAAAATGTTTTCTTCAATTTAGTATAGTAGTTATTAAAATGTTAAAGTACTAATTACTTTCTTAAGTTAAACATCTAGGTTTGAAAAGAAGAATTCCTTTACGAAGACAACATTTAAGATTTATCCTCTTAATAGAATTTTTAGTATTTAACAAAGAAGAAAAACAGCTCCTTTATTTTTAGAAAGTGAACAAATAAGGCTTATATTTTATCTATATGTATAAAGAGAAAGAGAGAGAGAGAGGGAGAAAGAATACAAAATTGCAATAATTTTTATTCTCAAGCTATAAAAACAAAGATTATGTTAGCAGAAAAAATAACAAATACTGTTTACTTTCTCTATTTTATCTTTCATTTTCTTCATAAATAAATAATAATAGAACCTCTATAAGACATTACAACAACCTTCCTGCTCAAAAATAGGAGGCTCAGATTTGTGTATAAAACCAGGAGGAGGTTCGCTGACTGGTGTATCAAAATATATTCGGATACATGTGAGTATTATTTCCGGTCTCCTTTTCTTACTATAAACAGAAAGTTCCGAACTATTCGATATAAAGTAAGGTACAGTTTCAGCATTAATAATTCTTGCATTGGAATTGTAATTGAGATATGGAATTATTTCCCTTTCGAATAGTTTATCTAACGTTTCGAATTCATGCATTCTACACGTTTTTTGAACTAATAATGCCGGTGTAAACGTCCTAGCACTAATTCCACCAATAGTTGAAAAAGATAATGGACTTTCCCCAATAATATAGTATAATCTTAATGAACTGAGAGTCTTTTCTAAGCAATATTTGCTCCTTAAATCTTCAATACTTCTTAAAGTTTCTTTCTTCATAGCTAATTTAATTGATCAAAGAACAAAAGAATATTATCTAAGCCTATAGACTGTTTATAGTGTATATTGTACAAACCTTTTTTGAAGTCGATATTTGTTGTCTGTAAATTTAAAACTCTTGCAGTATTGTGTTGTTCAAGCCAACGTTGAGCTCTTTCAATAAGTTCTCCAGTAGAATCGTAAACAGCTACTGGACTATTCCTTCCGTAGTTATTATGATTCGGAAGAAATTCGATAGTACCTTTAATATTAAATGATATAAAAGGAAAATGAGAAACTAGTCAAATGAACATTTTATTTAACAAATAGTAACCTATTTGTTCATACGTAGGTGAACCTTTCATATAGAATATCCTTAGGATTATTGAATTTTCCGAATTATCAAAGGTATTTTCATGATATCTCGATCTGTAAAGAGAAATTTAAAATGAGAATTGAGAAGAGAAGAAAGGAAAGATAATAATTAATAATAATAATAGAAAATGATAAATTACTCTTCAGGATTTTCTGGAAAGTGTTTTTTACTGTAGCCAACAGTTTCCAAATTGATAATTTTACCATTGATTGAATTTTGTAATATAAAATTATTAAATTTTCTTATTGTAGATTCGATAGGACCGTGTTTCTGTATTGAATTTTCATTCTCTGAATCATTTAAATTGGGTACAATGTTATAGTATCCGATTTGATTAGCTTCGGAAGGGTCCGTCTCTGTCTTCGATCGAAGATACAACCTTTTCGATATTATTATCTTTAATTAATATTACTCTTTTCTTTTAGCTGTTATTAATTAATTTTACCTTAGAAACTTTATCATATTTATTGAAAATTCAGACTCTTCTAAGATAGCCGGAGTAAGAGATGTTAATTTTGAGTCTATATAAGATTTTTCAGGATCTTTTGCTGCGCATACAGTTTCGCAATTTATAACTGCAAAGTTATTATGCTCAGACAGCCAATTATTTGCTTTATCAATTAACTTCCTGAAATAGAAAATAGTGCCACTACTATATATTAATTTAAATACATTATCAACTTGGATAATGGCCAATTTTTACTTACGAAAATGGCTCGTATCTTGTATTTGAGAATATATCATTATCCCTGATACAAACTGGTAGAAAATCCATAAAAGTAACTCTTATATTAGGTATTGAGAAAGGAATTTGATGGAGTGCAATATCATTAGCGTGTGTCCGTACAACTTCGTTGTAACTTGGAGGTGGAAAATATTCCATAGAGGAACTTCTCGGTATAGAAAACATCTTCTATTATTCAAAGCTTTGGCTGAAATTCGAAAAAGAAGAACTAATTAACAATTATTCAGTGTTTGAATGGAATTTTAACATATCATTGCCTCTTTTATTGTAGTCATTCAATTCAATAGTATATAAGTAACAATTATTACGTGCTAATTAATTAATACTATGAGGAGAGGACATAATTTTTGGTTAACAATTATACCGATCTAGAAACAAATGCAAAGAGAAAGAAGGAGAGAAGTAAGAAGATGGAGATGGGGAATAGGGAATCCTTAAAAATTTATCATTTAAGTCTATTAAAACTTTAATTGACAATGGTTTATATATAAGCTAATAGAAAACTGATTCATACATTTTATAGGATAAAAAATCGTTCTTGAGTAATACTTACGATTGTAAAAAATAGAGAGACCTAGACTCATCAGCTTAGTAACATCACGTGATTGTTGTTTGGCTCCTGTTCCATGTTCGAAAAGTTACTAGTAGTACGTAATCTCTCTATTAGCTTCTTTTTTAATAAAAATTTAATAGATATATAAATTAAACAGTTAATTTATTATTTAATTTATTCATTTGAATATAAAAGCATTTAAGTAAAGGAAGTAAACCAAAAAACAAAATGGCAAGGTTTTCGTTACTCTAATGAAAGAAAACACAATTTCACAATAAACAGCACTCTTCGGCATCTTCGTAAATGCGAGGATGATTTGATAAAGGTATATAACCAGGGGGAGGTTCAGTGACAAGACCTTCAAAGAATATTCTAATACATGATATATAAGCATAGACTTCTGAATCCCCAGTGTAGCTTTGCATATCGTCGACTTTGGCTTTATATAAATAAGGTAAGGTTTCAGCATTTATAATCTTTGCCTTGGAATTATATTGAAGAAAAGGAAATATCTCTCTTCTTAATAAACTACTCATTGTCTCGAAAGTAGGTGAGCGTCCTTTTGCAGTTCTCGATTGTAATGCAGGTAGAAATGTTCTGCAGCTAATTGTAAAATCAGGTCTGGGTTCAGCATCAAAAGTACGAGTAAAGTATATTCTTATAAATCGAACATATGGCTTCAATGTATATTTAGTTCTAAAATATCCAGGATCGTAGGCTACATCTTCTCTTTTAGCTATGTTTATCATTAATGAATATTCATATAAATATTACAGTATACTGTAATATAAATTATTTACATACCTTTATTAAAGCTAACTTGAATGGTTTGTAAATTCAATATATTTATAAAAGAATTTGTTCTAACCCATGTTTGAATTCGAGACATTAAAGAGGTAAATGATTCATGCTTTCTGAAGTAAAAGCATGAACTATTCTGTATAACTGCTGGAATAAAGTCGGCGTTTTCTTTTCGTATGAAAAAAATAATATGATTTTTCAAATTTATTCTCTTTTAGTGAAATAAATACTCAACCAATTGGAATTCTAGGATCAGCCGATTGTCCTCTTATGTAATAGACCATCGTACATAAAGGAACGTGAAAGATTTTATCAGAATCTTCGTATTGCTTTAATCTGGTAATATTTAGAAAGTAGATAAGAATTAATGAATATTCATTAAGTTCATTTGAATATTTTTTGTAAAAGTAATATAATTTTACAAACTCTTCTGGATTTTTTTCTCTATTTAATCCAATCCTTTCAACATTATTAATACGACCTTCGACTGGACAAGCTTTATTTGTTGAATTAAATTTAATTAGTGTGTCATCATACGAATAATACGAGTATGAAGATGGCATGGATTTATCTCTATTGGTGGGTTGAATGCAAGTATGACCAATCTGGTCGGCTTCTAGTGGCTCCCCTGGATTTTTTGATCGAAGATAGACTCTTTTAGGAAAAATAAAAGAAAAATATATCTCTTTATTAGCATTACAATACAATACGATATGATTACTTAAGCTTACCTAAGAAATTTTACTAAATTAAGATATTTATACTCAGTAGAAACTTCACCATTCTGTTCAGTTCTTGTTTGTGGAATCTGATAAGATTTATCTGTTTGTAATGGAAGAGATACGCCATCTTTTTGACAGCACAAAACTTCACAATTTATAACTGCAAACGTTGCATTTTGCGCAAGCCATTCATTAGCTTCTTTAATTAGGATGCTAAAAGTAGAAAACATATATCAAGAAGCATTATTTAGAATGACAAACAACGTCAAATTTGTTTGTTTTGCATACCAAAATTTTTCATATTCGCATTTAAAGAATTTATTTTTTTCTATAAGACAATTTGCTGTAAAATCGATAAACGTAAAGCGTAGATCTGATCCAGCTGATCTTAAAGATTGATTTGGATAGGAATTTTCTATTCCAGCTCCTTCGGCACGAATAACTTCTTCGTAGCTTGGTGGTGGTGCATCAACCATTCTGTTCTACTTTTGCTTCTTCCTCTTCCTCTTCTTTTTCTTCTATTTTTTCCTCTCTTCTATATTCCTCCTTTGTTTTATATGTATCTGATTTTCGAATAATTCATTAATTTGCAATCTATCCAATTGATTTACAATGGGTTCGATTACAATTTATATGTATTCCTATTGAAAATATTATAAATAAGGTGACAGATGCCCTAAAATCAAATTTATCAATAAGCTATCATCCTGATTCTTTGTTTTAATATCTATATAGAGAGAGTTATTTATTTAGAAAATCGCAATGTATAAGACTCGGTTGTACAACACTTACCAGCCTATCTAGGAATTGATTCAATTTCATTTGGTCACGTGACACTCTGGCTACAGGCTCCAGATTTTTTCAATTCTTTTCTCTTTCTCATAGATAAAATACTACTTTTTGTTTAGTTAATATATTTTTTGCAAAGAAGTGAACAACAAGCGAATCAAGTTTATTTATTAAAATAACTAAAATGTTATTAACATTAAGTGTATAGAAAGTGTACACAATTTTTAAGGTATTGCGCAATATTATCCAAAACAATAACAAAAACAAAACAGATAATTTACATTCTCAGATAACGATATGGAATAGTAAAAACTTTTGTTTAGATAAAGTAAAATTATTGAGGAAAACATGGAAGAGAAAAGGTTGAAGGATATTGTTTCTTTTCTAGATTCGTAGGACTTTTCTCTCTCTCTATATATACATGTATATATATATACAGTATACAGTATATATATATATATATCTTAGTAATTTTCAATACACACATATATATGTATTGTATGGAAATAGAATACTTCTCTTAGCTCATATTCATCAAAGTAAATTTAATTCTCTTTTACAATTACTGGTACAAAACGTTTTAATTGTTAAAACAAATTGTAAGTTCCTTCAATAGACCTATTAATAGCTACGTTTAACTGGAAATGGTTAAAAAGTCTTCTATTTTAAAACGGTTACAGAAGAATTGATAAATATCTTTATTATTATAATAAGCAGATACTGCAAGGATTTCTGCAGTATATTGTCCATTATATGAATAAATATTATATGTAATCTCTGTAATATATAGGTGAAACTTAAAGGAAGTTCAAACTATTGAGTTTTATTACGCCAATTCAATAATAAAAGGAATAAAAAGAAATCTAATTTAGATTAATGACTAAAAGTTTGTCAAGTATCAACATCCATCTTATGAACTTGAATAGCTGGGTACTTTGAATTTTTGATTTTTAATAAAACTTTAGTGTTAAGTACGTTTAGATTGAAAATCAATAAGTAAATATTGGGAGAAACTCAAATAAATATTTGAGGATAATATTGATTACTCAGCCAATCGTACAAACTTTTAAAATATCCAATTCTTAGATGTATAAGTCATTTTTTCCCCCTATTTAAACTCTGATTCATATTGCTTTTCTGCTGTTGTCATAGAGAAGAGAGAGAGAGAGAGAGATAGAGGTATAAACTCTTTCAAGCATTTTAATAAATATTACTTTATCGACGAGATAATACTGTGAAAAAAGAATAGCTTAATTATAAACAGGCCTAGGAATTAATTAATATTAAAAAGGAATAATTAATTAACGTAATAGAAAAAATTGTTTATTGAATGACATTAACAGTGATTAGAGTAGAAAGAAAAGGAATATATTAATAAGTTAAATATTTAAACAATGTTATGACAGTTTTCTTTTTCAGTCATAGGCGACAATAGATGTTAGATATAACCGAGTAGAGAATCTTCTATTGTTCCGTTAAAGTATACCCCTTAAACACAATACTAAACAGTAATCATATAGGAGAACTCCAACTTTAGGGAACAACTTCAAAATTGATGACTTCCGCTTTAGAATTATAGCATAGAAAGAGTATTATTTACCTTTTGAAGGAATACATCCGATGTTTCGTATCCATCATAATAGTTTCTACTTTCCTATATAATAACAGGATTAGAAGTCACATATATTAAATCTATCTATCTTCTAATACGAATACTACTAGATTTTTGTAAGATTATTTAAATATAATAAATGTCTATGTGGCAAGCCAAAGTCTTAATCTATTCATAATTGATAGTAAATTTTCATATTCATTGCATACATTTAAACCATTTCCTTTTAATATATAGAGAATAAATTATTCAATATACTTAAATAAAACTTGAATTTATTCATATAAAAGATAAAAAACCTATTCTTTTACCTATTGGACAATCGTGTAGGAAAGAGAGTCGAGTATGCATACATTCAATACAAGAATCAATTGATTCGTAGAATTCTGTTCTTTAAAAAGAATAAGAAAACAGATTAATAAATAAAATATGAATAAATTAATACAGCTTTACTACATTTCGGAATCTGTGAGAGTTAATTGTCCATTCAATTCAATAGTTTAAATATTCAATATTTTTCCAGATATTTGATATGCTTGGAAATATTTATTTAATGGCTATAGTGTATTTTTTTGAGTGAAAATATCCTATCTTCTTTCTTTGATTATCCTTAGGAGAATATCGAAAAATCCTTTGCAATTGGCTTGTTGAGAGTCTTTTACCTGTTTTCTTTTGATGTATAATCTTTGTTTATAGACAGTATATATGTATTTATTTTTACTAAGGAAGACCTTGATATCAACTATTTACCTTAAAGATTTAATTATATTAGGTGAGAAATTATCTTCTGAACCGTCATTCGGTTCTACTTCGCCTTTTAAGGTACAGGGCTAGATTCCTTCATCAAACAAAACTAAAAAGCTAATTAATTACATAGATATATGTATTTAAATAGTGTATTTGAAAAATTTGTAAAAAATCCCAGTAACAAAATAATAACATACTCTTTTTACAGTATATTACAGTTTTTAGATGTCTCCACCTCCTTTGGATGCTGTACATTTCCTAAAACAATTGCTGGCGGTTCTTGAATAGTTCCATGAAAATATATTCTAACACTTGAAATTAATGTAACATATTTAGTTGGAGGAAAAATTGGTATTATTTCGAAATTGATCACTTTTGCATTAGAATTATAGTTGATAAATGGTAATATTTCCCTTTTATACAATAAATCAAAAGTTTCATATTCATCCGAGTTTGTTGGTTTATTGACAGTAATAGCTGGAGTAAAATTTCTCCATGTCAAATTAATAGGCTTATAAGTACAAGAACCAGGTTCACTTGCGTAGAATACACGAATTATTCGAAAATGTGGAGTTAGAGCGTACTTTGATTTTATATATTCACACTTTTGAGATGCACCAGTTTTTAATGCTAAATCATGATTATAAGAAATGAATATGAACAGTTGAAAACCTATTTAAAACGGTTTTTACCTCCTCTATCGTCTACATTAATAGTTTGTATGTTTGTAATTCTTATTCCGGTTTGAGATTTTACCCAATTTCTAACTTTTACCAATACTACTTCATCAGTTTCGTAGTCATTTGAAGAGCAGCATCCTCCCACTTTAGTAATAGACGGGATAAAATCTTTACATCCTAGAGAGAAAGAATACTATTAAAATGAATGTTAAACACTATGTAGGAAGTAAAAACCAACCGATACTTTCCCGGGAAGATTGTCCCTGTTGTAGAAAGTAGACACGTAGAATGGATAGTTTATGTTCAGTACTACTATTATCTTCTTGAAATCCTGTTCTATAGAGATGTTAAATTAATTTTGAAGGAGGTTATCCTTAATTAATACAACCTATCTTCATTATAATGGTGTCCATCTCTTGGAATACTTATATTCTCCATATTAAGAATTTTTCCAGGAAAAAAGCTGTCTTTTAAAGATTCGTTAAAGTTTTGCATTGTTTTATTAAAACTTTCAAATTTTGGTTCAGTACAGCAGCCGCTGGTTATCATTTCAGGTATAGCATTGATATATGATATATGATTTGAGTCCATAGGCTCATTATTCGTTTTAAATCGAACGTATAATCTATTCATTTTATATGAATAAATTAAATAAATTATTAGACATGTTTAGTTTTGAATACCTCAAACAATAAACAATATCTAGATCGTATTTTACGTAACCACTATGAGAAATTTCATTAACGTTGAATTTGGTTGATTGAGAATTTACAGCCGTTCCAATATCAACCTTTGAATCTCTAGTTACTCCAAAAGTTTCGCATTGATCTACAGCATAGTGATCATTTTCTGTTAGCCATTGATTTGCCTTTTTCACAAGTTCTCTGATAATTGAAAGAAAACAAACAATTTTACCTTTAAACAATGAATACACCACATATATATACTGTATATATATATGCTTATAGGTCAGATTAATACCGGAAATCCTCGAATTTTGGTGATGAAAAAATTTTACTACTTTGTGTACAAATAGGTACAAAATCAATATAAAACCTATCCATAGCAATGTTAAATTCTTCACGATTGAAACTAATCCTCGCTGTACTATCCTTAAATAATAAGCCAGAAGTAGTCATCGCCTGATAATCTTTTGATATTAACGTTAATACAGAGAGGTGTTTTGCGTTTTCAAGCGGTTTGTTAGGAAATAAATGAGAGAAGGGGGAAGGGCTGTTGTGCGAAGGATTTATTTAATTATAACAAAGAGAAAATATGGCCAAAGATTTGACATGAATTGTCAAGCTCTATACCACGTATTGTACACAATTTACTGATTAAAAGGAAGGTTTAATGCTTTTTTCTAAATTATTAATACTATATACAGAGAGATATTGTGGCTTTTCAATAACATTTTTAAATAAGTGCCGTTAATCTCAATAGAAAAATCACTTTTACTAAATTGTCAATTAACACATTACAAACAGTAATGGTCTAATAGAGAGGGTAAAATAATAGTCTTTCTCTTATATTCACTATCAAGGCTCTTCATAGGGGTAAGATTTATGAATATATCAAATAAGATATTTTGCAGAAAGCGTCCTTGTAAAACTCTTTAAAAAAATATTATTTCCACTGACCTTGTGAATATTCATGTTATTCAATATGACTTTTTGGGGAAATTATACGTCATCTATTTTCGTTTGTCATTTTTTCTCTGAAAATTCCAATTAGGCATAAATTGATATAAGTTTCTTATTTAAAGATTTATGGTTCTATGAATTCTTATAAAAGTAATAGTATAAACATTTTGTCATGATAAAGAGAGTATCATTTGTTACTACGCTGTTCATATCTTTTAAACCTTAGATTTTATGTCTGCTTATGATAGTAAAATATCCTTAAACATTCTTTATTAATCCACATATTTTATTCTCTTATTCTGAATATAAACTGTTCTTAAGGAATTAATGGATTCACCACCATCGTATATTGAAGCTATTTCCGCTTATTTTAAGTGTAGATTCGTTGATTTCGCACCTATATGCATAAAAGGTAAAGATCTATTTTCGCCACCAAAATATGAACCATTTAGGTTTGTAACTTTTTAACTGTTTATAAATAGTTTTTAAAATTGCCCTTTATCGTAAATTATAGCTAATTAATAGGAAAAGCTAATCAATGGTTAAGTGAACTTCTTCGTTGAAGGATGTGAAACTATTGTAGTAAAACGAAAACCAAAAGAGAATTGCTACAGTTGTCATTATTAAACGTTTAAGATAGTTTTGATTAAATTATTTTTCGATTAAAAACGAGTTAAGAATCAGACGAACCACATCAAATTGGATATTTAAGCATAATACCACAGCTTATCTCTTCTAAAGGACTGTTTAGTATTGCAAAATACGATAGTTATGATAAAGCTCTAAATGATTTTCACAACATAATCCTGAATAAAAATCCAACACCTGGAAAGATTCTTAATATTGAAGTTGTTGCTATAAATAAAAGTACCAATGATGTAGAAGACGCTGATGGGTAGATTAAATTCAACTAGTTTATAATAATATAGTTTAAATATAAATTGCACTTAACAGAAGCCTTCTTGCAGAAGATGCTAAGCCTAACGGATTTGTATCAACAATTTTTAGACTGTTTTATTTAAATGGACCTCGTTTATATGAGAAAATTGGTCTTTTCAATCAATTTCGTCCTTTTATTATTCTAGTAAACAAAGCGTTATCCCATTTACTTAGGATCGGCAGATTTTCGTCCTGCAGTCATTACTCGGGGTGGAATTTTTTCGAAGCATAAATTTTAAACATTATCCGACACAATACGAAAACCAAATGGATGGATTTCTTCTCAGAGAACACTTCGAGTAACCAATTTACAAACACTCAATATTGATTATAGTAAAGGTTATAAACAAACCATAATATTTTAAAATTTATATATTTATTTATTCTTCAATCATCTATACAGCATTGAAGTCAAACATCACCGATAGAATTGATTATACGCTATCTAAACATTCTTTAGGATATTTTTTCAATGTTATTAGGGTATTCTATGTTACTGGACAAGATAGTCGAGTTGATTATCCCATTAATGTATCGTGTAGAGTGTTTCTGCCTGCGGTATTGGTTACAAAACTGCTTAATCGTCATGTTTTTGAAACATATGATGAATTGTATTCAAGAGAAATCTTGCCATTCATAACATATAATTCACATGCTAAAGTTATTAATTATGAAATTGTTCCTGCATATCCACAAGACGATCCACAAATTATGTCTCATACGAGAATAGACAAAGGCGCAGTTCTGATAGTTGCAAGCGTGAGAGTGTATTTTAATGAAAATATAAGAGAACCGCCTATCGGCGTTATCCAACCTAAACCAATTCCTATTCGCGAAGATGCTGGCCGTTACTCTATGTCCTAGATATTCCAGTTTGTGCAAGGCCTATAGAACTTAAGAAACAAGCTTTTCTATTTGATTAAAGGGGTATGCAGGAAAGAGATTGTTGAAAGTATTAATTAAGGAAATAGTTGTATCGAAATAAGGCTGAAGAAATGTTCAGAGATATCCTAGAGCACGATGAGGCCTTAATGTGACGCTTTAAGGAGAGAAATCAGAATCAAAGAAGAGATTTATAATTTTTTAGTAGAGATTTCTTACTTCAATCTCTTCCCTTTGTTTAAATGTTACAGATTAATAGAAAAACTGTAAATTAGCATTAAGCGACTGTTCTTTTGTATTATTCTTTTTTGTAAACTACTATCTTGTAACTGTCTTTTACGTTATCTGTCATAATTTATGACATTTACACTTAAGTTAATATTAAGATAAAATATCCTTTATCTCCTTTGATCTATTACAATTGATCAATAAGCGTTAATCTTATTTTTGATGTTTCTTCAAAAAGACAATAGAAGAGTCAAGTACTCTTATTGCAGACTCTCATAGTCTAAATGTAATATGTTCACTTCTCCACCAACTATATCATACCATAGGTTTTTCCTATTATTTCTTATTCAGAATTTTCTCTAAATGTTATTTAATAGGACTAATAATAGAGATAAGTTAGCTTTATAGTTGCAAACAAATAGAGCAGAAGATGCATTTAATTAAATCATATTGTATTAATTGAATACATTCATAAAGAGTTTACAAACAAAATGAAGATGAAAAGAAAAGGATAAAGAATTAATTATGTAATTACGCATGTTTTAGATACTGTAGATTTTGGTAATGCTGGCTTAGGGGATGGTGACGTTGTTGGCAGAGTTTGTAATGGAGTTGATGGTGGTGGAGCTTGTGATGGGGTAGTTGATAGCGGTGGAGGTGATGGTGAGGGAGTTGGTGGTAGGGGAGTTGGTGGTAGGGGAGTTGGTATTTCATAATAGCCAATTGGAGGTTCTTGAATTCGACCGTCAAAATATATTCTAACGTATTTCACTAATGTTAAACTTTTCCTATTTTTAGAAGACATGGTTTCACCATCTTCAGAAGAAGATATGTAGATTGGTACCATTTCTATATTTATTATACCAACGGCCAAATTATAGCGAATAAATGGTAAAATTTCTCTGTTATACAACGTTTCAAAACGTTCGTATTCATCCATATCCAATGATTTTTTTACACAGCAAGGTATGAACACTCTATAAGTCAGAGATATTGGCGTTTCAAGAGGCGTCGTTAGAGTAGTATAATAGACTCTAATTACTTGAACATAAAAAAGTGTACAATATTTTGATTGGATATTTTGCGTATTATCATTTATATCAGTACTTCCAACTGCCGATTATTTTAAAGAGATTGTTAATATATTTCTGAATTTATAATATATATTTGATAAACTATTACCTTTATCATATTCAACGAAAAGCGTTTGTACGTTTATCACACGTATATTCAATTGCGAACTAACCCATTTCGATACTTTTTCCATAGTTTGTGAAAAGTTCTCGTAAATGTGATTTCCAAATAAAAAATCATTTTTAATTCGTTTCGGTACAAAATCTTTACATCCTGAAATATTTATCTATATAAATATCTTTAAACAGTTTTATCTTTTCACTCTCTTACCAATTTGCTCTTTTGGACATTCAACATTTTCGTAAAATATCCTTATAAAGCTATTCTTTGGACGAAATTTACTTTTTTCACTTTCCTCAAATGCTACGCTATTGAAAATTGAAAGAAATAACAAAGAATTTCTATTAGATTATAAACGCTCAAAAATATTAATATATATATTTACCCATCATAGTTTGTATCGATAGTATCTATGTAGGCAACTTGGGTTTCCATATTTAGAATTTTTCCTGGAATCAGTTCACTTTTCGAAGTTGTATTAAATCGTTTTATAGCTTCAGTTATATTCTCCGGTGTTTTGTTCGACCATAATAAAGATAGCTTTAACTTTGGAACTAAGTTATAATATCCTATTTGACTTGGTATTTCCGATTCATTTTCATCCTTGAATCGATAGTAGATGCGTAAACAATTAACTATTTTACAGGTTGGATACTTCTTTTTATCTTCGTCACCTTGAACGAGAAGTTTACAGTAGTCTGGATTAACTGTTGTTCCAATATTGTATGATGCATTTGGCAGAGTTGCTCCAATACTTTCGCAACCCGTTACCCTATACATGTTTTCAGTACGTAACCATGCGTTAGCATCATCTACCAAATCACTAAAAAAACAAAAGTATATTGCTTGAAAAACAATGAAACGATTGTTAATTTTAATATTAAAACCTAAGTGATTGGTATATAGTTGCGGAGAAATCATTTGAGTCTTTTATACATTTAGGAATGAAATCCTTATATAAACATCTGAATATGTTTACTACAGCAGATCTTGCCATCATATCGACAAGGATTTCTGCATTGTCTCCAGGCATGTCAGACATAATCTCTTTGAAAATACAATGTCAAAGAAACGAACGGAGAGCGAAGTATATATATATATATGTTTAATATATTACTTGACTAAAAAGAAAGATAGCTTATCGATATCTATCGTGTTAATGTTATCTAAAAAGATATTCTGTACAGCAAACACCATCTTATATTGTTTTATAGTTTGTTATATTTATTCAATCTAAATACTCTCTATATATAGAGAAAACCGAAAGTAGAAAACAACTTTTATATGCAGGTAGCTTCACTTTGTTGAATTAAGTATTAAATCTGATACACGACCAGAAATATTAGCATACAAAAATGTTCTTATGGGAATATCTGAATCATACAATGCTTAGGGGAATTTAGGTGGCGCAAATGATTTCATATATAAATAATTTCGTCATATTCAATATATTTAAACATTTGCACTTATACAATATACAGCATAATACTCGTACAGGACAATAAGATAGCATAATGTATAGTTTTGCATCGTTTAACGAAGTAACTACTACCAATGATAAAAACATTACATATGTTGATTTTGTACCCTCTTGTACAAAAAAATCTGGCATCGTTTCAAAGTCCAAGTTTCAACCATTTAGGTTTGCTATATGCTTTTCTTTATTATCAATAATTATTAATTTCTCTTTTACTATTCTAATATAGCGAATTGATGAATAAGGCTAATAAATGGTTAAATGAACATCCTAATTTCGCTGTTAAAGGGTGTGAAACAATTGGAAGTAGTGTAAGTTCAGAACAAGCTGTAGGAGAATGTACCGACACCCAGAAAACAAACTATCATATAAAAATAACAACACGAACTCACAGTCAAGGTAATACGACCACACATACTTACATTTTCAACATCTGGATTCTGAAATGTTTAAGGTATTTTATCAGTTTGTTTTATAGAAGTAAAACTGTTGAGTTATTAAGGATTTCTTTTACATATAGGCTACATATTCAACCGAAAGGAAGTGACGAATCACCCGAACCTCATCAGATAGGATCTTTACATATTATACCAGATCTTATCTCTGAAAGTGGAATTCTTAGTAAAGCAAAATATAGCGCATATAGTGATACACTGAAAAAAGCCAATGAATATGTGAATAGAAACCCCATACCTGGAAAAATTCTTAATATTGAGGCTGTTGCCATTAAAAGAAAAAATAATAAGATAAAGGATGACGGGTAAATGTATTACTAGTATAGTTTCTAAAGTCTATACTTATATTCTACTTTACAGGAGTTTACTTTTCGAAAGTACTGAAGATAATGGGAACTTGACCACAATGTTTAGAATATTCTATTTAATTGGACGTCCATTATACGAGAAAATAGGTTTGTTTTTTTTTTTAACATAGAACCTCTCTAAGCTGATTAAAAAAAGTGCTTTGTTTCGAAATGATGAATTTACATTAAAAAACTAGTATATCCTATTATTCTCTTCCGAAAGGTTCACAAGATTTTTTTCCTGAAATAATTAAAAAAAAAGGATTGTTTTCAAAGAATAAATTTGGAACATTTTCCCCAACATTTGAAAATGTAAATAGATGGGCTTCATGTCAGACTTCAATCCGAATCACAAACGTACAAACTCTAAATATTTCCTCTGATAAAGGTACCAAACAATTATGTTATACTCTGAAATGTATGAACTACTATATAATCTATCGTTTTTAGCATTAAAGCCAAATATCAGTGAAAGAATTGATTATATAGTACCTAGACATACGATACGGGACTACTTCAACATCATGAGAGTATTTTATGTTACTGGACCAGATATTAGAATTGATTATTCTATTGGTATATCGTGTAAGGCATTTCAACCTGCTCTATTGATGTGGAAATCTTCTGTAAAGAATACTTTTGAAACATTCAAAGAATTTTATGTTAGAGAAATTGTACCATTCATATCATACAACTCACATGCTCAAATCATCAATTTTGAAATTGTTGCTAAACCTATGAATGAAGATCAAGAGTTGATGAGCCCTAAACGAGTACCACCAAAAATTTTAACAGCAGAAGTAAGAGTATACTTTATCGGACCTGTAAGCGATCCTCCACCAGGATATATACAGCCTAAACCAGTTCCAGTTATCAAAAAACAAAGTTGCAGTATTTTATAGAAAGAGTGCATTTTAAAAATTTTACTGTTGTTCTAATTTATACCTTCAACGAAAAGTGTGTCACTGGTTGAATGATGCATAATACTTTAATATGTTGTTTTTTAATACATCGTATAGAGATATCGTCACTATATCATTCCATTTTTGTCTAATTTCATTTATTTTATAATTTTCATTATTCTATGCATTCGATGGGAAACTTCATGGAATAAATTACTCATTTCCGCCAGATGACGCTAACATAGACATATAAACAGTATACAATATATAAACCAGCTGAAATATAGCCTTATCGTCCGTGTTTTAGTCATACTTGTAAATATATTTTTGGTCTACAAAAATTCAATACTTAACAATGCTACATATTATTCTTCTTATTCGCAATATCATCCGATAATTACTAAATTGCGCATAAATCGAAAAATCTTCCTTGAAACTATGGATGCTCCCCCGTCATACAACAAAGCTACTGCAAACGATATTAATTTTGAGTTCTGCAACAATGATCAAAACGTCACATACGTAGATTTCGCACCAACATGCACCAAACCAAGTGGTATATTTTCATCGGCCGAATATCAACCATTCAGGTTTGTCACTTTATTTACCGATGACTATTAATCTATCTTAATCTATCTTCTGCTATTTTATACAGCGAATTAACAATTGCAGCTAATAAATGGTTAAACGAGCATTGTAATTTCTTTGTTGAAGGATGTGAAACAATTGGAGCAACTCCACTTCAAACTAGAAACATCGGAGAGGTTAATACACAAGAAACAAGATATCATATACAAATTAGAAGACGTCAGGGAGGCAGCAAACAGAACAATTCCAGAATCGCAGCCATTAACGTTATTAAATGTTTGAGGTACTTTTAATTCGTAGTATATTATAATGAGAATATTTTCATAATTAAAGATTCATTTTGAAATATATAGATTATACGTTCGACCTAAAGGAAGCAATGAATCACCTGAACCTCATCAAATTGGATATTTAAATATTTCACCTCAACTGATCTCTCCTACTGGAATTTTTAGATTGGCAAAATACGATTCCTATGACAATACTCTAAAAGAGTTTAACCTATTTTTGGATAAAAATCCCATACCCGGAAAAATCCTTAATATTGAAGCTGTTACTATATTTAGAGATGATAATAATATAGCTGCTGATGGGTAAGTTAAGTAGTAATATGAATTAATGACTATTACAACGTGTATTGTATTCAATTTTTAGGAGTCTTCTTACAGAGACAAGCCATTATTACACCAGTTTATCAACAATGCTTAGAGTATTCTATTTGAGTGGGCCTCCATCATACGAAAAAATCGGTTTGTCTTAGCTCATTCATACATATAGTTTCAATTCTAAACGTTAAGATTAATTCAAATTCATTAAATAATTATTTATAAATAAATTATTAATTAATAGAAACAAACAATTATTATCTAATTATACTTTCGTCCATTGTTAAGAATTTTTAGGCTTTCAACATCTCTATTTATGGTTTATATAAGTAACATCTTCTATTTGATAGGATCAGCGGATTTTCAACCATCAATAGTTAAACCTGGAGGACTTTTATCAAGACATCAATTTGAAACGTTATCTGAAACAATGTGTAAAGTAAATACTTGGCTCTCCTCCCAGATGGAAATTAGAGTAACAAACATACAAACACTTAAAATTAACTATCATAAAGGTAATAAAGACTTTTAATAATATTATTTTATTAATATCTATTTTCGGATAGAGAGATTTGTTTACTTTATCATTTTTTTCTTTCAGCATTAAAGCCAACCATCACTGAAAGAATCGATTATGTTCTTTCCAGACATTCTTTACAGCAATTTTTCAATATCGTAAGAGTGTTCTATACTACTGCACCAAATAGTGGAATTTGCAGGCCTATAAATCTGTCGTGTAAAATATTTATACCTGCTGTTTTGGTGACGAAGATGATTGGTCTTGATGTCTATGAAACCCTTGACAATCTGTATTCAAGAGAAATCTTACCGTTCATAAGATATAATTCACACGCTAAACCTATCAATATTGAAACTCTTCCTCTAAATCCGCAAGAAAATCCGGAAGCAATGTGCAGTTCAAGATCAGTTGAACACGCACCTTTGATGATAGCAACTGTTAGAATATACTTCGATGGAGTTATAAATGAACCTCCAAGTAATGTTATGCAACCTAGACCGATTCCTGTCCACGAAGGCATCAGTTGCTGCTCTATTCTATAGATATTAGTGTTAAAGTTGTATTAACGCAATCTGTAGCTGAATATATATTGCTAGTTAGAAAACTGCATAAGTTTTGTGAACATTAGCTGTGAAATGACAGAAATGTCAAATTGCCTATGCAAAAGTTTTATTGTGGCTTTCCTTAATTATAAGGGTTACTTCAAAGAGTTATGTATATATACAGTATATATAAATTTTATATATCTATTTTTACATATATACCTTTTTATTATGATATTGAAATACAGAATTAATGAATTCATAAAACTTCTATGGCTCTAGCTAATAAGAGCCATCTGTTGGTTTAGAAATTTCTTTTAAAGTTCCTGTAAGAATACTATTGACAGATGGTATATAATATATACTGCAAATAGTATACTTCTGGTCTAAACTATATGCCAGAATGAGAAGAAATAGATAAACTACTTATTATACTGGAATAAAAAGAATAATATAAATATTCATAAGGTCGATGAAAGGAGTATTTAAAGAGAATGAATGGTTGCTATTTTTCTGATCTTTGAAAAGTTTGTTATAAAATTTCTAAGAAAGCTCACAAACCTCTGGAGAGTATGTTTTTGTAAAAAAAGAAACATACAGCATCTGTATAAAGATGTAACCTATATATTGGTATATATATATATATACTCCCTAACTATAGTAGGTTTAGCCGATAAACTAAAGTAGGTTATTGGATTATTCTATTTTATCTTTTTCGACCCTTAAATCGATTTTCTCCCCAATACATAATCCATTAATATATGATATTTATAGAGAAGAAGACAAACAAGTTTTCTTTAGAGATTACGTAGCTAAGATAAATAGAAGAGTTAATATAAAAATATCAAAAGTTGACTGAGGTTTTTATTACTTATCTATCCATATGTGTTTTACGGTTTGCCTGTGGATTATTAGATAGGTAAGTACAATAAGCAACAAAGACGAGTATACATTTATATAATATAATAATGTATTATAAATATATACAAAAACATTTATTAAATTGCATCTTATTTGCTTTTATCTTTCCCTTTTTGTTGTTCTCTTCTTCCTTCCTCTTCTTCTTTTTCTATTATCAGAATAAAGTCATAGAATGACACAATTTTTACAAAGACTTGCAGGACTGGCAGGAGGTTCTATAAATCCTTTTGGTGGTTCTTCAATAGGACCATCAAAGTAAACCCTTATACATAATACATACACGTGCTGTAAATTTGTTAATGAGACCATTTGTTCAGTTTTTATCTTGTAAAAATAAGGTACTACTTCGTAGTTTATCACTTTAGACGGAGAATTAAATCTAATGAAAGGTGCAATTTCTCTATTAAAAAATAGATTCGTTGGTTCGTAATACGAACAGCCATTTCTCTTTTTTAATAAAACTGGAGGGACGAATGTCTTATACGTTAAATTAAAAGGTCTTTCAATAGATCCTTCTTGCCTTGTAACGTAGTAAACCCGAATTATCCTAAAATAATAACCCAAAGAGTATTTTGATCTTAAATAATCAATTCTTTCAGTGATATTAGATTTTTGAGCTAAATTTAAAAGGAAATAAATAAGAAAACAGCTCATTAATCGGATTATTAATACTATATATTGAAGATACTGTTACCTTTTTTATGACAGACGTTTATCGTTTGAATATTGGTAACTCTTAGAGAATTTTCCCAATACATCCAATCTTGAACTCTTGCCATTGTTGAAGATAAATTCTCGAATTTACAAAATCGAGATTCTTTGTCAATCTCTAGTATTCTTGGTATGAAATCTTTGGAACCTTTATTATAAATGTTTATAAATTTATTCAAATTTATTCATAAATATAATTGATAACTAACCTATAGTTTCGTGTAATGAATATCCATGGAGATAAAAAACTCGAAAGAACATTGTACTCAATTTAGGCTTTTCAGAATTTTCACTTAATTTAGATCTATGTTTTTGTTCGTTAATTGGTTAATTAATATGAATAAAAATAAGGTTACAATTTTTGCTTACTCATCAGTATTTTCCGAATTTTCTACTCTATTTGAGGCAACTGTTTCTATACTTAGGATTTTTCCACCTATTGGATGGTCTTTGAGGAATTCATTGAATTTTTTTAGAGAACTGTCATAACTTTCAAATTTTGGACCAGAAAAGATATTATGAAGACTAATGATTTTGGGAATAAAGTCTATATAACCAATTTGATGAGGCTCTGGAGGGTCTTCTTTAGACTTCAATTGTACATATAATCTATAAAATTTAGGCATATACAGTATATGTACACACAGACGAATGTAAATAAACAAATATCCATAAGCCTATATCTTTATATAGAACTATATATTAAATATAATAAATACAGTTTGTTATACCGTAAACACTTGACGATATTTAATTCGTAGTATTCTCTATGCGGGCATTGAAAAGGATCTGTTACGTGATAGGCCATCATTGTTGTTAATTTTGAATTTAATTCTAATCCACAATTATCTTTATCATTTTTTACAACTGCAATAGTTTCGCAACCAACAACCGCAAGATCGCTATTAATTCTTAACCAATGATTCGCTTTTCTAATAAGTTCACTTTAATAAAGTTATATTGGAAAAAAAAAAATTATTATCCGATTAAGTTTCTTTAATTAATAGTTTTCTAAATTACTTACTTGAATCTTTCAAATTTTGCAGATTTAAATTTCCTTGCACTATACGTACAAGCTGGAATAAGGTCGACGTAAGAGATAAAAGGATTTGGACCATCTGGCTGATTATTACGAGCATTTCTATTGACATTCTGTCCAACTGCAACGTCATAACTGGGTGGTTCATCTTCCATGTCCAAATCGTTTCTGAGAAAAGTCGTAATTTGAATTTCAATATGGCGGCAGACGTAGGAGGTATAAAAAAATCAATTCTGTTTGGTCCTAAATGTTACAGTAAATACCCTACGCGAAAAAATTAGGCCTATTCACTAGTTTGTAAAACATTGCGTACAGTAACTTTATATAAAGATATCAAAGAAACGATTGAAAGGATTTGATATTTGATAGTAAATACATGTATTAAATGTTCAAATAATTAACAGGAATGTTAAACAGAAGAGAATTATCGAATAAATGAAGAAGAAGACTTTTAATCTGCAATATCATCTTCTCAAGAGCATTGCGAAATCATTTGCATAAAAGAAACACATATGCTCCTGAAATCAATTAATATAAAAAGAAACACATGCTCCTAGAATCAGATGTAGGCTAAGTGCAGTTGTTGAGAAGTTTTAAAGTTCAATCAACGTCGACTTAGGGATAATCAGGATCTGGTGTTGGTATACAAATTGCCTGGCTCATTAGGTTCAATGACCTACTTTATAGGTAAAAAAATAAGAAACATTTCTTTTTCCTATATAACTTAAAGTTTAAATTACAAGCAAGCAAACTTTTTGAACAGTTTAATCAATTATTTATTATACTCTTATTCTCTTGTTACACATCCGTTTTCAAGCGAAAACATATTGCATATATGGATTTTATTTTCACTTATCTTCGTATAGAACGGCGTCTATTGGCATATCATTATCAGTTGTTGGTATATCATCAAATATCTGTTCTTTAAACGCTAAGGCAATTGTTATTGGTCTTTTTTTAAAAATTGATTCGTAATTCTTTAAATAGTTATCGTAATAGCCTTTTCCTCTTCCGCAACGTTTTCCAGTGGTAGTAAAAGCCAAACCAGGAATAAGAAGCAAATGCAATCCGCCACTATCGATAGCATTGTTACGATTATCGTCAGATTTGGGTTGTTTAATTTTCCAAGAAGTCTCTGGAAGTTTATCATAATCTTCCATTCCGTATAATTCAACCATATCCATATTTGGTCCGTCGTAACGAGGTATAAAGCATTTTTTGTTATTTTTAAATATATTTGATAAAATCACCTCTGTTCTTATCTCATCAGACATACTGAGAAATACGCATATACGTTCGCTATTTTTAAATTCGGCGCGTTCTATTAACTGGTAAAAAATTGTCGTTCAATGAGTATCTGGTCTTATATATCTTAATATAATTTTATAGCTTTTATTTATTACCTTTTTTGTAACGATTTCTGATTGTCTTAACTTTTCGCTTTCCGATAAAGCAAGTATTCTACTCTTAATTTCCTTTCTTAAAGCTTTTTTTGCGGCAAAAGCTAAACTATTCGCAGCCGCCATCTTTTAAATGTAAAATATTACTTTAAAATCTAAAAAACTAAAAATTTTAGTCTCGTAAAAAAATCTATTTACGAGTTTTCATTCTTTTATTAGAACATAAATGTCGAACAATAAAAAAGTTTGCAATATCATTAATATATGTATAGTATTTTCACATAAGAGAACATTCACTTTCTTTATGAGATTTTAGAGTTTTTAAATTTTTTTCCGGAAGTTGCGAAATTGGTCCTCTAAAAAATATCCTAAAGGATATCAAATATTGAATATAATCGGGTGTTAATATACCAAGCATAGAGTCATGCTCTGTCGCTATGGGAATTGTTTCAACGTTTAAAATATCTGTAGAACAGTTGTGTTTGATGAACTTCGTAATTTCATTTTTATATAATTGGTCCGTAGTTTCGTACAAATTTTTTCCAAATGCCTTCTTAACGGTAATTTTAGGTATAAAAGTCTGGCAAGATAAATTTACCGGAAGTTCACATTCCGGAATATAATATACTCGAAGAACACGAACAAAATGTTCCATAGGTACATCACTTTTAAAATGTTGTATATTCTGAGTATTAACCTTCTCTTTACCTGTATAGGTGAAATTTTTGTCATTAATTATCGAATTATTGATATACTTTAATGTTGAAAAATTTTAAATTTACCATCATAAATATCAAAGCTAAAATTTATAGTTTGAATATTTGTTACTTTAATGCCTTTTTGAGATGAAATCCATGATTGAACTCTGTCGACAACGGAAGATAACTTTTCTACTTTGCCAAGAGTCAATGCTCCTGGTTTTCTAATGAGATTTGGGGGAAAATCTATTGATCCTAAAAACATAGACAGATAAAGATAATAACTATAGTATAATATGCAAATACTATGAATATGAAACTATTGTAAATTCAATTTCCGTACCTAGTTCTTCGTGAGCGGGCTCTCCTTGAAGATAGTACAATCTTAATTGAAAGCTGTTCGATCCTCCAAAAGAATGTTCTCTCATCCTACAACTAGTTTATTAAAGGAGAATTAACAAACGTACAAAAGTATTAATATGAAATTTTGTCAACTTACTCTTCAGGATCGAATGATTTTTCTGTTCTATAGAATCCAAGAGATTGAACACATAATATTCTACCCGATATAGGCTGTTGCTTTAAATATTGATTCAAACTTTTTAATGTATCATTCCAAGATGAAAATTCAGGATATGAAAATATTCCAGCTTCTTTTAATATCTCTGGTAGAATATTTAAATATCCAATTTGATCTGGTTCTGCCGAATCCAATGAACACTTTGGCTTTAAATGAACTCTAATAATAATAAGTGAACAGGGAACGTGAAATATTAGTTTTTTTATACGATTTATTCTATATTAATTACCTGAAACATTTTATCACATCTATATAACGATCTTGCAGTTTGGTTATATTTAGGGATGGTGTTGTTCCAGTTTCTAACACAGTTTTCTTACAATTAACTATTCCTTTCTTTTTTTCAGATGGCAAATTTACGCTAAACGTTTCACAACTGACCACTTTTAATTGGCTGTTAACTCTTAGCCAGTCATTACATCTTGATACTAAGGTTCTATTAATAAAAATTTCCTTATAGGATATTGGAGAAAGTTAACAATTGAAACAAACCTAAAAGATTCATATTTAGGCATGCGAAAATAACTACTATCCTGTATACAAGCCGGTTTGAAATCAATATACGTATAACTCATATCTAGTTATGAAATAAATTTTGAAATAGACTTTCAGCCAAAGAGTAATACTCCTTAAATGTTAACTAATTGCATCAAGACGCACTATATATCTATATATATATATATACACTAATTTATTATATATATATATATATATATTTATATTATGCACGTGCTACGTCAAGATATTGTGATTATGAATCAATGGAAACCCTTTTGAGATAGTTGCTTAGAAGCGATAGATTAGAAATAGATAAACGTTATAACTTGTAGTATCTCTTAACTATAAAGCTAATTTAAATAACAATGTTTAGCCATTTATCAGTATATTGGAGAAATCTTACATTGTCTTTCATAAGACTTGCAATTTTAATTTTATCTTACACTACTATATTTTTACTTGTAGCTACAATGTATATTTCTTATCAGATTTGCTCATTCATAGTCTATATTTAGCATTATACTCTGATATCCTCTAGTTAAGCCTAATAGTAAAAATGATATTCAAATCTGGTTAAAAGAAACAAGAGAAACTTATTTCTCTTCTCAAAAGAAGACGCAAATAAACTATAGAAAAAGACATAAAAAATAGTAATAAACTTTCATTTCGTCATTTTTATTTTTGCTGTGGTTGCAAAAAATCAAACTTGAGACCATTATTAATAATTAAACAATCGGATCTGATAAGGTTTGTCCTACTTCAATGACGTATCTTAATAGAAGGAACAAGGAGTACGCAATATGTAACATACACAATATATTAGAAATATATGTAGTATTTTTTAATTATTTATTGTGAAGTTTCCGTTCTCTTCATATAATTAAAAGGAAAAAGAGGCAATGATAACACGAAAAATAAATATAGGAAGTAATAGATAACAATTTCTTTCTTTCTTTTTCTTCTGCAGTCTTTAAATTAAACAAATTACAACTTAATCTTCACGTTTTTTATTGTCTTCTGGAATTCTAATTACTAAAGCTAGAAATAAAAATTATATACAGCATATATATATATATATCTATATATATACTAATATATGCATTTTACACTATATAAATGTTATATTCGATCTTTGAAGAAATTGTAGCTTATTTTTAGATTTTTCATATTTTTTGTAAAATGCGGAGGAAGTTTTGCAATAAAAAATAAATTTTTTCCATCTCTCCATTCTGGTAGAACTATTGTATGAGCGTGTAAATGCATTGCAAGGTGGCGTACTTTCGCCTGACGAATATGTAGTCTTTGCAATGTCTCTGGATACAGTTTTTGTGGGGCAAATCGGTCGGAATGAGAATATTTATGATCCCCTAATACAGGTGTGTTCAAAGCAAATGCCAGATGGCACCGTAGCTGATGTTTGACACCTAATAATTTTAATAAAAAAAGTATTTAGTACAAATTATTATTTAATCTTTGCTAATGCAACTAACCAGTTTTCGGAATAAGTAATACTAAACCAACCGAGCTATTTTGACTTAAAACCCGATATTGGGTTATTGCTTCGGATTTTAAAGGCTTTCTTCCTTGATTCAAAAAACTATTCGTCTCCTCCGAATAGTCGGGTAGTACACCCATCTAAAATAATTATTATGTTATTCAAGTTAATAATAAAGAAATACAAAATTATCTTACCCTATATCTTCCATCAACCATATGCTCTCCGATTGGAATATCTACAATGCCACTCAAAGGATCCGGAACGCCTTTAGTTAATGCTAAATATTTCTTTTTTATTTTTTGTTGCTTGAATAGCAGTTGTAATTTTCCGAGAGTTAATTCATTTCTAAATTAAAAAAAAATAGCCAGCTATTCTTCAAATCTTTGCATACATGACTTATAATCATAAGAGCTTTATATGTAACATATGATTACTTAGCTAAAACCATAACTCCTGTTGTTTCCTTATCAAGTCGGTGTCCAACGTATAACTTTTCGCAGTTTAATACTTCGCATAAACGATTAAGAAATTGTCCAACACTTCGTTTTATTCCAGGACCACCTGACAGAATTTAGACGAATATAAATATCAATCTCTTAATTATAAGAAATCGTAACTTTTTACCATGAGATGCCAAACCGTAAGGCTTATCTATCACTAACAGTTCATCTAGGTTTAAAAAAAGCTAGTAGTGCATAGAAAATGTTAAGAGTGTTTTACCAACCGTCTTCGTATAATATACTGTCTTTCAGAATACTTAGAACAACATCATCTGACATTTTGTGGAACGGTGGTACTTGGTCAGTTAGAATTCTAAAACCTTTTGAGTCAAAACGACCCACTGCACCAGCTTTCTTTTCGCTAGAATAGTTTTCTGAAAACGATACAATCCTTATTTCAATACGAGAAAAACATTTTATTTTAGATCGTACTTTGGCTTAGTTTTTCATCCAATCGAAGTTTCATAGCTAAATCGTACGCTGTCTTTGGAGTTTCAATATTTGCTTTAGGTCGATCCTTAGTCCTTAATCTCTGTCTTGTGTCACTTTCAATGTATATATCCTTATTTTGTTGTTCATCTTCCCTTACGCGGAGAACAAATTCTTCGCTCTTTTCCTGGTCTAAAGATTCTTTAGTCACAGCTCCTTCAAAATATTGTGAATCGAAGACATTTTCAAATTTTTCATTAGCTTGTGTTATGTCTTTCTTTTTTTTCTTAAAAGAATTGCCAAATTCTCTCGTATCATCTACATGCTTCATTCTGGGAAAGTGTTCTTTAATAATAACAATTTCTGGCTTCTCCTTTTCGCTATATTCAACGTTAATTGTCCCTTCGGTTACAAAGTTATCGTTATTAGGTGTATATTCCTCACCAACAGAGGATACACCCTCGAAATATTCTGCATCAAAGAAATTCGTTTCTTCCTTTTTTGGCTTTCCTTGATTACTAGATTTTTCTTTTGGCTCCGATTTTTCAAGCTTAAAAGATGACTGCAGTTTCTCTGCATTCTCTATAACTTCACTTGAAAAATATTGCTCATCAAAAGTATTTGATTTGTTTTCTTTTTCAGCACCTAGACTCTGAATTGTTCCAATATTCGTTGCTTTCTGATCATTCATTGAGTCTAATCTAACTGTTCCAAATTTCATTTCAAAAACTTCTTCGTATTTTTTCTTTTTTTTAGAGTCTTGTTTTCTTAAGAATTGTCTGACAGGTATCCGATTTAATGGTTTATCCGAATTTTCATTTTCATTAGTGAAGTTCAATTTCCAATCTTCAACTTCTGTTGAAAAGTCATTCTCTGACAAAGTCTGACGACTGCTGCTTGCAACAGTATTAGACTGATGTAAATGCTTTTCCCGAAGCCTTCTTCTCAAATCATCAACTGTAGAATTAACTTTGTTATCATGTTCATTATTTGAGGACGTTGCACATGTCCGGACGATAATGCAATTTTTTTTATATTTACTACTTAAACGAACAGTTAGAGAATTAAACTGTAAAATTTGGGATTTATGTAAATTTTGAACACAGTCTATCAAGTTTCTCCTTGTGATCATTGCTAACTACGAACTAACAAAGATAAACTCGTACACTTAAAAAGTAAACGAATCTAAGAGCAAAACACTAGTACCAGTTTTCTTACGTAAATCCCGTCAGGGAAATTTTAAGCTTAATGAGGATTGTGATTGGCTAAAGATTTTCCCCACAAGAGGGGTATAGTGTCTCCATAGTTCATTTAATAAAAAATATAACAATCGTATCAGCTTATACCACTACACCAAATTATAGCCAAATTCTTCTTGGCGATTTTCGTATGAATCGTATATTGGTGAGACTTCCTTATATTATTTATCCATGGTGCATTGGTGCTTGGGTGTGCTGTAGGTGAGCTCTATTGTTCATGCTCCCTGACCCCATCTGTAAGTCAACACTTTTAAAAGTACATATAAAGGATTAATAGTAATTTATTTTTAATTTGACATAAGTTTTTTATTCGATAACTTGAATTATAATAAAAGAGAGTTAAATAGCTGTAAAAAAATTCTGATCGATAATTGGGTATTTAAGTGACAGTAATAATTTATTCAATTTTGATCGTCGCATTTATGTACTGTAGGAGACATTTAGATAGATCAAAACTCTGATTTTGATTTTTCTTTTTTACAGCTATATATATATATATATACATACATATATATATAAATATATATATATATGTTTATTAGAATAACATAATGTGTTAACAAAAACATGAACGATGAAATTAGAACTAACCCCATCAAGATTACCTTTGATAAAGGAAAAAAGAATAGGAGACAGCTAAATTCTAACAATTCTAATGATAACGAAACACTGCCTAACGATTGTTCACCAGTCGCTTCTGTTTCTAACTCCAACCCAGCTTTACACGTTTCCAACAATTTGGGTCAGAATTGCAATCAGATATCATTTAGTTCTCCAACTTTCCCTATGTCTAACTATTCTGCTGCTGCTACTGCTCCACCTCCACCTCCTGCATCAACCGAACAATCGGCGGACGTAAACAATCCTAATTACCAAGCTAACAATCAATGCAACTATTCGTTATTGTGTCAAATGAATTCTCTATTTCGGCCTCAAAATATGATGCCATACGGACAATATACTTGGAATTCAACTGTAGGAAATACTCTAGGATCTGGTGATTGTCAAACAAATAATTTTTTTCCAACACCATACCAAGCGTCAAACCTTAAATTCTCTAATATGTATTTCAAAAAAAATTTTCACGGCAACTCTAATTTTGGGTCAGGTATTAATCAAACAAAGAATTTTAAAGGAACCATGGACGAAAAGCTCGATAAAGATAATAGTCGTAATTCACGTAATAACCGTAATAGAAATACAAATAAATTAGATAGGAATCAGGAAAGAGAACAAGATAGAAGACGTGGCGGGAGGGGTGGAAAGCATGATAATTATAATTCGCAACAATGGCGTAGAGGGTGAGTGATCTGCAGACAATATATATTTATATATTTATATAATCATTTATTTATTAGACTATTACCTCATCCAAATGCCGGAGCGCAAGGATCTCAACAGTCTTTTAAGTCAGGAGATAAACAGTCGAGATATAGGAAGTAAATAAACATTTACATGACCTTTTCTTGATACATTTACACAAATCACTTTTTATCCTTGCTATAGTCGGAAGAGAAAGAATGTTGCCGATCTGTGCGAAGACTTCGATATGGCCAGAGAAGAGGCGATTAAAGAGTGAGTATACTATTATAAATATTTATTACTATTATTACTATTCAATTAATTAATTACCTTGTATTAAAACAGGGAAAGAGAGAAAAGGCAAGCTGTTCAACGAAGACGAGAAATGCGTAGGAGAAATCCTGATGATTATTGGCCAAACAAAAAGCGCTACAAAAGTAGGTCTCCGTCCCCTGAATTACCTCCTGTGCCTAAATGGATCCGTAGTAGTCCTGCTACATTATATTTCGAGGCTAAAGATGTGCGTACAAACATATTGGTTTATTATTTGTTTTATATTATTCTAAACTGTTTGAAAAATTTACAGGGAAAAACATTCTCAACGGAAAGAATGCAACAACTGGAATCTAAATTCCAAAATGATGTTATATCACGATCTGATAGCGTTCCATGTGAAATTGAAAAAGAAAAAGTTCAAAAGCAAGATGATCTTCTACCAAAAATGCATTTCCATTCCCATAAAGGCTGTTGTAGTCAAGATAATGGAGATGACTTGTCTCATTCCGATTCTTCGGAGGAAAGTGATAAAGGAGATGGTGATGAACCGGAATATTTAAAGGAAATGATGAGAAAGCAGCAGCATCCTCAAAGACTTCATAAAGAAGCTTGGTATAACGATTCTTTGCAAGTTGGTATACATGGATAATAGATATCAATGTAATAATAATACAATATTATTTTTCTTGCCAGTTAAATACAGGACCCATATGCAAGTGCAGTTTAAACTCTAGAAAACATGGAATTCGACATGATATTTATCCAGGTGAAGAGGTTAGGAAATTATTGATATTTATTTAAATACAATACCTAGATTTTTCCCCTTTACTAATATTTATATTCTCTTTTATAGCCCGTTCCAAAATGTGTTCAAGAAAGTAACTGCTCCGACGTACTATACCATTATAGAATAGCCGTATCTCCTTACAATAATTTTTTGGTAGATTTTTGTATTTTAATAATTAAATAAATTATGTCAATTAATCATTTATTTTGTTATTTTAGACTGGAAATCCAACAGTAATTTTACATGATGATCGTGAATATACATTTGAAGGCTTTTCTATACTTTCTCACAAGAAATTGGCTTCGGTTAGAAGAGAAATGATTCTGTTTATTTGTTTATTAATAATCGATATTTTTTTCTTAGAATATTCCTCCATGTATGTTATCCCGTTATGGATTTTTATATAGAATTCATTTCTTCAAAGAAGAACCATTACAGGTAAACTATTCTAATAATAATTTTAATATATTCTACTAAAATCAACTTTAATATTTTCAAATCAATCAAAAACAGAATTATGATATTCGAACTTTAGATTTATTTTCCAAGTTCTTATTCTTCGATATTCTAGAATTAGTTGATTTGGATTGGCTACGACCAAATGACGATTGTTGTCCTTTATTTCATATTATGCCTCGCTTTACAAGAATGTTACCAGGTTAAAATTTTATACAAATATATACTGCATAGTTATTTCATTAATATTTGTGTTTTATGTTGATATTTCTTTAGAAAATGGTAAAGAAATCTTATCAATGAATGAAGTTCTTAGTTATTTAGTCAAATCAGCTAAACCACTAGTGGACCTTCAAGATTTACCGAGAATCAAAAGATTTACAGATACCGAATGGATGGAATACGTTGATAGAGTCCGCGGCTCTATTGTCACCAATCCTAAAACGAAACCAACGTCTTTACGTATCGATCAATTAGATAGAGTTGATCGTACATCCGATGGATTTCCAATACTAATTCATTTTGGGGCCAGACCAGCCCAGTTGAGTTATATGGGCGATACACAGTAAGTTAACTTTAATGAATTTTAATTCTACAGAGTGATTAAAATTACTCACAATTTGTAAATAGATATCAGCGTCTTTCAAGAGAAGTAATGAAACTAAGACATCTGTATTCAAATAAACCAAAAGTAACTAGAGAAGAAAAGCGTAGCTTGGCAGACAAAGAGGAGAAACTTAAAAATATGAAATTAAAAAGCGAATTAAAGAAAGAAGTCACAATTGAAGTCAGTTCTAAAGGTTTCTATAGAACTGGACTGAATTGCGATGTTTGCCAGCATGCCTTGTTACTTCCCGTTCTTATTACTCATTTAAGATTTCATCAATGTTTAATAAAACTAGAAGAATATATTGGATATTCTTTTAAAGATCGAAGTTTACTTCAGCTGGCAGTTACCCATCCGTCTTACCGTCCACACTACGGAACGAATCCTGATCATGTTAGGAATACTCTTTCAAACTGTGGTATACGTCATACTGAATACGGTGATAAGGAAAATATGTCAAGAAGTAGTCGAAAAAGAGGAATAACGACTCTAATACATATAATGAGTATGATGGGGAAAAAAGAGAAAATAAGTTCCGAAGTTGACCATTATGAACGTCTAGAATTTCTGGGAGATGCCATTATCGAATTTATTACAAGGTAGACCATGTTGCACACATGTAGTATATATACGTTTACTATATTTATATATAAATTATTTCAGTATCCGATTATTCTATATGTTTCCTGAACTGGACGAAGGTGGTCTAGCCATGTACAGATCTGCTTTAGTCTGTAATCAGCATTTAGCCGTTTTGGCAAAGGTTTTTATAAAGAAAATACTTTTAGGTTAATTGAAATTAACAATTTTGTTCCCTATCTCTTTTAGCGTCTGAAATTGGACGATTACATGCTTTATGCTCATGGACCAGATCTATGTCATAGATCTGAACTTCGACATGCCATGGCAAATTCATTTGAGGCATTAATGGGTAAATATTTCATGTTTTGTAAATATATACAGTATATATATTATAATTATATTTCTCTCTAATCTTATTCAGGTGCTATTTTCTTGGACGAGAGTCTCAAAACCGTTGATAGAGTTTTCAGTCAAACTTTATGGGAGTCAGATCCAGAGTTAAGAAAAATTTGGGACTCTGATAGAAAACATCAATTGCAGAATGAATTTCCAAATGGAGATCGACATCTAATAGAAAGTAGTCCAATTCTTCAAAAATTAGTCGAATTTGAAAATTCTACTTGTATTAAGTTTGGTCATATGAGACTCTTGGCAAAGGCATTAACGCTGAAAAGTGTGTCATATAACTGGTTAACAAGGTACTAATAGTATTCTTTACATATTCTTTACTGAATCGATTAATTAAATAATGTCTTATTTTTCCCGTTTTAAGGGGTCATAATCAAAGGCTAGAATTCTTAGGCGACACTGTTTTGCAGTTGGTGTCTTCTGTTTTCCTTTATCTTCACTTTCCTAACCATCACGAAGGCCATTTATCGGTAATACAATTAATGTTATTGATAGACGAAAGAAAAGTGTTAAAACTTTTTATCTTTTTCTTATTCAATTCAATAAAGCTTTTACGAAGTTCACTGGTCAACGCTAAAACTCAAGCTCAAGTAGCCTGCGAAATTGGATTACCAAATTTTATCATTGCAAATGATAAACATATTAATTTAAATAAAGCAAAAGCCTTAGCTGATCTTTTAGAGGGTATTTTCTTTAAATAACTTTCATTTTCTCTATTATTAGATCGATTTAATCATTTCTATAAATTCTCTATAGCATATATTGGGGCAATGTACGTCGATCAAGGGATAAATTGTGTTAAAGTATTTTGTAATGTTTGCTTCTTTCCGAGATTAGAGGTAATACCAGAGCTAAAAATTAAAATATTTAATAATTCTGTTAAATTTCGCTATTTTATATAATTTAAAAAAAAAAGACAATTGCATTTATTCTCCTATTTTTTACTTCTTTTTGTATTTCCTCAATACCCTTCTTTCCAAATAAGATAAACTTTTTTTATAAAATTGTATATATATATAAAGGAATTTATAATACATCAAAAATGGAATGATCCGAAATCACAACTTCAACAATGTTGCATTACCCTAAGGGATGTTGGTGGAGGTGATCCAGAAATACCAGTTTATAAGTAAGTTAAATTAATCAACCTATTGAAATGCAAAGCAAAAATAAGTCTCTCTTTTAATGTTTTGTTTTTTTTTTTAAATAATTGAAGGGTTTTTTAAAAAAAAAAAGAGTATGTACGCTGTACGTGCACTAATTTTTTACTGGCTCTGCAAAATGTGCTGCACGATTCATTTTGCAATTCAGCTGAAAAACATGAGTGTACGTTTGTCGTCGATTTATGTTTAACTTAAAAAAACAAATTATAAAAATAACTAATAATAATAGGTTAATAAGATAAGATTTGTCACACCTATTTTCATAGTTGAAGAACAGCATATGTACACATATTTTTATCTGACTGCTTAGTCGTTTAAAGCTGAATAGGTAAAAGTGTGTGTGCGAGAGCTTCAGCCCAATTTTCTTATTTAAAAATACAAAAAAAAAAAGAGATATACGTTTTTCTACTAAAGGTGGATAAGTTACTTTTATGATAAATCTACTGACAAATATACATTTTGTTGCGTCCAATGTAGAATCTTTGCCAATCTATGAAATTTGTCATCAAAAATCGCCGCAGAGTATTATAGTTCAGCAAATATCTATAGATATTAAACATTTATTTATATATACATTCGTATACATTTTATGTATACAAATATATCTATATATATACATATATATATATATATATATACAGTATATATAATATATATTGTATATAGATTAATCGTTTTAGTATGAATATTCATTGAGTTCTATCTTAGGGAAATTTCACGATTTGGACCGACTAACAGAAGATGCTTCAAAGTTGCTGTTTATTTTAAAAGTAAAAGATTGGCTATTGGTCAAGGTAGATGCCTTAGAGAAGCTCAAATGGATGCGGCTAAAAATGCTCTAGATGAAAATTCAGGTTCATTCTATTATTTAATATAAAATGAATTGTATTATAAATTTTATTTCTCTCCTCCAGAATTGTTCCCGCAAATAAAATATCAACGAAGAATTGTTCAACAAAAGTATAATCTTCCCAAAGACGGCTCGGATAAGAATGATAAGAGAGACTTGGAGCCTGGTAGGGATCGCAATGTTCTGCCAAAACAATACGCTGAAAATAGTAACGATCATATTGATAAATTGGACGAACACGAAAAAGATAAACATGAAGATAATGCAGAGGAGGGCAATGATAAACAAAAGACTCAATCTTGGAATGAAAATCGTAAATTACCGTTTGCACCTATTAATTTGGATGATATTAAAGTGGACGAATCAGATGAACAACCTCTGTCTCCAGATAGCCCTAAACGAAAAGAGGAGACTCATGAGTTTTGTACAACTTTCTTTCCAGAAAATGTAGAATACATTGATGACGAGGAAAAGTCAAAAGAGCCTGAAAAGTCGCCAGTCGTCTTCAAATTTAAAAAGACATTTAAACCAATTGGGACTTCTGCTTTATTAAAAACTTATTCTAAACCAAAAATCAGCGACGATACCGATGATAATGATAATGAGGACGATGAGGACGACGAAGATGACGACTATAATGACGATAAAAGTAAAGCTAACGAAAATGAATCAGTTGAAAAATTGACGTGCTATACAAATAAAAGTATAGTTAAGATGGATATTAACGAAATAAAGAGAAAACGTATAAGGAATATTAAAGCTCAATCGATAAACATGTCACCCGGATTAAAATGTGATTCGGAAAAGGAAGATTTCCACTATGTTGATAACGATAACAAGCTGTCAACGGAAAAGACTATTCCAAACACAGTTCTCATCAAAGAACGACCTTCTATTGATTTTGATCAAGAAGAAAGATTAGAAACGAAAGATATGAAAATGGAATTAAGTTCGCACGAAAATTCTTCAACAGAAGAAGGCGAAATTAAAACGGATAGCGAATGAAATAATGATATACAAAAAAAAAAAAAAAAAATAAGCCCAATTGGTGCTAAGTCAAAAAGCAAAAAAAATTATTAGGATATTATTATCTGTGATTTTTATACTATATGTCAAAAGTAGCTATTTGCCTATTTCTTTTTTTCCATTTTTTTCCGCCCTTATAAGTTTTTTACAATAGCAATTTTCATTCTAAGGTGGGTGATATCAATTTCTTTTTTTTTATTAATTTTGCATGCAAATGAATTGGCCATTTTCTTAAAATTTATCACTAGACTTCGATTATAACAAAAAAAAACAGAGGTTTTAAAAATTAATAACCTGCATATAATTATAAAATTTACATATGCTATGTTATTAAATTTTAAGCATAAATATATATATATACTTTGTAATTCAGTATATATAACCATAAATATTAACCATATTATATTATATATATATATATATATTAATATATATATATATATATAGGTATATATAAAACTATCTTTATTGAAGACTTATACTTTTTATCATTCAATAAATATTTATGTTTTTGTTAAAATCTCTTGTTTTAATTTAAGACTATTTTCACTTATTGTTAAAAGAATTGTAACTTTCTGTGACTATTTCCAAAACGACACAAAACATAAAATAAAAATTTAAAAAGTTTAATTTATTAAATACAATGTTAATAACTTAACTTTTTTTTGAAATCTTATCAAAATAATGATTTATTAAACAATTAAAAAACATCACTTCGTAATAATAAATTAATTAATAAATTATATCTTTCTCTCTGTATTTTATGAGAAAAGGATAGTAGATGCGTCTAAATCTTAAAGAAAGAGACGAAATACTTAATAAGTTAAATTATTTATAGATTTGCGAGAGTTTCTTCAAATTCGCCCAATTCGGTAGCTTCTTTTTCTGTAAAAGAAGAGAAATATTGAAATAAAATAAGAAATAATAAAATATAATAATTAATTGCTTTCTTAAAAAATAATAATATAAATGAACACACATACGCGACCAGTAGTTTGCTTCCAATTTAGAAGAGGAATAACCGACGGTCTGCCGTGAGCACATTGAAAGGGTAAATTGCAAGTGCTTAAATCCTTAATTAAGTTAACGCATTCATTTAAATCTAGAGAATCACCAAATTTTATAGCTCCCCGGCAAGCTTTCGTATTTAAACTATCCGAAACGAGTTTCGGAAGAGAACGATTAGCTCCTTTAGTGTTTTGTAAAAGCTTTCGAAAATGCAGTAACAAAAATTTACTTGGTTATTAAATAATTATAATAAAAGTCATACTTCGATTTCATCTTCTAAAAAACTTTCAACTAATTCTAACGAAACATTTATAGCTGATTGACTTTCGTTAGATACTTTTTCAACAAGAGCGGCCGGTAAAGAATGAAGAATTATTGTGTCTCTTGTATCTTCTTCAAATTCTACACCAAAATGTTCAAGTTGTTTTGAAAACGACGATATCATTCTAACAGTTTTTGAATTAAGTTCTAAAGTAATAGGTGGACTCACAGAAACGTTTCTTAGTTTACCATTACTCCACGCTTCTATATCGGTAAAAATTAATTAAAACACATTAACTAAACAAATAGAGAGCATAATTAACCTTTTGTAAAATATTCAAGGCGAATACGTTCGTGCGCGGCGTGTTGATCAACAATTAATATCAATTCTATGATAAGAAATGTATATATTGGTATATATATAGTCGACTATATACAGTGAATATACTGTATATTTAATTAGAATAGATAAACAAAATTAACCTTTATCTATTCCGAAATGATTGATAAGACTAGAAATAACAATAAACTTTTCGTCTACTTGTCCAATAACTTTTGTTTCTTTAAGTATTTTAGAATCCAATTGAACACCGGTAATATTTTGTAAAAACGTTGTTAACTCTTGATCTTTTGTTCCAATAGAAATATCTTTAATACGCTAAAAAAATATTTAAAAAACATAAAAATAATAGACTAAATAATAATTCTAAATTATTATAATGTTAACCAATTTTGGTATGTTGAAACAAGGATCTTTAACTTTACCCCAAGCCTCTTTAAGCTTCTCATCTGACATAGCTGTTTAACACGTTTCTATATATAAAAAAGTACATTATACGTATTATGTTATAATAATACCAGCAATAGATATCGGTATACATCCATCTTTCCATTTATCCGATAAATTATCATCAGCAATCTCGGTGAACAATTCTTTGTTTAGTTTTTCCTTCTCTTCTTGTTTCCTCTTAAAAAGGTATCCTTTTGTTAAATTTGATGATCTTGAATCTATTATATGTATTGTAAATATGTAAATATACAATATAATTATATAAGTCTTTTGACGAGTCTTTTGATATTTACCTATTTTTAAACTCAAATTTCTTTTCATTGTCGATCTTAATGATTTAACGTCGTATTTAGGTTTATTAACCACTATTTGCTGGTCATTAGATTCTACAGTATTGTTTGCAGTCATTTTCTCATCAGGACCATAAGATTGAGCTTGAACATCAGACATATCTTCCAGGTTTATTGTAGGTAAATTGTTTATTTCGCTATCTTTGTAACTATTGTCGACTAAAAATCCTTGACTGCTACCTTTAGGAGAAATCTCGGTTTCGTCCTGTTTGTCTAATATAACCTCCTTTTGGACTGGTGATATTTCTGGTAAATCATCATTTATATCCAAATTCTTTAATCTATTTGAACAGTCAGTTTGTAATTCTGATTTCTCTTGTTCAACATCATCCTTATCATGTTCCGAATCTTCAGTGTCAATAAAGAGTTCTCCAGTGCCTTCCTCGGTGTCTTCCAACTTTCCAACCGGAGGTTCGAAACTATCATCTTTCTTATCGGAGTCACACTTTTGATCAGATTCCGCAATAATATTAGTAGTAGAGCAATCTTTAGGCGTCTTTATAAAGCATTCCTTAAAAGCAACAGCTATTTTTGACCATAGAATTTCGTCATTCATTTTCGGAGGATTACTCTTTCCTGCGGAATCTTTTGAATTCGATTGATCATTTGAAAGAAATTCATTCCCTTTCGAAATTTTTTTCTCATCATCCAAAGATAATCTTGAATCATCACTTTTCATGATTGAATTTTCAGTACGTTTCAAATCATTTTCCATAGATTTATAAGTTTTTTTAAATTGTTTCTCGATTTGTTTAAATTCTACTTCCAACGATTCGTAATTATTTCTAGTCATTAATAAATCACTATTCCCTGTTAAACCTTCTTCATTATTGGTCAATCTATTTTCTAACGATACTTCTCCTTCATTACGTTTCGTTTGCTTTTGTTTTGTCATAAATTCTATGCAATAATCCTCTTTATCTTTTTTACTAGCGGAAGTTTTTTCTCCTACGAGATATTCATTCATAGCGCAAGCGACTTTCGTATAAAGAATATCATCCGAAATTTTAGGAATAGAATTATCTGTTGGATATTCAACTTTTTCCTTTAGACGATTTGTCCTATTTTGCGTTCTTTTTATAGCTAATAGCGTATCTTGTTCTTCCCTTAAGCGATCGGGTAACTTTGGAAAGTAACGACGACGACTCAAGCGCTCATCGTTCTCTTTATCACTGGCCAAGTATGAGCTAGAATTATCAAGTAGTAGAGATGAAGTAGGTGATGTTACTTTTGTGCTTTTTCTTTCAATCTTTTCCCTTCTACGTTTAATAATCTCTGTTGTTTCCTGTTTAACATTATGACTAATAACGGAGGGAGCGAAAAGATATTTTGCTACACGTCGTTTATATAATTTATACTGCTCCATTGCCTGTTCTCTTTCGTTCATTATTTCTCTTGATCGATGATATTTACTAGTTAGAAATGACGATTTCCTATTATCATTATATTTTCTCTTTTTTGGACTGAAAGCTCTTAAACTGGAATCATCATCATCCGACACAAGAATATCATCTAAATTTCCGTTTTCAGATCGTTTTCTATTGTTATCTCTAAGTTTAACAGCCAGCTTTTTAGCATCTGAATTACCCCGTGTCGTTTGCTGGCATAAGCCTGGTAATTTTTTGGGTGGACTCATTTTCTTCAGCTTTTCGTGTAATTTATGTAAGTGACCAAACATTGAACTTTTATTACTACGTTTTTTATGAAGGTTAGCATTGGACTTATCTCGATATTTCTCTTTAATTATTTTCCCAGATCGATTTCTCATTAGATCTTTCTTTCTGATTGTTGCCACTTTAGAATTAACCACATTTCGCCTCTTTTTACCAAATGCCGAGAAATCTCTCTTTTCCCTCTTTCTCATTGTTATATCATCTTCATCCATACACCTTTCATTTAAATCATCTTCACTCGATTGGATTTCAATATTTCCAGCCTCTCTGTCATTGATCTCCAGCTCCATTTCCCTTTTATCATCCTCGTCTTCCTGATTGTCATTAACACGAGTCGTTTGACGAGCACATCGAGTAGTGATTTTATGCAATAGATCATTGACAGTTATATCGGTGGCTGGATCCTTCGTTCTTGTCGGTGGTATATCTTTTGAAGATGACGATGTCGACGACTGAGCTAAAATATGTTCAAGTGAATCAACACCGTACCCTAGTCCTTGCCTTTGTAAAAACAAATGAAGCATATCTTCTAAACACTGACTTAAAACTCTCCAATGTTTAAAAGCAACTAAAGTCTTCCTCGGTTCGAATGTAATATCGTATTCTGCTAAAGGACAATCGATATTAATTATATAATAAGGATGTCTGTCATTCTCTCTTTTCAATGCTCCATTCTCATCAGTTTGAAACTTTTTACAAATTAAAGACCTCTTTAAGAAAAAATTCATAGTTTTATGAATTTTAGTACGTAAAACTAGCCTTCTATTAACATATACAAATTGTAAATTCTTATTCTTATAACTTTGAGTTGATATGTAACCATCTACAGTAAAATTCTCTTTTGCAGCTGAAATCTTTTCAAGTGAATCAGCTTTCTTTGAGCCGTATATACTGGTGAAAGAACCAAGCATTCCGCTACATTTGTGAGTTTGCAGTAGTTTTGCACCATTCGTATCGTTTCTCAATGTAAACGAGACTTTATTATGAATTAACGCGTGAGCCTCCATAGTTAAACGGATTTGTTCCATTTCTATATTTTCTTTAATCATTTTCTTTCTTACAGGTAAATTATAAAATAGTCCATCCACGAAGATAGAACTTCCACCGCTGGAACGGGGTTCTTTTTCGGTTAAGGAGTAGAATTCTCCAGCTTTGAATTTTAATACATGTGTTGATGGATCATTCCTTATACGAGATTCAATTTCAAGTTGACGACAAGTTTCTCGAATACTTGCTAAGGCTTCTCCCCTATAACCAAAGTAAGTAAGATTTTCAACATCCATCAAGGTATGGCATTTACTACTATGATATCTAAAAGTGAAATGAGGAAACGTTATTTTTTGTATCCTTCTACTAGTTATATTTATTACCTTTTTCCAACAGTTTCCATATCACGTTTGGTCATACCCCGACCATTATCAATAACATAAATATAACTGTTTGCAATGTGTACTCTTACAGCAATGCATGTTGCACCCGCATCTAAAGCATTCAAGACAAGTTCTTCTACACATTGAGCATACGAGGTAATAGCAATAGATGATCGAAGTTTCTCTCTTAATTTCTTTTCCAAAGGTCGTATATTCCTATGAGTCGATTGAGACATACTATATAAGGAATTAAAATTGCAATAGATATTGCTAAATGGTTATAGGTAACGTTTAGCGAAGTATTCTTTCACCCTACCAGTTTGTTTAGGTTACCCAAGCAATTCTAAGTTTAAATTCTGACAGGATACTTTTAAAATATCGTCGAAATAGACCAACTTTCGTAATGCTTACATAACAAAACACTTCAAATACTTGCAAGTTTTCTGTTGAGAATTTTCAAAGTTTTAAAATACACATATAGAAACGAGTTATGGTTAAAATACAAGCCAATTACATGAAATTATCTTGTCTTTAATGAATATTTTGCAAAAATTTTTAAGATTAAGTTAAAGCTCCAGACAATTTTGCCTAAGTCATCCAATAAATATATTTTGTAATATCTTGCTAGGTTACGGGCTCCCCGTTCCAAATGTAAAAGTTTCTGTTTTAATAGTTATATATAGAAAAAATAGAACCACTTTCATTTCTAAAAGTTGGGTAGTATCGCTCAAAAATTATTCTTTTGCTTTTCAAACAATGTCTGAATTTCATTCAGATTCCAAAATTGTCGATATTGAGCAACATTTGCAAAAACTCTATATACTAATCAATAAATTTCGTTGGCTAATTGATATCTACATATCTGTAAGAATCGTAAAAACATATATTTACAGTAACTCACGTGCGCATTTTTCTATTATTCCAGGACTTTTTCACGGAAAAATTATGTGAGAGAGTCAATAAAAGTTGGTGGGCAACATTGACATCCTTAAAAAGTGAAGAACTATTATCATTGCTATCGGATGGTCAATGGAAAAGCAGGTAATTTATCATATATTAACGATTTTCAACCATTGTTCATTTGTTAAGAGGAAAAACTTTTAAATTTCAAAATCAATACTGCAAACTTTTTTTTTTGCAGTAAAGTATGGCCTCTTGGTTTATTAGCGTATCGAAGGGCAATTCATTCATTAAGCCTTAAAAGATATATTCCCGAGTCTGTGAAATTTAAAGATGGACAATATTTAAACTTGAATCAAATATTTCGTAAACATGTTAAGCCAAAGAAACAGCACGAAATTCATTCAGCTGCAAAGGTTTATTTAGTTTTTTTTTTATTAAAAAAAATTACACTTTTCTCATTCAGCTTATAAACGATATTAGCCAAAATGTTGGCTCGAACTCATTAATTGACTTTGGCGGTGGACAGGGTCACCTGTCTCGTTTATTGTCTTATCAATACGGGTTGAATGCCATTACCATAGATGCCTGTTCAGATCATCAAGTTAAAAATGAAATATTTGACAGGTTTATATAAAAATGCTAACAGTATTAAAGTTTTATTCAATTAGAATGTTTTATTCATATTTCTTAGGGAAATTGAAAGAGTTCTCAGGAATGACGTAAACGTTCAAAGGTGTCATGTAATTGAAACTATCCAAACTGACACTATTCCAAATCAGTTTATAGATAAAATAAATCAAACGACTATAAACCAAAAAGATAAAAATCATCAATTATTAAAGAATTTAGATCAAAATGAGCAATTGGATAAAAAATTTACTTTTATAACTTTGCATGGATGCGGTAATTTAATTCCGACAATTTTAAGGCTTTATTCAAATTGTACAAGTGCCGTTGGTTTAGTAAATGTTAGTTGTTGCTATATGAAAATGGACGAGTAAGCTAATCACTGTTTTCTTTTCGATTAGTAAGAATAAAAAACAATTAAATTCTTTTCAAGGCTAACTAGTTTCCCATTAAGTTCCTTTCTTCGATCAAAGTCTGATTCCAATCTTTCGTGGGAAGCTAAAGAATTAGCTTGTCATTTCATAGATTCCTACATGGAAAAGCTTATGGGTAAGATAATTTTCTGCAACTTTCTTAAATCATTATAAGTTTTGATAAAAAAATTAACAGAGAATCATCCAAATTTGAAATCTCATTGCTATAGAGCAGCAATGCAAGAAGTACTAAAAGAAAAAGATGAAACTTTCTGCAACAGTACTATTAAGCTTAAAGTAAAGAATATCTATGAAATGAACTTTACAACGTGAGTTATTTGATACACAATAGAATGAACTGTTAAAGCAAATATCAATGACAGATATGCCGAAAAAGTACTTGAAAAGTTAAAATTTTCACCTGGGTTAACTGAATATCAGGAGGAAAGATCTAAAGAAAGACTACTAAAATGGTTCGACGTCGTGGTCTTATACGTATTACGATTAGCAATAGCTCCTGTGATAGAAAGCGTTATTTTATTGGATCGATTATTATTCCTAAAGGAACAAGGTAAAAATAGAAAATGGATTATGCTTGTGTCTCATTAAAAAATTATTTCATGTTTATTATATTTACAGGTTTTAAATCATACATTCAACCGATCTTTGATCCTTCAGTATCTCCAAGGAATTTTGCTCTGATTTCTGAAAAAATCTAATTTATTTCAGTTATATTTAATTTATAGGAAATTATCTTTAAAAATCAAACAAGACTTAAGTTTTCTCAAAAGATTTTTTTCATTTATCATAAACGAAAAACTGTATTTGTAATGAAATAGAACATGAAAATCTCTTAAAAAAAGAGACAACTATAGGAAAGAAACAAAGAGAAAAGACTTATTTTTTAAAATCATTAACCATTCTTCTTAGACGATAAAATATCCTTTCTCAATTCCGATAACAATCGTAGATTGAATTTGTAAGTATGACGTTTTCCAGGAATTTTTGTTAAAATCATTTTATTATAATAATATCTGAGTGCTCTTGCTAATTTTTCATAAGTCATATTTGACTTTTTCTTAGTTCTTCCCCACATTTCGGCCAATTCCAGTGGATTTCTGATATAGAATTGTCCCTGAATGGAGAAATAAAATTACGTATGGGAAGAGAATTCTATATTTCTGATAAACATTTTATATTTACTGAATAACTTTCCCAAATAATTAAATTGGAATAGTCTTGAGGATTATTCAATAGATGAACCAAAAATTCCCATAATCGAGTTGGTCCTTTTCTAACTGTATTAAGTAAGAAAGATAAAGTGAATTTGTGAATATATACTGTATATTTCATATTACAAGTAATAATATTCATATATATTGCTATTAGGAAAGAAAGAACATTACCTTCTGGAGATTTGATTTCAAAAGTATAATAATCCTGTTCCAAATCAGTTATAAGCCTTATTATTCCACTTAAATCATGATCCACAACATTTTTATCCAAAATCTGAACACTAAAGCAATTCGTATAGCGAGCAGTTTGAGACATCTTTACCTTCCTCTGAAAATTTTTCAACTGGTCACACACTAGGTGAAAGTATCTATTAATAATAAATTTATATATACTATATACTATATTGTATATATTAGTATATACAATATAGTTCAAAGTTAAATCTATGCTCCAGTCAGTATAGTAGAGTATATGATATATAATATTCAAATTTGTTATAATATCATTAATCTAGATAATTAAATTTCGATTTTTTTCGTAATAGAATTTTAGCCTAGATTTAATTCTATTTTTATGGTCCAAAGCTAGTTTTTCTATTGAAATAAAACAATAGATTCTAAGAAAAACTTTAAATGAAAGGAGAGTTATATTCTTTAAAAAAGAACATTTCAAGACAAATTTCGCTTTTATATTTTCTCTTTTCATCTTCTTTATACTCTCTAATCCTTCTTTTCCATTTGCCAAACAATAAATTGATACATTCAAACATTTATTAAGTATACTCCTAGTTTAATATGCTTTAGGAGTAATATTGATAAATACTACAATTGTACTCCAAATGCAATGTTAAATCCACCGTGCAGACAACTTAATAAAAAAGTCACGTTGTTTTCGGCATAAAATTCTATTCATTAAGTAAATAAATTGAAATAATTCAAAGGTAAAAAATAAGTCAATTATCGACAAAGGCATCAGTTAAACTTGCCAATTTTTCAATTAACTTTAAAAAATCATAAGAAATCGTTTAATGAATTGAGTACTCGATTTATTTATATACTTCTAACATTTAATATGAATATATTTACACATGTATTGTCTATTCTTTTTAAGAGCAGCTGATCCACGAGAATCGTCGTATAAAGTGCCGGACAAATAATTAATCAAAGAGAAAAAATGAGCATTAAGTCTGTATAAATCATTTATAGATAAATTACAAGCAGAATAATAATAATCCCTATTACGATAGAATTTTGAATCGTGCTTTAGCCGCACCGAAAGCACGTCAACGTTTTGGATTAGTGGCGCTAGAAGGAGTTCGATTAATAAATGATGCTTTAGAAGCTAAAGCACAACTTAAGGGTATTTATTACTCGAATTCGGAAACTTTGAGTAGATTAAATATTGAAAATTCCTCTTCTGTACCGTCTATTAAAATTAGTTGGAAAGATATTAAGAGATTATCAGATGTCGATGCTCCTACCGGTGTTATAGGTGTGTTTAACTATAGCAGCTTACTATATATGTATACTATCTATTATTTATATTTTTAAAGCCGTTTTCAAAGAACCTAAAAGTTGGCCATCAAATGAAAACAGAGAACAACTACCGTTATCTTTGATATGCGATCAAATAAGGGATCCAGGAAATATGGGTACCCTCATTAGAACGGCCGCAGCCTGCGGGTGTAAAGAGGTGTTATTGACAAAAGGTTTAACAAAATTATTTCAATTAAATACAGTTATAATTAACCTAATTTTAGGTTCGACCGACGTTTGGCAAAGAAAAGTTGTTAGGGCAGGAGCTGGCGCCCATTTCCGAATTCCTATTCGACAACTTCCTTCTTGGCCTATAGTTCTACCAGACAACAGCAGGGTTAGCTTTCGCATAGTGTGATGAGAATTTAGCAGAGAGCTGTTTACTTATTTATACAGATAATCGCTGCAGATCCAGTTAGTGAAAATGCTATAGACTTTAAACAAGCACACTTTGCAGACAGAAAAGAAACTTTCCTAATTATAGGTGGTGAGACGCACGGGATAAGCAACGAAAGCTTCAACTTAGTGAAATCCTTCAATGGTCTCCGATTAAACATACCGTGCCATACAAACAGCTTAAATACAACAATAGCTGCGGGAATTATTATGTATGAAATTCGATATCAAATGTTGAAAATAAAGGACAGGAGCTAACTCATTCAAATATATATGCTAGTGAATATAGTAGCAACGTTCAATACATTGCGCTAATCATTCTTGACTAGTTTTTTATTTGTTTAGTACCTAAACAAATTATTTGTTTTGAAATAGCTTTCAGTGTTCAATCAAAATTTTAGTTCAATATTTTTTAACTGATTTGTGCTCTACTTGTCGAGTGAAATTTTTTTGCCCTACTTTTTCTTCGATTTATTCAGTTACATTCCATTTACGATTTAACTTTATTTTGCATAATTAAACTAGATCACTTTTACGGTACAAAAACATAACATCATTAAATAAAGAACGAAGCAAAGTGAGTTATAACGCAAACACCTTAAATGTTAAGGATATTACTACAACGATGTAGTAATGCTTCAAACAACAGATGCAGCTGGGAAATTCACATTCTTCAGATTCAATCGTAAGTATTTTCTATCTCATCGGATTTTTTGTCAATAGAAGAAGAACGAGCTCGAGATCTAGACCTCTCATCTCTTTCTCTATCTCTTCCCCTGTCTCTATCTTTTTCTCTGCTTCGGTCCTTTTCCTTTTCTCGATCCCGTTCTCTATCTCGATCAATCTTCTGACCATCTCTCGAATGTGAGCGACTTCTGATAACAATATTTACGATATTCAATTGCATTAACAATTTAAATGTGTCTCACCTGTGTTTTCTAGATCTACTTCTACTTCTAGACCGACTGTACGACTTCTTCCGTCCTCGCGATCTGGATCTTGACCTCCTCGACCTGCGACGCTCCTTGGATCTTGACCTATAACGATCACGAGACCTCGAACGATATCTTCTGGTCCTGTCCTCTTGGCGACGCATTTGTCCTGGTGCTGAACATATATATCGACGGCTTTTGCATCAAACATATGCAACTAATCTAATATACTAACTTTTACGATCTCCTTTAGCAAATTCTATATGCAGCTCACGACCATAATATCTTGTTCTATCCAGGTTAAACAAGGCTTCATCTGCGTCTCGTTCATGCTCAAACTTTCACTTGGTTAAGGATTATTTTACTTGCTGTAATTCTCTACATCTTAAACTAACTAATAGAGTACATTTCATTACACAAAGCCTTTCGGTTTTTTTTAACTATTATCTCTACAAAAAGCAAGCAGAGAGGCGGATACATTTTGACAATCTTAAGTGTGGGCTATCATCATTGCTGTGTCTTTAAGAGATGAGCTTGACTTTCAAATCTTTATATGTATCTTTGATCTTTACAGATGCTTGCTTTTGACTTTAAGGCTTGCGTAATCTTTATGCGCTCCTTTAACATTTCAGTCCTTTTGCGGACTTTGACGCAGTGCAGCGCTTTCAGTCTGACAAATACATACAAAAAAAGAATGTTATAACAAACGAATTGAAGCGTTTTTTTTGCTAATTTGAAAGGATATTGTACATAAGCAAAGCCACGGGGATATCGTGTGTAATAATCAAGAGGTACGTAGACATCGGAAACGGGACCGTATTTACTGAACATGCTTCTCAGTTCTTCTGTCCTGTTTTTATTTTTAAATTATTTAATAAACGTCACAACTTCATTCTTCCTAGTTTCGCGTTCGTCCCGATCTTGACGAATTATATATGCAAAAATTTAATTTAAAATACAACACTGCCTACCTAGTTCCGTCAGGAACATTTTTAATGTACAAAGATGTTCCAGTTGGCCTTCCAACATGGCGATAACGCGACATTTTCCCTAACTCCTGACACTTCTTCCACCGGCAATATGGCGTTCTCGCGTCAACTTCACTGCGCATGCGTATTCGCCGCCATCGCGTTCAAGATTCAAAATGGCGTATTAGCAAAACGATTATAGATTTTGTTACGTTTCTTTACTAATCGGATTACGTATTGGTTTTAAAATGAACGAGCTGACTGTTGAAACACCAGAAAATGAATCTATTACATTGGAAATAGTGTCTCCTGAAGAATACCCAAACATTTCAGAATCAACTACATCTCAAAAAACTCACTTTCAAGTTAATCGTAAACAAAAAAAGGATCAACAGCTCTTGGATAAACCACCTTTCAACTGCATCATATGTTCTGATACGATGAAAAGTCTCGCAGATTTATTAGCACATTACAAATCTCGTCATGTGGAAAAAGTTATAAAAAAGGCGGGAAAAAACCCCCTAGATTCTCAACAATGTAATGCTATTGTCTGTTCTCAGTGTGATAAGACTTGCTATCTAAGTGACAATCCTCAACTGGCAGTATCGACAAGATTACGCTACTGCGTTCAGAACATAGTCAACCATTACATAAATACTCATAAAATACAAAAACCATCATACGTAAACCAATATAAATGCGATCTGTGTTCGTTTACATCTATTTATAAATCTATCTTAAAAAATCATTTGAAATTTGTGCACAAAATTGTTGAAGAGCAAGGAAGAAAGAGTATAAAGCAAGAAAATAATCTGGAGAAAGGAACTGCGTCTGTAATATCTCCAAAATCTAATCAACTTTTTCTAAATAAGGACAACATTATATGTATATTTTGCCATTCCGTACAAAATTCGTTAAACGACTACCTAATCCACATATCAAGTAGTCATATTACGCAAGTCGAACTTCAAGAAGGAGATGGGGCAAGTCAAAACTTTCCAGCATATATATGCCATCAGCCTGATTGCAGTTTCGTAACAGTGTTGGATATGGAATCAGATTCAATAATGTTAGGTTTACACTCTTTCTACGTTCATTTAAATATGGAGCATACTATTGATGTTTCGAACATATGTATAGAATATTATTGTTCATTTTGCCCATTTAAAAGCTGCTGTCAACTAATAGTTGACGAACACGAAATAGAAGAACATTGTCAATCCGTTCCGGATGTGGAATATTCAACAATTTCATTATTTAAGGAATCAGTCTCATTTAGTTGTTTTATTTGCTCTGGTAAAATGGAGAATTCTGAAAAATTAATGGATCATATAAGTAATTGTCATATTAAAGGCGTTGTTAAACACTTTAAGGATAATATCTGCTCAGAGATTGTTAAGGATTCTTGCTTCTTTAAATGCAGTTTTTGTTCCTATTCAACATGCTTGGATTCAAATAAAGGAGAGCAAATAATTAAAATTCTAACCCATCTTGTTCAAACTCACGATTTTGATTTACCAGAATATTTTAAACGTTACAATTGTTCCCATTGCCAGTACTCTACCTTCTCCGAACGACATTTAACAAAACATTATTCGAAGGTACATAAAACAATTAGAAAATCAGAAGCCGAAGACGGATGCGAATTTAAACAAGTACGAAATCATTTTCAAGATGTTGATGTCTATAATTGTTTCCTTTGCGATTCGGAATTTCCATCCGATCAGCAATTGGTAAAACATTTTACGGTGGAACATTTAAAAATGGGTAAAAATATTTTGGGTAGGAAGAAACGAGTCAAAGATCTCGAAAGTAGCGGATCACTAAAATATTTCGAATGTGCCGTTTCGTCATGTGAATACAAGTTTGTTGTTAAATCGGTTGGGATGTGTGATGCGCTGAAAATGGTTGCTAATCATATGGTCAGGAAACATAATACTCCTATACCAAACTATCTAATTCGACATTCGTGTAGACAATGTGACTATTACACGTTCGTTGAACATGTATACAAGAATCACTTGAAGAGTCATAACGTAAAACATTTTTATTATTATTATTCTTTACTAATTATTCCCTTCTATCTTTCACTCTGTTTATCTATCTATCTATCTTTGAGAAAATCTTTTCAACGTTCACTTTTCACCTTTAGAAATCGGTTGAAAGTTGCGGAAAATGTGGTAAAACCTTATCGTCTGCGAGCCTACAGCGTCACGAAAAAGTTTGTAGGACCGATGTTAAAACGGACTCCTATTGCGAAGTTTGTCATAAATCGTTTGCAAATAGTGTGATGCTCAAAAGTCACATTGAAAGAGTTCATGAAAATGTAAAAAACTACTCTTGTCATCTATGTAATGTATGTTTCACAAACTTTTTATCTTCATTCCTTTATAAAAATCTTCCATCTTATTTTACACATTTTTCTTTTCAGACATATTATTACAAATTGGAACAATATGAAAATCATATGTTTGTCAAACACAAGCAAAATATATCAAATCGAACAATTTATCAGTGTAGTAGTTGTTCATACTCTTGCCTCTCTAGATCGAGAATGAACAATCATACTAAAACTCATCTTGGAACTCAGCAATTTCGTTGTCGAATTTGTCGTAAAGGATTTCCCACCGCTGCTAGATTGAAAATTCATGAGCTAACTCATTCAGAAGTTGCTAAAGGCGTTTTCGAATGTAAATTCTGTAAATTTAACTCAGCTATTAGACATTATGTTTATAGACATATAGCCACCCTTCATCCTCATTATAAGTACGTAATATTCGTTTATTCACACTAGAACTTTTAAGTAAAGTATGCTACCCTTTCAGACTAATCTGCAAACATTGCTCCTTTGCAACTCCAAGTAGGGAGGCCATTAAGGTAAATTGAAACTTTTTGCTTTTATTTTTTATTATAAATGAATAAGACACGTTTCAGTTAATTTCCTTTTTCGTCCTGTAGATACATTTAAATCGAAATCATGGGGTTCGAATTGAGATACCAAATATGAAACCGGAAAATGAACTTGACGTTGTCCAATTACCAATAGATTTCCCAATTCCTGAAGCAGATTTACAACACTTTACAGAAACTCATCATTTTACACCAGAGATTCTCGGCTCTGATAAACAAATCGATTATACTGACGGCGAAGAAAATGTCATTTTATACGCATTAGACGAAACCAAAGAGAAAGAATTTGTTGAAGTAATGACCGAAGACCTACCGAAGGCGGAATCGGATGTTCAACAATATTAGACCATTTCAATAATATTTCAATAGATAATTCTATTAAAATTTACTAAAAAGATTGTTTTTGCGAATGTTAATAAATTTTTTTTCTAATTATTGTTTTGTATTTCGAAATAGTTCTTACGCGAACAACATTCGTATACCAGTTTTCTTAATATGTCACGTGACATTTTCATATCATTTCCAGATAATTATATTCAAACAACAATCCAGTGTTATTCAACTTGGGAGTCATTGTCAAGTCATTTTAATCTGTTAAAATGAAATTTAACGAAGATTCCCTTTATGCGTTGAGTAAAAAAAAACCCAACAAGGAAGGCCGTTTAGGATATAAAAAACCAGGACGAGAGAGTAATTAATTTTTCAACATCATCTACTTCAACTAATGATTATGTTTTGTAGATTATAAAGACAGAATATGCAAATTGTATGCAAATATGCTCTTCTACTACGAAATAAATTCATTGGGACATGTAGTAAAGCACGAGGTCAGCTGAAATTACAATTTTAGTAATATATTATTAAAAAATCCTTCAATTAGGTATTATGTATTTTTTTTTTGTAGCCTCGAGGTGTCATTGTACTGGAACGTTGCTTAATTTCAATAGATCCAATGGCCGATCAATGTTTTGTTTTTACAATAGGTAGCTAATTTCTCAATTTTTCTCAGTCTACTGTATTAAACGATCTTTCTCTTATTAGCTTTTGAAGGTGGAAGTACGCATTCTTTCAGTGGGAAAAGTCTCAAGACATGCGAAGAATGGGTTGATGTATTAAATAAAGCAAGGTTGTTTTAGTGATAATTTCATTGTTTACTTAAAAATTAATGAAAGTGCTTTACAGCTTTGAAAGTATTAAATCGGAAGTTGAACAACTTAGGTCAGAAATTATTAAGAAAACTGGAAAGGTTTGTTTACAAATTTCTTATGTATATGCTGTTTGAAACTCTCTTTCATTAGGATCCATTACAAGATCAAGCTGCAAAATTCGTTCCAAAAGAGAAGAAAGATGTAACAGTTCAGTCAAAACCTAAAGTTACTAAATGGCTGTCAAACAAAGCAAGCATTGTGAAGACGTTAACTGAAGTTGCTTGTTCAGCTGTTACAAATAATCATAACCTACCAGACCCGAGAACTAATACTAAACGACCCGCTTCATCATCTAATGTTCAAAAAGCGAAACCTCCTACTGCTGCGTCGGCAGGTGCAGCAGTACGACAACCACCACCACCGCCACCTAAACCATTTGAACCTGCCCAGTCATTCTCTCTACAACCGCATCAAAGTGTTCGACCTCCAAAACCAGAACAAATCTTCGAGGTTACACCTACTGCTGGCCTCAAAATCGAACCGGCTAAAAATACCAATCACTGGATGACTTTTGACGATTCTCCAAAAGCTCAACCAGCTACAACTAACCAAAATGCAGTTGGAAATGCGTCTCAAAATTTAGATTTATTGAAAGATTTGGGTTTACCATCAGAGCCGTCTAGACCCCCTCAAAATACAACTGTACCGAAGGATTTAGAATGGCTCATATCGGGAAAAGAAAAGCCGAAGCCCGATAATAAAAATGCGCAAGATGATCTTATTAGCTGGTAGAAAGAGATAATTGAGCTATTAACGTATGTGTGAATATACCAAACTTTCGAATAGCAAATAAAACAGATAGTATTAAATTTCAAAACATGATTCCGTCATAAATGGAAACGAGTGTGTATTCCTCAACGAAAAGTTAAATCATTTTGCGGAGTAAAGCGTTTACTTTATCATCGCGATTACCATAATCACCACCGTCAACAAAGTGGTTGTTCTTTTTTCTCCATCCGCCGTTGGGGTTATTTAACTTGAATGTCCACAAAAAGTTATTAGCCTGTTTGAAGTGTGGACCAACGGTGAAGATTTCATGGATCAGGTCTTCGACACAGATGATACCATATTTGCCTGTAGAAATAACTTTCACGTTAGAAAACACTATTATGAAAATAAAACGCAAAACATACCCAATTTGTTTTCAATTATGGCGTTATCTGACAACGCTACTCTGCGTCCGTTAACTTTAGCAAAACCACGCTTATAGATCAGCTCTTTTACCGTTTTAAGGTTTGGAGTTCCCCAGGTGATGTAGGGTTCGGCGATGCGGAGCATGTTGACGGTAGCTTTATTTAATCGCAAGAAGACTCCATTGTTGATTTGGAGTAAGCGGAACAACTTCATTACTTTCCTTGGCTTAGGGTGAATTCCGTTAATACCACGGATTCTGCAAACGAAAGCCAATTTTGGCTCAGCAGGAACGTAAAAATCATTATTTTTACGAGCTTGTCTGGCCAAACGAATTTCATCTCGTTCCTTCAAACGATATTCCCTTACATACTTTTCTGCTCTTTTAAAGATGAGTTGTCGTTTCTCAGAGAGGTTCTAAGAAATTTCAGCATGATTACGACAAATAAAGGGAGAAAAAGAATAAAATACCTTTCTTCTTGTTATCGCACTCTTCTTAGCTTTCTCTCTGGCAGCCTCACGCTGCTTTCTTTTTTTCAAGAGGGTCTCAGGGACTTGCGGCAGCTTTTTCTTCCTATGAACACATTTGCGTTACAGTAATTATCAAATTACTAAAAGTTTAAAGCGAGATGTTAAATTGAGACTTCGGGATAAGATAAACAAAATATAGATTCTTTATTTTCCGAAGACATAATAAAAGACGGTTGTTGATTCAATAGATAATTGTAGATTTCGTGTCTAATATCACAAACATACTTACTCTCCTGCCATGTTACCGGAAAAGGAAATCTTAAGGGAAACATGCGCTGAGCATTGATTTTTAAAAGTTATGAAAAAACTTACAGAAATCGACTAAATAATTTTTATTAATTTTTATTTGTCGAAAAAAATATTTTTAGCTAAAAAAATTAAATTTTTATGGAACTTTTTTAATACGCGGAGCTATTTTGTATTAGTAAGCTCGTAGTCTTTTCCGGTAATGAGATCAAACGGTTGTATGGTTCAGGCAAAGCGTTTTGAAAGAAATTAAGAAAATAGAAGAGTAAGAAAAATCAACATTTACTAGTGAAAACTTTGGAAAATGACTCCAAGGCTGATATAGAATAAGGACGTTCAGTATTTAATCATGGGCTGTTGTTCTTGGCGACAGTTCGTACTCATCATATGCGTCTTACAAGTTGTAAGTTTAAAGCTTTGTATTTTTAATCTCGCATTTTTGACCTGTATACACCTGTATGCAAACCCGTAAAGACTGATTAAACTGATAAATTTGCAAATAGCAACTTAATTTATCATACTGAATAGTTGTCGAGGATCATAAATATAGTCACTACCGGACTTAGAACATTATTATTGTGTGCCAAAGCCGATTAGCGAAAAGCGTGATGTCTGAGAGGCATTAGCAAGTTTAATGAATAGATTTTTTTTGTTTTATTCATTTTATTTGCAACCGCAAGAATTTGACTATCTATATTTGCAACAGATTGCGACGCTCCAGAGGTTAGTCTTCGATTTTATGGGCTATATGTGGGGCTCAATTACGGCGAATATAGTTAATCTAATCGTTGTTATTGTTGGAATTGTTGGAGCTTATCAATATAGAGGAAAAGTTTTGTTACTGGTAAGTATTACTTGATTTCTTGATTATTTATTATTATTACTATTGGTATGGCTATAGTTAAAAGGAAAAGGTTTATATAGGCTAATATAGTAAGCTAGTTGTTTTTTATCAGTTCTGGTAAGTCGATACGTAATTGTCGAAATGGCTGAAAAAAGTTTTATATGTTTATTTCTAGATATTTTTACCATTTAATAAAGTTTTTTATCATTGTCTCTATCTCTTTAATAAAATACATACAGTATGCCGTATGGTGCACGTTGTGGATCGGTTGGAATGCTTTAGTGATATGTATTTATCTAAAAATTGGTCTATTTGAAAATAAGGTTGGTGCGTTAAATTATATATTTGTTCCGCTACGCTATTTACGTTGGACAATATCTTTACGGTCTATACAGATTTCTCTTTTGAATATCACTTCTTTTATCTTTTTTTTTCTTTTTTTTTTCTTACAGAATTATGGTGTGCTAGACTTTGGGACTGACCAAAAGAGTTTTTGGTTCAATTACGGAATTGGCTGTGAAGTTAGTTATAAACTGATTTATTCAATCAGAATAATTAGCTAATTTTTTCTATTATTCCTAGACCGAAAAACAGGTTAGCACGCCCAATTTATCATCAACCCTAACTACAGAATCGGCTAAAGGCGCTAGCGGTTGTATCCTATCTTACGACTATGTAGAAGTGATTCATGCCGGGGTACAAGTTCTGCTGGCTGTAAGTAAAACAATCTCAATCAATCTTTATCTCTTTCCTTTCGCTTATAACCTAGTAAAACTTTATTCCTTTGCAGTTAATGGGTTTTGTCAGCGGAATTAGGTTAGCCTGTTTATATATGGAAGAAGATGATAGCTGTAAGTACCGTAGCAGTCTCTCAACCTTAATTTATCATTATTTTTTTTTACATATATTTTTTTGCTTAAGTAATTTTCCTATTTTTACGGCGCTTTGCACATTTATATAATTTCTCTGAAAGAGCGTAATTGTTAATGATTTTTTTATTTTTCACTACTAAAGATATCGCGATTAGCGGCTCTTGAAAAGCTTTTATTGTTATTATTATTTTTATTTCAATACTTTTATTTTTTAATATTATTTTTTTAAATTAATTTAATTTTTATTTTTACTTTCCTTGTATTTGTGCACATAACACATCCTTCAGTTAATTACATCGGCGGGTTTGATTCAAACGGAACAACGAGCAGCGTTTCTGCACCATCGAAAACCTTAACTCCTGTTCAATTACAGCCCATATATGTGTATGTATTTAGTTTGAGAGGCCCAGTAAGGGACTGTCGTCGTAAAATTAGAGAAACTCACCAATTATATTTGAAAATAAAGCACTCACCTATAAAAAAAACTTGACACGAAAAAAAATACACGAAAGAAGAAGAGTGAAAAATAGAAACCATATACACAAATTAACAGATTTGACATGCGCTTTTAGTTAATTTTTTTCTAACATAATGGCCATCGTTGTTCTAGTTGACAGATTACTTCTTTCCTTTAATTATAATTATTATTATTATCTTTTTGATTTTAATAATTATTCTGCTATTTAAAATTATTTTGAGTAATAAGGAACTCGTTAAAAATACTTTTTGACATTAAGCTGATCTCTTTCTTTTTCTTCTCTCTACATCTCTATCGCTCGCTTAACTGACAAATGATATTTATGTGGCTTTTCATATATTGTATTTTATTTTAAAAAACAAACTGTTTGTAAAAAATATTATACTAATCGGATTTTATACTTTCATTTTATAGCAGTATCGGCTCAGGAAGAACTTGAATTTATTAAAATGCCAAATCGTACGTCACGTCGAAGTCCTCCTCCTACACACCTTCCATATTCATCTCTGCAGCAGTCGAATACGTCGAGCTCAGGTTTTACAGACCTTACAATTTGTACCGGTGATAATAATACCCGTCGAGCATCTCGAAAACCCCACTCACCATCAAAAGATCGCCCTCAAGCTCGACCAAGGCGTCCACAAAGTAACTACTTAGCCTCAAATGGAAGAAGTCAGCCTGCATATGAAAACGCTGAATCTTTGAGGCATCAAAATCAGCATAATGCAGACTGTTTGCCTGCTCAACCTCCTCCTTATCAATTTCCGGGACCACCGCCAGGAACGACTGTTATTTAAGGCCGTTTTTTATTGTTATATACATATATATATATACAGTATATACTGTATATATTTATATATATATATATTTATATACTACGATTTGTATACTTCTTTTGCAAAGTTTGTATTCGCTGCGTCTTATTAATTTGTGTATACGGAGGTATGTGTTCATAGGTAGCGAATTTAATTATTTATGTATACATGTATAATAGAAAAAGTTTGTACATGTATAGGTTGATATTTGAATCTACAACTATGAAATATGCTTGTCTCTATATATATGTATATATGTGAAAATGTATATTTATACCCCAGGAGCATATTATCCAACTAGGATGTATATAATTCATGTAGAATAGTCATGCCTCTAGTCAAAGGCTGTGCACATTAACGTAAGCAGATAAAAAATTGTTTATGTATATGAAAAAATTAACAGCGATATTTTTTTGAAGTATTTTCTGCAGTTTCACTTTATTAGAGAATTTTTATGTGATGATGAGGTTTGCTTGGTGCTAAGAGGATGCCTCTTTACGTCTAGAAAATTGATTTGTTTACGTAAACGAGCGTCTGACTTTACGACTTAAACCTGAATGTGCATCGTAAGTTACAAAAGGAATAAATACTAAGACAAGCTTGGTCCTCTTTATACACAAAATGAACAGAGAATAGGTAAAACATAGAAAAGTGTATTGCTCCACATTCCTAAACCAATTGAAAACATTTAATAAGGAACTCAACCAATTTATAAATTCTATTTGCTCAACAATTTTTCTATCTGTAAACTATATTAATAATTCATCATTCTCTTCATCAGCTAATTTTCTTTTCATTCTTTTCGGCTTACTTCCACCATCTCCCATCTTAGCCTCCTTATCAAATCTAATGGCTTTATTCTTCCCTTCCTGCTTCTCCACAGCTTTGTCGAGCAATCTTAAAAAGTCCCTACTGGATGGTTGCTTATTATTTCTTTGTGAGTCAGTTTGAGGGGAGAGTACCGGTAATTCCATAGGAAAATTATTCATCTTCCTATAATCAGAGTGGGAATAATTCTCAGGCTTGTATTCAGGGAAAGTTATATTGGCCTTTTTCAGCTCGTTTATATAATACAATGTTTCTTTTTTCAGATCTCTTATTTTTCGCTTAAAGGTCTGTTCGTTATTTTTCATTCCGTCAATTACGATGTGTTTGGATTCCAGCACCTGCGTAAGAGTCTTTATTTCGATCATCTTTTTCTCAAAAATTTTTTTCGTTTCAATACGACTTTTTCTGTTCAACTCCATCTTTTCCTTACATTCAATATTTAATTGATTGATCTTCGCCTCTAATTGCTCGCTCTCTTTCGCCATTCTAACTAGTGCTCTTTTTAATTTCTCCTCTCGAGATTCTGCCAGCAAGCATTTCTTCTCCGATAATCTTAACTTTTCTATCAGTTCTTTTTCTTTCTTTTGAAATTCTATTTGTATCTTTACTTTATCTTGATTTGTAATAGCTCCAGTGTGGTCAATTTCGGACTTTTCAAGAGCCTCTCGGCACTTTTTCAAATCAATCTAAAATAATATAAGAAAAATTAAGATATAAACGAAACTATAAATAACAGAAGAGAAAATATTCTTCAATATTTATTATTCAGTTTGTGAATATACTGCTTTGATATGTTTGTTTATTCTCCTATATTTAAAATAACTTACAGTCAAGGACTGGACAGCGCTTTCGGCAACTTCTTTATTGCTTACGGCTATATTAGTTAGTTCGACTTGTTTTTTGTATTCATTTTGATAGAACGTATTCTTCTCATAAATTACTTGCATCTGAAATTAGCGATTGCATTATCCAACTAAAACTTTTCTTATCATTATACCTCCTCTTCTTTATCACGCAATTTTAATTGCGCTTCAACATAATCGGCCCTAAAAAATAAAATATATATTTTATAAAAGTATATAAGCAACAAATATGATTTAGTTTCCTTATACAGTTGGGAAATAAATTAAGTTTATTTTGTATTAATCTTGACAATTCTACATGTGTTATTCGTAAATTGGTGAATCCTATAAATCATTACCTCATCTTGTTATATCTATCCGTCATTTGCAGTAAACTTTCCTTCTCTTGATGTAAAGCATTCCTATGACAATCAGAATTAATTATGATATAATAAACAAGAAAAAAATTACTCAATATCCGCTATCTTTATTTTATATGCTTGATTTTCTAGCCTAATATTCATCAGCTTGTCTGAGATATTTTTCAAGGGTCCCTAAAAATTCTTTTTTTTTTAATATCTTTACCTTAATAATCGAAACAAACCTTGACGGTGATTTCCTCGTTTTCAGAGCTCCTCTCATTTTGCAATAGAATCTATTAAAAAAAAAATAACATCATTATATCTCGAACATGAGTCACAGTTTATCTGCATGATAAATAGAAGAGAACATTCGGGATAGAGGGAAATTATATTTGCCTCTGGTTGAAAATGTCATTTAACAAACTTACTTTAAAGGAATCACGTTCTAGTGTAAGCTCCTTTAACTTTTCACTTGTATCTCTCAGTGAATGCTCAAGTTGTTTTATTTGGACTATTAGATCCTCTCTGTCAGCCTAATATTGCTTTTTCTTTATTAAAATACGTTAGGAAATTAATTTTAATACTTGCCTGAAAATTATTTTTTTCTTTCGACATATTTTCAAACTTCAGACTATTTTCTTCAATTAAAGTCTTATAATCTTCGATACGACCGTTTAAGGTATCAACGTCTGCCTGTTTAGCATCAGAGTGAAAAAACTAAGTATTTTAATATGAATGAAAATGATTACTTGAGTGGCTTTCAAATCATGACACAAAGCATTATTATTCCTTTCCAACTCTTCAAAATTTTTCAACTTTTCCTGAAAAAATGAATAAATGAAAAGAAATATCGATATATATTGATATTGAGGTACGCACTCTAAGAGTCTTATACTCTTGTTGAATGCTCTCCAATTGAGAGTTCTTTTCTGTTATATCTGTTTTCAAGCATACATTATTTCTTTTATAATTTTCTATTTCTGAATTCGTTTTTTGCAATTCGTTCTGTAATGGATTGTAAATTAATATCAAGTATTGCAAATAATTTTTTTTTAATAAACCGTCAATTGAATTTTCTGGTCTTTCATCTCTTCCACTTGTTTTTGTAAATAATCTTTTTCAACCAAAAAATGTTCCTTTGATTCATCCATTTCACTTTTCAGCATATGCAAATCATTTTCCTTCTTCAGAATTTCGTTCTCAAGAGATTCTTTTGCACGAGTAAAGTTTTGTGATTCTTCTGCTAATCGATTTGACATCAATTGCATCTCACGTTCTTTACTAGCAATGAGATCTTCCAGGCATTTGCGCATTTCTTCCGTATTAGTACCATTTTCCTCAATTTGATGCTTCAGAAGACTAATTTCTTTCTCGAGATCGTTTTTTTCTTTCTGAAAGATACTAACTGATCAAAAATTTTTCCTTGGAAATTGTACATATACTTTAAGATCTGTAGAGTCTGTTTGTAGAGATTGTATTAAATTATCTTTCTTTTCGGATTCAACTTTCAAGTTTTCTAAACGAGTCTATCGGAAGAAAACGTGTATTATTAATATAGAAGTATGAGAAAAGAGAAAGCAAATAACATACTGTAAGTTCTTGGATTTTAGCTGTGTCATCTTGAGAAATTTCGTCGAAGCGTACCCTTTCCTTTTGAAAGCTTTCTCGTTCCGACAATATCTGGTCTTCTAATTTCTTAAGAATTTGATCTTTTTTCTTTGAATCTTCCTCAGCATTAGCTTGAGTTTTTTTTAACGTTTCTTGATCTAATAGGTGTCGATCATTAGCTATTTGAAGTTCAAGGTCTCTTTTTGAAACTGTTTCTTCAAATTGTTTTCGAACATCCTCGGCTTTAGCGCTTAATTCAGATAGTTTTATTTGGAGAGAGGTGACTTCTTCTTCAACTATTCTTTTTTCGTGCTATAAATAATAGAACAAGCATTTTTAGAACTTGATACTTATAAAAGTATGAAATTTCATAAATATCACTACCGATGTTGCTTGCAGGAGAGATGTAAGTTCCCTTTCAGTATCATGGGCTCCTCTTAACTTTTCCTTATAGCAGTCTAAAATTATTTACATGTAAAGTCAGATAAACAAATAAAAGAGACAATTAAATACCCAATTCGTTATTTAATTCAATTATTTTCTTTTTGGCATTATTTTCTTGAACTGAAACATTTTTCGGATTAATTGAATTATTATCCATTTAAATTGTAAGTCAAATAAAGTAAATTTAGCTTAGATGAAGTGACTCAATGTACTATTTTACCAAGATAGTTCTCTCGTAATTGCTCAATTTCGATTTCGTGCTCTTTTAACTAAATGAGATTACAAATTATTATATTAAGACGTTTAAGATAAAACACCAACAACCTTCTTTTCTATAATTTCCTGAAATTGCTTATTTTTTTCTTTTCCATCGTTATAAAATGATGTTACTGAAAAAATTATAAATGTTAAGGAAGGAAAACAACGAGCAAAAATTGAATTCTACCATCTTTGGATAATTCCAAGTAATTTTCCTTCATATTACTGCAAACTTTGGAAGACGAAGTTTCTAGATCAGAAACTCGAGAATTGATATCTGCTTGGCTATCATGTAAATGCTGTATTCTCTGACCATCTGTTGAATTTAATCTTAAAATTTGATCTCTATGAAGAGAATCTACTTGCATTCTGTGATGTTAGTTGTTAGGAAAGTAGACTCTTTTTTGATAATTTCCATTAAATTACTGAGAATGGAGAATTTCTCAGCCATTTCTTTTCGTCTCTCCTTTTCGAAATTTTCATGTACCATTGAAGTATCTAATTCTTTCTAAAATTACACATAGAATCGAAATGTGAAAATTCTAAGTTTCGAGGTAAATAATTCTATTTTACTCGACATGTGTCCAATTTCTTTTGAAGATCAATATTCTCTTTTTTTAATAGATGTGCCTGACGTTCCTAAAATATGCCTTAAAAATTATTAATAGGACTTATATATGAGAGAATAATTATACTAAAGAATCTTTTTCTGACAAACATCCTTCCTTAAATTTTTCAACGTATGATAGCATATCTTTGAGGGTTAAGTCAGTGACGTCATGACCTGTAAAAATATAATTAGGCTAACAAGAAAGCTTTTCGTCAATCGTATAAATTTGGTTGAACAAATAGGAGTTGAGATGGAAACTTTTAATAAAGAAGACGTAAGGAGTTAATTGAAAATATTTTAAAATTGGTTTACTCCAAATATTTTAAAACCGTTAAGGAAAATACGATAAAAATTTTTAAATAATCTCTCAAATATAATAATAAATTATTATAATTTTATAGCGAGTTCGCTATTAAGAACATGTTCTAAGAACGCAATCATTATGTTTTTAATTAGTGAAAAAAATTAATAATAAATATTATGATACTTCGAGTTTCGTTCTCTCCAAATCGATTTCCGCACAAAGTTTTAGGAGACCTAGCCTCCAACTGCAAGAATTACAATATTATAAAAGGAAAGTAGTAGTGTTAGAATAAAATGGGCTCATTTTACTTTCACTTCTCTATAAGATTTGTCGGAAGTCAATTCAGTTTTCCATCGGAACGACGACGGAGATTTATAACCGTTTGATGTACTCTGCATTCTTTTTTATATTTCTGTATGAGTTGGAAAACGAAAAATACTTTGAATGATTTTAAAAAGTAAACCTACCGTAAACTTTTGATTAATTTTACTCTTTTGTTCCAAATCTGTTGTTCTATAAATTAAAACAAAAACGTATCGCTGGAGAACAAAGTTTTGAATGTTCCTGAATGTATCACGTGAGATATGAAAAAAACATGGTACATTATCACAGCTTCAGCCATTGAATATGAAATATAGCGTGGATAGCCGAGCCTGACTAAATTTATTTTCTAGAGAACAATATTTATTTCGAAAGAACATTCCGGGCGCGCGAAAAAGAATACTTAAACGATCACTGAGCAAAGTAATTAATCATTGTCTCAAACTGTAATGACGTTCAACAAACTTTATCTTTGAAAACTCGGGCAAAAAAAAACCTTTAAATAATAAAAATTTTATCGGGCGATAAAGGGTTCATGTGTATTTATTTTCTTCTGAAGAGGGTAAATGAAAATCTTGTAATTTTCAGATGATTTAGAATATCTGATAACACTTTGTAAAAGTGCAAAATACAACTTAAAATTTGCAAAACTGAGAAACTATTAAAAATCATGTTATTTCTTTGAAACTGACTTGAAAGGACTAAAATAATTAAGCATTGCGCACTCAAGTAATGCTTCATATAATGTTATATGGAAAGAAAAAATGTAATTAACTGGAGTACCAGTAATTCAGCCTATGGCTATCCATATAATTTGATCTTTTACATGTTTAAAAAGGGCGAGGTCTGTCTAGTTATTGCAGATTAATTGAGTTTATTAATCATTACACGATGTTTTTAAGTGTAGCTAGTTGCTTGTTTATTAATACAGTGCGATACAACTATTCATACAAATTTAATGTTCAGTGACTGGTCGCTTCTTGATCCATGCTGCTATTTTTGGATTCTCAACAACATTCTTGAGCATTTTTACGGTTTTTGGGTATTTTGATAAATCGAAATCCGGTAGGAAAAGTTGAACCCATTCGATTGTAAGAGAAGTACTCAATTCTCCAATAGTCAGCTAAATTAAGACAGATCATTTAGCAAAACTTGTTAGCTCTAAAAAATTATTGCTTACAGCTTTTGTAGATGTGAGGAAACCATCTGCACTAAGGGCATGTTCAAAATATTCAAGCATTTTGGGAACAATTTCAGTCTTCATTTTCTCAGCCTTTGCCTTCGTTTGTTCTTCATTCAAACCACCAAATTTCATGGCGATAAATCCGCTTGCAATATCATCAGCACAGCCCATTGCACTATCAATGATAGCGGCATCCATATCAGTCTTTCCGATTAAGTTGAACTTTTTTCCCAAATATCTTATTATAGCATTACTCTGTGGAATGTATTGATTATCGACTTTCAAAGCAGGTACCTGTTTTGACGGAATATCTGTAAAAAGGGAAGAACAATATACATTTGTGTTGCAAAATTACGCTTTTTATAAGCTTACCATTTTTGATTTTTTGCCACTCTTCATTTGTATAACGAGAATCAGTATAGTCTGGATTAATATAACAGATTGTAAAAAATCAGTAAGTCTCCAGGTAAAACAATGCACTTACCTTGTCCTGTCAAAGCGAAAATGTATCTGACTCCTTCGGCCCTTCCACGGGCATTGAAGTAGATGAGTTCGTATTTTGGTGCCATAGTTTTAAAGATTCTGCAAATAGAAAAGGAAGTAATTTTTTTGACCCATTTCAAGTCACTATAACACTAGTTAAAAAAAAAGAAATTGCATTGAAGCGGGTATTTCTTATCTCATAATAGATAAATATAGAGTTAAAAATTTTTTTCAGAATAAGTCTTACCTGTGTGTTAGTGTCTAACTTATCAAGAGATACTGCTGTCTTGCAAAGGGTGACGAGACTGAAAATTTCTCCGCCTTTATATGATTGCAGACGACGCCATGTAGGCCTAGTAATGTGAGTATTTCGGTCGTAACCTCATTTCAATTTTGCCTGTTTTCTGCTAGATAGTCAATAAAAAAATATTGTTAAATCTGAAATTTTATAGAAAAGTCATTTTTCTTACAATCGAGCCCATTAATGATTCCAAATGTATGCATATATGGTGATTGGAGCAGCCAAATTGCCTGGAGTGTTCTTGGAAAGTATAGGCTTAGCGTCTGATATAGGGACATTTGGGTCAAACTCAAAATCGTTTGGAACGTTCTAGACTAATACTGAATTTCGCAATAATCTTGAAATTAAAGAAGAGTAAGGTGTCAAAAACAAAAAAACCCTACAAATTAACTAATTTATTAGTTTATAATACAAAATTATATAGCCGTCATATTTTTCTCGAAAGTTTGAAAGTTCTTAATAATAACAAATGGGCAAATTCATATTAAAATAAGAAGCATTTGAAATAATTATATACTGGTCAAGGGCTATATTCATAAATTAATTTCTCAAGTGTTAGCAATATTGAATAGATTAAGCTAACACCATTTAAATATTGGCAATAATATAGCTCCTAATCACACTGAACATATAACATATGTTTATTTATAAACAAAATAAATTTATTCTACATTTTTATTTACACTCGTCTTAAAACTGGTGTCAAAAAACTGATATGCACTAGTTGCATGTTATCAACAATTTAGAAAGAGTGCTATAATTTTGGGACAAGATGATTTAATGGAATTTGAAATAATAAGAGCAGTAGGGTATATGTCGTGATGTCCTTTTATCAAATTGCTTAAACTTGATACAGCTAGCTTAAACCAGTTCAAACACCATTTTTTTATTGATTTTACAAAGAGAACCAGAATGCATATTTAGATTGCCAGGATTTTTAATTAAAGTACAAGTTTCTGCATTAGCAAATATTTAAACAATTTCCATGCTTTGCAAATTGTGTAATCAATGTTGTATTCAATATCTTAGATAATCAGAATCAGCAAGTTAAATTATGTGTAATATTAAAGCTATTTGTCAAAAAATGAGGGTGAAAAAGAATATGTTCTGTTTCATTTTAATGAACATAATACTCCTTTATCATTTGTTATTTGAAGATATCTTTCAAGATTATAATGATTCTTAATTGACAATGCTTTCAAGAAATTATATTATCTAATTTTAATATAGTACCAAAACTATCAACCAATGAATCATTTGACATACTGTATATTATATAATGTCTCTAGTATATCATTAAGATTGTAAATATTTGGAAATGTCCAATTTTGTGTATTTATTATTTATCAATCAAAATGCATAATGACAAGCAGCGGTACGTGCATATCTAATAATTTATCCTAGACCCAAAGTCAATGTTAAAGGTGGATTACTAGATTTCGGATAAAATTCCGAATACCACTCTGGGTGAACGACATAATTTGTTTGCTTAGGTTGTTTCGTTGCTCTATAAAAAGCTGGTTGTGTGTTCTGTTGAACTTTCAGTGAAGTCGGATCCCAGGCCAATTTTGGTTCAACTTTTATACTTTTAGTCATTTCAGGACGATTTGGAACATTCTTCACCACTTGATTTACCCAATCATTCATATTTTTGCGAGCTTCATAATCCCTCTTTGTTATCTTGTCATTAAACAAAGTTGGTAAAGGAACAAAATGCCTACTGAGAGCGTCATAGTCTTCTCTTTTGTTTTCAATTTCTGCAGGTCGACGCCTTGTTAGTGCTGTATAGTATTTTGCAGTCTTGATTCGATCGTGAGAAGTTTCACCTCTCAAACGAAAGTTTCCTCCCACTATGACTTTGTCATTTGGATCTTTAGTGTTTGTGTTAAGAGTTTTCGGAAGAGAGCAACTATTCGATTGAGGATTACTAAAAACTTTTCCTTCGATACATTTTGTTTTTTCCTCTGAGAGTTTATCTTGAAGATTTCGCAGGTGAGGGGGAGGCCAGTTAGGCGGACATACCATAGACGCGTAGATTTCAGGAGGTCTTTTCCCTTGAAGTGCATACCAAAGGGATCTAACTGCTCTTGTTTCTATAAAGAGGATAATATTTATCACAAATAATCTTTCTTGTATTTAAGACTTTTTTACCTAATCTTTGATTTTCCAATTTCTTTTCAATTTTAAAATTATTTTGTTTTAATTCAGAATTCTGTCTGGAAATCGGAGTACTTGGGCACTTTGGTAGACGAGCCGATTGGGATCCCTTATCTTTACTATTGTTCTGTAGATGTAATAAAAAATGACAAAATATAGTCGTTGTTTTAAAATGAGATAAGAGCAGATTGCTAAAATTGATACAATATATTAATACAAGTTAAGGCATTATTATTTTCTATATATAGTTTATCTATTTAAAACCTCGTGACTGTTATTATGCATTCGTACAAATAAAAATAGACTCTACTTTATTATTAATCAAATCAACGAAAGAATGAAAGGAGGGCTGTTGTTAAATATTTTGTTAATTTCTGTAATTAACATTAAATCAATTAAGTGTTTGACTGCATTAACATGCAATAATGACAATAAACTGAAGTTTGATTGCCACCCAGATAAGGCAGAAAGTGATTTAGCATTGGAAGAAAATTGCAAATCTAGGGGATGTTGTTATGTTCCATCTAAAGGAGATATTGATACACCAAGCTGTTTCTTTCCAGCTAATTTTAACTCTTATAAAATGCAGACAAAATCATGTGCTGCATCTGGTTGTAGATTTTTAATAAAGAGAGCAATGCCATCTGGTTGGCCAAGAGATATTAACGAAATAAGAGTGGACCTGACTTTTGGTGAAGATATTATTCGTATTAAATTTACGGACCCGAAAGACAAAAGATTTGAAGTGCCTCTTGTCAATCATTTCAAACAAAAGCCATTTTCAAATTCCCAATTTCAATTTGATTTCGTTCCAGATCCATTTGGTATTAGAATCACTAGAAGAAGTACAGGAGCTGTGATGTATGTCTTTATTAAAATTTTCAGTTTGTTATATACTGTTTTGCCCATTGCAGTTTTGATACAACTGGTCTAATAACACCAATCATTTTTTCTGATCAATTTATTCAAATTTCGACGAAATTAAATACAGGACTTGTTCAAGGTATAGGAGAGCATCAAACAAAAGTACTTTTGAATGCAACATCATCCCGAAAAAGATACTCTTTATGGACTAGAGATCAGGGTCCAACTTTTAATGCAAACCTTTATGGAGCTCATCCTGTGTATTTGCAAATGGAATCGGATTCATTAGCCAGTGGTGTTTTCCTATTAAACAGCAATGCTATGGATATCGACCTAACGCCCGCCCCGGCAGCTACTTTTAGAACAATTGGTGGAGTCCTAGACTTTTTTATCTATGCGGGACCGACACCTGATAGAGTTATATCACAACATACGCAAGTTGTTGCTAAACCTTTTTTTCCACCATATTGGTCTCTTGGATTTCATCTATGTCGCTATGGATACAATTCTGCTAAAAACCTAAAAAATGTTATAGATAGAAATAGAGCCATCGGTTTACCTTATGTAAGTTTTCAATTACAAATATTCGACAATCTCGTAACTACCTAATGAATTTATAATACCAAAAAGGAAGTTCAATGGAATGACATTGACTATATGAACGGCACAAAAGATTTTACTTACGATCATCAGAAATATTATGGTTTACCCGAAATTGTTAAAGACTTACACGAACACGACCAAAAATACGTGATAATTCTGGTATGGAGTATTTCTTATTAAACAATTTGTCCTAATTTGTTTCATTTAAAGGATCCTGCTATTAGCAGTAACCAAAAACCTGGAACTTACAAGCCCTACGACGAAGGTTTACGTAGAAAAGTATTTATGACCAATGAATCGGGTGGCGTGCTTATTGGAAAAGTTTGGCCTGGAGAAACTGCTTTTCCAGATTTCTTTCATAACGATACCATTGATTGGTGGACAGATCAGCTTTTTGACTATCATAGGAAAATTCCGTATGACTCATTGTGGAATGATATGAACGAACCATCTAATTTTGTGGAGGGTTCAATTAGTGGTTGCCCTAAGAATTCTTTAAATAATCCTCCCTATACCCCTCCTATAACAGATGGAAGATTGTCTGCTAAAACTGTTTGCCCGTCATCATTGCATCATAAATATCATCATTATAATGTTCATAATATGTATGGTTTATCTGAAAGTAGGGCATCTCACATTGGCCTTACCAGGTTGCTAAAGAAGCGAACTTTTGTTATTTCAAGATCAACTTTCGCTGGTTCAGGTAAATATTCCGGTCATTGGGGAGGAGATCAAGCAGCAACATGGCAAGAACTTTATTATTCTATTACCCAAATGTTGAACTTTCAACTTTACGGTATTCCCTTTATGGGAGGAGATATTTGCGGATTTGTCGGTGATACTACCGAAGAACTATGCATCAGATGGACTCAGGTTGGTGCATTTTATCCATTCATGAGAAATCATAATAATTTAGGAGGAAAAGATCAAGATCCGGCAGTTTTTAGTAAACGAGCTCAAGAAGCAATAATCGATGTAACCAAGTTTCGTTACTTCGTTATGCCTTATCTCTATAGTCTTCTTTATTTGGCGTCTACCACTGGTAAACCAGTAGTTCGACCTCTGTTTTACAATTTTCCAGCCGATAAGATCGCTTGGCCAATCGATCAACAATTTATGTGGGGGGAATGCCTTTTAATATCTCCTGTTCTTACGCCAAATACTACAGTCGTTAGGGCCTATTTCCCGACTCAAAGGTACTACGACGTAAAAACAAAGTTAATTCTGGATTCAACAGGTCAATGGCTTGAATTAGCTGCTCCTTTGAATACAGTCAACGTACACCTTTTAGGAGGCTGTATCTTACCTACACTTTTACCTGAGACAACAACAACTAAAGCGTAAAAAATTTTTCTTATTAATGCAATAGCAAAGTCTATTTTTTTGTAACCATTTTCCAGTCGACAGAACCCATTTGGTGCTCTAATAGGTTTGGATAGAAATGAGAATGCCAAAGGTTTTATGTATTGGGACAATGGAGATGATTTAGGTAAGATGAATAAAACTGAAAACGTATTAATTATTAATTGTATATTTTACAAATCTCTAAAGAATACGGAGAAAGGAATACGCAAATTATCTTCAAATGGACAACTAATGCTGATAAGAAAACAGCTCTTTTCGAAGCTCAAACACTGATTGGAAACTATAAGGAAATGAAAACTTTAGATGACATTATCGTAATGGGCGTAAAACGCTGTCCAATCTCTATTAAAGCTGACCAATACTCCATACCGTTTTCTTGTAGCTTAACGGTAAGAATATGGTAATTTCTATAACCTAAATCACTTATAAAATGAATAATTATTACGCAGACACTAGAGTTATTTTCGGTAAAGTTGAATTTATTAAAGGCTGGGCAAATAGTAATTAAATACGAGAATTGATTGCAAGAAAGGATGAAGAATGTTTACTGGTCGTTTGTCGATAGCCCGCAGACTTCTCATTGAATATTGACGAATATTATATATACAGTCTTTGTACTGTATATTTTAAAGTTAACCGCCTGTTTGTCATAAGAAATAGACTAAAAGTATAAAAGTATAGAAACAAAAGAACAAAAAAATTATTATAAAATATTAACGAAACGTTGAATAAATCAATTCACTCGGATAGAGAGTTGTATGAACTGTTTGTTAAAAGTTATATTTATAGAGAAAGACTCTGTGGGGGCAGAGTGGGGAAATGGTGAAATGATATTTAATAGATAAATAGAAGAGGGAGAAAGAAAGAAATATTGAGATATATGTATATTGATAGATATACACTGAAAAACTTAAACAAGCAATCTGAAAAAGAAAAAGCTACTAGCATTTTTTATGATTGAGATAATCCCATAAGCCTTAAGCCTTCAATTAAGTCTACTCGAAAACCATAGGTCGCTATGTCGTTTAGAAAAAATACAGAAACGTAAGTGGTGTATTATCGGTTCAAAAAAAAAAAACTATTCGAAAACAAGAAAAAAGTTGTCAGGGGCTCTTTTGTTATTCTTTTATCGAAAGAGAAATTGAACTTAGGGTTAGGTTTAGTTTTCTGTAGATTAAGGTGAAAATTAATTAAATATGTTTAATAATACTGTAACTAACTGTTTTTTATACATTTAAAGAACTAAAGAAAAAGTACTTAAAGCTACTTTAAAAAGTTAACAAATTATTGAAATATATTAATAATCTTATTGGATTTAAAATTAGAATTATTGTTACAGTTACCTCTCTAGTCGGGCTAAGTTGTCTTACGTATTCTCTAGCGGAGATTGCCATTTTAAAAGTTGAAGTGAATATTGCCAATTGACGAATGTTTATGACCGAGACTTTATTCGATAAATCTCTACGGGTAACGAACTCCAATACGATTCGATAATAAAATACTTTTATGTTAAACCAAGCCGTACCGCCTATTATATAATTATTTCATATTACTCATTGTTCGTATCTATTATTTGAGGATTATAGAGATTACGACAAACTAGTTTGTTTGTTAATTGAATAAGGGAAAAAAGAGTCAATGAGAAAGAAGATAGACTCTTCTGAATAGTTAATATCTTTGTTATCCACTCAACGTTTTACTTCTACTAAGGAAATTATTATTTGCTAGATAAACTTTATATTTAATTAAAAAAAAACAGGCTTAATTAAAGAATTACTGTGAACATGACTGCAGTTTTCTATTATATATATTTCTCCTTTTATTACTTTATTGATTATTTACTTTATTAATTATGTTAAAATGTTTTTTTCGCTAACTTTTTTATCCTCCTTTAAGGACATTGAACATTCCTATTTCTTTAGTATTCAATGTTATAATAAAGGGTATAAAGCTCTCTCTCTCTCTCTTTATATAACTATAACTTTTGATCTAATTACTTTTCTATACTTGTGTCTAAGGCGTTGTTTAATAGTGAAAGAAGAAAGAGTTGGAGGCGGGAAAGGGGGCAGAGAATTGAAATATATGTATTATAATAAATTAAATCTACATAGGCCTATAGGATTGTAAATAGGTTCAGTCCCGAAATAATAATATTAAACAGGTTACCTGGTTTGAAAAAATAAAAATTGTCTGTAGAATTTTGCTCCCCGTTTAAAAAAGTATTTAAACTGGAGTAATTATTAAGAACCCTGTTTAGCTGAGCATTTAAAACATGAATTTAACTATTCGATTAGCCGCATATTCTATCAAGCTCCCAGGAAGTTCAGCTTTTAAAACTCCTTTATCAACATTTACAAGACTGATGTCCACGCAAAGAATTGAATTTGACACGAAGAATGCTAAGGGATCATGTCCTGGTGTACTTTGCGGAGATGCAAAGAGTAAGCCAAAGGGTGTCATCATTATTCACGAATGGTGGGGAATGAATGATCAAATAGCAGAAACCGGTAAAAAAATCTCCGAGGAGGGTGGCTTTACAACTTTAGTGCCTGATTTCTATAGAGGTCAGGTTGCTGCCGATAGCGAAATGGCTGGACATTTAATGAGTAACCTTGATTGGAAGGGAGCACTTTTGGTAAAGATTTGACCTAGTTAACTTAGCAATTGAACAATTTCTTTATAATCATTATTATATTGAAACTTGTTTACAGGATATTAGCGCTGCAGCTGAATACCTCAAGTCCAAAGGATGCAACAAAGTGGGAGTAATGGGATTCTGTATGGGAGGTGCATTGAGTTTCGCCGCAGCAGCCAGTTGTCCCGAAATAAGTGCTTCTGCACCTTTCTACGGTATACCTTCAGCAGAATTAGCCGATTTAACAAAAATAGCAATACCGTTGGAAGCTCATTTTGGTAAAAAAGACGACATAAAAGGATTCTCCTCACCAGACGATTATCTACCTTTAAAAGAGAAACTAGAAAAAGCTGGTGTTAAGGCTAAATTTTTCGAATACGATGCTGGACATGCCTTCACAAATAAGTCTGGCCCATTGAATAATTATAACGAAGCGTGCTGTAAGCAAGCTTTTGAAAGAGTATACAAACTCTTCCAAGATAATCTTTAAATACTTGAAGAAAATAGAAAATACAATTGAGTGAAAGAAATAAACTAATTAATTAATTAATTAATTCGGAACGTAGATTAATTTCAATTTATATTTAAAAATTTTATAACAAAATAATAACAAGTAACCCTATGTTTATACAACTACTACAATGTTTATTAATTGTTATTATCTTACAAAATCATTATATGGATTACGTAAGGTGTACAATGAAAAGGATTAAAAGAAATGATATAGAGATATTCTATACTTTACCTAAAAAAGGATATTCATTTATATTAGAACTTCGTCATAAAAGAGATAAGAGAGGTCAATCGATAAATTTAAAAATATCTGATTTTGAGAATTATTTATGTAAAAGATCAAATAAGAAAAATTGTTTATTTAGTGTTAGTCTAATAAGAAAAATTTATTCAGCAATTCTTGTAAATGTTACTTATATTACTAACGAAAGTAATCAAACTGCAAAATTAACTTTAGCTCAGGCGTTAAAGTTTTATATACATAAGAAAGAATTTCTCTGGGAAGATAAAACTGTAAATGATGTAATAATCTGCGAAAGGGGAAAGAGATTATTTTATGTACTCGACGAGATATTGTGCAAAGAATGCTCTATAGGTAGTTATTCAGATAAGCATAACCTTAAGAAATGCCATCCGTGTACAAGAGGCTATTATCAGGGGAAAGTTGGACAGACTGAATGCGATCAGTGTCCCGTAAATTATACTACAAGTAGAAAGAGGGCAATCCATAACTTTGAATGCGTTTTGATGGACGAAAACGGCAAACCGAAACCATTAGACAAATATCCTGAAATTGTTACTTTTCCTTATTTTATTCCTTATTTAACTCTACAAATACTAGTCTACTGTCTTCCTTGCATCTTCTTATATATGATCAAACGTAAGGATAGGAAAGACTCTGATACGTCCATCGGACTTAATCTTGAGAAATTATGGAAGAAGGAACACGACGGCTATCCAACAGTTTATCAAGAAGTTGATACGGAAAAGGTAAGAAGATTATCTCGAGTTTTAGGTTCTCGTAAATCCATAGGGCGACGGCCATCGCAGAATTTAGAGATTATCACCATGGAGATTCATAAACCTGCTCATAGACTAACTCAAGCCGATATTGATATTCAAGTTAAAAAGTATATAAAAGAGTTTAATAGGAAGCGGATGTCTCATTTACAAAATAGTATTGCCATTATACCTAATGGAAAAGACGAAGGTAGCGATGAATCTTTCCCTAAATATAACAAATTAGAAACTGTAAATGGTACTTCAAATGATGGAGAAGGTTGTTCGAGTTCAGCAAATTATCTTCCGGCCCGTCAACGAAGCGTCTCATTAGGAAAAACTGACACGAGTTCTCCTGACGAGAAATTTAATCATATAGTTAATTCCCCATCGCCAATGTTAAGGAGATCAGTGACTCCACCCAGTGAACAATTCAATAAAGTTCAATCTTTAAGATTTAGGTCAAAGTCAGCTCGCTGTCTAAAGAAATATTTTAAAAGTAGCAGACTAAACTGTAGTGGTTTGAAGGGGAGATACTACGAAAAATTACTCTCTATTGACGAATAAGTGTTTAGGCTGTAGATTATAATGAGAGTTATAGGCAAAGTTGATATCTTTTCAACTTTATTGTATTTTTTGTGTCTTTAAACAAATTCAATTATATAAAGTTAATAAATGTACAGTATATTAGGCACTAGATTTTAATAAAGTATTTATATTAAATTGATTACTTTTTAAACCAATCTGTCTATAAACGGCATCTTTCATTGCCATTTCTTCAGCAATTTGTTCAGTTTCTCCACCGGAGTAACCTATTAATTTCCTGTCTGCGTAAACTCCAATTAGAAAGGCCGATTCTACTGTATTTCTTCCATTTTCAAATAATATTCTAGTAGTTATTTCACCTTGGAAATTTTTAGACAGAATTTCGTGAGGATTTCGAATTTCCAGCATTTGTAATACATCATCACTTATTAATAGCGATAATATAAAATCTGTGATAAATTTTTCACAACGCTGTTGACTACCTTCTGTTAGGAGTAGACCAAGAAAAGCTACAAAAGAATCGTGGAGAATTTCGTCAGTCTCTTCTTCGCAGAGCTGAAGGTCCCTAAATCCAAGATTCTTGGCAACTCTAGAAACGGTTTCTATAGAACAAAGATTCGATGAGATCGAATTTATTCCATAATTTGGAACTTGAGGAAGAAATTCTGATAGTTTTTTTTTCGTACATTCTTCTAAGAATGAAAGACCTTTTTTACAATACTCTTCGTTATGTGTGTCGTCAATGTCATCCGTATCCATTTCTAAACTTTCCCTTTTTCGTTTTTCAGCCTCGATATAGCACGAATGAGTAAAAGCTTTTTTGAGACTATCTAGACTAACATCTTCATTAAGTCTTTTGGTAAAAGCATATAATTCGCTATCATAATTCCAATTATAGAAGGCTGATCGATGCCGGGGTTTTTCTGGACCAACTTCATTTCGCCTTTTGTACAGCTCTTGCAAATATGGTCGCTTCCAACGTTTAAATGATCGTGTGCAAACCAGATTAGGTGTTCTATTAAGCAAGTTTAGTTGAAAGATTCGAATAATATTTGTCCTACACGTGAGAGATGCCATCTTTAGGCGAAATATTCTACGCTTGGTAGAATATAATTGGTAGAGTTGGGCGAAATTGTCGTTGTAGACGAAACTGGTAGAAGAGAAAAACGTGTTTAGAAAGCTGTCTTATGCGAATTTTCAAATAATTATGAATAGAAAAAAGCAAAAATCCTCGGATGACGTGGAGGAAGAGCTTACATTGGAGACTGTTCTAGATCTTGGGGGTGAAAAGGTAACTTTGACTGAACATGTTCATTCTTCATAATTATATCCAAAATATTGTAATTCTCTCTTAACATTATCCTAAAGTTATGGAGTTTAGCATATAAATTAAGTATACGTATTAAATTAATGAATATTCGTTTACTACAAATCATAATTGTTAATAAATACTACAAAAAAACATTAGTTAATGGTTGAATTTTCCTTTCGATACTCTAGGAAGATTATAACCTCTTGAAAGATGTTGAAGATTGCGATGTGTTAGAATTTGAAGAGGATTTCGAAGCCGAACCTATTAAAAGAGATGATGTTAGTTAAATACATTGAAAAATAATCTGTAATTATAGTTTTCTCTTTAAAAAAAATAGATTAGAAGTTTTATTAAAAATTTGGGAATAAAAGAACATCGTGAAGAGTTTTATGGCGATACTGATGATAAAAAGAAGAAAGAACAAACTAAAGTAAAAGAAACTAATGATAAGAAAAAAGAGGAAGATACACTTGAAAAGAAGAAGAAAAATAAAAATAAATTCAAGTCGGACGACGAGGAAAAGAAAGGAAGAAAGCAAGAAAAGCTTAAAAATACTAATAACTTACAAAACCGAAAACATTTATTATTTAAAGATGTTGATATATGGTCATTTGATGAGGTTTGTTAATTAAGGACTACAATAATTATTAAATATAATAAAACTATATATTAACTTCATCTATAATTAAAGGAAAATACTTCGTCCAGTCAAGATGTTGAACTTGGCCCCGATTATATAGAAAAGACTAAAACTTATACTTGGAAAATATTTGATGAAGAAGTCAATGCATACCAAAAAGGTATAGTAATAATAAATAAAGACTATTTAATAGATAGGGCCTCATTATCGTTTTTTTATTTACTTATAATAGAACGAGACAAGAGAAAAAGTTCACAGAATAAATGGATGAAGACTGTTCTTTCTGGAGGAACTTTAAAAGATAAAACTGCAGCATTAACTCTATTAATTCAAGAGTCACCTTTGCACAATCTTCCAAATTTAGATAATTTAATTAATATGGTAAAGAAAAAGGGAAGAAGAGAAGCTATGATTGCTCTAGGTTTTTATCTACTAGATTCTATTATTGATACTGCTGTATTAGAAATATTTATTATTTTTATTTAACAGATACGCTTAGAGAACTTTTCATATCTGATCTGTTACCAGAAAGAAAGCTAAGGGATTTTGAACAGGTATTATTATACTATTACTATTGATATGATTAAACATATAGTTTTTTAAACATATTTAGTGTCCATTAAATGATGCTGAAATAAAAGCTGGTATGAGTAAAGATGATCGAGATAAAAAACTCATCTTTTGGATGTATGAAAGTGAATTAAAGAAGAAATACAATGAATTTGTTAACGCGTTAAGTGTAAGTTGAAATTCCCTGTTTGAATGTATTAATTTCATTTCATTTACATTTGTAGGCTCATTTAAATGATCAAATAAGTGGTACGAAACAAAAAGCCCTTGGTAAATATTTTGTTTTATTTTTTCGTGTTAATATCATTATTTCATTGTTTTTATTTAACTTTTTATAATAGGCACTGTATCGGAATTACTTGTTAAAAAACCTGAACAGGAAAAACAACTGTTGGCACTTATGGTTAATAAACTAGGTGATCCAGATTATAAAGTAGCTTCAAAAGCATGTTATTATTTAACAAGATTACGTAAGTTACAGCTGCTATATTATCATAATATCTATTACTAAAAATAAATATATTTCAGTTGTTAATCATCCAAAGATGAATAGTATAGTTGTTGATGAGGTAGAAAGGCTTTTATACAGAGCAAACATTGCTGTGAAAGCTCAGTAAGTTTATTATATTTGGTAAATGCAGACAAGATAATATAGCTTTATATTCTTTTTTGTTTTATTCAGATATTATTCAATATGCTTTTTAAATCAAATTCATTTTCAAAAAGATGAAAAAAATCTGGCTTCAAGACTGTTAAAAACATACTTTTCCTTTTTTAAGGTTATATTCGTATTTCTTTACGAGAAAACTTTAAAGTTTTTAGAATTTTATTATTATATTATCTTTGTTGAACAGGCATTTGTCCAAAAGAAGGATGTGGATAATAAAATTATGAGCGCACTTTTAATTGGTGTGAATAGAGCTTTTCCCTTCGCAAAAGGTACTAGTTCTCTTCAAGTTCTTTTCATATGATATGCGTATATATACTGTGTATATACATAAGATATACATTATAAAGCTGAGTTTATTTTCATTTTATATAATTGCAGATGATCAAACAAATATTCTTTCCGAAATCGAACCGTTATACAAGCTGATTCACACTGTCAACTTTAATACAAGTTTACAAGCATTAATGTTATTATATCAGGTTATGGATGCAAGGTGAAAATTCAATTGCCTACTATCTAAATCTATATTTATGATTTCATTTACTAATTTATTGATTTATTCCAATAGCGACAATATAAGTGATCGATATTATATGGCTTTGTATAGGAAGATGTTAGATCCCGCTTTAAAAAATTCTTCAAAACAAGTACAATTCTTGAATATTCTATTCAAGAGTATTAGAAAAGATACATCGGAAAAGCGAGTTAAAGCGTTTGTTAAGAGATTATTAGCGATTTGTTGTGTTAATTCTCCTAATTTTATTTGCGGTGCTCTGTTGATTGTTAGTGAGGTAAGGATATTTCTGTTTAACTTTTTGTATAATTTCTAACTGGTTCATTTTTAAAAAAGATTTGCTCAGAAAAGAAAAATTTACTTGTTACTGAAAAGTATGATGAGGTATATAGGCTCATATACCTTTATAATTTTTTATAAATATTTCTATACTATCTTTTAGGATTCGGATGACGAAGAACGTTTCGAAGATCAAGCAGACGAAGAAGACGAAACGAAAGAAAAGGAAAATGGAATTGATAGCGTCGATGTAAAATCTCCAACTAATAAGTCATCATGGATTCATAAGAAAAATTTAGGGAGTAAGAACAATTTTTCCAATGAATGGATAGCAATATTCTAAAATATTTTTATTTTATAGCAACTCAGGAAACTTCAACTTATCAACCAAATGTTAGAAACCCATTGTACTGTAATGCGGATCATGAATGTGTGTGGGAATTACAAAAATTAGAAGCTCATTATCATCCTTCAGTCTCTCTATTTGCAAAAAATTTACTTAATGTATGCTTGCAATATTCCTAAAAAAATAACTTCACATTTCTAAATATGCTTTTCTTTTCATGCAAATCTTTACAGAATGAAAAAATTAAATATGGGGGGGATCCACTAAACGATTTTACCCTTATTAGATTTTTAGATAGATTTGTATTTAGAAATCCTAAAAAGCACTTGAAAGATCCTGAGGAGAAGAAAGAAAAGAAGAAACAAAAAAATTACAATGACATTGCCGTTAACAGTGAAGAATTCGCAAAGAAAAAAGAAGAGGATGTTTCTGTTAATGATGTATTCTTTCATCGGTTCGTTTTTGTTTAAATTCAATGTATAGAGAATAGAATTGTAAACATTACTTACTCTATATCACCAATAGGTATTTTACCCAACAATCCGCTAAATATAAGTCTGGAGGAGCAGGTAGTGATGATGATGATGTCAGCGATGACGAATTTGAAGACTTTTTGGGTAATTAGAGTTAAAATATATAATACTTTTAATGACAGATGAACAATTATTATTTCATTGTTATTTAGATGGAGTGAAAAAGAGTAAGAAAACTACTAAGAAGAAATCGAAAAAAGACGACGACGACTATGATGATAATAGCGATGAGGATGCTGATATAGATAGCGATGAAGATATTGATTTAGGCAGTGATGAAGATATCGATATGGGTAGTGCGGAGGAAGATTTTGAGGATGAAATGGATGATATTGATGATGAAGGCGACGAAGGTAAAGAAATATTATATTAAAACATCTACAATAAACATTATTTTTATTAAAATTAGACGATTCGGACGATTTCGAAGAATTTGAGGCAAAATCTAATAAGAAAAATAAAAAGAAACAAGAGTTCGTTATTAAAATTTTCAGTTTGATTTATTAATTAAGCAAATCTATTTTTCATAGCTTATCGGATTTATTTGCTGACGCTGAAGAGGTAATAATTTGCTATTTCTAATACAAAACTTAAAAATTAATATTCCCTATCTTTTGCGCTTAGTTTGCGGAATATCTGGAGGAAGGAGCAACAAATAAAAGTCATGGAACTATGTCTAGTGATTATGTAAATAAAGATAATTCTTGTAAGTATATCACGCTTTTAATATTTATATAATACATTATTAATTATTTTTATAATAAATTAAGCTATTAAACAATTAAAATGGGAGAGGAAAAGAGAAGGTCAAGGCAAAAAGAGAAAAGGAAAGAATACTGGTAAAAAACCTAACAAGAAAAGACGGAAATAGATCAACAAAATTTATTTTCTAAGAAAAGACTTTATATAAAACAGTATAAAAAATTGTTTTAATCATTAAAGAGGATTTCTGTAAATTCATTTATCATATTGCTTGTAAGTTCAGCTTGAATTTCATTGATTTCTCTTTCGTGATCACTTAAAAACAGGAAAAGAAAAGAAATAGAATTATTATTACTTTTTTCTACTTAACATAGATTATTAATTTTTTATTGAACAAACTTACTAGATTGTTCTCACATCTTTACATTTAAACCTTTCAAAAGGTTCATCTTGAGACTTGGCTTTAGAAATCTTTTCAGTAATACTTATGTCTTCTTTAGAAAGATCTGTATCGTAGGCTGTATATTCATAATTATCTTCTAAATCTTCCTCCTCTGATGGAGATGTAAAAAATCTTTTCATTAATCGGGAAACTAAATCGACCAATATACAAACCATTCGTTTCTATCTTTTGTTTAATAATTTTAGCCTTTTTTAAAGACGCCTTCGCTAAAATATCTTCTCCACTTTTCTTAGCAACCAAGTGTAATTTCTACAAAATATTAGACAATACAAGTTAAAAATTCGACTTAAAATATCAAATTATATACCATGAATAAATCTTCTTCATTCAAATCAACTGCCATAAGAAAGGCTTTTTCAAAAGCTGAATATCTTATCAAATGTTTAAAATATCTTCGAGCAAGATTATCAACGTTCTTCTTGTATGTAAACTGAATATCCTTATCCCAATTAGAAACTGGCGAATAGAATATGGCTAGAGCGCACTCAAATTGATTTTCACTTTCAGCAGTTAACGGCTGTCTTAACAGATAATTAATAATGCAAGCCAAACTGGCAAAAGTTCCATCCCTTTCCCGATCCCAATTAAGGGAAGAGGTAAATTTTATGGCCTGTAATAAAGAAATACAGTATAATATCGTATACTTTTCAAATGTTTTATATAATTACATAATCAATTTGGCCGTTTCTTAAGTAAAATTGAACGAGATATAGAGGAGACCAATATGCTTGTGTTTCAGCCGGATAGAAAATGCGCAAAAGACCAAAAGAAAATCCTTCAAAGTTTATAAGTAAATGGTCGCAACAATCTACAACAACACCTTGGTCCAAATTCAATTTATTCCAAGCAGCTAATTGAAATATTGGTGCCGATCTATAAAGATAATTTTCAAATATACTATATTAATATAATTATTTATATAAACGGAAAAACCTTAAAATTGATGAAAATTCAAAAGTTTCTTTTCCATTTTTAAATTGGTCGGATAAAATCGATGTTTTCCAAACATTCAATGAAATATCATGAATCTATTAGGGGAAACGATGAAATGTCATTATAATAGCCTATACTTAGTAAAACTTTTAGTTAAATTATTTACCTGCATTTCGGAACAATCGCTAAATACTACATAAAATAAATCCGAAGGATGCCAAATAATACTATTCACATTCTATAAAATGAATAATGTTTTATTATGAAATAGAGAAATTTAGTGAAAAGTCGCTTACCAATTTTGTATGGCCTTTAACAATAATGCACTTTTCCAAGTGTACAATACACATCGTACCGTCTAAACAATATAAAACGAGTCTTTGCTGATCATTCGACCAGCTACAAACTAGGACGGAAGATGATAGTTTAAAAATTTTTCTCGAGTTATCTCTTGGAAGCTGTAATACATAGTTTACTAATTATGAAGAATATAACAATAAATAATAATCTTTACACTGTGTTTACTAGTTTGTTTCGCATCGTAACAAACAAGATTGATTTGAGTACAACCATTTTCGGCAGGCGCTTGCTCGACGCTTAATAATTTATTGTTATCGTTGATACTGTATAATTGATAAATGAATAAATACATAAATAGAAGATTATGAGAATAGTAGAGATAAAAAAAAAGGCAAACCTAAACACAACAGAAAGAGGATCGCTTTCAGAATTTCGATGGCAAACTATATTACTTTTTTCCCTAATGTTGATAAATAACGTGTAAAAATATATATATATATATATATGTATTAGTAATACATTGAATAATATTACTCTACGAACCCTTCTAAACTTATAAGAACAAGATTAGATCTTTCGTCATCGGCTGTCCAAGGTCTTGCTTCATCAGTGGAATTTGTCCACCAAATACACGCCTTTTTACATAGAAAGTTTAAAAGTAATAATATATTAATATAAGATACAAAATTGAATTACAAAGTAAACAAACCAAATTATTAAAGTTACTATAGATAATATTTCGCTGTAATTTTCTTCCAATCGGCCCAGGTAGAGGTAATTGCGTGACCTACATTTTAAAAGAGAAATCTGTTTATTAACAAAGAAACAACAGTAATGATTAAAGATATTGAACATACATTCAATTCTTGAGTTTGTATTAGTCCAATAAATTTATCGGTTATGATTGAGAAAAAATAGTGAAAAGTAGGAATATTCGAATAGGTAACGGCAGCAAAGTTACTTTCCAATATGGCTAATATGAATATGTTTTTAATATATTAATATAAATACTGTATATATAAAAACAAACCATCGCTAATAATATTATTTCCAACTTTAGCAATTAAACTTTTATCTAAAGTAAGACTATCGATATCTCCCGTATGAAGGCTTACGCTAATGTTAGCCAATAATCCGTTACTTAATACAAGCTAATAAAAAGTGTTTAGAAATTAGGTAGTTAATTTAAATAATAAATATTAACAAACAAATAGAATACCTGTAGATCGTAAGGTGTGTTCCATTTGCATTTTACACAGGTATTTAACTTAAGGGAATCCTGTTTTTTTTGTATAAATGTTAATTTATCTTTTTATTATTACATTATTAAATGTATATATACTAATATACAATTACCGTTAATTCAATAATCGCTTCTTTTAGTTTTCTATTCTTTAGAATGTACGTAGAATCTCTACCTATTGGAACAGTTAATTTTTTTGTTCTTTCAGTAAATCATATAGACGTATATACGCATATTACTTTCTATATAATGCATCTTTTGTATTTCGCTTGTTGCCTTAAGTTTTTCAGTTTTATCATGATAACGAGAGAAGCCGACATCATAGTCTTGAAAGAATATATAAAAGGAAACATTGAAAAAAAGTTAATATGTTAATGTTATTTTACCATCGCCGATCAGATCGTGTTTAAAAGTCCAAAATTTTACTTCAAATAACGCATTCATTAATTAAACTTTTAATGGAATTTTTCCAGGTTAATCTGATAAAGTTGTGTAGATTTGTTTGGTTGAGCGTTATTAAAAGAAAACATTTAAAGTAAAATATTCTTTATATTTTATTATTTACGTAAACTGGTAAGACGTTTAAAAATAAGTTTCAAGTTTTCCTTATAGCACCAATTTAACTATAGATTAGTTTTCATAAATTGTATTTTTACTAACTCATGTATCGTAAATGAACAATTCAATGCATTAACGTAATGTTGAAATCATTTGTAAACATGTCAATCAACAATAAGTCAAGATGAAAATTTTATGTTGTAAATCATAAGAATTTTTTGAATTTTCTTCTCTTCCTCAACAAGATGAGTTTTTTCACTAACTAGACGATTAATAGCAAATGATAGGCCATTAATTTCATTCCTTACACTCTGTAATCTATTCAACATAGATATTTTTTTCTTCTGCCTTTCGTTTTCACATTCACACGATACTCTAGGCTTATCGTTAGGCTTACTGGGAGAGAAATGTATGTGTTTGGGTGGTGATCTTGGTGGTCTTGGTTTATGAAGTGAATACTGTTTGCTAGAAGCCAATTCTAAAACTTTACCAATAACCAATCTATCGGGTAACTTCTTCTCAGTCATACTACGATTGCTGATTATAACTGGCAATTCTTGTTTGTGAGCGTTTTGTATTCCATTAATTAGTCGAACGTTATGCAGCAAAGGTTTTGTACCGTCGCATTCGAAAAACAAATAATCCGTAAGACAGTTTAAAGGTGGCCGTTCAATGGAAAAGAGTTTCGTTTCTCCCGGTAGAAGTGTAACTGGACCGTCCAAGACAAGAGGAAGACCTTCAACGTCGATTACGAAATAATCCAATAGAGACTTTGCAGTATCCTCTTCATTTCCAATCTTAAGCATTTCATTCAATGAATGGAATGTAAAAGCAAGTTCGTCTCTACATGCAACATTCATTTGTCTTATGGGAACTATTCTCTTCTTTTTCATTATATCTTCGGGCCAATCGTCATCCGCTTTAATGGATAAACTTTTAGCAAGTTGTTCATGTAATGCCATAATAATTGAATAACTCGACAGAAAATATTTCTCTCGAGTAGACAATAGCTTCTAATCACTTTTAACTTTGAGCTGTCAGCTGAGTACTTTCTTTAAACAAGTTTTGTTTAGACCATGTAAAGTATAAGTTCGTCCAAACTAGGGGTGTCGGGATGGGGGTTTGAGTTTTTTTGCATGTAAAAAATGAGGTAAGTTAAGTATAATCGTAGTAATTAACTAGATCAGTTGAATAATCTTACGATTATGATATGAAAATTAAAAATTGATATTTAATTATAACTTTAAAACCTTTTTTTTTATTAGACATTTGAACGTGAGAAACAAGGACATTCCACAATAGAACATTTTGCAATGTAACAGTTGTTTTTTGATTCCCTACGAAATAAGGTGATGCTCTTCTTATTTTTTTGGTCTGTTGAAAAAAAATTGGCTATAAATTTGTTGAGTCGTTTCTTTTTAAAGATGGAGATTTTAATCTTGAATTTCTTAATTCTAATTTAAGTTTAATCTCTTCATCGTTCCTTTGTTGATAAATTGTTTCTGTTAAGTTATTATTAAAGACTTTAGAGTTATTAATCTGTTCTTTTAAACTTATTATATATTCTTCTAATTTGATAATTTCTTTTGTTTTTTCATTTGTTAATGCTCTATTATTCTCAAGGTCAACTGCTAATTTCTGAGCCGATTGAAAGAATACAGCACGCTCTTTTTCATATAATTTTAAACGGTTTTTCAAATCTTGATCCGGAATGCTTTTACTTTGTTGAACATTTTGAATATTATCTATTTTTCTCTTAAGTGTGGAATTCTCCGAAGTTATTTCGGTAATTTGTAATTCAAGCGTTTGTATATGAGATTCTTTTGTCATTGAACTTGTTTCAGTTATATTTAACTTATTCTTTAATTGAAGATTTTGCTCTTTTTCTATTTGTAGTTCTTGTTCAATTTTATCTAAGAGACTTTTGTAAGCAGTTGGAGTCATTCGTTCCTGCGTACTTTCGTCCACAGACTGAGAATACGCACCTATACTACTCTGCTGTCGAAGAGCCTTAACATGCTCTTCGGCCAATTTTCTCGAACTTATTTCCTGATATAAACGTTTCTTTAGAGCGTCTATTGTCTTATCGAAATTTGTATTTTTTGAACTTAACGTTTCCCTAACTTCTTGTAATGCTAATAGAGACGCCTCTGTTATGTTTAAATCTGTTTTTGATTTATTTAGCTCATTCTGTAGTTGATTAATTTCTTCTCGAGAAGCATTTGATAATTCGAATAGCTCAGAACGTAAGAGAAATACTTCCTTAGTATATTCTTCTTTCACTAACTTAATACCTTCTTTCATTTGTTCAATATTCATTCTTAGTTTATCATTTTGCTGAGCGATAACACTATGTTTCTCCCTTTCATTCCTCAAATCCTCAGATATATTATCAATAACAGTTTGGCTTTCCTTTAACTCTAATTCAGATTGCATCAGTTGACATTCCAACTCTTTTCTTCCCTTTGCTTCACTCTCCATTTGACCGATGGATTGATAGCAAGATCTAATTTGAAGATCCTTAGTTCTAAGCTGTTCTTTCAGATCAACAACTTCCTCCCTTAAACTCTTAACAATATCCTCCATATTCTGTTTATCTTTCTTTACATGACTAATATCGGAAATAAAATCTTCCCTAATATTATCTATAGCATGTTTGTATTTATTTTGTTCCCTTTGCAGCATATCCTCGCACATTTCCAACTTACGGAACGAATTCTTCGACTCTTCTATTAATTTTTCATTTTCATTTCTCAACTGTTCCATTTGTAATCTTTCTTGTCGTATTCTTTGTTCTAAATTGCTAACTTCCTGTTCGTAATTTTTTATTTTCTCAACTAAATGTGCTTGTTGTTTTTCCTCTAAAAGATATTGTTCTCTTAACGACATATGCAAATTTTGTTCCTTGTCGAAAGCGGCTTGAACCATCTCCAATTCGATTCTCATTTTTTCTTGAGCATCGTTTAGGAAGTTTAATTCGCCTCTCATATTGGAAATTTTTTTCCTTTCTTCCTTAAGAATTTGTTGATCAGTGAGAGCTTGTTGTTTAAGTCTTTGATTATCCTTTTGTAAAAGTTTATTTTGATCCGTAAATTTACTAAGACGAGAATTTAAACATTTTTTCTCATCTTCCGCTGCCGCTATTTGACTTTGAACATTTCTAAGATCGCCTTGTAAAGATATAATCATATTTTGAGCATTATTATAAAGTTTCTCAGATTCTAATGACGAATTTCTGGCATCTCCTAATCTTCGACTATTCTCAATAATATCATCTTTAGTTCTCTCTAATTCTTCGCTAAGTCTTTCTATATCTCTTTCGAAAGCAAATCTATCTGAAGATAGGCGTTCTTTTTCAGCTTTTAATTTTTCAATCAATTCTTTCATTATGCATACTTGTTTCGTTTTTTCATCGTATTCGCTCATGACCTTTTCCAATTCTTCTCTATTTGATAAATTATCCTCTGTTACAAATTCTAATTTTCTATTTAAATCTTCAATCTCTAAATTTGCCACATTTAATAAATTTCTCGTTTGGCTCATTTCACAACTACGAGCTTCGGCTTCGGACTTTGAGGATACAATTTCTCCCATTAATATACGATTATCTTCTTTCAGCTGAGCAACGGCTTCTTCGTAGTCTTTTTTCAATTTTAATGTTTCGCTTTCCATTGACGATAGAATTTCTTGCGATTGATTCTCCATTTTCATTGCTTTTTCTTCGAATTTTATTAATTCCGCCTTAAATTGATCTCTTTCGTTGAAAGAATTATTTAATGCATCTTCTAGGTCAACTCTTGACGCCATCAGTTGAGCAACAATACTCTTTTCTATCATTAATTGTCTTGTAAATTCCTTTAGTTTTCTTGTCAATTCCGTATTATCTTTTAGAGTTTTATTTAAGGAATCCTTAGAAGATTCAGCGTCATGCTTAAGCTTGTCAATCTCGATTTCCATTGATTTTACTTTCATCTCTGATTCAACGATAGAAGACGTTAGATTAATTTGACCATTCTCGACAAGAGTCAGTAACCCCTCTCTTAGTTCATCGTTCTTTTCTTGGAGGACTTTTTCTAGCATCATACTTCTTTCTTTCAATCTTTCATATTCGCCAGTTATAAATTCGAGTTGAACGGATTTTTCGCCTAGCTCCTTCTCCATCGCTCCAATTTTCGCTTGAGCATCTTTAACTTGTTGAGCTTTAATCATTTCCGTTTCTTCAATTGCAGAGCCGTCGTCAGCATCTGCTTCTCCATTAGCTCTTAGATGCCTTGGACGAGTCGAAGGTGCTGTAGCACTTCGAAGAACATCGCAAACTCCTAGACTGTCGTCAAAAAAGGTGGTAGACTGATAGTTATTATTACTAATATTTCCCCTATTTTTGACATCTTTTAAAGATAATAGAGCATATTTCTCGCTTTCGCTATCTTTAAGTGTTCGAAAAAGATTTTTCGAGCGGAAATGATCGTCTCCACTAAAATCTTCTGCAGTATAACTAATATCTTCACCTGGTTTACGAGTACTCATTTTCTTATCAGTAAAGTAGACATTTTTATTTAAGGTATACATAGCTCTTTTGACATCCTTTTCAAAAATGTCCATTTCAATTTTTGTATAATTAAGAACCGGTAAAGTTACTTCTACTTGACCTTCTTGATTTTTAACTCTATCTATTCGACATTTGGTTTCGGGTAGATTTAAAAGGGTCTCGCATACTTCTGGCTCTCTTAGCAGAGAACATAAATAAGCAGGACCGTTTAGCGAAGTCAACTTTTCGCGTACATCATTATTTATCTTTATTAAAGTTTGCATAGATTCATCTTTCATCACCGACTCTTGTAATTCTCTATCTCGTTCGATTACGTTAACAATCAATGGGTTTAATAGAGCATAAACAAGAATATCTCGATTGGGGATAATCTTTTTCAGATTTTCAACTTCCTCCGCATCTTTAAAATCATCTCTCTTCATTACGTTAACAAGAACTTCTTGTTGCAGAATTAGTTCTCTATCTTCAGCATTCATCCACAATTGGGCTAAAACCTCTGGTTTAGATGATAAATACTCATGAAATCCAGGATCTTGTAAAAGTGTTCGACGCGTAGAGTCATCTTTCAAAATAATAGGTAAAAGTTCAGTAGTTTCCCTTGACAACGCATTGTTATTTACCTAATGGATTATTAAAAAGTAAATAGATAATTAATTATCATATTTAAAGAAGAAATGACAAATTGAAAAAAACTCTTATATAACATTTAATTTTCCATCTTTTTCAATAGTTTTCCGAAATAGGTTTGTCAAGTTTTTTTCATTCTCCATTTTTTAGTTTGTCTAGAAATAAAGGATGACAAATTTATTTAGAAGATGTTAAAAAGATGTTAATTAAAATTATTAATAATGTTATTCGAAAATTTAAGTGTTATTGATGCCGCAGATTTTTTTCATTTATTCAAATTTAATAATAATAACAATATTATATTTATGAAATTAGTTATTTAATGACTAATTCATATATACAAAACAAAATAACCTAAATTGCCGGTGAAATTTTTAACTGTTTATATTTTTTTGACGAGAAAAAATTTGCATATTAGTTTTTTTGTTGAGCTCTCTTTTCTTTAACGCGCTCAGCTAGATATTTGACTCTTGAGATACACTGATCCTTCGTTTTGCCTGGAATTTGCTCCGATATCTGCTCCCATCGGTTTTTAACCGTTTTAGGATAATTTGCTAATGCCCATTCTAATATCTTTTGTTGATTCTGTGTCCAAACATCTTCATCGCAAATATACTTTTCCTTTGAATATCGTTGATCTTCATTTATTTCCTTATCCCTAACTGTAATATCATCAGTAGCAACAGCTCGCCTTTTTTTCACAATAACTTCATTTGACGTTAAGGCTGTTGATTGTAAAACAATTTTTATTATAAGGAATGAAGAAACTATTGGTCAAAAAGTTTTATTTACCTTCAGTTGAGACTCCTTGTTTAACTTTTTTAGCCATGGAGGATACATCATCAACAGATCTTTTTAGGAAATAGGCAATTTTCTCCCACCTATCGAGAGTTCCACCGGGGAATTTTTTCATTGCTTTGGCTAATTGAGATATTTCATGACTATTCCAAGGAAGAGAAGAACCCGATGTTTCGTGTTTCGGCTCCTTCTCTTCGTCCGTAGTATTTAATTGAACGTATGAAAAAGGTTCTGCTCTATATTCATTGGAGAAATCACGCTTCAAAAGTTGCTCCATTGCCTCAGCTTTAGCCTTTTTGCTCGCTTTTCTCCTCTCTATATTTAGATATTAAATAAATAAAACAAAGCATAAACTTCATATGGATTATAAACCTATTTTTTTAAGTTCTTCTTCCTCTAATCTTTTCTGCTCTTCGATTCTTAATAGCTCTTGCTCCTTTAGTTGGCGCCTCCGGGCCATAGCTTCATTATAAACGCCTGGTAAACTCAAAAGAAAAGAGTATAAACCAATGCAGATTGCAATTGGTAGCAAGTTAATTAATGTTGGTTTTTCAACACTCTTTTCAATGTCTTCTGTTAGTTTTTCTTCTGATTCTTCTTGTTCAGCTTCAATTTCAGCTTTCGTTTTCTTTTTTTTATCTCGTTTAATCTTTTTTGGTTTAGTGATTTCTTGCTAAAGAAAAGATAAGGGAGAATCATGATAGCTTTCCTTTAAAATAAATGAATAAAAGTATTTTCTTGAGTTTCATACCATAACGAACTTTTTTTCGCAATAACTTGTCCATAAGAATATATAATGTCCAGCAGTTGTCATTAATGATAGAATTATTAATATTTCGCCTAAGCCCATTTTTTTAACTTTTCTATAATAATACAAGGGTTGTCTCCAATCTGGTAAACCATTGTCCAAAACATTATCGTACCTATGAATAATAAATTACAATAATTAATAAAAGTATATATATATATATATTTGTATATTATAATTACACTTGTCTCTTTTCAGAATCCTTTAAAATTTCATAAACAGCATTTATTTGACGGAATTTTACTTCGGCATCTTCCTCTTTTGATTTATCCGGATGCATTGTTAATGATAATTTTCTATAAGCTTTACGAATTTCTGATAAGGAAGCATCCTTCAAGAATTATTAAGGAACGTCAAATTTTCACACTTTGTTATTGTAAACGAAAAGAAGGAGAAAGAGAAATCCTACCCTATTTATACCGAATAATTGGTAAAAATTTGTATTTAGTTCTTCGACAACGTCGTATATTTCCATATCCTGTGTATTCCATCCCGATACTACTCCCCAACTGATGATAAATAAGAAAAAGAGCTTTAAATAGTGATTTTCCAGATTCGCCATGTGAGCAACCGGATCTGGAAATGCGTTCTTTTCCCCTTCCCTGTTCCAAATCACTTTTTAAATATCATAAATCGTACATGTTCAGTGAACCAGTTTACAAGTGGGAAATGGTGTAAATACAAATCTGAATTTTCATTTTTTACTCTCTTATTTCTTGTTTGACTTGTTTTTCATTAATACTTTAGTAGTCATGAAATAATGGCGATGATTTGCATCTTTAACACAAAGTACCTAAAAGAAAATGATATATCTATAAACTAAAATAGTATTAAAGCCGATTAAATAATTTTTAAAAGAAAACAATATATACTATTCATAAGGGCTGTTATAAATCCTGTTTAAGCCTTTTTATTGTAAAACCTTTTAGAATAAGATATTATTTAGAGAGAGATAATCATCCGTAATCCCCCTTGTAATTATGCCATCTATCGGATTATTTTATAATATCGAAAATAGAAAATACTTTATTTTATATTAAAGTCCCTGTTTCTAATAAACTATGGGCGCCGCTAATGGAAAGCAAACAACCGACGATTTTCAATTAGTAGTACAATCAGATGAGATTGTTTGTATTCTGATTATATTAGACAAAAAATTGTATTAATCATTCTTATTTTATAAAGGACATAGCGACTTCAACAACTACTCGAAAGGAGAAGTTATTCTTTAAAGAAAACTATGGAAAAGTTGATGAAATTTCTAAGAGAATAGCAAAAAATTTCAATATTTATCAACACAGATCTAGATTAAATATAATAGAGGAGATTAAAGAAAAATGTATAGACGATATCGGATTAATACGTGGATTATTTATGCTATTAGCATCATTTGATTTTACTATTGTTCATAAAAATGAGGAAGTATTCGACGAAGATAGCTTTGGACGTTTAATACTTAATATTCATTATAATTTTCTTAATTTTGCGCATGGATTCCATCTTCTTTATAGGTAAGTTTAGGCCTATTAAATTTGCAGTTGGATAATTGATATTTCGTATTATTTCATTTCTATTTTTATATATATATATGAAGTGAAGCTAAGCATTTATTCGAAAATCGTATAAAGTGTAAAATCATTTCGGGTATTACTAAAAATAAAAAATATCAACTGGGTAAACCACTTATCGATGCTGAATTGTCTACTCAATGGAATGCTGTATTAATACCCACCGTTAATGATGAGATGGAATGGTTTTTTATAGATATTGAATGGGCTTCCATTAAAAACGTAATAAAAGATTTCGATTATTTTATGACATTGATATAAACACTTTCAAAACTATACAGACTAAGAAAGAGGTAGTTAATGAATATTTCTTTCTTACCAACCCTGATTGTTTAATTAGTACTCACTTTCCTTTTGAATATCAATGGCAACTTCTTCAACATGTAGTTCCAAGGGAAACGTTTCAGAATTATCTTTATATTAGAGAAAGATTCTACGATCTCGGTTTAAAAATAAAAGAAGGAGATGGATATCATAGAAATTGCGTATTGAAATCAAAAAATGGAAGAATAGTAGTAAAACTTGGTCTTCCTAAATACGGGAAATTTATTTATACAAGTTGTAAGATTTTTAAACTACCAACTTTCGATTCTTCGTCATGCATCCTAAGTAATTTTGATTACTGTTTATTAATATTGATTATATCAATTGTTGGATACTCTATTAATAGGTCAAGAAAGAGATGGCGATACTATTAACATAACTATAGCATTTATTGCTAAATCAGCTCATCCCTATCGTCTAGATATCTATGGTTTAGATTTTAGAAGACATTCGAATTATGAATTATGCTGTAGTTATCTGCTATTTGGGGAAAATATAGATAAAAATCAACTTGACTGGCCGGATAATCCTGACATTGGTTATGGATTTCGTTTAGAGAGTAGAGCATTAGGCCTAATCCCCGAGAAGAATTATTTCTCTGAAATAAAAACAAATAATAAAGTGTTAATGAAATTTTCAATGCACGAAGTAATTCATACTTTAGTACAACTAAGACATAGGTAAATATTAATAATAACAATAATAACAACAATAATAACTAATCATTTTAAAATATCAATGAAAACAGGCAATATAAACCTCACGAACTATCTAGATTCATATTAGCTCTAGAATGGAAGGGAAGATTAGAAATTGCATTTAGATTACCCGAAAAGGGTACTTATGCTCTAAAAGTCTATGGCTATGAAAAGGAAGACACGCTGTTAAATTTAGAAGATTCCAATATGACTGAAAAGAGAAAGAAGGAATTAATCAATATACCTAACATATTAAACTATAGATTGCTAGTAGACGAAAATTCGCCATTTAGTATATCAGAATTCCCAAAAGTATACAATTCGCAGGCTGGAGAAGGTCTTTATTCTGAATATTTTAAAGTTTTACCAACTGAATGGGTAGCTAATTTTATACAAACTCGTCATAAAGAATCACTTGAATTATCATTTTCACATATAAAAGATTGCGAACTTTTCGCCGAATTTCACAATATTAATATAGCATCTACAGAATTAATTAATATAGTCGTTAAAATTCACGAAGCAGATGATCTAACGAAATTCGTATTCAATCCAAAAAAAAATGGAGAATACGCATTCAATTTGTTTGCTTGTGATAAAACTTCTAAAGATAGGGTATTACATCATGTATATTCAAAACTTATACTTGTTTCGGATGAGAGGAGGATAAGTGTTAACGATTTTGAATCTTTAATTAATTCACGACACGAAGAGCTATTTGATTATATGGAAGATACAAGATCGGATACCATCGCTTTGGATTGTGATAAAGCATTATTAATTTCACTTCAAAGAGAATGCACCTTTCATTTATGGACTGATGATAAAGTAAAATTTACCGAAAATCAAGTTTTAATCAGTCTTCCTTTAGCTGGAAATTATCGGATATCTTTCTATGAAATTTACAAGAATATTATTATCTGTAGAAAAACAATTTATGTAACAAAAATTAAGGCCCGAGTAAGTAAAGTTCTAATGAATTGTACTAATTCTCCTTCTTTTTTAATTAATCTAGTTAGTTATCATTTTATATATTTACAGATATCGCAATCGGAGGAGACAAGGTTAATGAATGGTAAGTATAATAGGGGAGGATATAGAAGATAGATGGGAAATTTAATAGTCTAAAATTACGAAATTTATTTCGAAAACAGAGTCGAAAGATTCTTGGAAAATGGAGATGAGGAAAGCTCTAACATCAAGAAATAAGGATAAATTAGTTGAATGTATTAGAAGTCATAAATTATCGAATCCCGAATGGAGTGACCTATACTTTATGGGGAAAAAATTATTAAATAAATTAGAGAATATTGAAATTTTTAAACAGAAATTATTAGATCTTGACGAAACTTCTATAGAAGATATAAGGAACATTCGTTCATTCGAAGATGAAAATCAATTTAAACTAATCTATAGTTGCTGTACAGGTTTACTCCTTCTTCTTGGATATAAACCTAAAAACTTACAGGTAGAACGTTTCTTTACGCTTCCTATCTATGTCTAAAAGGATGACTATACCTTCTTATCATCCCTTTTTTCTTTTTTATTAAAGACGTGGGAAGAAATTGGTAATTATCTGGAGTGGAACATCCTTAGTAAAAAGATTGAATTATTAGATAAAAGAGATATAAATGCTGAATTAGCGGCCAGAATTCTAAAAATAATATTAAATGATAATTATAACGTTGATAAAACTCTAATAGATTTTCATAATATGGTAATAAATGCTACAGAAAATCAGCGAATGTATGAAACTGTCGAATCAATACTCAATTGGGTAAGCATCAAGTAAAATAGATAGATCATTACTAATTGACAACATTAAATTATATCAAAAATATCTCCAAATATAGGTTTTGCTACTGACTGAAGAAGTCCTAGAAAATTACAAGTATTCACCGTAATCTATCTTCATCAAAGGTCTAAAATGATCCTTTAAAGTAGAACAAAATACAAATTAAAGGAACAATTCGGAATTGTTCTATTATAGAACATTTTAATCATTGTTACTTTGATAAAAATAAATTAAAGCGTTATTTGTTCGTTAATTTATTATTACTAATTTCCGTGTTTTTTAAATTAATTTAAAGGAGAAACTTTGATACTATTATCGCTTTTAGTTCTTAGTTTATGTTATGTGTTAAGTAGTCGGATGTCCTAGCTTCTGACTTTGGCGCCAGAAAATTGTCACCCCCGTTTTCTTTGAAAGTCTCTAAATTTTTATTGATACATTTATATAAAATTATTTTTATATTTACAAATTTATTACATTGAATGCAAAAGGTAGCGAAATAGTTAAAGCAATAATTATCATCTAAAGTGATTTGCCTATATCGGATAGTTGAGTTGCAGAATTTTTCGCACTGGGCGATAATAAGCGAAAATAAATAGGTATGTGAACTTTATACTGTAAAGTGACCTAGTCAGATATATAAATCAAATTTGATTTCCAGGATATGTTTAGGATGTTGAATAGCGTTTCCAGACTGAATATATTATCAAAACACATCAACGGGAACTTCTCAGTAAGGTTGAATAGTAAGAATGTATCATCAGAGAAATCCAAATATAAGGCAGTCATCTTCGACATGGGTGGCGTTCTTATTCCATCTCCAGTCGGATTATTCAAAAGTGAATTTGTTTATAATATATGAATCATAGTTTATAAGTTTTTCAACTTTTTATTTTACAGGCGTTGAAAGCCAACTAAACATTCCATCTCAAACTTTTCTAAAAGCTATTATTAACGGAGGAGATGGTGGAGCATGGGCCAAATTCGAAAGAGGTGAAATTCTTCCCGAAGAGTTTACCGAACTATTTTCAAAAGAATGTTCAAAAGTGGTAATAAATGAATAATAAAATAGAAATAAATGAGGAAAATTCAAGAGATAGTATTAAACCGCTTTCTTTCTTATATTAGTCAGGAGAAAAGGTTAATGTCTCTCAGCTGGTAGACTTATTGACAAGTGAAGCGAACAACTATCCCATATTTCCCGAAATGAAAGACGCTATCGAATGCCTAAGAGCGGAAGGAATAAAAACAGCTCTCCTTACTAACAACTACCTAAGTAGCCCTGCAACATCGTATTGTCCAATTGACAAATCACTTTTCGATGTGGTATGTATATATAGAATGTTCAAAGGAATCTCTCTAAAAATAATCGTCTTGGCAACAAAATTAGCAAGTCATATATCCAATGTATTCAGGTTGTGGAATCTTGCGTTGTGAAAATGAGAAAACCTGATCCAAACATATATAAATATACTCTAGATCAACTAGAAGTTGAAAGCAATCAGACTATATTTCTAGATGATTTGGGTATGAACTTGAAATCTGCGAAATCTTTAGGAATAAAGACCTTAAGGGTAATGAATTGTCTATATTTGCTATTCCTATATGAATATTCTAATATGTATTATATTTTCTTTGTTTAGGTGGAAGAAGATAAATCAACAGTTTTGAAACAACTGGAAACGGAAGTTGGATTTCCAGTTCAAGGCTACGTAGCAGGAACAACATCAGTTCCAGAGAGATTAAAATTGCCAGAAAAGAAACTAAGAAGCTACTTAAATTGGGTTTTGAAAATACACTCGAAAGGTGACGAAGGTTTGAAGAAGTTTCATAACAGCTTCCTGATTAATCTGTTTTATATGTTTATATATAAATTATAAAATTATTATTAAAATCTTTTAATTCTTACTGTTTAATTTATAGAGATGCCAATTGTTCGTTGCTTCGCTCATGGACAATCGAATCCTACTTATTTTATAAGATACGCTAATAAGGATCTTGTTTTAAGAAAGAAGCCGGTAATTTGTAATAATAGACTCTATTTCTTATACTTATCAAAAAGAATCTTTCTCTTTATTTAGCCAGGTAAAATATTACCATCTGCTCATGCCGTTGAACGTGAATATAGAATAATGAAGGCATTGAGAGAGCAAGGAATTCCCGTCCCAAAAGTATTACATTTAATGGAAGATACGGAGCTATTAGGTTTATAGATGGATATATATTTACTTTATAAAATAAATAGAAACTGTTTAAATAGGTACACCCTTCTACGTAATGGAGCACGTTCCAGGAAGGGTCTTTAAGGACGTTCTACTTAAAGACCATAGTCGAGAAGACAGACAGAAAATTTATGAGGCCATGAATGACGTTTTATGTAAAATACATAATGTTAATATTGACGATGCTGGTCTTGGAGATTATGGAAAAAGAGGAGGTTACATTAAACGCAACTTTAATCGTTGGGTTAAACAATTTGAGGCTGCAAAGACTCAGGAAATTCCTGCATTTGATAAACTATCAAAGTGGCTAAGTGAGAGAATGCCATTAAACGAAGACTGTTGTGTTGTTCATGGAGACTTCAGATTGGATAATCTTATATTCCATCCTACCAAATTAGAGGTTGTGGCTGTTATCGATTGGGAATTGTCAACTTTAGGAGATCCTCTAACTGATTTAGCAACCAATTGCACTCCTTACGTCTTTCCTAGGAATACACCTGATCTTGCAGGTAAAAACTAGCTAAAATCTCTATTTATAAATACATTCATTCGCCTTTGAAAAAAAAAATAATAAATTAATTATTATTTAATTAACTCTAGGTTTTGGTGATTTGGACTTTGAGAGTCATGGAATCCCAAGAATAGAAGACTACGTACAAAGCTATACAAAGAAGAGAAATATAAAAGATATAGATAATTGGGATTTTTATATGGCATTCTGTTTATTCAGATTTACATCTATCACTCAAGGAGTATATAAAAGAGCTATCAGCGGTAAGGATAATTAAAATTTGGGATAAATGAAAAGTAAGAGGTAGCATATCAAAAGTGGTAGGATAAAGGCTACTGACTCCGATCAAGTTGCGCAGGCGAATACAAATCTTTCAGCCTAATAATTAGATATATACCGAAATATAATAATGTAAATGTATACATTAGCGCCATCTCTAAGTTAGTATAGAATACAATTTATCAATGGCCTAGTTAAAATTAAAAAAGGTCCCGTCCCATTTTTTAACTCGTGTGTTTATTGTTTGAAGGACAAGCCAGCTCACCGAATGCTGAAAAACTTGGATTATTTACTGAAATTTTGGCAGAATTAGCTTGGTACATAGCATCTAATAGTAAATTACAACCTACCGCAATGGCAAAGAACTCTAAGCAGTTATCCGAATCCGAATTCGCTGAATTGTCCAAATTCGTTGATACAGGATCAGCAAACAGAGATATTCTTGGTAATCTTTATTATTATCATATATGATATATATACTTGTACAGAATATACTGTATACTAAAATATATATATATTTAAGTATGATACTCATAGCATTCTTTGGTTTTTATGCGTTATTTAGGCTCTTTTCCCTTATCTCCTGCTGCTTTGAGACCTGAAGTCCAAGATTATCACAAAAGAGTTCGAAAATTTATCAAAGAACATGTCATTCCATTTGAACAAGACTTTATGGCATATCATTCTCAACCAGAGACGCAATGGACCATACATCCTCGAATGGAGGAGTTAAAAAGCATGGCCAAAGCTGAAGGACTTTGGAATTTGTTTCTACCAGTTGAGAGCGACCCTGAAAAGAAGTACGGAGCTGGATTGACAAATGTTGAATATGCTTTCCTGTGCGAGGAAATGGGTAAAAGCCCTTTGGCTCCGGAAGTTTTCAACTGCTCCGCACCTGACACTGGAAATATGGAAGTACTTATACGATATGGATCAGAACAACAGAAGGAAAAATGGCTAAAACCTTTATTAGAGGGAAAGATAAGATCATGCTTTGGTATGACAGAACCAAAAGTTGCTTCTTCTGACGCAACTAATATACAAAGTTCCATAAGACGAGAAAAAGACTGCTATGTAATAAACGGCAGGAAATGGTGGACGTCTGGTGCCATGGATCCAAGATGTAAAGTATGTGTTTTTATGGGTAAGACTGATACGAGTGTCTCACGACACAAACAACAAAGTATGATACTTGTACCGATGGACGCGCCTGGTGTGAAAATTATAAGACCTCTGTCAGTGTTCGGTACAACAGACCCTCCACGTAAGTAGGCTCTTTTTATAGAAAGAGTAATGTAAGAAGACATCAATATTTTCTCTTCCCCTTAGATGGTCATGCTGAAATGGAGTTTGTAAACGTTCGTGTACCGCTTGAAAATATGCTTCTTGGTGAGGGAAGAGGATTCGAAATTGCTCAAGGAAGACTTGGTCCAGGCAGAATTCACCACTGTATGAGACTAATTGGGGCTTGCGAAAGAAGTTTAGAAATGATGATCGATAGAGTAAGTCTCATTTATCTATTACGTCACAACCCATTTTAACTACGAAATAAATCTTTATTCGATAGGTTCAAAAAAGAGTAACATTTGGTAAGCCTATCGCTGCTCACGGCACCGTACAAGCCGATATTGCAAACAGTCGTATAGAAATCGAACAGTGTCGATTACTAACACTCAAGGCTGCTCATATGATGGACACCGTCGGCAACAAGGTAATAAACTTTGTTTTTGTTTTATTATACCTTTAAAGATATACTGTATATATATATATATTGTATACCGTATATATATTGTTTTTTATTATTAATAGGTTGCCGCACCAGAAATTGCCATGATTAAGATAGCTGCACCAAACATGGCCCAGGTTGTTATTGATAGAGCTATCCAAGCATTTGGTGGAGCAGGATTTAACTACGATACACCATTGCCAGCATTCTTCGCCTGGGCTAGAGTTCTTCGAGTAGCAGATGGACCAGACGAAGTTCATAGGAGATCACTTGCCAAGATGGAAATTAGAAGATCGAATTTATCTAAACTGTGATAAATTATTTAATCATTGAAAAGAATAATTATAATAATTTCTATGTTAGTTTTCCTTTTTTTCCCGCATTTGTTAAACTTTTAAAAAACAATTAATTATTGATTTCTTGGCGGGAAAACATTAAAGATGATGATCAAAAATTGGACGAGGTCATAAATTTCTATCTAATTAAAAAAAAAAACAATTTCAATGGAAAGAAAAATCCAATAATAAACAAAATTTAGAAAGTAAAGCATAATTATTATTTTCTTTTTCATTGTTTTTTTAAAAAAAAAATAAATAAATAAAAATAATTCTGAATAAAAGAAATGATGAGATAAACCTGCTTTTTGCGTTGTTTTTTAAAATCCTATTCATATATTTAAAAAATAAAAAAAGAAAAAGAAGAAAATATAAATGTTTTATATGAATTTTGTTGTTTTTGTTTGTTTCTTTAATTATAGCCGTATTCTAGGAATCTAATAGCCTTCTCTTATTCTGTTTATATCTTCTGTTACTAGCATCCTTATTCTTCTGATTATTCATAATATAAATCTTCATTTGTTTGAAAATAATACTAAATTAAATCTACGCGGTTAATGAAGTTTATAATAATATTTTTACTAACAACTATAGCAATTTCCATTAATATTAAGGTTATTATATGGATATAACTAGCTGATTCCATGACATATAAAGTGGCAAGAACTCCTGAGGCGGTTTCGTAGAGAACTTTTCCGACTAACCTCATGCCGTTGGCCATCATTGCTGTCACCCACGCGGCTGTTGTTACACCTGTCAAGCTAAGCAGTAGAACTTTTTGCTGGAAAAAGGTATAAAAAACAAAAAAAACAAGTAGTAATAGTAATAGTAATAGCAATAGTGGCAGTAGTAGTAAACTACTAAATAAATTGGATAAAAAAAATATAGCAGACCATAATTACAAAACGAGATGGATTCTCTCTCAACTCTACAGTTGCGTAGAATAGCATGGAAACACCAATGAGAAGTATAGGTTCCCATAGAAATATATATGTGGAAAATAGTCTTCGATACGATTTAATATTTTCACAATCATATTTGCTCATCAATAACGACCTAGTTACGTTATCGACTTTCTTCTCTTTCTCGCATCTAGCTTTCCACTTGTCTTCATTATGATTTGATTTGATTAAAAGTGCCGTACCGATAATTAGCATAATTATTGCCATAGCCATCAAAATACTACAAACAACCTTCTTTCTGTCGTATAAGTAGTGTTCGTTAATTTCTGTTAATGAAGTCGGTTCATCTTCTTGATCATCTTCGTAATTTTGATAATTGATCGACTGTTTGCAAAGTCTACTAACGACAACTGGAGTCTTAAAATTAGCAGATGCATTACTTAACCCGTTTGCTATCTGTTGTTGATGGTTTATACGTGGTTGAAGACCTTCAGTAGGTCTAAAAGCCGGAACGGGTACAGCCCATTTAGTAGGGCCCTGTGCATTTTTCGGAGGTGTCATTGAGTGACTTTGATGGGACAAGGTCCTAGTGTTGGCGGGAGCGAATATCTCTTAATTTTAATTAGAAATACTAGTTTTAAAAAAAGAAGAGGAGAAGAAGAACTTACGAGCTTCAAATTCCTCGTCCATGTCTATTACTTTGATCACCTCCGATAATTTATTCTCCACTGTTTCCGAATTATTCTGGGTAGCCATTTTCTTGCTAAATATTCCGTTAATTACCAATATTATAAGATAAAGTATGTATAGTGCATATATATACAATATGTATAGTATATATATATACTGTATATATATGTATATATGATATATATATGCTATACATAAATATATATATATACAAGTGTTTATGTATGTATATGTGTTTTATATCAAAATAATAATCATTGTTTTTATTACTGTTTATGATTTTTTAAAAAAATAAAGTAATAACTTTGTTTTTTTAAAAAAAAAATACAAAGATTAAAATAGTATGATATTAATTATCTTCTTTCGGAATGGAGAGACAGAGAGAGAGAGAGAGAGAGGGTGTCGACGACGTACAAAGGACTTATATATTATCAATAGCAGAATGGAGAAGCTAGCTATTCTATATTTAATTATATAAATGATTTATGAGTGATAAATTTTAGCACCTTTGACTTCTTTCATTCATTAACCAGACAAGGGGATGGAACGGTTTAGAAGAAGGATGGAATGGTTGGTAAGTTAATCTTGTATCTTTCCATTAAATTGATAGTATTTAATTTTAATATAATCCATTCTTGTACTGTCTTTATAGCTGTTGAATTGAATGATTGAGTGATGGATAGAGAGGAGGAGAGAGAGAGAGAGGGAGGGAGGGAGGGAAAGAGAGATGGGTATATAAATAGTTCTTTCCTTATAATAAAAGTATCATTTGTCCTACTACTACTGGGATATCTTATATATATATAATAAATCTTATTATTAATTAAACTTTTATTTAAAAAGGAAAGTCATTGGCATAATTAGAAAAAATCCACTTTTTTTGGGGAACGTTTGTACATGGTTCCATATATAGACGGTTGTTTCTGCCAGCTGTTAAACATTTCCTTGAAGAAGTATCTTCCAAGTAACCGTTTCTTAAATGACGCCATCGTATAGCGTGTTTTGCTTCGCAATCAACTGTTGTAATTGAAATTCCTCTTGTCCTCTTCCCAATACATAAATCAATAGCTTCAATGAGACCATTTTTCGTTAATCTTAAGATTTGACTATTGCCACTACCGTGACAAGGATATAAGATTATAATTCCCTTATTGTTTTGAGTATCAATACAATTAAGATATCTTGCGTTTTTTATAGTTCCTGAGGCCATGGGATTCATTTCGGGTACCCTTATTTCTGGAACAACGTTCTTTAAATACCAGCCGAACGAATGGCATTTTAAGTCTTTCTTTAACTTCAATCTATCTTCAACGTTACCGAAAGACCAAGATTTTAATTCGGGATTCAAAGCGTAAAAGGCTTTCTTATATTTATCTAGCCAAACCTCCGCAACCCGGATGTTATTCTTCATAAAAGTCCTCATATTACCCTTTGGGAATTTGTAAGGTTGACTCTTTCTGAAAATATGAGCCACTCTGGAACATGGCATGATTAAAAGAGTACCACCGCACATCCATGTCTTGAAAGATAATTCTAAATTCTCTGCGCCCCAAATTTCAAGTCCTGGATCGTAAAAACCCAATCTTCGAAAGAAGGACTTATCAATCGAAAACAATCCTCCAGCCATGGTTGGAGACCTAATACTTTCCATATTGGATTTACGTCTTCTAACTTCGTATTGGGGTACGCCTTTCCACCTAAAAGTCATATGCCAATCGAAACTACCCCTGATATTAGTGCCAGTTGGAATAATCCTAGAAGATAATAATTCCAGAGATAATCATGCGTTGACAAAAGAGTGTTTATATTAATCTTTTTAAATGTCACTTACTGAAAAGAACTAGCGTGAATGGTATCAATAATAGGACAAACGACGGTTGTTCTGTTTTTCCAGATTTCAAAGAGTAATGGTTCCAACCAGCCCACTGCACATTCGACATGGGAATCGAGAAAAGTAAGCGTCGGAGCTGTTGAAACTCGAACTCCTTCTAATCTGGCTCGAATTAGTCCCACCCTTTTCTTTAATCGAAGTATCTTTACTTTCTCTAGTTTAGACATATATCTATCCAGTTTGTCCTTAAGATATTCTATGAAAATATTTAAAAATACGTCAGTCAAACAACTAATTTGTTTGTTATGTATAGAATGTATGTTAGTTGGCTAGATATGTTTGTTTTGTTTGGTCGTTACGTATATTATATAAACCTAATAACCTCTTTGACTGTTGTCGTCCACTAAAATCACCTCTTTTATTAATTCGGTGGGAGATCTATTTAATACACTATGAACAGTTCTTAATAATGTCGACCAACTCTCTTCTGTAAAGCATATTATAACAGAAGTTTGAGGCAGTTCCTCGTAAGGGAAGAGCTGTTTCCTGCACCTGTATGTATATATAGAAAAAATCGAAGAAATAAGAACGTTAACTGATTCAAAATCTATATTTTACGAGTCTGAAGACAGCAAATGAATACGTAAAAATGAGAGAAGTCGGTGCAACAGGAAAAATAAACAAAAGTACGAATTCAGAGAGATGATTTAAGGAGAACAAAGTAAAATACAGACGGGGAGAAAGAGAGAGAGAAAGGACGAGAGGGCGAGAGGGAGAGAAAGACACACACGATCATAGTTGCACGTACGCTCAGAGACGTACAAGGGGAAACTGAGATAGAGAGCAACACAAGAAAAGATACGAGAAAAATTCAGAGAACGAGAGAGACGCCCTCGCAAATCCATACGTCTACGTAATTAAAAGCGTAGAAGAGAACGACCCACTTGTATTTAATTATATGCAAGTATTTTCCTCTCTCGCCCCTCCGTCGCAGTTTGTCTCGCAACATGAGCCGGAGAGGACTGTTTGCTTTTTATCTCTTAACTTTAGCGACGGCCCTTCCTCTCAAGTCGGAAATGGGTCCGAGGCAATTGGCAGAGTTGGCAGAAGCCCTTGAAAAATTCCAGAAGGTATCAGCGAAGGATCCGGAAAACAGTAAATTGATTTTTATTATCTAATTTAATGACCCATTTATTTGATTAATAAAGTTAAAATCTTCTTTCTATTAGCAATATACTAAAATACTTTATCGGCATTAGCTTACAATATACCATACTGCAAAGTTTTTTATCTCTTATCATCCCTTTTATTTTCGTTTATTATTTTTTTTTCATCTCTGTCTAGATACAATTGATAAAGGACCGCAAAAGACTGAAGGAGGACTATCAAAGGACACTCTTTCTAAACTTATGAGCGCATTAATGGATGACCGCGATCGTCGGGCTTTTGATGAACCCATGAAAAGGGATGCCTACGCTGATTTTTTTCGACGTCTAGAAAGTTTAAGGAGGGGTGGTCGTTTGGGACAGAAAATGATAAGTCTTCGCTGGGGTCTAGGAAAGTAGTTAAGATTGGAGAAAAGAACTTCTACAAACCCAGGATCCCTCGCATCTTTTAGGGATCTTTCGACGGATATACGATTGCTGACGAATTCGTTGAAAGACGCTGACCTCCAGCCAGCCTTAACACGTTCGTCGTTTTGGTTCGACGTCACACCACGGCCCATTTCTCCTGGACCGTTCCTATCGGCCAGTAAAGTCCTTCTATCCACATTTCTAACCTGTATTTATTATTGAAAATATTTCCGCTTTTTTAATACATATAGGGAAATAATTTACTTCTTCCCATGTATTTTCTTCTGCGAAGCTTTCCTCTTCAAAATTATTAGTCACAGTAGTAACGCTGCCTGATGCTTGTTCCTTTCTTACTACATTCTCTAGCGGATATACTCCGTAGAATATGTAAATATCGAGAACTAACCAGAAAGCACTTGTGACAAATATAGCCATCACTATTTTGGTTTTTGTTAATCTATCTCTAGCCATCTTGTTTTTTGTTTTTGTACAAAAGAGATAAACTTATTGTTTATCTTCCTCTTGCTTCTTTACTTTTCTTGAACAGATTCGGTTAATCTCTTGGCTCTGTATCTGCCTAAGAAATATTTAAAGTTCTTATGAAAATGTCTGCTTAAACAATCGATTCCTTCCAGCTGCATTGTAATTTCATTATAAACAGATGTGAATTGTATAGATTTATACCATTTTATCAACTCTTTTTGCTGTATTTCTTCATATTTAACAATCATAAAACAATCTTTACTGTTAATTCTCTCCGAAAGCTTTTCATATTCCCTTCCCCTTTACGATCCTGGTCTAGATTCTCTAGTCGCTCGCAATTAAATACCCTATAGAGTACCGAAGACGTGCGACTCCTCCGGTAAGAGAATATCTAAGAAGATGACCAACAATGAAACGTTACTGCCCTCAGGTAATCTATACTTTTACCCTTGAAAAACTGATAGCCACTTCTTATTTAACGCTACATAAATAACCCATAACGTTCTCCTTCAACGCAAAGTAGATTTTACAAAGAGAAAAGAGAGATAGAGATGGAGAGAGAGAGAGGGTGAGAGAGAGTGAGAGAAGAAAAAGTATCTAACACCTGTTTCATAGACAAAATTGGTTAGATACACATATATTCATATGTTTGTATGTATGTTTGTTTGTATACGTATTGCGCATATACATTACACGAATAGAATAATCATTAATCTACTAATGAGTAACTACTTGATTAAGTGATTTTTTAATGTCAAAAGAGACATATAGAGATAAAGAGAGAGAGAGAGAGAGAGAGAGGGAGGGAAGAAGAGGAGAGATAAATATTAAAACCAAAAAGAATAAAATACACTAAATTTAATTAGTATGAGAATGAATATAATGACTAGTAATCGCTAAACCCTACTCTATTGTGTTCTCATCTTAAATCTAATCTTATTCAATATACAAACAATAAATGATTAGAAATTTGGTCTATAAATAGTATATAGGTCTATTTTTTTTACTATACTTGTACTATACACTAATATATATATATATATAAATGCATTTTTTAATATATTACTGTAGTAGTAAAAGCTTATTTTTTCTTTCTATATATATATACATACCAATATATAACCCTTTTAAGTAATAGTTTTAATATTTTTTTTTTGGCCTATTTACTTTATTTTAAGATTTTGTCATTAAAATTATCACAAGTTATCTTATCAAATATAGATAATATCTTTAATAATATTTCTATTATTGACATTGATACTCTTTCTTTAATTATAGAGATATATACAATATATATATATATATAAATGAAGAGTTTTGAAATTATACAACTCGATATTTGTAAAATATAGTTGTTATTGCGTTTATGTATTTAATTTCGCAATCATTTCGCAAACAAACACAAGAAAGTTGGTCATAACCATATTTTATGTCGGATTTTCCGGTATTTTATACTTACACTTTCTGAAAGTTACTTAATGTCTTTTAATGTTATTATTTAACATAAATTGCTATTTAAAATTATTAAATCGTTCGAAATGTAAAGCAAAGTGTTAATTTTACGATAGATTTATGGTAAAAACCGTTTTCCCGCGAAACTATGTTTATCAAAAATAAAGACTACTAGCGACACCTGATGACGTCAGCGCTGTGACTCACTATGGGATCTATCAAAGAAAAGTCTCATATTTGTTCGGATTTTTAATTCGTCAAAGCAGAATTGTGTCGTTTTTTAGCACATTTACAACGATTTACACTCAGAAAAATGACAGACAAAACAGACGCAAAACCTGACTTCCAACAGATTAATAAAAGATCAACTGACCATGAAGACGCTCGGTAAATATGACGTTTTCTTCTATTCTAGTCATCTTAACCATCTTTCCTCTACAAAGCACATATAGGGCGGCGGGAGAAGATTTGCGTGTTTCTGATGAATACCCTATGACTAGTTCCAGAAGAGGACGATTCATCATTATAAACAATGTGAACTTTTTAGGAAGAACTGGAATGAATACTAGAGAAGGTTCAGATAGAGATGCTATCTCTTTGAAAATGAGATTTAAAGCTCTAGATTTTGATGTTGTGGTTTATAAAGATCAATCCACGGCCCAAATGGAAAAGATTTTCGGAGACGCTGCCGCCAATGTTGATTACAATAGGAGGGCCGATTGTTTTGGGTGTGCCTTACTCTCTCATGGAGATCATGGAATTATCTATGGTATCGATGGTTTTATAGAAATAGAAAAGTTGACTGAACCATTTAATGGTGATAAGTGCAAAGAACTCGCTGGAAAACCAAAAATCTTTCTTATTCAAGCTTGTCGCGGAACAAAATTCGATAGCGGTGTTGAGATTGCAGACAGTGAAGCAGTTAATCCAGGTGCTGATGATATTTTTAAAAATAGAACTTTCAAGATTCCTGCCCTTGCGGATTTTGTCTTTGCATACTCAACTGTGCCCGGTTACTTTTCATGGAGAAATTCTAGAGAGGGTTCATGGTTTGTTCAAGCTATTACTACTGTTTTTGAAGTAAGAAATAATAAATACTGTTCAATTGACTTAACCAACTAAAAATTCTTTCTTCATTTCAGAAATACTGTGACGAAAAGGACCTACTCTGGATGCTTACAAGAGTTAACTACGAAGTAGCGTACAAGTTCGAGTCTAAAACGAATCAAGAAAGTATGAGGCAAAAGAAACAGATTCCTTGCATTACGTCAATGCTTACAAAAGACCTTTACTTTCGCCGCAAATATTGATAAATACACAAATTATAGTAATTTATGAAAATCGTTGATATAATAAATGAGAGAGAGTTTGTATTGAAGTATAGTATACAAGCTCGACTTATGAATTAGTTCAATAATATTAAATGATTAAAAAGCCAAATGTTAAGATAAGTTTTTAATAATTCCCTGGTTTAAATTTTAATATCTTTGTCATATAACTCAATATAGATGGAATTTGTTTCTTTCCATTTAAGTTGGGATCCTTTGTGTTTGATTCATATGTAGCAACTTTTTCGCAGACTAATGCTAACATTTTCATTAAATCCATTGAGTCGGAATATTCCTGAAAGAAATAATTACTAGATATTTTTCGGACATGAATCATAAATTTAACTCTTTACCTCAAAAATTGTTGTAATAGCCTGTATAAAAACAGATCCTGTTTCATTTCTCCACGATACGTAATCACTAAAGCAAGAATATGCAAAAATGAAGTCCGAAAACACAAGTTCTCTATAGGTTTCAGCGATTTCGGAAGCTCTGCTAATAAATGTTCCACATCCCTCCGATACAGCATCTGTACATTCAATTCTAGCACCATCATCGTATAGTAGTCCTCTGCATGTCTGAATTATGAAAATTTTAGGCTTTCCTATTAGTTCAGGGCAATTTTGACCATCAACTAAAGCGGCTAACTCATTTATTCTGATAATATTATCAGTTCCATAGACTGCTCCTAAAGTGCCATGAGTAAGGATAGCACAACCGAAACAATCTGATTTCAAATTAAAAGACTTTCGTTTAGCAGCATCCTGTAAAATGCTTCGCATGCCTGATACCGTCTCATCTCTAAATTCTTTAACTTCGAAACCTAGACTTTCGAAAAGATTCTGTAATTTTAAACTATCACTGTCTGATCCGACTCGAGTTTCTTGTTTAGTTACTTCTTTAAAGTTCACATTATTTATAATGATAAACTGCCCTCGTGGCTTAGATGTCATCTCATACTCCACATGGCTTAATCTATTGTAAAGATATAAAAGACAATATACGGTATATTGTATAAGCTATTGTTATTACTTGCAAGAATTCTCACAATCAGTTAGTTTTATTTTGTCGAATAGTTTGTCATTCATATCCTGTTTAGCTGAAAGATCGAAACGAATATTAGCTGAAAAATTAAGAAATGGCTGCTACTTTCGTTTTACATTTATAGGTGTATTTATAGGTGTCACTAGTGTATACAGAATATTCGCTTGTTTCATTAATGAAAATTTCCTTTTTTTAATTATTTGTTTGTAAATTCATTTCAGACATGATTTATTCAAAGATAATTTAAGCAAGCGATTATGAATGCTTTTTTTTCTATCAACTTAAACGCAGAAGGCACCCTGTGGAATTACTGGTGAGGCAGTCAGATCAATATTCATCTGCTTCATAAAAACTGCTTGTTCGAATAAGAATTCGTAGCATTCTGACCTGTTAATACAAGAAGGACTAATTCAAAATTTTGTTCTTTTGTTTTTTATAAAAAATAAATTTCGGGTTTACATAGTTTTTGCTTCTTGCCAGGTAGATCCCCAAATATAAAATCCGTGTCTTCTGACAAGCACACAGCACGTATCTGGATAAGCTTTCATTGCTCGTGCCATTACCTCTTCTAGTTCGCATTCAAACGGTGTATTCTCAATAATAGGTACAGTAATAGTATCATGATAATTATATTTTTTTCCTGAAAAATAGCTTAGTCAACACAAATCAACATACAAAGTTAAGTGATTAGAAAAGTTTACCAGTAGAGTCTCTTTTCAATCCCTTAATCATTTCAATATGGGATATTTTAAATTCATAGCCTGGTGTTATCAAGGTTACTTTAACAGCAGCTGCAGAGTGAGCATGAATAATAGCTCCAGCGTCTACGAATAAGACAGGCAAAGATAATATATAAATATATATTGTTTACATAAAGTACTTAAATTTTACTTACTTCTTAAGCGGTACGCATTCATAAAGAGTGGTGTACATTGACTTTTCTTTAATTTTTTCTCAGATGGAGGAAGATATATATCTTTTCCTTCTATATCTTGAACAAATATATCTTCTAGCTGTATTTATTTATACAGAATAATATATTAATAGATTTAATTGGTATTTAATGAATATGTGCTAGATGCTAACTTCAATTTTCTCTTTTTGAACTCCAGATGGAGCAATGAAAATTTCATTTCTAAAATATATAAAGGATATCAAACTGTATTTTTCAATACTTCATTCCATACCCTTTACGAATACTTATTCCTCCACCAGTTCCAGTGCACCAGCCGATAGAGTAGAAAAGTTTACACAAGTCGATAATTAGTTGTTTTGGGTCTTCTTCATTTGGTATGGCAGTATTTCCCTTGAAAAAAATTAAGCTTGATAGCCAGTTGTTTCTTATTATCATCAGCTTTATACTTACGATGCTTCCTTTATTTTTTGAGTCATTACTATCCATATTCAAGTTATTTTATGTTGTCACGATAGCAGAAAATATAAATTGGACACTGTTTTAATAAGTGGATGCATTTTTGATAAACCATGTGATTCTCTATTCTCTTTCGACCTTATCAATGTATCATGTTTTCAATTACAATATAAATTTATATATTATATATATATATATATATATATATATATAAAACATTCTATTCTACCATTGTCATAATAACTCAATAGGTAAATTTATAGAAAGTGTTTTCATAAGAAAATATATTTTTGAATAACAAGACAGAAAGTGAAAGTGATAAACTGTATATCGTAAGCCTTACGATTGTATTGTAACAAAGAATAAATATCTAAAAGTATGAGAGAGTGGAAATTTAATGTACTGTATAAATTACATATATATATAGAAATATATATTCAGTATTTTATATATATACATGTATGTAATGACAAAATAAGAATTCGAACAAACTTTACTTTGTCGAACATTCTTTTTTGTTTATTTATATACAGTATAAACAATATATTTTCTTTCGTTTCTTCTTTCTTCCTTTATTTTCAATTCCTTAACACTGGGAATAGAAATTAAGTATTCTATTCCCTTTTGTCAACGAACAGCTTGACAAAATATAATCTCCTTCAAAACTTTAAAAAATTAATAGCGTTGGAGAGACAATCAATGATGAAGGCACCAACAGTTATCTTTGTAAACAAGTAGGATACAGCCAGATTTAATAGTAGATTTGATTCAAATGTAACAGTATATATAAATATTCCAGATATTAAACCCGCAAGGAAAGCTTTAGATATTCCATTCATTTCGAGAAAATGCAAGTGTGAAGTTAAATGCAGACATATGCTCATTTATATTGATTAATCATAAAAAAGATATTGTAGATTCTCAATATGTTACTTTGCTGTAGTTATCTTTAAAGAGTCGAATGCCCAATGATAATTTGCTATCCCTATGCTCTTCTGTTGAATAGATTAGTGTCAAATAACAGAACTTCTAAACTATTCTCTATCTGTTTTCTTTCATTTTTTGTTTGATTCAGACGCTACATAAGTATTAATATATTCTATTATATTTTTTTTATTTTTATCAAAAGGATCTTTTAGCCGGAGAAGCTCATTTTTATGAAAATCGTTTTTTAATTTTTATAGAATGTTGGAAATTGTTCTTCTAATAGATGGAAAAATAACTTTCTGTAGGATATTAAAATAATAGGAAAAACTTTAATAATAATAATATTCTTAAGAGTACTAGTATTGCGTAAATTTATGGAAAAGAACGCAAGAATCAATGTTCTTTCGAATTTTGGCGAAATATTCCTTCGCAAGGCGGCACCTGTATTATCGGCTGCTCATTGCTTCTTCTCATAATCTCTGGTACTTCTATTATTCACTGATTCTTGAAACAAGATAGAAAAGAAGGATTTTAAAGGCAATAGACAAGTTCTGCTACTACAAAAAAAACTTAATATTTTACTCTTATTTTTTCATTTGGATATTTTTCCCTAACTCTAAAAGAAATAGTAAAATGGATTTGAGCATATCTGGAGTAAAAATATGTTTTCCTGTGAAACCATATCCATGTCAAATTGCTGTTATGTCAAAAGTTTGTTTTTCTGCAGGATCATATTTTCGTTTTAACCATTACCTTTCTTTTAGATCATTCAAGCATTGAACAAGCATCAAAATGCTTTAATAGAATCACCAACAGGAACAGGAAAGTCATTAGCTCTTCTCTGCTCTTCTCTTAGTTGGCAAAGACACACTTGCTCTATCCTTGATAAGGAATATGAGAGAGAGATGGCGAATAATAAATGTCCTGTTCACGAACACAATCATTCTTTCGACGACGACACAGCTGATATCTCGTTGACTCACACTTCATACACTCCATGTCCTCTTCCTCCACAAGAAATTCCTAGCGCAGAAGAATCTTTAACGAAAGTTTCTTTCTCTAATGTTACATCTGGGAAGCTTATGATTAATCCATTGAAAACTACTGAACAACAGTTGAACGAAATATCAGTAAATTCTCAGAAAGTCGATGAAACGGTTAAAGTTAACTCTCAGTTCAAACCTGTCCGTCCTTTTTCATCTCAGAAGCTAGAAGTCAACGCCAGAGAAGCGAATGTAAATAATAAACTGAAACGAGCAGGTAGTTGTGGAAATTTTAAAGAATCTCTTTGAATATTTTTGTATTTTTAGCTTGTACCTCTCCAAATGAAAATCATTGCCAAGATTCAACGGCGTCTGAATGCTGCAAAAATAAGAGAGTGAAACAAGCTAAGGATAATCTTGACATAAATATTCCTCAAGTCGTAGATGATCTCAATGAATCCGCTTCCGTAAGTGTAAATCAAGAAGAGGCTAATTGTACTTGCGAACAAGTCAAACGGTATTAAATCACATTTCTAAAACCCATATGACATCATTTGAATTCAGTAAAACAGCACCAAAAATCTTCTATTGCACAAGAACCCATAAACAGATTGCTCAAGTTGTTAAAGAATTGAGAAGGACTGTGTATAAGCAAGCCAAGTATAAACTAATCGAAAACTATTTTTATGCTATTATACTATTTCATAACTATTTTAAAGGATGTCAGTCTTAGCAAGCAGGGAACACACATGTATCCATCCTTCAATTAGTAAGAGTAGAACAAAGAATGAGGAATGCAGAGATTTATTAAGAGTAAAGTTTTAGTTACCCTTTTGATTGAGTAAATTTAGAAAATTCCATTATTTCAGTATGGTGGATGTCCTTACTGGGATAAGAGACCAGTCACGCGAGATTCGTTGCATCGAAACGGTTTAGATCTTATTTGGGATGTTGAAGATCTTGTAAAGTTATTGTCCAACCGAAGTTTTAGAAAATGCCCTTATTTTAGCCTTCGTGACTTAGCTGAATCGGCTGAAATTATCTTCGCTCCTTACAACTATCTAATTGATCCTACGATTAGGAAAGCTGTAAAAGTTTATTTAAAATAACTTAATAAATGATCTAATAATTATCTTGCTCTTCAGATGAGTATCTCAGTAGAAGATAGTGTTATTATTATTGATGAGGGTCATAACATCGAAGACATCTGTAAGGAGTCAGTATCAATGAATATTAAATCATCAGAAATTGCTGACAGTTTAGTTGCATGTGAAAAATTAAGTAAATATGATTGTTAATGATGTCAATTTTGTGTTGTAAAAATTTACATTTTTTTTTCAACAGTTGAAACTTACGCCAATTTTAAGTCGGTAAAAAAGAGAAATAAGGATAAAAATTTTGATCAGGTTGAATACCTTCGGATGTTGGAAGCTATAAAAGATTTTGTAAGTTTTTTATGAACATTTTTAAAGAAAATCATGTAAAAATTCTTCTTTTAGTTGATAGCTCTTCAGAGCATTATTAAAAGTCTTACATCGGATCAGCCTGTTAAAGGGTCTCAACTGATATCTTCACTGAATGAACATAATTTAACCCATGAAAAGCTTACCTCTTTTGAAGTAAAAATTACCTGAGAATGCATCAATCTCTTATCTGATTGTTTTTGTAGACTGTTATAGCTGAAGCAGAATCATGCGAAGAAAATATACCTCTTCCACCTGGCTGCTATTCTGTTTTAAGTAAAGCTGCTACTGTTCTAAATATTTTTCATAGTGTTACCATGGAGGATAAAGAAGTTGCAGACAATTTCAGGTTTGCATTTTGTTTTCTTGGAAAATAAAATAGTTATTTCTAACTATCTATAGATTATTAATTACTTCAATGGAGATTTCAAATACTGGTCCAGGCCGACGAAGAGAGCGCATGAAGCGTGTAGATGTACTAAATCTATTATGTTTATCTCCATCTGTGGTTTGTGCTTTTGGCATAAATTAAATATGACATAAAATTTTATTTCTTAGGCCTTTCAAGATATTGCTAAACCAGCCAGAGCTATTATACTGACAAGTGGAACCTTAACTCCCATGCAATCTTTTCAAAGTGAATTAGGCAGCGATTTTCCAGTTACCTTTGAAGGAAATCATGTTATATCACCAAATCAAGTGATTAAATTTTATTACTCTTCATGAGAAAAGTTTTTAAAATGTCCTTTTAATTTAATGAATAGGCATGGGTTGGTAATATTTGCCACGGAGAGCATGTTCTTCTCAAAGGCGTCTATTCTTCAATTCGAACAGAAGGCTATATGATGGACGTTGGAAGTATAATTTTAAAGATGTGCCAAGAAGTGCCCTATGGAATTTTGGTATTTTTTCCTAGTTATTCCAGTCTTCGAAATATGAAGAACCTTTGGGAGGTCATTTATTAAGTTTCTTTGTCTAAGTATTATTAAGCCTGCAAATTTAATAGGAGAGAGGGTTGTTACAAGAAATGGCCAATTTTAAACTTGTTGAAATGGAAGCCTCAGAAAGGGGAGAATTTGAGGAAAGCATACAAAATTATTATGACGCAATAGATGAAGCAAAACTATCCGCTAAAGGAAGCGCCTGGCCAGAAAACCAAATAACAGGAGCAATCTTTTTTGCTGTAGTAAGAGGCAAGGTATCAGAAGGTATAGATTTCTCGGATGAGAGAGCAAGGGCAGTTCTTACAATATCGATACCTTATCCAAACTATCAGGATATAAAGGCAATAATTATTTCTTAATACTTATATGTAATAATAAGTGATTAATACTTTTAGGTGAAACTGAAGCAAGAGCACAATAATATTTATCAGCAATCTAAAAAACTAATCAGTGGTGGTGATTGGTATGAATTTACTGCATTCAGAGCGTTGAACCAAGCGCTTGGTCGATGTATCCGACATAAGTAAGTTTCTTTTTAAGCCATTGCTGATAAGCTCAGTGACAGAACTTTTTCATAGGAACGATTGGGGTATTATGTTAATGGTTGAGATGAGAATTACAGAAGTTCTTCAAAGGAAAGCAAATAGTATGCAATTATCATATAAAATTATCACATTCAAATATGTCTTCAAATTATCCCAATTTAGGACTTCCTAGATGGTTTCGATCTCAGGCTCAAACACATGATAGATTCCCGGAGGCTCTGGACTCGATTCAGCATTTTGTGGCCGAAAGAATGGGTCCAAAGAAGTCAGCAGCACAGGTTAACGAATCATCTGAGATTAAATTCTCCGAAGCAGGCGGGTTCATAGCTGATTGATCAAATATTTCAAATATCAAACTGATAAGTGATACACATTTGCGTTATTTTTTATGATTCAGTTACCATTATAGATGGAAATAAATTCACAAATCTAAAAATTATTGCAAAAGATGAAATAAATTAGTATCCCTTCTTCGAAATAACAAATCAATTTTATTTATTAATAAGAATATATAAAAACATACAATGAGGGAGATTCATAAAAATATAAAATGATTCGCATAAAAAATGAGTAAACTTTAATATCTTCAAGTTATTATACCATAAAGCAAGAAAATAATCTATTTGAGTACAAGTTCTCTAAGGTACACATTTATATTATTTGGGGATTTGATCGAGTATATGTTGGTTGCCGCTGTTGTTGTTGAGGATGTTGATATTGTTGTGGTACTTGATGGGGTGGGGGGGCATACTGGGGTCTTTCTTGATGGGGATGTTGAGCCATTTCGTGGGGAGGAGGTCTGGCATAAGGTTGACGCTGCTGCGGTGGAGGTTGATAATATTGTTGAGGATTTGGGTTTATCGGTCTAAATTGTTGAGGTTGTTTCTCATACTGCTGAATCGGATATTCTTCGTCTTCCTGATCAATGGAACCATGAGGAAGTCTACGCACAAATTTTGTTGGTCTTTCAGCCACGTCTGCTCTACCAGATGGAAGTGACCTTCCTTGATAAGATGGCGTCATACTCATTTGAGAGCCATGGGCTTGAGGAATCGACGATATAGATCGTCCTGTAATTCTTGGAGTCGTTCTGCCAGAGGCCTGTTGACTCATTGTCAATCTGTAGGCTTCTCTAGTTTCAGGAGTTGGCTTCAATTTTTCTTCAGAGACCTCTAAGCTACATTTTCCACAACAGATGGCACAATTCATCACGAAAAGAATAGCCCAGTTGATAACCAAAAGCCAAGAAGCAATCTAACATTATTTTTAACAAAATTATCCACATGTTTGAATTACGGAGTTATTTACTTACACAAGCAATTAATATTCCTGGATAAAAACCACTACCATTGATACTGTCTCCTCCTCCAAACATTTTCATACGGTCCCATGCTATTCCCGAAGCACAACTATCCATTTGGAAATCCGGATTTTCTTCTTTTGCCTTAGTTAGTTGTTGACAAAATCTTCCTAATCCAACTGATAGAACAATTGCTGAACCAAGCAGTATCAATAAGGCTATAGTATTAACGAACGTAAATACAGGATTCATTCCTCTAATAAGGAAGCGCTCGTGAACATGGTGAGTTAATCTAAAAATTATTATTTTCTTTAGGTGCTGAAAATTTCGAATTAATATAAAAACCTTGTATATTTAATTTGCTTCTTTGTTCTTTTATCAGTAATAAAATAAGTGGCTAACGTCATGAAGAAAGCGTAAATGATGGAGATTGCAACATTTCCAAAGATAACGTAAGCGCAGGCTCCCTCGGAACGAGACCATAAATGGGTTGCATGCCAAGTAATGTCAGCATATAATGGGCAAATATGATCAAATTGTTGCTGAAATAATATAAAAATAAGTCTTATCTTAACTTAGAATAACAGATACTTATCCAAGTACTACGATAAGATAAAACTTTTTTATATACAAAGTATAACGTAATCAGTAGATTACGAAAGATTTATATCTTTTTTATTGCTGTTAATTATGTATAATTCACAACTAATAGTGAAAATTTTGGGTTTTCGGTGGACAGGTAAAAAAATTAGACAGGTGAACTTACCACGACTATTCCGACAGGTAAGGCAACAAAAAATCCCAGTGGAACGCTTATAGCGTACAATATAAGTTGAATTTTGCCAAATGGCCCATCATATTGCATAGAATTAAATGCTCGAACTGATCTCTTTTCTTGCTTTTTTTCTTGTTTAATCTCCTCCTTCGATTTTTCTGCCTCCTTCAGCGCCATTTTTACCTATTCGAACCTGCGTCTATTGTGCCATCTCGCGCCCAAGGGGAGAATTACAATGGCGTCTGCTGGAAATTTAGAGGGCGCTGTAGTCACAAAGAACATTAGCAGAGAAAACAAACTTTTTGGCGAACGCTCGAATAGTCGGAAAGAAACTTGCAAGAAAGGTAATATAGAATAAGGGTTGTTAAATTCCAAAGTTAGTTAATAAGTTTAATTTATTAAATAAAATGTTATTTTCTAAAAATAAAAAATAAAAAAGGACTATTTAATATTTAACTAAGAATTCTAAAAATATTCTTCGAAAAAAGAACATAACAAAAATGACTAGAAGCTTTTTTCATTATAAACTATTCTTATCATATTTATTATATTGGACATATTTAAAAATATTTATAAAGTAGGTAGCTTTGTATTTTTACGTTAGGTCTACTTATTTGATAGTTTTAAGCCAGAAGTTCTATGAATGATGGATCGACAGCCTAAGAATAGTTCGAATAGTATTTTTGTTGAATCTCAGATGAGATTTGATGAAGGGACATCTTCAGCGGCAGACGATTCGAGAGACGAAATGTTTTCTGAAGTAATATTTAATTTATTTGCCTTTAAATTTGAATCTTCATAAGTTATCTTTTAGGGGAATGCACAATGTAATAATCTCCCATCAGCTTTCGCTACACCAAAAAAAGTAAGATATTTGTATTTTTACTCTTTTTATTATTAAATAAACAAACTATTATAATATCGAAGGTTAATGGCACACGATTTTCTATGTTGGCTACCCCACAACCTCAACAGACGTCAAGTTCTTCACAGAATTCGATTATACAAGGAGAAATGAGTAAAAGCGTAAAAAAAGGAATGAGCAATATTATTCGATTTATGCAGAGTTGGGAGAACGAGTAAATTTAAAGTTATATTTAAAAGCAGAGAGATAATTATCATTTCTTTAATATCAGTGATGCAAATATTAAGGGGAAAATTGATCGACTTGGCGAAGTATTAACTAAGGTTGGAATGATTTCAACATGAAGTTTATAAATTAGAATTTCTATACTTAATTTTACAATACAGAAACTCCAAGATTTAGAGAGTAAAATGGACCAAACTACAGATACTTACAAGAAACAGAATAACAGTTAGTAATCGTAAGAAATCGAGCAATATACACTAAAAATATTTTCTAATTAGCTAATCAGCAAACATTTCAAGACGTCAAAGAAAGTATTGATATCGTTAGTTAATTATTAGAAATTTAGGTATACTAGACATTTTAAGAGTACGCTTTGTTTTATTCCAATTAGATAAAAAAAGATATAAAGACAATCTCTCATTTACGGGAGGAAATAGTTCAAGAGGCGAAGGATGAATTGGACAAAGCAGAGAAAAAAGTAAAAATACAAAGTTGTTTAATTTCGATAAAATGTTAATTGTTATTCATATTAGATTTCGCGAAAAGTTTTTACTGAACTTGAGGATCTACTTAATTTGACGAAAAAGGACTTGATGAAATCTATAACTACAAACAATGGAAATTCTTCCGATGATATAAAAGCAACTATTAAGAGCTTGTAATAATTAATACTGAAAAATAGGCACCAAATATTAATTGAAATTTTTTCAGACTGTCAAGTAGTAATATGAAATATGAAATGGGGCTACAGTCTCTCATTCAAGTTTTCCAGAGTGCAATATCTCAGGTTTATTAACAATCAAATTTTTCTTGTATAAAATTGAAGTATTATATTTTTGCAATTACAGAGTTTAACTGCCAGTTTTGATAAAATACGAAATTCGTTGACACAAACTGTTACAACTGAGATAAGAAACAAACATAAAAGTATAGAAAATCATTTTACACGTTTAGATTACTCTTTAAACAGTACAGTTGGGAAATTGGGAGAAGCTCTGCAAAAGTCAAGTTTTTTCGTTGACGTTAAAACTAGTATGTTTTGCTTTCAAATTGAAAAAAAGTAAAAATCAACTGTTGCTATTAAATTATAGATGATGCATATATAGACAAACCAGAAGAGAGCGACTTGAATAATACAGTAATCAAAATAGAAGAAGAAAGCCCTGAAAAGTAACAAAAAATTTTTAAAATAATTATTTATCAATTACCTTTTCTTATTTTTAGATTTAAACCTCAGCTAAACTCCGATTCAAATAAAAACCGTCAATATTGTCCAGAATATTCGTCAAATCAGATAACAAAGCTACTTGAAGCAAATAATACTGGCGTAAGAGAAAATTCATCAGAAAAGACGATGGAAAATTCGAATTACGCATTAAAGGAGACTAGCTGTCAGGGAAATTTAAATGGCATGGTTCCAGAAAGCGAATATGATAGCGATGAGATTGAAAGAATGTCTTTAACTCAATTAAGCACTGGAGAGTCCAATAATAAACAAACGGATTCGCCTTTTATTCCAAGCTCTGACTCAGATTTTCAAGCAACACCAGATATCAATACTCCAGATATTTGCCATGAGCGAGTTCGATCCCTTCGTTCGAATTTTAGAAAGCCTCGTAATTCAGTCAGCCCCGAATTAAACGAAACTTATTGCCGAAGAAAAAAATCTGACACAAAGCAACAAAAAAAGAAAATATCAGAGGTTAGATATAATATTGCAAAAAGGGTAACTGTATGGATTATAAATTATAAAATTAGGGAAAAAGGCAGGATATGTCAATATCAAAATCATCTCCTAAATTGAATTCAACAATGATTTCCAGAGTCGAAAAAAGGTATAATATGGCTGATTATTTTTGGTTAATAATATTCGTAAATTTATTTCTAGAAAATTTTACGATATGAGTGAAGATGAAACTCCTGTTTTTGAGCGCAAGCGAAGAGGACCTATGAAGGCTTATGGAAAAAGAAATCGTCTTATATAAATTTTTGTTTATTTTTAAACTGATATTCATTCTTGAACATAAAAAGTATATTATCCGTTAGTTCTATTTAACAATGATTGTTCCCTTTTGACTCCTATTCGAAAAATTGTTGTTTCTGGTACAAGCATAATGATAAACACCAGGCTTTAGTTTTAAAACAATTCCTGGGTAAGACGCCGGGGCATTATTCAAAAGACTGTTCATTGCTGTTTTCGATTGTACCGATTCAGCCCCACAAACCGAGCTGTTAAAACATTGGTAGTATCCTGATGAGGCAACGTTTAACGAAATGTCTGCCGGATTTAAATTTTTGTTGTTGAAATATTTCCAAAGAACAGCAGAATTTTTCCACAAAGTTGAACTTTCATACGACACAGGGAAATTTTCACTGCGATCCAAAATTTGAACAAGATTGTTACGATCCGTTCCGGCTGTACCCTGTCCATCGTCACCAGTTTGGCCATCTCCGCCGTCTTTACCATTATTATGGGTATTAGACCCTGTCCATTGCATATGTATAACATCTTTATTGCTATCAAGCTGTAGAGAGAATATGTTTTATACCAAAGTTTCAATTTTAGAAATTTATTGATAGAAACAAACCTCAGCATTGTTGGGTATAAAGTCATACTCAACTGCAGGATACACTTGAACAATGTTTCCTCTTTTACCTCTAACGTTTAAATTGACTATTCTTTTATCCAAAAGTTCGGTAGGTCTTTTCTTTAGTAAGAAAGTATGTGATCGGTCCTGGAATGTTCTTCCAAATTGTTGTGTATTTATGGCAAGACGTAGGCCTTTTTTTGCCGACGGTATGGAAACAAAAGGGTTGCCCCTAACTGGAGATTTAGACAGACTACCTTTTCCGAGATCATTATATTTCGCATCTGTTTGATAGGGATCATAATCGTCCGTTGATATATTATATCGAATGCGAAGAACGCAACGTTGAGTAGTTTCGGAAGGAAAGTATGGTATATTCCAAGTATAGTTGGAGGGTCTACCCTCCCGACTATTTCCCAAGTGATTTGATCTTGTCCAGGGTGCGTCGAGACATTCTGGCTTCTCTAATGGTACAAGACATTCTTCTGTTAATGTTTTACGGGTATAAAAGTCTGAAGCATAACCCCAGATGTATTTTTTGTCGAGGCAGTCCTTTTTATTTCGAAGGTTAGTCGCCTTTTCTAAGAAATTGTGGAACTCAATCCATTTTTGATTGTTACTTTCGCATTCAGCTTTATTATTGAATTGATTATAAAGGTAAATATAGTTTTGATTTACACAAGCTCCCTTAGGTTTGATATTGTGACTCTCCCTCTGATAAAAGTCGCATCTTTCTCTCGCTTCTGACAAGATGGCTATATCTTTCCAAGGGTTGGGGTGAAAATACGGATAATAGTCCCTTTCTTCGGGACATTCATAACCGTATCGGTTGGCTTCCGGATTTTGTCTAGTGCTTACCGAAAAGTCATGATCAAGTTCTTGGTCTGCAGTGAAGAGGCCATTATTGCGTTTTTTATGAGCGCAATAGTCGTACCACTCGAAAGGTTCGTGAAGTCCTCGATCAGCTTTTTCAGAATTAGCCTTTCGGGTTTTATATTCCTGTTCAGTTTCAAGTTTATTCGGTGGTGCTTTATAGTCTTGCGTATTTGTTACTTCGCCATTTCGCATCTTGTTTAAGGCTAAAAAACACGTTTGTTTAATTAACATTTAATGATTAAATAGTTGATATCTCATTAGTTTAATAAAACTATAATTTAGACATAATTATTTGATTATGAATAGGTTATTGTCTAAATGTAAATATAAGCCATAAAAATCCTCTTGATAATATCAGTCAATCGGTTAAAATGGAAGACTGACATTTATACATAATATTTGTTTTCTAAAGTCATTAATCCACCCACTTACTTGCTGTTTCCGGCTGGCACATGTACTGTAAAACAATATTACAATTTTGTTTATGAGGATCTTTGTCTTCTGAACCTCCACATCCATGCTGGTTCGTCCACTCTAAAACAAGTTCAGATTTACCAGAATTTGATGTTTTACCACCTTGGAAATGAAACTGATGATAAAAAGGAAATTAAGTGAAAATCTTTCATATTTCTGTTGAATTGGTTAAAAGACAGATATAGTTTACCATTTCGTACTGCTCTCCAGCTTCACTTCCTTTATCACCAACATTGTAACCTCCCCTATTGTTGTTCTGATTGTTTAAAAAAACAACAACAAATGATTAGATCATAAATATGGAAGAAAGGTTCCTTTTTCTATACAAATTTTTTACCTGAGAATCGAACATTCTATTTGCGTTCTTTCTGGCTGCTGATTTTTCATTCAAACGGTTATTGCTCCCCCTTGAATTGTGGAAATAAACATCGGCGGAGCATAAATTCAAGGCAAGAATTAGGTGAATACTCGATATAAATTTCGATACTCTCATAATTTTCTTTTGTTGTGAATATAATTTGTTAGTATCCTCTATAAATGATTCAGTTGTGGGCCAATTAATTCGCTAAATATCACATATCATGAGTTACGGTGTATTTATAGTTATTGCCAATAGGATTCGCGGGTATTCCCTCGCACGCACCAATGATTCATCGGTTATGACGTCACACAATTAAATTAATAGTCATATTTTATTACAACACTTTCTAAACACGTTAATTTTATGGCCGAAATTTGAATTTGTTTGGTAAATGTTTCTTTCTAATTAGATAACGAATACTACGAATATTTTCTCTGTTTTCTTTGCATATTCAACTAAAAAGTAAAATAATGTTTTTAAAAGATTTACATAAAAACGAACATAGTACGATTAAGTTTTTAACAAACAGCTACAATTCTATTCTTGAATGTATTAACAGGAGTTAAGCCGAGTGAAGAATAGTAGCGTAAGCATTCTGAATTCCATCGTAAACTTGCATAGCCCTCGATTTCAAAGATAACTGCAAAAAACAAAGAGAAAAAGGATAAGAGAATAGATGAGAGGGATATACAGCATAATAATCATTATATTGTGTTAATATTAAGAAATTATTATAAAGAGAAGATCAATATAAATTATAAATAAGAATAGATAATAAAGGTTGAACAAACTTTCTGTCAATAGTACGTTATGTGTTTGAATAAATAATGATATTGTTAAAAATGATAAAATATATTTAAGGTTATTAAAACCTTCTATAAATTGAATCGATTTAACTCACCTTGAAACAGGGATTTCCTGGCTGGATTTTTAATTCGGCCAAAACCCATATATCATTGGTTAGCTTTATAGATTGATAGAGCATATCCTGACCATCTACGTTACGTTTAGCTATTGTAAAGATATTATTATTCTTTAATTTAGACGAAACTGTATCGGCGTTGTGTTGGACGTCTTCTATATCGGACTGAACTTCGTTGGCTGTTGGAATATCTTTCCATGTTGCTAGGAACACCCTCTTATCCATTTCACCATCCTCAACAAAGAGAACGTGCATTGGAATCATACAAGTAAAGTAAAATACGTCGACGTTGTTTTTGATTGCTACTTGTAGGGAATTGAGTGGATCCATTTTTTGCACTGGTCCGTTCACGTTGAGGGGTAATGAAATATTTACTGAACTATTTGGCATAATTGGGTTATTTATGGAGAGGCTCTGCGCAGGGGTTATGCCAAAGCTATTTTTGTTAAATTGAACAGCGAACGCAGACATTTGCGACATTGCTTTGTTCGTAATGGTTAACTCCATTACGGGTTGTTGACTACGACGGGTAAAGGTTCCCGAAACTTCTAATCCCTTACCACTTTGAGAAGTTAGCCAAACATCTTGTGGTGGTATGTAACAAGCGGATTGCGATAGTCCTAGAACTTCGTTCAATCCGGAAAGTAGGCCAGAATCGACTGGTCCACCAAATATATTGGCAGGCATTTGAGAAGTTTTCGCCGGTTCATTAGATGGTGCTCCACCAACTCCCAATAAATCTAGGCCGTCCGACAAGAGATCAACAGCGGATACGGCCGGATCGGCAGTTTGACCAGGATAGTTATTAACACCACCAGACATATCCATATCTAATAGATCGCCAATAGTTCCATGATTGGATTCTGGAATGACAGAAGCTTGAGGAATCTCAGTAGTGGTTGTTGTAAAGTCAGTAGAGGAATTTTGTGGCAATGCTTTCCTATAATATGGCATCTTTCCCTCAACGAAAAGCGAAGGAGGTTTATGATATACTGAAGCCAATGAGGCAATATGACATATTAGTTCATCCAGAAGGGTCGGTTCGATTAGATCAGTTTCAGCGCTTATCAGGGGTTTTTCAGCAAGAACAACGTGCTTAGCTGCAGCTGGATCAGTAGATAATAGCCTCCAATAAATGTAACCTCTATCTCGCAAGTCTGGATTGTCAGAATCATGAGTAGCTAATGACAAAACTTGCTGTACAAGTTCTTGAGTATCAGTGGGCTTCTTCAAGAACAGTTTCACAATAGCCGTCAACAATTGCAACTGAACTTGGGTGTTTTCATCAGCAAACCCATCCAAGAAGCTCTCAAGCAATTCATCTGCATTATCGATACGCTCTGCATATTCCCCAATAATCCATATCATACTGGCCTTTGCTTCAGGCTCATCCAAAGTATCGAGATTCTCGCAAAGTGTTGCAATAATACTTTCATATCTATTCGGATATTTACGGAAAATATCCTTAATAACGACGATTGCTTCTTGAACTACATAATTAACTTTAGTCTGAATTAAATCAATAAGAGTACTGACGCATTTCTCAGCTGCTACTTCTACTTTGATAGCACATCTACCAATTGCCCTAACAGACTTTCTAACAAAATCAACATCAACTTCAGTCGCATACTCCTTCAATTCGGTTATAACTTGAGCTACATTTGCTTCGGATGTAAGCCGACACATAATGTCCAGTTTTTCCAATTTAACATAAATAGGGTCGTTGTACTTGACGAAAAAGACCTTCATGTCTTGTTTCATAATATCTGATCTCTTTTGCACCACTAAATTAATATTTCGAAGTGCAACGTACTGAATTTCAGGTTCACTCGATAAAAGAGTAACCAAAGGAGGTGCCAACTTCTTCATAAAGTTAATTGCGTGTTCAGAAACTGGATCCATCATTTCAATTAACTTAACGATTACCTTGACTGCAGAAAGTACAACAGCGCTATTAGCGTGAGCCAATCTTGGAGAGACTCTTTCGCAAATAGTTATAGCGCTGTTTGTATCCTCTGGTGAGTAGTTGGATATTGCATCCAGTATAAATATTTGACCCCATTCTGTACACTCGTTCAGAGCGGTCAGCAATTTGTTCACAATTTGGAATGTAAGATCCAAAATCCCTTGTCCAGCCGGCGATGTTTCCATAATTTCACTAATTGCTGCCACAGCATTAGCAACAACCATGGGGTTTGGGTCTGACATAAGATCGCGTAGTGTATCAAGAAAGCCCAACTCTTCGACCATTTGACCATTAATATCATGTAATTTGGCAACGCAAACTGCTGCCGTCTTCCTAACGTAAGGATCCTCATCTTTTAAACATTTTCTCAAAGGGTCGCACAGGTATTCAGTAATTTTTTCAACTCTTATACAGCCCATTGTTCGTACGGCTAAAGCTCTAATTAAAGGGTTGGAATCGTCACAATCCTATAAGGAAAATAAGAAATATTACTTATTTGTAGAATGCTTTCGTTAAACGCTATTATAGTATATTAAAATGTAACCTTAACAAACGTGTTGACGGCCATTATTGCCAAATCTGGTTGAGTTTTCGCATAATTCATCAAATAGAGATAAACTAATTTCTTTAATTCTATATTATCTGTCTGCATACAATTTACGACATCGGCAAAGAGGCCGCTGACATCTTTTCCTACTGTCATACTGGCAATAACCTTTTTTACGGCCTCTTTCTTTCGTTCCTTCTTATCACTGTTCAATTCAGCCTTTAATTCGAAGATCTCGCCCTTTTTAGTAGTTGTGAAGTATTTGGAGTCCGTCATTTTGTCTGTTGATGTATAATTTTATAGAAGAGATGGAAATTATCAATTTGACAAACGCCCACTTTTATATTAAATTAAAGTGAATCGTCAATTTTTTTACAATATTTAAATGTAAATATTTTTAAGAAGTCGTAAGATTCGAATAAATAACTAATATTCAATTTATATACCTGCAATCGGCGATTTCTATTAAAATTATTCAAATTCAGTCACGAAATATGGAGACAGCCTTGACCTTCTAGATTCGATTTGTTGTAATTTTGACCGGTTCCTACAAAATATAGTGGAATATAGAGAAGAAAAAAAACCGGTTGAACCGTAAAAAAAATTTCGTTAATGAATATTTAAACAATTGAAAATATATGCGAAAAAAATCAATGAAAATTAATTAATTAATTAAAATAGTTAAAATTAAGTAGAACAATTAAAATAAAGGAAAATAAGAGGGAAGGAAGGAGGAGAAGGAAAATAGATAACTGAAAGGAAGAGAAAGAGAGAGGGAGAGAGAGAAAGAGAAGGAGAAGGAGAAAGAAAAAAATCAAAGGGTAAATTAAATAGTTATTCTCTCATTAAGGGTAACATAAATTTGAAATTTAAATAGATGCTATGTTTAAAAAATATCCCTAAAAGGAATGTTATTGATGTTTTCTTTCGTACTTTCTTCATATATCCTTCTCATTGAAGTTCAGCAAATTTCTTCTCATTTAATTAATAATTATAAGTCAGTAAGAATCGATAAAAAGGATCCTTTAAAGCAAAATAAACATAACTTTCGTAATGTAAATGATCATTGTCTTTGTGTAGATGATGAAAGAATGTCAGGAAAAGGTAAATTTGTAAGTTTATTTATATAATAAGGATATTTAAATGATTGTATATACTTTATATACTAATATATATATATATATATAGGTTTGTAGCGAAAATATAAATAGGCCTGAACTCGTAGATTACATCCATCCGAAAACTTGTCAAGACATATCGAATGTTAAATTTATTCATATTCAAGTCTATTGTTATTTCTATGATGATGAATTTTCCGTTGAACTCTTATTAAATAGATTTGTTCAATTAATTGAAGTGTTCTATTGTGTCAAGGCAAACATTAAGTTCAAAGGTCGAGTTGGTTACGAAAGAGATTTTCTCGTTATTTTACACGAGACACTTCGTCTTCCATGCGGTTTACAAGTGTTAGGCAATTTGAATATCACTATTGTCAATAAAAGATTTACTTTATGGGCTGAAGAAGTGGTCGGAAAATTGAAAGATCAATCCCGATTGGTTGAATTAAATATCCGTGACATAACAGAAGCTTCCCATTGCGAAGGTGTTCAAAGCACTGCCGCCGAGAAATTTCACATTACATTTAATAATAACGACTACCTTAATGGTAGGAATAGATTAGCTATCTACACAAACTTAATAAGTAGGTCGTACGAAGATTCATTAAATAAATATGGAACATTAAGATTTGCAAACGAAGCTCATCTACTCCTCGATCTTACGAATACAGACGACGTGTTAACAGCTTTGCAAACGGGTAGGGTCACAAAAAATACTCGTAATATTGCATACGTAAAGATTATAGATGTCTCTACTAATCCAATAGGTAAATGGAAAGCTCAGAGATTTTTATTTAAAAGTTGCGCTCAAGTGGCTCTACTCTACGATTTAGAAAGAATAAAAAAGGCAGGTTCGAGTGTAGGTTTTCTTGTCAATTGTCCCTTGGATAAAAGTCATCCGTTAAAATATGCGGAATTTGAAGTAGGCGATGGTTCTAAGATATTCGGTACTTGTTGTTCAGGTTTGAATATATTATCAAAGGATGAAGGTATTATTAAAAAATGTGTGACGAAGCATAAAAAACGATTAGAAATACTTAAAAACAAAGTTTGTCTGGGAAGTGGTGAATATTTATATGAATTATTATAAAAGGGAAAATATTAGTGTATTAAAGTATATTAAATGTTGATAATCTCTATTAATAAATAATTTTCAATTAATTAATGAATTAAAGGAAATGGTTGAAATATAGGAGCAATTTCCTATGTTAAGAATTTCATTTACTGTTAGTAAAGTCATTCACTTTCGGTAATCCAATTAGCGATATATTAAATACTTAACGCCTATTGAATATTCATATTATTATTATTCACTAAATGCTTCAACCATTCTGAAGATGCTAATTTAGAAGAGAACGATGTAGGAGAGGAGAAAAGTGCTAAATGACGCATATGCGATAGTTTGGCAGAAATTCCAACCTCTTCATAGTCAATTGACTCCTTCGCGCGGTTGAATTTTCAATAGCGGTAAATACATATCCAAAGTAAAGGTAAGGAACTACCAGTTTATCTAAGTAGTTCTATATAATAGAAGCAGTTATATTTGTGAAAGTTTTTGTTTAGAAATCCTTTCGGTAGTGTTTTTCTTTTGAAGGTTCAAAGATGAAATTGACTTTCAAAGAAGCGCTTTCGTCTTTCAAACGATGGGCATAGATCCGGAAACTTTTGACAAAAAATTGAGAATCTATTTAAATCTTTATCTTCTCTATCTACAATAGGTTGAATAGTCATTAAGTTACAATTTATAGGCAGATTAAGGACTGAGTAAATATTTTGGGATATTTTAATCTCTTTTCCTGTCCTAATCCAGTTGCTTCTAGGTGGCGTTACTTTGACAATAATTGTATAAAAGTATAATAATAATAATAATAAAATAATAGTAATACGATTGCGCTATTGTAGAATGAGAATATGATTTTAAACGACCCGGAAATAGTTAATGCAGCATTGAATATTTTGATTTTTTTAGCATTCTGAACAGTTTTATTACTTGAATGCATAAGTTCCTTTCTTTTATTGGTGGAAAGTTGCCAAAGATATAAAGTAGAACGGAAAGGAATAAAAAAAGTTGTGTCAATTTGGCCGTCTGCTTTTTAAGTTATTCTAAGACTTTTTACATAGCGAGAAACGACAATGTGACGTAAGAACTAAAGAAAGAACACGGCGGATTGTTGTATTTGTAAACGTGTCTCTCTGTTTATTTTATCCTTTTTTAAAGGATAATAGGATAGAAAGATGAACGATGGTTTATTTTGACCTCTTTTTTTAAGTTCTACCCTTGCTTTTCAAAAATTTCTTATCTGCTTTCATAAAAGGGAGAGGAGGGCGTGTCTTAATGAAAATAGGGCGGGATTGACCGAATGTACCCTTCTCATATATCTCAAGTATTATCCTCTCGAAGAAAATTAGGCTGACCGTCTGTTGTAGAAACTCGAAAGAATTTGTAACAAGATTTCCTCTCCTCTCTACCAATTCATTTCTCATTACAATTGTGCCAATTATGGCTTTTTCATTTGCCGAAGAGGAAAAGTATGGTTTATTGAGCAATGGAACAAAACAACATAAAGTATAAAGTAAGGATAAGTAGAAGGAAAAAAAGAGAAGGGGTTGTAATAAAAAAAATTGCCAACTGACAAGTTCGCCCGTAAACATTCCTTTGTCAGCGAACGCGCCACTTTTACGACGCGTATAATGCTTTAATTAATTCGCAATTCATCACACTATTGACCTATGGGCGTTTTTCAATGGCGCTCTAAACAACCAATCAGCTCTTCCCTACAGAAATTCTTCGCGAGCGCTAAAGTCTACTTTCCGCTTTTGACACTAAAGCCTTGATAGACGCTCTTCAAACACCTAACCATGGAATCTAACCGGTGTGATTGTGAGTGTTGTTTTCTATAATATTTATTCAATTTAGTGGATTTTTTTGAATTAGCCGCCCCCAGATTAATCTTATAAATAAATAAAGCTTTATAATTTTCTCTCTTTCTTCTATTTCACAAGTCTCTCTTCTCTAATCTCACCGCCAGTGCCTATCTGTTTATAAATATATATATATATATATTTTCTCTGTTATATGTACGTATCTAATCTCTCTCTATCTGTCTATTGATAGAGATAAATTAATTACCATTTTACTAATCCAAAGCGTTGTTTTAGTCAATACTTGAAAAGTTGAAAAGAGCGTCAATTTCAAAATCTAGCGTAAGAATAGTTACGCGACTCGTCCACAATATATTCCGTTTTTCTTTATGTTGAAAGCGTTAAAAACGATCAATTCTAATTGCTATGCAATTTTATGCAAATTGAATACATTAGACATAAAAAGAAGTTACGTAACTGTCGTTAACCGATAGGAATTATTGTAGGGAAAAGCGGTCCTTATTAAATTGTCGTTATGAATACAAGCGAATAGAGGTAATATTTTAGTCTAGTTTTATTTAAATGCCATATGCCCCCCTTCTCCCCGCTGATAAATATTATCTTGTTATTAATTCTCCAATTAAAATATAGGCCTAATCGCTAGATTAATTACAATTGATAATAAAAAGAATAGAGAGATATTCAATTAAGAAAAGAAAGTTGAACATTTTGTAAAGAAGATATATATATATATATAAGATTAAAAGTAGACTTTCTTTTTTCAACTAATAGTTTATTATAATGTTGTAATAGCGATTACGTAATCGTTCTTATTTAACTCCGATTCTAGTCTCATATAAAGATTAGGAAGGTTTCTTTCGTTATTTTTTATAGCGTGTAATAAAGTCCGCAGGGACAACTAAGGGTGTTATGTTTAATATTTCCCTTCCGCCTTAGGGAAAGAAAATTAAATAATATTTGTAATAATAAAAAAAAGAAAAAGCATAAAAGTAAAAATCCCATTGAAATGAACTTGAAGATTTTTTGAACCTAATTTGAACTTTTCTTAACCAAGCAGCTGTTGTCATTGTTTTGATTATTGTAGCAGATTTAACTGAATAGGAATAGGATAAATACTCATAAGAGGATTAAATTCTTCTCCATAATTCTTAATAGCTATATATTATAAAAGGCAAAGATTTTCCCTGATTATATTACTCTTTTGTCGACGTACAGGTCTATTTCTATTCCGTTCATGTTTACATATTATACGGGTTATGTGGGTGAGAAAATTGGTGAAAATAATCGTAAAAACACTGAAAAAGAAAGAGAAAAAATTGCATAGAAACAGAGTAATAAAGTTGAAAGATTTGAAGAAAATTTAGCTTCATATTATAGATGAAAGGAAAATACTTGAAAAGCGTACTTGAACGATTGTATACTTTCAAGTATACCAACCCTTTTGGTTGATGAGTTTAAAGGAAAAACAGATTGCAACCGCCATAATATTTGAATATAGAATTTTCAAGTATTTTATTCTTTATTCATCGAAATTATATAGGTTACTATCAATATCAAAGTTAAATATCTTAGTTATACTAATAATGTTAATATGATGTAATATGACAATTGGACCGTGTAATTGTTAGTGACATTGATTTTTGCTCAAACCTAATTCATCTTTTGTGCTTGTAATAGGATGACACCTGTTTCTTCCTTTTTTTTTATATCCCTCCCCATCTTTCTTGCCTCGCCTCTATCCGTCCCTTCCTCCAATCCCCACTTTCCCTTTTCTCCTTATGACGTTTATTAATGGTCTGAATGTAAAAAGTGTAATTGATTAGAGTTGCCGCAAGATATTACTATTGACAATATACTGTATATATATTAGTGTAAACATATATTAATATATATATATATATATATATATATATATATATATATATATAGTAAGGCTATAAAGGTCATTGGCGGTTAAGAAAACGATTTTTGAAAAGACGGAAATAAATGGAACAAAGCGACCGTGAATGGCGGAAGCGGTTTATGAGCGTATCTAATCGGGCGAAAGGCGATTTCAATGCAGCTGTCCACCATTTAATATCGGCGTGAAATGGCGTTGATAGCGACACGTGTCTTGTTTATACGAGAGATTTTTTTGTATTGTCAAGTGTCGCAGGTTCACACCTGTTAATCTCCGTTGAATATATGTGGTTTTATTATATTTATATTATCATCTTTTAAAAGCTTCTCTTAATTTGTAATTTTTTACTAATACCTATCATAAAAAATAGATTTAGAGGAATCTTTGGAATTGTAGTTTTATCATTTCTCTCGCTCTCTTTCTCCTTTTCATATTTATTGATTTTTAGAATTATTTACATTTTTTTCTTTCTTTGTTTTTTTTTTATAAAAAAAACATTTATCAATTTAAGAAACAAATTATAAATCGATAAATAATGATATAATTGCGTTAAAAAATTCGTCATTAAAACTTTGGTTATTGTTTAATGACTCGAAAGTTAAATGAAAACAACCGAATTTGTCAGTCTGTCCGTATTCATTCCCTTTACTTGCCGAACATTTTTCAAATTGCTTACACTAGGGTTGTATAAAGGGCATATTAGGCCGATTAATAACAATGGTAGAAGAATAAAAAGAGAGGAAGTGAAGGATAGGGAGGGAGACGGCGAGAGAGAGAGAGAGAGAGACGAAGAAGAAAAAGATGAAAAGATTTTAAGATATAAATGTTTTTTTTATAACCACAAGAATTTATTTTTTAAATAAAAGCATATTCAAGAGAAGGAGAGAAGAGAAAGAACGAATGAAAGTAAAGACAGATAATCTTTAATCTTGCTATGAAAGGGATACAAGAAATATTTGAGAAAGCCTATGTGTTGGCAATATAACACGATTAGCAATGTTTGTTTGACTTTCACACCTATTCTGATCGGTTTTGTTAAAATCCGAATGACGTTTAATTAAATCATTGCAATATCTTTTCTCTCTTCTTGTTCTTTTCTTTATCAAAGTGATTAAGTGAGTGAACGAGAGAGAAAGAGAGAGAGAGAGAGAGAGAGAAGGGTGAAGAAAGAGAGAAAGATAATCTATATTATCCTATTAACATATCTAAAAATAATAAAGAAAAGCAACTAATTATGTCATAAATATTGATTTTTCAAACGATGAACTATAGGTAACTTAATATTTTCGTATTTATTGTGATCAATATGATAAATAGCCGATGATTTCTTACACGACCCATTCTTATATTTCCGCCACTTTTCGAATTATAAATAAAAATTTTTACTTCTTAGATCTTTGCATTGCAAATTCAAATAAAAAACGGAATGACTGAATGACTGAATGACTGAATGATTGATTGATTGATTGAATGAATTAAATGACTAAGAGTGAGAAGATATACGTCTTAAATACATTAGGAATGATAATGAAGAAAGATGATATTATGGTTTACAATCATTGAAGTAGATCTAAAACTTCATAACGATTAATCTTTCGAGAAGAGGAAAAAAGTAGGGATAAGGGTTGATTTTGCCTAATACGTTTTTATGTTCTTTTATTGTATCGAGTGTTATAAATCATATTTTTGGCTGAGTTCTCTTTCTTCCCTTGACTGTATTGCTTCAAGTGAATAATTTTAAATGTAAAATGCAATTATCATTGCTATAAGATTATTTCATTACAATCTCTATTAAAACAAAATTCCAAGCGTCTAATTAACGCTGCTTTAATGAATATTAAACGAATTACACAAATTCCTTTTCCGAAACCTATGGCGCTAACCGAGACTGAACTGTTTTACCGTAAATAAAATGTTTTTTTTTTTCTCCTCTTTAAGATCGACGCCCCCATTCGACGCCTTTAACACTAAAATGGTTGGAAGAAAACTACGAATTGGCGGACGGAGTATGCATACCGAGAAGTACGCTCTATGTACATTATTTGGATTTTTGTAAAAGGAACGGCTGCCAGCCTGTAAACGCCGCTAGTTTTGGAAAGATAATTCGACAGCAATTCTCAAGGATTACAACCAGGCGTCTAGGAACTAGGGGTCAATCCAAGTCAGTAATCTCAAACTATGCTTAATAATAAAAGAATCGTAACGTTTTCTTTTATTATTCTAATTTAAGGTACCACTATTATGGAATAGCAGTTAAAGAGACGTCATGCTATTTTGAACCGTCATTTTCAAAGCGTCAACCACAGCTAGCGAACACAAACACAAATCAAAATGGGCATTGTAAACTTCAACCTGCTAATCAACAAGTTTTAAAACCGCATAATGTTCAACAAACAATGGCGAAAGATAGGCAGAAAACTCTTTTAGCCGAATTTCCAACTGTCAGTGAAATGAAGTTACCACATGGTATTGAAAGCGATAAATTAAGTACTCTGTTGATAATGTACAGGACTCATTGTCAACGGGTTGTCGACACAGTAATTAGAGCCAATTTTGACGATGTTAGGTCTTTTTTGGTTCATTTTTGGCAAGGATTCCCGTCTCATATGGTAGATCTTTTAAAATCTGATTACGTTGTTATGGTATTAGCCGTTTGCGACGGCCTAGTGTATCAAAGTTTGGCAAAAATACTTGTACCAACTTTGACCAACCAACTGCCAGAAAGTCTCGTTCAGGCTTTAGCCAATTTTGCCGATGACTTTGATTCCTGCTTACAATCCGCTTTAAGAGGATTACCTTCAACACTTTGCAGTACGAAATTAGAACGTAAGAATTTTCTTGAATATAAAGAAAATCTTTTAAATAAACTTTTCCAAACCAATACTATCCTTTCATAGTCGCCGCACGATTCGTTGCCAGCTTAAAGACACGTATAACCCTTTGTGAACTGTGCCAAGCTGCTAGGGCTATAACCAATAACGGCGAAATAGTTAATCAAATGATGGACGATTGGGCCGATATAGACGTAAGCGCCATCTGTGAACAAGTATTATGGATGTCAGGGGTGAATTGTAATAGAGAATCCCTAGTCTTTTGTAAGTATTTATTAAGAGATAAGAGAGAGAGAGAGAGAGAGAGAGAGAGAGAGAGAGAGAGAGAGAGAGAGAATAGTTTATTAGAAGCTTTTGTTAGAATGATTTTAATGAAAGCAAACTTTTACAGTGTGCGGAGAATTTGAGGAGGAGTTGTTAGAGGAACAAGCACCTTTGGAGACGTATGTCAGCTGGTTGGATAATGTTATAGAGAGAACCGTTAAAGAGAACAATCTGTCCCAATTTGCCTTAGTATGGAATGTTTTTTGTACGAAAGTTTTAAGAGAATTAACTCTGCACTCGGCGCCATCTTTTGGCAGTTTTCATCTTTTACATATATTAGCCGACGACTATGTAAAGTATAAGCTAGATAATATAAGAGATGAGAGGAAAATGAAAGATTATAATCAGGCTCTTAAGAGCGGATGTGTACCAGAAAAGTTACTTCCAATGCCGAAAATAATGGAAAATCCTAATCAGACGAGAGATTGTAATGTCGAATGGCATAATTCGCAATACAATAATCACGAAGTTGATGGAAATCAAGTTGCCAATACTCAGTGGGTAGATTATGGACATTCAGCATTTTCTATGACCCAAAATATGTTCAATTTTTACGATTATGACCAATGGAATGTTGCAACGGCGGCACCTACTCCTCCAAGCTGTAGGCACGATGCAGGGGCAGTTTATTGCAGGCCTTAGAGAAAGTGCTATCACACAATTGTTCGTCTGTAATTATTTTAACCACAATTATCACCACCACCACCATCATCATCATCATCGATACTATATAATCATAAAACGACTGTTTCTTATTATTAATTTGTTTTTTATTTAATAATCAAAAGAAAGATGAAAAGAAGGAAGTAGAGAAAGAGAAGAAATCAAGCAAGTTGTAAATGTTCAGTTTTGTTTTTTTTTTTGTTTTTATCAAGTTTTTCCCCAGAGTTTTTGCTCTTAAAATAAAAAACCTACAAAGCAGGTTAGATGCGGAAATAGACGTCCATTGGTTTCAACAGTAAACATTTATTTAATATACTCCAATGACAAACTAAGGTTTACTTCATCGAATGTAAAGATTTTTTGTAAGAGTTGAAATAATTCTTGGCGCTTCAAAAGTCTCTTGATCGGTTTTTCTTGTTTGTTGAAACAATTGCGTTAGTATATAATTGACATACGTAAACATTGTCAATACATCATGAGAATTACGGTACTTCTGAAAAGAAAATATTCAATTTTTAACAAATATAAATGATAATAATTTTAATTGTTACATTAAAAACAAAGATAATAGCTTGTATAAACCATGAACCAGCATTATCATTATTTTGTGATATTCCCCAAGGCATAAATCCAGGTATAGATGAGTGTGCGTAAACGAAATCTGCCATTGTAGGAATATTTTTTTCATTCAGACTTGAAAGATTCCTTTTTTTTTTTTTAGGAAATGTATTCCCGTCAGTTTCCTCAACACCAATTTTTATTGCTGGACAGGCTTGAATGATAAATAGTTTAGGTTTTCCGCAAAGTACTGAACAAACATCTCCCTTTAACAATTCAATTAATTCTTGAATTTCAATAGGACCGTCTGTACCATAGATTGTTTCATTTTGTCCATAAGACAATAAAGCACAGCCAAAGACGCTAACGGGATTTTTATATTGAGTCTTTACGGATACGTCTTTTAAAATTTGTTTCATTTCCGTTGTAGTCTTATTGTTATGAACTTTCACGTTAAAACCACAAGCTCTAAGTTTCATTTTTAGATTGATTTTATCGTACTCCGATTCTTCTCTAGATGGCAATCTTAAATTTTTTTTGAATTCCATATTGTTTATAATGATAAAATGCCTGCCATCCTGGCTAGTTCCGTACTCTTCTTCGATAGTTTCAGACCTAAAAATACATTGTGAAAATCGGTTGATGTAAACTAGACCTTCCTCTGAAAAGTATTAACCTTCGGCGATTAACATCAAAATACTCCTGTTGATGACCCGCCATATTTCTGTAAAATCCTGTATTAACTAAAACGAAAGAAGGAAATAATAAAAACGGGTAAACCGATTATTCATCAAAAATGAAGTCTCTCTGCATATTCAACATGTTATATATTGTGACCGCTGTTTATTGGTCTATTCAAATATTCGCATAGAGCATGTTGTAAAAGAATGCCATCTGGTGTTTTATAACATTTTCTGTATAAAAATGCTACTTATACAGAGTATATAAATGTATATAACATATACTGTATATAGTAGGTAAAGATATTATGAAGTGAATGGATAATAATAGTTCCTACTCGACAAATACTTCAATATTACGGTATTTTCAAACGTTTCTATTAGAAAATGAATGAAAATATTAATGATCGAGGCATATAGGAGTAAACAATATTTTTTTTCATTTTTTATATATTAGTATACACTCTATAAAAGGAGAATTATCAATTTTTCCTTCTTTACTTGTTCGTTGTCCGTCAAACCTCTTACTTATACTTTCAACCAGTTTAATTGTAAGTTTTAAAGTGAATATTATATATATATATATATATCGGCTATATGTAAATAGAGACAGTAGTAAGGTTTTATACTTTGATTAACCTTTCCATTTCTCTATATACTGTATAAACTTGCACAGTATTTCTATATCGTTCATTAAATTGTTTAAAAGATTTCTTCTTCTTCTTCTTCTTCTTCATTCTAAAGATTTTAAATCATTAAAATAAAGGATAATCTAAGTGCAAAAAGAAGGAAATGGAGTGTCGAATATTTTTCTTTCCAGGATAATAAAAGAGAAGAAATCTAATTAAAAAAGTATTGAAGAGAGAAAGAAGAGAATATATACAGTATATATTCAAATTTTAAGCGTCTTTAATCTATTGAACGTCTATTTTTTTTATTTATAAATTAGTGCAATATGACTAAATCATTCTTCGTTTAGAAGAGATTGTATATAAGAAAATGGGGAATAGACTACAAATATCATAAGAGAGCTACTTACTAGGTTATAATGAAAAAGTTGTATTTTCTCTCTTTGAAATCATTTAGAAATTCCATCGGTGGAAAAAGTAAAAAGAGAAGAGAAAAAACGAAGCAATTTTACGATTATTGAACGATATTCCATTGAAAAACTTGTCTAACAATGACAAACTTTTAGAACAATAAAATCATAATTCGTTGTACATAAAAGAATTCTATAGTTATAAGGTAAAGTTTAGCGATTTTTATTAAACACAATCCTTATCCTTTGAAGACTTGTTTATCTTAAAATAACAAATTTTTACAATTTGTAATATAGAGAAGTTAAAAATTATTATTATTAAAAGAAGTAGAAGTAGAAGAAGAAGAAGAAGAAGAAAGGATAAATAAATGATAGAAAATTCGCAGGTATAGTAAAAACTAGGGAAAAAGTGATGTAAATATATTTTTATATAAGAATTAAGGTGACTTATATATAATATTAGTCATAGCATATAATGGAGGTATATATATATATATATATATACATATAGATTGTACGTTATTTATACCTGCGCCATCTTTCTTTTGTCTTATAAATTGGTATATAAAACAATAAGAAATTCAATTTTTCGCTTCTATCTAACTTTCTCTCTGTTTTTCCACTGTTTTCTCTTTCTTTACCTTTAATTGTTAATGAAAATTTAATGCTTTTTGTGTGGATTTTCTTTTGCTTATCTCCTTTTCAACAACTTTCGCTTAGTTGTTTTTTGATTTTTCTTATCAAAAAATAACTTTCAACAGTTTTGAACTTGTAAAATATCGTAAACAAGGTTTTCTTCCCTTTAGGTATGTTTTCTTATTCTTACCATTATATCTAATCAGCTTATCAAGGTGCGCTAGATGGCGCTTCTTTCGTAAAACACACTCATAAATCGAGCGACCCTGAACAAGCACAGACTTTCAAATTTTTCCAGAGAGCTCTTTCGATTTTCCCCTAGTCAATATTGTATATAAAATTACCGACTTAACCTTGTTTTAACAGAACTTTTCACGTAAAGATGAAGCATCTCTAAAACTGTATAGAAAATAAAAAAAAAACCTAATGGCTTTAAAATCTCTATTCCGTTGCGTGGGAATAAGTGAAGAAGAGAGAAGAGATAAAATCATTATGAAACAATTAAAGAAGGATGATAGACAAGAGAAATCAATTGTAAAAATTTTACTTTTAGGTAAGTGGAAAGTATATTTGCAACTTTTTTGTTTTGTTTTTTAAAAAAAAAAAAGAAAACATTTTTATAAATTTATATTTTGTCTTGATTCGTTAAATAAGAATTTCTTGCATTCTCGTTTTATCTTATACAGGAATTAATTCATAAATATTTTTATAAAGGTATTGCCGAATCCGGTAAAAGTACGATAACGAAGCAGATGAAAATTATACACATAAATGGATTCAATGATGAGTGAGTCATGTAAAAAGTTAATTACTATAAGTCTTATCTTAATTCTAGAGTGCTGCCATATTTAGAAATTAGCTGATAAATATATAATAGTAATAATCAGGTGATAATTATATATTAATGTCTTGAAGATAAGACGATTTGACGGGCATCTCTAAACCATAAATGAATATATAGTATACTGTATTTATACGAAACAAATCATCTAATAAACGTTATGCATATACTACATTATCTTGCATAATATGCCTTAACAGTGTTTTATGGTATTAATTAAAAATCTGGGGGAAAATTAAGAGAAAAAATATGGTGGTAAATTGGTTGAATATCAGATATTTTTTAAAATAGTCATGATTTATCAACGAGGACATCTGTTATAATTAATTAGTTCATTTCCTGTTGTTTACTATTCTCCTTTACTCGATAAAATTTACCGGTTAATCGCGAATAATCATTTAATGCATTGTATATTATTACTGTATATATTATTTATTAATAATAACTCGTTTAATTAAAAATCAACTTTTTCTATATTAAACATCTTTTAAGAAATCAATATAGCTGTTCATGTATAAATATGCGTTAATAAAAACAATATTTAGTACACATATATAGTACTTTTATGTTATCTTAACGCCAAATCAAACTTATCCATTATCTGATATCGTTGTACATTTCAAGACTTCTAGTTACAAAACACAATAATTAACTCCCTGTTTTTTTTTTTATTTAAAAGTGATTTTTCTCCATATCAGATTAATTAATTAATTAATTAATTAATTCAAAATATATATATATATATACGTAACTAGAAAAGATAAATAGAGTATAATTCTTCTTTTTCCTATTATTCTTTTAAAAGCCGAATTTTGTTGATTTCATTAAAGTAGCTTTAAAGCAATTGTTTCGAAAGATTTAACTATATGTATTTATAACTCCTCTATAGATAGTTTAGGGTAACTCTTATTCATTTTAAAAATGATGATCTATTTTTAGCTCAGGTCCCAATAAAAGTTATATGAGAAAGTTTTTCTCTCATCTTAGTGTTAGATATATTCTGTATATACTTTATATTTTTAATGTAAATATCATTTAAAGTACAATTTAAAAGATCTAAAGTGCTGATCAAAGCATGTTTTACAAGAAAATAATAGATACTATATATATTGTATACATATATATATATAAATTATGTTTTTGTCTTGTGTTTTCTAGGGAACGAAGAGAGAAAATTAGTTTCATTAGAAAGAATCTCAGAGATTCCATATTGGTTTGTTAAATTTATCTTTTTCGTTGATTGTTAAATACTTTCTCTCTCTCTCTCCATACATATATATATATATACATTTATTGCTTGCAGACAATTTTAGGAGCAATGAATCGTCTTGGTATATCTTTAGCAGACAAAAGATTAGAAGAAAGTAAAAAATACTTACTAGAAAACTGTTTACAGGAAGACTTCGATTATCCACAGGTAGGCCTATTCTACATATTTTCTTATCAAGAGAGTTTTGTATCCAAGTTGATTAGAATGGTTGAAGGCTGTAGCCAAATTATATTTAGCGTAGATATAGTACAACAATATTGTTTTGCATATGTTTTTTTTTTTATAAAAGTCTTATAAAGCTGTTGATGGTTTCTTGAGGAAGAAGAAAAGATTACTAAATTAATAGTAAATGACGTTAGAGAGTAACAATATCTAGGACGCTGTCTTTAAAGCTTAATTAATTAATTATAATTGTATACAGTTGTTTTTTCTTCTTTCTTCTCTTAATCTTCTTTTCTTTGTAGATTTTTTATAAAAACATTTATTATATTTGATAACCTTTTTAGTATACAGTTTATAAATACGTTTTATTATATTGTATATAAAAAGAATAAAAACTATAAACTCTACAAGGAAAAGAGGAGAAAGAGAGAAATTTGTTTTCTTATTTACTCATTCTCAATCATTAATAGATATTCTACGATCATACCGAGAAACTTTGGAGAGATAACGGAGTTTTAAAATGCTACGCAAGAAACGCCGAATATCAATTGATAGATTGCGCTAAATAGTAAGTTGTTTTGTTAAAATGAAATATTATTAAATGTATTGTTTACTTTCAATGTTTGTAAAAGATAGATAGTAATAGTTTGTTAGAGTAAGAGTATGAGCAGTAATATACAAATCAGTAAACACACACATACATATATATACTGTATATACAGTCAATATAGTATAAATAAATTCATTTCTTTTGTAATATCTCTCCTCGCCTAATTACGTTAGAAAAGGCTATTTTTAGAATTTTTTACCAGACGTACGATCCAACTCGATATCTAAATAGAATATCTAGGCTCAAATTATTAACCTTGGCTTAAGTGAGAGTGTTATATATCCTTTTTTTTTAGCCTATAACGATTATGATGTGATATTTATAGCAGCTGGGTTATTTTTGGTAAATAATAAAAGATATTTCCTTCTTTATATTGTTCCTATAAAATGTATAGGCTAACAGACAGGAAGAAAAAGCCAGGAATGTTCAAGGCAAATAGTATCTGCATAAAAGCCTATATAAAAGAATTTAAAAGAACAGTAGATAGTTAAAATAATATTAATTTCTTTATGCTTTACTTTGTTCTAAAAGTCTATATATAGAATATATATATTATATAAGAATACATGTATATAAAGTATATAAACTATATAATAGAAATAAAAAAGCTATAGCAATAATAAAAACCTTAATATATAAAAAAAACATTTTAATTGGCATTTGATTATAAAATAATATTACTTTCAAAACTCATTAAAAGGTAATGAATATTCATAAGATATATATATATATATATATTTATATATATGTTAATAAAATAACTGCTTAAAAGTGTTCTAATTGAAATCTAATAAGTGAAAAGATATATATACAGTATATATATAAATTTATATATACAGTATGTATAATATATTTGTAGTGTATAGGGGTTTAGATAATTATGAATAGAGGAGAAAACATAGGGAAAATTTGCAGTACCAGGCAGCGTAAGAGTACGAATGATAAAAGTTTATAATTTATTAGGTTTTACACCTTATACTTAGTTGGCGTAAAGTAATAAAAATTATTAGTCAACATTCTTAATTTATTACTTGATTTTATTGAGTTTTTCTTCTTTTTTTTCCTTCTTTCTTTCTTTCTTTCTTTTCTTCTTTCGTTCTTTTAGTTTTTTCTCTTTTTAACACATCTTATTTTTTTAGTTGTATATTTGTTTTTTTTTACTTTTACAGTTTTCTAGACAAAATCGACGTTATACGATTAGATTCTTATTTACCATCTGATCATGATATTCTCCATTGTAGAATATTGACAAATTCAATACAAAAGATAGAATTTACGGTTATGGATAAAAAATCAAGAATCCCTTTTCATGTTTTTGACGTTGGTGGTCAAAGGGGAGAACGAAAAAAATGGATACAAATGTTTGACTCTGCAACGGCTATCCTTTTTTTACTTGATTGTTCTTCTTTCGACGTTAACGTTCGCGATGACTTTGAATCGAACAGGCTTTTAGAAGCGACAGAAGTCTTTGAACATATATGGAATTCTCGGTTTTTAAAGAACGTTTCCTTAATCTTATTTGTAAATAAGATTGATCTTTTAGAAGGAAAGATCAGATCGGGAAGTTCGATTGATAATCTAGTCAAATCAATTCCGTCTACTCACAAATATTTCCCCGTCTATGATAGAGTTTATAGGGAATTCTCTAAACCTTTAGGTAACAAACTCTATTAGCTAACTAATTTACAGTAAATAACATCCATTTTCTTCGTAAATAACGAAAATACTAACAATTCCTTCCGTGTCATCCATAGATCAGGAACGTAAAGAATTCATTGATTCTTTTTTAACTAGAGAAAAAAAACCGGAAAACCGTTTGAAATTTCGCAGAAGATCTTCTAGATCTCCCTCAGTTCAACCGGAAATACTCGATGAAATTGTAAAAACAGCTGTTATTATCAAAAGGGTCTTTATGGTTGGTTATCAATTCTGCTCACTTAAAAAAAGTATCCAAAATTGATCAATTATCATATTTCAACAGGAAGTTGCACATGGTTCGAAAAAGGGATCAGAGGGAAGAGAATTCCATAGAGGTCATTACTGCGAACCTTTTTATACTTGCGCAATTGATACAGACAATATCCAAAAAGTTCTTGAAGGTGTACGTTCCATCCTTATCAAGAAAGCTTTAAGGTCAAATCTTTTAATATAAAATAAATTAAGAAATGAAAGACAGGAAACAGTTGTTTATATTCTTACCATTTTATTATAAACTATATATAGATACTGTATATATATATACTTTACTAGAATATACAGTTAAACGTCATTTGAGAAATTTAAAAATAAAATAAATTACTATATGAATAACTTTAAAGAAATATAAAATACCTTCATTCATCTCCCTACTGTTTTCTCATCCCTTCCTTCCCTTTCTACTTCTCTGTCTCTCTCTCTCTCTCCGTCTCTCTCTCTCTCACACACACATTATCTTGTTTATGATGGAAGATGATGATGAAAATTATTCTTGGTTATATAAGGAATTTGAAAAACATGTTTTAGCAGAGGATAGTGAATTGATGGCTATTCTTATAGGGCTACTTTCAGTTTCTAATAGATTTCAATCCGTATACTTTCTAACGAAATTTGGTGATAGTCTTAAGTTGTTTATTGATCGTGAATATGATAGAATACAAGCGAATATTGATAAAAAATACTTTTATTCATTTATTCATCCCGAACTACTTTTCCCGTGTAAAAAAGATTCCAGATCGTAAGTTATAGATAGTGTTATTATGATTAATATCGTTCATAAACAGTTCATCATGAATCGGAGATATATAACGTAATTATCTGGCTAAATTATGCCCTTAATAGATATTGAATCAAAGAATTTCATTATAATTAATTCGTAATATTAAATTTAATATAAAACTTGCCCTTTTTTCTTCAATTATCGATGACTTTGTTAATCAAATACTAGATTTTTGATATTTATAAGATAATTCAAATATTCAATATTTTCCGAGTGGGATAAATGCGTATACTAATATAATGTATAAAAAAACTATAAAATCCTTATATATATAGAATATAGGTCATATAATTATAAAACTAACTATACAATCTAGCTTTAATTCCATCTAAAAATAAAACAAAGTATGTCAAGATCATAATCATGATACTGACTAAAAAAATGACATTCATAATGAATTTGGTCGAATAGGTTCATTGTTCTAATAGTATAATATATATATATATATATACTATACAGTATATATCAAAAAATCTCTATTCATGTAATAGATGGTTACGTAAAGGTCTTAATTCTCAAGATATGAAAAAATTACACCCAGTTTACACCCTAAACGATAGTTGGGACCTTCCCAGACATTTTGAATATGAAAATTACCGATTAGATAGAGATAATTTAGAAGAAGATATGATAAAAGAATTTGAAGAGTATTCTAGGCAATTTTGTTATCATCTAAGAAGAGTTCGGAGTCATCTTTTATCCGAGGTTATTTATATTATATTATGAAATAAAGAGAATAGAAAACATTTAATAGCAATTTGATTATTTCATATGTTTAATTAAATCGTCAAGATATCGGATGGAATGATGCAAGATACTCATTCGAATGCTAAGAGCAATGACAATCCTTCATTGTCCACTTCGAAGAATAGAATAAGTAATAGAGAATTCTTGGAATCATCGGTTGACGGAATCCATTCGGCATTGGAACTAAATTTGTGAGTTGATTAGTAAATAATTTTAGTTTGATTAATTTATATTAAAGGAGAAAGAATGAGATGAAAAAAATATAATAGAAATATACTATATAAATCTTTCTCTCTCTTCCTGTTCTTCCCTCATTCCCTCCCACTTTCTTATAAACAAATTTACAGACTGACTAAAAAGTTTCTCCCTATAATCTTTCTTTTTTCTTAGGTCAAATGACGAAGGAAGAGATGGTCGAATTAGTATATGGAAGAGTCAAAAATCAAAACATTGTTGTTTATTATAGGAATTAAGAGATTAAGGTCAAAAAAAAAAAAGAAAATAATAAGTTTTTAATTAAGTCATGTTTGTATTTTGTATTCTTTGTTTATTTATCTTCTCAATTAGAATAAACTTACTTTACAAAGTGGTTATTTTTTTCTTATGCTACTACTATTACCATCTAGCGGAAATCAGAGGGAAAAAAGGAAAACAAACACATTAATATCTATTGTGTATAGCTATAGCTCCTTTGGAGAGGAGGAAGCATAGAAATAGGACAAATATATATAATATATAACATTATGAAATTGTGAATTTTTCCTCTGTTATGAGCTAAATATGAGAATGTTTATTTTACTTCCGCCTTTTTTTATTATTTTTAAATGAGTCAACTCCGTCTATATAAATTGATGAACACGATTCGCAATCTCTTTTTCAATGAGTTCACTATGCCTGATAAAAAAAAAGTAATATATGTTTATTGAATCCTTCATTCATCTTCTCTTTGTAGTTTATTTGCTAACTTTGCAATAGAGTTGCTGATATAAACAGATTTGTTTTCTTTGTGAAAATGCAGGAATAGCTTTTCAGAAGGTGGAAGAAATGAGAAAGAACACGATTAGATTTATTGTTGTCGGTAGATGTCTCTGTCGGTAGTATTAATAAATAGGACTATTTTATCAGTCTAAGGCTATTGTCTGTTCTTGCTTCGAAATCTCGTAAACGATTAGATTTCTTTACATTGTACAATATGGAAGAATCATGAAACAGTTTACATTTCAAGGATCAATTAGGCAACACGAAAAATAAAAGGATATAACTGAACAATAACGGAACTTTTTTTGTTTAATTAATAACGGGAGACGGAGGAGGAGGAGGAGGAGGTGTATTAATAAAGAATAATAAGGGATAAGACATATAGATGAAACTTTGTCGCATAAATTAAAAGGGATAAGAACATCATCTTTCAAGAGTAATTGAAATAGTTCGACAATGGTTATTAGAAAATCAGCTTTAATACATTTCTACACAATACTTTTAAGTTACTTATCTAGAACCGTCATCAACGATAAGGTAAGAAGAATTTAAGACAAGAATACAAAATAACTAATTAATAAATATACTTAATTATCGAATTTCTTAATTAAATATTTAATTAATTACCCTAACTAACATATATATATATATATATATATCTTGTCTTCTCAGGCTTCTAATATTGGAGACAAATTTACAAGATTAACAGGTAAAATTAGAAATGATCTCTTTGTCTCTTATTTTTTTCAACGTGCTATTTAGAATAGATTTAAGATATGAATATATAATATACAAGTATATGATAACAGTATGTTTAAAAACTGTATTAATTTTAAGTATTTTTGCAAAACGAAACAAGTACGAATAATCAATAATAAATTATTTTTCATATAAGGAAGAGAATATTATGCTGCATATTGAATTATATAAACATTTTGTAGATAGTAGTAGTACTATTATTATCATTCATTCATTCATTAAATTACTATTTATTGTTTATATCTAGGTGAAAATTGTACGTTCATTAAGAGTAGTAGAACAATAGTTAATGGAGAAATTAGTGAATTATGTACAAGTAAGAACTGTTCAAATGTTGGAGCCAACTTTCTTATCATTAATTGGAATTCTGCATCCTCTTCATTTCGTTTAAGAGTTTATGACTCTGAATTGAAATTTATCAATTATAAATTCGATAGAGAACCTAATCATCCTAAGGTAAATATATTTTCATTATATCAATAAACACTCATTATATATATATATGTATTTAGGGTGAATATCGGTACACCTGCGTAATTTCAAGAGGTAAAATGGAAGAATGGAAAAGTGTACAACTATCTTGTACAGATGAAACTTCTTGTTCACCTAAAAGTCATAATAATATCAACTATATTAGTTCTACAAAGTTAAACAGCTGTTCATTTAGTGATACGAAATTTCCAAACTCTGATTATACTACTTTTACGAAATGGTGTGAATTCAAAAAATACAATTTTAATGGTCTTATCGGTTGGAAAATTAAACCGAATGTAAATCCTGGATATTTCTTGGTTCATCAACAAGGAGTTTGTCCTACATATGTTAAGGTATATATTAGAATATTTTAAAGGAGCATAACATATATATATATATATATATATACATATATACATAAATAAAGTATCGAAAAGACAAGCTATGCTATAGATCTTCATTGACACAAAAAAAATCAGAAAATAATGTAATAATAACGGTAAGTAAACAGCCAACATATTTTAAAACATGATATATTATATATTATTAATTTAATACAATCTATTAGATTACTAATGCAGAAGATTTCTACTCGGAATCTATAAAATACGAATGTAAGTTATTCAATTTTAATCAATATAAACTATATACTTAAACATCTATAATTATTGATAACAGCAAGTAACGTAATCGAAAGTGCTGCAAGTGAGTATAAAACTTACAAACATTTCCAATTCTCATCATAAACTAGAGGCACTTTTCCTCACCTATTTTTTAAAAATAGTGTGGTTTTTATTATTATAAAGTATAAACAACATAGATATATAATAATATTTAAAAGTCAATATGACAAACTAACTTATTGAATTATGGCACAATAATACAAAAGTACACTTCTAACATCTTTTTCAATTATATACTAATTTTATTGTGTGAAATAAAACTTCATTTAAAGGTCCTTGCTCAATAGATTCAGGTTTGTTTCTTATTAATATACTATTGCCCTTAATCTATTTTCTCCCTCTCTAGTTTTCTTGGTTAAAAAATAAAAGTCTTTTCTCTTTCTAAACCTTCTAACTATTATATATACAGTATATACATTCATATCTATAAAAGGACACAACAAGTCTAACAGCATAGTCATTAATATTTTTCCAAATGCTTATTAAAGCTTATTTAAATCACTTATAGCTTTTTTTTTAAAAAAAAATATTAACTTTAACTACAAGCTAAAACAAATCGAGATATGGTAAATACTGTGTATATCAATGGTAAAGTTATATACAGTTTGGTGGTAGTTTGAGAAATCTTTCAGTGAAAGTTCTCTAGTAGAAAAGAATGATAGATTTATTATTTATATAAAAATCATATAAGTAGAATAAAATTTCTTTTCTTCCTCTCTCTCTTTCTCTCTCTCTCTCTCTTTTTTGCAGTGAAGGATATTCATCATATTAATCTTGTTTTAAATCTCGTCTTTTTTTTTTAAATAGAGATTTAATCTATTTACATGTACTGATTATAATTTGCATATTTATACATTTTCAACAGAGTTTTATTTAAAACAATTTAACAATTGTATACTGTACACATGTAATTTTCTTTTATATTTATTCCATATTAGGAAAATATTGCGAAACGGAAAATTGTAAATATAATTGCATTGAAAACGGTAAAGATATTTTGCTCTATCTGTGAAAATATATAAAATATACAATTGTATATATATTCTGATTTCAGGATTACACGGAGCTTGTTGGAACAATACTGCTTTAGTATTTAAAATTAAAAATGATACCATTACAGCTAAATGGACATTAGTCGATGTAAAATGTAAAAGAGATTATGAAATTCTTGGTTCCTCTTCTTTTACTGTAACAGTTGCTCCAGGGATTTTTGATATTGGAAAAAAACTTGGTGTAGTATATGTAAGCGAAAGAGATATATCATTTCTTATTAATTACAATTTATGAATGATTCTTTTCTTTTTTACAGATGAACAACACAGAATATAGCTATGAAATACCATTAAAATATAACGGATCATATCTAGAAGTATATACTAAATAAACTATATAAATATAACTAATATATATATATATATATTTATACTTAATTTACTTAATAGATTAAACCGAATTGTGAGAAACAAACTAATCGTACGTAATGTAATCAATTATAATTAATTATAATATTAATAACATATTGAATATTTAAACGTTAAACTATTAATTGATTTGTTTTAAAATCTAGTTGATTGCTCCTGCGATCGCATCAGAGAAAAGATTAACGGTAAAATTTTACAATATTTTAATATTATAATTGTTAATTACTTAATACTAATAGTACAAATGTCAACATCGCCACAAGTAACAAATGAAGATGATAAATCTATTGAAATTTCCACTAAACCATACATTTCTCCAAGTGAGTAAGATTAATGAGTAATAAATTCCAATTATTAAACATGTGCTTTACGCTTTAATGCTCTAAGTTTAATTACAATAATCATAGTGATTATGATTATGATTATTATTATTAAAATTATCTTTATTATTACTGCTCCCTTATTATTTTCATTTGAAGCCCTCAGCACTATAAAATATGTGAAAACTTCCTTTACTACCACTGAAGGAACAAAGTCCAGGGAAAGGATAACAGAAGATGTTCAATTTTCAACTAAACAACCAACAACAACAAGAAGTGATATAACTTTCAATTATATTAATGGTACTTTGAACGCTTTTAAAAAATCGGTTCAAAATTCTTTAGCGACACCTATTTCGATCATTTAAACGCACAATCAATAAATCAACAAGATATTCTTATGCACAATTAAAACTAATTAATATACTAATATCTAACCTATTTAATATAGTTAAAAAGTTATTAACAGTGCCAAATTATAGAAAAAAGATGGCTTTAGCTTCTAGAGGTGATAGATAACGGGGAATTTAGTAAACAAAAAAGAAATATGGGAGTTTTAATAAGACTCTAGATAATCAAATCTTTGTGCAGTTTTACCATTAATGCTTTGCTTTACAAATAATCTCCGATTTGTTGTTAATTAAAATTCAATCTATTGATTTATAAATAATTTAAATTATTGTTTCGTTTATTCCTCTCATTTTAGAATCACCTACAGAGTTTGTTGGAAGTCCTAAGAACCATACAGAAATCATTGTAATAATTTGTGTTACTGGAGGTTTTGGTATTATTCTGCTAGTTTTTGGAATCTGCTTTTGTACATATAGATGTAGATGTAAAAGGGGATATAAAATAGTACATTTTGTTTGTGATAATGGAACACCATCCAACAATGATATTGCAGTAGAACTTTTTGGGTTCTTAAGGGTTGTAAAAGAGTTCGAAACTAAATTCTACGATTTATCTCAAGATGTAGACAAAAATGTTAAATTCTTTCTTATAATTTTATCAGAAAATAAAGAGTTTAATGACCTGTATATAAGGAGATTAGACTTTTATAAGAATTGTTTCATATTTGCCTCATTGCATGAACATCTAAAATCACCAACTAATGGAAAAGTTTATTATATTCCAAAAGATATGAGGAAGTTGCTTAAAGCTCTTGGAGCACATGTTAATGAAGACTTGTATAAAGCAAAGTTATTTAATCTTCGTGATACTATAGAGAGAGTTAATAGAGGCGAAAAAATTGTTAAAAATTATGAAAGGCAAAACAGTGTCGCAGGAGTCCATTTTAATAGCATAAATGAAATCATCCCTCCAGAAGACAACTATGACATTGCAGAGTGTAAACAAGAATACGAAAACTGTCATCTACAATTTAAAGTTGAGTATGATGAAGAGAGCTTATCATCCGATACATCTGATACACGTCGCCATTCCGATCCAGTTTCTGATTGTAGGCAGCCGACAATAAGTATTTCAAAAACGTCTGTTGTTTAAGATTTCTTGTCCAAATGTTTATTTTGTATATAGCCTTACTGGTGTTATACAGTATATATAAATTTATATATATATATATATCATTTTGAACTATTCTGTTATACTAATTGTTTGTTTGTTATTTGTATAGTATTCTGCAAAATTGAATACAGTAAAACTTGAATGTCTTTTCGTGTCACAAGATGGCGCTCCAAATGCACTTTTTTCGAGGACAGCCACTAATTGCATAGATTTTACCTGTCTTTATCAAACGAAAACTATTATTAAATAGTTGTTTTTATTCAAATAAAATGCTATAGAAACAATAAAAACAAATTTTTTCTTTTATTTGATATTCCAAAGAGAGAGAGAGAGAGAGTAAGGATATTATCAGTCTTCTCGAATAGAAATATTTATATAATATTGCACTGATAGAAAGAGAAGAGGAGAGAGAGAGAGAGAGAGAGAGAGAGAAATAGTTTTTTTTATATAAACAAGAAAATACTGATTTTTTTATACGTAATTCGATTCTAAATTCATCCTAATAACAAGCTCATTGTTAATCTTCTTAGTCAATTGTGAAAATGACGCTGGAGTGTCTAAAAAAAAAATGTTAGACAAAGCTTCGTATTAAGCAAAATATGGCTGCCAATGTCAATATTTCTGTTTTGCATCCATTTCCTTGAGATTTTGCATGCAAGTGACTTCTCCATATATAATTTTTTGGATTATAATTGAGTGGAATGTTATTATTACCGCAAAATTTCAACGGTTCCTGGAAGGATGTAGGCCTATAATTAATAGTTGAGATCCAATTGGTTGTGTGCTTCCCAAGGAATAATTCAATAAAATTGAACCTTTTTTCTAATCGAATTATCTCGTAGATTGTATATGGTAGACTTATTCCGAGAGTAGGACAACCGTTTGAAATTGTCAAATCTTTCTGACTTCCTACATGCCAATAACTGCCGTCTCCGCAGACTGATCCTTTAGCGGCATTTAATATTGTCGCTATACTTTTTTCCGTCACTTTCAAAGTAGCAGAGAAGGCGTTAAAAATAACGTTTCTAGTACCAGTCATGTGTTTATGCGGTCCAGAATCCTCCCAAGTACCACTCGTAACTATTGTGTAGAGTTTTCTCTTACAGATTACATCAGAGTAATAGTGATAAATTGATTTCCATTGAAATCTATCCTCTAGTATGAGATGCCTTATTAAAAAGTTGGAAAAGCGCGTCGATTCGCACCTTTCACTTAGCCACTCACTTTTTTGAGAAAGTTTCGTTAAATAGAAATTCTGCCGGTGGTGGTGCAGTGATGGTGGACGAAGGCTAGTTGATTTGCTGATAATTTTGCAGATTGAGCATTTCGGTGTCTAAAAAAGACGGATTAGATAAGATAAATGATAGCAGAAAATTCTTTTACGAGGAGCAAGTTTCTATCTTCTAGAGGTCAGGAAAGGTTGAAAGATGCTCGATTTATTTTACTGCCTAGGTAATTCTCGTAAACGAACTTTTACACATTGTAAAAAATTGATAGAAAAGATAGTGAAGAGGAATAGATTAATATAAAATTGTAAGAAAAGAGTCTGTGCGTGTGCGAGTGTTTGTAACTTGGTAATCATTTTAATAAACTTTCCATCAGGGTTTTATAATTAGATATATATATATATATATATATATATATAAAGTATATACAGGATGCTGAGTAGGCAATATACTCATATATATATTTCTCTTTCTGACTATTATAAAGCCCTCAAGTAAAATAGTCAATTGATCAATGGGATTAGTCTTATTAGCAGGCAGTTGAATTGATGGATAATGATTTTGTATTTTATCAAGTCTGGATAACAAAAAAAGGGAGAGAAATTGGATAAAAACCAAAAAAAAGGATTGTAAAGAAAGAAAGAGGGGAAGAGAATAAATAAAAATAAGAAAGATAGATAGCTAGATAGATAGATAGATAGAGGAAGAAAAAAATTAAAGAACAAAACAACTACCGGAAGTTTGTTAATAGTAAACAGAAAAAGGAATAAAAGCGTTGTTATTAAATCAAATATTTATACTGTTACTATTAAAAAAAAAAGAAAAGAAAAAGCGTATTAAATTAATTACTGTTGATTAATTAAATCTTAGGGATTATGTTTTTCATTAACTCCTAAGTCCTTTTAAAACGCTTTGGACTATTTAGATCCTTTACTTTTTATACTATAATATAAATTTTGTATATGAAACTACTTACGTCAGCTGATATTAAAGCAGTTTGAAATGAATTTGGCTTATGCGTTATTCTATTCTTTCTTTCAGTATGTACGTCTCCTAACAATAGACGCCTGGTAAGGCGATGCCGTTGTTTTTCTTCTTCCACTCTAACTAGCTGTAGTTCATTAAGCGTGAAATCAAATGAGTGAAGACAATCAAAATCAACGTCTCTATCATGGTATTTCATATTGCCTTTAAAGGGAAAATAAATTGAATGAAGAAATGAATGGAATTGGATGAACATGACATTTTATTCTGTTACCTTGAATTTCAATGGTTTGACCAGCTTTCCATGCTAACCATTTTTTTTCCTCGCAAGTGTCATTTGCTAATTGATAGAGTTTTAGAGCAACGTCATTTGTAAATGGTGTTATTGAAACTTGGTAATTTTCATAGGTAGCTCTGTAGGCGCCTGGATTAGCAATACTCTCCGTTTGGGATACTTTCCAATATCCCTGAGCGTAGATGCTAAAAAGGGGATGAGCGCATTCGGCGTCACCGTAATAGAATTGATTAATGCTATAGATATTATTCCTGTATATTGTATATCTTCGTAGGAGATATTCCGGACCTGGTCGAACTTCGCATCTGCAAAATTTTAAACAAGATAAAATATATACACTGTACAGTATAAAAGATCTAATAAACAGTTAGATTTAACGTATGGAATGGCTTAACTATTTTAAGCCCGTAGAATACATCTAGTATAAACTATTGAAAAAAAATACGAAAATCAACTGGATGGTACAGATGCTATAAATCAACAAGAAGAAAATTTAAAGGAACAAATTTTTCCTTGTGTAAACAAACAATGTTGTTGCGCAATACATTACACGAGAACCTTTGAAATGCCCTAAAACTTTGCCCCAGAACAAATAAATCATCAAGACTGATAAATTAGCTCATTTTCGTTATATCTTCACACTAATAAATAGCAAATGATTATAAATTAATACCATACTCTATGTCATTGATTTTTAACCTTTGAACCTTTTATTTGAGGGCTATTAGTATCTTCTCGGATGATCTATAAAGATTAAATGGCAAGAAAAAGACTATTTTTCCCAATTCTCTTCTCTCTACTGACGTCTATCTAGCTACTTTATTTTTTTTAATAATTTAGCAAAGCTTACACTCCCATATCTGTCAATATCAAGCCAACCCTTTAATAGAAATCACACACAATTTACATAGACTTCATTCTGACTGCTTTATCTTTTATCTCGATCTTATCCGATCTTCCGCCGTGTAAGAAACCATGTTTCAATTTGTCTTTAATACTTCAATGGTCTATTACTGCGTTATTTATACTCTATTTGAACTCTTTAAAAGAGAAAAAAGAGGCGGAGTAGAAGTGATTTATATACAGATATCTACACTGTATTTATCTATCTATGTAGATTTTTGCTAGTTCCTAAATTAAAGGCCAAATTTAGGCCGTAAAGGTCATTTTTTATGTAATAAATAAGAATTACTAAGTCAAGAAAAGACTAAAATAGATAATGACAAGGTATACGAGAGCTTAAAGCCATTCTAGTAATAAATACTATATTATTTGTATTATTAGAAAGGGCCATTTTCTTATCTATAATCCCTATCTTATCCGTTCATTTGGCGTACGCTACTCTCTTCCAATCCCCTTCAAAACGTCAAAATCAATTTACGACCAATGCGGGATCATTGATAAAAGTGTGAATATTTTAAGACTTTTCCCTTAGTAACGACCCACCTACTCTCAATCAAAATTTCTACAGATAAAAGGAAGATGACATTCCCTATTCTAAAACCAAGTTATTCCTTACTATTTAGGAAGTATAGAGAAAAGACTATGAAAAAAATATCACGTTACCTATTCGACGTCCAATCTCCCTCGAGTGCCTTTTGAGTGACATCTTCGATACTTACTTGATAAATTCTTTTCAAAATTGACGAACAAGAATCTCTTCGTCCTTCTATCATTGTTACTAAAGTGAAGAATATTTTTTTAGATTTTTATCCAGTTTATACGATAATAACAATCTGCTTAATTCTATACAGTTTAGTAGCGCTTCCATCTTATTAAACGCGCCTTATTCATTCGTTTGTTTTCATTTATTCTCTCTCAAGTTCTTTCATTTTCGTTTGCTCTTTCTTTCTTTATTTAATTATTTCTTACCGTAAACGATGCATATAACCAGTTGCAGACGCATTCTTGAACTAAAACTCGTCGAATGGTCACGTGATGTCCCAGTCCTATCAGCGATTGTTGAAACGAGAGAGGAAAACGTTTGGATAGATTGGACATTGAGTTAAAAAAAAATATTTAAGAAAAGTATAGCAATAACAATTAGCCAAGTAGATTTCCGAATTAAATGACAATTTGCTCAACTTCTATCCAGTAGCTCTCGGCTAGAATTGTTTACCAATGAGAGACTAGATTCAAAGTTCCGATAGGTGGCGATATATGCAATATATATATATATATATATATCCAGTATATACATACTGCATATATGTATATTTGGTTGTGAAAGAGCAAGAAAAAGTAATGATAGAGGGTGGAAGGGATAAGGCAAAGGGATAGAGGGAGAGAGACAGAGAGAAGTTGGCTTTGTTAAAAATGTTCAAGGGATTATTTAGTAGAGTTGTATTAGATTCGATTAGTCTTTAGGGAAAGAATAGCTAGGGAATTTTCGGCCACCGCGCTAAAACTGATGTTTATCTTAATCCCAAAAATCGACGAAGCGTTAAGGAAGCAATTTTTGTTTGGTAGAATGGGAAATTAGGTGTTATCAAAGCGGAACGAAATGCTTAATAAACCTTGATTTTTGAGTCTTCCGAGAGTGATTTTCTTTAAGATAAACGAAGAATTAGTTTGTTTTCATTATTTTAAGAAGCTTCGTAAGGCTTTCAGTCACCCCCAGGACTGTAATAGAATCAGGATACATGCCGATAAGAGTGATAGTAATAATAATCTCTTGAAAAGAAGCAAAGAGGCGATACGAAGTCTTAGAATAAGAGGTTTAGGAAAAGTTTGTTTCTATATCAAATCTTGTTATCAATTCATTTATTACAATTAGGCCTATGTGCTTGTAGTTATCTTACATATATTTCTTACGTTTTCCCTAATTACGATATATATCTAAGTCAACTATTTTCGTAGTTTACAAACTAATAGAAGAACCAATTAAACATAAAAAATATTAGGTTAATGACAAAAACGAATATTCGAGTGCCATCTGGCGACTACGGAAGAACATTTTTTTGACTCTTGTTTATGATTTGTTTCGTATTTTATTTACGATTTATATAAAAACAAATGGAAAAAGAATGTATAAATTAAGTTTTGGAGACAAGCTTCCTGGTTTTGATTCTTTGAGCAATGTTTATCATTTTTCCATAAGTTTTTGGTAAAATTTTACCATTAATGGCGGAAATATGAAAAAAATTGGCCCGTTTTATATCCTCCGATAGAATGTTCTTTTGATTCGTTATACTCCTTCTACTTGGTAATAAATTTAAATGTTCTTTAATATGGTCCGTAAGACCAACTGTTAGTGTTACTATTAATAGGCGACCATCGTTACATCCTAAAACAATTGTTCTATCGTCGTTTGCAACTTTTAGTTCGGTTCCTCTTCCATGAATAAATAAACTTGAAACAATATCAAATGTTTCGCCATTTATAAGAATCAACTCCCTATGGTCTTCTGATAAGGATATTAGATATGTTTTATTAACAACTGATACAATTGTCTTCATATCCAAATTTGGTAATAGCGCAATATTCTTTGATTTTCTTTGGGGATAAGGAATTTGAGTACCAATATTACTCCCATTAGAATTTAAAACTTGAAGATTAATCTGCTTCTCAGCATCAAAAACAATGGCCGATTTAGGACAATCAACTTCATGAATTAAGAATCCATCTGAATCGTATTCTAATCTTTCAATTTGTTTACCAAACATTATTATTAAATTCTTTCCGGAATCTTTTAAATCAATCATGGCTTCCTCTCCGCTACTCTTTAAAAAGTCGTTAATAGATAAGAGTTTACAATTTGATGTAGACGTTTTAGATAAATTGAATAAGCAGAGTTTTTGTTCGTATCTTCTAATTTCTTTATGAGTCTTCTTATCTCTATTTTCGTTTTCAATAAGTTTTATTATTATACATTATGAATAATTTAATAATATTAAATTTCAATGCTTACCTTATTCTTTGTGATTGTTGAATTAGCATAGCTAACACTTGACCGGAAGCCGTTGTTACTGGTGTTGAAATTAAATCGCCATCTGGAACTTCCATTGTCCTAGCAGATAAGCTTGGCAGTTGAATAATTTGAATGTCAAATTTCTTTACAGGCCAATCGTAAGTTGAATAAAATGAACATGTTAAAAAAAATGCAGTTTCCGAATAAGAACAAAAAAACACTGTTCTACAATTTTTAAACGTTAGAACGTTCTTCATCGAGTTATCTTCCAACATCCAGAGTTTACTTTCCCTTAATTTTTTCCAGGCTTCGGTATATTCGGGAACGTCGGATACTTCGTAAGTGGCACTTGTTATTGCATAATTACCTGAAGATGATATCTTTACATAATCAATATACAGATTAAAATCGTCGATATGCTTTAAGACGTGCTCAACTTTCCCTGAACCAATATCAAAGATTTGAGCTTCCGTAGCTAATTTCCCCTGAACAATTAATTTGGATGAATTTTTTGATAAATCTAACGAAGAGATTTCTGCTTTAGCCAAAGCGTTATTATGTTGTATATCGGCGTCTAAATTCTCCATGTTCCACACTTGAATTGTATTATCAGCTGTAATACTAACAATTCTACTTCCTTTTGACGGTGTGAATAGTGCAGAAATCTGATTGATTGACGGTTGTAATAGCCTAACAGCTGTGCCGCATCTCGATTTCCAAACACCTACACAATGAATATTATTAATGATTGTTTCTTTTTAAAAAAACAAATAATACCAATATATGTATGTCGAGCTCCAACAACAAAACTATCTTTATAGGCGAAACCAGCAACTTTAAATGGTGTCATTGTTTCCGAAAATAGACCAGGAGGCATTTTCGATATACGAGTCAGCAGTTTGTTGTTCGAAGTATCAAGAATGTAGAGACATCTAGTTGCTCTGGCGAGTAACATGCTACTGTCGTTTGATAACTGTGTATCTTTTAATTCAATATCCTTTAAGATCGACGATGATTTATTCTTTTGTAAGGATGATGGCCTAATTGAATTCATTTGAATTTCGTGATTCTTATAACGAACGTAAAACTTGAAACTATCGGACAGAAAGAGTATCGACACTGGAGTATCTGGACCCTAATATTAGTATATAAAAACGTGCTAACAATATTCATAAATTCACATACTGTATATATATATATTTATATACAATACACACCTGTAAAACTGCAACTCTTTCCAGATTTGGAATAGAATGAATCGTAATACATCTCCCACTATTGCAAGCTAATAGTTTTTCATCGCTGCTAATTGCCAATGTACTACAAGAATAGTCTAATTTCTTTAGAACTTTCCTCTCTTTGAGATCTATTAAGGCTGGACTAGGAGATTGTTCGTAGGCTAAGGCGGCGTAGTTTTCCGTTATGAAGACGCTTGCTATATTATTGTGACCAAAATTTATCTCGGATTGGCATTCTCCTGAATTAAGATGTGTCGAGCAAAAAAATCGATTATTACGCACACCATGCACAAACGTGCCATTGGGGGATGGATACAATTTTGAACCTGCGATAGACTTTACTTCCGGCCTAGCTTCTCCCTCTTGAATATCCCATAATCTAATATCAGCTTCGTGAAGGGGCTTAGCAGCTAAGAGGATGCTATCTTCTTTTTCAATTAGGACAACGTCACGTTGAGGTGAGAATCTAGAATCAATTTCGCAAACGTAATGTAATGGTCCACCAGGAGCAAGATAACATTGCCAAACTGGAATCATAGGGCATAGTTTAGGAGCAGCTAAATCACATTGTTGTATCAAATCGCGAACTGTTGGATAATCGTTAAAATGAGGTAGCAATCTACCAGTTAGCTCAACTCCAATAAGATCTGGATTTCTAACTAGAGCAGATTCTGCCATACGTATTGCATCTTCAACGAGGCTAACATCTCGAAATTTGCATAGACCAAAATCAGCTAAAAGCGGTTGTATACCACACGCTTTCAGCTTTGTATGAAGCCATGAGAGGTTAAAAAAGACTAATTGTCTAAGATGTTTTATCCTGTTGGCTTTAGCCAAGTGATAGGGTAGCTCGTTCAATTTTCTTATATTATATCTAGTTCCATCTCCGCGGCAGTTGTCAATGAAAGTTTGATAAACTAGAGGTTGTTCGGCGACGTATCGATGCGCAGAACTTCGATCTTTTGCTAGATTAAAGCGCTTCATTTGATGATCTGTATAGGTAAACGGCTTAGCGACAGTTCCACACCATAGAGAAGTCCAATAATCAGCCATTGTTGTATGAATTTTATACAGAGTCAGGGTATCTTGTAGGTAACGCTGTAAAGAGACGCGTCTAAATTGCTCGTGATACCAATTATAAACAAGAGTTTCGTCACTCTCTCTCTCAACAATATAGCTACTCATATCGTGTAGGACCCGTGTCCATAATGATGGTGGGATTCTCCTAATAGGTGGTTCCCAGTAAGCAAATATTTCATTAAGAACATCGTCGTCTATTGAAAGAATATCGTTCATTTCCGATTGGCTTATTCCGCTTCTTGAAGCGGTTAAATATGATATTGAATGCATGACAAATACTTGACCGTACTTGACTTCCAATTGTTGAAAAAGAGTTTGTATTGCCGCTTGGAGAGTTGTGTCCAATCTCATTTTATTTTCTGGGGTAAAGGAACACCAGTTCATACATTGTTCATTTACTAAATTGACATAGAGAGGAAGGGAACATTCTTTAAATGCTGCCTTAACTAATTCGAATTGTCTGTCAGTTAAACATCGGCCATGCGACGATAGAAAATCTTTACAAACAGTTGCACAATCTTGAATTTCTAAAGGAGGAACGTAGATAATGTGGTCATCGTCGTTTCTTATTTTTGATTTAAGAACGAATAGTAGGTCATCGGGCAAAGTTGATACTATTATTTTAACGTTAGTATGCAGTCTTGCCGGAATCCAGTCCAATCGATGAGCATTATCGGCGTTTGATAATTGATCTACTGCATCAAGGATAATAACTAGCAAACCGCCAAATTCCCCTCTCATTTGATCTAGCCAAAATGTTTTTAAAGCTGAATAAGTATCGGGAATAATCTCTTTTGAAGTATTGGAAACAAAAGCCACCTGTTCACATATACTTCTTAATAATTGATGTACATTTCCAGATTTTGCTGTTGTTCCACATAGTCTGAGTATTACCGACCCTCTTCTTCCACTAGTCTCTAGCCAAGTTCTAACGCTCGACGCAATCTTTGTCATAAGAGAAGTTTTACCATGTCCAGCTTCTCCATACAGTACTAGGGCTTCGTCCGAACTCTTTAGAATGTATTTTCGAACGTCCATAAGAATGTTTTGCCTACCAATAAACTTGGAACTACGTGCTCTAGCAGTTCGCCAATGTTTAACAACCTCGGCGAATAATTCTCCATCATAACTTTTATTCGAAGTTGCCGCATACGTAATCATTTTGCGTAACTTATCGTGAATTTGAACGGACATTTTTTGCAGGTATTCTAAATGATCTTTGCTATCAACCCCGTTAGGGCTGGACCATTGAGTTGTATGTTCTAATACTGAATGAAATTTTTCAATATACTTAGTTTTCATCCTCGCCAGAGATTCTTGGGCTTTTTTATTAATACTAATTGATTGAGGTATTAGGTCAATAAATTTACAGGAGCGTCTCTCGTCTAAATGACTACTTAGGTCTGCAATTGTTCTTATTAGACAAACAGCTCTACTACTCTTTGCATTTCCCGTTCCCAAAGCTTGTTCAATTTCTAAATGAGTAACTAAAGAAAGAAATTGAAAGAGAGGAAAAGAACCGATATATTTATTAATTGTTCAATTAAATAGAACGATTTTATTATAATTACCAGAGGAGTGAAGAGCATCAAGAAAGGCTTGAGGAAGTGTTCCATTTACTGTACAAATTCTAGCTGCTTTCAGCAATATATCTTTAAGATTTACTTCAATGTGATTGAAAAATTTGTCATATTCGTCTGGAAAGTAATACAAAAATTGTCATTTAAATTCGCCTCTTTACTCTTGTTTGTACGTGTTTGTATATACTGTATAGATAGTATAGTATCCAGTTTTCTATTTTTACCAAACTAAAAAACTGGAATTATTACAGAGAATGAAAAATCTTTTAGATAAATACCATGGTTAAGAACTTCATCTACAGCAAGAAGTACATAATTAGGATTTTTATTATTGTAATCGCACTTGTACCATTGATTTACTAAATCCTTCTCACGTTCGTCCCTAATTGCTGAGATTAATTTTTCGAATTCCTCCTTTTTTATGCTAGACGGAAGAGGTTGATAGCCGTGCTTTTGACCAATGAAAGCCTGAAATAGTTAATTGTTTATGAGGGTAGAAACCTTTCTTTGTTCATTTGATGAACTTTTTAATATAAGATTAAAAACTAACAATAAAAAATGGCCCAATTGAAGACTTTTTGCATAATTCTATTTCATTCATGCATAATTGAACAGTTGAATGATCATTTCTAGCCATCTCTGGAATGCCCCATCTCATATCTACAACCTAAATGAAAAAGAAATCCTTTGCCATTCATATTGAAACTCAATTACAGTATATAAGGAAAATTAGAGATATAAGAAAGAGATGGTGAGAGAGAGAGAGAGAGCGAGAGAGACAGAAGAAGAAAGATAACAAAGTAAAGTATAAAAAAAAAGAAGGGTTTATGTTTAAATATACTTCGAATTCAAGACCGAATCTTTCTTTACAGTATTTACGAAGTTTAGGATAAGCATCTTCCATTAGAAAATTGCGTTCAGCAGCCATATCTAAAAATAGATATACAATTTATATACTGCATTTACTTCATATATATATATATATATATATGTTGTTTTATATGAACTTTCTATTATCTATATTACGTAAGTGTGTGGGTTGGAAATAGTTTATTTTTGGTCTATTTCATGATGACAGTTTTATATTTAAATTGGGTCAATTAAATGCTTTATTTCTTGTTTTTTTGTTATTCATTTGAAAGTTTAGAGAGAATAGGCCAATTTTTCATTATCGTATAATGCAATAGTTGTAAGCAATAAACGCTGCACGGAGAGTTTGTAATAGTCTACAGGCATTAATATTGGCAGAGAAATCGTTAGTGGCCTATTTGTTCGCATAATGATTATCAAATTCAGCAACATAGTAGGCCAATATGTCACACCGCAGTAGATTTTTCTTTAAAAGAAATTACAGTAAGACAATAAATAAAGTATTAGTTAATCTGCTTAAATATGCAAATAATAAAAATTGATGTTAAGTCATAAAATTTTGTAGATAATATACGAAAAAGGAAAATGTTTATGAGCTCTTTATCAAATTTATAAGCTATAATCTTGTAAAAGAGAAAGAAAGAGAAGAAGAAAAGGAAAACTAGATTGTCTATTTGTTGAACAAGTTATTGCTATTCAGTCTTTCCTCAATGCACTTTCAAGAAAAATAATGAAAGATACATAAAGTAAACAAATATAAAGAAGGTGATTTCTAGCTAAAATCGATAAATCTATATATATATATATATACAATATATACTATATATACCGTATATACATATATATATATATATATATATATATATATTTATATATTTAATATGTTTTATACAGCTATTTAATGTATAAATAAAATGATAGAGAAGATTCTGATTACACGTTTAAAATATATATTGATATATAAGTTTAAAACTGTCTATATAGACGTAAAGTATAGATATTGTAAGAATACGAAAACCAGCAGATGAGATGTAATTAATTAGATATACTATTCTATTCTATTAGAACGTATATATACAGTATATTAATATAAATATATATATTCTAGTACTTTTGTACTAAATAAATCAACATAGTTGTATAAATCTTAAAGATTAGTTATAAAAGGAATGACAGAGGAAGAGTGAATTGAAAAATGATAGTAATATATAGTAAATTTATATATCATAGTATGTATACATTCTTTATAATCAATAAAAACCTATTTATTAAAATGATAGATTAATGAATGTTTTCATAAACACTAACCTGTAAATGTCGAACTAACAAATATCCTAACAACTTTAGATTTTGGTCTAGGTATTTCATCATATTCCGATGGACCTTTTAATATTTCTTCTATTATCTTTTTATCGCTTTCTTTTAAATTTTCGTACTATTGAGAAACGAAATTATAAGATATTCCGTTCAATAGTTATTTATTACCTCATTCTTATTCGAATTTGTAAAACGGTCTGTAGAAATTGAATGATTGTTCGATCTATTAAGAACGGATTCCGAATCTTTTCTTCCCGTGAAACCTTTAACATTTCCAGCTAGAAATAAACAAGTATGAATATGGTATAATAGTAAATTATTATGTTTGTTAATAAAGTCTTCTTTATATTATAATTGAGCGTTTAATTGGTGAAAAGAGCAAGTTTTTCTTAAGTATCTCATTGAGAAATTTATCACGGAATTAAAAGTTAATGTGGTTTACTAGCTAATATCATAATCAATACTAAAAAAACGGTATACTTAATAATTGAATAGACTTATAAAATATTGTAAAAATTGAGGAAAGCGTTTATTAATAAGAGAATATACTTATAAAGAACAAATATTTTAATAAACATCTGCCCAGAAGATGTTCTCTATACATTATATATATATGAAAGAATCTAATAAAAGAATCATATGTACTAAATATCTTAGATTTGAGCTATTTTCGAGCCGACATTTTACAGTAAAACTTCAATACAAAAGTAAAGAAGAGAAGAAGAGAGAAGAACAAAAAAAAGGAATAAAAAGTACGCGTACTTATTCCTATATTGTTTTTTTTTTACGTTGCTTAAGCCTTACGGAGTAACGGCTAACCCCTGGGTTTGCTTACTCTAACATACGAAATATATATATATATATATATTCTGTATATCTGTTCAGCACACAATATCCAATATATCATAAACCTTACTACTTTATTTATTTAAATAGAAATTTAATATATTTGATATTATAAGCTTTTTTATATGTTTTTTATAGAGATATTTTGAGCTTTTATTAATTAATACATCAGTTTTTATTTCTTTAAAAAAACAAAAATAAATGTAGATAGAAAGAAAAAAAAAAGGAAACACTAATACTGCACAAATGAGGAACGAAACGAAATATATCTTACCAGAAGAATATGCCATTATTAGACAGCCTGACAACCAAACTTTTTCATATATAATATAGAAGCAAACTGAGCAACAGATCGACGTTCAATGGACTAGTATTCTTTCTGTATGTTGGATCAGGCTTTATTGATCCAGTTATTTTGTATAGGCCTATATCTATGTTTCATTGTTCAACGACAATCCTAGTATTAGTAATGAATAAAGTAGAAAAAAAAGTATTTTTTTCTTAGTTTAAGTTTTGTTGGTGATCGAGCTGTAAAGTCGATAAAAGAGAGTAGAATAAATAGGTAGAGAATAGTCTAATCAATATTTGATCGAGAACTTGGTTAAAATCTAAAACTGTATATGATTTATTGGTCCAGAGGCGTTGTACATTGCTTTAGTCAATATCGATTGTACTTTTCTCCTATCCACTTGAACTCTTTTTTAGGATAGAGATTTACAAAATTTCTCTTTCTTTTATTACAATTCTGCTTTTATATCTTATTTACTTAGCCACTCTCTTCCTCTTTCCCTCTCTCTTTCTCTCACTTGCTTTCTGTCTATTTGTCTGCCTCTTTACTCCTCTCACTCTCTCTCCGTCTCTTTAATCTATATTTTGTTATGTAAATCATTTCATTCTGTATCGTTAAGTGTATACGCTTTCTGGATTTATCAATTTTTTCAATTTTTTAGTATTAACTTTCTACAATAGATGACGCTTTTGTTTTATTTAGTATATAAACCTTCTTTTTACACCTTTTTTATTTCATTTATACCCTTCTGCGCGCTATCTGGCGGTCGCATCTATTGAAGTGAAGTAAAAAGATGAAACTAAGCACAGTATTACACTTAATCGTTAGCGTAGGAGAGTAATATAAAAAAGTCAGTTGAGGGTGTTAAAGTTGTAGAGGTAAGAGGAATAGGAAGAAGACTTGTTATCCACACATTTATTTAGTGTGTATTTATATACCATATTACATAAGAGGAGAGTAAAAATGTATTATTTCTTACCACCACTGAACTACTGAGAGAGTAAGTTAGGATTGGAGGGAGAGAATATGGGAGTGAGGGAGTAAGTAAGAAAGTATGTATCTATATAAGTAAGTAAAGTAAGGAAGGAAGGAAGGAAGAAAGATTAATAAAGAAGAAGAAAAAAGATAGGGCCTATATACAGTAGAAATTTCTATTTATATAAAGTATATAATTGGTCTGAAAAGGATATAGATAAATTGCTTAGTTAAATCATAGTTAATGTATTTTTGGCAAGTAATTAATGTCGTAAGAAATTTAAAAAACACCTTAAAGGCATTCTATATAGGCTGCATATATAGCCTTAGGAAAACACGTTAGGGATTGTAATCTAATAAAAAATGATGATAAATAAACAAAAATCCAATTTACTAATTATTTATAACTTTTCTCTTTCTCTTTCTCTCTCTCCCTCTGCCCCTCTCTACCTCTCTCTCTCTCTCTCTCTCTCTTTCTCTACCTCTTTATTCCCTTCTTATACCCGACGTAGAAATAGGCGTTTATTTCCCTTTCGCACTCGTTAAATTAATTTGTTTTTAATTGTCTATATTATTTTTCAGTTAACGCTTTCATTCTCGCCAATACCAATTTTTAATAGTGGCGTCGAATCCTTAGAATATAGAAAAATACTGTTATTAATTGCATGTAGAGTGGAAAGAGGGTGGAAGGAAAAGAGAATGACTAGTAAAAGTGGAATAATAATAGAAAAAATATTCGATGACGGTGGAATAGTTTAAACAATTTTTATAATAAATTGATGGAGGAGAAATAGCACTAGTTGTTTTTTGAATGAGGTCGAGGTAACTATGTATATAAGATCTAATAAGGTAAAAGGACAACAAAACTGGATAGATTTTAGATTGGCGGAAAAGGTCTTGAAGTGAATAAGAACCTTGGGTGACGATATTTTTATAGTATTACTATAGATTTTCGTTAAAATGCTTGTCCTTTATGCATTTTCGTTGTAAATATACTTTATTTCCTTTTTATTCACAAGTTTTTTTCCCTTTTTCCTTTGAATTAAACATGCAATAGTAAAAATTAAAAGCGAAATGACACCTCTAAAGCTTAACTTTATTCACTATTCATTAAAGGTTAAACAAAAAAGAAGGGGAATAAAACCTAACATACAAATGACAATACTCCAGCTAATACTTTATTTAGAGGAAATATCTTTTCTTTACGTTCTACCTCTACCTTTAAAAGTAAATTATTCGGTATATTTTGTATTCGAAAGCTAAACCAAACGTTGAACCCCTTTCCCTCTTGCCTCTTCCTGTATAGAGACGCCCTGCTAAGAGGCAAGTATAACTAATCTTTTCAGTGAAATTATAAGCCGTAAATAATCTAGTAAATTCAAACTCTCCCCGCTGCTTACATTCTATCGTCAATATTGAAATGTTTTCGTCTAGAAATTTGGAGACATCGTGTTGAAATTAGTTTTTTTCCAATATAATCGTGCATATTCATGAGTAGATAACGAAGTTGTTTAGTAATAATGGAAGCAATCGCAGAAGAACGAAGTACATCAAGGAAAAAAGAACCTTTGGGCAATGAAATTTGGCTTCTAGTCAAGATTCGTATTACACGTATACAATTTGTTAAGAGGGGTGCTCGTGCGCATTTAAATTCATTTTAATGTGCCTTTCATTGATGTCAATTTTTTTCAAGGTTGATTAGCGGAAAAAGCAACTTGTAACAATATCAAATAATGGAATGAGAATTGCTGATGATCATACTCAAAAGCAGGTTAGGAGCCTGAATAAATAGTCGCCAAACTAAAGAGAAACAAAGAACAAACGGAAAAAACTGTAACCTTATGCTCCATGCTATACATGTTTATATATATATATATATATATGGAGAGAGAGAGAGAGAGAGAGAGCGAGAGAGAGCAAGTAAGCGACATAATGAGACAACTAATATGATTTTCTATTTTAAATTTAGTTTTTTTAACTTAACTGACCTAGTTGTAGACTGAAAGTTTCTTTTTTTACATTTAAATTCAGCAAATAGAATTCTTCAAGAGTTGTCTTGCCTGGGAAATAAAATTGGCAAACCGAAACGTAATGATGGAACTTTTTATAGTAAAATAAGAGGAATGAGAGAATGGAAGAATTTGATTTAGAATTTAAGCCTTAAGCAACTCTAGTTCAAAGAGCAGAGAAGAATCATGATCAATGTAGGAGGCTACTTTTTGAGATGTCGAAAACGAGAAAATGCGGAAATTATCGTGTTTAAGAACTATTTTGTAATATTGGTCAGAGATAAAGGAGAAGGAAGAGAAAATGAAAAATAAAAAAATAAATAAAGAGAAGAAAAACGATAGCCTTGGGAAGAATGGCGCAAACACTATCCATTTGGTATTTGATCAAACCAGTAATGCAGTTCTATTCCAAAAATTGTCTTGTAAAGATGAACCCACCGAAAGGGAAAAAGGTCCGGGAAACTAGGAAAATGCGCTCTATCAAGGTTTAATTTAGGGAAAAGATACTTACATGTAAAAGCTAAATGCGAAACCGGCGAGAAAACTCAAGTGTCAACATTTCCTTTGCATGATTGCAGTGTAGGAAAAGGTGCAGTGGCCCTGAGGGCAATTTGTACTGATGACTTAGCGGGAAATTTTCCTCTCCCCTTCAACACACTCATCAAGTTTCTTGATTTTTTCTCTCGTTCTAATCGTTTTTCCCGCCTGATTTCGCCCTACTACTGAAAATAGCGATTTTTACTAGCCTTTCGAGAACATTCTGATGGCACCGACTTAATTTGATTCCTTATGAAAAGGTGAATTTGAAAAGGCATCTGTAAAAACCCTAGAAAGGTTTCTTTCATAAAGAATTCTCCTATGCAAAAGATAGCATGATTGTTAATTTTCGGATAAAATGCTCACTGGCTAATTGAGCACATTGAAAAGAGATCTTCTCAGGGGAGCGAGTCAAGAAACGTTTAGTATAATCGTTAAAGTCTATTTACTCTACTTAGTTTTTTCCCCTACTTTACCATGTTAGACTCTTGTAAAAGAAGAGTGTAGAGAAAGAAAACAATTTAAGTAAGTGAAAGAAAGAAGAAAGAGTGATACGTCGCTGTGTGAGAGACTGAGTGAGAAAGAGAGAGTAATAGTAGTGAAAAGAAAAGAAAAGTCAAAAATAATAGAACAAAAAGCAGCAGAAAACAAAAAAAAAAGAATTTAAATAAACCTAATAGACTGCAAAAGTAATTTACTAAGTGTAATTATTGATAAAATGAAAAGGTAAAAGAATAGCCGATATATAGGCAAATCATTAAAGTTTTTGTATTGATTGATTAGAAAAAGAAGAAAAAAAGGGATGTCCGAAACAGGTGTGTATACTCCTTTGGATGGAGGAAATCCTTAATTGCCGCGGCATTTGCCAAAGGTTAATTGGTAAAAAGAATACCTGAAATCTCTGTTGTAGAACGCGTAGATAAATGGATTAACGAGTGAATTAAAATAACCCAACCATGTAGCACACATTGCTACAATTGGAGGAACTTGACAACTTTTGCAGAATGGTTCTATTATATAAATAAGGAAGAAGGGTAACCAACACACGCTGAAGCATCCAACAACTATAGCTAATGTTTTAGCGGCTTTTCTCTCTTTCAAGAGTACTGCTCTTTCCTTTCTTTTTTGTTCTTTAATGCTATAAGTACCTCCAGGGTTTCTTCTCGCTCTTGCCTGAATTGCGGCAATATCTCTCATGGCTTGAGTGCTAGTTAATAGAGATAGTCTAAATCTTTCAATTTGTTGCCGATTACGTAATTTTGATAGCTTTCCATTTTCAACGTTGGGCAGCTGAAGAAGAGTATCTCCACTCTCCTCGTCGAGACTTGTAGTTGTGAGATCATCTTTTTTCTTCTTCTCTTTATCCGTATTATTAGTATTATAAACTTGAAGATTTTGGTCCCTATAGGCATAGACGATTGACTCAACTCATCTAATATGCGTCCACATAAGTAAATATATAGTGTACTCGGTATATTATAAACTGTATACATATAAATATATAGTTGTATAAAAGTAATAAAATAGATCTATATTCTTTGTGTATGCTTATACAGTGTTTATACACGAAGTACTGTTTATGTATTTATTTATATATACGCGGGCTAAAATTTTCCTTAATTATGATAGGTAATTAGGTCAATTATAATAATTTCTAGATAATAAACGGAAATTCGAAGGTATAAGAGAAGAGGGGTTGAGGGAAACTCCGACTAGAGTTTCGCAAAGTCTCAAATTACTGATAATAAAAAGCGATAAAATAAATAAATAAATACAATTGTTAATTAAGGAAATAATAGAAGAAAAGAGAAAATCTTATTCTATGCCTAGAAGCAGCAACTCGGAAAATTCTTATATAAACGAAGAGCATAACCAATAGTGGAATATAAAAACTGCCTAAAGCTGAATAAATGACGTATCCAGGGTTGTCAGTGAGACGACATTCGCCCCTTTCCCAATCACCTTCTCTCCAACCGAAAATTGGCGGACACGTAATTACAACAGCGGCTAACCAAACGAAGCATATCATTGATATTGCCAACCGTTTTGAACGCCTAGCAGCATATTTCAATGGATGGTTAATAGCGAAATATCTGTCAACAGATATGGCACAAAGATTAAGGATTGACGCCGTACACAGCATAACATCTGATGATATCCAAATGTTGCAAATAATGGATCCAAACGGCCATATCGGATTTATTTCCAGCATGATATGGAACGGCATAACAAGTAACGCAACTAGAGTCGGGTTACAATTAGACATAATCGTTCAATTATCAGTAAAAGAAGTAAAACTATATAGAGAAATGAGTTTGGTTTTTTCTTTCTTCCCCTTTATGTTTGTCATACTTTTAATATAAAAAACTAGAAAGGAAGAAAAGATTAAAAATAAAGAGTTGAGTGTTCTTTTACTCGAAAATGAGAAGGCTATTTAAATAAAAAAATAGACATTGTCATTAGATTATATTAAGTCTCTTTAAACTGACTATATACTAATACTATATATACAGTATATATATATATATATATACTGTATATATATGTATATTGTATATGAATATATATATACTTAATACTCATATTATATAAATTATATTTGATTTAATACTCGTAAGCCCGACCCAGTAGATCGCTTGTTGCTAAAGATGCTACAAAGTAGTTTGTCACAGTCCTAAGGCGTTTGTTTGTAGAAACCGCTAAAATTACAAGTAAATTGCCAAAAATTGCTCCTATAACTATCAGAGAAAGTATGGAACCAATCAGTATTTGTTGTAAAATTCCTAGATTAGTTTGAGAAGTAGAGGAAGAGTTTGTGGAAAAGTTATATATCCAGGACGAATTCTCCATACCTTTTACCAATCCGTTGATGGTTCGAAGAAGTACATTAGCATCGTCGATTGAGAAAGCGTCTCTAAAGGTGATTAGACGCGCGTGATGTGATTTTAGAAAGCAAAATGATTCTCTCAACCGTCAAGGTGGCGCTGTCTTAAACTCATTTTTATTCGACATTGGGGTATTGGTAACATCGGGGTCTATTATCTTTTAATAGAGTTAGATTTATTTGTAAACTCATTAAAGATATAGCATATTTCAATTTTCTGTCCCGCATTTTGTCCAATGTTCATAAATATTTACTACTTTAATATTCTTTTTAATGCAATGAAGTAAGAAAACTTGATAAAAAAACTCTTCAGATATAAATTATAAAATCTCTAATGAATTCTCATAATTAAACACCTTTTCCTATTCATTTTTCTTTTACATTCTCTCCAAGTTTCGTTTCTTTTCTTCCTACTCTCACTGTCTCTCCATCTTGAAATATACAATTCGAATCTAAACTCTCTCTACAAGGTCAATACTTGCAATCTTTTATAGTTTAATTAACAATTTTTCTCTTCTCTTCTAACTAAAATATTTAATTGTAATAGACGAAAAGAGGACAAATAGAAATTGAAGGGTGAGAAATAAAAGAGGGGAAATTAATACCACTAGAAGAGATGGATTAAACAAATAAAAGAAAATTATTGTCTATTTTTTATCTATTCATTCTTCGTACTAAGCGCTTGAGACTACTCACTTTCTTATTATAATAGATAATCTACTCTTTCTTAGTTTGATTCTAAACTACGTAAATAAATACGTTTATCAATAGAATAGTTAAATAAAAGAACTACGTTAAAAAAGAATATAATCTATATTAATGTATTAATCATATATATAGTACTTGTGTTGTACATATGATTAATCTATATTGTTCTGTTTTGTCATGCACTGTATCATTCTTCTTTCGTATAAGGAATTAGTTACATACAATGCAGTCCATATATTTATATATATATATACAGTATATATGTATGTATAAAGAGAGAGTGAGAGAAAAGAAAGAGAGAGAGAATATAATCATTTTTTGTTCAAGTTGACAACTACACAATTCTATAGATTTGTCATAAGTCAATGCCTCCCTCTTTAATAATTAGAGAGTCTGTATAGTACAGTAAAAAGGGTGCAAATATACTTTTCGTATACAGTATATATTAACATATTAGATTTTTTCTTTTCTTAATACGATAGGTGGCGTAACTTGCCCAGTTGTAGAGATAAATTATAACGTTTCAAAAGAGCAAGAGAGAAAGCAAGAGAAGAGGAGGAAGAAGAGTTGGAGGAGGCAATGGAAAAGGGGTATTGAGAAGGAGAAGAAAGAGAGATATCAGTAGAGATTGAGTTGAATATATGAAGGTCAGCAAGTACAAAATGTCGATCGGACAGATGTGAGAATAAAGGTTAAAAAAAACTATTAATTAATACTAGTCGTATGGACTACGCTGTTTTTTATTATCTCGTTTTGCTATATAATTTGAAGGTGATAGAAATTGCTTTTCATCTATTTTTTTAATTAACTATAAAATCATAGATAATCTAGGAATATTCTATTTATTAAATACAGCTTTTCAAAGAGATAAGCAACCGAAATGTCAAATTGGATACTTAATATAAGAAACAGTTTGTGGAGACGGCCTTTTTTCTCTTTTTACTCTCTTTAAATATTCATAATCATACCTGATTTTATACTAGACACACTCGCGTACACGCACATAGACAGATTCCTACAAACAAGCTTTAATAACTTAATCAGTAAAATTAAAGATGTTATAATTAAATGAAGATTGAAATATTATATATATACTGAATATATAAATAGGTGGCGCAATATAACAATCTGTATAATCTCTATAAATAATAATGGAGCATAAATAGAGACAGTTATTACTGTAAACCAACGAATCCGGTACGTTATCCTAGAATAAACTGCTCTTGGGACTTGTAAAACTTTTATCGAAAATTAAAAAGAATTAAGTAAAGAAGAGAAAGATATTGTTGTATATATACATAATAAAAATAAGTAGTTTTATCTATCAATTTCTGTTTTGTTTACTCGGAAATTTCTTTGTAATTAATGGTTGATAAAAGTTTCTAAAGAATTTTTCTTACAAAAAGAAAGTGAGCTCTTTCTTTTTAAGGATTGCTATCTTATTTCTTATTTTTTTTTCTCTCTCCCTCTGTATCTTCATCTTCATTATTCCTCCTTCGTTCTCTGTTCCTACTTTTCCTTCTTCCCTTCCTCATCTTCTCTTTCTCTTTCTTTTACTTTTCTATCACTCTGATCATCATCATCACCATCATCATTCGGCATAATTAAATCTAATCCCTAATTAACTTGAAACAGTAAAGATAAGGAAATAATATAGAAGAGGTTAAGATATTATCTAAATAAAATGAATGTATCAATAGGAGAAAAAGAGAAAAAAAGGCTGTTTGTTTGTCTTTTGTCTTTTTTTAATTATCATTTTTTGTTCTTTTTTTTTCATAGCTTTTTTTAAGGTTAAAAGAAATTTTGCGCCAAAAAAAAACATGTTCATTTTTTTTAAAACGTTCAATATCATTTTTCCATGTACGTTTTGCATTGTATAACATATATATACATATATATATGTATATGTATATGTATATGTATATATATATATATATATATAGAGAGAGATGCGATATATACGATACGGAGGAAAAAAAAGGAAACAAATATAAACACTTATATTTTACTTTCAACTGAATTTAAAACTTTTTGATTCATCAGAAGATAGAATACAATAGTTTCTTTTTTATGTTGATTTTAACTTTCTTTTTTTTTTTTTTTCTTTTTTTGGAGGATAAAACTTTTCTTTTTTTTATCTTTTTTTTCTTTTTAATTCTTTTTTGTTTGTTTTTTTTTTTAATTTTATTTATTTATTTGATTTTTTTTACTTTAATGATAATTTCTTTCAGAAATTTCTGAAGACGTTCCTCTTTTCATCCTGAAAAGTAGAAATATTTCAAATTCCATTTAAAAGGCTAAAATATAAATATTATAAGGAAGTATATTTTATATAATTCAAGGCACGTAAACTATAGATAATATAAAAATTTTAGTATGTATACATATATCTTGTTACTAGTTATCAACTAATATACTACTTCAATTTCTTTTCAACCATATTATATCTCATAATATAATGAAAAATATGCTCTATTTATAAAATATTGTATATTTTTATTGAAAACATTAAAAGAATAAGATTCGAAGGAGTTCGATCTATTTGAATATTTTCTTCTAAATAATTATCTCAAGGTTTGTAAAAGGAGAACAAAATGTAGGAAAATAAAGGAAAGAAAGGGAGCGAGTGCATGCATATATTGTTTATTATGTATTCGCCTATTTTAGCCTATAAGGCGGCTGTTTATATTGTATATGAATAAGTACATTTGCATATATATATGTATACTGTATAACTTCTATGCGAACGTAAAACTGAATGTTTAGCTAATCATAAATTGTTGTAGAGAAGAGAAATATAGAATATCGGAATGGAGGGTATTACTCCTTACAAGTATCTATTACTCAGTTGAAATTATATATATTGTATATAGCGTGATACAAGACAACATCAATTGGCAAATAGCGTATTAAATAGATGATGACTAATGAATTACTCAGAATTACAAGTTAAGAATAGTTTAGAACGAAAAAAAAAGAAAAAAAAAAACTAATATCGTCTTGATGATAATTTATATAAGCGGCATGATTTTTTTAAGTGAAGGCTTTTAAGCCTATTCCTTGAAATTATATCACTTTAAATTGAAAACGACACTAAAATAGAATAAAGAAGCTTTCAAAAGCATAAAGATATATTACGGCTACACGATAGGAGAACGAAGTTTAAGAAAGATAACATAATAATTCCTATGTAAACAGGTCTATATTGGAGGAAATTAAGAAGAGGGAGTAAATGTAGGAATAAACGAGTTAGATAGATTGGCAAGCAAGAGAGAAAGACAGAGAGAGAGAGAAAGAAAGAGAAAGAGAGACAGACAGATAGAAAAGTATGATAATATTTTGGACTTAATTACTCTATAGTCTGTGCCATTCCCATCCTTATAATTCCCTTCAATATTAGAATCTCTAGTAATGTGCCACATCAGTTTACTTTTACTTTATGAAAAGATTATGAATATAAATATATTCATATATAAAGATATCAGTATGAGTACATTTGTATAAATATTCATTGAGCTAATAGAATATGTAAAATATATGGATTTATAAATATAATATGATTTATATTTAGTACACTCAATTTGCCTTTATATACAATAGAGACAATGAGGTAAATCTTTACATTTCATAACAGAAAGATTTTATACACTGCTCATCTACTTTCTCTTAAACTCTTCGTATTCTAAGCAATCATCTTACCTAAATACGAGATGAACTTGTCAAGAGAAATTCAAGTATTAATTTGTTTGTTCTTTGGCTACACTAAATATAGAGTCTTTTTTTTTCATTTACAAAAAAAAAAGTA